TGAGCCATACCGATGGCATGTTGACTCCAATGGCTGAGACGTCTGGGTATGCGCGCCTTGAAGAATTGTAAATGTCTTCGCCGTATGTGGGTACATACTTGGAGAAGTAGGCTGAGACGGCGTCCTCCTGGTAGGGTGGATGGGGGAAAGACGCTGGAGAAGTTGCCACTAGAGTGGTATCATTGTAGATTCGCGGGTTCTTCTACTGCCTTTTCGCTGTTGGCAATCGTGCCGTTGAGGAGTGTTGTAGCACCGACAGGGGTGATCTACTCAACATCAGTGTAACTGAAGCAAGGACTTCAGAGATCGAATGGGTACTTACATAGGGACCATTGCAAGGGACATCTGGTGAGAAGCGCGTTCATTCAATCTCAGTGTGACCGAATTCAGTGTTTATAGATACATTGTCGTGATCAGAGTTATACTTGTTCGCAACACCAGCATTGCCCGATGCGACAATGACGCTGACGCCTTGCAAACTTAGCTTCATCCCCACGCGGCATCGTCGCTCCTGGTAGAAACGAGGCAATGCGCCTTCAATCTGACCGTACGAGAATGGGATAACATTACGCAGTGGTGCACCACCATGTTGCAGAGCACCTGCGTATCCTCCCAGGTTGGGGTCGGGATATTGTGAGTTAAGTTATGGCTGGTTGCCGCCTTGGTAGGGGCAGTAAGAAGCACCCTGGTCACGTTAGTTATTGTGGAACTATAAAGCAGATTATACAAGACTCATCAAGGCGTCCAAGAAGGTATTGAATGTTCCGACAGAAACCATATTGACCCAGTCACCAACCTGATACAACCGGATTTGCTTTGGCCAGATGATGGAGTAGATAGTCTGGATGTCCAAAGCACTCTCAGTCACCAGACCACTTTCGACCACAGACCGGTTCACCCGCAAGCTACCATCAATGGAAATGAACTCTGGATCAACATCCATCGGGATCTTGAGGAAAGTGTGTTTTCTGAAGAATTCTCGGAGACCTAGAAGTTAGAGATAGTCCGCAAGTTCGGCAACACCGAGCTCGTTTTCAATATGATTGTACTTGGCAACGGAGATATCGTAGAGTGCGCGGAAGCAGTAGATGCTTACAATATACCAGCAATACGAGAGAGCGTTAGGAACACGAGGTACAGTATCGTTACCTAGGTAGTGTTAGTCAGGATCTTAGTCACTAATTTTGCCTTAGCTACTGGACGTGAGCCATCGAGTTGGATCGTAGGCATGATGAATTCGACATGCTCAATGGTGTGCTGGGGAAGCTTGTACTCGTCGCATGCAATTTGTATCCGCCAGGCTGCTCGTGCCAGTAGTTGTGGCACTCGGTATCGAGCAGTCCTTTAAGCTCGCCAGCAGTGGCTGAAATCTCGACCCAGTCAGGCCCTACATTCCGTTAGGCTTGATTTTCCTGAAGCGTATTATATAAAGAAGTGCCAACTGAACGCTTGATACGGTTGCTATCGATTACGGCTGCATCAAGCCAGTCGAGAGTGATGTTAGTAGTCTTTGAATGCGGCACAAATTTATCAGTGACATGTTCAGCTGTCCGATACTTGCCTGTTCAGGTCATGAGTAGGTTACATACTCGAGGAACTGAAGTCAATCTTACCAAAGTCGGGATACTTAGGGTCAGAGGTGTCTTCGAGGAAGCGGTTGACTTGCTCTAAATTTCGCTGCTTCAACGCGATACGGATAGGTATATAACAGCTCTTTATGCATGCGATTGCTTCGTCCACCCGGCCGGTAGCACATTCCGCTTCCCATGAACGGTGTGTGGTGTAGTCGGGGAAGCAGCAGCAGGACTGCTGAGATCAAGTCAGATCCAGACTGAGACACGTATCTTTCCTGAGATGGCTCGGAAGAACCATATGGTCTCTAGAACTTTAGGGCTTCTGGGAATTCCTTGACACTAGCAAGATGATGGCAATTAACACCAACGCCTTTGCATGCATTGGTCGTGGTGGCAAGGCATGGAGCGTAACCCCAGTTCTACGCGCACTATCACACGGGACGACAATACCAAAATTAGTAAAATTATTCCCAGCGATATGATTACCATATCCCGCTACATTAAAGCAAGGGCACTCCTGTGTTCCACTGCCTCTCCTTTCCCAATACGGCAACGTTTGTATTAGCATGTCGGCCAATGGCATGGGATGGATTCTGCCCCGGGTTTGTACATGAGGAGAGAATGACAAGAAGCAGACATGGCCTGCATTGACAACCCGCATTGCCGAACATTTTCTGCCGGCAGGAAAGCCTTCTGAAACACAACTAGGACGCAACTAGACATCCTTCTAAAGCTTGTTTTGTCCATAACGGACCTTAATATCGTTGGTGAGCCTGACCCTCGCTAGGCTTGGGACGGCAGCAAGGCAATTGACTGGTTCCAAGACGTTATGAAGAGGCGGTGCCAGATGAGGTACAGTATGTGGATCTCTCTGGTATAGCCTATTGAGTGGTAACTGGGACGGGTAGAATGCCTTACGCCGCACGAAAACCTTGCTTTATTGGTATTACTGAGTTATGCAAAGTGTACGAAAACCAGCCTATCGTGAGGCACATCTTTGCAATACTCGTGGGCAAAATCTGATTCGTCTTGGTGATGTTCGTTTTCGAGGCTGGGTACAGTCAGTGCGTGCGCATTGTACAAACATACAGCAAAAGAAGAAGCAATTGTGTATGTTTCATACCATGCATACTGAGAGATCTAACTGCAGCGCATCAAAGGCAATACTCAGTTAAAGCTGATTTTGGAAAACGGGGAGGGTACCTGAGATATCGCCAAGCTTCGTCAACCCGTTTCCAAGGGATGGAGCAATACCTGCCCAAGGTAATGCGCCCACCGAAGTGATGATAGATTCATTACAATAACACTATATACGAGCGAGTGTCGCTCTTTTGACGCCAAGCAATGTATGTCAACATAATGTACCCATATCCGTATGTACAGAAGCTCAACAGCATCCGCCCCAGCCCTGTTGCTTGCCCTTCCTACTCGCATCATTCAGGTTGACGCCCGCTCTATTTGCTCCGCCTCCCGGGCCTTTGACCCCACTCCTTCTGTCGTTCAAGTCGTACTTCCCAGCTTCTATATTTTGGTATATCCTCTCTGCGACTTCCAAAAAGGCTCTTTCCACACCCTCCCCGCTCTTGGCGCTGGTCTCGACATATTGCATGACGCCATTCGCTTTACACCATTCCTCGGCCTCTTCCTTTGTGACCTGTCGCTTATTGGCAGCTTCAGAATCGGTCACGGTAGACGATCCTGCGAGATCAGACTTGTTGCCCACAAGCACTACTACTATGCCTTCCTCGGCGATTTGTCGTAAGTCATGCAGCCACGACGTGGCGGAAAGGAAAGTGTTCTTCCGCGATATGTCGAATACGAGGAGCGCACCCGATGCGCCGCGGAAATAACTCCTCGTGATGCTCTTGTACGTCTCCTGGCCTGCTGTATCCCAGAGCGAAAGCTTCATGTGTTTTTGCTCCTGCTTTTGTTTCGACGGCGAGACGGGCGCTTGCGCTTGTGAAGATTTGGAGGGGTTGTTGATGCTCAACGAGTGCGACGCTGGAGGGCCAACGGGAACGATGCGCGATCCGAACTCTACGCCGATAGTCACGTCGTGGTGTGGTGAGAAGCGCCCTTCGCAAAGGCGGACTGTGAGCTGTGAGCCGTCAGCATGGGAGCCCTGGATAACAGGAATCATGTTGCATACACTTGATTTACCACATCCTGAGTCGCCTAACGAGACGATCTTCGCTATGTAGTCCCATGGCTGAGCCATGCTGCGTGACGCCGTTCGACGGGAATAGAAGTTGACCCGAGGAGCGAGCTTATTTGATGATTCACAGCAAGGGCAGTAAATGTGTTGGAAGCAGGTAAACTTTGTTCGAAAGGTGTGTAATATAAAGCAGTTTGCAAGTTGGAGTTATGGGTGGGTACGATGGGACGCAAGTTGGATGATAGTGAGATAGGTCTAGTCAGGTCAGGGTTCAGCAATGCGGTCATAGCTCGGCAACTGCTTGAGCCACAGGCGAAGGATTTGGTCAAGCACGTCTCCTGGCAAAGTCAAAAGCACGTACAAATTGACTTCGCGCAGGCTTTGGCTGTATGACATGTTGCTTTTCTCTGTAGCTTGTATCGATCGTCCCTACTGCACACCGGATCTGACAAATATCGGGGTTGGCTTGACTCGGGCAGACACTATGAGGACAACACTGCTCTCGCAGAAACGCGACTAGAAGAAGATAATTTTGTTCCAAGGCCCCATAGAGTCAACATTACCGAATGCTTTGCATACAAGGTGGAGAATTGATTGAGGCTAGGAGAATAGCGCGTGCCTTGCATGTTCACGAGGTACGGAAGCCCGACTATCGATAACCCGACGCGCTGGCTTGGCACAATGATGAGCAACCCATGCACCGCAACCCACCAACCACTCAGCCCTCAACACCTAGGCGGGCTATAGCTCATCACTGTCCTATTGCTACCACCCTGACAACACCATCTCTACCACCTCCAGCTGGATACTGTGCAGTCTGCTGGCATCCAACTGCATGTCTCTTAGACTGCGTCATCTGCGGCTGCCTCTTGTACTCCGGTACCCTTGCACTCGACCGCCTCACGACCGCTGACTTCGCACCTGAGCCCGCCCTCGCCTCGGGCCATCTCTCGCAATAGATATATCTGGGCGCCATCGCCAAGTTCAGCAGGCATAAGGATATATATCGCGTACTTTATCTATCATGTTCTCCGAATGTAAGTGGACCTGGTGCCTTATCGGCGTACATGTGATAGACCCGCCGCCTCTGTCTTGGATAGCCTACGGACTCGCGTGACTGACCTGCGTGCTCCCCAGATGCATCCAAGTTCCTCTCCCAGTCTCAGTCGCGGCTGTCACTGGGTCAGCCCGAGTCGACTTCAAACCGCAACGCCCCCGACAGGCAACGGCCGTCTTCGCGAGCTGCCCAAGCTTACCTCCAGCGTCGCAACATGCCGAACCCATACAACTCGCAGGCTATGAGCCGCTTCGCCTTTGCTTCACGAACATCCAACGCGCCTGCGCCGCTTTTCTACTCTGCGACCGATGATTTCCGCGAGGAGGATGACCACGTCGAGCACGACCGGGAGATGGCCGACCATTACGCGCTACAGCGGTCGCGGCGGCAGTTTGGCGCAAGCAATCTATCTGAATCGTCTGAAGTCGAAGATGACCTCGCCCAACGATCGGACCATACAATAGGCGCAGACAGGGACGAAAATGAAGCGCCGGGATATGGTCTAGGAAGAGGGATTAAGAGTTCTTGGAAGGGGGACAAGCCAGCACGTGGAAGATCAGCCACCATCAACAACCCCGAAGATGAAGAACGAGAGTCAAGTGTACCACTCTCCGAGACGACGGACCGCAGCAGCAGAGGAAGAGGCAATCTCGTGGATGTGGAGCTCGACTCGACGGATCGAGGCAGCATAGAAGAGCTGGACCGAGACGAGCTCTTGGGTCACCAGGACGAGCCACCACCACCATTTCAGCAGTTTCGCAACATGCCGAGGCCGAAACGCGGTCGCAGTCCGCTACGAAACACCCTACCGATACCACAGGAAACGGATGAAGATACTTTGCTAGAACACCCACGGCCAATAAGTCCGGATCGCCAGACTGTACCCGATGTTGTACCAGAGAATCCTACATCAGCCCCACGACACAACTTCTTCTGGGCTGAGCTCTTCATAATCGTACAGTGTGCCATCTTTGGCACATGGTTCATTTCTCTGCTGCAAGAATCACCACCAAACAAGAAGAACCCATTGGGCGACACTATATATACCGTCTTACACTCGTCATTTCACCTCATTGGAGTGTACTCGTTGGTCTCGGTCATAGTCGGAGTTTTATGGTTATCGCTACTCCGGTCCTTCGCTCGGCCTCTGGTGCAACTGATGCTACTGGCAATACCCGTCATATCTATTTCCTTCTTTTTCTACCCTTTCGTATCAAGCTTCAAAGGGTCTTGGCATGGTGATAGCGTACAAGATCGGCTGATGCGTTGGCTTTCGTTCGGGCCTCTATGCTTTGCTGGTTTCTGGGTGTACACCATCTTCAAGGCGAGACATTCCTTGGACAAAGCTACTGGCATGCTGGAGTTCTCGAGTGAAATCCTGAGAGCGCAATTCCCATTGCTGCTCGTGGGTATCGCGGCACTGGCTGCCGTGATACTATGGTCTTGGATCTGGATTCTGATGTTCACACGTCTTTTCCTCGGCGGCCACTTTGCTAGCAACAAATCCCGGTGGATCATCGACACCAGCACGTGGTGGCTGGGCATCGCGTTCTTCTTGGATTACTTTTGGACTCTGGCAGTCATTTCCGGTGTACAACGCGCTACAACAGCAGCTACGGTATCTCAGTGGTACTTCCATCGCAACAGCGTACCCGCACCTGCTGCCAGCACGGTAGTCCAGGCTTCTCTCAATCACGCAACATACACCATGGCTGGTACGATCTGCATGTCAACGCTGATCTCACTCATGGTCCGCCTTCCACTCATCGTCCTTCCGAAGCGACTCGCGGGTATGATCGGCATGTGCGCATATTCAGTTGTGCCGACACCCATCGCTGCGCTGACAAACCCACTGACTCTGACCTTCGCTTCAATTCATGGTCTGCCTCTCAATCAAGCTGCGCGTGGCCTGTCGCAGATGAACTTCATCTCCGCTGCGTCGCCAACTACTACCCTCGGCCCAAGCTCGTTCAAGGACCATGGGCGACCATCGATACAGTCATACCGTCTGGCGAAACTACTTTTGCACGCCATTCGTTGGGTCATAACACTGTCTCTTGGATTCGGAGGCTGGGTCTCGACTGCACGCATGCTTCAAATCGGAAACGACACTGTACCATACAAGGGCAGTCTATACGCATACGTCGTCGGTATCATCAGCGCGGCGATTGGTTGGGGTGCTCTAGGTGCTATGGAAGGAGTTCTCGGAAACATTCTAGATGCAGTGCTCGTGTGTTGGGGAAGCGAAGTAGGAAGAGATGGACAAGGAGAGGCTCGATACTGTGTTGACGCTGGTCGGTTGTTCGGCAATGAAGTCACTGGGCAAGGACGAGGGAGATACGAAGTTTAGAGCATGTTTTTTGTGCATTATTGGCGTTCAGCACCAGAGGGACCTGGATACTGGTACGGGTATGGCGCTTGGGTATACCTATTATGTATCTATCTCAAATCGCTTTTGCCATCAGCAATTGCACACGTATAGCTTTATCTAACTAAAATTATCCTACGATTGAATGCAGGTATAAAGGTTGGTATAGCTGCGTCATGGCTCGCTTAGTGGCTAGCGCGAGTCGACGCGTAGTGAAGCGGGACCCGATCAACACGGCTACTGCAGCCCAAACATAGACTCGGCGCAACGACAACCAACACAAAAGTGCCCCAGGCTCCATGGAGTGCCTTGCCCGCCAACATGTCCTCCCGCACCGTGCCGACCATGAAGTCCTTGTCCAACGCTGATCGACGCTCTGTCAATGCCAATTACTCGTCGACTGCGCGACCCCGCGTCGCTTCTGGAGAGGAACTCGACCGACGCAGCTCTACCACAGCGTCACATGCCAGAAAACAGTCAGCACCCATGCGCGCTACAGGCGCAACCTCAGGCGAGCGTCGTGTAGAGAAGAAGGAAGTGCGCGAACGGGAGACGGAGGTCAGACGGACCAAGAGCCCGTTGAAGCATGCAAGTGAGAGTAGGGCCCATGCTCGAAGCCGCTCAGAGAAACAACCGCGAGATGTCGAGAGGCCATCACGCAGCGCTGCATCGCAGAAGTCCATACCTGAAGAGCCCCAGGCGCCATGGGAACCGCAGGCTTCTTTGATACCACATACGACCGCCCCGCTGGCGACACGCATCTCGATACCTCCGCTCGCATCCACCGCTCCCATATCGCTGCAACCTACACCACTCGCAAAACTATCGCTAGAAGCGCAAGAGAAGGCTATACTGGAGGATTTGTTATTTGTTTTCATGGGATTCGAGGGACAATACATTCGATTTGGCGATGGCTACAACCCCCATGAAGAGAAGGAACGTTTGGTTGGACCACAATTCCGCCTAATGCCTGGCTTGGATCCTAGTTTGAGGGACCTTACCAAGTCGATGCTGAAGACCGCCACACACTACATCGCCGTGGAGACGTGCGTAGAGGTGCTAAGCCAGGAAGAGTACGGTGCGGTGAACCACGCGTTATGCGCTGCTGTACGACGGCTGCTAAAGGATTACCTCATACTTGTCGCCCAGCTTGAGCACCAGCTGCTGACAAATGACTCCTTCACACTTCACGTCTTGAGCTTGCATACTAAACAGACGAGTCACATGCTCTTTCAACTCTACACAACCGGAATCGAACTACTGAAAGCAAACGGCATTCTTGAGGACGAAAAAGACGAAGATTCAGCTGATGATGACAGCAATGACTTTGAAAACATCCTAGAGTCGCTGCGCGAGGGAGGTAATGCAACGAAGAAGCTCTGCAAAGGTGGGAGCGTACTAGGACTCATTACCAAGCGATTATCGTCAATGTCAGGAGATCCTGCAGCTCGAGCACTACTGACCACACTGTTGCGGGAAGCCAGCAGACCGTATATGGCCATGTTGAATGAATGGTTGCACCATGGTGGCATCAAAGACCCACACTCCGAATTCCTGATCAAAGAGCAGAGAAGCATCAAGCGAGAAAGGTTAGATCAAGATTACACGGATGAGTACTGGGAGAAGAGATACACGATACGCGATGCCCTAGTGCCTCCCCAGCTTGAAGCCGTCAAAGACAAGGTGCTCCTGGCAGGGAAGTACCTCAACGTGGTTCGGGAGTGTGGAGGCGTCGACGTTAGCAAAGTCGTGCAGGACGCGCCGACTAGCTTCGATGATCCACGCTTCCTGGACAACGTCAACTCCTCATATGCCTACGCAAACTCCTCCCTCCTTAACCTACTTCTTACGACACATCAGCTACCGGCACGGTTGCGTTCACTGAAGCACTATTTCTTCCTCGATCGCTCCGACTTCTTCACCTACTTCCTCGAAATGAGTGAACTTGAGCTCAAGAAACCAGCAAAGCATGTCAACGTCGGTAAGCTGCAATCATTGCTTGATCTCGCCACTCGCCATGCTGGATCAGTCGCTGTGGAGGACCCATATAAGGAGGATATCAAGGTTCAGATTAATGATACCGGACTCACGAATTGGCTTATGAAGATTGTCAATGTGCAGGGTCTCGACCAGGATGCTGCTACTGCTACATTGTCTAATTACACACCTGCGAACTCGGCGCCTATCACCGACGATACCAACATTACCGGTTACCAAGCGCTGGTGTTTGATTATGCGATGCCATTCCCGCTGTCGTTAGTCGTCAGCCGAGTTACCCTCACTCGTTACCAACTACTCTTTCGATATCTACTCAGCTTGAAACATCTCGAGACTGATCTGGCCAAGTGCTGGGGCGAGCAAGGCAAGAACGCTGCTTGGAAGCACCGATCGAAGAACCCGCGGATTGAGCAATGGAAACGCCGGGCTTGGACACTCCGGGCGCGCATGTTGGTCTTCGTCCAACAACTCACCTATTATTGCACGTCAGAGGTCATTGAGCCAAACTGGGCATCATTGATGTCGAGGATAAGCGAAGAGAAGCAGGACGCGCGGGGCAAGGCAAGGACAACAGAAGACGAGAGCAGCGGGCCTCAGGTGAAGCGAACTGTAGATGAATTGATGCAGGACCATGTTGACTTCCTTGCAACTTGCTTGAAGGAATGCATGCTTACTAACAGTAAGCTGCTTCGGGTGAGTCAAGAAACACTTCTTTGCGCTATATTTGGTTACTAACTACCTTCAGATCAACAACAAGATCATGTCAACATGCAGCATGTTTGCATCCTTCACCTACTCCCTCTCCCGCTACCTCGTTACTGGTGATCCCGACCTCGTCGCGCAAGTTAACGCATCTTTTGCTCCTCCGCCTTCCAAGAACTCCAAACTTCCTGCTGCTACATTAGTCGCTTCAACACACCGACCCTCGACTCAGTTTGTATACGATCCCCAGCGCGTCGACAAGATGTTTGACATGCTTGCTAAGTACGAGGAAAACTTCACCCGGCATCTTAAGATCTTGCTGGATACACTGAACTACCTCGCTGCTACTGAGACGGTGGTTTTCTTAAGTCTTTGTGCTAGGTTGACAAGTGCTGGAGAAGGGCTAAGTGGCTTCCAAGTGCCCATGGGTATGGAGGGTATTGCTTAGTAGGCCTAGGCTTCGCGAAGAACAGGCGTTGTGGCTTCCATTGCATTGTTTTGGGTTATTGTTGTGGGTTATGGATTCAGTCAGTCTGCAAGGCGCCAAGCGAGCGATACCATAGTTGTTTGGAATGAGACGCAACGAATTACGGCCGCAAGGTTCTCCAATCTTAAACCGTAACATCTGATGTAATGAGCGTTGAACCAGCACGTGAATTTGATCATATGATTTGATTAAATAGTCATTACATGGTCTATATGAGCTCTTCTAATACGTCTTGAACGGACATCCCTTATCAGCGCTCGAACTCTTAGTCTTTTCTTTGACAATCTTCCATGTCAAATCCATCAATTGATCACCCAACTTATCGTTGTTCGCCAGGTCACTACCCGGCTCCCGTATCGCGGGCGGGCAAATGTACTCGCCCGTACCCTCTGTCTTGGTCGCCGCAAACATGGTGCTCACCGCACCTTCGAACTGAGTCTTCTTGAATGGTGCAAAGCCGTAGCTCATTGCATAGCCACCCAGCGGGTAGGCTTCATGAATGTGGTCGACTGACTGCCTTGTCTCGACGAAACCGGGATGTGTGGTGTTGGACAGGATGTTGGGGTGAGAAGACGAGAGGTGACGAGCTAGGTAGCGAGCGTATAGGATGGCAGCGAGTTTTGAGCGCCCGTATTGTGCCATAGGCCCGAGGTCTGTGTTTAGCTCGTCGATGGATTCGAATTTTGTGTCCTTGGGTGCATTTTCGTGTGCGTTGGACCCTAGTTGTACTATACGAACCTTGTCACCCTTCTCGGCTGTGGACTTGAGCAAGGGTAGCAAGTGAGAGGTCAAAACGACGTGGCCCATGTGGTTAAGCGCCATGTGTAGGTCAACACCGTGCTTCGAAAGCTGGTATGTCATGATACCACGCGCAGCGTTGTTGATCAAAATATCAATTCGATCCGTCTTCTGCGCAATTTCGAACGCGGTCTTGCCTGCCTGTTCCCAGTCTGCGAGATCGCACTTTAGCCATTCGACTCTACTGGCCTTGTCTTCTCCCATTTCTTCCTTGATTGCCTTGAGAGCATCCTCGATGATGTCTTCGCTCATCGAGATGATGAAAAGCTTCTTGATGTTGCGTGAGAGAAGCGTGTGGGTGCATCCGTACCCGATTCCTTCTGAACCACCGGTTACGACAGCGACCTTGCCAGTAAGGTCGGGCACTTCCTCGAGGGAGAATTGTTGATCTGCAGGAGCGAGGTCATGGGCGCCAGAAACGACTTTACCGAGATTCTCGGCAATGGTATTCTTTACTGTCTGCATTGTGGAAGAAGTTTCGACTGGGCCCTTGAAGCGGTCGGTGTTGTGTGGCGGAGTTGACGAATAAGGTCTGGAAGTAGTAGATGTGATCCTGGTAATGGATACACGTGGTAGGGTTGATGTGATTAAGGAAGATGATTTGCAGCTACGCAGGGGAATAACACCTCTAAATAATTTTGTAGACTGCATGGTCACAACATGTGTTACGGGACAGCAGCCACGATCCCTCTAGGTTAAGAGATCTGAGGTCATGGCGTGCAGTGACGTGCCGCTTCCCGGGGAGGCAGGTAGCCAGTGTCATTTTGTCCTGATGTCAGCACTTATTCGTTTTGGCGCGTTCCTGAATGCTGTGGGGTTCAGATCGGGAACGGATCGATGACGATCTTGTAATGACGTGTTGATGGTGCATCTGGAAGGAAATGGAACTATGATGAGTTGGGGTTAGTTGGGCGGCCACTATCGATACAGATCTCGGGACACGACATTAGCCCGACGCGATGTTCATAGGTACATTCACGTCTCGAGTGGACAAGAGCAGTGTCGTCGCCCTGAACCACGAAGTTATGGCAGGGCCGTTAGTCAAGTGCAGAGATAGCAGACGAGTACGTTTTCATCTGTATGCCGTGAGTGCATGTACGGGGAGACCGCAGCCGCACCTGCTTAACACCGCCAGTCGTCCAGTGAATACAAGCGATTCGAAGAGCAGGAGAGATCGAAATGCTACACCACATTACGGGAGCCTTAATATAACTGTTTCATTTGATATCAATGTGACAACCTACATCTACCGGGTCATGCACACAACAGCCTCAAACAGAAATACTAACATGCGACAGACCGTCAATTCACATCGTATCAATTCAGATCGGGCTGCCATGATAGCATCCGAAAGTAATTCAACAACAGTCTCGCATCAGAAGAGCGCCACGAATGCGTCTGCATCAGACGCACCCTCCGCCAGTCCCACACCTCTCACACCCGAAGAGGCAGCCGTACGCAAAGCCCGTATGAATGCTGATTTGATCGACGCGCTCAAGAGCCCTTGCCCGCCCGGTGCAACTCCCTACGTAACAGGTATTGGTTTATATACTCACGTCGAGGGCCCGCCCAGAGCCCTTTTGTATCCCGACGAGAACCCGCAGCTGCAGCAAGAATTTCTTCCTGTACGAATACCAAAGAGTAGCGGAAGCCGATGCTCACAACCGGAAGAATTAGTTGAGAAATTATGGGAGCAACTTAAGAAAGCCATCGAGGAAGAGGAAGAGATCATCGGAAAGACTGAACTTGGGCTTAATGAGCTCAGGAAGCGGTACGGTGGGCTCGACCCTCCAAAGAACTCGCGGCCACCAGTACGATTCGTTCAGTACCAGCATAATGGAACACAGAGAGATATAACGGCTCAAGGCGGTACAAAAATTGATGTAGGAAACATGAATCCACCCGCAAATGACCGTATCCAGTCGCTAGCAGGAAGAGCGGCCAGTCTCGTGGTGGAAAATGAGGATGTGGACACGGGAGGTACTGAGGTGGAGCGAGGAATGCCTCAGACTACTTGCTCGACTACGACTTTTTACGGTCCAGATCCGCGCAGACAAAACCGTTAACGATGAGGAAGGATGCTGACAGTTCTATAACAGAGTATGACATTTCAAGATCGAAAATGGCTCATCTTGAACTGACATTTCTCTTGTGCTGCCTCGCATTCGGAAGCATATTTGAGCGGGATTGAGCAGATGACTGGCGCACTGCAGTTCGAGGCTACAGTTAACGTCCCTCCCTGAGTGCTGGGACACCCGCCGTGCTGGGACAAATGAGGGGTACTTTGACTTCCAGCACTTCGCTTTCTTCGCACACCCTAATAATCGCTGTAAGTTTGTATCAGCGATATACTAGAGCTGTTTGTAAGCTTATTACAATACTCCTAACTAAAAATTACGTTGGTATTGCTGCCCTTCTTGCGAATGTTACAAACAACCTTTACTGCTTGCACAACAGCGTTGCTCTGCTACAGCACTGCTGAGAGGCTAACAGTAGCCGAAGTAGCGATCTGCGTAGCGACCCTGCATATCTTCAGGCTTTGCAGCACGCGCGAGGCTGATCATAGCTTACCGCGCTAACAGGAGGTTCTTAGGGCTAGATACTAACTTCCTGTACGTGCAAAAGATCGTAGAAGGCGACCCCGCACGTCTCACGTAATTGTCTCGAGTGTAATTTACTTACTGTGGCTAACTTATCTGTGGCTATCAGAGGCTTAACTACATCTAATGTAGCGCGTCTTGTTTAGCGCTCCTTTCTTCGAGCAGCTATACGCACCTCGATGCTCTTTGACCATGGCCACATTTGCTCTTGTTAACCAAGCCAGGGTAACGCATGTACATCTCACTTTCTGGGTTGCTGTATCTCGATGAGCCAAGCGAGAAGTATCTGCACGTCCGTTGGCGTGGCTGAAGCATGCAGGCTGCTCAGCATGTTGCAGCCTCGCCTTCAGTCTAGGCTGCGCCTCCCATCCCGCGCACCCGCGACACAGCGCGTCGCTATCACGAACCTTCTGCGCAGCTGCTAAGTTAGATTCGAGTCCAACACCCAAGTCGACGTACTCTGTCCGCCACCCCTACCAGCGACGACCGTTGTCCCTAACGAGCGGACGGGCCGCCATGCCCCATCGATCCTTCTGCCGCTGCCGCTAGCCCTGCAGCCTCCGTTCACGACGCGATGCGTCTCTTACACTACACAAGTAGCGGCGAGATTTCCTGGACAAAGGACTTGATCGGTGACGATGAGATCCCGTCCTACGCGATACTCTCTCATACCTGGGACGAGGACCAAGAAGTAACCTTCGACGATCTAATGAAGAACAGCGAAAAGAGCAAGACAGGATACGACAAAATCCGCTTTTGCGCATTACAGGCTAATCGTGATAGTCTGTACTACTTCTGGATAGACACGTGCTGCATCGACAAGTCGAACAATGCAGAACTTTCGGAAGCGATTATTTCCATGTTTCGCTGGTATAAAAATGCGGAAAAGTGCTACGTGTATCTTTCTAATATTTCTAGCAAGCCTCCTAGAGAAGGCGGCGATGCGCACAGGAAGCGGAAACCTGTAATTAGGAAGAGCAGGTGGTTTACAAGAGGCTGGACACTTCAAGAGCTTATCGCTCCAGCATCCGTTGAGTTTTTCTCTAAGGATAGAGAGCGGCTTGGTGACAAGGAGTCTCTGAAGCAGACTCTTTATGGGATCACTAGCATCGCTATGCAAGCGCTTGAAGGCAGTCCAATAACATGCTTTACTGTAGACGGACGTATGCTGTGGGCACGAGGACGCAACACGAAGCGCGAGGAAGACGCAGCGTACTCTCTTCTAGGCATCTTCGACGTTTAGATGCCGCTTCTATACGGCGAAGGGTGGCAGAAGGCCATAGATCGATTGCGAAAAGAGGTTAAAGAGTACCACTCTATTAATCTACCAATTGTAGTAGGCGCCTCTTTCGGCTCCCACAACGAAGAGCACAACGCACGATGTCTACCAAACACACGCACCGAGCTGCTAGACGAGATCACAACATGGGCGAACAGCAAGGATGGCAAGTCCATATTCTGGCTAAGTGGCATTGCGGGCACAGGAAAGTCAACGATAGCACGGACGGTCGCTCAGTCGTTCGCTAGCCGTGATCAGCTCGGAGCAAGCTTCTTCTTCAAGAAAGGCGAGGGCGAGCGCGGCAATGCCTCACGGTTCTTTACCACCATCGCTACTGGTCTAGTCGCCTGCGAGCCCGGTATGCTAACTGGTATCAGGAAGACGCTTAATGAAGATTCGACTATCGCTCACAAAGCTCTAAAAGATCAGTTCGAGAAGCTGATACTGCAGCCACTCCTAGGAATAAAGCAGGCTCGCTCGCGGGCCTTGGCGCGTGTTATCGTGATCGACGCGCTGGACGAATGTGAGCGAGAAGCCGACATTCGAACGATCCTCCAGCTGCTCGCTCAGACGAAAGACGTTCGCCTAGTGCCGCTGCGGATCGTGGTGACTAGCCGGCCAGAGCTCCATATCCGCCTAGGCTTCAGGGAGATGCCAAATGGCACATACCAGGACCTAGTCCTCCACGAAGTACCAAGGCACACGATTAAACACGACATCCGTCTGTTCCTAGAGCATGAGCTCGGTGTAATACGAAAAGAACGCAAGTTGGCCTCAGACTGGCCAGCGCAACAGCAGATCCTCGCGCTGGTTAAACTAGCTGTGCCGCTGTTCATCTACGCTGCTACCGTGTGTCGGTATGTTAGTAGCAGAGGAAGCAGTTCTACAGCTTTTCTAAACAAGATCTTGCAGTATCAAAAGGCGACCTTTTCGCAGCTAGATCGGACCTATCTCCCTGTGCTCGATTAGCTGCTTAGTGAGCAGGAGGAAGACGAGAAGGAGACGTGGCTTCTAGCTTTCCGAGAAGTTGTAGGCAGTGTTATTTTGCTCGAGAGCCCGCTCTCTGCTGTCTCACTTGCCCGGCTGCTTCAAGTCCCACAAGAGGAGATCCAGTGCCGACTCGACTCTTTGCACTCTGTTCTTAGTGTTCCTGACAGCGAGGACGCGCCTGTTCGTCTTTTGCACTTGTCCTTTCGCGAGTTCCTCGTCGACCCTCAGAAGCAGGGAAAGAGCCTGTTCTGGGTAGATGAGAAAAGCACGCACAAGAAGCTCGCCTCTCGCTGCCTTGAGCTTATGTCTGGACCAAGCGGCCTATACCAAGACATGTGCAGCCTTCCAGGACCCGGGACCCTAAGGAGCGAGATTGACGAGGGGAGAATTACTAGTAGTTTGTCACCTGACCTGCAGTATGCATGTCGCTACTGGGTCGATCATTTTAAGCAGGGTCAGCAAGATATCCTCGATAGAGACACGACCCACCTCTTTCTGCAACAGCACCTTCTTCATTGGCTTGAGGCCATGAGCCTTATAGGAGAATTAAGCAGATGCGTTAACCTGCTCGACAGCCTTCAGGCACTTGCTAGCGTAAGATCTTTACAGAACACCTTCCTACTTCGCTGCTAACGTGCAACGCAGCCGTCTGCAAAGCTAGTTTTAGACTTTCTTTACGACGCTAAGCGGTTCGTGCTGCGGTTCCAATCTGTGCTTACAGATGCGCCACTACAGATCTATTGCTCCGCACTCGTGTTCGCACCAGAGAGGAGCCTAATACGACAAACATTTGTAGACCAAGTGCCGCAGAGGGTTAAGATGCTGTCTATGAAAGAAGCAGACTGGGACGCGTGTCGCAGCACGCTCGAGGGCCATTCCTCCCGAGTTAGCGCGGTAGCCTTCTCACCAGACGGGCAGCTGGTCGCGTCAGCATCTTACGACAAGACAGTGCGGCTGTGGGAGGTGGGGTCGGGGACGTGTCGCAGCACGCTCGGAAGCTCTTCTGGGTACATTACTTATATCGATTTCTCACCAGGTGGCCAGGTACTTCACACGAACCAGGGCGATATTCCTTTGCCTCGAACCCCTGTTGTCACATCGCTCTTAAGACCGCAGCCGCAATCCTTATACATTGTAGTGCAGGATCAGTGGATATTGCGCAACCAGCAACGCTTCCTGTGGCTTCCGCCAGAGTATCGATTAAGCTCGACCGTAGTACGCGAGAACATAGCTTGTCTTGGGCTTGTATCTGGTCGTGTGGTTCTGCTTAGGATTCTCTAGTGTTGTGCATTATTAGATTTAGTTTACTATAAGCACAATATAGATTTTACAGCATAGTAAGAATATAGTTAGTATAAGATGCAGGTCTTGTTGTTAGTAATCTCCCTTAAGAACGACCTTTGCGTTAGAGTTTATACGCCTAGACTAACTGCTTGTAAGGGGCTACGCTCAGGGAGCTATCGCACAGGTATACTGGAGTTGTATTCGATAGAGAAGAGAACTACAGGTAGCTAGGGTTCTGAAGGTCGTTCAGGGGGCGGCGGCTCGGGATAACCTTCTGCCGGGCTCGCTTACACAGAATCCGGGTGCTCAGGGGGGGCACCCGGAATCTGTGGACAGTGCGCCTCGCGCACGTGACCGAGATATTATCGAGGACTCACCAACTGGGCTCCAGCCCATCACACTGCTAGAGCTAAGCCACAGCCCTAATAGCCGCTAGAAATAGATTACGCGAAGACGATAACGTAAGATGTTTAGAGCCGCTTAACGCGAGCTAAGGTACTAATTACGAATGCGATTATGCATAAACATGGGCGTTGCAGGCGCTACGAGGCTGAACGTAGCTCACCACGCTATTACAAGATCTCTACGACATAATCGCGATTTTCTAGAGCTTTTTTAGACTCTGCAAGCTTCTGTATAGTGCTGTAGTAAAGCAACACTGTTATGCACGGAAGAAAGGTCTGCTTCAAGTTACGCAAAAAGGACTGCGATAGCGATGTAATTTTTAGTTAAACGTGTTAAAATATATTAACAGATAGCTCTAGTACATAAGTATCACGATTTCCTTAAGATTATTAGCGTGCGCGCAGAAAGCGAAGTGCTAGAAGTCAAAGTACCCCTCATTTGTCCCAGCACTGCGGGTGTCCCAGCACTCAGGGAGGGATGTTACACCCTATCATTGCAGGCGTCTATTCATACTTCGAACGTGGGAGCTTTTCCACCCAGTTTCGCACAATGCTAGTGTAACATTCCAAAGAAGAAGAAGAATTGAAGGTCCAGTTCATTAGAGAATGCTCTCAGACGAAGACACAACGTGATACACGGTTCACACAGCTTGTTCAGCTACTGTCATGTCGGGATTCGTATGTGAAGTATGCAACGAACGTTCCATAGCTTACAACAAGTCAAGATTGCTTCCCGGCCTGTAATCGAGATCGCAGGAATGAACGGTTACGCATCTCGTACTTCACAATAACGATGAAGAGTAGCACGAGCAATGTGACGGCTAGTACTAACATAATGGTGAAGAAATACTCCATGGAGATTGGTCCCAAATCGCGCGGATGGGTTTCCATGCAGCGCTTACTTGCATAGAGATTCTGAAACAAGTGGTTTGAGAGGGGAGCGTGAAACGACGAACAAACTGAGTAAAATGCTGATCTGTGCTTGAGACATTGTGGTGGCGCTATAATAGTAAACAGTGACATGGACGTGTGGGCACAGTGCGTGTACTCCTTTTGGTGTCACGTCGTTCAGCCTTCCCCTCAGGTCTGATGCTATCGTACATACCGCAGCGCTTCGAGCTGTTCAGATCATCACCACGCAAACATCGACGTATACGGACTCCTGAGTTTCCACCTGGAATGGAGTTTAACCTAGTTCGAGAAAGATGGAAGAAAGAGGGAATGAAAGATCCATTCCTGGAGCGCCAGGTATTTGGGGCAAGTAGACCTGCGGAGGTACCCCTAGTGCGAAGATCGCTGTTCAGCGTTCCGATAGTCACTTCACAGCTGCCGCAGTCAGATAAGCGGACAGTTAGTTCGGCATTTGGGAAGGTTGGGTGGAGCTAGGACAACGGGACCGGTTTGCGTCAAGGGCAATCCCATCTCTTTCTGGAAAGATTTGGACGATGTAAAGCTGAACATCTGTGGCATCTGATACCAGCAGTAGAGTATTGTTGTCCTGGAATAATTTTGGGTTTTCGGGACGATATTACTGTACCGCACGGGAATGTTCAAGTCGTTGTCCCAACAAATGCATAACGCACTATGAATTGGGTCTTCCTATGAGGCAGTCGGCCGAATACTTAGTGGTTCATTCTTCTTCACAGGCTTTGATTGGTAGTGATGAACTTTTTTATTTGAGACATCGCCAGGAGTTGGGAGATGATTGTCTCACTCACTTTGAGAAGACCGTGCGGCGCCCACATGCCCATGCAAACACAATCATAGCTCGCGTTCTCCAATCACCTCGTTAGTCTCACAAGGGCGTATTTGACTCAATTCCTCACCACTCAACCTTCTCACCTAATACCAGTGATTGCCTTGCATAAAATGTCTACCCTGCTAGTCTACAATAACGGCAATGAACCTACTTCACTTGAGCGCTTCGTTCAAGGTTCGATCGACCGGCTCATAGGTTGCTTCACTCATACTTTCCGCGGCACCAGTTTGGAATACTGGCTGCTCGATCCTAGTGGTCAGGCCTATACTCTCTTCCTGACCACACTGGTAGGCGTCTCAATCTGGCTTTTCTATTCCAATGAGAAGTTGAAGGCTCTCGTAGTTCTTAGGTCCGCCAATGCTTGGCTGGAAGAAGAGGTGTTGGTAGAGGCAGATGTCAATAGTGGACAAGACGACGATGGTATACCGTTACCATCGTCTCCTGGAGCCTCATCTCTTGCACGTGAAGAGACACCTATCATGCGAAAACTAGCACCCCCCGGCCACCGTCCCACCAATGCGCACCTCGAAGGCTCACCTTTTCGTGTCGCAAAATCTCTAGGGCCTCGTTCCGACTATTTCATGGCGTCCGGTTATCAAACGCTTACTCCGGCCAAACCCAGGCTTTCCGAGGCGTTTTCAAATACATATCTGCACTGCGACCACGTATCAGATTTCGCCAAAGACGCGCCTAACTCATCTCGGACTTTCGAAGGAGACGACAGGTTTAACGCGGATAGAACGCCAACAAAGAAGAGGGAGGCGGAGAAGGGGGCTACGAGTATGATAGGTCTCGGAAGGAAGGCACAAATAGCGGATAAGCCCGTTGTTGCTCACTGGTCGAATGAGGTCGGTCGGAATGGCGGTCGAGCAACATTGAGGCGCGAGATGAACGACGAAAATTTTGCCTGAGGGTGTCGCGTTCTATGCTCCATGATGATACATATCACCTCGACTCTTTTGCTGAAAATTTGGGTCCTGTGTTTCGAATTTGAGGGCAAGTGTGGTTCGCTTGATAGACAAGGTACCATACACGTATGCTAGAAGGTGCGACACAAGGTGAAGAAAGTGCAGTCCTACGGACAGGAAAGTGTCTGTCTATACAAATAAACCCATAGGCAGTACCTTGGTTTTAACACTCCCTATATCTTCATGAAGCCACCGACTTTGCTCGAGCCATGTCACCAAAAAAGCAACTCGCTATGAACCAATACAAGCACTGCAACCAGCCAACAAATACCGATTGCTGTGGAAACGTTATGACCGAGCTCTATACTGGACGAAGCAGCGATCTGTGCCAAGAGTGCCAGTTGAGGCTACAGATTGTTCCTTGGGCGTGCAGCCTTCACTGGATAGTCCTCCTAGACATGAACCTACAGAAAGACTACACAGATTGGACTGTCTTCTCTCGAACAAGTACGGCAGTCTTAGCTCGGCGCATTTATTGATGTGGCTCCACGGACGATAGAGAGCCTTTTGAAGCAGCCAAGGATATGAGACCTTTGGCGATCAATGTGATGGCACGGAAGTGGAGCGCGAGGCTCAACCCACAAGCTATTATACAGCAGCATTGCGAGGAGGTGGGCTTACAGCGTATCTCTAAGGGCATCAATGGGAACGGAGATTGAGGGTTGTAGACTCACTGTACGCAACTGCGAGGGGTTAGGGGAGAGGCAGTCCCGAAGTCGGAGGATGGCAGGTATTAGCGCTACGACATCGTCAACACAGCGCTGTTTGTCTATGCTTGTTATCGTTCCAACAGATTGCATGATTACGAAAAGCGCATGAGTTTCTGTGAATGTGCATGTCTTCGACTACAAGCAGTGTTCCTACTCTGTTCAGCACACGAGAAGACGTCAGAACAGACATTCGTACCTGCCTAAAGCGGTAAGGCGCATGTACACCCCAAGGGCGCAATTCCGACCCATACTTCGCGCTTCCAAATTATCTCGAAGATTCCTTTTGCTACTACGCCCTTGGCTTTTGCAGGTCACTCCATCTCATTTTGTTCTCATTGAGTGAGCATATAATTCGCTGCATGTGCCACACGATCTTTAGATATCCACCGTTATCGATCCTCCGCGGCACGACAATACGAACACCCAAACGAGTATCAACAACTCGCCACATCTACTACCAATTCACCATCAATCCTACGTCCCATACTCTGAGACTTTTCAGCATAATGGCAGACCCTCTATCCCAAAGAACAGACCCCCTCTACCAAAAAGATGGCCAAAAACACACCCACACCTCTCCCATAACCTCAATTCACCCACTATCATCCCTGTCCCCAGAAACCCAGTCCCTCTTCAAACCACCACCCGAAACAGAGCCTTATGTCGTAACAACTCCTTCGACAATCTTCCACGCCCAAGGCGGCGGCCAACCTTCAGACACTGGAACCATTTCAGCAGGATCCGCAACATTCCACGTGCATCAAGTGCGGAAGGTAGATCCCGCGATATTGCATATGGGTGTTTTTGCCTCCTCAGACAAGAAGTTTGAAGGAGAAGGAGTCGACGCAGAACAGCAAATTGATGCAGAGAAACGCCGTCTACATTCCCGCATCCACACCGCGGGCCACGTCATCGGCCTTGCTGTTGCTTACCTCAAAAGCTCCGGTTCCGTGGCCCCCGATGTCGTCGACGGAAAAGCGTCGCACTACCCTGGCGCAGCTTTTGTAGAATTCTTAGGTCTTATTCCAAGTGACAAAAAGGCTGAGATACAGGCTAGAGTCGATGACATGGTTGCTGCAGATATGGACGTCAAAATTCACTTTTGGGATGAAGAAAGGGCGAAGAAGGAGTGTACGGGGGTTATGGAGACTTTGAAAGGGGATGAGGAAGATGGAGTTAGGGTTGTGGAGATAGGGAGCGAGGGAAGCTATCCTTGTGGAGGTACGCATGTACTGAAGTTGAAAGAGTGTGGGAAAATCGTGCTCAGGAACATTAAGAGGCAAAAGGGGGTCACCAAGGTGAGTTATGAGGTGCAAGACGCTTGATCGAATGCAGTGATTTGATCATGCACATTGTGTGTGCTCTATGAAAATGTATTCAGCTTTGTTCCTTGTTGAAAACTCCACCACTTTTTCTACCTGGTATCATATCCTAAATCCTAGAAAGCCGGCTCAGCTGTTTTCCTGCGCCCAACCCCGCATGCAATTATATGCATTTGTCTTTCCCGGTTCCCGTAAATAATTCCTAGAAGCGCCCGCAGCTCTAGGCCAAGTAACCGGCCAAGACCTGCTTCGAAGTGTCGTCCAAACGTTCTTGCATTATAGTGGCGACACGACCATTGTGGCGGTTATTCGCGTCCTTGAGATAACTTCCTACCCACTCCTTCACATTGGTGATCTCTGGGAAGGGGTCACGCGGCGCCTTCTTGCAAGTGTTTAGCTGGGTGAAGCCGACACCGAAACCAAGCTCATCGACATCGGCATCGGGAATGATGTCGTCTGCGGAAGTGGGCACAGGCGGGTTGACCAGCAACTCAATCAGGCGCTGGGTCGTGAGGGCCCAACCCTTGGGGTAACGGTCGACGAAGGCTTGCGAATCGCCCAGTGTCTTCGTGAAAGACACAACTGCAGTCTTGCGATCGGTTGGGCGTGCGAGCTTCTGGGTGTCCGGAAGGATGACAGTCAAGTAGATGGGCTTGAAAATGCTATTACGAAGTTAGCAATTGGCTTCCTAAATCTTGGAGAACATAGACCACTCACTCTTTCTGGATCTGATCGGAGACTTCGATGAAGAAGTCTGTGCCAAGTCCCTTGTCCAGCCGTGCCGAAACGAAGTGATAGAACGCGATGAAGCGCTGCTGGAAATTCTCAGTCTTCAGGTTCGACAGCCTTGTTAGCATCAGCTGGAGGATTGTAGCAAAGTAGGGTTGCAGCGCGTTAGCTGGGATGTGTGCGACGACAGCTTCGATGAGCTCAAAAGAGTACGTTTCGTGCGCCTTGCTGGTAACAAGCTTCTGGAAGATACCCAGAATAGGCTCCAGTTGCTTGGTCGCCACGATGTTGTCTGCGTCGCGGGCAACCATTGCACTCAGCAGACGGGCCAGCGCAGGTACGTTACCACGTTGCTCCCAGACTGCGCCCTGAATAATGACAACAAACAGGCCTCTGTAGTACTCGCTCAATCCACTTGAAGGGTTTGCTTCCAGCAGCGCGGAGAAGAGCTGGAAGATGTAAGGGGAAAATTCCTCAACATTGGCTTGCAGGCAGGCAGCAAATGGCTCGTAGAGCTTTTCCTCGAAGAATTGAGGATGTTTTGGTGCACAAAATCGAACAAGTGCTCCTATGCCCTCGAACATGTAGTACTGGAAGCGAGGATTGCTGGGGTTATGCCTAATGACCTTGACAATGTTGATGAAACTCTGTAGAATGGTCTCGCATATCGGTAGAACACCGTCGCGGATGAAGATGAGCACTCGCATGACGCACTTCATCAAGAACTCGTTCTCTTGAATCTTCTCCGGCGCGGAGCTCTTTGTGATGAGCTTGAACAGATGATCCAACAAGTCTTTCGATGACCCAACAACGTCTGTCTTGGGAATGATGGGCTGTCGGTTGCTGTCGGTCATGTACAGAGCACGCTCGACAGCGATAGCGGCGTATGTGTGGATGACGTAGTTGTCGTTGCCCAACTGGTTTACGAGCAGGGGGAATGCAGCCCGCCAGAGATCTGGCGATAGCTGGCTGCGGAAGACGTATAAGAACTTGATAGCGTCAACCTTCAAGATGGGTGATACGTTTTGTGCCTGGAGATCAGCTGCAATGTGTGTCTGGAAGAATTCTAGAATGTTGACATTCTCGTTCACACTCATGACTCCTTGGCCGGCAGTAGCAGTCCCCTTGGCGGCAATGGCGGTGAAAAGGTAGACTGCGGTGTCTTTTGACTTCCAGTTGTTCTCGTTATCCTGGGCGTAGTTTTGGAGATAGGCGTCGATGTACGTTTGGGAGGTAGTTGTGACTAATGTCTCAAAGCGGGTCATGAGCTGACGCAAGAAGTTTGTGGCAGCACGTCGGCGAGTGTCGTTGTCGGATCCCTCCAAGTCTCTCCTGATGAACTCAATCGGCTCATCTTCGAAAAGTTCGACATCAGACTCGCGCAGAGTGAGATTGGGCAAGATGACCTTTTCGATAATCTGAACCAAGACGGACTGGTTGTTGAAGGCTTCGGCGTGCTGTGTGGATGCGACTGCAGTGAGGAACTGCAACGCCTTGCTGACAAGGATGTCGTACTTTGTCTCGAGGCCGACCGACATGAGGAAACTCCATGTGCTCTCGATGAACTGTCCGAGCTGTGTGCCGAATACGTCCTCGTACTTTTGGATGTAAAGCATGAGCGCCTCGAAGATGCCTGCGCGTACGTATTCTTGTGGGCCAGACTCGGTGTCATCGTCGGTGTGTAGTGCGGGGTTGTCGAAGACGAGGTACTTGTGCAGGAGTCCTGAGATGATGCCGATGTGGTCTTCGAAGACGGGAGGCAAGTCTTGACAAGAGAGATCGTAGAACAGCTTGATGAGAAGATCTAGCGTTGTGAAGGCGCTCTTGAGTAGCTGGGGGTTGCCCTGGGAGTTTGTGATGAGGGCGTCGGTATTCTCGAGCAGTTGGAGGAAGGGAGTGCCGAACTTTGACAGGACGTGGTTGATCTCGGTGAAAAGGTCGTCGGACCGGAACAGCGGCCGCCAGCGCTTGAAGATGGAGTGTGCGACTTGTAATACACCGTTGTTGACCACTGTGTTGTCGGGTGTGAGGCGCGAGATCAGATCGTCGACCAGGGTATCCCATCGCTGCCAGAAGTCGCTGTCGGCAATAGCGCTAATGGCTTCACCCAGTTGTGCTTGTAAGTTTGCGGGTACGGACACCATGAGGCCTATGAGTTCCCTCTTGATCGCCACAACCTCACTCTCGGGCAGTTTGTAGTTGCCATCCTCGTCGACCCAATTCCGCTTTATGAAGTTTTTGAAGTACAGCGCGGCGGAGAGGCGTGTGGTTTGCGGGTTCGCGTCGGAAGCGACTATTTGGAGGAGATTAAGAGAGAAGCCGGGTTTGGTCTGCTCTTGCGTGATTGCTTCTTCCGCTATGAAAAGTTAGCATCTGATGCTGAATAGTGTTGAGAGATGGAGGGGCAAAATTGGCAAAATGCGCATACATGGACATGTACAAGACGTATCCTCCCGGCGTCCTATACACGTCCAGATACACGCGCATTCCCTTTGACAAGAAGTCTGGGGCTGCACCACATGGAGCACCGCGGTAAACAATGGTACTCACCCTGCTTATTCTGCCGAGGGTCCAAACTGGCCTGCAGCAGCTGGGAGAGGGTAGCGATGTCGGCGGCCATGGTGAGGAGAGTGAAGCAGCAGAGTGTGTAGGCGGGTGGCTTGGTGTGAGAAAGAAGTCGAATGTTTGGCAAATGGTTGCTGTTTGGGGTGTCCCACTTTACGGCGCTAAGGCCTAGGAGCTCTGGCGTGGGCAGGGATCAGGTACATAACCCCAGATGATTTTCCGAGAGAGCGTCCATGACATGATGAGATGCTGTCCTGCTCTTGAACCGCCGAGCACGCCACTACTTCGTCTTCTCCCCAGGCGTGACCCGTCGCCGCCTCGTCCCGTGCAGCCTCCTTCCCTCCCCACACCCAAATGGGCACCATCGCCAGCCCCGCCTCTCCGCCGACCAGCACCCATGATAGACTCGATGCGCCTGCGCCACTCTCATAGCTCTTCTCTCTGGCCCTTGCAGTGGTAGTCTTGGAGTCTACACCACCTTCACCAGGCATAACTCATCCGCGACACCGGGACGCATGTCTCCGCCGGCCGACCATGTCCCCCAAACGCCCGACCGCCGCTCCTCCACCCAGGCACTCTTCACAGCCTTCCGCTCTCTGACCGGCGGTCGTCTGAAGAGCCCGACGCCGCCGCCCTCTGTCTCGTCTGCCACAAGCACTCCTGCGCGCACTCCCTCGCTGGGCACCGTACGTCCCGGCTCCATCCCTAGCCCGCACTCAGCCGACGGTACCCTCCAGCGCATCAGCCAGGTCACAGGCCAGCGGACGGGCAAGCCTGTGACGGGCGGACCGCCCGAACTCGACGACCTCATCGAGCAGTTGCGCCGGAACCGTCCATTCGCTGAACGGGCCGTGGCCGTGGACAGGATATGCGACATCCTCGAGGCGTACCCGGTGCAGAACATACTGGGGCTGTGGTCTGTCGCCAGCGACTTGCTCCTTCCCGAACAGCCAGACGACGTCGCCGAGGTGGGGTACAAGCTTTTGAAGAGCTGCGCGTCCCTGTCCGACTTGGCCAGCATCGAGCGCACCCTCTTCTTTGACGCTGCCTGTCTGCGCAAGAACGACCGCTTCTTCGACAGGAGACTTGAAGTCATTACCACCCTCACCAACGATGGACGCGACATCGATTCCTGCGAGTCGGGAATGGTCTCCTTCATCCTGACTTCCTTGGACAGCTGCTTTCAGGCCAGTTGCGATGCCTTCCGTGGCATGAGGGGTAAAGCCAACGGGAAGAGGAGTGCCGCCAATCCACCGCCAGAAGTCGCCAACATGTTCCGAGCATTCCAGTATGCCACCGATATTTGCAAGTTCAATGCCAAAGTCTTCACCGACGACGATCTTGATCTCCTCATACGGCGGACAGTTGCCATCTGCAGGGCTACGACTCATCGGCCTGATGTGGAATGCGGCGTCAAGCTTTTCGACACCATCATCACCTATGTTCATATACCGAGGCGATCACTCCGAATTTGTCTCGAAGTTTTGTGTGAAATCCATAAGAGAATTACCGAACTTCAAGACCAGGCCTGGAATACGTTAAGCAATCTATTCAAATCCCACGTTGGTCAAGCCGCCATATCAGAACTGCTGCATTTGCTCTTGGACGGCCCAAGCCGAGAGACCTTGGAAAATGACGGACTCAAGAGGAAGCTGGAAAGCATGTACAGAGGCACAACTCTGGTGTTGCGCCTTCTTCTCTTGGAAGATGGTCGCAACGAGTTGCCCAAAGTGCCCATGTCCTTGCTTTTCCCAGCTTTGAAAGCTTCGATCAAGATACCAGGTACCGATCAGGAACAGATTATCATTAGTCTGATAGATGCGGTTCTGGCTCAAGAAGGCATGAGGGACCTATTGCTTGCCGAGAGTGACTTAGGAGACATGCTACAAGTTATACGTGTATGTGCGGAACGTGACGATGAGCATGTTTGTGCCAAAACGACTAGATCAGTAGATCATGCGAACGATACAAAGAAGGATGTCCTTGAAAGACAGACATCACCTCATGGAGACAGTTCGTCCAGTGTTGGTAGGTATACATCTCCGCTATGTCTTACATCGTACTCACCAATCGCAGGCAGAGCAGAGCATGACAACGATGCTTCTACACTCCACCAGGAACGCTTCCGACGTGACCCAGATGACGGCATATATCAAGTTTTGGTCAGACTAGACCACATGAGCGACGCACTCGACTTCATTCAACGGGAGGCTGTAATGGAGCTCTTCTTGCAACTTTCGCACCGTATAAGCGATGCGACTGCAGAGAAAGTTATACGGTACTTTGCCACCGGACGCTACCTAAACCCTTCAAATAGCGGCTGGCTTGACCTTTGCCGCCGTCTGGTCGCTGGTATCTTCAACGATGTTACAAGACCGCGCTCACTTCGGTTGTTCGTAATTCAATCACTGCGGGAAACGCATGATGCTGTCGAGCTGCTGTGTTCAAGCCAGATAGTATTGGAGTCAGAAGAGCTCCTTCTTGATCGAATTGAGAAGGAAGAGGACATTGAAGTCTTGCAGGAACTAGTAGACTTTGCGATGAACGTTGCTGACCAAGCACCAACGGCTCGGTTCTCACACATTGTTCTCATCTTACAGCGACGCCTGGACCGCCTACAAACTGCCTCAGCATCCTCCCTGCCCTCATGGCAATCTCATCCATTTCTTCTCAAGGAAGATGGATGCTCCCCTTGCAACGTCATCGCTACCGCTTACGTACGGCTCTTCACTCGAAGCGTGACACACTCGGCGCAAAAGACACGCATCCTTTACGAACTACTACGGCAAATTGCTGGAGGAGACGCTTATGCACATGATGCGCGTCTTACTGCCCTCAAATTACTATTCCGTTTGCGCGCTGATGCCCGCCACGCTCTGATAGTCAGCTCCGATCCAGAAGGCCAGAGAATTGCTGCTGAGCTCTGCCGCACGGAGGAAACAGCTGTTGCGCCAGAAAGGATGACTGAGAACCCAGCGGGTGACCATAGTAGATCAGAAGACACTTCTTCGTGGCGGGATCAACGCAAGACTTCTGGTTCGAGTCCTCGTTCTTCCCTCAATCGACATACAGGCCGCTCAACTGCTCCGGCGGGTCGTGTTTCGAAACCGATACCCCCCTTATGGATGTATCCTGGTCCTAAAGGATTACCTGAGGAACCTCCATCTGATTGTAGCCGGGTCGTGTTCTCCCACATTGACGCGGCAAAGTATCCCCTTAGTGATGACATCTTGGACATGGAGATTACGTTGTGGCTCGAGTTGATCATCTCACTTCTACAAAGACCACCCGATTGGGAGATCTATAGTTACGTACTCGTCCATCTTGGACCTCAACTCTCGAACCAAGCGCTAGTCCGCAGTTGCGTTGCTCAGCTCAAAATGCTGCGTAATGTTCTTTGTGAACAGGTGCGGAATGCGAGCTTCCACGAACCTCCGCCGCACACGCTCCTAAAAAAGGCTGATGTTGCTGTGTGTCTGTTTCACATACTGACTATCATCATCAGCTATCATGAGTATTTTGAAAAGAGCGAAGAAGACGATCTTGTCAAGGCATTCCTGCAGGGAATCGTGCAATGGGACAGAACTTCTAAATGGTGCATTCACGCGCTATCGGTCTGCTGTTTCGAAATCCCCCTCTCGGTCAGCAAGTCACTTGATAGTATCATTCAGAAAATGTCGCAAATCATTACCAAGCCGGCCACGGCGATACACATCTTGGAGTTCCTCACGTCGTTGGCACGTCTTCCAGAGCTCTTCAAGAATTTTCGCGAAGACGAGTTCAAGTTGGTTTTTGGTGTGTGCTTCCGATACCTACAACACATACGCGACCAGCGTGACCGAACGGTGAATGGGCATTCGTTACAAAGTGGGCACCGGACCCTGCGGCATAGCGGTGCATCACGAGACTTTGCGGCATCGTCAGACTCTAGTGCAAACAAGCCAAGAAGCGTCGAAGACGATCTACCCCAGTACCTGTATTCACTCGCGTATCACGTCATTACCTTCTGGTTCATGGCGTTGAAGATGGAGGATCGCCCGAAGCAGATACCATGGATCACAAAGAACTTATACTACACCGATAGCTCTGGAAGGCAAGTCATGGAAGAGCAGGGACAGGTCATTTTGGACATTATGAATATGGTGGCATATACAGATCGCGATGAGACGACACGAGAGGAGAGCTCTTTCAAACCTGGCGATGGTGAGGTCTGGAAGAAGACCTGGATCGTGGGTAACGCTCTTATAACAATAGAGACTGCGGCAAGGACAGGTGCTTCCGTTGTCACGACCCGTCGACCAGTACGTTATTCGAATTGCCAATGGGATGTACATGTGCTAACTGCAAGTAGTGCGGTACTCGCTTTATTAAAGTGCGGCCCTTGATTACCTCGCCACCCCGACATCAGGTGCCAATCACTATCGGCCTTGCTTCCGAAGCGTTTTACTCCAACACTTATGTCGGCATTCTGCCGGACGATATCTTCCAATCTTTCTACGCGCCTCTCGATCTCAGCAATCCACCTATCCCTCTGCCCGATGACGAGCCGACACGCCGTGCCATTACTACATTCGACCGAATCGCAACGGTAGACAATTACAAGGTGGGTGTTATATACATCGGCGAAGGCCAGACGAACGAGAGGGACATCTTCATGAACGACATGGGGTCTCCGGCGTATACCGCATTCCTCAGTGACTTGGGCACCTTGTGCCGTCTGAAGGGTGCAAAGTTCAATACCGGTGGTCTCGACACACGCGAAGATATTGACGGCGAGTTTACTTACTGTTGGCGCGACCGCTGCATGGAGCTCGTCTTCCATATTCCTACAATGATGCCAACCAACCGCGATGATGACATGACATATCCAAACAAGAAGCGACATATTGGAAACGACTTTGTCAACATTATTTTCAATGACTCTGGGTTACCTTACGACTTCAACACATTCCCGTCCGCCTTCAACTACGTACACATTGTCATTTCCCCGGAGTCAAGGGCCAGCTTCGTCGACCGTCGACTAGACGCGGACCCTGACGGCAGGAATCGCTACTACAAGATCCAAACCATCTCAAAGTCAGGTTTCCCCGACATATCGCCTGCGGTAGAGACCAAGATTCTGTGTGGGAAGTACCTTGCTGATTACTGCCGCCTTATTGCCATCAATGCAGTCGTCTTCTCGAGTGTGTGGTACATTCGCGAAGGTGGCGAGTCCATATCATCCTGGCGTAACCGACTTCGCGAGATCAAGCGCCTGCGAGAGCGCTACGGCGCAAACGATGCCCTACCAAGCCACCCACCACCTTCTTCACCAGCGGGAAGTCAGGGATTGTCGAGTCCGCCGTCACGCGAACAAAATCTCGTCACACCTTTCCAGCGCATGAGTATCGCGACGCACATTACCGATGGTACTAGTCGCAGTTCCATTAGCAGCTCTTCACACGATGTTTGATGCAGTGTGCCAAAAGTTAATTGTTTCTGGTGTTACAACAGGTCTAACATACATATACCCAGAGGCTTGATTACCTCACAAAAGTTTGTTGATTTCGGGTTTGTTCCATATGACGAGGGGATTGAGTATGAGCATTGCATGGCGTCGCTGGAGCGGCTTTGGCCTAGAGTAAAAGTTCTTGTTTGCTTCCACTATATTGTATATGACGGAAAACTACAGATGTCATGGTGAGAATTACAGAAAGAAAATGATAAGATGTGTTGTGGTACATTATTTGAAACTACACGGTGCGTACTTGGAAATCTTGTTTCCTTGTGCATAGTCCTTATCCGCAATGATGTCTTGTTCAAGTGTTGGCCTTTGAGGGTTGGATTTGAACGAATGACATCAGACCACCCGCCACTTTGCATGCCGCATGTCGCATGCCCAGGTGAGCTTGGTGAAGCTTCCCCCACAACTCAATTGCTCCCGCCGAAATGGAACGCAGCGGATCCGAACAACGTAAGACGACAACTACCACTCGTAATGGCGATTGAATTATAGCTTTGATTACTACCACACGTTGCGCTTGAATGACTCTATTCAGTTGGCAGTCATAGGATTCGTCTTTCTCGCAACTTGATCGACGTGTCATTCCAGCACCAACCCACAAAGTAAGCCAGCAGCAGATTTTTGCCACACAGAGCCATGGCGCAGGTTCAACGGCCTCTCATCATTCAGTCGCAAATGATACGACTGTGCTGTCCGCGCACGGCTAGAAGGACGAGTAGCGCATTGTTTGCAAGAGCGAGCTCCTACCGAAGGCTGCATACCAAGACGGTTACCGACAACGACATTTCGCATTTGGCGAGCCTGCCGTTGCATCCGTTGACGCTCGCTGATCTCGTCAAGTGAGTGTTGTCAGACATGTCTTTCCAGATGCATCTACCAAAGACCCTGACTAACACTGTCGCGTGCGCAACAGACACGGAAGGCCGCCGCTCACAACCCAACAACTCCTCACATCGGCAAACTTTACCCTCTCGATCCTCCCCGCCCGTCTCGCGCACCGAATACAATCGCTTCGTAACCTCCCGTTCATCGTTGTATCTAATCCTCATGTGTCAAAGATACACTCGAATTACATGCACAGCCTGTCGACGCTTCTACCATGGGCTGAGCAGGAGATAACGACGCTGGAGGAGGAAGTCAAGTTTACAGAGGTCATGGCAGACCTGGTACAAACACATGCCAACACGATCAGTATACTGGCAAGAGGCTTTCTAGAGGCTAGGAAGTACATCAGTCCAAAGGATGTGACGCGTTTTCTGGACGAGCACCTGCGAGCGCGCATAGGCACAAGACTGATTGCCGAACAACATCTCTCGCTACACTTCTCTAGTCAGCCGCATTGCGAAATCATGCATGATGTGGATGAGAACCCAGGATACATCGGCGTTATAGACACTAGGCTCAGGCCTGCGAGAATCGTAGACCACTGCGCGAACGTCGTGGGCGAGATCTGCGAGCTGAAGTACGGCGTCCGACCGACGATTGTGATCAACGGCGAGCCCGAATATGAATTCGCACACATACCCGTACACCTCGAATACATCATCACTGAACTACTGAAGAATGCATTCCGCGCGACGGTAGAGAGTGGCATGGAGCGCGAACCCATCGAAGTCACGATTGCCCCGCTTCCAGAACTCTTGCCTGAGGATGCAAGAAGCGAGAGGTCAGAAGATATTCGCAACGAGAAGATTGACAACGAGGACCAAGGCAACGTAGACCAAGTTTCGCAGCGCTTCACAGGCCACAACTCACCTACATCTCCTCCCTCCGACTCGAACATCCTTCCTCTTAAGCACAGCACACCCGGCGTAACGATAAGAATCCGTGATCGAGGCGGTGGCATCTCTCCCGACAACCTCGCACACATCTGGGACTACAGCTTCACGACCTTCAACGACGCGCAGGCAACCTCGACCCTCTCAGGTGGTAACAACTCAGCCAACGGCATGGACGCACTGAACGCTTTCTCGGGGGCGGGAGGTGATGGGGTCAACAGTCTGGCGGGGCTAGGCTACGGGTTGCCGCTGGGTAGGGCTTACGCAGAGTACTTTGGTGGAGGTATCGCGGTACAGAGCCTTTGGGGATGGGGTACCGACGTGTATCTTAGTTTGAGGGGTGTCGGAAGGGTAGACACTGTGCAGGAGGCCAAGGAGAGTGCAGAGAGGAGTCAAAAATGAGGATGTCAGGGTAAGGAGAGGGGATGTTATTGGCACGGCTATTGATTATTGCTATATACCCATGAAATCATCTGCTCATGCATCATTCCCTCGTACTTTTGCTCATTGCGTTACATCTGGATCTTTGTGGAACCATCAGCGGTGGCTGTGTAAACGCTCTATTGCGTACGGACCTCGGAGTCCTTCTCAACGGTGACGTGCTCGTTGGATTCGAGGGTTGAGACAGCGTCGTCGGGGATCTCAGCACTGTGAGGTATCAGCCGTGTTACGGGGAGTTTCAGGCATCACGGTACATACGTGAAGCCCTTGATAAGGGTGAACTCGTTGACAATCTTGCCGCCCTGGTCGGTAACGTGCTTCTTCGCTGCCTCAAGCTCCTCCTTGGGAGCGTCCTTCTTGAGGGTGATCTTGGATCGTTAGTACGATAACACCTGCAGCATGACTTGTCAGGACCCACGTTGAACTGAGCCATGTTTGGAGAGTTGTATGAGGGGTTATTTGTTTAGTTGAGGGGTAGTTTAGTGCCAGATCAAGTTGTTGTGTTACGGTGTTGATGTGGGAAGGTTCAAGCGTATGAGTGTCTTATATACCTCAGTTATCGTAGACCGAGGACCCTGTCAACAAGCAGTTTAGAGCCTTGGATAGGCGGCGTCTGACGATGACGTGCGCGCTGTCCAGACTATGCCACCATCTGAGCATGTGAGACATAGCCCCACCACTGTACGTGGGAGGCGCGTCTCCTTATCGATAAGAGCATCCCTGCAGCTGCGACTTTAGCGCATGGCTTAGCGTCGAAAAAGTTGGGATCGCGAAGTTACTTGCCGCTGAACTTTGACTTTGCGCGCGACGAGTCCCGACCCTCTACGCCACTTTGACGACTTCTACTGAGGTCTGATAGTGAGATAACAAAACAACTCAAGATGGCGGACGCACAGAGCAACCGGCCACATCGGCCCAAGAAAGAGAAGAAACCGCATACTGGAGACAAGAACCCCAAGGCTTTCGCATTCTCCGCGCCGGGTAAATTGAAGAGGCAGGCTGCGCGCTCTACAGAAGTATGCCAGACTTGAAGCTCTGCGTCAACCTTGGCTAACATGTCCAGGTCAAAGAAAAGCGCCTTCATGTACCGCTCGTTGACCGTCTCCCTGAAGAAGCTCCCCCAATTATCGTCGGCGTCGTCGGTCCTCCGGGTGTCGGGAAAACAACCCTCATCAAGAGTTTAATCAGGCGATACACCAAGCAGACCCTCTCCACCCCGACCGGTCCCCTCACAGTCGTCACCTCGAAGCGCAGACGTCTTACGTTCTTAGAATGTCCCGCCGACTCGCTCGCCAGCATGATCGATATCGCGAAAGTGGTGGATATAGTGCTGTTGATGATTGACGGCAACTACGGCTTCGAGATGGAGACTATGGAGTTCTTGAACGTCTTGAGCGCAAGTGGTATGCCAGGAAATGTCTTCGGAATTCTGACACATCTGGATCTGTTCAGGAAACAAGAGACGCTTAAGCTGCAAAAGAAGAGACTCAAGCATAGATTCTGGAGCGAGCTGTACCAGGGCGCAAAACTCTTCTACCTCAGTGGTGTGGTAAATGGACGGTACCCAGACAGAGAGATTATGAACCTTTCGAGGTTTTTGAGCGTCATGAAGAATCCGAGGCCGTTGGTATGGAGGAATTCTCATCCGTATTGTTTGGCGGATCGATTCCTAGACATTACGCCTCCGACCGATATCGAGCAGAACCCGAAGTGCGATCGCACGGTAGCGTTGTACGGATATCTACGTGGCACAAACTTCCCCGCTGGAGGATCGAGAGTACATATACCCGGTGTTGGAGATCTCACAGTCACCTCCACGGAAGCGCTACCCGACCCATGCCCGACACCTTTTGCGGAGAAAGCCGTCGAGAAGGCTTCCGGAAAGAAGAAGCGCACAAGACTGGGCGACAAGCAGAAGATTCTGTATGCGCCAATGTCGGATGTCGGCGGTGTGCTAGTCGATAAAGACGCTGTCTACATCGACGTCAAGACTGCTACATTCGATCCTGAGGCTGATTATTCAGAGAAGGGACTGGGCGAGCAAATGATGATCGGACTACAGGGTGGGCGGAAGCTGCTCGGTGAAGGCGATGGAAACTTCAGGCTTTTCAAGGATGGCGACGTTGTGGATAAGAAGGCTCTCGAGGATGATACTGCGGATACGGGTCGACGGTCTCAGCGGACAGCTAGGGCAGCAGACGCTGAAGAGGTTGACGATGAGGATCTCGAGGGAATCGACAGCGATGACGAGGAATTGCAGCAGGACCACAGCGATGCGGACGATGACGAAGACGACACTGGATTCCTCGACATCAACGGACCACCGAACGGCAAGCTGAAAGTCTCACGCAAAGAGAAGGAGGCGGATGCTGCTGAGGATGTAGCTTTCGCAGATAGTGATTCTGATCTAGGTTCGATATCCGGCGACGAACCTGATCTGGAAGACCTCGAAGAAGGTGACCTCGATTCGCAAGACTCCGATGAAGACGAAGCTGAAGATGGCGCACGGTGGAAGGCTAACCTCCGAGAGAATGCTGCAAAACTACATGGACGAAAACGACCATACCGTGTCACAGACCTGGCAAAGATGATGTATAACATGGATCTTGCACCGGAAGAGGTTATCAAGAAGTGGAGAGGCGACGAAGACGAGGAAGACATCGAAGAAGAGGGTGACGAAGATGATGGCTTCTTCAACAAGAGAACCGCTGACGATGCTGCCAACGCCGAAGACCGATACATCCCCAAGTTTAACTACCAAGAACTGGAAGAAAAGTGGGAGGACGAGGAAAACGTCGAGGCTCTCTTGGGTCGCTTTGCTACCGGTCATATGAACGACAAGGGCGGTGACGATGACGAAGAGAACGATGATTTTGAGGGCTTCGACGAAGACGATGAGGGTGACGGCGAGTTTGAGGACTTGGAGACTGGCGAAAAGCACGGTGGCGAGACTGAGAAAACCGGTGCCGAGGCTGAAGCGAATTCAATCGAAGCAGAGCGCGAAAAGAACGCCCGACGAAAAGAAGAATTGAAGCTTCGGTTTGAGGAAGAAGACCGCGAAGGCTTCCTGAACGACAAATCTGATGCACGGAAAGAAGGTGACAAAGAGGAAGAGTTTGGTGAAGACGATTGGTACGATGCACAGAAAGCGATGATTCAGAAACAGCTCGACATCAACCGCGCCGAGTTTGACCAACTGGATGAACTATCCCGTGTTCGTGTTGAAGGCCACAAGGCGGGTACATACGCACGTATCGTACTCGAAAACGTACCTTACGAGTTCTCTGCGCACTTCAACCCACGATTCCCTGTTCTCATTGGTGGCCTGACGCCAACTGAAGAGCGCTTTGGTTTCGTCCAGATCCGCATTAAACGCCACAGGTGGCATAAGAAGATCCTCAAGACGAACGATCCCCTCATCTTCTCTTTGGGTTGGCGGCGCTTCCAAACCACCCCCATCTACAGCATTTCCGATTCGCGGACGAGGAATCGCATGTTGAAGTATACACCCGAACACATGCATTGTTTCGGTACATTCTACGGTCCATTAGTCGCCCCGAACACTGGATTCGTTTGCATTCAGTCTCTTTCGAACAAGACACCTGGTTTTAGGATTGCAGCAACGGGTGTCGTGCTCAACGTGGACGAGTCCACCGAGATAGTCAAGAAGCTCAAGCTCACCGGCCATCCCTACAAGATCTTCAAGAACACCGCTTTTATCAAAGACATGTTCAAGTCGAGCCTCGAAATCGCAAAGTTTGAAGGCGCCAGCATACGCACAGTCTCTGGTGTCCGTGGACAAATCAAGCGCGCACTAAGCAAACCAGAAGGAAACTTCCGTGCCACCTTTGAAGACAAGATCCTCATGAGCGACATCGTCTTCCTACGAGCTTGGTACCCCATCAAGCCCCGCCGCTTCTACAACGCCGTCACCAACCTGCTCAACCCCGCCACTCCCGATCAAGAAGGCGAAAGCACCTCGTGGCAAGGCATGCGTCTAACAGGTCTGGTTCGCTACGAAAACGGCATCGCCACGCCCTCGGAGAAAAACTCAGCCTACCGCCCCGTTGTCCGTGAAACACGCGTCTTCAACCCGCTCCGTGTGCCCCGCAAACTCGCCGCAGACCTCCCTTTCAAGTCTCAAATCGCCACAACGAAGCCCCAGAAGAAGCAAACGTACATGCAGAAACGCGCTGTTGTCCTCGGTGGCGAGGAGAAGAAGGCCCGTAGACTCATGGACCAGGTCATCGCTATTCGTAATGACAAGGTGGAGAAGAGGCGTAAGAAGCAGGAGGAGAGAAAGGATCCGTATAAGAAGAAGGTGGCTGAGAACGCGGAGAAGAGGGCGGAGCGAGAGAAGCGAGAGAAGCAGGAATACTGGGCGAGGGAGGGCAAGAAGAGGAGTCATCAGGGTGAGGATGGCGGTGGTGGAGGGAAGAGGAGGAAGTAGAAGTAGAGAGTGGGTGCTCAGGACAATGTTAGTAGAGTAGCATTTTGTGGCGTTCAAATATGGTGCTGTAGTTGATAAATAGTTATTTGTTGTTGTTGTTCATGCCCAATCGTCAATTACGTACTCACAAATTATGTCTTGCTCATGATCTTTGATGTCACCAATCACTGCACATGCAAGGGGGAGAGAGACAGAAAGAGTAAATCGGTGAAACTTGGTCTTCTTATTGTTGCATCCGCCATTACACAATACAATCCTCAAAACTTTGATGCTTCACCAGTCATCACTCGCCTACACGCGCGCAATGTTTTACATCGCTTTATGCTGCGCATCTTTATATCTCATCTCGTTCTAATCCAGTGCTGCCCAAAAGACAGTCATATGCGCCGACCGTATGCAAGGCAGTCGTCAAATAAAAGAAGAAAGGATTATATATGCTCATTGCCGAAAATGCTGATGCCATGAGATGTGAAACGCCAGCAACATGCAGATGAAGGAAAGGCCGAAGAAGAAAACGGGGGTATTGAACGCCGAAAGTGTACACGTGTTGTGTACATTGGAGAAGAAAATGGGAAATTGTATTATCGCTGCTGTCATGGTCGTTTCTTTGTTTCGCTATCCGGACTGCTGCTTTCTATGGTATTGCTTGCTCTCCTCGGAGACCATGTTGATGGGTCAAAGTGGATGGCTACCAGCCAGGCGCAGAGTATGTTTGCTAGATGGTGCAGAACATATGCGTATGTGACACCGTAGACAGCGGCATATGCGCCTATGGAGAAAAGCAAGATGTTTGTGAAGAACGAAACACGAAACTCCGCTCGGGGAATCATGCGGCCAGTGCTCAGTGTTTCGACGAGCAGGATAAACGGCATGATTGAGAGGATGTTGTGGTGCGAGGAGAAAGGCGTCATCCAATGGACCGCCAAGTTGCGTATCCAGACTACCAGTACCGGAAGATTGATGGGCACTATCCAGAACATTAGGATGAATATCGAGTGGGCGTAGTTGTAGAAGTTGTAGTTCGAGTCAAGACTAGACTCTCTCGCCAGTCGGAAGGCGCGGACGCTAGTTGCGAGCTGCACCAGGCAGAGTACAACGTAAGCGAAGTGATATGGTATCACTGTCGAGACTAGTGACAGCAAGATGCATGTTGTAACGATGCGCTGTCGGTTGGACGTGACTGCGAAGGCCGACGGTGATCTCTTTGCTTCTTCCCTTCGAAGTTTGGTTGAGATGACGATAGAGTACAGGGAGGCGAGAGCAAATTCTACTAGAAGCACAGCGTAGTTGATAGCCACGCAGACGCCAATGCACATCAAACCAAACAGTGGGACAAGGAACCAAAAGAAGGTGTCGTCCGAACCGAGAAGCAATTCGTTGCAGGCAGTATCGAGTGATGATGTCATGTTGGTAGGCTTCCCACGGAAAGACCATTGCTTTGACTGATGTTGGGCGCCTGCTAGAGCAATCGACAGGAAGGTAAGCGCGGACAGAGCTAGTGGGAATGAGCTCTTCAGACACTCGTTCAGTCCCTGAGTAAAGCTCATGAAGACTCCACTATTGTCGTACGTCCTGAACTGTTGGCGTAGAACTAGAGAAACGATCAGTATCGGGAATGCGGCGAAGATGATGCGGTAGCGTATCCAGAGCTTTCCGAAACTGCCCAGTATGTCCACGTTCAGATTAATCTCGACACTGCTCTCGCAAGTGGGATCAGACCAGATTTGTAGTGACAACCCATTGGAAGGCTGCTTAGCGTGAAGAGCAGGCGGCATGTATGGCGATACGCCGTGAAGGTTAATGCTAGCATCCTTGACGTTGACGAAGAACTTGCTCTCGTAGATGTCGGTGACGTACTGCCGTAGTAGAGGAGCGAAGAGCTCTCCTGCGTCGCACGACTGCTTGCCAATGTGGATATTGTAGGCTAGGAGAGCAGAGTGCAGAGCTGGAATCTTGATGTCCGTCATAAGGGGACGCTGCGCTGGAAGTCTGAGGGACATTCCAGTAGTCAAAAGGCGCTGCAAGCCCATATCGACAACGATTTGAGCATCGGGGGCAGCACTGAATTCAGCGACTACCCAACCCGTGCTGCGCTCACCAGCCTTGTCAACAACCGCCACAAACTGATGCTCTGCAAGATCTTCGAGGTCGTATTGGAGATACGAGAAAGGTCGCTCATCCATCTTGAAGGGGTAGGTTGAGTGGCGTGTCGAGGCAGGAAGCGCAATAACGTCCGACGCGGCGTTTTTGCAGGCAAGTCGTGTGGCACCGACACTATCGCCTGAAAGATCCATGTTCATTGAGAAGAGCGTAGTTGACTGGCCAGGTTGTGATGGAAATACACTACAAAACAGCACCTCAAGCAAGCCGTGGTCCCCGGGATGATCCAATCGCTCGCTGGTAAGAAGAGTAAACTTCTTTCCTACGGCCTGTGGCGGTACAGGGATTAGGTGCGCGTTTGGCCGCTGTTTCGACTTGCCAAGACTCCTGAGCACGAGCTTTTCGCCTTCTGAAATGATGGCACTGTTCTCTTCAAGCGTGAGAAGTGTTTTGGCTTCTTTTTGAGGTAGGGTCTTCTCGGCAATATCCTCCAGTCCCGTCAAGAACCACCTCTTGAAGCCGCGCATGCGCTCAGCTCGTGGAACAGTCTGAGTTGCGCGTGACACATCTATGACCTCGTACAAAGCGCGTACTACAGCCTTCCTATGCTGATCACACCAGGTGATTGCTAGGTGATCAATGCCAGTCCAGACATTTGGCATCGACGTGGAGAAAACAGTGAATCCATGAGTCTCGGGCACCAGTGACTCTATGCTGGCATAATCTGAAGAAATCATAGTATCCAAACTTCCTCCCGCAATCGAGATAAGCGTGACATGCCAGAGCGGGTTATCAATGGCCCATTTCTGCGAGTAGGCGCGTCGCCAGTAATCGTTTACCCCCTTGTATGTGCGAACGATATCTCCGTCGAAGGACACTGGCGGCCTGGCGTGGGGCGCAGCGAGCGTGATGATGGTGTTGATCGAATTGGCCTGGTAATTAGGCATGGTGAGCATGGTGCGCGCGACCACACCGCCCATAGAGTGTCCGACTACGATGACCGAAGTTGGGTCTGGCAGGCTGGAGTCGCGGAGAAACTTGCCGGGAGTGTGGTACAGGGATAGAATGTACGTGATGGCGTCGTTGAGGTATTCGGCCTGATCTAGCAATGTTTGGCCGTGGAACGCGGTGATGTCTTCATTGAAATCGACCGAAAAGAAGTCTAGTGGCCTCTTTCCCGCTTTGCCGGCGTCCACATCGTGTTGGACAGTATTATGGTAGTGGTACGCGGCTTCGGCGGCGAGGGAGCGGACTTGCTTGTAACTCCCAGCGTTTCCGGGGACGAAGAGGACTGGCACGCCCTTGACCTGAGGACTGTCAGTAAATCTCCCTTTGCTCAAAGGGAAGCACATGCCCTGGTGTCCTCGTCCAAGCCACCCTCCCGATACAAGTACAACGAGTATTTAGTTGCAAAGCGCGTGTGTTCGGTGTCGAAGTCGTTGAATCTTGAGTATGTGGGCCGCATGTAGGACATTCCACATCCCTTGACGTCTAATTGCCTCGTCAAGAAAGACTGGGCCATGAGAAACATGGCAATGAAGGCAGCCAGGGTCGTCAGCACGGTGTAGGGCGAACAAGCCCATGGAGAGCGAAGTCGCTGGCGCCATTTCTTGTTGTGATCCGCGACCATGCTGTGCGGCGGAGTATCCTTCCCAAATGCGCCGATAGTTGAGTCGGCCTTTTGGTGCGCCCCAAGTGAAGGCGACCGTGCAGTCGTGGAAGAGTCGTACATGGCGAGAGAGTGCGTTGCCGGACGTTGTGCAGACACGCCTACCTCGTCCTCCTCCTCCTTGGGCGTACCCTTGTTCACCCAGCCCTGCGCGTTCACTAGCAATCCCTCGGTCTGATGGTCGAGCTTATCCTCATGTTCCGGAATTGGTGCGGGCGAAAGGTCGGCTGCCAAATCGAGATGGTCTTGATCAGAGCTTGGGTCTGCGGATGAGCGCCGCCGCATCTAGCAGTGTGCTGTGCAGGGTAACGAGAGTCGTGCCTGGCGTCTGGACTGTAGAAGAGTGCAGCGTCGAGCGCACCTTCGTCGGCGTGGGTATACGACTCGGCAAATTTCCGGACGGGTTCTGAAGCGACTGTGGGGGTGCAATGGGCTCAAATATGGCACTCGTATGCGAAGCTAGCGTTGTAGCAGTCCATGGAGGCTCCGTCGACTTGTTGAGTGCAGAGAATGCACGGCGGGAGTGCTTGGGTGTTTGAGGAAAGGGCGTCGCAAGCTGCCAAGGAGAGCCGAGTCTAGTCGTAAATCGTGAAGTAACGAACGACAGGATCACCGCAGGGACCGTACACGCACCCGGCTGCCTCGGAAGATCTGCAACCACCGTAGTGGCGATGGGGCAAATCCACGTCGAGGGAGGGGTACAGGACGAGGCGCCGTCGTTATCTCAACAGTAGCATGGTGGTGTTGATGCAGAATCTTTGCAAAACGTTGGGGGTCGCGAGGCTGACGACAGGGTTGATGCTGAAGCCGCGAAACAATGACGCCGCCAGATACCAGGATATGCTGCCGAACGCCATCAAATGCACGAGGCTTCCTAGCTCATCCGGCCCAGCGATAAGACAACACAAGACATGCTGCATGTAAACAGTGAGCTTGTCTGCAGTTTCTTGCTGCTGCTGCGCTCGATTCCATATCACCTATCTTGTCGTTGCGGACAGGCTACGATTGCGCTTGTCGTCGCTTAACGCCGCCACAGCCGTATATCCGATCCTTCTTCCATTCCTCACCTTGTGCTTTGTATTCGTCATGATGCAATTCGCTGCATGGCTATCATGTCTACAACGTCACTGTCATGCACACCATGGACGACAGCCTGCGGACGACATCGTGACGAGCCGTAGTGTGGAAGTCCCGGAAGGTTGAGCCGGCCACTCCAGCTAAACATCTGCTCGCTACCTAGGTAGCACCTGACATCACGAGAAGGCTAATGATCCCGCACCTGCACCATCGCTTTATTGGCTCCACACTTTGGGCGCGCCGTCGAGTTTGTTGGAACTTCACCTCTGTTGAGCCAGTAAAAACAAATCTTGAAGAAGACGTATAAGAGATAGACTCCTAGTGTGCGAAAACCGATAGGTGAGAAAACCACTGCGTCCTTCAGGGATTTGTTAGCTGACATACACGACGACTCAGCCTTCCTTTCTTGGGTCATGAGGGGTTCTTCTGGAACTTTTAACATTCCTGCCCTGCTAAAGCTATCAAGGAAGAACAATACTCCATTTACAATTATTTGACTGTGTGTTAGAAGCGCATATGCCCAAATATGAGCAAGGTTGGCACTCTTGTTTGTCTCCAAGTCAACTGTATCCTGATTTCCAATGATGCAGCTTTTATCCCAGCCTGCTTCCATCTTGTCCAATCAAACCACCCATCACATTAACGCTTGTACTCCTGCCTATCTCCCTGCACATCGGTAAGGATTACCATTCGCGGCAAAGCCCTACTATTCCCCGCAATTCGTGCCCTGCTGCTGCTCCCCTCACCTTCAGAACCTACCATTCCATTGTACTCACCCAAGATGCAATGCATGAAGCTGTGCGGGGGGGACATGCATGCATGTCTTTGGTGATTTGCTATCACGTTGGCTTGATCTTGGCCTCCATCTCACACGATTAGAAAAAAGCATGACCGCTCTTGCCTCCACTTTGCGATTTGCATCACAATCGCGTCTTCGACACCAGTACCAAATGATTCCCTCCAAGGACCATAACGTGCGTGTTATTAACTCGTCTACCGGGTCACCGGTAGACGAACGTTATGAAATGTTCGATGGAGCACAAGGCGGGCACTTCTCGTGGCGCAAGCAGATGATCATGGATCTGAAACCTTCACGACATCGCGATACGTAGGTTAACGCTGCAAACCCTTCTATCTGGCCGCTCAGACCTCATACAGGTACTCCGGAGCACTGTTGTTCAACATCTGCGCCTTCATCTTACCAGCCCTCTATGGCACCTTGTCAAAGCTATGGGTCGCCAACATCGACTCATCCATGGTAGTCACTACTGACACATACACATATATCGGTGTGGTAGCGGAAGTCTTGAATGAAGGTTTGCCACGCGCTTCCTACCTTGTCATCGGCGACAAGTCCAATCGCGGCTTCCGTGAGCGGTTACAACTCACTCATACCCTCATCCTCTTCCAGTCGATTCTTGGCCTCATCATGAGTATCGGCTTTGTTGCAGGCGCTTCTACGTTTGCAAAAGGCTTTGTCCCTATCGAGGTGAGATATGTGAGTGTCACATACGTTCGAATCTCTGCATTCTCGGCCTTTAGCTCTGCGGTTGAGTATGCGGTCAGCGCCTCAACCCGCGCGCTGGACAAGCCCAATATTCCACTTGTTATCAGCTCCGTCAAGTTCGCCATCAACATCATTCTCGACTTGATCATCATTTCCAAGTTCCATGTCGGAAGCGTCACACCAACAGTGAACATGCAAGCCGGAATCTCACTTGCTTGCAATCTCACCTCCGCGCTTGTTGGGCTGGCATACTTTGTCTACACAACGAGCATCAGTTCTAGATCTGCGGTTCATAACGACAATTCCAGTCGGAGGACACTCCCATCTCTGCCAGCGTTGGTCACACTTGCCAAGCCAGGTGCAATCTTCTTCTTAGAATCGGCTATCCGTAACGCGCTCTACCTCTGGCTGGTACATGGTATTGTCGGCTTAGGTAGTGACTATGCCACGGCTTGGGGTGTCTTCTCAACCATTAGATGGGGTCTGATTATGGTACCAGTAATGGCACTCGAAGCGACAACACTGACTTTCGTCGGCCACTCGTGGGGAGCACTGCGTGCCACAGTCGTTGGTATCTCGCAGATCACAAAGTTACGAGTAACACGATGGCAACTGTGGGGCGTGACCCGATGGGCGTCCTACTCCGTCATCATCGTCTTGATGGTAGAGATCCCACTTTGTCTTATCATGTCGTTCGTCGGCGCCGAATCTTTTGCGCGATACCTCTCAGGCTCTGACGAGGTATCACGTATCACCGCACGGATGTGGCGCACTATTGACTGGTGCTACATCATGTACGGTGTATCGACACAACTAGCTGCGATCCTAGTCTCTACGCGCCCAACGTGGTATCTCTACCAGTCGCTTGCATCGAACATCCTTTACGTGCTACCGTGGGCGATCGCGTGTCAAGTAGTTGACTTGAGTGTAGGGGATGCATGGACATATCACAGTCTAGTATTTGGTGGAAGTCTGGTCTTCTCGTTCTTCACCATCATCGCAGTCGACGGGGTTTGGGCCTTCAGGCTAGTGAAGGGAAAGATGGCAATGAATAAAACGTAGGGCGTGTGGAAACATACTGTGTTGCGATGAGCTTCGAAATGGATGCTAGATCAGTAGATTTGGTGCCAACAAGGTATCCCCACAACCATGAACGCCGTTAATCTGTCTTGCGCACCAGGTCGCCATCTAAACACTACTCAACCCTTCCACACCACCGGCTTCGGCTCTACATATAGGTCCAAATCATCTGGTGTCTGAAACCAGATACTTGGGTCATCCTCAGCATACGCATTCGGGAACCTAACCATTGGTTTCGGGCTTCCATTCCCGCCTCCCACTATCTCAATATGCGCACAGTTAACGAACCACTGACTCTGACCAAGACTCATAGACGGCATGAAATGTTCGATCCGTAGAAGGTATTGGCCTGACGGCGTGGCAACCGGAATGGTGAAGTTAATAGAGAGCTTATCCATAGTTGACCACGTCGTCTTGTTTGCCGGCCCTGCATACGCAATCTTGAAGAAATCCCCTTTCCCATCATACTCCATCAGACTTGGTAGTGCATCTGGTAGCCGTGAAAGAAACACCTGTCCAGGCCCTTCGTGGAAGATATATCCCTGGACATCGCCCTCATAATAAGGTCCAGATACCATAAGCCCAACCTCGCTTCCAGCAACAATAGTGGCTGTCTCAATAGTCTCGGCATTTTGAACGGGGAAGGAACCACGGCCGCATGTTACGTTTGCATTTTCGGGTCCGTACATGGGAAACGTCTTGAGCCAGAGATCGTCGTAGGTTCCAGCGTTGCCAGAGACGTCGCGGACGTGTTGGAACTCCCGAGAGATGGTGTTATTTACGACGAGGCGGTTGAACACGTCTAAAGGATCTTTTTAGTGAACCATCTGAAGAGACAGAATCAAAGTACGGACAGTGGGCCCTGGTCTGTTGGGAAAGAGCAGTGACTAACAGCGTAAGAATAACGAAATTCATGGCAGCTGCAAGTACCAGATTAGCAGTTCTGTGTTAGAATCCAGTGGATGTCAACGGTGTTATACAGCTATCTATGCTTGAAACCCAAAGACAACCGATCATGCTTCGACCAAGGCTCTCCTGTAAAAGCGCAACACCCAATATGAGTCCTCATGACCCAAAACATGTACGCGCAAAGGTTCGATTTGCAGACGGTGCAACTGTCCATCGCCAATGGCATCGGTTCGGTTGTGTCCTATAGTGCTTTGTCCCATGTGGTAGTATTTAGATGAATGCTAGATTGCCCGATGTGCTACATCGACCCAGGCCCAAGCGGGGTAAGCGGTATCTTTACATTGCGGCTGTCAAGATTTTAAACGCTCTTTAGTGGTAGATGTCATACTGGATATGTTCCAGTCCGGGTATACAGATGCAGACTGAGGAAAACCGGGGTAGGGCCCAGGCGAATCTGGATGAAGTCGCCCGTGGAAGCGATTGTATTGGGCGCAAAGCTTATCTGAACTTCAAGGATTTCGTTTATGGAGTAGGATCTCCACGAAGGACTGATGCTTTGATGCTACGCCGCGTAAAATTGTGATAGTAGTGAGCTGTTGGCGAAGCACAAGAGGAATGAACTTTCAGGGGTGAACGCGTCATAATTATGCGCAGGGATGTGCGGCCGCACTTCAACGCGCAACAAAGACTTTGACGTTCTTGGAGAAATCATGTATATAATCTCTAGAACAGTGGCTGAGTAGTGACAAGTAAATTCAGAATTCATACCAACTTCGACATCAGATCTTGACCTCTGACTAAGCGTTGGGAATAAGCCCCACACAGCATGACACGCGTTCCGCAGCGGCGACATCATCACTAACCCATCGAATTCGCCGTCACGAAAGTTTCAGCTCGCGTTTCCTACGCGTTCTTCCACTTGTCTACATTTTAAATGCCTTATCAAGACGACAATGACACAAAGTTCACCGCTTGTCCTGCTGCCGGGTGAACTGAAAAACCAAATCGTAGACTACGTCTTCGTCCGCGATCCTGGCACCGTACCTGCTCCATTGCGCAACTCTCCATTGGCACTATCATCAACGTGCCGCCAACTTTACGAGGAATACCACGCACTCGCCTGGTCCGCAACAATCTTCAATACCCAGTGGTCGCCAGCAGATGAGCTAAGCCGAAAGACTAGCATACTTTCCCCAGCCTCGACATCAGCTATCCGAAAACTCCAAATTAGGCTTCCCTCTGACCTGACGGAACCCTATACCGCAGACGTAAACCGCAAACGCGTCAAGAGCTTCGGATTCGCTCGTGCAGGTCTCACAGGCTTAGAAGAACTGTATATCCGCTACCGCCCTGAGCATCATGAAAAAGGCATTGGAGGCCCAGGTCGCGAGCTCATCGTTCAGTTACTTTGGCGAATCATGTGGGAAAGAGATATCAAGCAATTGAACAAGATCTGTATTGTGCATGATGGCACGCAGCCCTTCCTTTCTCTTTCTCTGCTGTACAACATGTTGCAGAACTTTACGCCGCTTCAGGTGTCGAAGCGTTGGAAAGTTCGATCTGATCTTGAACATGGACGGTTGCGATTCGAGGAACGTAGTACCGGGGAGATCTCGAGGCAGATTTCCGTGGTTGTGGGGTTTAGCTTCCGGGAAGCTGAGGAGTACGTGGAGATATGTGAGCAGATTCTTGAGGTACGTTTGCATTATCATGTGTTGCTGTGTAGTCGCTATGGAGTAGTGCAGCAATGTAGAATCATGGACTATGTTTGTAGTAGAGTAGCGAAAGTTGACCTTAGTACAGGAGAAGCATGCTCAAGTCATTGTGGCTAGGCGCACGGAATGCGAATATGTCACCTCCCTACGAAACATGACCGACGAGGCATTGAGGCGCGAGGTCGATAACCTTAATACTTTGTTTCCTGTATCAGGAGACGAAGAACAGGTACTCCAACCACACATTGAGAACATACGTGCCATCTGTGCTCTAGATATCTGAGAATCACGAAGAAAAACGAACCGGCACTGCTAGACACATACGAAGGCCATTGTGGCTCTAATATAGGTAGGTGGCGTGTTAACGAACTAGCGACGCCCTTAGGTATCCAGATACATTCTCACGGCTCCATCAGCAGGAGCACTGTTCTGCCAGCTTCCTGGAACAAGAGCTCCAGTCGCGCTCCGATGCTCGGGATGGATCCTGTGGAGTTTTGTCGAGTTTAGTTAGACGCCACATTTACTTTCACCCCTTCCTCGGTTTGCATTCGGCTACCACACTTACGCGTTGCGTTTAAAGCATGGTAGTAACCCTCTTCGCCACCACCTCTAGGCATTGATGGCGATACGAGGATGGTGTCTCAACCGTGCCCTCGGAACCTTCTTGACCGGTTGAATATCGTATTCGCTTTTCACGAGGCCGCTTCTCACGAGGCGAGATAACGTGAAGCGAGTTCCAGAACCAAACCCACGGTGTCAGCATCTCAGGGTGGGTTACGCGTCAGTGGTGGGTCTGTCGGTATCTGGTCACACCATTATCGTGTTTCGATTACGGGAGAACGCCGGTGACTAGGTAGGTTCGAGCTAGTGTTGAGTTGAAGGACTATCTGTGGGAAGCGCTTGCGGCGGGAAGAAAGGACCGGGACGACACGGGAAGGATCAAGATAGTCGAAACGAGACGGTGTTGAGAAGACAAGTGGCACCTTGGGAAATATGCCTCAGCTGGGACGGACGGTCGGGATAGAGCTGCCCACGCATTTTTGGAGATCAACAAGGTCTACCTGGATGAAGATTTATCCTGTCATTTTCGCGGGAGGAAATCCTGTTGTGCTCTCAGTCTCAATGGTCAACGCGGTCGTGTCGTCCATGTACTGCTCGTCCTCTGTAGTCCATCGTCTTCCACCGGTGAAGCCCCTTTCACAGATCGCTCTGCCGCGGTAGTTCAATGTGTTTCTCAGTGATAAGAGCTGCAAAGGCCTGGCAGTAGTGGCTGGATCGCAACGATAGACGTGGTATAGACGAAAAGAGCCTCCACACCACCTACTTCAGATCTCGCTTCCGTATGCTATGGTTCGGTCCGATCATGCTTGGGAGTGACCAAATCTCTACCAAGCTCATGTCTCACATAGCACACGCACTTCTACTATCCTCGTTGAGAACAGGGTCCGTGCCATAATGGGGCTCTGTTAGTCTACAAGTTTCATCCCAGTTTCCCATGTGGCTGATTCACTGTCTCCGGGTTGACACATGCATGGCTCTATTGGCTATTAGAGAGGTGGAGATGGTGTCTTGGCTTTTCGGAGAGTGGTGTGCTCGGAGCTGGTGCAGACAAGAAACGGTAATGCATCGTGATTGAAGGTGTACTTAGCAGCAAATCCATTGTCCGTGCCGTAACCGAGCATACCTACAAAGCTGAAGAGCGGAAGGAGTGGATGCAGGCACAGGGACAGCCAATGAAAAAGCCGAGTATTTATCGAAATAGTAAGACGCAGCACACATGATGGCGGTGATCGTGGCTTGGGAAGTATGCCGCGGACCGGATTCAGGTCGTGTCAACCACCCGAAACTCGCAAGTCGATAAGAATTAACGGTAGCGAGACTACGATCTAGCCTTCATGCGTTCCGGTAGTGCTTTCACCGTAGCCTGTGCGGTACATGGCAGTCGGAGGAACGGGTATATGTCCCGGAAGGCCTCAAATACGAGCAACTACTACCGAGCTGGTGGTTGCGGAACCCAGTGGGCTGGTAGCATTACCTATACGCCAGATTTCTAGTAGGTAGGCAAATACCATGAGCAACACGGGCCGCATGCTGCCATGCCTTCGAGTGCTCATCGTTCCTGCATTCTGACAGAATACACATCCACACACGATGATGACACGAACGACGAAGGATTGCAGTGCCTGCAGTGAGGGATGATGCTATCGATAACGAGCAAGCCACCAAATGGGGCGCAGCACTGTCCGCCTGAAGGAACTACAAGGTTCGCTGTGAGACGACGCGACTTGAAGGATCAAGCTTTCAAGAAGGCCTAGACACGATACCACAGGCCCCTACGATCGCGCCAGCACTGCGATTAGAGATGGGTTACGACCGCAGGATCTGCTGAGCTAACCAGATGCATCTTTACGGATGAGCCGTGTATGTATCTGACAAGCGCCGTGGCGTCGTAGTCGCTGTATGAGTGGTCACGGTGCTGTCTTTGCAAGAGGTGCGGTATGATGCGCCAGTGATGGAACGGTCCGTCAGGGTGTAGAGATCAGGCCTCCACAGCGGGCCGAAACTGTCTTGAAAATGGAAAAGCAACAAGTTGCACAATATAGCGTAGTTGGCCCTTATTCTTCACGAACCTTCCAAACGATGTTATGGCATATCCAAACTGTGATACAGCCGTCGATCTGGGAAAGAGCCTCCTCATTATGAACATGTGTCAAATAAGTGGACAGCCACGAACGGCTGCGCGCGAAATCCTGATCCGATGTTCCCACGGTATCTTTTACGTCTTCCAATGGACGCACGGCCTACTCGTACAATATTCTCCTGGCTGCATAGCAGCAACCTGAACCAGGCTCTGCTTGACGCGGATCTTCTTCGCGTATGCAACTCAAACGTCGTGTTCAGGCACCTGCATTGTAGCCACGAGGTACTTATGCGCAAAGACGTCCGCGCATTCTGGTACCTTGTCTCGAGATTCTTGACGTAAGGCCCAATCATCTGCTGATAGTACATGCGGGTAAGCAATGGAATGATGACCGTGAGTGGTCTCGAGTAATGCGGAGTGGCAATAGGTTGTGAAGTCCGATGGTAACGAAAGGCTTGTCTAAGGTATTCTGTCGTTGTCATATGATCTATGATCAACACTCGTGTGACCTCAGCTGTACAGTTAAAGGTCATATCAGACAAACCATGGTTCTGATAAGACCAGGGCGTTGGGGTCAGGATGATCCTTTCGCGTAAAAGCAGTAGCGTTGTCATACCGGGCTTGCTATAAGGCCTAAGTTCGTTTGGGTCTCCCCGAAGCACGGGAAATCGGTGATGAGCGGGTGTGTGCGGGAGCCAATCTTAGGAGAGAGATGTCTTTAGCCGTTTGACCCGCTCGCGTGGCAAGAGTAGGCGACTACGCTTCTGAACGCCGCGAGCCTGGCTATCTTACTTGGAGCAGTGTACATGCAGGGATCCCGGTGAGAAAGCGGCAGGTATGCTTATTGGCTGATGCAGAAGAGCGCTCACCATGCGGAGTTCCAAGTAGAACGGATATTCCAAAGAGGGAACGAAAACATTGACAAAGATGGTGGAAGATTGTGATGCTGATCGAAATGTATTGTGTTGTATACATATAGTAAGTCGTCAATGTACCACAGATGTGCACAGTCAGGCGCACCAATAACACAGCTATAGTATAAATGGAACCTCCCAGATCGGCGCATAACTCGTCGCTGAGTTCAAGTCGTACATGAACGGTGCCGAAGTGACGATGGCCGTATCAGTGACAGTAGGTTGGTAAAAAGTCCATTCAGGTCGAACTGGATCCAAGACATCTCTGAATTGGTACTGAGTTGGAGAAGCAATTGCAGCAACATTTGATGCTGAATCGTCTAGCATGTATCGTGGTAAATCTGAGAGATCTGAAAGGGGCCATGGTACCTGCGCTGTTGGCATCATAGTCGTGGGGTCTGGTGTAGCCCACATCTCTGGTAGGATACTCGCAACACTAATCTCGAAACCAACTTCATCTGAGATGTGTATTTCACTAGACCACGACTCAGGGTAGAGGTAACAATCCGAATTGTTCACTACGGATACAGGCTCGTAAAAACCGACCGGGCCGGGTGTCTGTGGTGATATAGCGTCTAGGTTAAGATAATTGTTCGTACCTACAGGCCGCACGAAGACGTTCGGGTTGTATTCAGGGCTTTCCACATAAGCACTGCAGTCATTGGAGACTTGTGGTCCTTGCGATGCGAGCGGAGTGAGCATAGGATGGCCGGAAAGTCTTAAGTCCTGACGACTGAATTTCGCAGTACTTTCAGTATTGATGTATGGTGTGGCGTAGATAATTCCAGGCTCTTGGGAAGAAGACAAGCTAATAGACGGGGTATGTGAGTCTAGACATGAGACAGCATCGGTAGTGTAGTGTCTCCTAGGTAATCTAGACGCTCTCTTGACATTCGATCGATGGTTGTTATCTGATGTACGACGAGTCGATCTCGGTTGACATTTGATGCCTTTGGTGGTACAGCGAGAGCATGAAGGTAACTATGAAGTATCAGCGTTGGAATTTTGATCATACGGGATGCGCACAATGCTCACATACAGCTTTATTACACTTGGTCTTTGCTTTAGCACATGTAACGCATGCGATCGCTCTCCTCGACGGCATCCTGGCGTACGGGTTGTGTTGCTGAGACTGAGTTGGTGTGTGAAAAGATGGACCTCTTGAAGGTTCGGAAGTCGTCACGTCCATCGCATTCAGGCGTTTGGCTCGGTATGAAGATTTGGACTGATACGTATCGTACATAGCCCACTATCGTCACTATATGCGTCGAGTCAATCTCAAGAAAGTAACAACTGCTCAATCAGAAAGTGCGGGGGTTTTTTTGGCCAAACATGCCGAAGCTTTGGACTTGCTCAGAGACTTTGAGATTGAACCGTGTTATACTCGCCCGTTTTGAGAGGAGTCGGACTGGGCTAGGACCAGGAGTTTCACTCAACGGCTGATAGTCTACGGTATTTAGCTTGCGTGATGCTAAGCTTAGGATCAAGATATCTATCTTCTGCCGAAGATCGTACATGGCAGGGGTCCATCCTAGTACCAATGAGGCGCTTTCTACAGGGCTGGAAGCTGAGCCAGAGCACCTTGAAGTAGATTAGCTAGATGTTGCTGCTGAGAGTGGCTAGCATGATACGCCACCTCGGACGTGTTTCGAACGTACAGTCGTGGTTGATAGTGCCTCAGCGCGTGGGTAGTGGCAAGGGGTGTTTTACGTGCTGACAGGACCCGAACTGCTGGGTTCGGTATATCCATGATGACAGGCCGCACACGAGTTGTGGTGTGGCTCAAGCCTCACCAGTCCCGGTGCTTGGTTGGCAGCGCAACTCCATCTTGAGAGTCTTCTAGTGTGATTCGTTGACTTGAAGTCCCGAGTAGTGTTCGACTGCAGAGGTGAATTGATAGTCAACGAACACGTATAGATCAAAACAAAATATGATCGTATGCAGTATACCCTTTTTGGCAAAGTATCAAGAACATTGTCAGCGACATGCCTGTCCAGGCGCGAGGCAGTCTTGCGGACGCCTGCATGAGGATGGTGAATCCAGGCCAGGGCTGAACAATCGGTGGTAAGGCGTTGTAGTGGTTGGCACAAACCTATTGTTGTAGGCTCATGCTGATGATGTGAACGGACTATGGGAAGTGGCGCATTATGGTGAGGTTAGAGCGTGAGACCCCTGCTTCGAGATGGAGCGGGGCCATGGCAGGCTGACGATGCTTAGTGTGGTAGGCTGCTGCAAGCTGCTACATTTAGTGGAGAGGGCGATATCGGCGACAATGTCGATCGATGTGATGTAGGTGACTTTGGTGTTGTCTTTAACTCATCATCACGAAGCGGGCGGGAGGCTGGGATGCTCGACGTCATCTCTGGAAGGCGCATGGAGCGTCTTTAAACACCGGCTTAACCGCGGCAAGAGATACGTCAGACAAGAACCTTCCCATGAACATAACCATCTGATAGACTCGTAAGCGCTTCCAAGAAGGCTTTGGTCTGTCACATACCTCGGTAAAGGTTCACAAAGTCGGTTCGCATCGTGGTCACATTTAGACATTCCGCCCACTTACGATTGACGCTAATACACGATCTCACTTATGGAACAAAGCATCTACAGGATCTTGGATCGGCCCCTTAGTCCTTAAAGCTCGAACAATTGCTGGTGTAACTGTTCTGTGTTAAGCAAACTACCCTCCAAGTTGCTGTGCGTAAAGATAGATTGACCCGGAAGGATCAACATCCGGAGATCTATCTATGAACAATAGCCACGACACGAGGTATAGCTATAGATTTAGATACCTTCATCAGAAAAAAAGTCCTGAGCGGTGAGCTAACAGAGCTCCGAAAGATAGACTAACGTTGACTAACATGGGGCCGTTGTGTGTAAGCAGAGCTTGTGCGGAAACTTCTTTCCTGAGGGCTATCATCTCCAGGCTTGAATGCTTTCAGACGCTACTGGTTGCATTTCTGATCCTCATGACCAGGGAAGCCTCATCGCACGTTTCGCGTACCATCTGCTACCAGTCATCAGGAACCTCTGCAGACCACCGCTTGTTATCACGTATCGCTACGGAAGCAAGCAGGGAGCAGCCGAGAGTGGACATCCATACGTTATATGGAGATGAGAGTGTACGTGAGAAGATATGAATATTTATCGGAACCGTGATAGTCATGCATATTTGAATGTTAACAATACTGGGGACATGATCGCGCGAGAGAGGAGACTAATACGTTTATAGCTTAGTCTGTCGGGTACATCTGCATCGCACCCGCCCTCGCATCGCGCACATCCCTCAGGGTCAGCTGCCTCAACCAATCTCATCAGTTGCTTCACTTACACCATCTCCTGTGTTACTACATCATTTTTGGATACCCTGGAGAACACTAAGAGCATGGCGCAACGTGGAGACAGCGAACTACATCCTGCTAGATTTCTCGCGGAAAGCGCCCATCCCGAGAAGACCTCAAATCCTCCTGATCTCCTCATCCTGAATCAGCCAATTGCTCACTTCACAGCATTTTCACGCCTTTGGAAACACACGGGCTATCGCATATGTGCCGATGGCGGCGCCAATAGACTTTTCGATATGCTGAAAGATGACTTGATAGAGCAGCGCGAACAATATGTGAGTAGAGCTGTGATATTTGAAGTTTATATCAGTCACTGACATGTGCAGCTACCCGACATGATTCATGGAGACTTGGACTCGTTACGCGATGAAGTGCGTGATTACTACGAAGCACGAGGTGTTCCTGTGTCACGAGATCGTGATCAATACAGCACAGACTTTGGGAAATGCATGCAAAAAATCTCCTCGCGTCTTACTTCCCTAACCGTACGAGATGTTATTGTCCTTGGCACCCTGGGTGGAAGAGTTGACCAAGGTCTTGGGCTCTTGAACGAAATGCATAGAGAAGAGACTCGACATGCCCACCTTCGTCTATGGCTGTTCTCTGAGTCCAGTCTGAGCTTCGTGCTGAGGAGTAGAGAGACTCTGCTAAGAGGGCTCCAAGAAAGTGGCGTCTTTACGGAAAACGTAGGATTCCTTCCTATATATGGGCCAGCGGTTATCTCTACTGAAGGATTAGAGTGGGATGTCAAGCAGTGGAATACGCAGATGGGTGGCCAACTCAGCACGAGCAACCACGTTAAAGCGAACGATGTGAGAGTCGAGACGGACGCGCCAATACTGTTTACGATAGAGAGAGCGCCTTTGTGAGATGTTGGAAATATGTACATGTACAGCATGCACAAGGCACGGTATCGTACTATATGCGGACTTGACATATTTGCGACTTATCAACAAGGGAATGCACACATACGTCGCCTTGTGCTAAGTGTCCAAGCACGCCGTTGTTGTGTAACTCCCCCAAAGGCTGTATACATGGAGGATAGTGGATAGTGGATCAGGGTCGTCATGAGGTAAGCGCGCTATTGACCTATCATACCTTCCACGGTTCGAGCAATCGGAAGAAAGTGCGACATGCGGGTCGAATACATCATGAACTCGGGAGTGCTCTCCGGTTGCGATGGTGACGGTACCTTCTCAGTCTTAAACACCAGATCTGTGCCAGCAACGGTCCGGCTGTAGTGAAAGCATGAGGAGAGCCCGAAGCGCGACATAACACAGGCGCAGGGAATCGCTCCTGCTTATCTTCGAGACTTGCGATAGTTGCCTGGTGGTTACTGTTGGGGAAGTTGTGATTGGCCGCATGGTGGTCAACTCGCCTTCACCATCAATGCTGCTATCAGACCTGTCTTCCCACTCAAACAGTCAACGCGCTTGCCAGGCCAACATCGCTACTCACTGTCGCTACCACTGAGGTTTTTGGATGCTATTTCGCTCGCACACACGACCTTATCCTCTGCGAGCACCCCGCTCTCTGTGTTGCTCCCTCACAGGTGCCATATCCACCCCGACTCCTCCCACGTCCCACCGCGTCAAAGCTCTTCAACCAGCAACTTGCTTTTCCAAATCAGGCACCACACGCTCGCAACTTTCCGCGACCAGACATCCTCCACTCGCCCTTTTCATACGAAACATATCATAACATTCGGTCGACAAAATACTATTAGCAACATCACAATTGGCGTGAGCTGCACGACATAAGGCGGATTGTGGGGCAAAACGCCGGCGCATACGCCATTCAGTCGCCAATCGCCTAAAATAGCGGGAGCCATGGCGTCCATAGGAAGAGTTGCCTCGTACACGCCCTCGGAATACTCAGAATCACCACAAAAACGAGATGAGCAGCCCAGACGGTCGTCGCCGAGTTCGGACGTAGAGGGGGAAGTCGCATCTCCCCGCGAGGCCAATACAGAAGGAGTATCCGAACAAACAAGGGAAGCCGAACAGCTACTAATTCGCCATTCGAGCGGCAGTCAGAGTCTGGCTTCTGATCATGGCCTCGATTTCGGCATCTCGCCATCGGCAGAGCGCTCCTCCTCGCCGTTACCCTTCGCGTCCATTGTCCCTTCGCCGCTAGCAAACTCCAGATCAGCGAGCGATGGAAGCTCAGAAGGGAATGAGGTGCACTCGAGTGATGAGACCCAGACCAAGAAGAGTCGGCCGCGCACCACGGAAGGCCGTCTTCACTTGCACCTTCCGCCCCGGACTCACCTGAGAACACCAAAGGCGAGGAGCACGACAGACTTGTCAAGCCAAGCACCTCGCTCTCCTGGTACCCCACTCACCTTACAAGATTTGGGAACGGACTATACTCGCTATTTCAATCCTTTCTCAGACGCCGCCAGCACTCCCAGCCGTAGTCAGAGGACTTCCTTGTCAGAACGGCGGTCTTACAGCAAACTGGGCGTGGACTCGCGCACTGCCACTCCGCCACCGGGAATGCCACTGCTCAGTCCGTCTCTTTCACCCAATCACTCTGCGACGGCATTCAATGAGAGCGTCCATGAGCTGTACGACACAAAGACGAATGTATCCTTCATTGACGATAGATTAACGGCACCATACGAGGAGAAGGGGATGGCATCCTGGCCACTGATATGCGATCAAGAGGAAGCTGACGATGAAATGCACATGCCTCGCGATGATGATGACATCAAGTTCAAACCCAGGATCCGCGACCACTTCACAAGAGACAGCATCGTCTCCACCATCGGCTTAGCGTTTATGATGTGCGGGCTATCATTCATATTTGTCGGGCTTCCGGTACTCTCTGCTGTAGGGATCATCGATTACAACTCAGCCTACAGCATACCGTTGAGTAGGTTTCCTAATCCATGGAGACCTCAGATCTGGGCAACAGTCAACAATAAAAGATACCCACTACTAGAGAATATACGTACAGGCCTAATTGACCCAGACACACCCGACTCCGTAAAGACAAGGACCGGAGAGTTTGGTGACGAGTATGTGCTAGTCTTCAGCGACGAGTTCAATGACAACAATCGCACTTTCTACGAAGGAGACGATCCGTATTTCTATGCACCCAACGTCTGGTATGGCGCGACGCAGGATATTGAATGGTACGACCCAGATGCTGTCACCACCCACGATGGTACACTTCAGCTGCGCTTAGAAGAGTTTTTTAATCACGGCCTCAAATTTCGGTCGGGTATGTTGAACAGTTGGAACCAGCTGTGCTTCAAAGGCGGCATCTTCGAAGTTTCGGTGTCGCTACCCGGTCCAGCTGGTGTGCAAGGGCTTTGGCCTGGTGCGTGGACGATGGGTAATCTCGGTCGACCAGGTTACTTGAGTACAACTGACGGCCTGTGGCCCTATACCTACCAGTCTTGCGACGTTGGCATCACACCCAACCAGTCGAGTCCTGACGGATTGTCTCACCTGCCTGGACAACGGTTGAATTCATGCACCTGCCCGGGCGAGGATCATCCAACACCAGGGACTGGAAGAGGGGCGCCGGAGATCGACATCATTGAGGTGGGTGCTACATCGGGCTATCCCGGTCCAAATGGTCTTCCTATAGCAACACAAAGTTACCAGGTTGCGCCATTCGATATCTGGTACTATCCGAACTACAACTACACGGCGTTTCCGGATCTTCGCTACAGTGGATTCAACACCTATACTGGCGGTGCCTTCCAACAGGCCATCTCTGCCACCACGATATTGAACAAGAACTGGTTCGACAATAAGCAGTATCAGCGGTTCTCATTCGAGTATGTGCCAGGAGAAGGCAAAGATGCTTATATATCGTGGAAAGTGGGCGACCAGACAATGTTTATCATAGACGGGCGTGCTATAGGACCGAACGGCAACATCCAAGCCCGACAAATCGCACAAGAACCATTATCACTCATTCTCAACATGGGCCTCAGTAATTCATGGACCTGGATCGACTGGAAGAATCTCGTATTTCCCGCTACCATTCGTTTCGACTACGTGAGGTGGTATCAGAAGAAAGGCGAGGAGATGGTTACGTGCGATCCCCCAGGCTTCGAGACTACGGAATACATTAAAAAACATCCGAGAGCTTACAACAATCCTAACTTTACTGTACATATCTGCCTCGCTATCATACAGCCAGAAAAACTAACGCAAAGCAGTCATGGGATCAAACTGGCTACGACTGGCCAAAGCATAAGCTCAACAGCGAATGCTGACCGCAACGCCCTCTACGACAGTACGATTACGATTGACCCGATTACCACAGAACAGCATACTCGAACGGTACAGATGTTTCGAGAACAAGCATATGGCTATTAGACGGGGATACAGGAATAATGGTGTTTCGGCGAGGGACGCAATGGAGGACCGGTTTTGGCCATGTTTAGGCTGTATGTGTCATCCCTTGCATATGGGAAGGTTTATCGATTTTCAGCGGCATCATGGCCTTTTGCGATTGTTGGTCAGTATGCATACCTAGCGTAGCGTAGCGATAACTCTGGACGTAATGTATACGGGTTCTTGTCTGTGACATTATTGGTGCGACGCTCTGAGCAAACAGGGCTTACCAGTGAACTGCTGAACGGAACGTATTCGGAAGAAGGTTGGTAGAGATGCCGATTCAGATGGCATATATATTTGCAAGAAAAACTAAACTGGGAGGCTTCTGCGTAATAGTGGCCTTATTTAGCATGACGAACTTCGGGGCTAGTATATACAGTGTGTACCCTGAAGGATTGATAGAACACTCAATCTCTACGCCTCCTCTTCCTTGACGCAATTGGCATCTTTGCACTCCTTCTTGTCACAAACGCTGTGGAAGTCCGCGTGCGACTTCGCCCCCTTCCCAATGAACTTTCTAAACTCTCCAAACTCGCAACTCGCACCAGGTCCACCCTGGCAATCTGGGATTGGCCTCGGTGCAGAGTTAGCAATGAACCGTACATAAGTACCTGGTTCATCGCCGTGAACGCCGCCACGCTCGCAAGTCATCTTTTCCATGCCGACGTGGCCAAGGAAGGGAATCAGGTCGCTCATCCTCCAGGCGCGCGTCCAGTTGATGTGGTCGGTGGGGAACTGCTCTGCAGCGTCGGAGGAGCTGTTGAATAGACCGAGAGCGGTGGCGATGAATGGCGGGACTTCACGATGGGTGAAACCGAGGAAGAAACGCTGCTGATCGGGCCAGCCATCGCCGGGTGTGTCGTGCTCTTCGATGTGCGCGAAGAGTTCGGATTGGGCTTGAAGCCATGGGAAACCAAGATAAGGTGATAGAGGATTGAGAGGGCCGACCATGTAGGCATACTTCAGGTCCCATGCGTATTCGTACGCCATCCACTCCGAATCTGTGAACTGCTCGCAGATGGGGCTACGATTGCCCTTGATGGCAGATTCGTAGCCACACAGCATTTGGAAGCCGACGACATCCTTGGGCTCAAGCTTGAACGGCATGTAAGGTGAGAGGCGATGCGCGACGCTGGCACCATAGAGGTCGATGACCTTCTTCTGCTGCTTCTCGCCCGGCTTCTTGGAGAAGTTCTTGCACGATTTGTGCGGGATCAAGCTCTCCATGCTTCCATTTGTGTTCTCAGTTATCCTGACAATCTCAATGTCGTCCTTCTGCGGGAACGCTTTGATGAGGTTCTCGGCCGTGTCAAACGTCCTGCTCTTCTTGTCCGCCAATATCCTCGTCGTATCGGGGATAATGTGATGGTATCGTTGCAACAGATGCTTGCCTACCAGCTCCGCGTCTACAGCGCCAGAGGGCGTCAGTTCCTCCAATCTGTCTTCCAAGATTGGGGACTGCCACTTCTCCATGAAAGCTAGTGGACCTGTCCATCCTTGACGATGTTGCTCTAGCTTCCAGAGGAAAGGCTTGATGTATTCTTCGTATTCGGCGTCGTTAGAGTAGATAGCGCCGTGGCGGATGATGTATGATGCGGCGGTGACATTGCAGCCGACGGGAGGTTGGTGCTCAAGACCAAAGCCTGTATATGGAGTTAGTCTAGGCCTCTCTTACAGCTTGTGAGGATGGTACGCACCGACTGCGTCAAAGTATGGCGAGATACCAGGGAGATGCAACAGAGGATCAAACTTGTAGTTTTGCGAATGATCAAGAGGTCGGATTGGTGATTGAGCTTGACCCTGGCTTTGGAGGAACGTCGGCAACGTCAAAGCCGAGGCCGATCCTGCCAGTACGAGCGCAAGAGACAGCATATTAGACATTAGACTTGTCACGCAAGTGATTGTAAGGTGCTGTCGCGTTTGGGTGATTGAATCAGTCCAAGTGACCTGCGATGAAGGGTTAAATGGGGCATTTGCGCGGTTTTGATCTTTTGTTTTCAGTGACGTAGATGGTTCTGCAAGGTACGCGCTCCACTAGCGCGCCGCACCGATGGCGCGTGCTTAGGGCTTGGACATCGTCACTTGTTCCCTGTTATCTATGTGGATGCACGTTATCTATAATTACACAGGCGACCGGACGTACCCATGGAGAGACGAGTATGCAGTGAATTTGCCAGGACACAAAACGGAACAAAGAAAACATGCACTGGGTCGAAGATTGTTACAATTTCTATAAAAGACGAACGTTGTTTTGGAAAGTAATGCACCGCCAGTGAAACGCTCATTTCTGCTGCACAGAGCTGTCACGTCCCTTCTCCTGCCATATGCCGTAGGCAAAACAAGTCATGTCGTTTGATGGACGTGTAGACAGACGTTGATCCATCGTCGCTCATCCTCCGGCTTGAGCGTTGCCTGTCGCAAACTTCATTGTCGGAATATCCTTATGTCGGCATAGCATACTCACCCGCTCCAGGGATGCTTCTTGCGCGAACTAGGATGTTTCTCGTTGACGAAAGCTGTCTCTTCGCTCGAAGGACGGAGCCCCGATACCGGGACGGATGTTTGTCCTCAGGTAATACCTACCATGGATGGCATACTGCGGAAGTAGCAGTTGTAAGCATAGTGAGCTTCTGTGACGTTCGTAGTGGATACTAGCTGTAGCACCGTAGATGATAATCATGTCCTAAACAATCAGTCGCCCACGGAGGGCCTCGTGGTTAGCCTCGTGATGATGAAAGGCGCTTTCAAAATGGTCGCGAATGATCAATGTCGACTGCAAGCGTTGTAGAGCTTGTGAGAAGCCTGGACTCGCGCTTCGTCTCAACGCTTCGGTGTGAACACCGAAAACGGCGTATGCATTGAGGCAGACGTTGCACCAGACCCAGGGCGACTCTGCCGAGGAGAGGATTGGGAGTCATACCAGTTGACATCTGACAGCTGTAGCTTCCTTGCACGCTGATTGCTGCGATTCGCACCAGCTTTATCAAGGCGCGGCTGCGCGTACGGATTCGGAGTCTTGTCCAGACCTTGAGGAGTTTCAGTACGTATTCTATTGGTATTAGGCGAAAGGGTATAATGAAATGGTAAATCACCAGTTGTGTCGTCAGCATCATCGCGAGCTTCGTTGTAGTTCAGGACGAGGCTCTTGATTCGCTGTCGTTCTTCTGTGTCTGCTTGCTGCTTGTTACGCATGGCGACAGCAAAGGTTGAGTCTGATGGCAGGTCAATAGATCGCGTCTGCGTTCTGTTGCCACGCTTGCTGAGCAATGAGAACTTCATCGTATGCGAAGGAACTGGAGCGACCGGAATGGGCACCTCGTTACCAACGTCTTCAGGGTTGATCGGAGCCTCTCGAGCGCGACGCATTGGTAGCGGCACATCGAAGACAGGCTTCCGGTCATGCTTACGAGACTCCGCACTCTCAGACATGAGCTTAGCAAGCTCACGGTCGAACTCAGCATCTGCTTCTGGGTCGCGTTCGTCTTCTTGTCGTGTGACCACAATCTGTTCTTCCTCTTCGTCCGAGGATGCTTGCTTTACAGGCTCATCATCATCATCATCATCATCATCAGAATCCTCGTCTTCTTCACCGGACGACTTGTCTCCTTCGCCGTCAGGCAGCACGACGTCCTCGTCCTCGGGACCGTCCAGTTCATCGTCTGACGCAGACATGTCGTCCTCGTCGGGCTCTACAGGCTTGTCGGCTGACGCTGTTTGGTAGTTTTGTTTGACGGCTTCTGCAAAGGTACGCGAAGCCTCCTCCAGGTTAGTGACTATCTTCCACTGCGGTCTCACTAGGTTGAAAGCGTCTTGCACGATGAACTCCACATCCATCGGCAATGCCTCTTTGATGCATACATAGTACTGCAGGTATGTAAGAAAGAAGTCAAGCTTCTTCTTCGCCGCGCCTTTGTCGTAATACATGCCGCAGGTTTCCAAAAGGTTGCAAACAAGGCGAATGCGGAAGTAGTCGTCGGGAAGATCCAGAGGATTATACCCTCCAGGCCGCGCATACCCACCTTCCCATCCGTAGTTCAAGAGCTTGTACAGGGTGTCGAAGATGAGAGGCGAGTCGACTAACCGATAAATATATAGTTCGCCAAGGTATTTGACTTCTGAGATCCGGCGTTGGTTAAACTTGAAGTCGTTCAATTCTAATCCAAACGTGATGGATTCGAGAAGGTCGTCGATGACTGAAATGGCGAAGTCTTGGTGGAAACGATGGATCGTCCCCAGCATGACGGCTAGCAAGTGGATGTTGCTGTACTTGATCTTCCCCGGCTTTGCGAAAACCTTGTGGAGGAGATTGACTACCTCCTCTTCCTCCCAGTGCATCTTGCGTACCTGCTTGATGGTTTTGTCCAGCGTACGACGAGTCAGGTCCTGGTACATGATCTTGCGCAGGAAGAGCTCAACTGGCGTTCGCTCCTTCTGTTCGATTGCTGCACGCTCTGGAGGGTTCACATAGTACACAGCGTTCTCGATCAACATGCGCTCTTGTTGACCAATGACCTGAGCACCCTTCTTGCGTTGAAGGGTTTCTAGGAAGGAATGCATACGAGGAGATGTCTCAGGGTTGCGAAGCAGATAACGTCCGCAATTCTCCAACAGGTTGCAGATGATCTCGATATTCATCCGTGAGAAGTCGTCAAGGCTGACTTTTAGACAATGGAAGATGACGTGCTCTGGAACCACACCGAACTTGGTCAACTCTGCAAGGTAGCGCACATTCTGCGTTCGCACTTGTCCCAGGAAGTCTTTCGACTTTCGTCGTTGTAGGCTTCTGAACTCGTCGTCAAGGTAGGATACCAGGCCCTGAGAAACGTCTGACATGTACTTTCCGAGAGTTGCAATGAGCCTGGAGTACAAAGGGAGCAGGTCGGACCGGCCCTTCGGGATCTCTTGCACAGCCTTGATGAGGCGGTTACGAGAAGCCTTTGAGTTTAGGAAACAAAAGTCCATGGCAGTCTGATCGACAGCATCCTTTGTTGCAATTTCTGGAAGGCGTGCCAGTAGGGCATCGACCTGTGCTCCAACGGACTTGTTTGCAATGGCAGTAGATTGGTCCTCCCCATCGGCCGGTTTCGTGTCATTGGTAGCTTCCGGTGCCTCTTTCTCGACGGCCTCAGTCTTTGCCTCGATCTTCTTGCCAACCTGCTCGTCGCCATCTGTCTTCTTCTTTTTGACCTCCTCTAGCAGAATACCTGGAACGCGGTCTTTCAAGTCAATCAGATTCTCGTAGAAACGTCGCTCTTCTTCGTCTTCCCAGATGCCAGCGCCATCGCTTTGGCCGCGCAGGTATTCGCCCGCCTTGACCAGGCCAATAGCACCATCGCCTGTATTCGCGGAATTGTCCTTCTCTTTGAGATCTGGCATCTCTACGCCCAAGGCGTCGGCCAGAATCTGTGCGTTTGTCACCAGTCGCTCTTGAGACTTCATCTGCTTCTCGTAGTTGGACTGACGATCCTCGAAGACCTCGCCCGACTTGACGTACGCTTCAGCATTCTTCCGGCCCTGACTGAGTATGTGTTTTTGGTCGCGGAGGAGGTGGGTCTTGACGTCTTCAAAGTAACGAGTGAGGATATTCCTGAAGCGCTGTTGCAAGTCCGAGGAGATTATGGGCGGATCTTGCTCCTCATCTTCGGCGCCGGAAGCACCCCCATTCTTCTCAGCCGTTGTAGTCCCATCCTCATTCACAGTCTTGCGACCCTCTGCGGAGGATGGCTTGGCACCCAGTATATCCCAAGCGAAGGCCTTGACGAAGATAACGACGAGAGGTAGGTTGACATGTTCGCGATCGTGTCCCAGCATGTCCTTCAGTACCTCGAGCGGAAAGGGCTCAGCGTCAGCGTTCTCAGCGCGCGACTTTGCTTTCGTAGAACCTTCGACGAGCTTGCCATTGTCTTTGGTCTTGCTCGCTTCCTCGGGTCGAGCTACGTCATCCAGACTGCGCAGAACACCCACAAGCCAGAGTTCGGTAGCAACCCGTAAAAGGACGCGCTGGCGGGCTAGGCGCTCCTTCTCTTCACGCTCGCGCACCTCGGGTGCCAGTGTCTTCAGGTGTGACTTGTCCGGTGTCGCTAAGCCCCTCCCAATGTACCAGCCAATGTATCCTGTGAACTCGGTCGGGCCGAAGCGCTGGTGGAGAGCGCTGACGATTTCTACACCGGCTGCAATCTCTCCGGGGGTCTTGAGCTTGCACAGGCCTTCGTAACATGCGGAGATGATTTCGGACAGATATTTATGGAGGGACAAGGCGCGGATTTCTTGGAGGAACTGCGCTTGGGCAGGTGCGTTTACGGCGGTTCGAAGGCGCTTGATAAAGGCCGTGTTCTTTTTCATAGACGAGTCGAGAGAGCCTTGCACGGCGAAGACGTCTGGGTACATCGTCAGCATGAGGGCTGCAGCTGGAACTATTCTTGGCCCGTGTACCTTGTTCGCCATCCCAGGCGCGTATGTTCAATTCACGAAGCTCGCCTAGACATGATTAGCTTTCTCCTCGTCGCAAACGTCGCAAACATACGCTTCCTGTGCCTCTCCATGGTGGAGTAGGCGATGCCGCAGTGGTGGAGGGGCGGCGGTAGATAGTACGGATCGGTTATGATACGCGCACATGGAAGGTGGGAAATATATCAGGCGCAGTTGCTGCTTGCATTTGTTCGGGCTCGGTGAGACAAGCTCGAATGGGAGGGTGCGTATTTGCGACTCTGGCAATGTCGCTATCGAGGGGGTTTCTTGTCGACGTTGCGGATGGATTTGTGAATTGTACCTGCAGCGAGTTCGCTCACGTATCGAAACATCCGTGCGTCACCAAATGTCCCGCGGTTCAGACGAGGTGAATGACTAAGCCGAACTTGGGTACTCAACACCAGAATGCCCCTCAGGCGGGTGTCTATACAGATCCGAGGCGTCACCTGACAGCGACTATTGCACTGTCTACTTCCACCACGACAAGCTGAAATGCGAACAAACCGGTTTCTAACAATGCACTTTACACAGCTCCACGATCGGAGTCAGTCATCGCTAAGACATCGGGGAGTGTCGTAGACGAACTCTTGATAGATTCAAGTCCAAGATCAAGTACCGAGACAAGCGACGATAGTCATGCGCATTTTTTATATTACATTCAATATCAGCTTCACGCGGAGAATCTTCATTTTTGAGCTTTAGGCGTACATCAGCCCTGTGGCGTTTTTACAGATGCGGAGCTGGGAGCGAAAACGGTTACCTAGCTTCAAACTCCAACAATTCACCCCTGAGAAGTTCCACAAGGCGCATTCTTTTGTTCTTGACTGGTCGAGAGAGGCACTAGAAAACCAGATATCGCAGAGTTCAGGTTGCAGCTCAGGGGTTCAGTAGGAACTCGCATGTCGATATGCCGCGGCGCTATTGTGGAATGTCGGTAAGCGCACTCATCTCAACAGCGACGATTCATGTGCGACACGGGCATGTAAAATTGATTTACGAGGCCCATGATCCCAGTCCTTCCAGAAGGAATCTCGAATATGCTGCAGCTCAACCGTGTGTACACACCGCTGTAAACAAGTCAACAATGCTAGACATGCAGGACGAGCGCAATGGCGATCCGTAACCGTTGGGCCAACAGTAAACAGAATTGAAAAGCCTCGTAGCGAAAAAGATCAGCGCCTTGCCGTGGCTCGGGTCAGGAAAAGCAAGATCCGAGCCTGCGGGTCGCCGGTGCGCGACAACATTATCGATTGCGAGCCGTCCTCAGCCTCGGCGGAAGCGGGTTGGCGAGATCTATTCACAGAAATATGGCAAAGACAAGCTCCTATGCTGCAACGTCGACGTTGCCATATGCGATATGACGAGTGGGTGACCCACCAGGCAGTGGAACATGCAAAAAATCATCATTACCGGTACGAACGGAAGCGGCACAGGTTTCCTCCTGTCAGTCTCCATGGATGTTGGGGCCGCCGTCGCCGTTACATGCTTTTTGGAGCGGGTCGGCCTGGCCTACCCACAGTGAGCTCGTATTCTCGTCGAGTATTTTCCTAGCGCTCGTAGCTCCAGGGCATGACGGGAGGAGAGGGAAATAGGAAATAGGGATGAGGGGACATGGCTTCCTTTTTGCGACAGCTGCCAGCCATAGACCAGTGTGACAACCAAGCCTCTACCGTGATGCTCTGGGGCCGCTCTTGAGGAGTACGAGCGGCATGAAGCGCGTAGTGCCATTATTGGACGGAAATGTCTTTAAGGCAGTGAGCGATGCCGGCCCCTGAACGCCCAGCGTCCACGCGAAGCTAGAAGATGTCTTGGCAATGAAAGGCGACCAGCTGCATTGCATTGAAGGCGAATTTCCAACCATCATGATGCCACCTTACGCGAGGATTGAATACTCGTCGTGCTGCAGGAAACAGATTTTGTCCACGAGTATGCCGGCAGCGATGGTTTCGCAGCTCTCGAGACTCTTGACCGGGCCTCAAACACGCGGGCCCCGAAATGTTCATCAATCTGTGAGGAGGAACATGCGAAACAGAGAGGAACAGCTTGCCTGCAGTCTTCAGACAGCTAACGGTAGACGGCGCACGGGGGCGCCCAAAATAACCTGAGAGACTGCAGGCATAATGCCGCCGGCGCCTGGTTTAGCACGAGTCGGGACCACTAGAACCAGGCGAAGGCCTGCAAGCACCTCGCTTTCGACGACAAAGCGCGGGCTGCTTGCCCGATGTGGTTGGAGTGCCCCTGTGACGATCGTGCATCTCGACTGCTGCCCAGAGGGGCCAGGACAGTTTGGGTGAGGGCTGGGTGGACCGAGCGCACGCGCCTTGCGTGCTTGTAAACCAGCTCGATCCCCTCGTAGGAAATTCCTTCCTTCCTCAAGGCGCTCCTCCCACACGACTCCGGACTGCCCTTGCGTGCAGTATCTTGTTATCTTGTTAATGATCTTGATCTGAGCCCTTGTAGTCCTTCCCACCCTTACACTCGTTTATCTGGGCGCTGCGAAGAATTACCAACCAATTACAACACCACTACTACTACCACTACTACCGCCAAACACCAATACCTGCACTACTAGTAGTTTTCTCCGCTCTCCGGCATCTTCTCGATTTACATTTCGCCTCTCTCCCCTACCGACGGCAAATATCTAGCTTTGCACATAAAGACAGCATCGCTCGCTACCTCGCTTAACGACAACTACGAATATACACACCTAATAATCCGCCATGGTTTGGCAGGAGATGATGGGCCTCGCCGCCCGCGCGGTGGTTGCCCGCGCTGAGGTCGATGGCTCTATCCCAGACATCGACGACCCTTGGCCAGCTAAGGATGTGAGTATATTGGCAGCCAACCATGTCTATTCAGAAACTGACTACTGTAGATTGCCTACGTTGCTATCATCGGTGGTCTCATGTTAGCTGCTCTGCTTGAGTGGTTCCTTTGGGTTGCCGCTTTCCTGTACTGCATCGTCAAGGTCTTTCAGAAGGCCGAGACGATCAGTGTTCGCATCTTGTCCATTTTCTTCGGTATCCTCTTCTTCGCCCTCCGGTATGCATCCCGACTTCCCCATAACAGCCGTGTCTAACAACAACAGTGCCATCTTCTTGCCTATCATGGTCGTTACCTTGCCCCTTCCGTCGCAGGTCACCAAGTACTTCCCCCAGGAGATGGTTGGTTTCCTCCAGTGGTTCGCGTTCTGGTCTTTCGCCGGTCTCTTGACCGTTCCCTGGTTGTTCTGTGTTTACCAGCTTGTCACCCACTCCGTTGGTCGTAGCCGCCGTATCAAATCCGTTCTCGACGAGGCATCCGCTCCTAAGGTCGTCATCATCATGCCTTGCTACAAGGAAATTCCCGAGATTCTTCTCCGAACGTGCGACTCGCTGGTAGATTGCGAATACCCACCTTCGTGCCTGCACATCTTCCTCTCCTTCGACGGAGACCAGGAGGACGAACTTTACCTGAACACCATTGAGAAGCTCGGTGTGCCTCTTACGCTCGACACCTACCCCAAGTCCATCGATGTCATCTACCGTAGCTGCCGCATTACCATCTCCCGCTTCCCCCACGGTGGTAAACGTCACTGCCAAAAGAGGACCTTCAAGCTCATCGACAAGATCTACTCCGAGTACCTCAAGCGCAACGACAACCTGTTCGTGCTCTTCATCGATTCCGACTGCATTCTCGACAAGACCTGTATTCAAAACTTCATGTACGAGATGGAGCTCAAGCCCGGCAGCAAGAAGAACATGTTGGCTCAGACTGGTGTCATTACCTCTACAACTGAGAAGAACTCGCTCATCACCCTTCTTCAGGATATGGAATACGTCCACGGTCAACTGTTCGAGCGTTCAGTTGAATCCGGCTGCGGTGCCGTCACTTGCTTGCCCGGTGCTCTCACTATGCTTCGATTCTCTGCTTTCCGCAGAATGGCCAAGTACTACTTTGCCGACAAGGCCGAGCAATGCGACGACCTCTTCGATTACGGCAAGTGCCATTTGGGCGAGGACCGTTGGCTCACTCATTTGTTCATGATTGGTGCCAAGGAACGATACCAGATCCAGATGAACACCGGAGCTTTCTGCAAGACCGAAGCTGTGCAAACCTACCAATCTCTGCTTAAGCAACGTCGCCGCTGGTTCTTGGGTTTCATCACAAACGAAGTTTGCATGTTGACTGATATCCGTCTCTGGAAGCGCTACCCGATCCTCCTCATCGTCCGCTTCATGCAGAACACCATCCGAACCACCGCTCTGCTCTTCTTCATCCTGTGTATCTCTTTGATCACTACTTCGCAAAAGGTCGCAAACCTTCCCGTTGGTTTCATCGCCATCTCCTTGGGACTTAACTGGCTTCTCATGCTGTACTTTGGTGCCAAGCTCGGTCGCTACAAGATCATGCTTTACCCCCTCATGTTCGTCGTGAACCCCTTCTTCAACTGGGTCTACATGGTTTACGGTATCTTCACTGCCGGTCAGCGTACATGGGGTGGACCCCGTGCCGACGCTGGTAGCGCTGACACCAAGACTACACCCCAGGAGGCTATCGAGGCTGCCGAGGCCACTGGTGACGACCTGAACGTGGTTCCTGAGACATTCAAGGCTGCTGCCGAGGCACACAAGCACCGCCCAGCACCTATCCCCCTCCAGCCTGGCGAGAACATCGAAGGTCGCTTTGCCGCTGCAGAACGCCTGCCAAACGGATGGTACCAACAAGGCAACGACTCTGGTCTCACGCTTCCCAATACCATGCCCCGCAACCCCAACGTTCCCCATGTTCCTCTCCACCCCCGTTCCTCCATGGACTCGTTTGCTTCGCAAGAGACCTCTGCCGCCAACTCCATCTACATGCCCCGTCGTGTCGAGAGTTTCATGGACCCAGAGGATGCGCGCATCTATCACAAGACTCAGCAAACGCAAAAGCCTGCTGGTGGAGCCTTCTATGAGGAGCCACGTGGAGGACCCTACGAAGTCGGTGTTGGTGGTAGCAAGGGCATGTACAGCGAGTCTGTCGACTCCATCGATGACGACTCCGTGTATCAGTCCAAGGGCCCACAACGACCTGCGCAGACGCGTACCAACAGCGATCTCGCTCATGCCCCAGTTCGCACGTCGCCGCTGTCCAACGAGCAGAGGGGCCCCGGTCTCGAGTCGCCTAAGCCTTCGTACAACAGGACAAACAGCATGGAGCAGCGCCAGGGACGCAGTCCTCTCGCTCGCCAATATGTTCACACAGCACCCGGTGAGGGCATCGAGCTTCAGGCCCCACAGCAAAGCAGCCTGATGCGTGATGTATCACCTGCGCCGCTTGGCCAACCCACAATGCCTGCATCAAACCACGGACGAAGCGAGTCAACCGACTCCAAGAAGCGGAAGCGTCTCAGCAAGCAGCAGCCGCGCAAGTAAACGCTTTCTCCCGTCTTTTGGTCTAGCGTCTTGATCTTTCTTCCATTTACTGCCTAGAAGGCTGCGTCAACGACATACTGGCATTAACCTTTTTTTATTATCAAACTTGGTGTGAATTGAATGTCCCGGCGTTTTCAGCGAGCACCGCGACACACCGCGAGTGTCTTTCTCGCAAAAACATTTCCTTACTGTATATATACATATTATTATCACATGACGGCGGGATGTGGCACTGAAAAATATGGATCAGCTGCACGATGTGATTGTGGGTTAAATCATGACTTGGTTCGCTCTCGGATGCCTCGGGGTATATATGTTGTAGGAGCTATGTGATGGATCAATACACATCACTTTTTCTGCGTAATGTCTAGAAGTAATGTCTTTGTCCAAGACGTTGAATGAAAATAGTATTTCTGCTATGCTAAAGTGTTGTGTTATGTGATACTCACTGTCAGCGCTCAAAACAAAGCATAGTCATCCACTTGACTACTGTATTTCACGTAAAGTAAAGGTTATCTTGAGATATCAACAATACTAGCGATACAGCAATCCTTCTACTTCCTCCGCAATAGCCAAACTACTAGTCAGTCCAGGACTCTCAATGGCCAACAAATTCACAAACCCTTCAAACCCATTCTCCTTCTGAATGACAAAGTCCTGAAAATCCTTCCCACTGGTCGCCGCAAGCTTCCCCAACTTCGGTCTTATACCCACATAGTCCGGCTGGATGGCTTCTCTATCCACACCAGGCAGGTACGTTTGAATGTCGTCGATAGCCTGCGCCATGTTCTTGGTGTTGGGCGTGTAATCTGTGGGCGAATCCGTCCATTCGACATCTGGGCCAAAACGAATGCGCCCGGACATGTCGAGGGTGAGATGAGTTCCTAGGCCGCCGTGGCCTGGAACTGGGGCCGGATACACAAGTGTTGAAGGGCGGGGATGGGAGACAGCATAAGAGAAGTAAGAGCCTTTTGCGTAGAATGCTTTTCGATGCCGGTCTTTTGGTAGAACCATGTTTGAGATTTGGACGGCGAAGAGGCCGGCGGAGTTTATTAATGTGTCTGCTGTTATCGTTGTTTCCTCGCCGTCTTCTCCTCTAGTCGTGATTTCCCAGCCGCTGCGCCCAGAGTCGAGGGCTGTGATGTGTGTAACGGGGGATTTGAAAGCGCAGATTCCACCGTGGTCTTCAAAGTCGCCCTCGAGGTATTGCATCAAGCTGTGCGAGTCTACGATTCCGGTACTGGGACTTTCTAGTACACCGGCTTCGGCTCTGACATCGGGTTCTCGTCTCTTGGCTTCGTCTTTGCTGAGGAAATGGATTGGCACGCTGATGCTTTTTGCGAAGTCGTGGACTTTTTGTAGGGCATCCATCTGTGCTACGTCTTGCGCGACGATCCATTTTCCGGTGTTGCGGTGAGGGATCTCGTGCTTTTTGCACAACTCATACAGCATGTCTTTTCCTCTGAGACATAGTTTCGTTTTGAGTGATGTGGGTCCATAGTAGAGCCCGGCATGTATAACCTCGCTGTTTCGCGAACTGGTTTCTGTACCGACAGAGCCATGTTTCTCTATCAGAACTGTCGACGCGCCATCTCTTTGTTGCAGCTTGCGGGCTATAGCTAGACCGACTACGCCACCACCTACCACGGCGTGGGTGAAGTCCGCATTTCGTCGTATGCTTGTCGAAAAGTTTCTTGAGCCTGATATTGTGGTCCTAGCATGTAATGAAGAACGACAAAGAATGCGTGACGAGGCCATGATGGGAATTGGAAAAGAACGGCGAAACTCAGCAGATTTTGCTACAGATCCGGCAACGACATGTAAACAGAATGAAGCCAGCCTACACACCGGTGATTAACATGGCCTTTGGGTAATCGTAGTCCAGATAACTGATGCTTATCAGTGGCTTGTATGCATTTTGGATGACGTTGCGTGAACTGCCGTTCCTGACGCTAAACAGAGTGGGGTCTTCCTAATGTTACCTCAACTGGCACTCTGAGGCTGCACTCAATTCATACAGCATATCAAGCTATACACTCGACTATCTCAAGTTCTAGAAGCGGAAAACCAAAGTCCCTGGGGTCGCGACTACGTTCTCTATTGGACATCTGTGGTACTTACTATCTTCGTACGATAACGTCATCGGTACTCCAACACTCAAATCTCCGACATCACTCAAAGGCCAATCAATGTTCACGCCCCTCACCAAACGAGCAATACCACGCGCAAGTACCTCTCTCGTACCAAAAAGGTTCCTCCACAGCACACCTCGTAGCCTCGCCTCACCGCTCGTCGACCGCGTGAACAAAGTCACAATGGCGTCCTCCACCGGCACCCCCAAAGTAACCTCGGTCGTGGACCTGCCCTCATCAGACGCAAAATGGGTCAAACTACAAAAGGCTACTTATGTCGACGCCAAAGGCAAGGAACGCATCTGGGAAATCGCCTCACGGAAAACAACAGGATCTGCCGGCGTCGACGCCGTGGCAATGGGAAACATCATCTACCACCCCAGCAAGCCCCCCTCCACAATCGTCGTCATCCAATTCAGACCGCCCGTCGGCGGCTTCACGGTAGAATGGCCCGCGGGCCTCATCGATGCAGATGAGAAGCCCGAAGAAGCCGCTGTACGCGAACTGTATGAGGAAACAGGTTACAAGGGAAAAGTTATTTCGACTTCTCCACCTGTGGCTGCGGATCCGGGTATGACGTCTGCCAACTTGTGTTTGTGCATGGTGGAGATTCATTTGAATGAGGGTGACCCAGAGCCGGAGCAGCATCTGGATGAAGGAGAAGATATCCAGAGAGTGAATATTCCTGTTGCGGACTTGTACGATAGGTTGGAGGAGTTTGCTAAGGAGGGGTATGTTATTGCGGCAAAACTGTATCATTGGGCTGCTGGAGCGCAGTACGCGATTGATCATCCGGAGTTGTTTGCGAGGTCTGGGAAGAAGGGGCAGTAAGCTGTTTTGTTGTGTGAAGGTGTGTTGAGATGTGGAATGAGGGCACGGGAAAGTATATCGTGGAGATGGTTGATATGAACATCAAAGCTGTTGCAGCGAGTCTGATAACTGGCTGATTAGCTTCAGTTACCAGCGTACGGAGTATCTATTCACTGTTGTCAACATCAGAGATACGTATGAAATAACGCAGGACACCCAGATGTAGGAAAACAAACCATGCCACCACGAATGCCTTCCAAAAATGCCAGACCATATCCATCGCAGTGCTCGAAAAGCTGCAATCTTGTGTTTCAAAAATATCTTGCTGTTTACCAGCTTCAAATAACCATAGCTAAATCTATATACACCACCAGCCATCGCAATAACTGCCCGCCACCTATCCTTCTCACCTCGCCTTCTCGTCATCAATTTGCCTCCTCAAGTCCTCCAAAACACCTTTCCTATTCTCCAAGTGCCCCTGCAACCCCTCAACCTGTTCCCTAACCGTCTCAATCTCTTCTCTAATCCCACCCAGCCCCTTCACCGCACCACCCTCATCATTATCCAACTCCTTCAACACATTCCTCTTGTAGTCAAGCAAGAGCTCAAGTTCCCGCTTAACAAGCGCCGGCTTACTATCCTTGCTCCTGCCATGCCGCCTGCTCTCCGCCTCCTTCTCCACATCTGCAATCTTCTGTTCGAGCTCGCGGAGTTGTTTCTTTAGTCGGACTTCCTCCCAGTCTTCTGTTGTGCGGCCCCCGAAATCTGTGCCCTTGCCGCCCCGCGCACCGTAATTTGCGGCACGGTCGCCAACACCCAGGCGTGTGAGGTATGCGTCGCCGAATTTGGCTTTGCGGCCTGTGGCTGTGTTCTCGTCGCGTGTGGCTGCCCATCGCGAGTTTGCGTTTGATTCAATGTCGTAGTCGATATGCGCTTTTTCGAAACTGGCGCGTAGGCTCGGTGGCACACTGCGAGGTACACGGAAACTTTCGCTTCGCTGGTTGAGTATGTGTAGGAATGCTAGTGCGGCGTCCTTGCCGACGCTTTCTCTTGCTTTGGGGTTGACCAGATTCCATGCAAATCGCACGTCGGAATCTGGGACGTTATCTAAACTTTCGAACAAGCCGGATAAGCTATCGAAGGTGATGTTGCCGTGGCCGTCGCGGTTCGCAGTGTAGATTTCTTCGTATTTGGCCTTATCGGATGGCGACATGTACCAATCGAAGCCGTCGCGTAGACCAGGTGTGTCGTCATCGTCATCGACAGTTTCATAGGCGGGCTGGGAGCCGGAGAGGGCGCGCGTAGCTTGAACGAGATGGGCTTTTGATTCAGGGACAAGCCAGTCGGGGAGAACTTTGGGTACATCCACTGAGATCTGAAGTGTCTTGGTCAGCGCCTTGTTCCTCTTGCAACCTCATGTGTCCTTGGATTCCCCAAACCAGACCTAGGGGCTCAGAAGAAACATACCCCATTAATCAAATCGAAGATGAGTCTCATAGCAACACAAAACTCCTCAAAGTCAAGGTTGCCATCGTTGTCCACATCCGCCAGATCCCACACTCTCTCCAGCTGATCATCCCGCAAATGTGAGTTCTTGAGTACAGGCGCTGCTTGCGCGCCGTCGAGATGAGTGCCGCCGTTGCTGAGCGAACTGAATATCTCCCAGTACTTTTCGATTTCGTCCTGCTCGATGCGGTTCGGCGCCATGATTGCGATTGAGATTGAGGTAGCGGATATCGAGTTAGAGGGCAGAGAGGCAGGCGGAGGGGGGGGGTTTGTGTATGCGCTGGTGAGATTCGAGCGTCTTGGTTGCGGGATGCCGGGATGGCGGAGCTCTGGCCGCGACTGCTGCCGGCTGGGCTGGGGTACGTAGCTACCTGACGCTAGCCGTGGAGCGACCGCCTTACGGCCCTCAATGTTACGCGAATGAGATGCAATAGCCGTCGTCTTACCAGTCCTATTTCGGGGCTTGCTGACAGTCAAGTTTATTCGCATGTCGTCACCGCCATGTAGTTGAGGAGCCTCATGTTGGTTAATTTTCCATTCAGCTAGATATATGCAACAATGCCCTATTATCATTACATCAAGCGAACGATGTAAATACAGCCTAGATCCCCAGACACCCCAAGTTTTCCCATATAGACTTGCGCCAGATGTAAACGATACATGATTTTCCAAAGGAAAGACTAAATGGCGTTACTGCCGTGCAAACATGTCCAAACAACACCGCTAAATGCAATCAATTCTCAAATTTCTACTTATCCCATGTTGGCAAGCTCATGGTCAATGGCTTGAGTAAGGAAAATTTTCCTCTCGCCACTGAGCTGCATCTGTAGCCTCTGCTCCGCAAGCGCAATGATCTGCTTACGAGTGACCTTGTCAAGGTCGGCGTCTTTGAGACACGCCTGGACAGTCTCGATGATTTGGCCGTCAGTTGGTCCGTTCATCATGCTCTGGAAGTTGGTTGTGCTACCAGGCCGTGACATGCTCGCGCCATAGCTAAGGGGACTGCGTCCACGAACAGGTGGTGTAGACGAAGTCATCAGGTTGTCTGAGCTCTGGAAGCCGCCCATGCTTTGTCGTTGGCCGTATGGCGAGGCGTTGTTGCCATTGTACATGTCGCTCATGTTGCTCATAGACATGACGCGGTTCTGGTGCGGGTTGTCTTGGTAGCGGGACAAGTTCGAGTAGGTCGATTGACGCGTCTGCATGCCTTGGTACGGACCAGGCGACTGCGGAGGCATGTGCGAAATGTGCTGCATATTGGACATGATGGTAGAGGCAGGTTTGACCGAGGAGTAGACAGATTGCATGTCGTTCATCTCATACGCTTCGTCTTCGTATGCGCTGAATCCACCCTTCTCGGTACTCATACCAGGAAGACCGCGACGTCCGGGGAGTTCATTGCGCTCGGCGTACTCGTCCCATCGCATCATAGGAATGGCCTTGGGATCGAAACCTTCGTCATCCGTAGTGAGAACCTGCTTAGTTCCTTGCTCGCCAATGACGACACGGGTGTTACCCCACGAGAAGTCATCTTGCTTCCAGAAAGAGTACATAGGAAGGGCGAGAGAGTAAATGGGGAAGGCTAGGATGTAGATGATCATCCATCCAACATGTTGCCATTGTCGCTTGATGATGAAGATGAGCGCCTGGAGACCGTAGACAGCTGCCAACATGACGATGGAGAGCATGGGGAATTGGCCCGTGCCGGTGGAGACAGTGTAGACGAGATACACCAGGTACGCGCAGATAGATGGAAGGATAAGGGTACCGAAGAGGTCGATGAAGACGACGAATCGCATAGAGAAACAGCAGAAACCGCAAAGGTCCTTAAGGAAGACAAGTTCGGCCAAGTTGTGGATAGTCGAGTTAATCCATCGACGTCTCTGGGAGAGCAGAATGCTCCAGGTGTCAGGAGCAGCCGTAAGAGCGTACGCATCAGGGATGAACTTGTAAGACATAGCAGGGAAGTACTTCGTCATCAGAGTGGTCAGATAACGATCCTCACCAAGCGAGAGAAGATTCTTCTTGTGCAGCGTGTCCACAACACAGTCGGCGTAGTCCTTGATGATTTTGTCCGAGATGATGAGAGGCTTGCCTTTGTCGGCTGTACGTAGACGGTACATGGTGAAACTGGAGCGAGTTAGCACTATCTAACTGAGGCGGTGTGAAGTACTTACCATCCAGGCAAACAGGTGACGCTACCAAACAAACTCTCAAAGGCCTTGGACAGATGATGCGAGATGTAGTACTCATAAACTTGGATCATAGTCCACCATGACCTGTCTTCGTTCTCCAAGCTCGTCTCTCCACATATACCGGCAATCTTTGAGTCGTGGGCGCAAGCTGCTACAAGACGATTGAGAGCATCGGGCTTGACCATAGTATCGGCGTCGATCATGAGCAGATACTCGTATAGCTCTGGGTCAACACCAATGATATTATTGATTTGGTGAAACATTTCCAGCTCCAAGGGGTTCATAGCGGAACGGTGGTGGACGCGGTTAAGAAAACTCATGAGTAAGATTTGGGAGTCGCGCTTTCCTCGGTTACCTGGCTTAGACTTATGCTGTTCCGACTCCTTGCCCATCTTGACAACGACGATGTATGGTACCACATTGCCTTCGAACTCGTATAGACCCGAATAAACCTTTCCGTAGTTGAGCTGCTGGCTGCCTTCACCCACCGACCAGAATGGAAGCGCAGGAGGGTCGACCTTGGGGTCAACGCCAAGGATGTCCAGTACAATCTTGGGTGTAGGGCGATCGTTACCGCCACCAACGATCATTCCGTCGCAAATGACGCAGATGAGCTTTCGTTTGTTGTCATAAGAGAGGGCGGTCAGGGAGTCCAAACTTTTTCGGAGCGAATCCTCGCCTTCGGTATAAGCCGGCACTTGGCAGATAACGAACTTGTCCTGGTTCGCGGGACGTTTCCGTGAACCCAATTGAAGGGCAGCCAAAAACTTGATGACAACGACCGTGCAGATAATGATGGCGAAGGCGAGTAGAATGTAGTCATTGACCTGGCATTTGACCGTCTTGCGGAAGTCAGTTCTGCCAACGTAGAACAAGTTTTCCAGACATTGCAGATTGTTCTGTTGCGTAGTCTTGTTGAGGTTGTTATTCCAGTCCTCCTTCAGATTCTGGCCAGCGTTGCTCTTTACCATATCAATTAGCTTGGCGTCGAGGAAGTTGTACTGAGGCTGGTTTTGCATATAGTCGATTGTAGCGAAGTAGTCAGTCAAGTCGTAGACCCTCTCGTCGAGCCTGAACCACATGTGATTCAGATCTTCACCTTCATCCTTGATCTTGCTCTCTTCCCAGACGAGATCTCCTTTCCTGAATTCCTTCATAGCAGGGAGAAAGACGTCGGGGTACCATGTCTCGCTCTTCAAAGCGTTGCTGTCTGGCATATTTGTCATCGAACCAGACTTGTGAACAGCGATTGCATTGAGGCTCTCAGCCGTTGATTCGTTGAAAGTCAATTGTAGGACCTTGTTTTGATCGGTTTCCGGGATCAGGTTGGGGCAAGCAATCCATAGCGGAGGAACGACGTATGGGTCCATGTTGGCGCCTGCCATTTCCATCATTCGATCCCGAGTAGCCTCGGTGTTGGAGTCGCTGTGCTGCTTTTTCCAGAAAGAAGTCAGGTCATAAACAACACCGCGATGACTGACGAAATAGTCATCCTCGCCTTGATGCGCCGATACTTCCTTCGTGTTCCAGACCTTGTCCTTGTTTGGGCACAAGAGTTTACCGAAAGCGACAATATAGAAAACGATGGTGGCGTTTAGCAACATGATGAGCATGAACAAGACGAGCTTCTCACGCCATGCCATGCGCACATCAGGTCGCTTCATACGACCAAACCAGTTGAGAAACGGTGAAGGGACCCAGAAGGTAAGGGCCCAGACGAAGGCGACCCAGATCTTTCGAGAACCGGTCAGAGGGGTTTCAGTGACGACGGCATTACCACCTGACTCCATGTCGTAGTAAGTGACACCTTTGTTCTCGTCACCCTTCATTCCCAGACCGTAATCACCAGGAGCCGTCGTGGGAAGAGTGCGTGTAGTTGGTGCAATTGATTTGGCATCTGCTGCACCGGGCACGGCCAGACTTGTAGAACTTTGAAAGGGGTTCTGCGGAGTCGCAGACATGTCCGGAAGAGGTGGAAAGAATGCACTTGCTGTAGGTGGGAGCTGAGTGGGGTATCCATTTTCCATGCCGGCAGCTCCAATCATGCCTCCAAGCATGTTGGGAGAACCACCCATTTCTTGCGTCTTCAGGTCGAGCTGCGATTCCGCCTCCCACCATGTGCCTTCCCTAACCCAGACGCGCTCCTTGCCTACCATGACTTCACCGTTACTCCAGCCGCGTTGCAAAATCCAGTTCTGGATACCCTCTTGGCCGTCCATGCAGCCTAGCGGAGCGTATCGGTCGTAGAATTCGTGGTGATCGAAATCGGCGGTGAAGTCGAGGTTGCGGTTGCGACGGTTCGCCCACTCGGGCAGTCGCCACTCGCGAAGTTGTCGGGATACCACGCCGGCCTGCCAAGTAGAGTTGAGGTCTTGGTTCAGCGAGGTGGGGATGGAATCTGAGGGATGGATTGCCAGCTGGAACCAAACTCTGCTACTAGCAACTGTCATGGCCAGGTCGAAACGGCCGTGCTTGCCTAGGACCACGCCACTGTTGGGTACCGGGTAGAGCGTCTTCTTTAAAAAGTTGTCCTCATCCGCAATCTCCAGGGCAAGCTTATCCAATACAGCCTCCCGCTTCTCCAAATCAGCTTCTTTTTCGCGGAGGGCGGGCCCATTGAGGCCAAGCTCTACCGTGCAGCTTTGTATGGCCTCGCGCATACCCTCAAGAACGGAGTTACCAACAGGTGGTACTTGTACACCATCGTCTCGCATCTCGGCGTTGATGCCTTCGCTGTCGTCGAAGACGGTGCGTAGCGCAATCGCTTTGGCAAGAGAACGACTGGGGATCTCGACAACAGTGATGTTGACAATGTCTCCATCTTCAGACTCGTCAGGTGTCATCATGCCGCTGCCGTCACTGTCGTCCATGGCGAATCCGGACTTGGCACGGCGGATATCTTCCTTGATCGAGGCGTTGGCGTGGGCAATAACGTAGTCGACGATGGCTTCATAGATGCCGCCGATAGCGATCTCGCGCTCGTTGGAGCCCAGCTTGTGGCGAAGGGTACCGTCGGGTAGATCCATAAGCGTCTCGACATCCTCGCATACGGAAGCGAGCGATTCTTCATCCATGAAATAGTCGAGGGTGTTGCCGAGCTTCATTAGCCCTGTGAGACAGCTAATGAGACTGGTCAGCTTTTGCCCCTTGATGCCAATTGCCTTTAGGTTTGAGCGGAAGTCTTCAGCTGCGGCGGCATCATCGGCGTCGGGGAGGTAGCTTGGAGGATCGTATGTTCCGGATCGTCGGAGGAGGGCATATTTGTCCAAGGATTGGATATCCAGGTATTCCCTCTCTTGCCTGGATGCCGAGCTGGAGTTCAGGTAGTAGAAGACATCGAAGGCACGGAAGCCACTCTGTCCAGGAACTTGGAGCAGGCCTTGTTGAACGTCCAAGCCGGATGTGGATAGCTTGATCTCGGCTCCGACGACAGCGCCAGCGAGGTTGATGGTGAAGACGGCGGCCAATGCTGAGTAACGGGGAGTGGAGGGGTTCAGCGGGGTGACGCAGTGTGTGAAGGCTTTGAGGGCCTCGAGCGCGGTGTAGAAGTTGCCTGGAAGTGACAGAGGCAGGCTGGAAACGAAGGGAGAGAAGAGCGAGGGGCTCGAGTCGTGCAGCGAACTGGACCAGTCAGTTGGTGATGATGGGTATAAGGGTGTTGAATACATACGCCAGGACTATACAGCCATCCTCAGCTCTCCGGCGAGCATGCTCCCAAGCCTTTCGCCCCAGCTCGAGGTCGACTGTGCCACCAATGCGATCGTCAATGATGCTCTTTGCATTGACCCAAGTGTTGACAACCAGACTGGTGCTGGCCTCGAGATTGTATGAGCGTCCGTTCTTGTATGCCGAGTTGAGAGTGTTGAGCAGGGTGGTGGTGGATATCTGCGAAGGCGAATTCCCCGGTCGCGATGCCGAGGCAGATGCCGTCGAGTAGACGGACATGCGGGAGTTGTTGACAAAACTCATGGTTGCGGGCTGAGGCGGGTCGCCCCTTCCGTAGATGCGAGTAGCAATACTATAGCGAAGGTTGATGAGGTGTTACCGCGCGTCAACTGCAGCTGTCGTCCCAGATGGTCGATGTCTGGGCAAGAGTGATACGGGTAGCCTCTAGATGTAATTACGCCTTTCACAGCAAAGGTGCGAAAGGGACTAGCGAGTGGACGGATTAAACGATTGTATGAAGAAGAACAAAAGAGCAGGTAACAAGAGAGGCTCGTGGAACGCAGACAGAGCAGCGGTGATGTTTGTTGGCTCAGGGCAAGATGCATTCCCGCCCAGCTTCATGGGGGATGGTGCGGTATGGTTAGGGGGGGTTAGCAGCCTGACTAATACCGGAGCGAGGCAGCTCAACGCATCAACACCAGCCAGACATGGATGGCGAGTCTTGGTTTTCGTGGCCACTACCAGCTGCGGCACCCACCCGATGGGCCTGTGATACGAGCGGGTGACGCTGGATGTAATGGCAACCCCTATTTTTAGTTTGTTTATTGATGGCAATAATAATTCCTCCCACTATCGAAGCCTACGAACAAGCAATTGTCGGAGAATTCCTCTCACTCAATGACCAGCCTGTAATCGATAAGACAGACGGCACACCATCTGGGTCTGTGGAGATGGTTTCCGATGTCTGAAGCTTGTAACATAGCCTAGGCGCATCCCATATCCACTCTCACTCCCTTTTATCTAGCTCTTATTTGTCTTTGGCTCGACGGTTTCAACCTGACCGAATCACGCCGGAACAATTTCAAAACTCGACCTGACGTCAAAGCACTAACCCCTCGTTGGGACCGACAGAATCAATCCTTGTGTCCCCGGTGCGGGCGCTACTCAAGGGTCTATCGTGAAGTCATGTACACAGCACAGCCTTCCGGGCTCTAGGACAGTGGGCCTCGTCGCCGTCTAGCCCAGCGCTGGCCCAACGCTCTCACGCGAGCAAAACAAACGTTGGCTGACAGCTGATGGCTGGGCCAGATACGTAAACATCATGGAGAATTGTCCGCGGCGTTAGTTTTCTCGGTCGCCGCGCAATCGATACGGGTTGAACAGCTAGTGCATTGAAGCGTGCAGCGATGATCGTTCCCGGGGCGCGCGCGACCGCTAGCATGCATGGCTGGTAGTGGTTCTCTGCAATGCGCCTCTGGGGCCCAAATCCACGCCTGGGGAAGGGGGTGTAACATGGAAAAGCACGTCGGCCAGACTTGATTCTCTGGTCCACGCCGTGTCTCGTTGCTTCGTGTTGTCCACTGCCTCGTGAGCAGTGCGACGAGGAAGGGAGTCCCCAAAGAAAGTTGCCATCTCATCAGTAAGCAGACGAGTGGAGCCGCAATGAGGATGCGAGGCAATAGGGCTATTCAGCGTATTCTATTCTATTTTTGCGCCCCCTTTTCGTGATCGCTGGGTCTCCTGGTCAACACACGCCAAAAAGCGGCTGGTGCGGCGGCGGGCGAAGCTGAGCTAGAAGCATCGTAGCCCCATGCTCTCCAGCGCTCCGTCCAGAGTAGCCAGCATACTGAACCGGCCCCTTTGCACTGCAAGTCAACGGCTTTGAACATCCTTTACCTTCGTTTGTACACCCGTTACCACACTCGCTGATTGTAATTATTTCCGTGGCGTGTTTTTCTTGTTCCGTCTGCATTCTGAGTAACCCTCCGAACGCAACACCAACAGGAGACAACAATTCGACGAGCAGTTGCCATTCGACAGTCCATCGCTCCTGCCTGACTCCCCAGTCCCTTCACTCGCTCCCACGGGGACGCGGCTGCCCATCATGGCTTCCAATCCGCTGCAGAACCCCTCGCTGCCATCGCTGCCCCAGCATCAGCAGAACGACACGGGCTTGACATCCGCCCTTGCCAGCCGCTACCACGCACATCTTCCCATCGCATCCCTCTCATCGCAGGGAATTGTCGCTATCAACACATGCACAGATGCCAGTCTAGGTGTAGATGGTGGCAAGGAGGGAAGCGCCCATCAGGCCGCTGAGGACCTCTCCCACCGAGCCTACACGCGTCTTGGACATCGCTCTGAGGACCAAGCCATCGTCTTTCTGTGAGTATCTCCAAAACTGACTTCCAAATCCACCCCTCTAACATGCGGCAGTGGCGAATCTGGCTCTGGAAAGACGACTATCCGCGGACATATGCTGAGGTCCTTCATGTCCTACTCCTCGACACCCCTCTCCAAGAAGATCGAACATGCCAACTTCGTCTTTGATGCCTTCACCACTACCAAGTCCCTGACTACGCCGCAAGCCTCTAAATCCGGTCTCTTATTAGAGCTTCAGTATAATACCACCACCGCAAACAACGCCACTCTTCTTGGTGCTCAGTTCCTCGCCCATCGTCTCGAGCGCAGCCGCATCGCTTCAGTGCCCACGGGTGAGCGCACATACCATGTTCTCTACTACCTCCTCGCTGGTACCAGTCTCAATGAGAAGAAGCATCTTTTCCTCGACGCAGTAGGCGGGGACGGCAATGGAGGCAACCGCACCTCGCTCGGTTCCAACAAGAGGTGGCGCTATCTCGGACACCCGACACAGCTCAAGGTGGGCATCGATGACGCCAAGGGCTTTGCCGATTTCAAAGCTGCTCTACGCAGGCTTGAGTTCGGCAAGGAGAGCATTGCAGGCATTTGCGAGATTATGGCTACTATCATGCACATCGGTCAGCTCGAATTCGAGATGGGCCAAAACACTACTCCTGCCCCTGACGAGAGCGGTGGCTACTCCCACGAGGGTGGCGAGTCCATCACTGTTGTTAAGAACAAGGAGTCTTTGGTACCCATCGCTCAGTTTTTGGGTGTCGCCATGTCCGATTTGGAGCAAAGCTTGCGATACAAGTCCAAGACGCTATACCGCGAGCGCGTCACCGTCATGCTGGACCCCAAGGGCGCGCGAGCCAATGCAGACGAGCTCGCTCGTTCTCTGTACTCGCTTCTCGTCACATGGGTCATGGAACAGATGAACTCCAGGATCTCAGTGCCATCCGAGCAAATCTCCAATACCGTCTCAATGGTCGACTTCCCTGGATTCGCCAACTTCGCGGCCACCGGATCATCACTGGATCAACTGCTCAACAACACTGCGAACGAGTCTCTGATCTCTTTCTGCCAAGAGAGCTTCTTCCAACGGCAAATCCAAGAGCTGGAAGCCGAGGAGATTTCTCTGCCACCTATGGCTTTCTACGATAATACCGCCGTGAAGACGGGTCTCATGAAGCCCGGTAACGGCCTTCTGAGCATCTTAGATGATCAGATGCGTCGTGGCAAGACTGACATGCAATTCCTCGAGGCTATTCGTAAGCGTTTCGATGGCAAGCACCAGGCCATTGTTCCCGGAAGTCTTACCGTCGTGCAACCCGGTAGCAACTTCCCAACACCCAACACTTCACCAACCTTTACCATTCGCCACTTCACAGGTGACATCGATTACAGCGTTGAGGGCTTGTTGGAAGAGAACGCGGAGCTCATCTCTGGCGACATGATGCACCTGCTCAAGTCTGCTCAGGCCCCGTTTGTCCAACAACTCTTCGGTCAAGAAGCTCTCCAGAAGATGTCACATCCCAAGGAGAAGTCCGCCATTGTCCAGGCCACCGTTAGCTCTAAGCCCACACGCCAACCTAGTCTGGCGAAGCGGAAGGCCGACAAGACCGGGCGATTTGGACGTCAACTAAACGTATTTGATGAAGAGGCCATCAGCGATGCCGAAAGCAATATCTCTGGCACCAAGAAGCCTGGTGAGCCCCAGAAGCAGACTGGTGCTGCAGGTCAATTCATCAGTTCCCTGAGGACTATTGAATCGACAATGCGGAAAGCTAACGCTTACTTTATCTTTTGCTTGAAGCCCAATGACCGAAGGATCGCAAACCAGTTTGACAGCAAGTGCGTTCGTCAACAGGTTCAGGCTCTTGGTATCGCGGAGATCAGTCAACGTCTCCGGGTCGCTGATTATAGCATCTTCATGCCTTTCGCCGAGTTCCTTGGGCTTGCTCAAACCGACCTTGCCATTGTTGGAAGCGACAAGGAAAAGGCTGAGATGGTCCTTGATCAGAAGCCGTGGCGTGAAAACGAGGTTCGTGTTGGTGCCACTGGTGTCTTCCTGAGTGAGAAGTGCTGGCTCGAGATCGCCAACGTTTCGAACCTCGCTCCTTACGCCCGTGGACCTACTGATTCCAACGACAACCTGCTTACCCCCGATGCTGGCCGATCGTTTGGCGACGTTCGAACTGGTCTTCTCTCACCATCGCCTGGTGCATACTACGACGACAAGAGCGGCAACTACTTTGGTCAAAGAGACATTGACGCTCGATCAGAAGCGCCGTCTGGCATCACCAATGGCGACATGTTCCATGGCTTGGAACAGCCCAAGGCCATTGACGACGAGAAAGCGGCTGATGCAAAACTACAAGAAGTCGAAACCATTCCTACCTCCGGCAGTCGAAAGAGATGGGTGTTCATCGTCTACGTCTTGACATGGCTCATTCCTGATTTTGCTATTCGGTACATCGGCCGCATCAAGCGCAAAGATGTACGGATGGCATGGCGAGAGAAGTTGGCCATTAACATGATCATCTGGTGGAGTTGTGCGTTTGTCATCTTCCTCATGATTGGCTTTCCCGCTGTCATCTGCCCGAAACAACACGTCTACTCTTCCGCTGAACTGACATCCTTCGACGGCAAGGATGGAAATGAAGCTTACGTTGCCATCCGCGGTATCGTCTATAACCTAGGAGACTTCATTCCACACCATTACCCCAGCATCGTTCCACAGAAGAACCTGGAGAAGTATGCAGGAAAGGATGCTACCAATCTGTTCCCTGTACAAGTCTCTTCCTTGTGCTTGGGCAAGGACGGAACAGGAGTCAACCCCGCCGTCCAACTGAACTACAAGAACTCCAACTACACCGACTCAGCCGTAAACAACCTCATCAGTGCTACTGATCTCAATGCGCAATACCATGACTTCCGGTCTTTTACCAATGACAGTCGTGGCGATTGGTGGTTTGAGCAGCAGATGTTTCTCAAGGCCAACTACATGAAAGGTCGAGTTGGATACAGCCCCGAGTACCTGAAGACGCTTGGGAACAAGGGCAACTCCATTGCCTACATGAATGGCCGTGTATATGACTTCACGGATTACATTCCTGGTGGCCGTGAGCTGAAGTTTCCCATTGGCGAAGCGCCAGATGACACTGGGAACATCGATACCGATTTCATGCACCGAGACGTTGTGGACATCTTCCGAGTTCAGGCTGGTAAAGACATCACCAAGTACTGGCAGAATCTCAACTTGGACGCTACAACAAAAGCGAACATGGAGACCTGCATGAACAATCTCTTCTACGTCGGTGACTTGGACACGAGAAACTCGGCCAAATGCCTGTTCGCCAAGTACTTCCTTCTCGCGATTTCCATTCTTCTGGTCAGTGTTATCGGTTTCAAGTTCCTCGCGGCTCTCCAGTTCAGCCGAAAGACCGATCCGGAAAACATCGACAAGTTTATCATCTGTACCGTGCCTGCCTATACTGAAGACGAAGACTCCCTCCGTCGCGCGATCGATTCCGCCGCCAGGATGAAGTATGATGACAAGCGCAAACTACTTGTCATCGTCTGCGATGGTATGATTATCGGTCAAGGCAACGACAAGCCCACTCCTCGCATCGTTCTCGACATCCTGGGTGTCCCTGAGGCCACCGACCCCGAGCCACTCAGCTTCGAAAGCTTGGGTGAAGGCCAACGTCAACACAATATGGGCAAATGCTACTCGGGCCTGTATGAGGTACAGGGTCACATCGTGCCTTTCCTGGTCGTAGTCAAGATCGGCAAGCCTTCGGAAGTCTCTAAGCCTGGTAACCGCGGAAAGCGTGACTCGCAGATCATTCTCATGCGATTCTTGAACCGTGTGCACTACAACCTCCCCATGACTCCGCTTGAGCTCGAGATGCATCATCAGATCCGGAACATTATTGGAGTCAATCCCACCTTCTACGAGTTCCTTTTGCAAATTGACGCTGATACCGAAGTCGCACCCGATGCCGCCACTCGATTCGTTGCAGCCTTCCTTCACGACACTCGCCTACTTGCCATTTGTGGTGAAACTGCCCTCACCAACGCCAAGTCCTCCTTCGTTACGATGATGCAAGTGTACGAATACTTCATTTCTCACAACCTGACTAAGGCTTTCGAGAGTCTGTTCGGTTCGGTCACTTGTCTTCCTGGTTGTTTCACCATGTACCGCATCCGCGCTGCTGAGTCGGGTAAGCCACTGTTTGTCAGCAAGGAAGTCGTTGAAGCCTACCAAGAGATCCGAGTCGACACTCTGCACACAAAGAACCTGTTGCATCTAGGAGAAGATCGTTTCTTGACTACGCTACTCCTCAAGTTCCATCCCAAGTACAAGACCAAGTACACGATGCGAGCACATGCCTGGACTGTGGCGCCTGACAGTTGGTCCGTCTTCATGTCTCAACGTCGTCGCTGGATTAACTCTACCGTTCACAACCTGATCGAACTGATCCCGCTTACTCAGCTTTGTGGTTTCTGTTGTTTCAGTATGCGCTTCATCGTCTTCATGGATCTGCTTTCAACGGTCGTACAACCCGTCATCGTTGTTTACATTGGTTATCTCATTTACACGCTGGTGTGGTCGCCTGATGTCGTCCCTATCACAGCTTTCATTCTTCTTGGTGCCATCTATGGTCTGCAGGCCATCATCTTCATCATTCGACGCAAGTGGGAGATGATTGGTTGGATGATCATCTACATCTTCGCAACGCCTGTCTTTGCCTTCGGTCTGCCTTTGTACTCTTTCTGGTACATGGACGACTTCTCCTGGGGTAACACTCGTGTGGTCACTGGTGAGAAGGGTCAGAAGATTGTTGTCACAGATGAAGGCAAGTTCGACCCTGCCAGCATTCCTAAGAAGAGGTGGGAGGAGTACCAAGCAGAGATGTGGGAGCAGCACACCATCCGTGACGACCGCTCGGAGGTTTCAGGCTATACCTATGCTACTAGGAAACCGTTCGGAAGCGCATCCGTCGCTGGCTCTGAATATGGAGGCATGCCACCATCTCGCTCCATGTCTCATCTCAACCTCCCACGCTACGACAACCACTCACGAATGAGTCTCGCCCAGAGCGGTTACGGCATGGATAGTATGGAGATGGCGAACCTGCCAAGTGACGATGCCATCTTGATTGAGATCAAGGACATTCTGTCCAAGTCTGATCTTATGAACGTCACCAAGAAGCAGATCAAGAGCGAACTAGAGCAGAGGTATGTTTATCGATATATATTAATACGGCCAATTCTAACAATACTACAGATTTGGATGCGATCTTACCCTCAAGAAGCAGTTCATTGGCTCTGCTGTCGAGTCACTACTCATCAGCGGCCAGCTATACTAAGCCTTCAGGGCTGCAGTTGGTGTTTGCTTCGTCGATGCTTTACGATTCTACGTGTTGCCATAGAGATACCGTTCTGTCATCAGTCACTCACATCGCCATGCTTCAGCACATGGCTTTCATCGCTACTATTGTAATATCGTCGTTGCATTCTCTCATTGGGTCGGAGTTACAGATCTTGGCACGGCGTTACATGTACTGGGATTTATCGGAGCAGCACACATTGTATTTTGTCGTCACCTGTAGTGTGCTTTGCAATGGAAGGGAAAATATGGGCGTAGATTTGAGTTGTAGGATGAGAGAGTAGCTATGAAGAAATGCATAGTGATACATATCACCATGACCTGCTTTGTAGGTTTGTCCCGTCGTTACTTCCAAACCTTCTCTTTTGCGTCAATGTGACCTGTCATTTGCAAGGGTCGCGCGTGAAAGGCAGATAGACATCGGAGGCATGGGCGCCACGATTGGTCCGAGCGCCTCTTACCCCTCCATAGCTAGCCGTTCGCCGCCCGCCGCCGCCACACAGAACAATCGATAACTCCAACAGAATTTCGCAGAAGCCAGTGTGCGTTCGCGTTTTTCTGTCACTCCCTCACGGTCCAGGCCTTTATTGGTTGATTCGGGACCTGTCTCTTTCGGCTCCAGTTTTATCTCCTGCCACTTCCACTGTGAAGCGCGGCTGCCTGCTGAATTGCTTGCGATCTCTACAGTTGACTCCAAGCGCGACCCATCGAGTGCAAACTGTCGACCCCACCGCCACTACCGAAATACGTCTCTAGCGGTGTCTGTATATACGAGTTCACATACCACATTCGTAGCAATACACCACATACACAATGCCGCCAAAGAAGAAGGGCAACAAGAAGACGCAGGACGACGACTGGGAAGCCGAGCTCGGCGAGTCTGTCGCGCCTCAGGATAGCGCTGCAGCAGAACCCAAGTCTGAGGATGCTGCCGCCGAGGATGATGTTGCAGGCGGTGGTCTGATGGCTGCTCTTGCAAAGCGCGGCAAGAAGAAGAACAAGAAGGGCGCAAACCTTGAAGTCGAAGGCGAGGACCCACCCGTTGATGATGCAAACGGGGATTTCGACAACAAGGCACCACAAGAAGGAACATTTGACGACGATGACGATGATGTCTTTGCTGGGAACTACGGTAAGAAGAAGGGCAAGGGTGGCGCTGCTGCCAAGGCAGAGGAGCCTGTCGAGGAGAAGTCCACTGATGCCCCGCGTGTAAAGACCAAGGCAGAGAAGGAGAAGGAAAAGAAGGAAAAGGAGAAGCAGCGAAAGAAGGAGTTGGTAAGTTCACACTATCCATCGTATTAATCAATCGCATGAGTTTGTACTAACCCAGTGTTAGGCTGCGAAGAAGAAGGCCACTGGTCCTGCCAAAGCTGAACCTGCGAAGCCTACCGAAACCAAGCCAGAAGCCGCTGTCGCACCCTCAGTCCCTACACCCGCCCCAGATACTGCTCCTGCTGCTGGCGGCAAGAAGAAGAAGCTCAACCCCGCGCTAGCTGCCCTCCAAAAACAACAGGAAGAGCGCAAGAAGAGAGAGGAAGAGATAGCGCGTGCTGAGGCTGAAGAGAAAGCTAAGCTAGAGGAGCTGGAGCGACAAGAGGCTGAAGAGAAAAAGCGCAAGGAGGAAGCCAAGCAACTCAAAAAGCAGAAGGAGAAAGAAAAGATTGAGCAGCTAAAGAAGGAGGGCAAGTACATGACAAAGGCTCAAAAGGAAGCCAAGGCAAAGAACGAACTCCGTCTACAGCAGCTGCTAGAGCAGGGTGGTACGAAAGTCGCTGGGCTTGCCGATGAAGTCGACAAGAAGAAGAAGCCAGTGTACGATGACCGCAAAAAGAAAAAGAAGAAGCAGGCCGAGAGTCAACAGGAAAAGGAGGCCCGAGAGGCTGAGGAGGCGGCCAAGAAGATGGAAGAGCTCAAGCTGGCCGAAGAACAAGCTGCCGCTGCAGCTGAAGCCGCAGAGAAGGCCCGTCTTGACGCTGAGGCGAAGAAGGGTGAGGACGGTGACTCTGCCGACGACTGGGAGGCTCAAGCCGACGAATTAGAGGGTGTCAAAGACAGCTGGGACGTCGACACCGATGAGGAAGAAGAGCGTAAGGCAAGTGAGAAGAAGTCCAAGGAAGAGAAGGCTGCCGCGGAGAAGGCTGCTGCAGACAAGGCTGCCAAGTCCAAGGACGCCAGCTCAGATTCCGATTCTGAAGACGACAGTGAAGATGACTCATCGGAAGACGAAGAAGGAACAGCCACACAGCGAGCTGAAGCCGCTCGTAAAGCTGCCGCCGCCGACCGACGAAAGCAGGCTCACGAGGAGGCTCTTGCTGCGCGGTCAAAGGACAACCTGCGATCTCCCATTTGCTGTATTCTTGGCCACGTTGATACTGGTAAAACGAAGCTGCTCGACAAGATCCGTCAGACCAACGTGCAAGAAGGCGAAGCTGGAGGTATCACACAACAGATTGGTGCCACCTACTTCCCTGTGGAGGCACTTCAGAAGAAGGTTGCTGTTGTTAACAAGGACAACGACTTTGTTTTCAATGTCCCAGGTCTCCTAGTCATTGACACACCCGGTCACGAGTCTTTCACCAACCTACGATCTCGCGGTTCTTCGCTCTGTAACATTGCTATCCTCGTTATCGACATCATGCACGGTCTTGAACCCCAGACCATCGAGTCTATGAAGCTGCTTAGAGATAGGCGGACACCATTCATCGTCGCTCTCAACAAGATCGATCGTCTGTTCGGCTGGAAGAAGATCGACAACAACGGCTTCGAGGACAGTTTGAGCCTCCAAAAAGCCTCTGTTCAGTCTGAATTTGAGGAGCGATGGACCTTTGTTCGCACTCAGCTGCAAGAGCAAGGTTTCAACTCAGAGATCTTCAACAGAAACAAGAACATGGCCAAGTACGTCTCCGTATGCCCGACGTCAGCGCATACCGGAGAAGGTATCCCTGATATGATCAAGCTCATTGTCAAGCTTACGCAAGAGCGCCTTACAAACAACCTCATGTACCTTTCTGAGGTTGAGTGTACTGTGCTTGAAGTCAAGGTCATTGAAGGTCTTGGTACTACCATCGATGTTATCTTGTCCAACGGTGTTCTTCACGAAGGTGACCGGATAGTATTATGCGGTAATCCAGAACCTATAGTAACCAATATCCGAGCGCTATTGACACCGGCTGAGATGAAGGAGCTACGTGTCAAGTCACAATACGTGCACAACAAGGAGGTCAAGGCCGCCATGGGTATCAAGATCGCTGCCGATGGGCTCGACCAAGCCATCGCCGGTTCGCGCTTACTTGTTGTCGGTCCCAATGATGACGAGGAGGATCTTATGGACGAGGTCATGGGCGATCTGGCGCACTTGCTCAGCAAGGTCTCCAAGACTGGTCGTGGTGTCTCGGTTCAAGCGTCCACCCTGGGTTCGCTCGAAGCGCTCCTCGAGTTCTTACGTGTCTCGAAGATTCCCGTGGCTACCATTTCCATCGGCCCTGTATTCAGAAAAGATGTCCTTCGAGCCGGTATCATGTTAGAAAAGGCCAAAGAATACGCTGTCATGCTGTGTTTCGACGTCAAGGTCGACAAGGAAGCCAAAGCGTACGCAGAGGAAATTGGTGTCAAGATCTTCGAAGCCGACATCATCTACCACTTGTTTGACAAGTTCACAGCGCACATGAAGCAGCTTGAGGAGCAACGGAAGGAGGAGTCGAAGATGTTAGCTGTCTTCCCTTGCGTACTCAAGCCGGTTGCCGTCTTCAACAAGAAGGATCCCATCATCATTGGTGTGGATGTTACCGAAGGTGCTCTGAGGATGACCACGCCTATCTGCGCGGTCAGGAAGAATGCTACGACTGGTGCCAAGGAACTCATTCAATTAGGAAGAGTGTAGGTTTTCGCTTTGCCCTTACTCTCGTTTTTTGCTTACTAACTCTTCTGACAGTACTTCCATTGAGCGTGACCACAAACCCATGCAAATCTGCAAGAGGGGTCAGCCCTCCGTCGCCGTCAAGATCGAAGGCAGCAACCAGCCCATGTACGGACGCCACCTGGAAGAAGACGATATTCTCTACTCGGCTATTAGCAGAAAGAGTATCGATACACTCAAGGAGTTCTTTAGGAGTGATGTCAGCCAGGACGAGTGGAAGTTGATTGTACAGTTGAAGCAGCTTCTTGATGTGCAGTAAAGAAGTGGTAGGGATGCAGATGTTAGGAAAACAGTGCAAAGGTGGGGGTGATATAGTAGTAGTAGTGTATGATTTTCCCCGTTTATTCATGTAGGTTATTTGCTCTACTGGGTTCTTTCTTCTTCTAGGCGCAAGCAATGGCATTGTTTGGCGTTGTAGTGCAACGTATTCATTACTCTAGTTTCGCGACTTGGTATTCTCCTTGAGACTAAAGAAAGACAACATGCCGGTTTCAGAGAGAGTATCGCTGCGCTTCAGCTGTGACACTAGCTTCAAAAGATACGCGGACGATGTTGATACCAAGCTTGTCGCCGAACAGGAGTTTGGTATCACCGCTGGTGCTATTTCCGCGATTTTACTCGGAAAGCCGGTGGACCAGTTGACGCAGACGAGGGTACAGATGCTGAAGGATACTGTTGGACACAAGTTCAAGGGGCTCAAGAGGGTCGACTTTGATGTCAGCAGTGATCTACTTACTGCGGCACTTATCGATACTGTCAGTTGCATTGTCTACTCTGGAAAGACTATGTCAAACTAAGCAGGTGGATTGGGTCTGTTTCCTGTTGCATGAGTGTTATTTTGCCATCCTTCTCTTGATGGATTCTAGCTTTCTCGATCACACTCAACCTAAGAGTCTCTATGAAATCCCTCATCACCCAATAGCCAATAACTATCTAGAGCGGCAATGATTTGCGTCGCATCTTTCTTGCTGGACTTTGCTTCTTTAGACAATGTCGGATGCGACACGAACTATTGCCACCCCGGATGTGACCCTTCGGCAAGTCTTATCAAAGTAAACCCCGTTTCTGCTTCCTCAACCCACGCATCATCATCACCGACTGGCCAATCAACCTGGACTTCGAATACCTCCAGGTCTCTCCTCTTCCCGATCTCAGCCAGTGGGGCAAATATGAATGACTCTCTTGTAAATTGTACACGAGGGCGTAGACACGCTAACACCACAATGAAAGCTGGCTTACATAAGTGGATTCGCAGTCTCTTGAGCGACTCCATACCAGCTATAATATCGCAGACTGCTTGCCATGTGCGAACGTCTCCAGTGTCAATATCACGCAACATGCGCGATATTAGCGACTTTGGAGGAGGAGCCAAGTGTGTGAACCTTTCTCGGTACGAGCTTGGTAAGTCCCACATGTAGCCTGTAAAGTCTGCATACTGGGGGATGCGTTTTGCGTTAAGGTAAAGAGAGCGGATGTTGTTGAAATGCCGTGTCGGGATATGCGCCGCAGCAACGACAAGAGTGTCAAGGTCATTGAACTGCCAGGTCCGATGCGCGTAGAAGATATCAAGAACGTCGTGGTATCTTTCATTGTCAGTATTCTTCTCTTTACATATAAGAATTAAGACTTACAGCGCACGGCAGGTCAGCATCAAAGCCATAACCCCAAGCTTGGACTCTTGATATTGCGTATTTACATCTTCGTTTCGTTTACGATTCGCGATATCATCGGCACTCAGAATAGCTAGGCCCAAGCAGGTTCTTCCAGATTCAAACAACGTTTCTTCGCCTGTGCAAAGATGACCTGTGATGCGATATTCGAATGGTGGTCTAGCTTTATGTAACGTACTCTCGTGGGCATTCCGGGAGGAAGTGAGACGAACGTCAGAATAGGTAGTATCATGTGCAGTGAAAATGTAGTCGTATATCATAAAACGAATTTCGAGTGGAAGGTTGAGGAGCTTGGAGCATGGGGTGGCGTCTTGTTGGTGCTTCTGCTGCAATTGCCTACATTATGTTAGTTCGCCGATAATTATTTACATGGCCGGTACAACTACTGACCTAATATTCAGTGATCTTGTCTTTCTCTGAGACACCACTACGATATGCCTAAACTTCAATGCAAGCTTCGATGCGGAGCTGAAAGAGCCAAACCATGAAGGTCGTTCTCTGCTCTTGCATAAACTTCTATCGCTTTGGTTTGGAAGACTTCGTTTTGCCATTGGTTTACTGTTAGGTTTGTCGAATTAGGGTATCAAGGGTGGCCTTGAAGTTTGGAAGAAATGGGGGCAGTAAGTGAGGCTATGTGTGCCAAGACATGCCGCATCCGCTAGGCTGCACGTACAATGCGGCCAACCGTTGTGTGCCTCACTCTTCCTGTATCTAAATTGTCGCAGTGCAACATGCGACGATCGTTACCCATGTTACTCTGTCGGGCGACGAATGGCGTTCCTATCGACTCTTGTATAGCCTCGATACGCCGATGATGTGCTACGAGACATTTCATCCACGTTCGACTATAGGCTGAAGAAGCCACAACTGGTCATCAACAATATCCCCCCTTCAGCTCACTCAGGATCCGATTCTTATCCTTTTCGTCGTCGGTGGAGAGATGCTAGACCCACATGCGGTAGCGGCGTAGCATGCTCGATACACTCGCAGCTGAAATTTGGAGTCGTTGCGGAGATTTGCATCGCTGTCGCAGATGGAGAAGAAGATGACGATCGCCAACACTTTGTATCAGGTTTGTTCATCTCGGCCAACAAAGGGAGTAGCTTGATATCTTCTGTAGGATCGATCCTAATCTGAGGTGCCGCATCGGAATGGGAGACTGAGTGTATACACCTCCTTGACGATGATGAAGGTGGTTGAATCTTGAAGAACGCTGGGAAGAGAGCGCGGGCAATCTCGAGCGATAGAACTGAGGACATGCTGATAGAAACTCCTCGTAATGGCGAATTGTCGCGTGGATATCAGGAGCAAGAATTTAGGTTAGAATTGAATGATTGTTGCTATCGCAGAGTGATGATGGGCTTCATTTCCGACGTGAAAAAGCGCAGTTATACCTGACCACACCATTCTCGCGCTGCCTGCGTTCGTTTGCGAGTTGCGAACCGCCCAACCAGAGAAAGACATATCGAGGCGATGTAGTGGCTCAGACGATGCTGCGCAGGCTCACCTTCGCTCACAAGAGCTTCGCTGTAGAAGAGCTCAGGCAGTGGGGTGGTGGTTGGACGCCATTGGCCGGGTCGGACCTGCGATTAGGGGCGCAGTAAAAGTGGAGCCGACGATGAACGATCGTGGCAGTGATGTATGTTGTCAGAGGCTAAGATAACTGCCTCCATTTGTGTTTCTTTCCTGAGTTTGTACCATCTGCTACTCGTGTTTCCATTATGCCGACTGGTAGTTCTATGCCGTCGCAATGAGCGCATTCGTATCCGTCTTATCATAGATGCGCAACTGTTCGAGTATGAGCGCTTGCAGCTCAGACTGCTACCAGAGACGTTGCTGATTCGCGACATACCATCTGAACTATGGCTTGGATTGCATCGGCGCGCAACAACAGCCAAGTCGTTGCTATGGACGAGTAATTGCGCTACTAGTGGTTTTGTCGCATAACTTTTCAGCAACCCTAAAGACACTCCAGACTCGAGCGTAGAGACACATTCTCTCTTCACGCGCATCAATGACTTTTGATCAACTTGAAGATTTCAATGGACGTCTACGAACTGTTGAGATTAGATATGAAAAGAAGCATTGTCCATCGTCATCAGACCCGCTTCACCAAGGTAGCGCCGGGCACGATCTAGCTTACCCGATCCACAGATTCAGGCGCATCTCAAGCTTGAACAAGCTCAACATGCCATTCCTGGAAGGATCGGAGCCAGGATCGTCCAGATGCACTACTAAAATCTACCAATCTTGTTCCCAGAATCGCATTACCATGCCAGATCAACACCAAACTAACATGCACGCTGCGATCATGTCGTCTGTGCAGAACGACTTCTTATCGAAGTTTTACCATGGTGGGCCATACTAACATCGTGGCGCGAACACGTTTCTCTTTTCTCTTTTCGCGAAGGCTCTGTCGACTTGCTGTTAACTATCCTTTCTTTCATCACTGTGTAGTGAGAGACGTACACCATGGCCGTTCCGAACACTTCACGACCCGTATCTTGGTCGGATACAACAGCAGCATCAACGAGACCGCCAAGCCCCGTTAACGTCGAAAAGCTTCCGGAGAGAAGTCGTCAGTCGTCAACGGGGGTAGACTCCAGGCCAGATTCCGATCCAGAGAAAGGACCTCAGCCGGAGCCAAATCAAGACGCAACACCAATCGCTGCTGATGCTTCATCGCAAGATCGCCCTGCAGCTCTCGACTGGGACGGCCCCGACGATCCTCTCAACCCTCACAACTGGAGCGTGGTGTGGAAGTGGTATCAGACATACACGATCTCAGGTATTGCATTCGTGGGGACATTCGCATCATCTATCTTCACACCTGCTATCGAACAAGCAGCGTCAGAATTAGGCTCCATTCAACTCATCGCGACCTTTGCGTACTCCATATATGCCTTGGGACTAGCTTTCGGTGGACCGTTTGCAGCACCTCTAAGCGAGACTTTTGGGCGACGGCCTCTCATCTTCATCAGCTTGCCCATTTTTGCGCTCTTCATCTTGGGTACTGGTTTCGCGCAAAGCATGGCGGGTCTGGTGGTATTGCGGTTCTGGGCTGGATTCTTCGCTGCCCCCAGTCTGAGTATGGGAGCAGGTACGCTGAGCGACATTTGGCCGCCGGAGAAGCGATCTGGTCCCATGTCACTGTATGTCGCAACACCGTTCTTTGGCCCAGCTTTAGGACCGATCCTAGGTGCTGTAGTGACCCAGACACGTGGCTGGCGCTGGACGTCGTGGTTGATACTCTTCTTCACCATCGTTCTTGTCATTGCGCCAGCGCCATTCTTCCGCGAGTCGTATAAACCATTCCTCCTACGTCAGCGCGCAAAGAAACGCAATCTTCCGCTACCGCGATCGCCAACCGAAGGCATGTCATTACCGAAGGTCGTCAGTACATACGCCTCCAAAACCCTCACTCGGCCAATACACATGCTTCTCACCGAGCCGATCGTCGCAACCTTTAACACGTACAGCGCGTTTAATTTTGGCTTGCTGTACGCCTTCTTCGCTGCTTTTCCATACGTCTTCGAAACAGAGTATGGCTTCGACAGCGTTTCTACAGGTCTCACCTTTCTGGGTTTGGGTGTCGGCGTCATCATCGCTACCATTTGTATTGTGTCGTTCAGCAAGCTTTACTACCTGCCTCGTGTGCGGAAAGCGATCGTAGAGAAGATGCCGGCTCCGGCTTTTGCGATATCACGCCTGGCACCTGAGAAGCGACTGCCACTTGCATTCGCTGGCGGTCCTATTCTCACTATCGGCCTGTTCCTCTTTGGCTGGTCCGCAGCCTACCGCGTACATTGGATCGTGCCGACGATTGCTGAAGCCTTCTTTGGAATGGGCAACATGCTTATTTTCATGGCATGCATGATGTACATTACCGACACATACGGGCCACTATACAGCGCCAGTGCTATGGCCTCGAACGCCATACTGCGATATGTACTGGGTGGAACTTTCCCCCTCTTTGCAGTCCAGATGTTTCGGAGACTGGGTCCGCAGTGGGCTTGTACGTTGTTGGGGTGTTTGAGCATTCTCGGTGCGTGTATACCGTTTGTGTTGGCGAAGTATGGTGAGACATTGAGGAGTAGGAGTGGGTACAAAAGAAGCGGGTAGTTGTGAATAGGTCAATACCATATATCCGTCTCCTCCATGCGAACTGATGCGAGTGTTCCTCTTTGCGTTTATTGAGACTATTCATGTCTGCCACGACCTGTCTAGTCGTCCATCCTACGCTACTATCATGTTTGGATTTGCGTCCGCTAACTGGATATCCCATTTCATACGAGGTTCGGTAGCAACTTGCATCCGAACGACGGGGCTTGGGTAACTGCGAGCAGGCCCTTTGATGCTTGTACAAGGAATGTGAGTAATCCAATATATCCCAATTTATGTAGCCTAAATCATCCGCTGGCATTCCAAAGTGAGGTCCTGGATGCTGACATGGCGATGTTGGGGATGGAGGGGGAGGAGGCAAGGAAGTTACTAGGCCTGTTGAGCCGGACGACTGGTGTTGAGTAGATGAGGGGGATGAGTTCGGTATAGCTTTCGTCTGCTGGTGATAATCCTTGATGGGCAACGACTTACTTGTAGTATTCTATATGAACGTAGTATGCCCGGTATACCAGTTTGTCTTGTCGGCATTCAGGTTGCGGTTTTGTGGTTTGTTTCCCACTCAATAAGGCCGGACGTATAGCATCTTCGCCATCTAGCGGTAGACAAGGCGTCGCTTCCTCTTTTGAACCGGCGGCGGATTCTACACCTTTCTTCTCCTCTATATTGCGTCGTAAATCTCGTTCTTGATGTCCGTGGCAACGTTCAATGCGCTGCGGACAGTAGTATCCATAATCTAGAAAGCAGAGTCCTGATGGATGGCATTGCTGACACAACGGCGTCTCCAACGCCTGCCAGACAACCAGTGAGAGGCAAGCCACACCCGGCGATCATCGAGCGCGGACGCATTAAATAAAGACGATGTTCATCATCCGGCGCGTCTATCCTGACTGCATCGGAGGTCCATGTCTCACCGTCCCCACCTCATGCAAAAAAAAAGAAGAAAGCAAAAAGAGCAAAAAGCATAACTTTGACACGAGTGGGGTTCGAACCCACGCACATTTCTGTAGTAGAGATCCAAGCGGGGCTTAAATCTACCGCCTTAGACCACTCGGCCATCGTGTCGAATGGAGAAACTGGACAAAATTTGGCGGGAGATGGTTTATGAGGCGAGGATGACGGAGAGAAGGCGGCTGCATCAAAGATGGGTTTGGAGAAAAGCGTGGGGTTGGATGGTGACTTTTCGAACGGATGCGGGGTTGAACAGGGGCTGTGTTGTCTGCTTCCAACTGGTAGAATGCACCCCAGACCTGAAAGCAACAACATTGTTCTTCAGGAACTCGTCACAGCAAATGCTAGTATCAGACCAAACGAGTGCATTAGTGGGAACTATGCCTGAAGTCATTTCTTATCGTGTAGAGTTGGTAAAAAGGACTAAACTATGTACAGCCCAACTATTACACTCCCAGCCAACCTGCTACATTCCATATGCTACCTCGCTACTAGTTCATACTTCATATGCCACTTTACTACTAGTTCCTACTCCATCTATGCAATCCATCGCTTTCCCAAGCTCTGGGCAGCCTGAGCATCATCGGGGTTGTTCTGCGCGAGGGCGGCAAGGATAGACGCTACATCGTCCTGGCGTTTCTGGATGTTCTGGCGGGCAGCAGCGGCGTCATCAGGGCTGTTCTGCTCAAGTGCTGCGAGAATAGAAGACACGTCGTCCTGACGCTTAGCGACGGCAGGGGCAGTGGCAACGGAAGAGGGGGCAGCCTGCTTAGCGGCCGCGGCGTCATCGGGGTTGTTGGCCTCGAGTGCGGACAAGATCGAAGCCAGGTCGTCTTGACGCTTGGTGGTAGATGAAGGAGATGCCTGCTTAGCAGCGGCGGCGTCGTCAGGGTTGTTGGCCTCGAGAGCAGCGAGGATGGAGTCCAAATCGTCCTGACGGCGGAGCTTGACCTTCATGGCCGAGGCAGCGGCATCAGCGTCTTCGGGGTTGTTCGCGCGAAGAGCTTCGAGAATGGACGCAACATCATCTTGGGGGTTGGCTAAGAATGATTAGAAGAGTTCAACGAGACGCGATTCATAAGATCATCAAAGCTCACCGGCAGCGAAGACGGCGCTGGAGAAAGCAGCGACGGCGACGAAGGCTGTGTAATGCATGTTTGCTATTTGGGAAGTTTGGAAAGAATTTGGTAGTGAGTTAGTTGGATAGAAGAGAAGTGGCCGGCACGAAGATTACAAGATGATAGTACTGATAGAATAGTAGTTGCTCAGTTGACCTTAAGATGGCGTTCAAGAACTAAATACCATGAGCCAGAGTGGTGACGCCAGCGAGACATGATAGCTAAGCTTTGCAGCGTCAGATGTTGAAGCTTGTCTCGAAACCTACCGTAGTTTCACGGTGTTCGTACAATCCGAGTGATAGCACACACCATCCCAATGTTCGAGTGCATTAAATGTCCCGCAGTCTACAAGGGACAGTATGGATGTTTGGTTTCCGATCTTCGATGCTGAGAGGCGAATTGGAGCATTGGGATGTCATGTTTCGGGAACAGCCTCACCATCTGCCCAAACGTAGATCTGAAACGACGCAGCCTCGTTCCCTCCATACGACTTGCGCAGCAGGTCTTGCTTCTTCCGTAACTGTGCCAAGTGTCAAAGGGATGTAACTCCAGACACCGAGATCTTCAGACATGCAACGTGCGGACATTGGATGCGATACAACATGCTGATCTAGCCATAGCTGGCTACAGCAATTTTTTGTGACCACAGCACATTTGACAACCACAGTCCTTTATAGTCCCACAATCTGAGCGATTGCTTATTGCACAAGGTGTATTACGCTCGGATTCTGATCGGGTTCCGATCGTATAAGAGGGTCGTGTGAGAGGCTCATAGTGGTACGTGAAATCCGCGAGCGGTCGAGCGATGTGTTTCAAGGACGTTCGAGCGATACCGACTGCATTTTGATGTAAATATCCTACAGACAATCAGCTAGTACTATGACAGTATTGTCGTGATGTTGCTAACCCATATCTTGTTTCCGCAGCTCCCGCGCCACAGTACGGTTAGTATCACAGCAGCAACAAGAATACCGCAGTCGCGCCTGTTAGCGCACCAGTATTCGTGACTTTGGGCTTGCAATCCAACAAGCTAGGCGAGACTCCAAATATTTGTATCCATGGTTCATCTCCAGCTTACACCCCCGACGGTGGGCCGTACCGAGGCAATCGCGGGGTTCTGGGGTAAGCCATTGACATGTATACCTGCTACGGAAGGTGAGATGGACTATTCAACAGTTACTTAGCATCAAGTCAAAGTTCGATATTGCTGCGGAAGGGTAGGCAGCGTTGAACGTTGACAAGCGTACCAGCTCAAGTCGATTGAAAAGCTTGGCATGACCAAGTTCCAATATCGGACAGCTCGAACAGCAGTAGCTCATCACGGAACGTGGCACGGGCATTGACAAGCTTCGGTATCGTTTATGAGGGTCCAATCGAGTTCATTGAGCTCAACGTCAGTCATCCGCACATGTCATTACCATAGCTAGAGCTTCCGCACGTATGCTTGTGTAAGGAAAGCGAGCCGTGGTGGTAGCTTGCTCTTCAGATTGCTCGTCTAAAGTACATGTTTTACACAATCTGACCGGCCACTAGAGTAGGAAAAGAGGTAGTAGTCGTCCCTATGCACACACCCATCCGCAAGAAAAGTTTTCCACCTTGCGGCACCCCCATACCGTTGACCCCAAATGTCCGGCAGTCCATGCAATGCACACATCTATGCGACGTAGAGGAGCAAGAAGGACATCATGAGCGCGAAAAGACCAGTGGCCTCAGCGAAGGCGAAACCGAGAACGGCGTACTGGAAGAGCTGACCCCTGAGGGAGGGGTTGCGGGCAACACCCTGGATGAGACCACCGAAAACCGTTCCGATACCAACACCGGCACCGGCAAGACCGATGGTAGCGAGACCGGCACCCTGGATCTTAGCGGCAGCGACCATGGCGGCAGCGGTGGACTCGGCGACGATGCCACGCTTCTGGATGACGTTGCGGGCGGCGTTGTTGCGGAAGGCGCTGCGGGCAGCGACGAGGGTGCTCTGCTGGGGCTGGCGGGCTGCGAGATGATGGTCAATGGCTGCTTGATGAGCTTGCAGAGCTCAAACCCAATGGCTTGAGCTGCTGCGGCAGGCGCGAGACATACCAGCGTTGGAGAAGCCGCGGGCGGCCACGCGGGCGGCGCCGAAGGAGCGAGCGATGGCAACCATGGTGATGGTGTTGACGGTCGGAGTGGAGATGAGTTGGAGATGAATTGGTCCTTCAATGGATGGGGAGTGGTGGGAGGAGGATGGAGGAGGTGGATGCAAAAACTCGCTGAAGGGTTGATTAGCCGCCAAGAGTCCGTGCGGGAGCTCACATCGGGTTAGCGTTCCCCGTTTACTCCCGATAACCACTACCTTGCCCACTGTCTTGAAGCCAATTGAACTGGTTTAGACTTGCTATTGAAACTGGAAAACCCTCAAAGATGAGGTACCAAGTCGGAGAATTATCGAGACCTTTCTAGTCTTGCATAGCCCACAATCACCACAAAACCACATTCCTATCGACCGACGCAACCGAGCCGACTATCGACATCATTACGCTCAATATATGTCAAGGGTGATTCTTTGGCTTGATTTCAACCACGAATTCAATCCACATATCGAGGAAAAGATCACAGTGACACTCTCTACTGTGGTTTGACTCTTTTGTCTTGTCTGCATTCCTTCACAATTCATCTGTGTGGCTTGAGTTGACGGGATTACATGCTACAACATATACAGAGCTCCGGCAGACTGTTCTTCCGATCATGTTTGGTAGTTCATTCAAGCAACTATAGTAGATTCAAAGCTTATATCGACGACGTTCATCTATTTCTAAAGTGCAGATAGCCAATGAGAGTTACTATAGATGTAGAGATGAATTGCGTACTACCCCGACACCTAAGATCATAACTACCATGTGATTTCGAGTCTCATTAGCAAGAATCAACATGTGCCCTGAAACGAGTTGAAATCAACGTTCTCAATGACTACATTTGAAATTTGTGATTCTAGGTAACGATCATCGATGTTGAAGAGTCCCAGGTTGAGAACCACTCAGACTGCATGATCACGTCAAATCTGCACAAACGCTCTCTCTCTCACACACAACATGAAGCCAAGACAAATGCATGTAGTGCTCAGATTGCATTGAATGGCGACTGAGCTAATCCCGACGATAAGACTTTTGGTAAACGTGACCCTTTCCCACCTCATTCCCATCCATTCCCATCCATCCCCATCCGTCCCATCAATCTCGGCCGTAACACCCTAACTACATCTCCTTGCATCAACACTTGGTATCGGACTCAAAAGAAAGATTACAATACAGTCAAAGCCCCGAGGGACGATGATAAGAAGTGGTATTCAGACATTAGATGGTCATACAGACCGAGCACAGAGCAGGCGTCGACGCCCCACTCTCATCACAGGGAGATCACAAAGGATGCAACTCGGCCCCTCCCCGCATGCATGAAACAGTCATTAGATAATCAAAGGAAACGCCTCATCAAGAGCCCGTGGTAACTATTCAACCATAGCACTAATGGGCGTGCCAGCGCGGCTCTCGTCCACGAATTCGCTCATCTTCATCTTCTTGTGCCTTGGGCTATCGGCTTCGATCTCGTCAAGTCGCCTCTTCAGGTCGGCTTCTCGCTGCTTGATCTCTTCGAGTTCTTGTCTTAGTGTCGATTCTGTCTGTCGTGCCGACTGCTCGCTCTGTTCGAGTTCGCTAACGCGGTTGCGGAAGAGGTCGTTGATGAGCTCCATCTCTGAGACGCGTGTCTTGAGCGCAGTGTTCTGTGCGGCAAGAGTCTCATACGGGAGAGGAGCTTCGAGATGGGAGCCATTGATCGACGAGGTAGCGGGCGAGGGAGCACGAATACCGAAGCCTGGCAGCGAAGGCGAGTGAAAGTCACCACCATGCAGCGCCTGCTCGAACAGGTGCGACGGTGCGATATTGGAGGGATGGTTAAAGTTCGGTGTGCCGGTACGTGAAATGGGTGATTGCGAGCGGTCAGATAAGCCGGAGGAGATCTTGCCTGATGCGCGGCGGTGCTGGGCGAGGGCTAGCTGGCCATCAGCATCGGGATGGGCGGCAGGAAGACCACCTTGGTCGCTTGTCTAACGCGTGTCAGTCAAGATACTAGTTATAATGCGACTTGCATACCCTCTTGCGTCCACCTGGCCCGCCGGTCTTGACACGGTTGCGGCTCTTGATGACATCGGTCTTGAGTGAGATGGGTCGTGGCCGGCCGTGCAGCTTCAAGAAGAGACCGCAGGCGTTGCAGAGAACAGCGCCCGTTTCATCGCGGCGCCAGAGCGGGGTAGTGCTCGTAGAACAATTCTGACAAGATGGCTAAAGAGGGTCAGCACGAGTATTTGCAATGGTCCCCACCACGACTGAGGCAGAAACCACAGAGGTTGCAGTAACGTGGTTTGGGCGTGGTATTCGGCGCACTGGTTGTCAAGCGGCAAGCTCGACACCAGGCTATCGATAAGATACCGATAGCAAGGTGAGCGCCCTCGGACAAAACACCAACAATATCATAGTTATACGTACCGGAGAACCAGCCTGGCCACCAGCGGTTGCGGGCGCAGAAGTTGCATAAGTCATGCTGAGTCCATTAGAGGGTTTGCTGTTTTCCATGTTAGCGAGTTGAAGAAAAGTGCAAAGCTTGGCGTTTGCGATAAGAGGTCCGGGGAAGGCGACAGCCGCAGCTACCACCAATACGAAAAAGCTCGTTTCTCATAAGTTGCATCCCAGCTATACTGCACCCTAAAGCTTCACACCGATACCTTCTTGATACAATTTCAAAGTAGATTACTACGTATACCTTTAGGGTGTGGAATAGCTGGGGTGCAACTCATAAAAAAAAGGGCCATTTCGTCGATTCAAGTAAAACGTACCTGAGCGGAGACGGGATTTTCTTCTCGGGCGTCTCTTTCCTCGTATTATCATTATCATTACTGTTCATGTTCGCTGCGGGGCAATTCGAAGCAGCTGAAGCTAGCGTGGCTAAAGATGGCAGCATGATCGAGGCATTGCTGCCATGCCGTTGTTGAGTGTATGAAGCCACGGTCGAGCTTGAGGACGGTCGTGATATATCGTGGCCGATCGACGGCAGCTTGTCTTCGAAATTGGCCGTGATTGGCGTCTTGAAGGCTGGCAGGTCGAAAACCTGCAGGATCGAAGGTCTGCGAAACGAATCGTCGACCTGGGGCCGAGGGAGGATAGAGGTAGCCAGTGCGGAAGCCGTGATGGAGTATTAGGGTCGAGAAACGCGTGGCGCTTCTCGATTGTTGCTAATGTACTGGATGGAATGCCTTGTATGTACAACGGGCACGCTTTGATGATACACACCAAAGACGACGCGAACAGGTAGGTAGAGGTTCAAAAGAGTGTGGTATTAAGTAAGTGAGCGACTGTAAAGACCGAAGGACAGAAGGACAACAGCTACAAAACAGCGTTGAAAGAGTGTATCTGTTGAGAGGAACGAGCACGACCAGAGATTGAGCTACAAGGCACGATACATTCTCTGCGCGTTTGTGGATAAGGGGTCTATGCCAGTGCGTATCGACGGCTAGGGGTGCTATCGATAATTGATCCACCCATCTTAATTTAACTACCCAGTAATCTAACCACCTGCATGACCTCAGAACTGCTGCCTCCAAGCGCCCCTCCAGTCCCTTTTGAGCCGGGCCGTTTTACTGCTGTCGTACACGCTTTGGCGTCATGGTCTGAAGTAAAGGATCACCTCTTTAACGATCCAGCCTTTGATCGAGGTAAGTGTAGCACATCTCGCACATTCACCTTCTCCAATGGCAATCACCAAGTCACGCCACACCCTGTCCAGCAGGATCCATGAACAGATATCGTTGAAACGAAACAACCGTCCCGTCAGGCGCGTGATGGTTCACGCAGATTTGGCGCTTATGCTATTGCCCCTGAGGCTCAAATCACACTAGCCCCACAACAGTTATGCGCGTCTGTGCACATGCCTTACACTAGACCAATCACGTCTACCTTGTCTCCAACTTGTGGCTGTCACGTAAATAGAGGGTTCAAGTTGACGGACGGCCGTAGCGCGAACCATGGCGCAGTCTGGAGAAAGGCATGTTCAGGGTCTTCGATCGTGCTTTATCAAGTATCTACCTCCACGGGTGTTGTTGATAAGACCATTTGATCACTTTAATCACTGTAATGGCGTTTGAACGAGCAACGGTGATCACATGGATACATCCCTGCCAACTGCGCGGTGATTGCTGACTATCTACCAAAGGAGAACCAACCTTTCTTGGCTTGCGGCTTCTCCTCCGTCTTTTCCTCAACTGGCGCCTTTTCTGGCTCTGGTTCCTGCACTTGCGGTGCGCGTCCAGGATACTCGACGTAGTTCCACGCCACATCGAGGAAGAGAGGCTTGACTGGTACAGGCTTCAACTTTGGAGGCCATGTAACAAGGTTCTTCAGATCAACCGAGCCCGACGACGGATATTCGTTCAGTCTCTCAACAACGGGAGCCGCATTCGCCAATCCGGCCTTGGACGCGGTCTCTGAGTTTGCGAACAGTTGCGAAAGCGCCACAACACCTCGGTAATGCGAGTTCAGATTCTCCAGGTTGTTCTTGAGCGTTTGTGTCTGTTCTCCTGTTACTTCCATCTTGGGTGCGTTCGAAGTTGAAGGTGATTGGGATCTTGGAGCAGATACGGCTTGGCTTGCCAACGTCAATGCTCGATTGCAAAGCGCCAGTGCTTGTTTTGGTGTCGATAAAAACGCGTACGAGTGCGACAGGTTCAGACACTTTAGCGCCTGGAAATATGCGCGCTGTCCGCCCAGTTCAGAAATGAAGCCGGTATCACGAGCAGCACCCCTTAGGTCCTTGACCGAGTCGATACTTTGCAGGATCGCATCGTACAGAGCGATACGCTCCCGCAAGCGTGCCAGCTTGCGGCCAGTGGGTTCCTCCCGTTCGACCCATTGCTTGCCGTCTTTACGCGGCCGCCGAGGTTTCTGTGGAGGGTTCGCGGGAAACGTGAGACCATCGTCTTTGCCAATAAGCACTCTGTTCCGCCCAACTCTCCAAGATATAAGGTCGTAGTTGACAGCCAGATTCGTGACACGAAGATCTTGCATGCGCGCATCGCCCTCGTCCACACCTTCCTTTTCGAGCTCTTCGATCGCCCTTCGTGTTGCATCAACTGCGTCTTGGCTCGCGATGAGGATATCGTCGTACGCGTTGGCTCGGTCCTTAGGGGATGAGGTGGAAGTCGCAGATTGGTCAAGGGCAGCGGAGGCAGTATCGACAGATGCTAGAGCCTGGCCAATCGCGGCGTCTACTACGTTTGCTGTTCGGCCTCGCCATGTGATCTGGGTATCTGTATGGCTGTTAGCGCAACCTGGCTATGCTGATTCAGCTACTTACGAGACGAAGCGGCTTCCTCTTCCTTCAAGGCTGCCGAGTCAAGCTTCTGCACAGCCTGAACTAGCTCTGCATTATCCTTTGGGAAGTACTTGATCGCAACAGCTGGGACGCCCACCGTACGCGGGATACGACTCTGGTAGGCGGCATAGCGTATGCTTGGGTCGGTGGTACCTGCCATGACATCTTTGAACAGGTCTTTCTTCGTAGCCTTCAGTAAAGAGCTGTAGATGACTCGCGCGGCGGAGTAGTTGTTGAGACACGGGGCCCAGCGCGAAGGCGAGGCGTTCTTGCTCTTGATGCCCTCGGCTTGTTTCTCAAACTCGTGCGCTCCAGCCAGAGTATAGACATATGCCTTTGCCTCAAGCACATCCGTTTCCGATGCCCCACTTGCACTCGTATCGGAGATGAGGTCTACAATCTGCTTTGCATACTGTATAGCTTTGTGTAAGCGCGAAAGGATGTGCTGGCGGGTGGCGCCAGTGATGCTCTTGTCGGCGTTGTCTTCGGAATGAGAGGCCTTTGTGGCCATTGCCTGCGCCCACGCCCGTTCCGAGTTGAGCAGGAGCAGGTGAAGAGCCCTGTCACAGTCAGTTTCTGACATGGAGTTTGCACAGATGGCTCCTACTCATTGCTGCTCTTGATATCCTCTGCCGTCACCGGGGCCTTTGCAGCATATTTGGCGTTCTTGGGTGTTGCCCGCCCGAGCTTCTTGTTCACAATCCGGAGGCGTCGCGACAACTGGCCATGGTAGGTATTGTAGTCGCCTATTAGAAAGGCCGACTCCCGGTAGTCGGTCACAAACTTGGTAATATCCATGGCCGGGTTGCTGGTAGGGGAGTGCAACTGTGGGGATGCGGCTCATGTGGAGGGGCATCAATTGGCGAGCTATCCATGGCCCTGCCAAGCGAATCGGAATCTCAGGTCATTGTCGCGCCGTAAACTTTTCGAGACATCATAGACACCGGGCCCGCCATTGCCACGCGCGTTACCCGTCCTTTCTCTTGTATTCTTTGCTTTAGTCTCCTTCTTCTGAATAGGCACCCTATTTGTTGTTTTCTCCTCCCCCACTGTTCCCTGTAGTCGCCATCGCACAGCTTGGAGGCATGCGCAAATGTGGACAAGCCCCAATACCAACTTCTGCCATTGCCATATCTGACTGTCCCAGTTTATAGAACACTTTATAGCTTCTGGTAATCTGCGCTGGTACCATCTGCACTTCATACAGTCCAGGTGATGCTCGAGCGTGCTTCGACATGCCTCGAATCCGGCGGACGCCAGCTCTTCCGTGCTCCGAAGCCATGTCTACGCAGTCGGCGCACAATACACTCAACCCTTTGGCACCACGGTGCAAGCGATCTCAGTCTCCCGACCTGGTTGACCGCAACCCCGATTTTCGAAAACACAGGTGGTGACGTGGATGATGGAGCGGCGAAGAAAGCTAGTACGGACGAAAAAAGTCAGGACTGTGTGTTGCTCGACTTTCTGTACCCAGAGAAGACGCTTGCGCTCCTTAAAAGGTCATCCGTCAAACGACTCAATACACTAGAGACAAGGCGACGGCAGCCGTATGCGATTGGAGTTCGCCATTTCTCGACAATACGAACGCAACCCCCGCACTACGAGGCACAATTAGATGGGGACGTGGTGGAACAGGCCAAAAAGGAGGCAGCAAAGCTACTGCGAGACTCGGATGCATACGTGGAGCTGCAAAAGTTTCTGAGATCGCCACGACCTGGGGAGCAGGAGTTGGCGTGGCAGCTGTACACTGCTATTCCCGAGGACCGTCTGGCAGGTCAAAGAAGAATGCGATGTGATCTCCTCAAATATCTCGTCCAGGACGGTGAGCCTGCAGTACCGGAGCGAGTTCTCCAGGTGTTTGGTGAGCTTCGACCAGCCGCTCGCCGGTTATCATCATACAGGGCAGCTATCAAAGCATACATTGCACTAGGAATGGTTGGGCCAGCAATCCAGCTGCTGGACGAGCTCGCCCATCCTACGAATCACCACAAGAGTCTTAATATAATGCGTAGCGGCATAGACGTCATCCTTCATCGGCTCGTTCTCGACGAGCAGTGGGATCTTGCTTTTCGTGTCTTCAGGACATTCCGACGGCAGACGCATGCAATCCGTGGCATGGCTACATACAAGGCGATATGCTACGGAGATACGCTTCCAGAGATATGGGGTGAGGTGGCAGGATTGCCAGAACTGCCGGAGCATTTCCAGTCTTTCTTACGGTATGTCGGGGAGTCTCAACCCGAACTCAAGTCTTCGCAGCCATTAGAGCGTGACTTGGCCTGCTTCGTCATGACCTTCGTACCCCACGTAATGGATCGTGTCTTGAACACTAAAGAACTCGACGAAGATTTCGTTTGGGATTACTTCATTAGACTCTTTGACGACCTCCACGCTCTACAACTCCCCACTTCAGCTTGCTATGAGTATGCTATCAAACAGCTACTGAATCTCCCACGTTACCAACAGTACAATAACCAGCGAAAGATTCCGCTCGAGCTATATAGAAGATACCGACAGTTGTACCTCGACCAGACCGAACCCACTTCTGAAGCAAGACCATCGGCGAACTTGATAAGGAACCTGATCTATCAACACTCTACGCAAGGTGGCTTGGGGCGCGTTCAAGAACATTTACAAGATCTACGCGCTTGGTACCCCAATCAGCCGCTACAGCCCGGGCTTCTTAAGCACTTGATTCGGACATATGCGGATGCTGGTCACGCGGAGAGGGTGCACGAATATGTCGATGAGCTTAGGTCATCTTACAAAGACGAAGCGACCATCGAGGTTCTGTCATCACTCCTCTATGTGTACGCACGAAGGGCAGATGTCGCCGGCACGATTACGCAATTCAAACGCATACACGAAGAGTTTCAAATGACTCCCGATACCGCCTGCTGGAACATTTTACTGCTTGCCTACGTCCGCGCCGAAGATCTCGATGGCGCTCTCGAATGCTTTAACAATTGCTTAGACTATGGCGTTGTACCAGATGTGAACACGTTTGGGCCTCTGCTCGACTTCTGTGCTCATAGAGGCGATGTTGAGGCTTTTGAGACACTATTCTCGAAGGCCAAGCAGATGGGGATACAACTCGACATGGATGTTCGTGCAAGAGCGGGCTATGTTGAAGCATTTATGAACGCTGGGGACGAAGAAGGCGCCGAAGCAATTGCCCAAGGCATGCTTAGTAGTTGGAAGGCAGGGAGACTCCACGGAGAACCTCTCACACACACCTGGAATCTGCTGATCCAACAGCGCGCTCTAGACCGCGACTTGGCGGGTAGCAGAGAGCAATACAAACAAATGGTCCAAAACAACATCCCTCTGAACAGCTGGACTTATGGCAGTCTGATGCGAGCATTAGTCGAAGTAAAGCAAACCAATGCGGCTTACAAACTGTTGAGAGTTACAATGCCGGAACAAGGATTTCGGGTTCACGCACTACACTACGCTATAGTCATGACGGGCTTCCTGAGGGAGGGGCAGTATGCCCATGCGGTTAAAGCTTACGAAAGGATGAAGGAACGCAAGGTCCCGCAAACAGAGAGCTCTCGCCAAGCCTCAATACAAGTGCTTGGTTTGGCTGATCGTCGAAAGCTTGAAAAGAGAGGAGCCAAACATCCAAACTACAAACTCCTCAGGGTCGAGGAGGCTCTTGAAGAAATGCTTGCCTCCAGTACAGCTCGGGAGATCGCTCATCGACAACCTGCACACGAACGATCGACTGATGTACACGACCCTGGTGCTCTTCCACAATCCTACTACGGCCTTATGATATCGTTGTACAGCGCTCGATCAGCGTACAAAACCTGCAAGAAGCTTTTCCAAAAGGCTGAAGCATTAGCACCAGACTCCGCGAACTACACAACACCGTTGACCCTTACCACGTCAATAATGGAGGCCCATCTCAAGGCTGGCGACCACGCCGAAGTGGCTAAATGTTGGGAATTGGCACACGCTTCAGCCGCAAATCTCACAAAGACCTTCCACCAAGCCGTGCACCAACCCGCCGCCGTCTCTAATAACCCTGAAACCTCCGACCCTACTGAACACGAGTCCCTTATCGACCCCTTGGTTCAACAACGCTTTCAAGAATCACGCATATCAAACAATCGTCGCAATATCCTCACTAAGCCTGCCCGCATCTACATTCGTAGTCTGCTCGCCCAATCTGAGGATCCCAACGCCTTGCAACAAGCACAGCACACTATCCGCGACCTTCTCGTCAACGGTTTCACGATCGATACTCTCATCTGGAACGAGTTTATCCAGCAACTCGTTCTCCACGATCGCCTAATTGATGCCTTCACCATTTGCGAAGCATACCTCATGCCACGCTTCCCCGGTTGGCGCGAGCTCATCCCCAACTACATCCGCAATGATCGCAAGGGCTTCCAGTGGATGGAGCTTCGCCACCACGAAATCAAGAAGTCAAGCGTACTTCCGCGGTACAAGACTATGGTCTTGCTAGCTAAGGCCTATGGCCAGGTGAAGAGTGACGAGAGGAACGGCATAGGATATGATGCCGATGCGGAGGCTTGGATGGCAGAGATTCTTGAACGTAGCGCGCCATTGACTGTCAGGGCTCTTGATACGATGCCCAGGACATTCGATCAGTTACAGGAGAGGTACTTCAATGGTGTTTTGTAGGTGGATGATGTATATATGTACAATATGTAGTATATTACGACATGGATGAACTTCATGTAAAAGCTCTTAGCAGGTATGTGAAACTTCGCAACAGCTGACCCACTTTCATCACAAATACACATGCGGCTCAAGCTTTGTGCATGTCGTTTACGCTCCATCGTCCTTTTACCTGATCTACATGATAACAGATGTGTGGCTTGGAAAATCTGATACACTGCTTTCTCTCGCACTTCGGCAGTGTCTAGTGATGGTGGCAATATCGCTATGCAGTATCCTTTCTCTCTGAGACAACACGCACGACTCTTGAAAGTCGATCTTCAAAGTTGATGAGGGCAGTCGTAAGTTCTGGGTACATGGCTAGACGGGCCGAAGGAAGGATGAGGATGGTAACGATGGTCTTTCCGACCGTTCTCTTCCTTATAGACATTGGCTGGTAGTATTCAGTCATGCGATGATGAAACCCGAGGCGCGAGACTAAAAGTCACGTCGCACGCGACGTCAGAGTTTAGTGGTACACACAGAATACACGAGAGCGGTAGTGCGAATTCTGAGACGGCGAGTATATTCATATAGAATTGAACGTTATGCTACATGTTACGGAAGGAAACAGGTATTCTAATGACATGTTGCTGTGTACAGCTTCGTTTCTGGTTACTATCGGCATCGAAATGTATGACTGAAGCAGCCAAAGTGATATAGTGTCTGAGAATAAACAATTCTTATGTGTCCATTTCATCCTCCATGTCCAAAAATTCTTCCCAGGCTTCGTTTGGTACGTCGTCCATGCAGTTGTCGAATGGGCCAGATTGCGTTTCGTGTTCTGCTTGCAACGTGGTGCTTTGCGGGTTGTCGATATGTGCGGTTGTCGATGCGGTTGACGATACGTTGGCATCGTAGTCTATGGCTCCATGGGAAAGGAGAAGGTCGACAATACCATCATGTTTCTTAGATTTTGCATAACCCAATGCGGTCTGATATTGAGACCAACAGGTTGTAGATCTGTGGTTTACAGCGATGTCCTTATGCTGAAGAAATAATCTTACTGCCTCTGCTTGGCCGTTCTCAGCAGCCACCATCAGTGGGCTCCTTGTGAATCCGTCCTTTGAGTTCACGTCGATATTCTTGTTGCCTAGCAGAACTCTCATCATATCGCAATCCCCCTTCTCAGCAGCCTTATGTAAAAGAGTCCTTCTCGGCCAATATGGTCCCTTTGAATTTGGATTTTTAAACCCTGGATGTTTGAAAAACCTCTGAAGCACAGTCTCTTTGGTGATTGGGGCATTCATTGGCGGAACATCAAGCGAGAGACTTCGGTCCGCGTCAGTCGACTCCCAGTGTTCGAGAAGTGAGGAAGCAGTTTCCCAGTGTCCATTAAAGCATGCATAATGCAAAGGTGTTGCTTCGCCCTTGTCTTGAGAGTTTATATCAACACTCGGATAGCGGATCAACTGCTCTACGATCGCTGTGCGTCCTTTCGAAGCAGCTATGTGTATTGCTTGTTCGCCCCATTTGTTGGGCAGGCTTTTGTCGATGCGATGGCAGCCGAGCAAGACTTCCATGACTTTTGTCCGTCCGACAGCAGCCGCTAGATGTATGGCAGAATAGACACCCCCGAGGTTTCCATCGACTTCTGGATCATCCAATAGTGTGGCCACGAGTAATGCGTGTCCTGTTCGTATCGCAAATTTTAGTTTTGTCGAGGCGTGACGTTCTGTGAAATTGTTGCCCAAGCGTGCAATGTATGCATCGACGATCTGGATATTACCCGATCGTGCCAAATAGCGCTCTATTTCCTTCGCCAAAGCAGGGAGCTCTTCTTGGGCCATGCGTTCCAGGAAAGGCTCTACGGCTTCAGGTCTGTTGCTTAAAATAGCCTCGTGTATCGGCAATCGACCACGGTCGTTCTTCGCATTAACATTTGCTCCTCTTAGAAGCAGACATTCGACTGCCCCTGCTTGACCAGCTCTAGCAGCGCAATGGAGCGCAGTGGAATGATCATCCGCTCTTGTCTCAACTGTTAAGCCTGCATCTAGGAAGGTTTTCAGTCTAGTCAAATTGCCTGATGCAGCTACTTGCATGAAGTTCGACTCGCTATATAGCTGTGAAGAACCGAGTTTATCAGACGACAGGTGCGATGACTGCGGCGACGAGGTTGTCTTCCCGCTCTTCTTGACCGCACTACCCAGCAATGCAGCACCATGGAATTTAGCCTGATGCCTTCTGAGGTTGTCCTTGCGATTCGACGTGAATATACATTCCTCGACGTGACAACGATACTGTTCGTTACCAGCACGATGTCGAGCTTTGACATGACGACCGAGGTCTAGGCGGAGTGCAAATCCTTTTTGACACGTTTCGCAACGAAAGGGCTTGGTATGTGTTTTCAAATGTCGACTTACATGCGTTAGCCCCTATGAAGTGTATTATAACATGCCGACCTACTTCAATTTTCCTTGTGTATCTGCCTGTTTCGAGCAGAGATGGCACAGAAGCTTATCGAAAGTCATTCTGATATCTGTGATATATCGGCAATAGGTGCTCGGCCTGTATATATCTAAGATCTGCGGCTCTGGCTACGAGTCCGGCTTCTAGGTTACTAGTCCAGATGTGGTAGCGGCTAATGCTTGTTGGAGACTACCTCAGAAAGGGCACACAGGGTATACGCCATTGGCTTCGTAGGATGTATGGCTCACCCCCAGCCAAGCTAGAGATTTCAGCACCCTCATAGGCTTATAGCTAACCGCTCACCCCAAGTCGCAAGCTTATCGGATGCATATTGTTCCCATCAACAACTCATTCTTTGCTATCTCAACTGATTTGTAGTAACCTTGTAACACCCACTCCCCCAGACCTCTACGAAAGTCACTGCCTTCAGTAGGCTAGTCATTACAATACCACAATGTCTCGACGATTTCTCAGAAGCTCCTCTGAACGCGACCCCGACAACAAATCTCGTTGCAACGATTCTCCAGCCTCTGGAGCAGACCATGAAGAAAACCACCAGGAGTTTGGGTAAGCCAGGATTTTTTTTTAACATCATGCAGGTATGCCTCCCAAAGTGAGGGACCGTCAGCATCTGCACCAGGCACCACCGGATCTATCGTGTTCTTGCATCAGCCAATCCCGGAACACCCGTACACCCTCCTACCACAGCAGGTGGAATGGGCCAATAGAAATCTCTTGCTGGGACAAGCAGGATACGATGTGGGTCTTCAATACCCCTGTCAAATCAATAACTGGAACGACAACGCTTCCAACTTTAATCAGCTGGGAGAATCAACCTTCGGTACTACATCCTACGACGCCTCACTCGACCTCTCAAACGGAGGGTTCGATGTAGGACTTGATTTCCAGCTGGCTACAACATGGGGTTTTGACCACACTTATGGCCATGGTCAGCCGATGATGCCTACCATGCATGGAGGCCAGCTTGTCCCGGCATCCTATCCTACTCTAGCCCCAGCCGGTCTAACTGCTCCAACCATCACTACAAACACGGGCTCTATCCGCTGTCCCCAAGGCTGTATCGAGACGTTCGGTCGTGGCGGAGAGTTGCGCCGCCACATGAAAAAGCATGAAACACCTCGCTACAAATGTCCTATCTACAACTGTCCTATGACCTTCTACCGTAAGGACAAGCTGCGTGACCACGCTCAGAAAGGACACAAGGGTCGCGATTCCCTGAACATCCGTTGATTCGCTACGACCAATAGCATACTATTTTGCGGAGGACATGCTTGGCGGTGTTACTGTAGAAGAGGGACGCTGTATTTTTGCATTACTGCGTTCGCCATGCCGTTTCTCGAGTTGCTGCAATCTACCTGTCTTTACAGTCGCTGTATTCAATCATTACGGTCATTACCGCTGGCGTTTGTTTCTTGTTCTTTCCTGCGGAAGTCGCTCGTTAGTAGTCAATTGAATAGTCCCTCATAAGTCTGTCGTTCCCTTTGCCATCGTTACAGTGGTCTTCATCCTCAACGCCCTCAAAGAGCCTCATTGTAGGATCCAAAGTGCTCAGGTGCTGGTGAGCCGTGGCGGAGACTAAGCAACAAGCCATGCATATCGAAGGGCACATTCGTCCAATTAGCTAGGGGAAGCTGCGGTTATGGTGGTCCTCCATATGCAGCCACGCTGTCTTTCCTGTTTCAAGGGGCACGCACATCCAATGACAGTACGACGCGAAGTGAGGCGCATGTTGAGCTGGCGGGGCGAGGGGCACGGCGGCATCGAAGCTATGCTGCGGTCTGTCTTGGAGTCCACGTATCTGTATTGGAATTACGATTAGTTCGTGAAAACATGCAGATAGCAAGACACTATCGGCATATAGCTGCACAGATGCAGCAGACGCATGCGCGTGGCGTGTACGATGCAGCTGGAGAGGTCACCTGGCTAGCTGGGCTGGGTAGCTGCACCTGAGGCAGGCTGAGGTACCATGCAAAGGCTGCCAATCAGGCAAGTCCGAGGGCACAATGTAGGCACTAGAGTAGAATGACCATTGTTGATCCGTAGGTGGAATTGACGCGTCTCCAGCTGGTTTACGTGCTCCCCTAGCCGCAACCAAAAAACACGCTAGAAGCTAGGCTAACCTAAAAAGATCAACGTATGCGGGTGCTTTCCAGCCCCATCGCGCGCGCCTTCCAGCCCTTCCGCGATTCGTATCTCAATCGCATCAGGAGGACCGTGTTCACGACTCTGACCATGTCTGGATGGCGGAGAAAATTCCAAAGTCGCGTTTCTCATCAACGCGATCGGCATTCTCACTCATCGACCCGAGCACATCCTTGTTCCACCGCCAGATCGACCGCCACGCCTACTTGACCAGCGGCTTTCGCACCCACGTCGCGATATCCTATGTCTGGGGCGAATGGCGAGATAATGCATCGGATAAGCTTCCCAGCTGGACGGCGCTCCAGCAGCGGCTGACTTCTCTTCTTGGGGAGCGTGCATCTCCGGGTATCAAGGCTATCACGGGGAAGACCACTCGTTGTTGGTTGGACTGCATGTGTATTGATCAAGAGTCCAGCGAGGATAAGTCATATTGGATACCGCGGATGGATGAGATCTACTATGAGGCTCGATGTACGATTCTACTTCTACGGGTTCCTGGACTGGATCTTAGTCCGCTGATGGAAGTAAAGAAGCTCATGTCTTGCCCCTTGTCTGGACCGCTGAAGCCCAGAGACATTGCGCAAATGGTCCCGCATAGTTGTCTTCTTTGCCAGTCGTGTACATCGCTGCCGCTGCTCGACCCGGAGCTTGAGGCATCCGCGCTCAATGCGTTGAAGATCTTGTGCCATGCCACATGGCGCGAGAGAGCCTGGATCTTACAGGAGATATTGCTTAGCCAGAATTACTTACTCACTTGGGACGACAGTGGCGAGTGGCTCTCCCTTAGTGATACCGCTGTAATTGCCGCGCTCATTTTCCGTCGCAATCTCGAAGAGCAGTGGCTTGACGAGTTTGCGTCCTGGTGCCGTAGATTGTGGTATCTTCGGCAGAACTACGATGAGGCCCAGACTTACGAGCTATGCGATGCGAATGTGCTACAGCTAGCTTCTACGCTTAGCGCAACGGTGCCTTCGGACAAGTATTACGCTCTGTGTGGCATGTTGCGACTCAAGCATGTCAAGCCAAATCCGAATCATAGTGCGGACGAAGCGCTTGGGGTGATTGTAGGTGCTCTGGTTCAAGAAGGCCGAATGAGCTGGCTGTATGCTGTTCCACCAACTCTCAGATTCCCCATGGCACTCCGAGATGGAAACATGGCTCCATTCGTTCTGATACGGCTTGAAGATCGTTTCAAGCCCAACAAGAAGCATAAAGCCCACATCCAGTCTGAAGGGCTTACTTTCGAGGCTATACGGGTTGGGCGTGTTACTCAAGTGATGCCGCTCTCCCAAGTCTTCGGGTCAGCATTCACTCATTTACGCGAGACGCGCGACTTTGATTTCCCCGAAAGCATAGCGTACTGTCATCGCGTGCCAGATATCATACGAAGACTTTCCCCTGATCTAGTCGAACCACTTCTCCTTGAACCGACTTTTGGGAGTATATGCAAAGCTCTCCAAACGACACATTCGGTCAAGTCGGAGGCTCGAAAGGGCTGGCTATGCGTCATGTTTCTCAGCTTCATTGACGAGCCTCTCATCCAAGAGATGTGCGAAGGGGCTGCCGAGGAAGACGTGCAGATTGTGAGATCAGCGGCTGCATCACTTCAGCAGCATTTGAAGAAGATACGTGATCTCTTCAGTGTCTTACTTTGGACTAAAGAGGGCACAAACAAGAACCCTGTAGTCGTAAGTGTAGCACTCTCAGGATGTCCGCTTGATGCTCACACCTTCTCCTTGAACGGTGAGCCGGACTCATTGTTTGCGGCATGTCTTCCAGATCAAGCAGATGCCTATGCCGAGTTTTGTGGACCGTTATTTCTATTGAACGTACGGGATACCATTGGTCCTCGACCTTCCAAACTGCTTACCACGCCGTTCTGGCGAAAGCAATCTCTTTCGTCAAATGCAAGACTACTTCGTTTCAAATATCGAGGAAGCGATGATGTGTCGTAAAACCTTGATGCAGTATTTCGAATTTATCATAAAAGGACATACATGAGAGTTCAGAAGCACAAAAAATACGAAACAAAATAAAACCCGCCGCCAATCCAACCTACTTTGCATTTCTTATTACTTCATCGCCGTTTGATTTAGAAACGCCCCATTCATGCGCGTTTTCTCACATTCCTCCTCGTTGTAACCTTCACGATGCGAACCATCGATAACGCCGCACGCCGACGTTGGTACATAAGAATGAACACCCACTTCCTTCCGCTCAATATGCACACCTTCGCTACTTCCTGCCCCAGAACCTTCTACCGGGTGCAATGACAACGGCCTCAGAATGTCCGCACGATCCAACTCCGACACTGCTGTCTCGTAAAAGGTAGAAGGAAGCTCAAGTCGTTCAGTAAACTTCGATACGATAGAATTTGCCTCAGAAGCCGATGATTGAGGCCGCCTTGGAGATACAAAAGACTGTGGAGTAGTAGGAGGCGTTACTAGAGGTTCAATTGGTTGTTTGGGGTGAAGCCGCAGGAAGGCGAAAGAGTTTTCTTTCTTCTTTTTCTTGAAGATAGAGAGGCAGATAAAGCTCATTGTGTTGACTGACCTAGCATATTCAGGTTTGTATGGTAACTAAGTACTGTTGAATATGTTCATCGTTCTCTCTATACGAAGCTTACGAGACACTGTGGGTGTTCAATGCGTGAGACCGAGTGAAAATGTTTGAGTCGTGGGTGTGAGAGAAAAGACATTTCATGACAGCCTCTTCATGCTAGTGACCAGTCTATCATCTGAGTACATGCGTGCATCTAAACCGTTGATGCTGCCGACTATACTATCTGTTTAACACCTCAAAGTAACGCAATAGTCCACCCACGCTGCGTATCCAGATGCTCCACCCAGTTTCGACCGCCGTGATTGTAGTTCGTCATCGCTTGGTCCTGATGCCTTCCATTCATGACTCCCTTATAATACTGGCATTAGCACTTCGCTCATCCACAGCTTCACATATTTGTACAACTGCCTTTTTCCATGCCGATCGATCCCCTTAGCCCCGTTCCTTACTCCCCAGCTCTGCTCAACATCGAGCGCTAGCTCCTCGAACAGGCCGACAATCCCGGCATCGACATTGTTCCATACCAAGGACTCCAGATCACCTTCTTCACGTAGCCAATTCTTCAGCATGTCGCCATCGACGTGTTTGTGCTTTGGGCCCCGTTTCGAACTTTGACCCAGATGCCGTGGGTCCACATCCCTAGCCAAGATCTCGCCACGTTGGTTACCTGCGGTGTTGTTCATGAGGACGTTGAAAATATCGCCGCTACGGGGATTAACCGTATCGTGATTATGAGCGCCGGAACAATTAGCCTTGACCTCGATGAGGTTCTGTACCAGGCGCAAGAGTAGACGCGCGGACTGAGAGAGGATGGAAAAGGAGAAGATCGTGCCATCAGTGCAAGCACCGATAATGTCGTCAACAATGACACCCGTAGTCTTGCCCGCAGGGTTCGGGCGACGCCAAGGTGGACGGATGTCGCCGCGATCGAGACGAATTACTGTGCGCGGTAGACATGCTTCGAATAGCGTTGGCGAAGCATTGCTGTAAGTCGGTACAGGTGGTTGATACAGGCCCGTTATTGAGCTGCTCTTCTTATCGGTGAGTAACACGAATCGATCGCTGCTGTTATCCTTCGCGTTCGGCAATTCCATGACGAGGTGTCGCGCGCAGTTGCGCATGCCGCTATCAGAGAACTCTCGTACGAACTCGAAAGTACCCGGACGTGCTGCGTCAACTACTTTGTAGCAAAGGTGCGAGTGCTGGAGCGTTGAAACGTAGACGAATGGCCGGATGACAGACACGTGGATACCCGGAGAGTGCAGGTCTGTTTTACCTCGCTGGAACCATCGGCCGGCTTCTTCGTCAAAACGATCGATGAACAAAGACTTTCCAACGATGCTAACCGTCGTTTGGTTGTCCCAAAGCGCTATACCATAGACAGGTTCGTTGTACGTTGACTGTTTCTGCAGATCTAGCTTGGAGCCAGATTTGCCAGTGTTGAAGATCAATCTCCTTCCACTGTGCTGGGTTGCGCTTGTCTGGATTCCGGTACCAACGATGATGAGGTTATACCTTTTACTTTCTTTGTTCACGAATTGCCATTCGACAATGGAATATACCCTCTCGGCGTTTATCAGGGGACATTGAGCGATGACTAGTCGTTCCGAAGGCACGTCCACCTCTTGTTTGATTTCCACATCTTCAGTTGGCCTGTCGTCCCGAACTCTCAGTAGCCTCATTGATGAATGTAAGACCCGTTCTCCGAATGGTGGCCCACGCCTCTCTTTCGCTTCTATAGTAGACACCAGTACTCGACGTAGCTTCTGCATAAACAGTACATTGGTTGGCTTGGCACCTACAATGAGTTTCCGTGGAATGACTTTTGTGTCGTGTAGCTCGGATGGAGTCGCGTCCTGACTTGGCCATTTGACGTCTGCATCAAGCTGCGAGAAGAGAAGGCGATCTCCGGCAACTGCGAACAAGAAGCCGCCAAGATTTCTCCCAAAAACATCCAGTTCCGGGAGAAATGGCAGCTGATACATAGCTGACACTGGGGATTGGTTGTACTCGGGGTGATTACGGTCAGTAAACCATATGGAGTCAATCTCAAGATGAGAGGACTCGCTTGAAGAGTAGCGTACTCGGCAATAGTCTGATCCACAAGACACAAATGCTGCTGAAACATCGGTCTCACTACGCGTTATCTTGGCTGAGGCTGCGCCCATATGGATAATGTTCCAGGATAGAGGTGATATGCCTGCATGATGTCAGCGACGTCAAACAATGGCTTCTACTTGGTCTTACCACCATGCACAACTTCAAATCGAGAGCTCAGAAGAGTACCATCCCGCATTGCACAGACTAGAACGTTCTTTCTTTCCTTGTGCAGAACTGCGACACTCTCACAAAGCTTCTGTGAATTCTGGAATGTATGATGCTCTGTCCAGGAGTCTTCCAACACTATCGACGTGCCGTCGTACTGGTACTTGAAGAGCAGAATTTTCGAATCGAACGTGCTAACAAAAACATATGGGAAGCCATTGATGTCTAGTATCTCTATACATGTCGGGTCGTGAGCCAGGTGGTGTCGGAAAGATTTCGACCGTTCGAAGTTGCCACTCTTCGAAATCGGTACGATTTCCAGGAATGCACGACCACCTTCTCGAGACGCAATTGCAATGAATGAACATCCAGCCTGAGAGGCAGCCAACAGTAATGGAGTATCAAATGCCAGCGACTCAATCTGTTTTAACGTTGGCCGGAGAAGTGTACGAACCTCTTGCCTCGTGATCTGAATTGATATCTCGCCAGACCAAGGGCAAGCCGAGATGGTTTCCTCTTCTCGCATCAAGTCGTCTTCGAGTGGATCGTCGTCGCTGGGGGTCTGAAATTTATCCCAGGAACCTTGCTCCCATGCTCCCAAGAAGTCCGCGCGGCTCTCCGGTTGGGTACGAACCACACGGATCACAAGTGTCTCCGGCGGAAGTGTTATTGCAAATATTGCATAGTGCTGCCTCCTCATCGTACCTTCAATGTCTGCCATATGGCTGCCGTGGTCGACCACCCAGATACCAGCGCAGCCGTTGATGCCGCTGAAACTGTCGTCGACAACAGCTTGGATTCCACACCTCAGTTCCGAAATCTCTCCATACGGACTGTTGCCGTTGGCGACGAAAATAGACGATCGTTGACGTTCGTCTGCCGCACGTGGACTGGAAAGCTGAGTTACTGCAAGGTCTGTGAGAGGCGTCCAATTTGGTATTGTGTCGACGATAGAAAATTGATTTGTGCTTGCATATTGCACTGCATATGAGTACTCAGCAGGCCAGGCACCGAATTTGCAAAGTATACCATCATTGCCCGCCCCGCCAGCAATCAAAAGATCCGGATATTGTTGCGAGGTCTCAGAGTTATTGACACTCAGACACGAGAAGGCAGTGTCTATTCGGCACTGCCACTCGCCAGCCTCATCTATCTCCACAGTACCGGCAGGCCCTTGAACCAGATACATAATGCGTCCATCCTCTCTAGCAACGTAGTAGGCTTCTTTCTGATACTCGGGATTACGCGGAGTCTTATCCCAAGCCGTCCATTTCGGAGCGTGCTTACTGTCACCCGGTAGAACAGACTGAAGTATCGTATGGTCGATTGGTACTATAGTATGCGCCGGATCTCCGGAGAGAATGTTCTTGTAGACGGAGACGTGGTCGTCCGAAACCAGAAGGAAATCGGGACTACGACGAAGAGGGATGAGCAGAGAAGGAATCATGTCCTCTGAATAGGTTAGCCAAGCTCATCCGCTGCGCAATGCGATCTTCCACTTACCAAACTGAACAAGGTAGCGCTCGGTCCGTGGAGTCGCTCTGCTAAGATCTTGTCTGCAGTCCCAATCGAAGCAGGTAAGCCTGGTCCGCCCTTCAAGAACGACCACGAAAAGCAACACGACGTGGTAATCATCATGTCCGCTTCCCGACGACAAAAAGTCCATGTGCATAATCTGCCCTTCGATTGATATCACTCGCTCGTCTTCGATAGGCGTGGTAATCTCATTGCTCTCTTTCGCTTGCTTCCTCCATTTCTCCATAGACTTGGTCTTGTACAGAATGAAACGCCCCTCGTGTGCTGCAACTGCTATGGCGCGGCATTTGGGATCTATAGCGAGGAAAGTGCCAAGACGATCGAAGCGGGAACTTCCTGCGGGTAGTCTGACGGTCCTCTGACTGAAAGTGGTAGTACCTGTCTTGGTGTATTGAGCCCATAAAAACATTAATGATCGGTTAGAAAGACTAAGTACGATGACTTCGGGAGGCAGCATACTGTCTTCTTCTCCTTTCGTCGAACTTCTTGCGATGTGCTTCATGTAGTTCTTGTGTGGTGGAAGACCGGCACCTTTGGTTGCGGAAATTTCACGAAGGTCACCGAAGACCTTGGCAGTAAGGATGCGACCACCGTTGAAGTTAGCCTTGGAAGCCACATGGCGGATATGACCATAGTCACGGATCTCTTTTAGTTGTATAGAGTCCTCGCCAACCATGACAAAGTCCGTGAGGTCCTTATGACGTATATTGACCGGAAGAATGAGTTTACTCAGCGGAGTGTCGACGACTGTCTGCGACAATATGCCGTACTCGGGTACTTGACCTGGTAGTCTGGATGTCGTATCCCGCATTTCAACGTCATCTTGAGGGACGTTGGCCATTATCTGGTAAAGGTCGAGAGGTCTGGAAACCCACTCACCTTCGACGAGGCTGAGACCTTGGGCTTGGGCCATGGCTTGTGAGCAAGGAATGCTCAGGAGGCTGACCTTAAGGTGAACGTCGAAAATGCCAAGCCGATAGTTTTAGATGCCGCGCACGGCACGGGATTAGACTAACGTAGGTAGAAGTAACAAAGGCACACTGTTCAGCGCTGAGATAGATGACATATTGCAGCCTGTCAGGGCAGGCTTGTCAGAGACGCTGATGAGGCAAGGAAAGTCAGTAATAGCAGCTGAGAACAATTGATGCAACAGGCAGCCCGTCTGATGTCGCAAGGGCTGGATTGGATAGCAGTAGTGGTGAGCGGAATGATAGCAGCGGCTCAAGGCAACTGCAGCCGGGATACGTTGGCCAACTCAGGCGAGCAGCTCTAACAGGCCGCTGTAGCACCTTACGCACACTATCAGAAGTACACGGCTAGCAAGTGCACCTACTACTAGCACGTGAAAAACGTGAGTAAACCCGTGTAATGTGCCTCGAGTATCAGGATGGCGTACGGATCTAGATCACCAGACGATCGTGCAGCAGGGAGTACAATCTTAGTCGGATCGCGATGGTTATGTGAGTGGGTTGCAAGCCCTAGTGAGGCAGCGCAGTAGCTGGCCAGGTTGTGGGGAGCTTTAAAGTGTTCGTTGGTGGGTGTGAAGGTGTTGTGCATGTAGGGAAGTGGCTCCAGCACTATTCATCTGGCGGCACGGCAGCGTCTCAGGACTGGAAGGCCGCCGGCGAACAGGTCCGGGAGTGTTTTCGAGTGGTGTTGTCGGGTTGCACGGCTGTCGTCTCACGTGCAGGCCGCGGGTAAGAAGGTGTTGGTAGTCAGGATTGGAAACGGCACGTCCCGGTAGTTGACATTCACAGTTCCGTGGGATGCCAAGCGCCTCGGCACGACAAGGAGGAAGGCGCGACCCGTCACGTCAGCCTGGCACCTGGGACGTCCACACGAAACAACATGTAATCCTTCACATAAACACTTTGCCCCCCTCTGTATCTTTTATTGCGCTCTCCTGCGCATACGAGGTCCACGTTGGCCACGTCATCACGCCGTTCTTCCTTCTTGCAGCGTATTGAGGGGACGTCTCGAGATGCGGGCATTGTCATGGCCTCATGCACTCCCTCTGGCTCCGTGTCGCGCTCAGTGAGCTCTGGCAGCTTACCCTCCCGACATGCCACGTCCGTTGCCCAACCCACGCCTGCCGAAAAGGAGAAAGAATCTTTGGTTCGAGCGGCAATCGACAATGGCGACGTCACCGCCCTGGTAGACCTTGCAACGAGCCCGGCTGGCCTCATCAGCGATAGCTTGCGTCGCACTGCTTGTAGGTCTCCACTCGCACAGATTCCTGCATTAGGCTGACATCATATAGGGCCCCTCTTGCTAGGATGTTCTGATAACGACTTGGAGAAGGAGCCATGGGGACATCTCCCCGAACACAAGGACGAGCACCAGGTTGGCTTGGACGTCAACCGCGCATTTGTCTACTATCCCAAGAACGGTGTGTTCCTCGTAAGCGGCTTATGGCTGTCTTTGTGCTAACATGACCAGAGTCCGAGAAGCAGCTTGATCGTCGAAAGCAACAACTCTCCGATGTCATCCTCCATGTCCTGCGCCACCACCCCACACTGTGCTACTTCCAGGGCTACCACGATATCGTCCAGGTCTTCCTACTCGTCCTCGGTCCCGAGCATGCGCCCGCTGCCGTTGCCCGGCTAAGCCTCCTTCGCATTCGTGACTTTATGCTGTCGTCGCTTGACCCAGCCCTCGCCCAGCTCGAATTGCTGCGACCGATCCTTCGCGCTGCCGATCCCGTTCTGTATGAACACCTCCCCAAGAGCCAGCCTTCGTTCGCGCTTGCCGGAACAATCACCATGTTCGCCCACAACATACAGGACTACAAGGATATCACGAGGCTGTTCGACTTCTTTCTGGCGCGACATGCCGTCATGCCCATATATCTCTTCGCAGCTGTGGTGCTGTCCAAGAGGGAAGAGCTGCTGGAATTCGAAAAGGAAGATGAGGACATACTTTATGTCATGCTAGGCAAGCTCCCAGAGCCTTTCGATGTCGAATTCCACATCGCTCGGACCGTTGAGCTGTACGAGAGACTGCCTCCTGCGTCACTCAACAGTTGGGAGTGGTGGCGTATCTCATCTTCCAGTGTACTCAAGTCGTCCGCGACAAATACTAGTCTGCGTCATCTCACATTGGAAGACGGAGAGACGTTCTTTCTACAACAGGAGCAGGACCTCCGTCGCGAGCAGGCCCTGAGACGCGCAGCTAAGACTATAAAGTACATCAAGTTGCGCGTTTGGCACCACCGCCGCCGGTACGGAGCCGTTGGCCTTGCCATAATGGTAGGTACCTATGCATTGTGGCTCGGCAGAAACGGAGAGCTCAACACTCAATACCCACTCTTTGGACCGATGGGCGATTATCTGATGAGATTTCTTGGGGGTCCGGCATAAACAAGACGAACAAGGAGTCAAGGGTGCTACAAAAGTGATTTCAAAGCATAGCACGGCGCTGAGGAACAGGGTCGGCGTGCTTCACCTCAGTGTAATAAGAGGTACAAAAGTTTCACAGAGGCGTTTGTCTGGAATAGCGATGTTTGTAACCGCCTGGATATCCTTCTTCCATTGGTAATAGTCCCTGTCTGTTACCTTCTGTCATCATTGTCAGTGTTCCGACCGTGCGATCCTAAAACTTCTTCCCGCGACGCGCCCAACAAGCCATTAGAGATTGTATTCGAAGTCGCAATACCCACAACCTGGACACTAATACCATGTTAGGCAGCGTCAGGACCTTCTTCCCCACTCTTTTTCCACGAAAGACTCATCATAACTTACCGAATCATGCAACGCACAGGCCCACGTTTTGCAGTACTGCAACTGTCCTGCTTCCGTCAACATCGACTTAACCTATTACATCGTCAGCTCTAGTTCTTCTACATCTCATCTGTATCCCTCTGGTCTCTTATCTGGTCCTCATCACTTTCACGCTCCCCCTCCAGAGTAAAAGACATACCTGCATACAAGCCGCGACTTCTAGTTCACAGATCTTCATACAAGGAATCTCTGATAGAAGGGTTGCAGGTACGGGCATTCCGACCATGTTCAAGTAGGGTCTGTAGGTTGTTGCCCTGAGATTGGTTGTTCGTGTGGCGGCCATGACAGATTTGGGGAGAAGGGTTACGGTGGAAACCACGAGGAGTATTAGAAACATGGTTAAGTGTAGGGGCTAAAAGGTCAATTAAGGTGAGTGAGAAATAGTAAGGATGGAAAAAGTCGTTTGCGCGGGAGTGTAAGTACTTTTGTGATGTGGGGCTTGGAAGTGAAAGTGAAGGAAAACTATGTTCGAGCGTAGTGTTACTACTATGTCAAGATGCACATTCGGTCGATAAGTTCTTCATTCTGATAGAAGGCTATAGATGTCCACGCAGCACTTTGACATCCAGCCAAGTGCACCTTCCACCGCACATCCGTCTAATGACCATTCAGGCTACCTGAAGAGCGACCCAGTGTACTTTATCAAGGCACCTCATAGCGTCGGCGAGGCATGAATTAGAGTGTTCAAATCCGGCTCCAGCACCTCGCCATATCCTAGGCTGTACGTGCAGCGATCGCAGTCCTTGCACTATCGCGGAGTTAGCCTTCTTCTTCCAGTGTCAAAAGTGTCCAACTTACATCCCAATCCTCGCACATGCTCGCGCGGCACTTCTCCCTGTCTTCAGGTTTCGGAGAGCCCTGTCATCGCGTTAGTTCATCATCCGCAAAAAAAAAGACATCGCAGGTCCATCATCGTGGGAAGGAGCACAATACGACGTGAATTGAAAAGATACTTACAGCCGAACAGTACATGTACCGCATGAACTCGCAGCTACTCACGGTCTCGCACACCCTGTTGTCGGGATAGAGCTACTTTGGAAAGCCTATGCAGTTCACGTTTCCCTTTGGGTGTTCAGGCGTAGGCTCAACGGGTTGGCAGGCGCCAGCCCTGTGGCACTGGATCGGTCCCTGCCATGTGCCGTTCTTGTTGCACTGAAACATGAAGCGGCGGTGAGTGTCGCAGGCGTAATCACCGTGGGTACATTGAGTGCTATTTGCCTGGCGCCTGAACTTCGGTGGATCCATACTACCTGTTTGACAGTGCGATTGACCTGGGCCTTCGATTTTGCAATCACCGGGGGTGGTGCACTTCTTCTCGGTGTGGTAGATTTCATCTTTGCCGCACAGCTGAAGGGCGTATGCGTCAGAGTCGCACTTCCGATCTCCTGGTACGCATGGCTCCGGTACGGTTGAGGCAGAAGGTGGCGCTACCCAACATTGCACGACATCGTTATGCTTGACGCACTTGGATGGGTGGGGACACGTAGTCGGTTTCCAGCTGTTCTTCTCACATCGTTGAAGGACATCGCCCAAGCAGCGAGACTCGCCAGTCTTACACCACTCCGGGTTTGCCGTGGGGGAGGGTAAAATGGAAATTGTGGATGCAACAACCGGTTGACAGCGGGCATTATGGTGTTCCGCGCGGCACTCTTCAGTGTCGCTACAGCTCTCGATGTTGATCCAAGTGTTCTCGATACTACACATCTCAACTTGTTTTCCGCTGCATCACGTCTCACCGACATTGTTGCAATGCTTGAGAGCATCTGAAGTATCCTCAGAGATCAGTGGCCTCGAGTCAAGGCCTTTTCGAGGTAAAACTGTGGGTGGTATGTCGCTGATGAAGGTACATTTCGCCTATCCTAAGCTGAGCTCTTTGCCAGGAACCCAATACATGCAGAGCTCTTCAGGGCGACATGTCTCAACGCTGGCCCAAAAGAGACCATAGTCGCACAATTCGACGCGATGGAGACCGTTGGACCACTTTGCACATCGATAGTCACCAACTTCAAGACAAGCTTCGGGTTGAGGAGGAGATGGAAGAAACGAAGGCGCTGGTGGTAAGTGTTCTGTCGAACAGAAGGTCTTATTCTCAAGCGCACCACATCTTCCGGGTTCAGGACATTCTTCGGAAGCCTTCCATCTGTGTTCGATACTGCATTCTAGACGCCATTCGTTACCGGGACAGCGCTCCTCGCCGATGTTGTCGCAAATCTCAGCGGGAAGATTCTCCTGTAAAGGCTCATCACTTTGACCGATGAAGGGAACCCGACCGATGATTTGGTTTGATGATCGCGGACAAGGTTCAACAAAACAGTCCTGCTCAGTACACTGACCGGGAGTAGTGGGGTCATGAACATCGATCGTGCAGAACTCAGTGTCGCTGCATGCTTGGAAGAGCACGTAGTTGCCGTGGACATTGCATTCTTCCAAGTTGTTGTCGTGGCAGCGTTGAGCACCTGGCTTGCAAGGCTCTTCTGGGGATGGGATGCTGACAGGGAAGACTACAGGCAGAATAGTGACAGGAGTCACGAGAATATCGAGGATTCGCATCTCTGGCAAACGTGTTCAACGTAGGTGGAACCGATAGGAGAAGTAGAAAGTGGTAGGGAAGAGTGGTTGAGAAGGGTATGATAATGTAGTTTGATGATCGATAGAGCGCATTGATATACGCAAGAGAGATCAAGGGAAGGGATAGCGGTGTATAAATGAGTGTTTGCTTGCGGTGGGTGATAGGTGGGTCCTAGGCTACGAGGGAAAGAGCTACGAGGGAACAACAAATGCATAGATCATGTCTCGATTAAACTTACCGTATATTCGTAGGCTGCCTATCAGGTAGGGAAGTATTGGTGAAGTTTTCTGAGCCAGGCCATCTCCACTTTCAGTGTTTGTCCTCCGTCATCTAACCATGGAGAAACACACAGCTAAAGTTCGCTAACGATGTTCACATACGATGGATGCTTTCTACTGTAGTGGTTTTATTCTCCGAACTTAGGTACGAGATCGCAGTTGAATATAGCACCCAGATCCGAAAAATGAAGGTTTGGTCGTAAGGTCCTAAGTGAAGGAAGCGAGACTCTCCTTACGATGCAGTGCCCACATCCGACAAGTGTCGTTGGTAGATCTGCACTGCGATGCGATTCCAAATCTGGTTCTCAGTGAAAATTCCAATAACGCGCTTGTACACAAACTACTTCTTCTTACCCAAGCCTCCCTCCAATGTCTTTCCCGATTTTCCTATCGCGACGCTCAACTCACAAGAATACATTCTCGTCAATGCTATGCGCATATCCAAAGCCCATGCTTTCCTTGTCCTTGCGCTCAACATGGGCGCATCGACCGAGTCCATAGATGCTCCAAACTCTGGGTCGAATGCATACATGATGGGTGTTTCCCACCTACTCATGATGCTTTCGCTGACCGTCTCCCAGGACTGAAATGCTTCGAAGACGATGTAGAAGAATGCCAGCAACATTTCTGGCAGGACCTCAACGCTCGGGTTGCGCCAGATCAGGAATGTGTAGCACGGTGCTGGGCAAAAGCTCCGACACACTGCCACATCGGCTCTTGTGCATTAACGGTTTCTGCGCCTACTATAAGAAACTACACTGCTCCACTGCTCACCTGACCTCAGCAACACGTTGAAATACTAGCTCGTGGTTGCAGCACCTTTCGCAATACGTGTCTGGAAACTTGCGACCTGGGAAACATTTACTTCAAGTGCATGAAGAATTGCAAAGTGCCAAATCGTAAACGATATATTTGAAGTTGTTGTCAGCCTGCGACCTTTCTGTTGGGAAAACTCCACCCAACGCCTTGCATATATCCCATGCCATGGTAAAATACACTAGCAGTTGCAGCAATCTGGCCACTTGCTCATGATTGCTGCATGTTCTTCGACCGAGTATTGGCCCGCCAAAAGGCCTTCATTGGGGCATGCGGGGACAAAGGCCTCTCATTTCGGGCCCGAGCCGTACCCAGCATCGTTCTTGGGATCCTCTGCCAGCAATTCAGCGCTATATACGCGCTTGTAGTCCTGCTCACTCCAGCCCTGTTGTTGAGCGAGACCGCTTAGGCTCAGACCTCGCGACCTAGTCTTCTTGATCGAATCTCCTTGGGTGGCACCGACGGGTGTAGATCCGTAGTTAAGCGGGACTACTCCCTGACCGGGAGGTGGGAAGGGAGTTGTGCCTGAAGGAGATGCGACAGTTTGGCCATTAGTGACTGTCTCGGGTACTTCAGAGTCAGCCGGAAAGTCCGACGAGACGGATGCTTGTTGCGCTCGCTTCAGTGCATTCTCATAGTTTGCCGAGCTTGCTCGAGCAACACCTGGTCGACGATAGCCAGTGTAAGCCTTGATAGCTTCAGTTGGCCCATTTTCTGTCGTTGTCTCATTTCCTCCACCAGCGCCCATCAACGGCAGTAGACGTGGGTCGGGAGCTGCTGAATCGGTCTGCGAGGCGCTGTTGGAGGTGAAGGCAGCTTCAGCTTGGGAACGCGTGTTGGGTGTGAGACCGGAGGGAGTGAAGGCGCCTGATGAGAGGAAAGAGCCCTCGGTGGGCGGCATGAGAGATGGTCGTGAGCTCATGATGATGATGATGATGTATTACTGCGACATGTTAGCATGGGTTTGCAAATTGCATTAATTGGCCGAGCGTATGAACGTACGTGAAGTCTGTGGATTAAGCTTCGGGAGATGTGGTAGTGCTTGTCTTGACGAGTAGTGTGATTGGTGGGTATTGTTTCCCTGTTCGTCTGACAGTCAGTCGATTGGTTTCGTAAAAGACCGCAGAGGCACCGTACCGAATGCTCAGGGTTCTTCGATATGCAAGTGCAGTAAGAGAATCGTAATTCTTCGTTCACACCTCCCTTAAGCGACTGCTATCTATTTGAACGATAGCAGCTGATGCTATGCCATCATACCTTGGCGGGTGACGTCTTCTCAGGGTCCAGACTTGCGGGGCCATCTAACCACATATGGCAGCCGTCCGCGCTGCTCAATCACCAACGCTGTCGATTGCAACGAGCCGCAAGGGTCTGCGTTGATCGTTGACATGGTTGATGGGGAGTTGGCTTTGTTCGATAGGTGGAAATGATGCGGTTGCATGTCACGGTGCGTTAGGGCGCTGACCTTCGGAACACGGGGCATAGGTGAGTGTTGATTCTATTAAGTCGTCAACTAAACATCCACCCACTGACTACCTGCTCCTCCCATTACTGCGCAAATCAAATCCTTAAAACACTAATCTAATCAAACATCAACTCGAATACTTCATCACGGCTACTGCGCCAAGTAACCAAATCCTGCCCAAACTATCAGGACAGTCACGACGAAAATGCGAAGACAACTTTGAGGAAGGAAGCCATGAAACAGTATCTAGCATGGTATCAGCGAAAGACATCTCTACAAGGTGAGCTGAGAGCGTATGACATACCTCGCTACATTTGCCGCAAGATCATCCAACAAATGTTGAACTAAAGGCTGGAGTGGCAAACACCAATGGCCGCTACGGTAACAGCAGCAGCCTTTGAGCCGCACGCGACGAGTTCGGAGATAGCAACCGGAGTAGCAACGCCGGCAGTGAGTTCAACGGCGGCGAAAGCAACGCCGACGCAACCAGCAATAGCACCGAAACCAGTCAATCCAGCGGCAGTGACGCAAGTACCACAAGGCACGTTTTGGAAGCAGCTTGAGTGAGCTGATTTCAAACGGGCATCATGGGTGGCAAAAAGCTGACGTTCAACGCGACGGACCGTGTCAAAACCGTTGCGGGCCTCGAGTTTGTTGTTTACGACTGCCGGTGCAAGATCGCGGCGTGCGGCTTCCGGGACGACCAAAGCAGAGAGCTCAATTGAAATTTCGGCGAACACAAGTTGCTTGATTGGAGCAGGCCAGGCCTCAACGATTTCAGCAGGCTGATGGAGGATGGCGGTCCATGCCTTGACGTCGATCGTAGTAAAGTCGTCCGTGTTGAGGAGGTTGACCATCGCATCCGCTGGAACTTGACATTGCTCGGCGAGGTCCTCAATGCGAACCGCTTCCACGAAGATGTCGACGTCGACGTCGATGTTGGCAGATGCATTAATGCTTGCAGCTGCATCAATGTTTACAGCTGCATCAATGTTTGCAGCTGCATCAATGCTTACAGCTGCAGTGATGCTGGCAGTAGCAAGGAGCAAAAGCTTGACAATTGAGGTAGTCATTGTGGCGTAGGGTAGCTGATGAGGGCTGCGATTTGAACTTAAGAAGCGTAAGGAGGTTGAGGTAAAGATGCTTGAAGGATAGAGATAATGAGGTGGTGTTGAGAGGTTGCGCCTCTCTCAGCTTTTATAACTTTCACCGCTTCGACGAACACATGCCGTCGTCGTCCGTGACTATCAGATCACAGTAACCGACATCGGAGCCGAAGTGAGCAATTTGCGACATGATGCTCACCGTCTCACAGCAATTTGGTCTGTCAGACCAAGATACGGTGTCAAGAAACGGTGAGAGTATACCAAGCGTACAATCATTGCCTAAGAAAGTAACAGAATCAGCCCTAAGGACTTGCACGACTCATGCTCTCCATGATAGTGGTTCCTTCCGGACGTAAGCTGAATGATAGTCAGGTACCAAGCGTACATTTGATACTCAAAGGGGTAACTGAATTGAACCCAAGGGCTTGGGCTAGACGTGAGCGACCAGTGTAGTCTAGTCTAGTCTGTCTCCCTCAGACGCTCCAGAACAGATTAGACCATTTACCCACATCAGGAGCGGCCCGACCAGACCGGAATCAACTATCCGACCTATCCGTACATCTGGATCGGTCCGTCTGTCTGGATCTGTCAGACTGTCTAGATCGGGCCGATCGCGGTTCTAGTAAGTCTCCAAACCACACTGTCTCTATCACTGCCAAGCGCGCTACGTTGAACTTCACATTTTGCATCTAGCATAATATATCCATATGTCTGTGGCTGAGATCATTTTGCCTCGTGTGACGTCTTATCGGCCTGATTAAGGGCCTTCTGGTTACGGTCTTAGCATACTTGGCCTCACTTGCTCGAATCAGTCCTCACCGTATTCAGTGAACAGCACTGCAAAGCCAGCAATTCATGCTCGTAACTATTCACCCGAGGGCTAAAGATACTGCCGACATGTGTGTTAGGCGTGAAGGAGAGACAAGCTGAAGTCGTTTCAAAAAGTATAAAGCCTAGAGGGATTCCACACAGAACAGACATCTCTGATCATCTACAACCATCAATCTCCAACACTCAATCATAATATTTCACCTTCTTAAGTTTTTTATCGACTCAGATCATCAACATGTTCTTCAAGACTGTCACCCTTGCCCTCCTTGCCTCATCGGCCTTCGCAGCTACTATCCAGCAGAGGCAGGGACTGAACCCCAGTGTTCAGCTCTGCTCCAACAAGGATTTCAACGACTGCGATACTGTTAACTTCCACTATGGCATTTGTCGTAGGTTCTGCCAGATGTGCTGTTGTCTCTACAATACGGGGGCTAACAAAGAGCAGAGTCTGCCGGAAGGCTGAACGATAAGGTCAGCTCGCTCAAGGCGAACGGCCACAACTGCATCTTCTACAAGTAAGTAACCGCCTTAGTATGAGCTCTGGCCTCATGACCTAACAACTTCATAGCGACACTGGATGCCGCAACGGAGGCGGCCAGATTGCGACCACGGGAGATGTCGCCAACATTCGCTCCGACAGCTCGCACTCTACCATGAACGACGATGTTTCCTCCTTCTTGTGCAACATCTAAGCCATACTCTCAGCATGTTCTTGTCGTATTTCCGATGCTTAGCAATTATTGGTTAGCATTGTCTTGGTTCTAGATCAGCTTCGTATGACAGCTCGGATCGTCACTGGAGCACTGCTACCACGGGAAAGTCGGCACAGGACAAGCTTTTGCATTATATGGCTGGAGATTGGCGGCTTTGTAATCTCTGGTTCTTTTATCAGAGAGTTTCTCTTCGTATGTTGTTAATTTGAATTGTGGAAGTTATTGGTTGGGGATAGATTACTTAGTACTGAAGATTTTGGTCCTATAATTTAAGCATTTATCTCCTCAAAGTACCTCGCACAAGCAACCTTTTGTTTTCAGGAACCGTAGGATTTCTCGATAATACATCCTTAGATTGTAGCAAGCGCAGGCACAGCCAAGCATCCATGAATACAGCCGCTCCTTTGATCGGCTCGAATTTTGACCGCTGACTGCCGGGGCTATCGTCTTCACCGTTAGGGGTTGACGCCGGTATCGCCACCCGAAGGGGCCGGCTTACTCTTGTAGTGGCCCGCCCTCATTATACAACAGTTACAGAACTATATGATGGCGCTGGTGCACACGGTCGCGCAGCTTGTTAAGTCGATAAAAACCCTTGTTGCAATTGTAGAGAGCGTGGTTGGAACTCGGTGCTTGGTGCATTTGTGTGTTATTGCTACGTTGTAGGTTATCAGAACGATACACCTAGAATTCAGGGCTTCAGGTAGGGCAGTTTCTGGAATGGCCTAGGCCAGTGAAGTGGTTCAGCCTTGGAGTCGCTAGCGTCAACACTTCTGTATGAACCCGTCAATGGCACCTCGGTAGCGACTGTTGCATTCAACTATTGGTAGTAATGACCAACTAAAATATCGATAGTGACTGGCTGAACGAAACATGAGAGAGTACAATCTGGTAAGAAACAAACAGATACAACATCCTATCAACTACCCTGAACTCATCAATGACTATTTCCCAAACTCATCTACCAACCCACACGCGTCCCGCATTGAAGCAGTACTCAATGCTCAACCCTTACAAGACCATCTTGTGACTCTGGCGTATGTGATCACGAAGTTTGTCCAGGCGGTAAAACTTCATGTCGCAATCGTTGACGATGCACTTGAGCTCAGGATCCTGATGCTTTCGCATGTGGCGGCGATGATCACCAGGGCGGCGGAAGGTCTTGGTGCATCCGCCTACGGTGCAGCGGATGCGTGTCTCGATGATGCGACGATGAACCTCGGCATGTACACCAGATGGCAAGCTGGGTGGTACGACAACGTTCGGCTGAGCAGCAGCAACAGCAGCTGGAGCAATGGGTTGGAAGGCATGACCAGGTCCAGCCACACCTGCAGGGTAAAACGGCTGAGTCAGGAAGGGGCTAGGCTGCGGAAGCATCGACGTCAAGAAGCTGTTACCCACCGAAGGAACAATGGATTCATCCGACAGGGTCCAGTCCTCCAGTGTGTTAACATTTCCAAGATGAGTTTGTTGGGTGTTGATGATGGTAAGATCATACAGATTCAAGGGGTCGTAAGACCCTTGAGCAGGCACAGCAGGGAGGTACCCTTGATAGTCGAAGGGAGCCTCATTGGTGGTAGCGTTACTAAGCTCCTGCGGGTACGCATGGCCCAAGCGCGCGTCAGGGAACACACTTGCCCAGAGGGTGTCTGCCTGAACAGTCACCGGCAAAAAGGCATAACTGCATGATGTTAAAAAAAACTACCTCTGATTGGTTGCGCCACTACGCGTCGTCGCGTCACCACCAACGGGTGACTTAGTCAGCTGAAGGTTCTGCCAGGCAGTTGGCATGCTGTGGTCGCACTGCTCTTCAGTATCGAGAGGATTCATGTCGCCTAATATCGTGGAGATGGTTGCTTATCGAGGACAGGAGTGGTAACCGTGTAGACAGAAGGTGCACAAGCAATGCGCTGTGGCTCGTTCAAGTAGGTTACGATGGTAGGTAAAGCGACGAGCAAAAGATGATGATAGAATGAAGGAGATTGTAAAGGTCCGGGCAACACTTGGATGAAGAGTGTTGGGAAAACAACGAGAGAGAAGCTGGTGAAAGGGCGACCAATGGCGTAACGAAGTTAAGAAGGGCGCCTGTTCACCGTTTGATTGGGCGATCGTCTAGCCCTCAGCCTCAGCATGCACACCTTCAAAACAACTCGCCCAAGATGACGGCTTTCCGCGTAAACGAACAGCTACGGGCTTTCAATGCACCACAACATCTGTCCGGCCATGGAATCAAGCGAGGTTTTTCTTTGCGACCAATGTCCCAAGGTTTTCACTACTCGAGGGCGCTTCAAGTAAGCTTACAATACCATGCCCTTCCAATCACTACTAACATCACACCAGTCAACACTTGAAAACTCACTCAAAGCCATTTCAATGCGGCGAATGCGTTAAGAGCTTTGCTCTACGTTCCGATCTCAATAGACATGTGCAGGCACGGCATCAGCTTGGCGTCGCGCGACATGCATGTGTCGTTGAAGGCTGCTATTTTAAAGCCTCTCGCAAAGACAACATTCGTCAACATCTTCAAAAAAGCCACCCGCAAGATCATATTGGCCCTAAAAAACATAAATCAGGTCGCCGTCGAGCAAAGTTCTATACCACCTCGTCAATTCCACTTAGTGTATCACCAAGCACCCAGAGCGACTTGTTATTGGCAAATACCTCTACATTGATGCAAGCAGCAGGCGCAGGCAATATTGGTTTTGTAAGAATTATCATTCAATCGGGTATTGACGTTTCTATACAAGCTGATGATGGCTCTACTGCTTTACATTGTGCTGCCAGGGCCAACCAGGTTGAGATGATTCACGTTCTTGTTGAGTTGGGGGCCCGGTCAGATATCCTCAACAACAAAGGGAGAACACCCTTTCATGAGGCTGTACCGGCTCGTTGCATATCCGTATTCAATGTCCTTGTGGAGAGGACAGCAGATATCACGAAACACGTTTTACGTGAAACGATCGAGACAAGCCAACATGAACTTTGCCGGCAAGCTTGGGAAGGCTGTGATAAAGATACGATTGGTGATATAAGCCGTGATCTTTTCGATTTTGCGGCAAACAGTAATCAGACCTCGAGCATGAATACAGTGTTATTGCTCACTGATATCACATCGGAGTGGATAGCTGAGAATGGAAGGGCTATCATAATCCGGATCATCTCGAAAGGCCAAACAGCAATGCTCGAATGTTTGCTAGCTTCTAAGAAGCTAGACCCTAATATGTCTATTTGCAGGTATAAGACTCGAAGTCTCATCCATATCGCTGCTGCCAAAGGACAGTTCGAGATTGTGGGCCTTCTTCTTCAATCTAAAACGATTGATCCAAATCTGGCCACACAGAACGGAGTATCAGCATTGACGATTGCAACCTTGCGAGGACATTTTAGCATCGTGGAAAAGCTTCTTGCATATCCTGGTATCATCGTCCAAAGCAGAACCCCGGGGAGCGAGCAGAGGGCTGCCCCCCTGCATATTGCATGTCGCCGAGGACATGTTGAGATCGTGCGACTGATGCTCGAAACCTTCGATGAGCGGGGACTGGATGTTGATAGTTATGCCAGATCAAATACGACAATGACGCCTTTCCAAGCCGCTATATTCGGTGGACACATTGACGTTGTGAAGCTTTTACTGCTTCGACAAGACGTCCATGTTAATCGGCCCCTCAAATTCTTAGCAACGAGCCCATGTCAGTTAGCAGCGCGGCGTGGGCATGCTCGGACATTGGATGTGCTGCTTGGAGATCGCAGGACTGATCGAAAGAATGCAAAGAACAGCCGAGAGTCGCTGCTATTCGAAGCGGTCATGGAAATACGTTGGCTATTAGTTGATATTTTGCTCGATTACGATGAGGCTTCTCCACATGTTACGCAACGCAACCTCTACACCAGGACGAAGGCTGCAGTGAACCGTATCGATACTCTAGAAAGACTCCTAGTCGACACAGCATTCCGCGAACACCAGACAAAAAACAAAGGAGCAAATCTCTGGCACCAAGCTGCCCTATATAACGACTTGGAGCTTGCGATGCTTCTACTTGAGCATGCCCAAAGGAATGGAAGAGTTGATCATCCCATTGTGGATGTCAATCGTAAAACCGGTGACGGCCAGACACCGCTACACGTTGCTGTTGATTTCAGAAGGATTGGTGTCGTAGAGCTCCTACTTCACCACAAGGATATCGATATCGACATCATTTCACAAAGAAGGACCCATGAGCCTGGTCAGTCTGTCGTACAGATGGCTATAACTAACCTCAAGCAATCGTACTACTGGAGTAAGGAAGAGTACGCTTACATAGTAGATCTTCTGCTAGCCCATAGTGCTCAGAACGTGTCGCAAGAGCGAGGAGATCATATGAGCAATCTCATTCTCTCACCCTTACTCGAACAAGCAGGCAACCCAAAGAATCTTGTTCTGCCACCCTTATTCGGACATAGGAAACACCAAGAATATCACTCAGCTGGACAAAATGGGGATCTGAGCCAGAAAACCCATGCGTCATGGGCTTCAGTCGTTGGGTTTCAGGGAAATGGCGCTGAGTCTGGAGAGACGAACAGCAAAGACGAGAATATGGTGGGCGACATTGTCCCGATGGATTTGGACGATTCCATGGAAGAAGATCCTGACGCGATTTTTAAGGAGCTGATGCACTTCGATGAGGAGGAGATGTCCGACTACAACGGCTTGGGGATGCTGGACCAAGGTACTTTTCATGAGTCACTAAGCGAATTTACTTCTTTCTCAGAAGAACGCAACATGTAGTAGTCAAAAGATACCCTTGCTTGGGTGTAACTGGTTCGTTCGTCTCGTGGAGTTTCGGGAGCAGCGAACGTTGCTGGAAGGTCGACAGAAAGCTCCAGATGAGCGTTGGGCTGGAATCGGCGTTTGCAGGTGCAGTAGAGCGTTCTCTCATCTAGTGCAATGGAATCTTTGAATCTATGAAGTGAGACTTGCCTATTGCGCCATCCAGCAGGACAATCAAGTGGAAGTCATCGTTGAAAACGTGTAATTTGTTGGGAATAAAACATAGGTGACGGGTACCATGTCAGCGATCGCCCAGGCTGGACGCGTCGGCCGCACTACTGTGGCGGCAAGGACTTTCAGGCCTAATACCAGCCCTGGCCTCTTTCCATTCCTCATCAAGAGTTAACCACCTAGATCCACTCGATACTGGTCTCAAACAGGTATAGAAGATGTTGGTAGCGGCCACTACGCGATTCATGGCTGCGCGGCCGCGACGTTCAGCGAAGTCCACCAGGCACAGGTGCAGGCGTCGCATGCGCGACTGCCCACTCAAGCATCACCCGCAAAACAATCGAGAGGAGCTGAGAGGGGTTGCGCGCATACGTTCCTCGCTCCTCAGATAAAGTTATCGCAGTAGTTCGCACGCACAAGACTGATGCGGCGGATTGTAATAAGCACTTGCTGTAAGCTTGTGCCGTTTCGCTTCGCCCCTGTCATGCCGCGGTGTGAGTGAGTTGGATAGGCACGCATCTTAGGCGTACACATCTGACGGGCGTAAAGTTTTGGTAGATCCCTGGAGCAAGGTAGATAGCCGCAACTTCCTTTTGCTTGATATCTGAGTTCGATGTGAGTTTATTGACTGCGCACCAGATAGTCTCTTGCGCAATTGAATTATTTCAACGATGTTGGAATACCTCATCGCACTGTTAGCTCTATGTGTAGGATGGAGCTTACTTTGTCTGGAGATCAATTACAGTTGATACTCCGCCATTGGCGTACCTCTCATACGACGGCCTATCGTCCCGCTCGATGTTCCCTTCCAGGGTCTCGAACCGCATCTTTTCAAACTCGTCAATCTCCTACCTCCAAAGCTGGTACAGAATTTTGTTCAGTACGTGCGACGTGGTTGGCATTTCCTAGACAAACCCATCTCCCATCAACGCTATGAGCCAGTCCTCGCGTTCGTTATACCCAGAGGGTTGCATATGTACGTGGCAGAAGCTGACGCTGTGCATGACATGTTCATGCGAAGACTAGATTCCAAGCGTCCGAATGACTACTATAGTAAATTCCGTCTACTTGCCAGTGGTTGGAGCTTAGCCGTAATAGGGCTACTTGAAGTTTACGGACCCTGAATCTCAACGGCGAGCCTTGACGATTGGTGGCCACGACACAGGAAAGTACTCGACACGCCATTCAACGAGAACGCGATGAGATTTGTTTGGGACGAAAGTCTTCACCAGACCAAACATATGTTCAAGGCGTGGACCGTCCAGAGCATCACTGCCGTGAAGGACATTCGCACACTTTCACTAAACGTGCTTGCTGCGTTAGATGTTCATCGCTCATTTCCATTTCAGTCTTCTAGCATTCCCAGCCAGACTGCGGATCCAGCAGCTTCCTACCGTGACGCCTTATCCACAGTGTTAGATAATATTATCCTACTTACGCTCGTTCCATATCAGTACCTCCTACTCCCCGTTCTCCCGGGTTCGCTCCAGCGCATTGGAAAGGCTAGAACAGAGTACAAAGAGCACATGGAAAGAATGCTGAAAGAGGAAATGGTGGCTTTCGATCGTGGTGATTCTGGTACCCGAGGCCTTATGGCGTCTTTTTTAAGGGCGTTGAGCACCCGTGACGCACAACAGGCCGGTATAGGGAAGACACAGGGCTTTTCGAAAGAGGAGGTCCTTGGTAATATCTCCGTCATCAATTTCGCTGGTCACGATACCACGACCAACACTTTGGCTTTCGCGATGCTATTACTTGCTACGAAGCCGCATGTTCAACAATGGCTTGCTCAGGAAATGTCTGACGTGGTTGCCGAAAGAGATGAGTGGAACTATGGTAGCATATTTCCACGTCTCATCCGTTGTGCTGTTTTGATACATCTTGATATTGAAATTTCTCGTCCACTACTAATGCTTCTAAGCTTGAGACCCTTCGCCTGTATCCTCCCATTATGACGCTCCCGAAACACACCCATACCACACCTCAGAGTCTCAAAGTCGGAGATCGCACTATTCTCATCCCTGCAAACACCTACACAAGCCCGAATATGATGGCTTTACATACAAATCCGAAGTACTGGGCTGAATCGTTGGAGTGGAAGCCATCACGCTAGGTCATTTCCAATACTGTTGCTGGGGTCATGCATGATGAGAAGATTGTTGCGCCGGCGAAATCAGCTTTCTATTCCTGGTCCGCTGGCCCATAGAACTGCCCTGGTGAGGAATTTTCACAGATGGAATTCATCGCTGTGCTGGCGTTGTTAATGCAAACGCACTCGCTACAAATTGTCAAAGAACATGGGGAGACTGAGGACGATGCAAGGAGAAGAGTGGAAGACGTGATCAACGACTGTGACATGCAAATACTGCTGCGGATGGAGGACACCGGGAAGGTGAGGCTGAAATGTGTAGCGCGAGCTTTCAAATAATTCCGCAAATGGAGCTGAAATCATGCTGCGAGGCTGAAACCAGCCACAAAGTGCCTACATGTAGCTTGTGGTAACAGGTAAAGAGACACGAGCCAATTAAGCATAATAGCTCTTGAATTTAAGATTAGATGCCGCTCTTGTCCAATAGTTACTAGAGTGAATCAATCCCGATAACGATCCGCACCAGTATGATGCACACTCAGGAGTACCACTACAGCCACTGCGCCTTCGTAATACACAACCTGACTGCGCATTGGTCCATACAAGCGGATATGATAAACCCCCACTGTAGATCCTCAGCCGCACGGTATCTAGATCGCCCTTTCCAGCAGGTTCGTTCTTCTAAGGGGTTTCTTGCATCTAGTGAGTACACATACCCCAGCATATCGCGCGACGCGCACATCGTCTTTTCTCATTGCAGCAGTACATCACCCTACCAGTTATGACACTCTCTACACAGATACTCGCGCTTTGCTTCTTTCTTGGCATCGCTTACAGCGATGGACTCAACCCTATGAGCCACCCTGCAGCGGGCGACATCATTGAAGCTGAGAAACCGTATCAGATAGAATGGCTAAACGGGACCCCGGGTCCGGTTTCCATCGATCTACGCTTCGCTGACACGACCGCGGTGTTGATAACTAGTAAGACTACTCTCCTTCGCATGCGCAGTAATGCAGGAAGCGTGGCCGAAGAGTACGAGTGCTAAATACTGTAGACGAAACGCCCAATAATGGTAGCTATACGTGGATACCATCCGGTGTTCTTGCAGGAAAAGACAACTACTTCATGGCGATCTGCGATACAGGCATGAACGACTGCACCTATACATTTGATGGACGTTTTGCAATTGGGGATGTGGGAGGCTCGTCGTCTTTGCTGAGTTTCACAAGTAGTAGGTTAGTCAAATGCGTTCATACTGTTCTTGTATCCTCTTCCAGACATGCGCTTTACTAATGCCGTGATCGCACCATAGTACAAAGCTCGTTACGTCCTCGTCGACTTTCAGTGCTACTGCCGTGTCGACCCCATCCCTCACTACAAGCGACCTGATCCCCAGTGCAACTGTGTCTAATTCTCCGTCTGATAGCATAACGTCAAATCTATCTATAGACGCGAAGATAGCGATAGGAGTTGTATGTGGTGTTGTGGGATTGACTCTTATCTTCCTCGGAACGTTTTATTTATTGCGCACGCGAAAACGCAGCAAGGCTACGGCGAAGCCGCAGTCTACACATACCGCAGCAGATGATACATCTGCTTCCAAGACCATTAGTGGCCTATATGGAGAACAGATGGCGGGGATGAGCGAGTTGGACGATGCGCAGGTGAAGAGACCGAGGGCGGAGCTGCCTTGATCGTGCGCGGGCGATGGGTCAGATGCGCATAATAGCAAAGTCCGGTGTAATGAACAGCAAGAATCGCATAGTTCTTTTCATATATATTTCAGTTAGAATATCTACAACGAAGGTAACAATGACGCATCATTCGTCGCCTCAACCCATGCGATCGTCCCAGACGCACTCGACATCACTCGCCTTATCGCCTCGCCATACATTCCCTGGCATGTTCTTCGCCGCAACAGCAGCTCTTAGCTGCGTACCCAACTCAGGTGGGCCTGACCCAATGACTTGCGTTCTACCCTTCTCGACTGTGTCCCTCATGAACGCATCAACCAGAGAGGGAACATCCGGCCGCGCATTGTTTAGCCATGTAATACTAAAGTTAGGGCATTGGCGGCTGAACTCCTCAATCCGGTGGTCAAGTAACGTTGAGTCGGTGGAGGGACTTTGCGACAGTGGAATTTTGTCACCAAAATCGTCGCCCTTGTCGCTGTGAAGCTGACGAGAAGGCTGTTGATGCTTCCTCGTATCGGGTCGAGTTACAAAGATACGGATTCTGAAGCGCTTCTTCGTCTCCACTGACACTATCGGTGCCTTCTCTAGCTTATCCTCGTTATAGGGTGAATCTATCTGGGATCCATCGAGTTGTGACTTCAGATACGCCAGTTCGGACGCAATCCAGGCAAGGTTCTCCAGGTGTCGTATAGTCCAGACTAGTTCAATGTTGCGCGCAGGGGAAGCGTCGCTCAACGCACTGATGATAACTGGAAGGGTGTAGGTAATCCCCGTGCCACCAGAGATGGCGAGAACGTTCGAGACCTCGTCATTCGTAATCGCGCTGCCGTATGGGCCCGTCATAATGACTGGCGTCGACGCTTCGCGACGTGGATAGCAGTTGGCGGCCGACTTAGCGAGAGAAGCAAGTCTCGCAGTCTCGCCTTTGCAAGCGCGGATAATGTACGTATGGCTCTGAACTGGGGAGGAGCTTGTAGGGTTGGAAGCCGGCGTGAATGGATGCGACTGCCAGATGTTGAGTGCAGGGAACGTGAGGTAGAAGTGTTGGCCGATCTCCCAAGCGTTGTGGCTGTGAGCAAACGTCATCCGTACAATGGTCCCAGTCGGATCTTTAAATGTCTCCATGGTTGTAGGAATAGATCGAAAGCCGAAACCAAGACCTCCGTCTTTGTATACAGTGTGTATGAGCCAGGTGCGAACGCTACGAGCGACAAGATCGAACCCCATAATGGCCAACGATGCGATCATCCAGCATGATAGCCTCTCCCAATGGCCCCAACAGGCTCCCAAGTAAAGGCCAGCGACGATGAGATGTGACTTGCGGAAGAACTCGTAACCCGTCCAGCGGATTACCGGCCTGAGACTAAAGACGAACAGGAAAGTGATGAAGCCTTGCGCGACGCAACCCCAGATCATGTACCTTTGGCTGATCCATTCATTGTAGGTTGTAGGTTGCGGCTGGTATAGCTTTCCTTCAACGATAGTCCAGATAATGGCATGTATGAACGATTGGACAAGGATGATGCGGCCCGTCCAGCGGTGCAAGAAGTTGAAGCTTTGATATGGAATGCCAGTAAGCATGCTGAGAATGGAGTCGCGGCTACACAGGGCGATAGTCAGAGGAGTTAAAGCAAAAGCAAAAGCACCAACACGATCGGCAAAGCCACCAATGCCACTGCGGGTGTTGTGTAAATTTGTGCCTTTGATGGGTGTAACCCAAGTCTTGTAAGTGATGCCGGCAAACCTCTCGAAAGTCAGTCGTGTTGTATTGTTCATGGAAAACTCGACTCACGAGAAAGCTGTCAGGTAGACACATAGCAAAGCCAAGATGAGAGCCTGTAACCTCGTAGTATATCTGAAAACTTTCGAGCATTCAGGCATGAGGTAGCGCCGTATGGTAGCAGATCCCAGTCTGACCAGGCGGTACAGCAGACTCTGTTTCGCACCATTTCTTCTTTGCGGTCGGATCAGTCGAGACAAAAGCGTCAGAAGCAAAACCGCGCCGAGAACGGCCCACAGAATGAAGGTAAAGATCATAGAGGTATAGTGGTTACTGTAAACGGCATCGAGATATTCGCAGGACCCAGCATCGTTGGTGCATGGAAAGTTGCGCACCGCATAGCCCCAGTAGTCGATTGTGTATTCGACATCGCTATCGGTTTGTATGTGACGGGCGGCTAGCGCGTTATTGGTCGAGTTGGAAAACATTGTAATGATAGGACGCAGCGCAGCTGCAAAAAAGAGAAGAATAACAACAAGGAAGAAAGGTATGGTGTGGTCAAATATGCAGCAACATCGCGGTGGCATAGATGAGGAGGATGTTCAGTTAATAACCTAATACTGCAACCAAATTTCGTGGGTTCCACTACGTAATTGGACCAAGTCTTGTCGTGCAGTTGGCAAGATGTGGGTTCCGCTGTCAGGTTCCTTCGAGTCAAACGTCCAATCGTATTGTTTCCGTTCCTGGCCCTGAGACAAGACGTTACCCACATACCCATACTTATGGCACCGATTGTTTGGGAGCGCGGAACGAACATCCGGAACAACATGGAGCTGTCGATGACAGAATCATAACAGCGAGTTGTAAACGGCTCAAATGAAGTCACATAGGGAAGACGATGGTATGATGTAGCACATGCGTCAGGCGTGTGGCATTCAACTCGCGCCGGAAATGTTGATGGAACTTTTAGGTGGGTGCCGAGTATCGGTGGAGAACGGCTGAGTATGAGAGCAGGCCATGAATGGTTTTCTTTCTGGTTCCTCAATCGTTACAATTACTTTTCGTGAGCAAGTGGCCTTTGCGCTTCGGTGCTTCTATTGTGGACTCGCATGTCGCAGTGACCCGAGTGCGCGCAATCCCATGAAAACTTGGTAGTTTTGTCTTAGATTCAGCCACCATAGTGATGACAGCGGCATTGTAACGGGACGATGTGGAGAATTTGACGATGGAAGGAAACGTGAAACAGGCGGCAGGTGCCCGTGCTTCGGCTACCGTGTCCGTGCACCCAACGATCGGAGTCAACCAACGATCGGTGCACAACATCTACACCAAATTTCAACGCGTAATAGCTCAACAACCATGCTAGGGATTAATGATGCGCTTGCAGAGATTCGTAAATTGAAACCAGGCGATAAACTTGTGTATACAAAAATTGCGCTTAAGCACGGTGTTGATCGTAATACTCTATCGCGTGCGCACCGTGGTGTGCAGGTCCCTCGACGCGTCGCGAACGACCACCAACACAAGCTCACTCGACAACAGGAGGAGGACCTAGTGCAGTATATAGAACTACTCTCTGCGCGTCGCTTACCACCTACAAGAGTTATAGTACAAAATTTCGCCTCTAAAGTAGCCCAAAATCCTTGCTCCAAGAGCTAGGTTACGCGCTTCCTACACTGTTACCGCGACCGCGTTATACTACAATAGACGACGGGTATGGACTCTAATCGCCACAACGCCGAGTCTAGGTATAAGTACAAGCTGTACTTTGACCTGCTGCAGCAGAAGATCACCGAGTACGACATTAAGCCAGCGCACACATACAATATAGATAAGAAGGGCTTTGCAATTAGGCTGCTAGGAAGGACAAAGCGCATCTTTAGTAGGCGTCAATATGAGAAGAAGGAAGTTAGGCAGGCTCGTCAAGATAGCTCACGTAAGTAGGTGAGCCTATTGGCAGCAGTCTGCGCGGATAGTACAGCTCTACCCCCAGGCATCATTTTTGCGTCAAAGAACTCCACAATCCAGAGTCATTAGGTGGCCGATATTAAGGCAGGAACCCACTCAATTCACGTGGCTTCTTCGCCTACAGGCTGGACGAACAATAATATTGGATTAGCCTAGCTTGAGCAGGTGTTTAACCGTTATACAAAGGCAAAGGCGCGCCAAAGTTATAGGCTTTTAATAGTAGATAGCCACGGGAGTCACCTAACGCAGGATTTCATTAACTACTGCGATCAGAATCAGATTATACTTGCTGTGTTACCACCTCACAGTACACAGACGCTACAGCCGCTGGACGTAGTCTGCTTCAAGCCACTCTCCTCCGCGTACGCCTCTGAGCTGGATGACTACCTCCAGAAGTCTCAAGGCCTATCGCCATTAACGAAAGGTGACTTTGTAAGCTTATTTTGGCCTGCCTGGGTGACTACATTCACCAAACAGCTCGTACAAAACGCCTTCGCTGCCACAGGGATAGCCCCAGTTAACCCCAACGTTATACTCAATAGATTCGGCCACACAACACCTACTGACTCGGGCTCAGTTACCTCTAGTTCCACGGCTTATTCTGCACAGGATTGGCTTAGAGCTTGCACTACACTGCGTGCGGAGGTAAAGGATCCTCGCAGTGTAGGTGCGCGGAAGCTTGGCCAAACTATCCACCACCTATCAGCCCAGGTAGAGCTCCTTCACAACGAACTTAATGGCTTGCAGCAGAAGCTATACCTAAAACAGAAGCGCCAGAAGCAACCTAGCAGGCAATTAGACCTGCAACAGCATCAGGAGTACCACGGCGGAGCGATAGTGTGGTCACCTCGAGCTATTCGGGAGGCGCGCGTCCGCATGGCAGTTACTGAGAAGGAGAAGGAGGCTGACGAGCTAAAAAAGGCAGAGATGAAGGAGTTAGCTGCTGCTGACAAGCTATATAAGGAGAAGATTGCAGCAGAGAAGCGTGTGCAGCGTGTAAGGGAGAAGGAAGCGCGCGCGCAGGCTAAGGCAGAGGAGCGTCAAGCTATTGATGCCCGGAAAGCTGCTAGAACCACTGCCAAACAGGCTCGTAACTCTACAAAAGCCTTACAATTATCCCAAAGAGGCAAGCCTACAATTTCAAAAGCTTCTGCAGTTAAACCAAAGCCTGGGCGTCGTAGTGTAGGTGCGCGTAGTCACCCAAAGCCTGCGACGCCTCCTCCACCTGCGCGCACCCACACCACCCGCAGCGGCCGCACCGCCACTTTATATAGAGAATTTATATAGAGAATATTGTTTACGTAGGCCTAAAGAATACTCTATCAAAACACCTCGCGATAATAACTATTGTACGTGGCTCTATAGCTTCAATTTTGTAGTAGGCCTCAGGGCTCGGAGCGATCGTTGGTTGACTCCGATCGTTGGGTGCACGGACACGGTATCGGCAACGAACAGTAGCGCTACGGCTACATATGACTAAGTTTCGCGCCAACCATGATTTCGACGCCATGGCGCAGGCACAGCTACCATGTGCATCTCAAAGTGATGGTACTTTCATCTCATATGTAACTGTTACTGACAATACAAAATCATGTCTCCCTTACCGATGGTACGTCTTCAAGACGTCAATGGCTGCTCTGTTACAACACATCAGCCGTTCATACCATTATTCCTCTCATACCTATCAAGCGATTCTTGATCTCCCTCGATTGCATCTCCACGGATCGTTTCTTGTAAATCCGAAGCATCAACACGATACTGCTGCCCTATCGGTCTGAGCCACAGGTGGCTAGTATCGTCGTTTAGTCGCTCGAACCCATCGTCGGTCACCGCCCTCGCACTAGCGGACTTTGGCTCAGTATTCGCAGACCTCTTGCCCGACCCATAAGGTGTGGATGCAGACCGGCCAAGGAGCGGATGCATTAAAGGAACACAGGCGAGTATGACAGCAAGGCAGGGCTCAAGACAGCTGAGAAGGTTGGCTTTCGGGATCGTAAAGGTAATATCTGCGAAATCCATACTGGACAGGATGGGGATGCGGAGGGCGCTGACGATGCACGTGCTGTTCTAATCAGACCGAAGTTCAGTGTGTAAGCCCAGTTTAACTTACAAGATACCCAGACCAAAAACGGTGACAAAGTTCACTTTCTTGTAAGTCACCATCTGCAGGTGATACAGAGCGTGCATGGGCAAGAGAAGCACCATCACGTCGGTAATGACGTTGATGACCCCACTAATCGTGAACGACATGAACTGATCGCCGCAACTTCCTCCAGGAATAGTTCTATCCCAATTGAACTCAATAGGCTGGCAGATTAGGCAACCAGCGAGAATGGACCCGATTGTCCAAGCAACAATGATGGACATGGTCACGTAGGAACCCCACACAACCCATCGAATCGGGAAGATCAAGATATACAAGTAAAGAATCGATATCTTGGTGCAACTGAGGCTGAGGACCCACAGAAACTGCAAGGGTATAATGATCTGCGAGAGCTTGGTGACAGGTTCAAGACCGTATACCATTGCGATGTCTTTTACGTGGCCGTAGCCAATGCCGGCGTGGCAGACACCGGTGATACTGATTGCTTGCAAGCCAACGGCAAAGATCTAGATACTGTCAGCAGTGATCACAGTTGCAAAGTCTGGACTTCTTTACACAGGCGGCGATGATGAGATAGTCAGCTGGTGTCCATCTTTTGTGGGCGATCTTTTGAGCAATCAATCGTAAGATAACGGCGAGGACAGCGAGAAACAAGAAAGAGAAGGCCACACCCAACACTGCCTTTTGGTCATGAGTATGGATGGGAAATGTGGCCATGTTGTTATTGCCTGGTGTGTAAACGTCTGCGGTATCTACACCTTAGGCTCGATGTTGTATTATAGAGGCTATTGCAATGGTGCAGTGGTTAAGACGGTAATACTGTCAACGAGATTGGAACATGCTCAGTTGGCAATGTTTCCCTATGAAGCTTGATAATGCTGGATGCGAGTCTCATAATTGGAGAAATTTCCTGTGCTGATCAAGATACCCCTTTGCTTTCTTACAGAATTCCAACAAGAGCGTTTTGCAAGCCTGAAGGGCCGTTCTCTCCCTCCGGCTCGGGCACTTAACCTGACTACCTAGGTAGCGTACACCCCACAACACTAAAAGCGCGAGGGCGGAAGTCCCATCCGGCTAGGCGTTTTTCGCATATCTTAGTCAAGCGTCGCGTTCCACATGCTGATAGGGTGCGCAACAGATGATTTCTTATGTAGAAGACCACAGGTAGATCTGTGCATGTGATCCCAGTCGATTCTGTGCCTTCCGCTCCTGAACCGGGGGGGAAGACGGACCTACTGCACAGACACCGGATAATGCGTATTGCGCGCCACGAAGAGCCTCGCCATGCGTGTTTTGAGTATGTTCATAGGAGAGTTTCTTCGTCCCATCGTTTTCACTCGCAAGATTTTCCAATGGCTGCTGGTGTTTACAGTAGTGCCCTAGTAGCCTAGAAACATCGCGGTTATCCCCGATTCTCATCCTGCCAGTGATGGCGGCACCCGCAAAGTCCGTCCAGTCGAAAGATGACGAAGCGCAGCCCGCCATGCGTATTACAAGGGCATTGCGCCGATGAGCTGCTATCAAGACTCGATGGTTTCGTTATCACTATTTCGGATGGGTAGTGGCATGGGGCGGCCGGAACGTTGGTGCCAAGTACCGCTCTGCCTAACTTATTCAGGATAAGGCTCTTGGAGTACGACCCTGAATAATTGTCGTGCAGGGTACCCGCCTTTTGGGGCTTCTCTTCAAGCGATTACGTCTCCCACAGTTTCCAAGGGTTGTTCCTCCAGCCATGTCCAGCCTTTTTGTGACCGTCCTTCTAACCGTGAGCGCCCTGACAGCACTCTACCTTTATACCAACAACAAGAGACAAGATGCATCCGAGAAGCCCCTTCTCAAGCTTCCCCTCATTGGTGATCTTCACAGTTCTCCAATCGAGAAACCGCTGATGAATTGGAGCGCCTGGTCCAAACAACACGGGCCGATTACGGTTCCTAGGCTATTTGGAATTGTGCCTATTGTCGTGCTCAATTCCTACGAGGCTGTCACTGAACTCTTCAGTCGTCGCAGCCAGTGGTACAGTAATCGACCAGCTTCTGTAAGCATGGAGATGATTACGGGGGCTGGACCTGGACGTTCTCGGTTTACGCTGATGCACGACTATGACGATCATCTCAAGCTGCATCATCGTATTCTCTCACCAAGTCTTGGAGCGCCCGCAGCAAACAAGTTTCAGCCGCTGATGGAACTCGAGGCCAAGCTGCTGCTCTTTGACCTTATCACCGCCGTAAGAAAGTCCACCGATGGTTCCGCAATCACTACAAAGACCATCTACCCTTTGCTCGAGCGAACCCAGTCCAGCGTCATTCTTGCACTTCACTATGGCCTCCGCATACCCAGGTTCGAAGAGCCACTTCTCCACGAGGTCATTGCCATCCAAACGAAAGTCACTCACCTCGCCGCAAATCCCCAGCTTCCAGATTTTATGCCCTTCCTTCGCCACTTACCCACCCTCATCTCCCCGTGGCAGCGATATGCTAACAAGCTCTACGCCTCTCAAGTTGATCTCTACATGCGCCTCTTTTGCCACGGTAAGAACGCACCAGGCTGGAACGCGACAAAGCAAGCCATCGCGAGTGCACCGAAACACACTCCTGTGGACTCTCCAGTATCAGATCTCGATCTTGCTTTCACGCTCGCGACATCCATTCAGGGTGGGATGGAAACTTCACCGCGGCAGATTCTCTGGCTCTTTGTCGCAGCAGTACAGAATCCTACAATTATGACTCGTGCGCATGAGGCTTTAGACAAATTCGTCGGTCGCGAGCGGCTCCCTAGATTTTCGGACCGTAATCACCTAAACTATGTTGATGCTATCGTACATGAACTATTTCGCTGGCGGCCCATCTCCCCCGGTTCCATTCCGCGACGTGCCGACCGCACGGATGAATTCGCCGGCGTAGAAATCGCCAAAGGCGTTACCATCATGGCAAACGCATGGGCCATCGGCCGCGATGAGGCAGTGTTCGACGCTTCCCTTGGAGATGTACAGGACTTCGTCCCTGAACGCTGGCTACACGATGGGAAGGTTCGTGGCGACCTTCCACTTCCTGTGTTTGGCCAGGGTCGAAGGATCTGCCAAGGAAAGCGTGTTGCTATAGACGGAACTTTCATGAACATCGCGCAACTACTTTGGGCCTTCAATGTGGAGGCTTTAGAGGGGGAGGAGGTGGATCCGTTGCAGATGAGAGTTGTTGGTTTCATGACTGAGCCTAAGCCGTTCAAGTTCCGTCTTAAGCCTAGGGGGGAATGGGTGCTTGATGTGGTAAGAAGGGAATGGGAAAGTACGGAGAAGAGCTTGGAAGGAATCATGGGGGTTGCTAACGACGTAGAGAAATAGTGTTAAAACTTGGTCTTCTTCTACTATGTTTGCGCCTCGCTGGATCTAACCCTTATGTCTCCACATTGAAAAATGTTCTGGCGCCGCGCGAGATCTCTGGACTGTATCTGTAACGGCCCGACACCTCTATGCTCCACATACTTGCTTGCTTAGCTGTTATTGTATTTGCTGGTCTGGTAACTCTTGGGTCTTACATCATGGTTAGATAGTTTGGCTTGGATGATTTACCAAGTGGATAGATAAGTGTATGATCAACTCTAGCTCCGAACCCTCGGGCACCTAAAGTTCGTGGGGCCTGACGATTTCGTAGCATGCGTGAGGTGTCATGAAGGATCTTTCGATATTTGCGCATCGCTGGCCGGTGCCATGTCGTGATTGTCGTTGGCGAGGGAGGTGCCCCGATGGCTGAGTCGTGATTGCGGCCCGATCACACTCATCGCCAATCATAACCTTGCGGTATGATCGAAAGGAGATGTGGCCTAGCCATGTCATGCAGGTGCGCGCGAACGAATTAATGCAAGAACAAAATTTGCGCAACTCCCCCTCCCCTGACGGCTTGGGGCATGTGAAGGTTTGGATTGCAGCGAAAGAATTCTGGAGTCCTGGTGGTAGTGTCAGCCTTGTAACGGCATAGACAGCTCGACGTTCTCAGATAGGGACATACCGTCTCGAGCATGTGTATACCCCTGATTTAGTAGTAGCTCTACACAGTAGTTCGGAACATGATAGTCGCTCTACAAAGAAGCCACCAGGGGTCTGCTTTCTGAGTTATACTCTAGCAGCTTGATGTGCTCTAGAGGTACTCGCTATCTCTTACGTTGTTACTGTATCAACATGAAAGACAGTAAATACCACTAGAATCCATTCGGCGTGGACGGTGCAGCTGGGGGAAACCGAGCTTCTTCGCGGAACGTAAGCTAGGGATACGGCACCGGACGCAGCTGGCGCCAGAAGCACCTGACGATGGTAACCATGTGTACACCAATAAGCAATAACATGGCGAGCGGCAAGGTGGGACGTGTAGTAGGCCGATGGCGGAGTATTCAGCCTGCACCAGAGCTGTCAACGTCTTGACTCTAGGCACGTTAGTGTGACGCGTTCTGGGGAACGAGTATGAATTATCTTCGAGTGTCAGCTCCGCATGTAAGCCTCATGGTCGGTCGTTCTGTGCCGCTGTCGAAAAACGTTAATCGCTCAAGAGAAGTTGGTTGATTTTGCTGAGCGAAAGCGAATCCTTCGATGACGATACGATCACATGACCGTGTTCTAGCGTGTTTCTGAGGTCTGCGGTAACTACTGATTTCGCGTCTATACAATACTATACCCCCCCTTTGCACAGTACTGCACACTCGATTCCAATTACATGGCCAAGCCGAATTTCCCGCTGCCTGAGCGTCTTTGCGACGCGTTCAGGTGCACCCACCTAGCGACGCGTATAGGGAAAGACCAACGCGACAGCAAGGTTTCGTCAGGCGCATTGATACCCTGCTGCTGAAACAACCGGAATGATCAGCCATCGACGAGTGCAACTTTGCAAGTTGGGCAGCATCTACAGCTCATGTGCACCTGCCCCGGTCATTAGAACCAGCCTCGTTATCCTTTATCAAATCGCAACGTTCTACAGTCACTTGTGCCACTCTTCCCACGTCGTGGAGCTTGTCGAAGATATTGTCCTAGTGTATAAAATATCCAGGAGCATCGGACGTTTTAGGATATGGACCACGTTGACAGTACATTGCTCATCCTCCAAGCGGAAACCAGTGGTCATTGTCCTTTCCCTCTTTGATTTACCCTGCTATGTCAATGTCAGATGATTCGTATGCTGCACAATCGCAGAGACTCACCTCAAGTTTCGCCCTCATTTGTCGGCGCACGTCTGCGCCTATGCAACTCACATGAAAGTGCTCTCCTCGCCCATGAGTATCACTCGGGTTTTCTCCGTTATCGCAATGGTTTCCTCGTCCTCTTTTATTCGCTGCCCACCGGGACCGTTCATCACCGCCAGACATTGCTGCACGTGCAACTCATCGCGAAAAACCATCTCTCCTATTGCGTCCCAATCCACATCGCTGGGTGACCCGACCAGGACGACTGGCGCATCTGGATCCGCTCGTCCTCTGCTTGATGTGACAGCACCTAACCGGTCGCCAGCCCCAGTCTTGACGCGTACTATGTAACGTAGCTTCAAAGACAGCGGCGAATGCATCTCGAACACCTCTTTGATCAAAGGTACATGCGTTTCTTCCATATAAGATTGGAAGTGTTCCGGGGTGACATCTGGGCGACGCAGATAGAAATAGATAACGGATATCGGCATGCTGTCGTTTTGGGATGCCGGAGGAGAATACAGAGCTGAAAGTTATATCGTGGTGGTCTGGAGTAAACGCTGCAGAAGAACACAGTAGGCGACGAAAAGGCTAAAGTGCTTTGCAGAAAGAAGCGTCTTGGGGCATGCCCGCATTAACAAATCACACAGCAGTTCAAGCCTTTCAGGAGCTAGATGAGATCTGCTTATCATCAATGGAAGACGATACCCTACGAGTGGGACTACAACACACACTGACCGCGCGGAAGCCTTGCACGGATAACAAGACGAATTCGGCGACTGCGACAACGTTGCGCCCTGTTAGGGACAGTGGGCAGTGGGTCTGTGAGCAACGTTTCGCGCCGGAGATGTGTCCGACAGCAGAGTCAGACTCCTCTTCGCTTCTCGTTATTCTCCTGGCTTTCGAATTGCCGCATCCAAGTGTGGCTGCCAACAGATGTGCAACTTTCACATTCTGCCGCAAAGTCAAGGTGATGGTTCAGGGAAGTTCGCAGGATGCCGCTCACGCTGAACAATCCTTCGTTCCACTAGTGGCTAGTTGCTTATGTGGGGCCTTGCGACTACCCCTTCACGTATCCTTCAATAACCCTTGTGGAAGGTACCGTCGAAACTCTCTTTTCTGGTTGCGCATGAATCAGAGCGGGAAACTATTCCGACGTGCACTGTTCATGAAAATGCTTAGGTGATAGTAAAGAAGGCGCCGCGCAGGCGCTACACAGGTTCTTATAGCAGGCATTAGCAAGTACCTAGTGACCCTTGCGTGCTCGGGTCGCCAGCTAAAAGCAAAACACGAAAATTGATCGAGTCCACATTCTTGATTCGGTACCGTTTGCATAGGATGGTAGCGTTCTCTGAACAGACTGTCACTTGTCGAGCACACCAACGGTGATCGCTGAAGTGCCTCGAGCTGTACCCCGCACCGCGAGGGGCATCGGGCAATCTGGCACCGAACTGTCCGTCCATACAGTCCTCTACACTTCTAGCATCGCTCACGGGCCGGACCGCATATCCGAGTGCTATGATGGCGTCCTTGAATATCTTGGGAACCATCGGAGGAATGACACCACCAGACGTGGCTTGACATTATCATCAAATTATTCTACAAATTATCTCAAGCATTTGTATCCAAGGACGAAACTAAGATGAGATTCCGCGATGGTATGAGCTCGTGTCGCCTGTGTAATTTCGCTACTGATAACTGAACAGGCATGTGGCTGGTGAACGACCGCTTCACAGTTCAACATGCTGAAGAAGTTTATACTGTCACACCTCGCGAAGACGACAAGGCAGTCACGCTCCTGTGTCCAAGTAGGAAGATCTTCACTAGGGGCGACACTTTGAATCTGAGCACTATCTCCATCGAGATTGAAGCCCAATTCGATGGCGTTATTTCTCTCGAAGCCACGCACTTCGTTGGTGCCAGACGTCTAGGTCCAGACTTTGATCTGTACCCAGCAGGCAAACCTGACTGCAAGGGCAAGATCGCGAAAAACGAGAAAGGGACTACAGTTGTTTCAGGCGGACTGAGCGCGACTGTTAGCTCTAATGAACATACATTCGATATCAAATTTCATGCAACGGATGGGTCGAAGACGTTAACTTCACTTCTCAACCGCAGCGTTGGGCTAGCGTACTCACCAGCCCTCAGCACGCCCAAGCTTGTGGAAGACTTGAGTGCGCACAAACATTATATGTTTACTCAAACTGAGTTGAGCGTCGGTGAGACTATCCATGGCTTGGGTGAGCGTTTTGGTGCTTGGAATAAGATTGGTCAGAATGTTGAAGTTTGGAATGAAGATGGAGGTACTTCGAGCGAGCAGGCGTACAAGAACGTGTCATTCTGGCTGAGTTCAAAGGGTTATGGCGTCTTCATCGACACACCCGATAAGATCGATATGGAGATCGGCAGCGAGCGATGCTCAAGGTTGCAGACCACAGTTGAAGGGCAGCGTTTGAAATGGTGAGCATCATGACAAACTTGGATGATCTGTTCAACTAATTTTCAAGGTATCTTATTTACGGACCAAGTCCTAAAGAAGTACTAACCAAGTACTCCATTCTTACTGGCAAGTCGAACAGAGTACCGGCGTGGTCGTACGGCCTCTGGCTCAGCACATCGTTCACGACATCCTACGATGAGCAGACTGTTCGTCATTTTGTTGAAAAGATGTCTGATTCCAAGATACCAGTCGAAGTGTTCCATTTTGATTGCTTTTGGCTTCGCGCTTTCCACTGGTGCGACTTCATCTGGGATCCCGAAAGCTTCTCGGACCCAGCGGGCCAGATCAAGCGCATGAAGGACGACGGGCTTATCACTAAAGTCAGTGTTTGGACGAATCCCTACATTGGCCAAGCAAGTCCTGTGTTCAAATTTGCTGCTGAGAAAGGCTATCTACTGAAGAAGACGAACGGAGATGTATGGCAGTGGGATCTCTGGCAGACTGGCATGGGCATTGTCGACTTTACAAACCCCGACGCTTGCGACTGGTTTCGCGAGTGCATGGAGAAACTGTTTGATGTGGGCGTCAACTCTATCAAAACGGATTTCGGCGAACGTATACCCACGAAGAACGTTCAGTGGCATGACAAAAACGTGGACCCAAATCGCATGCACAACTACTACGCATTCATCTACAACAAGCTAGTCTACGAGGCAGTGCAGAAGCGGGAAGGTGAGCATGAAGCAATATTGTTCGCACGCACAGCGTGTGCAGGATCACAACGATTTCCACTGCACTGGGGCGGTGATTGCGAATCGACACCTGCAGCGCTCTCTGAGTCGGTGCGCGGAGGTCTGAGTCTTGGACTTGCATCCTTCGCGTTCTGGACGAGTGACATTGGTGGCTTTGAAGGCAGTCCACCACCTTGGATCTACAAGCGCTGGGTTGCATTTGGGCTGCTCAACTCGCACAGTCGACTCCACGGTTCAAATTCGTATCGCGTGCCGTGGTTAGTCGACGACTCATCAGCTGAGCCCGAAAACTGCACTGAGGTCCTCCGACACTGGGTGCAGCTCAAGCGTAGCCTCATGCCATACCTCTATGCGCAGGCTGAAGAGAGCATCGCTAATGGCTGGCCTACTAGTGTTCGTGCGACAGCTCTTGAGTTTCCAGATGACCCAACATCCTGGTATGTGGATCGCCAATTCTTTGTTGGCAGTCAGATTCTGGCTGCCCCTGTCTTCGAAGAAGACGGCAGCGTTGAGTATTACCTGCCACCCGGCCGTTGGTTCAGCTTCTGGGACGGCAAAGAAGTACAGGGTAGCCGATGGATCAAGGAGAAGTATGGCTTCCTCCAATTGCCTTTGTTCGTTAGAGAAGGCACTGTCCTGGTGCTTGGGCAAGCAGAAGGGAAGGGCGGCTTTGGCTATGACTGGCTCGCTACTGGCGGCGAGATCAGACTGTATGGCGTGAAGGAAGGTGACAAAGCGACTCTGGTGGATACCAATGGTGACCAGAAGGGTGTCCTAGAGGTCAACGCTGATGGTGAGCTCAAGGGTATGGATGTACTCGGTGGGGATTGGAAGATTTCGAAGCTAGGTTAGGCAGGCGATCCGGCCATCATGAGGGGTTATGCATCCTTCACTCACCATCAGCTAGTAGTGACGGGTTCAAACGTGAGGTAGAGCCGCTGCAACGGTGCTACATCAGCGAAGCGAGCCGATGGCAGAAGATATTCATTGGCGGAAATTCAACATCCCTCCCCGCACGCTACTGTACCCCAGCATCCTTCGACTTGATCCCCGGGTTTTACTCACTGAGATCAGCAAATGCTTTTCTACCAGCGGACACCTTCAAAGCTTATGTGTGAGTGCGCAGTGGAAGCTAGGCGCGAACATCCGGTTAAATGCTTGTTACGCGAGGCTGGCCCGGAAATGTAACATGACCAGCATGCGTCGATGGCGCGAATACATTACTGCTCCGGCCAATATATACCTGCAGTAACAGCGCGTTGAATTCAATTGTTGTTCTCAGCATTCTGCAACTCTCCTAGTCTTCGTTGTGTCGATAGACGAAGGCAGCAAGCATGGGTCTCATTTTCAACATCGCCCTTGCGGTCTTCGCTGGCACGGGCAGCTTTCTCTTCGGATATGACTCCGGAGTAATGACAATCGTCATTCAATCACCAAACTTCCTCGCTTTTTTCCGTACAAAGGAAACATCGCCCGTCATAGGAGCCATCAATGCCACATTTTCAGGCGGAGCATTTTTCGGTTCGATGATGTAAGAGAATGACCCTCACGTAAGGATCTCGGCGTATATTGACAGATGTTAGGGGAGGTTTCACAATGGATAGGTTTGGTCGCAGAAAAACGATTATGATTGGTGCCCTCATAAACTTGGTTGGAGCCATACTTCAATGCGCTGCTCGAAATCTCGCTATGATACTTGTCGGACGAATCTTGGCTGGTTGGGCAGTAGGTTTGATGTCCATGTCTGTGCCAATCTACCAAACAGAATGTGCTCATCCTAAAACACGAGGTTGGTACTTCCAAGCCCGTCCCAAAATTCTGGTACTCATGTGACTAGGTCTCATAACTGGTCTTACCCAGCAAATGATTGGTGTAGGTTTCATCGTCTCAACCTGGGTTGGTTACGGTTCCTCGAAAGTGCCCGAGACATCGTCATTCTCTTGGCGGTTCCCACTCGCTTTCCAATGCATCCCATGTCTGATCATCCTATGCGGTATGCTGTTCTTCCCTGAATCGCCGAGATACTTGGTTGAGATCGATCGCGCGGACGATGCTTTGAAGGTGCTTAAGAAACTGCACTACGATGGCACGAACGACGAGTGGATCCAGAACGAGTTCAATGAGATCAAGTTGACTATTGATGCCGAGAAAGCAATTACAGCGCCAGGGTGGAAGATCATGTTTACTGTTCCGGTGTGGCGGAAGAGACTTATGCATGCTACCCTTGTGCAGGTGTTTACGCAGATGACCGGGTATGTTATTTGCCAGCTCGTCGGCATAGCCCTACTGACGTGCTCTCAGTATCAACGTTATCGGTTACTACTCCACTATTCTCTACAAGAATCTCGGCATAGTCGGCGATCGCAACCTTCTAGTCACCAGCATTTACAACGTCGTTGGCCCTATATTCAACCTCTTCTTCATCGTCTTCCTGCTCGATCGCGTGGGCCGCAAAAAGCCCCTTCTCTTCGGCACGATTGGTATCTCCATTGCCCTCATCTGTGAGGCAATCATCGGATCTCAAGTCGAGGGCGCGACAGGCTCCCGCAGAGATTCACTATCCGCCGCAGGAGTCTTCTTCTTATTCTTGGTGTCGTGCATCTTCAGCATGTCGTTCGGCCCAATTTCTTGGGTATACGCCAGTGAGATCCTTCCGCTAAGTATTCGTGGACGTGGATCTGCCTTTGCGACTGGTTTCGGTAACTGGCTGGTTGGAACAGTGTGGAGTCAGGTGTCCCCGATCGGGCTGGGTGCTATCACGTACAAGTTCTACTTCATCTTCGTGGCCTTCAACATCTGTGTTACATTCCCCACTATCTGGTTCGTGTTCAAGGTATGTGCATATTCCGAAAAGTCTATTAAAGAAACAACTGTTGACATGTATTCCAGGAAACCAAGCAACTTACACTTGAGGAGATTGATCTGCTGTTTGGCGACCGTGCACTTGGTACGCTCCCCGATGACTTGGACGATAAGCAAAGGGAGATAGAACTGGAGAGGATCAATGCTGCGAAGCAGAAGCTTGCTGGCTCGAACGTGACTGCTGTGCACTAATTGACAGCGTTTGGGCTCGCTCTGCTAGTCGCATGGATGCAATCAAAACGCGTGTTAAGATACTTGCACCTGGCAAATCCTAGCAGTATACGACGAGGTATAGTACATGGTTAGATACACCGAAATATGGCAGATATACACACATCGAGCCTTGGTTAGATCGAAAAATGAATGAGCACATGCACTTGGGCTGTTTTCAAGTAGGATAATAGTATGTAATTATCATTCGCTAGTGACGCCTCTCCCGAGGCAAAACGTAAAGCTAAAGTCCCCTCATGATATCATCAATAGTAACTGGCTTCCTCACCGCATTTGAGAACCCTTCGTGGAAGGATACCCATATCCTTCCTACATCACCCTGCATCTCTCCACTATCCTGCTTCCTCTTCGCCTCCTTCCTACTCTTGTCTGTCTCCACAACCACCCTGCCAAAGAAGTCACGTTTCACCGCCTTCTTGTTTGCTTCAGCGACCTTCTCTTCAGTCGTCTTCTCTTCCTTCTTGCCAGCCTCGGGTTCCTCGCCGTCTTCGTCTTGACCACCACGGCGTTTGCGATTAGCATGTTCTCGAAGAGCAGATTCCTTGCGCCATTCTTGCTCAAGGACGCTGCGAACTGCGTAGCGTCCTTTGTCGTCTTTCTTGCTGGCCAGCGTTTCAAAGGTTGCTAGAACATCCAGGGCGGGCTCCATGCGCCAGACAAAGCCAGCACTTCTGTTTGCCACATCTTCAGTTTCGATTCGTGACTTTTCGAATCGAACGCCAGTGGCTGCCATGGCTTCTACAGCCTTCTTGACAAGCTCTTTCTCCGAAGCTTTGCGGACAGAGGCAGTAGCGAAAGACTTTGAGCCTGATGCGCCGGTATTCACGAGGACGGGTTTCACGTCGGGTGACAACATACGCAAGACGTAAGGTATGAGCTCCATGGCCATCTCCTCTGGACTTCGGAACATGCGCGTCAATGGCAAAGTCAAACTTGTCTGCAGCGCCATCAACTGACTCCTGCTAGCCTTCGACTGTTCCAGGGCTGCAAAGCTTGCACCAGGTCCGGAGAAGGGTGTTGGCTGTGCATCTGGGTCTGCTATAGGGTTTGCGGATGATCGAATGGGCGAAGCGAAGAGGTTGTGGAAGGCAAGAACAGAGTTTGAAAGGTATGGTGCTAATTCCCATTCCTGAGAGCCGTGAACTGCCGAGTTGAGTGTGTCATGGAAGTAGAGCCATTCGTATGCGGCGGACGGCTTGCTGAGGAGGGTATCATCTTGAAAAGGCTTCTCGGGATAGGCAGTGAAGCAGTCTGTTCGTTGTTAACATAGCGTCAATATGCAGGGTTGGATAGAACGTACCAGTCACAATGCGGTCGCAATCTCCACTCGTATCGACCATTTCCCTCAGACGATCCATAGCTCGCCGTTTGCCTGCTTCAGCAACACCGATGACACCACTCTTGGCCCGCGCAGATGCTGATTTTGCATCTGTCGTTTCAGCTTGCTTCGGGAAGCCAGCACCCTCACGGAATACACGGTCAACAACATCCTTCGCGCCACCTCTTCCTAAGCTTCGAGCAGCTCCACCACCATGGCGCAGGTCACCGATGAGGTTGTCTTCTATCCACTTTCGCGATAGATGGGGCCTTTCTTTTGACTTTACGTCCTGTGACGATCGTAAACGAGCTGCTATCCACTCGCTGACTACCATCACTCCCCGAATGTCCCCTTCGCCGGTTCCACTACCTGTCCCACCCTCTTTCTTCGTACTAACGCCCCATGTAGCTTCGCAGAGGCGGCGCACGCCGTCTGAATCGCATTGGATGCCTTCCTTCCCGAAGATTTCTTGCATACGCGAAACGACCATGCTAAGGGCAGGTTTGCGTATGTGCACGATCTCAGCCATCGAAGATTGTCGTAGTGGCCGTAGCGAGGGGTGATAGAGGTCGTTACAGATGAGGATGAGTGGTCGCAACAGTCGAAATTTATCCCCTTTCCTCTTCTTGGTACCGGTGCTGGATTGTTGCTGCCCGAGTGCTTTCGTGTTCCTCTCGTCGAGATTGATCAAGTCAATTAGAGCCTTGACGAAACCACCTTCTCCTGAGCCTCCGCTGCCAACAACACCGTCTACTTCATCCACGACAACGCACACTGGTTTTCCAGCCTTGCGCACCTTGCCATTCACGGTGCTAGTATTCACACCGCGCACGTTCTCAGTCCCAACCATATCCCGGATGCGGCCCTTGACAACAGCTCCGCTACGCTCATCGGAAGCGTTGATCTCCTGCACTTCGTAGCCGGCTTGTCGTGCGCAAACATGAGCCAGTGTGGTCTTTCCAAGTCCGGGTGGTCCAGTCAGCAGCAATATCTTGCGATGTCTCTGTTCGTCTTCTTCGAATCCGTTTTTTGATTTATTGGGCTTCGTTTTGCTGGAGCCGGGGAATACGATCGGGTCCCATGCCTTTAACCAACGCAATACCGATCGATGTGTGCGCTCATCTCCTACCAGGTCTGTAAATTTCTTTGCTCGGTACTTTTCAGTCCACATGAGTGTGCGATTGGTCTTCGCACTTCTGGCAGCCGGTTGCTCGATCGACGGGTGTGGTAGCTCATGAGTCTTCTGAGACATGTTCATGGCCTTCTCTTGATCCAGCGCTTTCGCCTCGTCCATAAGCTGGTGAATGTTCAGACCGTAGTAGCTCGTCCTCGCCTTTCCTTCTACAGGTTCTGAGCGTGCTGCAATGATCTCTTCGTACGTTTGAGTTTCTCGTGTGGCCTTCTTGCCAATGTGGAAAGCCTTTCCTGAAGCGTTACGGGCTATGGTGCCACATGTAGGCTGTGCCGAAGTTGGGTTTTGTAACGCTTGCGATCGCTTTACTGGCGATTGTGATCGAGACTTGAAGCTATAGTTGTCTAGGTCGTCTACCGGTATCGATTCGGGATCGGCGGACTCATCCTGGCTCGCGGGCGGTGTGTAGTCTGCTAAGCCTTCCGGAACAGCTGGAAGGTCCTTGATGCTGCTCACTGCCCTCCTCTTCAATGTGTGTTCCTTGAGTGCCGCAAGGTCCTCTTCATCATCAGAGTCGTCTAGGAAGCCCCCAATTTTGCGCGTTGCGTTGTGGTTTGGCACATCCTTTAGCGGCTCTCGTGCATCTTCCGGGCGCTTCCTCTTCTTCGGCGATGGCGCCTGTGGCATCGACGAGCTCGGTGGGTATGCGATGGGTGACGAAACAAGCGGCATTGTGTAGACTGGGGGCGAGGAAGGGAAGGTCGGGACTTCAACTGAAGCGTGAGTGAGAAAGCGTTTGACTGGTGACTGCTTATGACGCTTCGCAGGTGTGTCTGGTGGGATTAGTGCTAGTTGCAGCGCGCGTTCACACTCGTAGTACCAGCTGGACCTTCTCCTTCACTCCTGAATATATCTGCTACGTTCCAGGCGCGATGTTGTATGACGACGCCTGCACTGTTCTTCTTTACTGTGTCTTCGGCGATGCACTGTTGCAATGCGTCGAGTTCGTCGGAATGGGAGAGCGAAGCGGGCGCGTTGTCGAGAAATTCGAATTCGGAATGTAGCAGTGCAGGATCGAATGAGGTCGGTATGCCTGGTGAGTAGCTATTCATCGGTTCTGGTGGGTGTCATAGTTGGGGTTGACGAGGGGACGGGTGCCAGATTAGAAGTCCAACAACGTGCGAGGGACGCGTCCATGCGGGTCGCGTTGAAGCGCGTTTGCCGCTAGCCACATTCGCTTTCGTCCCACGTTCCGTCAACTCATCTGATGTCGGCCATGCTTGTGTAACACTCAGCAACCATCCAGCAATCGCACACCATGGGGGGCTAATGCAGGTTAGTCCTTTGCTGTGTGCTACGGCCTGGACCTTTCTCTCTGTCAAACACATTCTATCCGATATCCGCGTACATTGCATTCTCGCCAAGATTCTGAGTTTGCCCCTTTACGCGATGCATATCGCTCAGTATGCACATTGCCTTGACCGTCATGTCGCACCTGTCACTTTGGCATTTGAGAAGCGATACTGGCGGAAAGTATCTTGAGTGTTCGGGTACTACTACTACGTATCCGCCGCTGTCCCACGCAACACACAAGCGAGGGGTAAAATGCGATTTCTTTACCCCGCCCCACTTTTGACATTACTACCCTTCTTCACTAATCTAGGCATCCTTTGGACAAGCTGTACGATCATTCTGTACGTTTCGTGATCACTTTTCTTTGCTAATTTCGAAATGTCTCATCTTCAAGAGCACCAAAGCTGAATGGCGCAGCGGAAGCGCGCCGGGCTCATAACCCGGAGGACGCACGATCGAAACGTGCTTCAGCTACGACTCTGTAGATTTTTTGGTTTTTTGCTCATTTGTGGGCGGTGCAGGGGCAGTATCTACATGAACCAGACCATATGGAAGCCATGAAGTGGCTAGGGGTTCCTTTTTCCCACATCAAAGCGCCACACCCCAGGTGCACCCGCTATCGTCCTCCCACCGTTTCCAAACCCTTTCACAACCCTTTTTCCACTCCTCTTCCCCAAGCTCTCTTTCCACGAGATCAATAAGACTCATCCTTCTACTCATCCACTCCCAATAGCCACCCCCTTCAATCCCTTGCTCCCCGCCACAACTCGCCAGCCAGGACCCGGTCTTCGCACCCTCGCCCGTATCGACCGCAACATACTTCTCCGTCACCTTGAGAAGAGCGAAAGGAGGATTAATGAACCATGTCTTCCAAGACAGGGCGATCTTGCCGAATATAGGCGTAGAAGTGAAGCCAGGACTGAATGCGTGTGCCGTGCGTTGGTTGTTTTGGGAGGAATCAAAACGACGCTGGAGCCAGGCGGCGAAAAGAACTTGGTGTGCTTTGGACAGTCCGTAGGAATGCAAGGTACCTGTGTCTATACCAAGGTACGCTTTCAACCTCCCCAGAGGTCCTCGAGCAACACCGCCCTCATCACCAGCGGTCTTCGAGGCCACGCTTTCAGGTCTAGTGCGCATCAACATCCCCACCGCATCGTAATGGCCCGTACTACTCGTCAATACCACCCTTCCCTTCTCACTCAGATACTTCTCGAGAAAGCATGTCATCAAAAAGCTCCCAAGGAAGTTCGTAACAAGAACTATGTCCCGGCCTTTTTTGTCCGTCTTCCTCGTGCCAGTGGGGGGTTCCGCAATTCCAGCATTATGCCTAAGTGTTAGCATACAAAGTCAGTATGTATCTGACAAATCCTTCGTACAGTGACGTTACGTACACGAGCATATCGATCTTCCTGCCCTCCTCCTTCCATTTTTCACAAAACACTCGTACGCTGTCCAGGTCTCCAACATCGACTTTCCAGCAAAACACCCTCTTTTCTCCTTCATGGCCTAGCTGCGAAACGATGGAAGCGACAGCTGCATGGCCCTTCTCGACATTGCGGCAAGCCAGATATACAGTTGCGCCTTGTTTTGCGAGCGCAGTCGCGATTGAAAGACCGATGCCGCTATTTGCGCCCGTAACTACTGCGGTTTGACCTTTGAGGTCGCGGTGAGGAGGGCGTTGGGGGCTATACAGGCGTGCGAAGATGAGAGTGAACGCGGCTTTTGCTACAGAAGTATAGAAGCTGACGTAGAGGGATAGCGGCGCCATGTTAGGTATCTATACCACAAGTTTGACTCTGGGCAGACCTAAGCAACCATAGAGAAAAGCTCGAGGTCGGTACAGGTCCGTGATACATGCATTGCGTTAATGTACAGGCAGGCGGCTTAAGAAGGCTGTACTGCGAAGGTTCCCTGGATGGTGACGTATGCATTCGCTACGATGCTGTCAAAATGTACTATCGATATTGTCTGGGCACGTCGAAGAAGGCATTGGCTTGACCATTGTTGCTCCACAGTAAGCAATTCAGGACGATGAGGCGTCTTGAGGGATGCTTGGTGGTTAGGCCATAACGGTGATGAAAGTGGAAGGGCTTTGCTAAAAAGGGCTAGCTTTGCGCACACTTCTTAGGCACATGTGCAAGGTGGAGCTCGGAAGGCAATTACACCGACTAGTCAGGCATCCCACTCTCGCCTATGTCTACTCTTCGCCAGGATGAGCACTGCTAGCAAAGCTTCGGGATGGGATGTCCTTTCTTTGATACGTCCGCAATCAGGCTCACCAGTGGATCACACGACTACGACGCACATACAGCACAAGACTGTTTGCGAAGAAATTGAAGAGCTAGGTCACCACTTGCGAAGTCGTTGGTCAGGTGTATTGTTTGCTGGCTGTGCTGGATGGAGCTTACCGCACATGCAACAAACTAATGATGTTACGAGATACAACACTCATTTAAAATAATGTGCTGGCAACGCGTTATGCGGACTCTGATGGGCGCGTACCCACGGCATGATGTGAAGATGATAGCGTAAGATGTTTGAGCATCAAGGAGCACCTGATGACTGATCGCCAAAACGATGAAGTCGAAGATGCGGGCAGTAGCGGGAGAGCACAGAACGAAGTAAAGTAACGGTGGTGGAAAGAAAATCTCCAAGAAGACTCAGGTCTGCAGACTGGAGCTTACAATGAAAGGCCTCTAAACCAGATGATTCAACTAGCGCTCTTCCCGTGATTAAATTGCTCCATATCCCACAAAATGTAACATTGATCGCTTTGTCAGGAACTCAGCCACAAATTCTGGAGAGCAACTTGCATAGTATATCCCATTTGACGTCCGAAAACTATTTGAATGGCTGCTTATTGTACACCTGGCTCAACCGTGGCTTCTGACATATCCATTACAGACAGGACTAGATCGATATCCCGAATCTGGAAGCCATTGCTGAAGTATTCCCATTGCCGCGCCCACCGTGATGCACGAGCAAGGTCGCTATGGTTATTCGCGTCCAAACCTTCCAGACAATCTCGCAAGAGTGTAGAAGGATGGTAGGGGTATGGAGTTTGTGATGGATATGATACTGGATTGGGTAAACCTCTTAGATCATACGTTTGGTGTGCTGCCATCAATGCATCAATGTTCTCCCTCGCCCTTTGGGAATCTAAGTGTGACCAGCTTTCTGAGCAAGGATAACTTCCTTGATCGTCTATTTCAAACTTACAGATATCTGGAATGTCCGGAAAGTCTACATAAGCTTGCTGGGCACCCTGAGCTACGAGCTCTGATGCAACTGTTGCAGCGGCCTCTTGCGAGTTCAACCGGGTCAAGTGAGGTGTGATTGGGCTGCTATGACTAACGGCACTTATAGTAGTTCTACTGTAGCCTATGTCTTGTAGCTGACCATATGAAAAGCCTTGAGGTACCTCCTGGAAGGAATTTTGTGTCATTGGTGAATAACGTAAAGTAGTGGGCATCAAGGCACCCATATCTGCTGGAAGCATACCATCGTAACTACGTTCATCGGCAGTTTGTTGCTGGCGGCGCTGTTCTGCAATCTGCTTGCGACGCACACCATCTGCAGTTCTTAGCACCTGGAAGTAACGGCCTAGAACAGCACCATCAACGTGACCTTGTGTGATTTGAGTGTGACCAATATAGCTGAGAATGAGCTGTATATCGTCTGGGAACATAAACTCTTTTGGTTGAGCATGCTCATCAAGCTTCTGGTTCTGCATTGCAAAATCCAGTGCGCGAGTCAAATCGCCAGCATCGTAATACTGAGGCAACTTCTTTAGGCCAACCGCAAGGTCTTTGAAAGGAACTGATGGCGGCGTGATATAACCCATTTTTTTGGCAGCTTCTGGCGTATAGTTGGTGATTGAGATGTTTAGTGCGTCCCAGTCATCCGGAATCTCGTGTTTTGCCTTCGTCCAGCCTTGCTTGATCTTGCGCATAGTCTTCCGGTATGTGTCCGAGATATGGTCGCGGGTACGTTCTGCTTCTTCAGCGTTAGTCAAGCTGAGGTGTCTATGTTGCTCCAAGATTACAAAATGAACAGCAGCGTTGATACCGTTGTTTAGAAAGCGCCATGCGACACCAGGGTTACGGAACCATTGTGGAAGGAGGACGATGAGGTCAACGATAGTCGCATTGATTGGTTCACCCCCGGGCAGTAGGTACTCGTGGGGAGGAATATGCAGGAGGAACTGAGCGCGTGGTTTCCCTTTTAGTGAAGACCTCGACATCGCTGGATCATCGCCCTTTGTCCTATGATGTCGGTGAGGCGCAGGCTTCGGAATTGGAGGACCATGTGTAGCATCCGTCGTAAATTGATCTTTGAAGCTTGGTTGCATACCGCCATTTCGGGGGACAATGTTTGATGCGCTAGAGGCCGGAATAGTATCTGCAAGACTCTTGGGTATCGTTGAGTTCAGTTGGGACTGGATCGAAAAGGTCTGGTTGAAGCTGCAGTTGTCGTCGTGCGTTATGAATTATTGAAATTGTACCAGGAGAGAAGAGAAGCTTTCTATATACACAGATCTCAAGCCAGGTGAAGTGAATCGTAAAGGAGTACCTAGAAAATCTATGCATGACCTACAGGTAGACGTGCAACGGAAACTCTCGTTACGGTGAAGTTCGGTACTTTCACCGCGATTTATCATTTCTTATAAGATTCGACATAGGTTCCACTCTTGCACCGAGAGTAGGTGCAGCAAAGGTGGATAGTGGAGGATACATCTGAGACCTGTCTGACTTTGCCGTAATCTTGAGTGTCGAGCGAGACCTGAGCAAGATAACTTTGCCTAGCTCGGCATTCAGATCTAAATTCTCCATGACTGCGCGATAATTCCTGGCGGACAATTCTCCACGTTCTCGACACCAACATAACTCCGAAACTTACTTTCTCCGGCAGTAGCATCTCCTGTTAGGTCGATAATCTCTGCGTTCCGCGCGGCCTGCTTCACCATCTTGCGTCTCATATCCTGCTCACCACCCATGTATGAGGTAACTTGTTCCTTCTCCCTAAACCGTTTTGCTCTTGTCAGGCGTTGAGCAATCATACCGTCCGTCTCATGGCCTCGATCCCAGTGATCTAGACATACCAACTTCGTTCGCCAAGCATGATTCTTTAAGTCGATATTCGCAGGTCGGTTAAGGATAGGCAGCGGCTTATGGGTGCGAAAATCATCTGATTCCGCGTCCCACTCATTATGCCAGGCTTTAGTGATGACAGCATCTTCATAGGCCGCGACCTGGGCACCTATCGCGACATTGTCGTGGGGGACGGGATTCGGTGAAGTGTGCGTGCGTCTTGTGATGACCTGGTGTCCGTGGTAGTAGCCTTGATTTCGAATTTGTTTCTTGTACCTGCGGGGAGGCAGGGACGAAGTCAGCGTGTCTCTCACATGCAGTTCGTACAGTCACAACTTACCTGGGTACTGCGTATAGGCCTTCAGGTTCGTTCAACATCCGAAAGCTGTGGTTGATGTGGGGCTTCTTTTGCTTCCGCGAGTGTGCTTGGGAATCAACCATAGCGAGTTGATGAGCTAGCTAGCGATGTAGAGATTCCTGCGTAATGTCGGATCGGAAGAATATGTCGTTCACGTGTAGTGCAGTCCTCGGCCTTCTCCTCGATCTTGGTTCGAAGGGTTGTTCTGTAGCCTCAGGCTTACGAGCAGTGATTTGGAGTTACGCTGTTATTATACGCCGTGCCGTACGATACTTCTCTCACTGTTTTCGTTTTCACCATGGTGATATGACTTCAATAGGCGGTGATGGGTGTGAGACGCAAACGAGACTGCTGATCCATGGCGCGCCGTTGTACTATTACAGCCGTGCTTTTGTTTATGGAGAAAGGGTTTGCATGATCCTTTTCGGCAGGCGCATGTTGACCGAGAGCTTCCATGGTTCGTATGTCACAGTAACGGCCGCGAGTAGTGGCTTACTCTGCAGCCACTCAGGTGCGCGCCTCCACTGAGCGCGACTCCGGGCAGCATCGGCAACCTCGTGCCTACAGCTGCCTAAGTTGATGAGCGCATGAACGTAAGATTGAGAGCACACCTAAAGTATGGAGATGAAAAGTGATGAAGGCAGCAAATTGTGGAGACAATGCGCGAAGGATGCGGGATGGACGCGTGGAGTGGAAAAAATGCGATTGACATCACTGCTACCTGACCAGATGCGGTAAGAATACCTAGGTAATCTAAAACAAACTCATGCGCAATATGGCTTCGATTATTTGCAACCTTTTTGCAGTGCCTTGTATCATTAATCCTCGAGACGCCAGAACAGCCTTGACGTCGCCTACCAACGTCACGCGAACGAATGAAGTATGCCGAGGATGCATAGGAGATCTATCTGGAGCGTTCGGGCGCATTGAAGTGGTGGCTGGAGCACTAGAAACGCCAACGCGTTCGCTGTCGAGACTCAGCTTCCCGCGCTCACTCAAATTCAGCATGAGACGCTCGTTGGACTCGTTTCAATCCTACTGGTTATTACCACCAAACCGAAACCCATAATGGCGACAGCTTGTAGCCCATGATTCTAGGTAAACGTCTATCGGCTAGATAGGTTTGAAATACCCTAGAGGAGACCGTTGCTGGAGCGTGCGAAAACAGTTCGACTGAAACTGTTGGTAGAACGAGAACAAGCGTTGAGCAGGCGGTCGTCAAAGCAACGAGTGGCACGCACACCTGCACCGACCCAGCAAACAACCGCGCACTCACCACGTTCGATGACTCGGAGGAAGCAGGATCGGTAAGGAAGGAGAACAAATCAACCAATTATGATGCATTTTACGAGATTTTAATAACTAAGATGATACGCTACGATTCGCCTTCTTCATCACTGTCAGATATGCTCCCAAAAGCACGGCATAGAAGAATGGGAAGCCATAGGGAAATCGGAGGGTATCGAATACACATATAACGCACTATAGCGGGTGTTGTGACGTATTCCACTCATCGTCATCGCTGCTGATAGCGGTTGCGTACGTCATTTGCATCGGTATTATGCTTGCGACCTACTAGGCGCATCTGCGCTGGAGCCAAGAACTGCTTCTTTGGAGTCAGAATATCTTCTGCTTCGTCTTCGCTCTCCTCGTCTTCCTCGCCTTCCTCGTCTTCTTCGGTCTCTAGGACCCCTTCGATAGTATACGAGCCACTGAAGCGTTGGTTACGAGTAGAAGAGCGAGTCGCAACGACAACCTTCTTGTTTTTCCGCTTAGGTCCAGCATAAGCATCTCCGTCAGACTCAGAGTCGATGCCTTGGAGCAGAGCCTCTTTGCGAAAACAAGATGGCAAGGGCTTCTGTGAACGACGAGCATGCGTCTTCGGCGGAGGCTTCTTGCTGCGTTTAGGTGTTCGCCTGGTCGGGGCTTGTTCATAAACCCCGTCATTAGGGGTAGTACGCTTGCGTCTCGGTGAAGCACCAATCTGCGGCATGAAGTCATCTTCATCCGACATCTCATCTCCAAAGATATTCTTGCGCTTAGCATCCCTCTTGGTCGCAGTTACTGGCTCATGATCGTCCATGGTATCCGAATCTATATCGTTTGTATCCTCTTCAGACTCTTCAGACCCTTCAGTCAAGGCCTCTTCTTCATCGGAATCCATTAAAACCCCTCTCCTTTGCTTGAGAAGGCGCCCACGATCACTACGCTGTCGTCCGCCAGCGCGCTTTGCATCCATCCGCTTCTTTTCAGATGTGTGTCTCGAGATAGCTGCATCATCTTGATGCTCGCGGTATACAGTAGCAGCCCCTCCAAGGATAGCAACGAGTTGTTCGAAGTCTTGGGGATATCTCCAGCTTCCGTCGTTGTGCTTCACGCAGTATTCTATACATCGAGTAAGATCTAGTGCATCGTATCCGGATGGCATGATCTTGACACCATTTGCCATGTCGCGAAATAAGATGCTAGGTGGGGGTTGCGTGGTAGCAGCAGTTGATTGACGAGAGTTGAAATTAACAGGTGTGCTAAAACCTGCTACGCTAACACTGGCTGGATCAAAACCAGCAGGCTTCTGTATAGCCGCGTGCTTGGCAACCGTCCACTTCTCGTAAGTCGGATCAACCTTTGCTCGATGGTCCATTGGCCCCTTCATCATTCGGTAGATGCTGTTGTTCTCGATTCGACCGTGTGGCATGACTCGGTATTGATTTATCATATCAGCAAAGGTTCCAGAGAGAGCGCCATTGTAGAGGAAACGGTCCATTATATCGTAAGATTTGATAGCGTGCGGAATGAAGGCAGTCATCTCTGCCAAAGTGAGGTTGCCACGGTGAAGACCCAACCAGGGCGAGGGCGCATCCCTCAACTTGTCGTAGCTCGCAGAACCGAAACCGGTAGACTTCTTCCCTTTGGCAGACGGTCCGCTGTTTACAGTATTCTCCGGAGTAGCCTTGGGACGAGCGCCAGCCTTTCGGCTGTTCGTTGTTCTCGGAGGACCGGGTTCCTTTGCGAACACAGCTGGCTTAGCTATGTACTTCTGGTTGTCTTCTACGGTACTCTCAAGCTGATAGATGGGCGGTAATACAGGACGCACACCGTAATTCGCAACCGCAGCGCGTAGTGGAAACCACTCAAGCTTTTCTGGGACGTTGTCTTCTTCGTTATACTCTACAACATTCTCTGGATCTAGAGCATACTCACTGAAGATAGTGACCGCGTTTCCAAGACGATGCCTGTTATAAGCATCTAAAACCTTGCGCTCGATATACAAAACTTGACCTAGCAACTCTGTTGGATTGATATCTTGCGAATTACACTCCATGAGGTTTTCCTGGAACAGCACTTGGAGCTGATCGTGCAAGAAAACGATGTCTGAGAAGAGAATCCCAGCATTTAACTGTGCTGCATCGAGCATGTCCTGAACCTCGCGCTGTGTGAAGGTGGGTAACGACATCATTGATGGTCGGAGATTTTCTGGTCAGCGGACTCGAAGGGTGGTCTTCGTAGAGATATATTAAAGGTGCTTTTTCTTAACGGTTGAGATTCTAGTTAGTCTGCTGGCAATAGTTGATGGTTCAAAATGGGCTACAGGCTCGCTGATTGGAAGAAATACAGATATGAGATGGAGTGAATTCGTGCAATTTATGCTAAGCCGGAATTGGTAGTTGCGTTACACGCAGTGATTTTGTAGATGCGCGAGGACATACTAAGTCGGAGAAGGGCTTCTGAAGTCAAATCACCGAGTAGGAAACACTGGCCAGCATTGTTGCCAGTTTTTGATCCGAGTATGAAAGTCATTGTGTATATGATAGAAAGGATGCGTTTAGAGAGGAACAAAATAAGATGGACCAAGGCGACAAGGAAACAAAGACTTCCCCTCGAACATTGTTCGAACCTTTGTTTGATCAATGAGGGGACTTAAGATCCTTCGAAGCTCGGGGCTGGAAGGAAGTCAGCAATTGATCCGAAAGCCGGCGAACCCATTGGAAATACTTGGAGCTCTTGATTGCTTCCTGCCCTGTCGAGTATCTAGCAAGCTTTTCCCAGGCAAGCAATGTGGAAGATCGAGCTCGTAGGCTATACTTCTGGTATAGGTTTCTTAGTGTGAAAATTGATTGCACTGTACCCAGATATCCATGTGAGAGCTCTTTGAATGATTCACCACTGTATCTGGATTGCTGGAAGAGATTCGTGGCTGTTGTTCTATAATGTATCGCGAGTAGCATGAGTGAATTTACTAATCGACGAGCATACATTCCTTGAAAACTTAGTATCTCACATCTCTCACACGACTGCATAGCTTGATTAATGCTGTGAAAAGTGGTGTGATGCCGGTGATGGGTGGTGTGCCACGGTTGTGGTAAGTAGAGATGGGGAGGAAACTAGGCCAAATGCAGACTAGCGTGAATGTTCTACTGAAATAGTTCCGTGTTCTATCCGCGACTTCCCCTCATCTTCTTGCCGCACTCCGGTCGGTGCATTAGATTTAGCTTGCGGTATGTTTTGGTATTGGTAGTCGTCACAGCTCCTCACGGTCAGGATCCACTGTGTTTTTACCTTGACTCGATACTGCAGCCGTGCTTTGCGAAGGGCAACCTTAGAACTCAGCCGTGCGGCTTAGCCTGCTACGCCGCAATCTATACATGCAACTATCACAACACGAGGGAATGCGCTCGGTCATGCATCGGCCGAAACAACGCACATCTTCATGAACAATCGTAAGTAAGACAACAGATGACGTTACTACCCCTCGCCCAGAAATGCCATGGAAAGCCTAGTGCAGAACTGGCAGGTCAAGGCTACCACGACTTGGGGAAATATCTCACTTGTATCTTATCCACGATTAACCGGGCTCTGGGACAGCATCAACCATGTCACAGTGCGCACGTTGAGCTGCCAATACCGATGGTCATGGCTTGGGAGGACATGCTTTGTGCTTATCATGGTACCAGCAGGTGGCGGCATGCCAAGTTGTTGGAGATGGGGAAAGTATAAAGGATCAACACTTTACGAAGTTCAAGTACCTCACGCCCGTCAATTGATCACTTCTGTGGCGGAACATCATCATGAAGTTCGTGCTTAGTCTTGCTTGGCTATTGCAGCTATCACTCGTTAAGGGTGCGACAATCCGTAGCCCACAGCCCGTCTCATACGAGGGCTACCAGGTCCACCGCCTCCGAGCTACTGGATCGCGGTATGCATCAGCGAAGCGAGCTCTGACGGCCATTCCTCATGAGACTTTGAACGAAGCTCGTGGAACCTGGGATGTTCTCATTGCACCCGAGCAATTGGACGCCTTCAACGCACTAGGGCTCAAGTCCCGAACTCTGCACGAGAACCTAGCTCATTCTATCGCCCGGGAGTCTCACGTCAAGAAGGCCTGGAAGAGGCAATCAAACGGATCCGAAGATGCGTGGTTTGACAGCTACCATCCATACGAAGACGTGGGTGATCCATCGCGTAAACTTGAAGCAGAACTAATAGATTATCTATAGCACATTACCTGGTGGCGCGATCTGCAAGAGTCGTTCCCAGAGCATTCGAACTGGACGAGCACTGGAACGTCTTATGAGGGACGCGACTTGTTCGGCGTTCATTTCTGGGGAGCTGGTGGTCCTGGAAAACCTGCAGTCATCTATCACGGTACTGTGCATGCCAGAGAGTGGATCACTGCACCCGTCATTGAGTATATCGCGAAGCAGCTCGTCGATGGATACAAGGCAGGTGACAATGAGACGCAAGCCGTCCTGGACAACTACGACTTTTACTTGTTTCCTTTCGTCAACCCTGATGGTAGGTCCCAGCACACCGATCAGACTAAATAACTTTCGCTCATCGATCGTAGGCTTCGTCTTCTCTCAAACGGACAACCGCTTATGGCGCAAGAGCCGTCAACCACCACCAGAGAATGCCGCAAATCAAACGTGCTTTGGTCGTGATTTGAATCGTAACTGGGAGACGTGAGTAGCCGCCTTCTTCTATACCTATCGCGGCATGCACTGACCCGTAGTCTCAGGAACTGGGATGCTGACCCGCGCGGAGCTTCGCCGGACCCATGCTCGCAAACCTACAGAGGAGAGGCACCCCGCGACACGCCCGAAAACCGAGGCATGGACAATCTGATTCGCAAGATTCGTGATGAGCAAGGCATCAAGCTATATATTGATTGGCACAGCTACTCTCAACTTATCTTGTATCCATTCGGCCACAAGGAAACTCTCTATGCGCCAGAGCTCGGCATGTGGACCAAAGCCGCTGCTTTGATGAGCGAAAACATCCGCTACTACTCGACCAATGCAACCACTTACGTCTTCGGACCTAGTGGAGCGACCTTGTACCCGACAACTGGTGCATCGATCGACCATGTCTACACCATTGGTCGCGCCAAGTTTTCCATGACCATCGAACTACCCGACACTGGTGACTTTGGTTTCGTTCTACCTCCGGAGAGAATCAGACCTGCAGCTGAGGAACAGTGGGTTGGTCAACAGGTGCTCCTCAGTCTGCTGGATGAGGAGTTCTTCGATGGCGATGGCCCAGCGATTGGTGCCTTGGGTACCACCTGGTAGATACGAATAGATGTTATTGAGCTTGTCATCATGCCTACGACTGATTACAGCTATGAAGAAATCGCCATCTATCAGTGTTGATACACAATAGCAAATGAACATGCCACTGACATACCCCAAGTCTACATCCGTTCTTCTCTTCACAGTCTCGTGGTCACATCTCGATATGCATTAGCACAAATTTGTCATCATATCTTCTCAGATTACTGGTTGGGTCGTTTCTCTCTCTTGTCAAGTCACCGTCACCTTCACTTCCACGCGGCTAGCTCCCACAATGATGTGCCCGTGCACCAGAAGTGAAGGTGAAGCCATGGTCTCCTATCGCCTCTATCCTCTACATCGAGCATGCTGATATCTCTTCTCGTATCACCATTCCTTCTCATCGCTGCGACGCTAATTGATGGGTCTCTAACCTGGACTCGCCCAGCATGCAGTGTCCTTTTAGTGATTGGAACTTTCCGACTTCAACAACAGCGACATTTGACACTATGGGGCACGTGTACCGCACACCCTCTCCGACCAGGGAACCTTACATCAGTTCCAGTAAGTGTAATGGGCGAAGTTCTTATGCACGGAGAATATACTAATATATGGGTAGGTAATGTCAATTCGCCGCAGGCTGCGCCTGGAGCCCATACGCATCGTTCAATCGTGCATACAAGCTACCAGCGGAGCATCGAGAATCAAGCTTCTGGTATCATCGCAGACGACAGCTACAAGCAAAGGCAGCAACACATGGCAAGTATGTCACACCTCCAGAACGGGGTTGGTGCTGAGAGCGACTCTACCGAACAAAAGCCGTGTAGCAATATCGATACCATCAACGATGAGCAAAGCATAGGTGTAGCGCTTCCCGAGGAGCCGTGTACCCCTAAGAAAAAGCGCATACCAATTCTTTGGCATGGTCTACCCTCGCCGGAAACTGCTAGTTTCGGTCATGATATGCAGAGTACTCCTTCGGCGGGCTCAGCACAAGAAGAGCTGGTCTGGCAAACTTCTCTTCAGAGAACCAAAGGCGCTGCCAAGACCGCGTTAGAGAGATCGGAGGACTCTGGTGATTCACTCCCGCTTCTGAGGCAGCTTCGCACCGATACACGTACCGATGATGTTGACGATGGCAAGTTTGCGATCCCGCAGACACCTGAGAATGCTATACAGAATGATGCGATACTTGCTCGCGAGCTTGAGGCATCACTCAATCCAACAACGACTCGCCGTAGCACCAGACTGCGCACACAGCCGAAACCAACATGTAAGTCCTCTATATGCTGATGTTGCTAGCGTTTTAGCTAACCAGCTGCCCTCAACCAAGATGTCAATCAGGCACCGACCGCAGCCCCGAAGACTGCTTGGAAGTTACCACCTCTACCGGCGACACCTGATTACGATGCGCAGCCTGAGTTCAGTATTGTACCTATCAAGGCCGACCTGGTTCCTTTCGAGGGACTACCGACCGTTCACTCACTATCTTGGCAACTGCAATATCCGCCAGGAGGCAGCGCACACCCATCATATCCATATCCGGCCATGGATCCACGTCTCCTTTTCCATCAAGCGTTCGTACCTATCATCGGTGGCCTTCCGGACTTTAAGCTGGTTCCTCAGCTCGTGCTTCCGATGGGTTGGAAGCACGTTTCATGGTCTGGCCTACTACCGATCGCCTTCGATCCATACCGTCAAGCCTTCAAGCTGACACCTGTTGGTCCAATGCCGCTTACATGCGAGGAGCTTCATCAGCAAGGATTGCATAAATATGTACCGGGTGGCGAGTTGCATCCAGAGTACGGATTGCTCCCTGACATGCTCAAGCTGAGCGATGGAAGTGATGCCGAGATTTTCGACTTTGATGGTGTTGATTGGACCCTGCCATGGGAGGGACAGATGGATTTCCACGCACCTTCCCCTGAAGCCTTGATCAAGCGCGAAGGCGGAGTGTGCTCCTCACCGCTAAGCCCATCGGATTTCACGCCATCAATTCCAGCTCACTACAATGAAGCCTGGGACTGTCCCGATGGTATGATCGACTTACCCGATGCATGGCGATGGCTGTCGGAACACGAGACTAAGCCTACCGCGGGGTTTGTTGCCTCGCCCGGCAAGGTCTGGAGAGGGACCGGCATCCACCGCATAACACGCCGCTTCAAACAACCGATCGGGAGCCTGATGTCGACCACCATCGCCAATCTTGTCTCCAATCCCACAGAATTCTACCTTGTAAACCAGGATAGCCGGGAGTTCTGTATCTTCAAGAGTATCGCAACACCAGTTCACATCGACATCACTCTTCTTGGGGATGTGGAATTCACCATGAAAGAGTTGCTTTGTTACTTTCCGAACCACTACTACTGGAGGAAGGCTGCCGATCGAATCGTCAAGGCGGGTACGACTGGGGGAGACGTAGCGAACATGATTAATTTCACCAGAAACCTTGAGGGTGAGTCAGCAAGGAAATCGGGCGGTATTACCGGTAATCTGCTGTATGAGACATCAGAAGATGGCGTGCGCGCAAAGATTGTGCGCTCTAGTGATGAGAAATTAGGATACACGGCTCAGGGTTGGGCTTACGATCTCTGGGAGCTAGCCAACTATCCACTTCTCGCTCTTGCGCATGGATTGGTGGCATTGCCTGCTGGTGAAGACGCAGGACCGTTGACGGAGATGATCATCTGGTGTCGTGATCAGGGAAAGCATCGTACGATGCTATCTGAAGTGTCAGCACTGTTGGAAGGAGCGGGTATTGAGAGGAAGATACAGCAGCCTGAGACTGGATGTCCAGATCAAACAGTCTTCTTGCGTCATTCCGAAGCATTGAAAGAGGACCGGAAGAGGGTGCTTGCGAATGAGAAGCTATTGAAGAGAAAGAGGGAGCTTGAGGGCAGAGAGGAGTCCAGAGGAAGAAAGAAGAAGGCAGAGTAGTGTCGCAGAGGAACTACCTATGATGAGGGCATGCGCTGCAAGGGACACGAGTGGCGGAACCGTTGGAAGTTAGTAGGGGGTGCTATTCAGATTTTGCATACCAAGCTGAATGAGATGACTCTTTGTCAAGGCACAACTGAGTTAGAAACGATTTGCTAAGACGGCAACAGGCCACAGACCTCAGCTCTTCTCCAACCACAAGGTTCAAAAACGCTTCTCATGTTGTGAAACATCCCTAAAGAAAGAGACCGTGAAAGATCTTAGTCGCCTTAGTAATAGGCTGATCCCTTTGAAAGTTTTGTACACGAACAAATGTTGAATCGGCTCTTTAAATCGTTGCCTAGATCATAGGCACACCTGATAGCGGTCCGAGTCCGCACTAGGATTCGTCAGCACGCTTTTCTTCCCCTTCACATTCATACTCACAGCAGGTGCTGGTGACGGACATCCACCCTTGGAGCTCATATAGCAACCCATAGCCGCAGCTTGTTTCATCAAGCACTTCTCGTTCGCGCTGAGCAGGTTCATCGGCACAATCGGCATGGCGCACTCGCATCCTTCCTTGAACGTGGGCGTTGGCTCCTTATGCCTGTTCCTATGTGTGCGGTTGTGCTTTCGCGTACCGCTTGGAGTAGGGACGATACTGGCTTGTGGTGCGGCCCAAGGGTAGGGCGTTGCGAGGGCAGCGATAATGAAGAAGATGGTCGCGAGGAGAGTTGAGATGTGCATTTTGGGTAGTACGAAAATCTTGTATGCTTCGAATCGTCCTGGAAGTGAACTTGTGTAGGATGCAGATGGCCAAGAGTTCGGAATTCTTTGCAGATGATCATAATTTTGTAGGATCCGCAAACGCCACGCGGCAGAAGGCCTCTTCTACCGAAAACTCTCGGTTCAGTACGCGGCATAATATGTGTTGATGAAGTTCCATTTAAACTTGCATTGCTGTCGTCCAGTAACAAGCCGCCGGCTAAACACCCATATTTGAAAACGGAAGTGCAAACTTGTGCGAAGGCGCTAATAAGTGACAACGGTATTCTGTAGCTCCTCAACGTCAACTCTTTACACAAGTATCAAAATCTCGAACCCGCAGTTTTCCTGAGTGTCTTGGCCTTCTGAGATGACCGCAAATGTTCTCTGTAAGTTGCTTGAGAAGACTACGCATGTTGCTGGGCTCGCTAGTTAGGATCAATACTGTTGATCACTACGACGCCACATTCTCCTCAGTATTCTTGTCGTTGTGCTCATCGTCTTCAAACTCATGGTGTGTTGAATCGATCTCTAGCTCTTCGGAAGATAATTCTGACTTGAGATCTTCGGAGCCAAACGATCGTTCGGAATAACCCCACTCTGGGCCTGAGGAGACAGACTCGTTATCGTAGTCCGAATGTCTTCGATATCTTCCAAGCCAGTCATCCCAATCGAAAGCATAGGGTCCAATAGAGCTCGAGCAGGGAAACTCAGCGCCAAACTCTGAACAAGGTGGATCGATACGTTCAGCGATGTGTGTGGCCTGCACAATCATGGCGCAGAGCTCAGTTGGCAGACGCCGTCCAATGCAAACGTATACGCGACTAGAAACTTCTCGTCGGGCCAGTCTGAGCAGGCGCTTGTAGGTATGGTTGTATCGTTCATGCACACACTTCAGCTCCTCGCAAGGGTACGCGTTCATCGCTTCGAGCATGCGTCGCGCACCGTCCGAAAGATTTCGACGGTGGAGTTTCCGGCTCTGGAGGCCTTCTTGATACAGTGCGTCTTCACCAATCCTTTTGAGAATTTCGTTGAAATAGTAAAGAATTTGCGGTTCGTTGAGTTCAGTAGCCATGCTCGGAATATGACGGGGATGTGCCAGAAGCACATCCACGATGATAGCAACACCGTAATAGAAGAGGTGCTGGTAACCTATTTCTGTATCGTTGAGAACACGAACAAGTTCTGTCGTAATCCGAGACACAAATTCAGTTTTGCTCCTTCTACTGTATGGCTTGTGCTTGATGGTTTCCAGTTCCTCATACAAACTCTTCTCTAGATGATACGTGTAGGACGCAACATTTTGCAGCTTCCCGTCTTGACTGGCGAAGCGGCCCTCGATAAAATCGGATGGTATCTCTTATTAGAATCAATACGCAACTCAAAGCAATGTCCAATAAGCTTACCACGAGAGAAGATGTTGTGGCCTTCCCACCAATCCTGCTTCTCAAATGTCAAGCGAGAAAATGTCGAGTTGACTTCTCCGAGTTCCTCTAGGTTTGCCTGTAAGGCTAAACAGCACCTCTTAAATGCCTCCACTGATGTATGCTGGACTTTCTCAGCCTGCTTTATAACTTGCTGTATTTCAGGGTCGGCTTTCTTCTCTCTGTCTTCGGTGAATCTAGCCACTGTTTGGTACGTCACCAGTGCCCTTCGCAGAGCTTTCGAGAGTCGAACAATATCTCCTAACGGGTAATCGCCGCCAGGTCCGATCGAGTCGATAGTGCAGTCATCAGGGTCAAACGAATCTGCCCTTCTATTGTATCTTTTCGCAGTCCAGGGTCTTTCCAGGATCTCATTTTGCAAACCGATGTATTTGCGCTCGCCTCTGCGCGTGTATCGACGGTCACCCATAGTTTGTCGTATATCTGGTACCATGCGTGGTGCCGCAAGCTTGACACGTCGCGAGAGCTTAGGCCGCATTTTAGCGTGTTTTCACCCCTTCCAGCCATCTCATTTGGAGCTTCCACTTCACGACCAACAACTACCCCCTTCAAAATCGCGAACGACCCAAAATCGCGAACGACCCAAATTCGTCTACATGCGCTGTTACTCGACTAGTGGCAAGACAGTCCAACAAAAAAAATCACGAAATCAGGATAAAGTGTACCTGGTCACTACATATGTACAGCCCTAAGCAGCCAACTGGGGGGAGCAGCAAGATCTGGCGACACATTTACAGGCTGAACGATATCATGTTCAGGCATGTTCATTCGCCAGCAAAGAAGAGAGAGTGCTTCAGAGGAATTATACTAAACGCTACATTCTTAGAACATTATCCTACTGCCACAAAGATCCGATCAAAACATGTTAACAACCCTATGGTATTCTCGCATACATCAAAACAACCATCTGAAACTTGTTGTTCTTCTTTTCTCTCTCCTCACCAGTGCCACTCAAGTTCTCTGGGACAACCTCCGGGTTCGACAAAGCAAAATTCACTTTCACCTGGTTCACATCTCCATCATTAATGTTATACCACCTCGGATACTTCCTCACGGTCGCAATCCAATGACCGCAGTCTAAAGCACCCAGATGCGGTAAGACTGCCACAAGTCTGTACATCAACTTCGTACTAGGATCGACCTGATGCTGAGTCAAATCAAGTATTTCGTCAATCTCAGGAAGTTCACTAGCCTCGGTAATTTTGCACATGTCAGGTGGTTGGGGAACTGTACTAGGAGGAGAGGGGGGCGGAGCGGCATTGTACACTAAGTTGAACTTGACGAGCATGTATTCTGGCGCTGCATCGATACGGAAACGTTTCCTTACTAATCGATTAGACTTGCAGGCGGGACAGTCTTTTGTGATAAGGCCAACTTCGTCAGCCAGTTGGTCGTCTATGGCAGTGACTATTGTTCCGGGATTGTTGCGGTCGATTGAACAGCCATTGAAGCCTAAACTGGGTGGTTTGAAGCTTCTTGGTGGATCGATAGCAGGATCAGGGTTTCGGGGTATATCTATATCGCAGGTATTGCAATAGCGTCGCTCTTCGAACTCAAACTCGAAGAGTGCTCGGTAGCTAGCCTCCCAATCTGGAACAACCTCCTTATCGGTGGCTTCTCGACATTCGCCCAAGAAGTATGTCATCCATTCTTCCGCGTCGCACTGTCGGTCTATCAACGTTATCTTTCCATTTATGCCCATTACTTCTATAGGTCTGAAAGTCTCGTTTTTAGCGGAATAGTTATAGATCTGCCTAAGCATCGTGTCGTCTGGCTCGAAAGGCATCGGCTCTTGTCCATTCATCCTGTAGTCTCCCCAGTAACGGGGGATGAGCTCTTTCATAGCACAGACCATGCAGTCTTGCTTATCCTGAATCAGATCGCCAGTGTCAGCATCTCTTGCGTTTATTCGACAGGGGTTTATAACGCGTGGAACGGCAGTAGCATCTAGTTGGACGACATCGTGTTGTAGAAACCAATTTAATGCCCTGGGTAGATGGAGGAGGCACTGTAAGGCCGCCAGCCTGTAACATTCATTTTGAGCTCGTTTCAAGCCTCTGCTCCCATTGTTGCCTCCTCTGATCTCTCTGTTCCGATTTTTGCCGTTTCTGCGCCCTTGATTCCGATTGTTAGCGGTTGCACGCCTGACGGGAAAGCCCTTTTTTATGCCAGCCAGTGTCCGATTCTTTACATGTTGAGCTTGCGTATACGTAAGACGACGCCGAGATGCGGGTAGGGGTGGAGGCGGAGGAAGCGGACTATCCTGCGAACGGAAGTGGTATCTTATCATGTTTGTTTCCGAAAATTGTCGTGTTTACTTTTTGTATTCGGCTTTGAGGGCAGTTTCGAAAGAGAAGGTATCGAGATTGACGAAAAGTGGTGAGCAGTGGATCGCATGTTCTGCACACAATCCAGCAAGAACTTAATTATCGTAGTTTGTGACAATGAGAACCCCTAAGACAATGAGCATTGTTCTCGGCTCGCGAACATAAAGAAGTAACGCAGGATACGGACTTCTGAAAGAGCACAAGGAATCATTGCAGAGGCCCGGTTGCGAGCAAACTGCAAAGGTTGTACCCGACATTGGAACAACCTTGGCAGCAAATGGAAGCAGAGGAATACGCTGACATCTAGAGTTGGAGACACAAGGCATAAACAAAGCTACAGCGAGACGTAGAACCACATCATGGGCGTAAAACTATACTATAGAGCAAGATAAAGGTAGAGCAGGACAGAACTCAGCCTGCGATACCACTACCCATCGCATCACTACCGGATCATGTCTCGTCGCCTCCTAGTGACCGGTTTGTCGATTTTATATCATTTCCCAGATACACGAGTAAGTACACATTCATCGATGGCGAAGAATTTTTTGTACCTGTGAACTCACTTAGGGTTCACCTTGGGTAAATGTTTGCGGCTTGTTTATAGAGATGATAGTCGTTCGATCACCCTGACCATGAAAGCGTACGACCTCGAAAGTGTCTGCTCTGACACTTTTGTTAGGACTACCTTTCGGAACAGCTGAATCGTATATTAACCGTTATAGTACATTCGCCTTCGCGTATCTTCAAGACATGATAGTCCTAACTAGGCAAATCCCTGCATAGATGCATAAGCAGATGTCAGTATTGAGCGTGAAAGACGCAGCGCCTAAGACTGGCGGACTCGCATACCTAGGTAGCGTCTTGGCACCCCCTCCAACCCCCATTGGCCCCATCCACCACCAATCCACGCACTTTAGCACTCCCTGCACAGTCACATCTTTTCACGTCAGTACACAAACACTTATGGCGACTTCAGAAACCCAAGGCGCATCTTACGAAGCTGAACATGTTCACTCAGTCTACGAAGAAATTGCATCGCACTTTTCTTCTACTCGCTACAAGGTGTGCGTCCACCATTCACAATCTGTAAAGTATGCATGCATGACTAACACCAAAAAAATACTAGCCCTGGCCTATTGTCGAACGTTTCCTAAAAGAACAACATGACGGTGCTATAGGTGCAGATGTAGGGTGTGGGAATGGAAAGTATCTAGCTGTCAACAAGAAAGTGTGGATTGTGGGTAGTGATCGGTATGTTTGATTCTCTTGGGGTTTGACTAGACACTCCATGGACATTCTTGAAGTTGATTGTGACATAGATCCACGAACCTCGTCAAGATTGCGAAACAACATGAACCGCACGATGTGGTTGTAGCAGACAACCTCTCACTTCCTCATCCAAACGGAGTGTTTGATTTCGCTATTTCAATAGCGGTCATTCATCACTTGTCTACGCCGGCACGAAGGGTGGAAGCTGTGAAATGTGTTTTGGATCTACTACGTCCTTCATCGTCGTCGTTGTCATCAAATGGAAAAGCAGAATCTGGTGTAGAAGGTGGAAGAGCACTGATCTATGTTTGGGCGCTCGAGCAGAAAGACAGTAGAAGAGGGTGGGACGAGGGACACGAGCAGGATGTTATGGTGCCGTGGGTCTTGAAGCAGAAGAAGGAGAAGGAGAAGGGACGGAGGAAGCAGAAGGATGAGAATCAGGCGGACGAGGAAGCGACGCCGAAGCCAGAAGGAGATAAGACGTTCTTGAGATACTACCATCTGTATCGGAAGGGGGAACTTGAGGGTGATATTGAGCAGGCTGGTGGGGTTGTATTAGAATCAGGATACGAGAAGGATAACTGGTGGGCTATTGCGAGATTGAGATGAGCACATTTATGATAAATCAAGTGTTTTGCTCTACTTTACGCGCAGCTATATTGCGCAACTTTGCATCATCTTCTTGCGGGCTTTAGCTTGTCAAGCATGTATAATGTTCTTACGCCGTATTCAGATCTACAGGCAGGGCATGGCTGCTCTCGGTCAGCGGAAACAGCTGGTAGTAGAAGCCTACAGCGCCAGCCACGAGCACGACGTAGTAGGCTACGGTCCATCCGACACCCTTCCCTTGATAAGCTGGGACACTCCTCTGCTCATCGTCTTTCTTGTCGACATCTGGTGGTCCGATCGGGATACCAGCTTCGACTCCTACACGGCCGTAGAACCGAGGAAGTCCCATCCAGTTGCAAAAGGTGTGTGCTAGCATGCACGTGTACACATTTCCAGTCCTGATAAAGACGAAGGCGGCAAAGAAACCGAAGAGCGATGTGTATGTGAACTGGAAGAGTGAGCGAAGCACGGCGACGAAGAACGGGACTTCAGAGTGAGTTATGCGGAACTCGTAAAGGTGGTGAAGGTGGGCGATGCCGAAGTACAGTGGTGTCAGGAAGACAATCTGCTTGCCGGAGAACTGGGCAAGGACATGGAGGGGGACGATGAAGGAGCGCCAGACGAGCTCTTCACTGACAGGGCCCTAGGCTTGTTAGCATGGTACCAAGTGGACTTGAGTAGGTGGCTTACGACTACGAAGTTCCTGTATCCGATCCAGCTGCTCAAGGACTCGTTGACACCATTTAGTTTAACCCAGTCTCTCCAGCCACCGTCTACAATACCGTGCTCGAAGATTGGACCTGCGAAGAGGATTGTTACTAGAAGCATGGTCCGGACGGTATCTACGGGTGAAACAGGCCACATGCCAAGCAGGCCGAGGATCTCCATGGCCGATGCGTCATGTTGGTAGAGTATGACTACGGTGAGGACAGAGCATAGGATGGTAGAGAAGGTCACTGCGCGTACTCGGGCGCGTATCGACGACGGTGCATCGCGTGTGAGAGTCGGAGAGGGTCGCGTGGCCGGCGACAGGTAGAAGGGGATTACGTAGATGAAGACATAGGCGGCCTGCAGTCATGCGTGTTAGCCATATTTAGTCGTGCGTGTTGGCTATATTTCAGCATGTTTGGCGCATGCGGTGCGATTGGGTGAGAACAATAGCAATGGTGGTGGGGGGGTGGGAGCTTGAAACGTTGAAACGGTGAAACGTACCGACAGAAGCGCCGCAACACTCGAGGAGAGGACGGGCGGTTTAGGAACTGACGACACGTTAGACTTCATGGCAATGTTTCGACAAGAAGCGCAACAGAGTTGGTGCGATGTGGGTCGCGCAGGCGTTTAAGAGGGTATGAGGCCAAAGGGAGCCGGCGCAGGCCAATGGATCGTCACTTACCGCCCTTGACATGTCTCTCGTACAAGTCCTCGAGCGCGCTGAGCTTGTCTCGCCAGCCGTTGAGGGGTGGAGGCATCGTGAGGTGTTGCAAAAAAGCAGCACCACGTCAAACACGCTATACTTGGAGTGGGAAAAGAACCATGAGCGTCGTCTTATACCTGGCCGAGGTCCCCCCCGCGTTGTCGCGAGGATGTTGTTTGGCACCGGACAGCCTCGACTATCGATAAACCGCCAACCCCAAATCTCCCTCCCACGCTGCTGGTCACGTGCTCCGATTGTCCGTTCGTCTCGGCTCCTGCGACTCGCGCCATCATCCTCTGGAAACCCCCCGTCGACTTTAGCACGACCTCCCGCGTTACCCCTGCAGGACGCACACCGCAAGGCCCACTGGCCAGCCTCTCTGCCACTCAACGGCTAGTCCGGATCGCTGCTCGTCGTCACTGGCCCGTCCTAAAATATAATTTCATTTTAAACGTTCAACCGCGACGCGCCTCTATCGATTGACTACGAGAGCCGTTTGGACGAGGGTTCCCCCGGCGCATCGCATCGCCAGGTGGACCGCGCATCCAGAAGCTCATATCCTTCTGTCGCCGTCAGTATAGGCTAGACAAAGGGCATATTGTGCGCATTGGGACATCTCTGTACAAGCCATCATAATTCGCGGGTCGTGCTCGATCGCTTGCCGGGGCTGAGCTGTCAATTGGATCGCACCTGCAGCGCGAACCTGCTTCTGCATCGAGCCACGAACCTCTTTAGGCCGAGCTGCTGCCAAACGCCCGTCTTCCTCTACTCACCACCACTCCTCGTCCTCCCTCCGTCAATTCTTGTTACTGTTAATGCCTCCGGGCCGCCATTCTTTTTGATATGTTTTAGCACTTTTGTCACTCTTTGACCATCTTCACACACTGTCTTTACGTCGCCTTCTTACTGCCTGTTTACCCATTCCCCATCATTAATGATCGGTTTCGACTTCTCCACACGCCTTTACCAGCCCACGTCTCGGCATCCTCGGCCCACAACACCACCACAGCATGTCCTCATCACAACACCGTCGCGCAGACTCGCAAAACAAACTCGAACAAGGTCCCAGATTTTCGCCGCCACAGTCGCACTCGACAAACACATCTCCTATCCGCAAGCCACTTCACGAGCGCTCAAACTCACAGACCAATCAACACTCCGCTTCAACCATCCGCATAGTCCAAGATCCCGGCCATGACATCTATCAGAAATATCCCGTACCCAGCGAACCCTCGCAAATCCTGCCCCCACCCCGTCATGCGCCGGGTTATGGCTTTGAACGGCCAGGATCTCGCGTTTCAAGTGGCAGCCAGGTCGCCAGTACCATTGCAAAGTTCGAGGCGAGCCGAGCCCGAACACCACAGCCTATCCTGTCACGCAAGAAGGGTTTCAGACACTCGGGCTCCACTAGCATGTCTGAAGAAGACACTCTCATAGCATCTTCCTTTACGCCATCGACTTTAAGATTTTCCCAGGGGAGCACTGCCCCATCCTCACCCCCACCCGAATTAGACGACGATGCAAAAGGCTTGGAGGTACTTGAAGAAGTCGTGTCCTCACAATCCCAAAGGCCAACCATCCGAGCTGTTCCTCCTTCTTCTTCTGGCGGGGATTCGGACCGTGCATTAACGCCCAAGGCCTCTGCTGCATCTTTTGCCTCACCTGTTCCTTCCGCCTCACCACACCCAAATAGTAATGTCGGAAACCCGTCAAGTGTCAGTGTCGGTCGACCGTTACCGCAAATCCCGTCAACCGATTCCCAAGCTAGGGGGCCTGCTCTCACTAGTGACACTGACTATCGACAACCTGTATTGAATCCTCAGCAAAGTACAGAGTCGTTCACGTTTTCTGATATTTCCTACACCAGCATCGAACCAACACATACACTAGCCTCGTCACAACCATCGCCATCTCTTCATGAAGCAAGCACAGCATCATTCGCGAGCGGCATCCGAATTAATTATCCCGTCGTACGCGCGCCGTCGACCAACAGCTCGCGAGCTGAATCCCAGAACGCACCTAATATTGCATCCCGAATGCATGACCCCTCGCTGGTCCATCACTGGAGCTCCCAGCTATCGACCATCGCCTCCGTGTCCGAACGCGATTCGCGATCTCTCGCACGAAACTCACGATCGATTGGCGCCAGATCACATTCACAAGAGAGCTATGCCGGCAACGGTCGAACGGCGATTCCCCGCCGGAGAGGACAGACAATCGGGAGCGCACAATCATCGTCGGACAATGTATCGTCAGAGGGTCAAACCGAGTTCTCAGTGGCAGTGCCTCGACCACTCTTCTCCCCAACTTCAAGAAGTTCGTCCGAGGACAATAGCGAGCACATGGATACAATCTCACCGCTGCCGACATCGATTCCGTTACGGATGAAAAACTCTGGGTACCTGCATAGAACCAACAGCACCGATGCAGTATCAATGAGTGATTCGCGGCCTGGATCCTCGCAGTCACACATGTCCACGTTCCTAGCAAACAATATCCCAGCATGGGCACGCGTCTACTACCAAAAAGGAGAACGCATATCAGTTGGCGCTCCCGAGTCCGAGTCTTCTGGTAGCATACGTTTGGGAACCTCCCACAGCGGGCGATCACACACTCCTTCGGAGAGCAACTTCCCGCTCAGCATCTACCGACCACGGAATCGTCCTCGGAACCGGGCTTCACACGCCGATACTGTCTCACTAGCCGACGACGTCCACTCCATCGACGGAGCAGTATACGCGGTTGGACCCAACATGTACCCTCTCAGCGGTTACTCAACACCACACCTCCGAACTGATCAGAGAGGACAGACACGATACAGCGCATGGAACGCACCATCCTTGGATGCCGACATTCACACCACACTCTTCGGGCGCCAGAACAGACAAATCCTACTCTTCTGCATAGGATTCATCTTCCCACCTGGTAAGTACTAATTCAGGCTATAATGCCAAATGCACAAAGAAATGTACTGATTAGGAATACAGCTTGGATAATTGCCTCGTTCCTTCCCTTGCCTCTGGACCCCAACACTGTGGGCACCCCCACTGTTAGCCAGGCCGACCTGGAGCAGCAATTCGCCCAAGCGATGGGCCCTGCCGACGACAAGTCCTTCCAGAAAGCAACTTGGTGGCGCAACCTCAATCGCGTCATGTCTGGAGTAGGGACACTTCTGATCGGCGTCATCGTTGCGTTGGCCATCCTCGCATCGCGAATGACATAAGGGACACCCACTTTTTGCACTCGGGCGAATTGATTCAACCACGATCTTCATCGCCGAACCTTATCATCTACCTCCGACACTTGCACGCTGTGCACTTGCATTACGAACTATTTTACGAACATAATCATGTCATCACGCAAGTGTTAATGTTTTTCTGGCTCTGTCACACGACACGGACGCTCTCGTCGATATCTAATTGGATCTCGCTTCGAGTCTGTTGTCTTGTCTACGCACAGCCGCTGTTGTACATTTCTCACTTTTCAATTCTCCACGCGTATCGTGTACGGCATGCTGCAGTTTAGCGGGCGTTCTCTTTTTGCTGCTTGTTCTGGTGTGACCGACAGCGTATTACCCATTTGCTTTGCACAATTTGGCGATATCAGCCACCTCACAATATCATTGTCTTCGTGTTCCATACTTGTTACTTGTCACCTATCAGTCGGTCTTGGAAGTTTGATGTGAGGCAAGGATGTCTGTCGAGGTGGCTGGGGATCTGAAGCGTAGCGCCAACCGTGCGCTGCTCCTGGATAATATCGTCGTGGTTCGAGCTTGACGAACTATATGGTCTTGTAATTATAGTCATGCGTGCTACGTCGGCTGTACGATGAGACGTCAATATAACGATTACCTTCTCCATTCTATCGTGCCTTGGATTGATCACCACAGGGTTGAAGCTGAGAAGGTTGTGAGCTCCAGTACGATCAACCCGCAGGCGACGGGAATGTCTTGACAGATGTCGAGTGGGGCATCGCACCGTGCGCTTGCTCATAGCAGATGCTCTGATCAGGCTCCGAACACTCTCATGGACTTGTGTCGCTTTTGACCAATGCCCCGAAAGTTTACCACCGAGCTTTGTGGTCGTTACTAAGCGCTGTATCGCGTTGCCATGAGGCTACGAATTATGAAATTGACGAGTGCACAGCCATATATTGCAGATGTCAAGGACTGTGGCTTGCCTCAGGATAATGGACGTGCAATCCCAGTGACACGTCCAGAGTACGCACGGTGACGGATATGAATCGCATGATGTCGACAAGACGAGCATCTGATCTCATGCGATGAACTCGCCAAGCGATGACTCTTTACTGACACAGTCATACCAGCACGAACGTCTAGACGCAGTGGCGAAGTTCTCAGTGGGACAGGGTTCGCTCAGGATGAGTCGAACGGCACTAGATCCGATTGGGTAGCGGGGCTTATGATGTCGCTCTTTACAAAATAGTCCCGCCTTCACAGTTTCTGCAGATTCACGATAAGCTTACCCACCGCGCACTAAATACTCTTGCTTTCTTTCTTCTCACCACCACAAAGAACCTCTTAAACAAACTCTGCCGTCAACTTAATAATCATGGCTGTCCGCGCTCAGTTCGAAAACTCCAACGAAGTCGGTGTCTTCGCTACGCTCACAAACGCGTATGCGATTGTCGCAGTCGGCGCGAGCGAGAACTTTTACAGGTGCGCATAGCTCAATAGCTCTTCGCGGCTCGATATAGTGCAGTGGCATGCTATGCGACCGGGGCGAGCATATACTGCGAGAAGAGTGTACTAACAGTGGCGCAACAGTGTCTTCGAAGCCGAACTCCAAGATGTCATTCCCATCTGCCACGCCACCATTGCTGGAACCAGAATCGTTGGTAGACTGACTGCTGGGTATGTATACAGCCTTGTGATATCTCGCGGTATCCAACAAACGCCTCAAGACAAAATTCTAACATGTCCGCAGTAACAAGAAAGGCCTCCTCGTCCCCACCACAACCACAGACCAAGAACTCCAGCATCTCCGAAATTCTATACCCGACGAAGTCAAGATTCAGAGGATAGAAGAGCGACTATCAGCCCTCGGCAACGTAATATGTTGCAACGACCACGTCGCTCTCGTACACCCGGATATCGAACGCGAAACAGAGGAGATAATAGCCGACGTACTGGGCGTTGAGGTTTTCAGGCAAACTATCGCAGACAACGTGCTCACTGGTAGCTACATGGCCCTCAGCAACCAGGGTGGTATTGTGCACCCAAAGACAAGCATTCAGGACCAGGATGAGTTGTCGAGTTTGCTTCAAGTACCCCTAGTCGCTGGTAGTGTGAACCGCGGTAGTGCGGTCGTCGGTGCGGGTATGGTTGTCAACGACTGGATGGCTGTCACTGGTATGTACACATTGATTAGGACTCTATGAAGGCCAGGAACTAACTCGAAAACTCAGGTCTTGACACTACCGCGACCGAGCTCTCAGTCGTCGAGTCCGTCTTCAGGCTCGGTGAGGGCAACGGCCCCGCCAACATCAACACCACCCACAAGGACGCCATGGTCGAATCTTTCTACTAGACTATGGTTCTTGAAGAAGATTCCCTATTTTTACTCCACTTGCCATCAGCCGCGGTGGATTGCTGAAAGAATTACGATATCGTCCCGAACTACAAAGTCTCGGAAGAAGCACTCGACGTGCAGGGAAAGCGGGACATTGGATCATCTTGTTGTCGCGGCACGTTACAGGCTCACCAATGTCATTATGTTGGTATTCGAGGTATATGAGCAGCTGAGTTCCCTCATGAGAGGATAGTATGTGCGGCTTGTGCACGTAGATCAAAACAGATATGGAAGGAAAAACAATGCTAGGAGCAGCGCCACGTTTGTGTCTATTGAAGTGACTCCATTCTGATCGTGTACTAAGATTTGAAACCCATGCGGCTAACCGAGTGTCCTGCGTCACCTGTAGTGGGTGTCACCGGGATTGGTACTTATGCAGGTACCTTCACCCGCAATTAGCATGGTTGATAGGGCTAAAGGCGGTGAAGACGTTCTGCCGACGCTAAGACATCATCGTTCACCAAAGTCACTTTGCGCCAACGCTCTTTCACCAGCCCACGTGGGTGCAAACGTATACCGAAACCCCCCTTCGCAGATCGGTGGTAGCCTTACTCGGTTCGTCCCTTGAGTTTGCCGCAACTTCGGACAGGAAACCTCCACTCATCTTCTCAACCCCCAACCCCACCCCGACCGCAGCATGTCCAACTCGGACTCAACAGCGCTCACGAAGCGTAGCGCATCCAATGCGCTTATGCCGCCACCTCCCGCTCCGAAACGAATAAAGCGCCCTTCGGTAGTTCTAGACGAAGACACCTACGTTTCCGCTGTTTCGCACATCATTCGCCGCGACTTCTTCCCAGGACTTGCAGAAGCCGACGCACAACGAGAGTACCTGAACGCTGTGGAGAGCAAAGATCGGTCATGGATCAGAGAAGCCGGCAAGAAGCTCACACAGGTCATGACTCCAGTGCCGAGCGGGCAAAGAAAGATGGCAGCAAGAACGAGGCTCGACAAGACAGGCGGAGCTGGTGATAAGACTCCAAGTGTATGGGGTGCGGATACACCTGTTACAGTCGCCGGGACAGATATCGAAGACGACGACGAAGGCCTGGGCAAATTAGACAATGTCGATCTGAACATGAGTTTGGGCGCATTCCAAGCAAAATACACGAGCGAAGACCAGGAAAGCTTCAGTCAAATCATTGACAAGCAGAACAAGACAAGGTTTGAGAAGAACGTCTGGCTACGAGAAGGAAACATGTACGCGAGCAAACAGCGCATAGCACAACAGAAAGTCATCCAAGCCAGAGCCGCTGCGTCCGAAGGCAAGGAATTAGTACTCAGCACACGACCGAGCCAGAACCTCGACGACCGGCCCGCAGCGCCCACAGGGCACAAACACACCGCTATCAACAGCCTCATGTTCGGCCCCGACAGCGTAGAACAATGGGCACCGACTCGCGCACAACAAGCAGAAAACACCTCCCTCGCACCCCCAAAGAAAGTCCTCTACAACAACACCCGTCTCCCCGCCCCCGAAGCCGACCCTCCTCGTCCCTCTAGCCCCACACTCTCAGCTGTTCGCGACGCTGTCGCAGGACGTCCGCGTCTCAATCCCAGCGAGGGAGGTTATACAGGTAGCGAAACACCCAGAGTGAATGGCTATGCTTTCGTCGACGCGCAACCCCCTTCTCCATCCGATGAAGACGACGACGCACCGACCGACCTCCTAGAACGCTACGGTTTAGATAGCAGCAACAAAGCCATACCCTTCACCATCAACGACTCGTCGTCGCGCGAGAAAATGCATCATAGAATGGTCGAGCAGATTGGTGCTAAGCGGTCCAATGCCGACAAACAAGTGAAGCCGACAGGCTCGGGCTTGGGCATCTTCACAAGCGAGACGCCTCGGTTTTTAAGTGCGCCAACGCCGAGGAGAGGGCCTATTGCTGCTGGCGGAATGACACCAGGGAGGAAAGCGAAGGGAGATTTGACGCCCGCTGCTCAGAGACTTTTTGACAGGATGGGAGGGGCGACACCGAGAGGTGGGGGGAGTGCTGGGTTTGGTGGCGAGGGCAAGGGAGGATCTGGGTTAGGACGAGAGTGGACGCCTACGCCTAGGGTGAAGAGGAGGGCGTAGCGTGAGTAAGTGTTGTACGCGAAGAGAGGTTTGTGCGAAGTGCTCGTGCAAGCATTGTTGTGTTTTGGCCATAGTAGGACGGAGCAATAGCAGCGATAGTGATACCCAATACTTAAACATACCGATTCTTCAGCGAAGCCTTGATATTCTCTCACCACATGATCGTCAAACATACAACGAATACATACAATACCGAAGCGACTTTCACTGCACAATTAATTTTTAGAACACACAATGACTGTTAAAAACATGCATATCAATAAAGTATCTACCTTAAAAAAAAACCCCCTACGCGAAGACCTGCGCAGCCGCCCAGGGTATCCAGTTCGAAATAATGCCTATCGAACTATGCAAGAAACCGAACAACAAAAAGCAAACGCCTGTACGACTGATTCCTTGCAGTGATCCAATGGAACCCGCTTTACGCAACCGCCGTGTACAAAGAGAATTACATGAAAAGCGAAGGCATAATCGATAATAATAATAATGTACAATTACCATCCTCATTACAATCAGAGGGGGTGTTTAGCCACCCCTCCTCCGCTGTTCCCCGGGTCCCTGGTAGCTCCTGAACTGAGTTCCGGGGGCGTGATAGCTCCTATACTGCCGCCTGGGCCTTGATTGTGGGTCTGAAGAGCGTTCGCCATTGTTTTGAGGCTGAGACTCACGCTGCTCATATTGCATCGGCGGTGGATGAGGATGAGTTGGGGAGTAGGCTTGTTGTTGAGGAGGGGGAGGGCCCTGTTGTGGTGGTCCATGTTGTCCGATGAAGGGCAGCGGCGGTGGTCCGTTTTGTGGGGGAGGTGCCATGTTCGCGGGAAGTATCGGTTGGCCGCCGTACTGGTGGATCTTAAGTGGTTGGTATGAGCCTGTGCTCGATGGTGGAGGGGGTGGTGCTTGGAAGGATCCTGGTGGTGGTATGTAGCCGCCTTGATAGGATGGAGCACTGCCATATGGTTGTGGGTATGGTGGTGGTAGCCCTTGAGGCGGATGCGATGTTGGTGGGTAGCTTGGTGATTGCGGTGGATATGGTTGGCGAGGCGGCGCCGGATCATAATGTGCGAAGCGGTAGTTAATGGGCGGCGCGGATGGCAGCGGCCCAGGAGGCTTTGGCGGAAGTGGCAATGCTCCTGAGGGTGGAGCATATGGGCTTTGATGTGTCGGTGGAGTCGGGCCTGACCTACTATGCTCCCCATAATGAGGCTGGGGAGCATGGGCCTGATATGGTGATGCCGCAGGTTGTTGAGACACTTGATGGCCACTCATTCGCCTGTCGTGCTCCCATTGCTGAGCGGCTTGTTCGTGGGATTGTCGACGGGCTGAAAATATGCCTGGCAACGCATCATACAGCCCAGTCGATGGCCTTGTTGGATCGTATGCCGCGACTTCGGCTCGTTCCTGTGTATTCGAGGATTGAGGAGCTGGTTTGTACCATGCAGGTCCCTGTCTGTAGTGGGAGCGATCTGGAGGTTCTCGACCAAGCTCGCGTGCCTTTCTGTCGAGAAGTTCCCTAATCTTTTGCAAAGGATCCCGGCGACGCAATGACTCTTCGGACTCTCGTGACTGCGGTGGAACACTTGTTTGTTGTTGCAGTGGTTGTTGTTGCCACGACTGAGTGTTTGATGGCGGTGAAGATGGCGGGTTGCTTTGAGGTGGACCACTCAATGCGTCCATCAATGCCTGATCTATAGGCGGCTCTTCCTTGTTCATCACAGCGTCTACCCTAAGCGCATCGCTTCTGGATGGCGTTTGGCGATGAGTAGAAGCTTCTCGCATCGATGGTGTGCTCGGCTCTCGAGCCGGGGGCTGCGACTCTCTTGTCCTAGAAACAGGGACTTCTTGATCGTCGTTGAGGATATCCATGATTCTATGTGTTGATAATCTTGGTGTTGACTTCGCCGGAGTTTCAGCCTCCTTCGCCGACGTCGTGGCATTAGGTTCAGAAAGAGGGCCACCTTGGGTGAGATCTACTGCAGCCTGGGTGCGCTTAGGAGGACTACTATGCGCAGCTTGAGACGGCAATCCCAGCGGTATCGCTGGCTGCGCGAATTCGGGCGACTTTTCTCGTACAGGCTCCTGTTTGATGATAGGCGTTGTCGCTCGTGGCGGCGGTGGTGGCTGCTGGCGCGGATCTGGATAGTGGTATTGGGGCTTTGGCGCGACAGTAGTGCGCGGCTGATGTGCTGATATGTCGGCAAGCATCATGAGCAGGGCAGCATGCTCATTTGGAATGACCTCGGCCTTGGGTGGTTCTGGTTGTGGTGTTGGCGTCCTTTCAACTTCGACAGCGGCATCAGCGAGACTGGTGATGTTGTAATGTGCGATGGCTTCGGTACGGTCTGGTCCGTCGAACTTCGCAAAGCCACCAGCAACGTCTTCAATAGAATCATCAGCCTCTTTGTCGTTCTCGACAAAAGCAACACGTGCTGCAGTGAACTTTCGTCGCACAGAGTCGTTTCTAAGTTCCTTGTCTGCCTCAACGTAAGCCCTGCTGCGTGAGGCAAACTTCGAGCCGATGCGGTAATCGTCAGCATGCTGAGGTTCGTCACTGAATGTAGGTGGAAGTATGTTGTCTTCGTCGTCTGTTGCATCAGCCTCCTGGCCCTTCATCTCCCGCTCAAGTTGCTTAGCGCGGTAGAATATTTGAAGCATGAAGTCATCTTGTAGTTCCCGAAATCTGTTGATGTATTGCTCACGCTGAATGTACTCCTCAGCAATGCGCACTCGCTCCAGTTCTTCGAGGCGATATGTGCGCATAGCATTGATTTGGTCCAGACGAGCATCGCGTCGTTGGTCCAGCTGGGCCATAACAGCGTCGTACTCGGGGCATTTTTTATGATATTGGGGATCATCTTCGAGATTCTTCGTTGTGCGATTCGCCAACTCTTCTAGTAAGACCTTCTGGACCTTTGCAAGACTGCGGTAACTCATCTTGAGATTGAGCTGTCGACGCAAATCAGTCTCCACATTGATGTCCGAATGCGGTTGGCGCCGACGACCGGGCAAACGCCTGCCGGACTTTGCAGGGGCATCGCCATTGGTCGGCAGAACGTTCTGAAGGCTTTGATGGCCGTCAACATCTGGAACCTGTTCAGGTGAATTAGGTGCTGTGCTAGCATCTGTTAACTCAGGAGGTTGGTCGGCGGCGGTGTCTGCTGGTGTTTCCTTTGTTTTGCGCTTTTTGCGCGGTTGTTGTTCGGAGGCATCGCTTTGGTTTCGGGTTAGAACTCCGTTTGGACGTGTTTTGCTGGACTGTGTTGAGTCGTCTGATGCGCGTCTCTTCTTGCCTGCTGTTTTTGATGCCGTTGAAGTCGCATCGGATGAAGGTTTCTGTAGCTCTGGAGTTTGCGTGCCATTCATGGGTGTGTTGTTGTCGTAAGAGCCATTAGACCTCTGCGGCGAACCAGAATCAGACGATGTTCGGCTGCGCTTGGCTGGTCGCGCCTCCTCATGGTCGGAAGTTGCATCCCCGTTTTGCGCAATCTCACTCAGAGAACTGCGACGACTGCCAGAGCTTGCGCTAGATGGCCCAGCCGAGCTCGTGTGGTTAGACGTGCCTTTTGCACCGCGACGCGTTGTCATTTGGAACGGTACTGAAGGAGCAAGGCGAGATGTCTTCGAACCCTGAAGACTACTTCGCTTATTAGACAATGCGCTAGCGGCTATGCCAAGGTTAGCATAACCCTTTAGGGAGCATAGAGAAGCAGTCGTAGTAGGCTTGCGGACTTACGCGGTGCCTTGAGAGGGGTGCTAGAGATGACCTTTGTGCCTTTGAACTTTCGTTTTGGTGGCATTGTCGTTGAGTGAGACCTGTAGGTAGAGAGACCTTTACGAGCCAGCTATTAGCCCCGGAATCATGATATGATGAAGGGTAGCAGAAGCTGGAGCTAGCTTTCTGGCAGAAGACTCGGTACTTACAGGCTCAAAATGTTATGTCCAGTCGATATCTGATATTGTCACTTCCTGATGTGGTAGGTAGAGCGATGGTTCAGCTGTCAGCAAGACGTGTCAGCAGATGGTCGAAGTAGTATCAGGAGTAAAAAACGCTTGGCTATTTCCATCGCGTCTTATGCTATCATAACCGTAGATTCACAAGGATCGTGCTGTAGTTTTGCGCGAGATGAGTGGCGTATGTGAAGTACTTACTATGACAAGTCGCCTCAATGAGTACAGTGACTTGCTCGACAACGTGACGCGAAGTGCAAATCAACGAGCCACAGTTTCATGAATTGCTTCCGGGGCAATACGGAATCGTGTCGGTATCTTCAAACGCGGTTTGCTTGTCGAAAACGAGCTTGTGGGTGCTCGCAAGAGAGAAACAACCCTGCAGAAGGAATGCTCTGTGTGGCACAGTCGAGCAGAAGCGTTGAGGAGGGACAGATGCTCAGATATATCAGTGTAAGAAGACAGTAAAAAGATTGCACTTGTAGCGTAAGCTTCAGAGACTGTCGACGGTGTTGGAAATCGTGTTCATCCGGCGCATGAAGATGAAGCTCTTGTGAGATCCTTGGTCTGGCTTCGCGCCTTGCCGGATTGGGATCTGAGTCCACGAATGACAGCGCTCTACGCTTGCAACAATCGCAACGAGTATCGTACAATAGAATCTGTACGTTGATACGTTGACGCAGTTGCCAGGCGGCTCGGATTGAAGCTCTACAGTAATTACTACGGCTACTAACCGGTATTGACGGCGCTGTTGGTTCTGCGCCTCAAGCCTTCTAATGCAGCACATCAACCGAAGACGGCAATGACCCAGACACCCAGATTACGTGCATCACTCGTCGCTCCCGCCGCCACCGTGTCCCGCACAACAAGTCATCGCGTGTGCCCTGTTACTCTCTCCATCACAGCATTTTGATCTTCTCGAAGTATTCGGCGCACCTTCTGGAAGCTTTTCAAGTTGCTTCATCCAGGTTTCACGTCGCACGTCATTAGCCGCAACGCTAGACGGGACGATCCTCCCGAATCGTCACCATTGCCCCTGCCCCCTTCACTTGAGGGTTGCAACGCAAAAACGAACATATTGGGTACCTAAGGTCAAAAAGACGCATACTCTCGCGTTCTGTTACAAGGTTCTCTAGCCGATGCATAGTTTGTCGCGAAGGATGCGGCGCAGCATGCATGCATCGAGCGCCTTGCAGCGCATCGCGCGTAAATAGGTCTTTGGGAGGCAAGGGAGGTTCGGATCCATTTCTGTCAACGAGCTGTTCTGAACTTGATTTACTGCCATATTCTCTTTCCGGAGAATGCGCACTACCTATGAGATTGGACTTATGATAGAGCATATGTTGCTGATGCTGCGTACAACGGTGCAATGGACTGGACAAATGAATCGGCGGCAAGCAACTTCGAAAGCGCCACAGGATAGGCAATAGCAGTTGAACACGCGACAGGTTATTGAACGTTATCTCAACATTAGAGAAACTTGTATGTTCCCTTCTTTTAATACTAGCACCGATTTGTTCCTACATCTCCTTGTGGGCAGCTGTTGTCAGAACTTCCTTCTTCCCTAGAAATGCTATTATCTTACTGCCACCACGGTGCCGCCATCGTTCAATGATGAAAGACAGTTCAAGCCGCGCGCCACTGCACAAGCCCGCCAATATAGACAATACCAATCATAAGGATACTTCTTGGATAAAATAGAATTCTATCGTCAAGATAGACTCCGTATTCTACACCACCTGCTTACATCCAATATTACTATAACCCAACAAACTGTATCTTTACCGCGAAACAACTCAACATTGAACATACTCTCATCGATACGATATTACGTGTTTATTCCGCTTCCGTAATTATTCATCAACCAACCTTGTTACTTCAGCAGAAGGCCACCCGTGCACCAGGTCAGGGTATCATATCCGCAAACTCCGGCACGCATTACGACACTCAGGGCAATCAAGCCCGAATTCGTCATCATTCATCTCCCCATACGCTCGCCATCAACAGCCATCCAGTAGGCTTGTAAATGAAGCACGTATTCGGGCCCTTTCAACGGCGACGCGAAGCGGGGACCTCCCACATTGTTGTTCGCTTCCTAACGACACGCTATGTGGGGCTGGCAAATAACTTTCCCCTGGCATGATGCATGTTATTACATCAACTGGCGTTGGTGTCAGTCAAGTAGCGCCATCGTGAAAGGGAACTGTTGAAATCGAGGCTGAGAGTTTCAGTCAAGTAAGTTTTGAAGGGTCTGAAGGTTTGGAAGATTTTGCAGATGAAGAGAAAGGTTCGTATACGGAAGTGGGAAGGTCTAGAGTTCATGTTCAATCAATTGAGAATTTTTGCATTGTTTTGGGTATAACGCCTTGCCTTGCGGCTTACTTTCTTTCTCTCTTCCGTTCTTGCCCGATCTGGGTTTCCCTTTTTTTGTGATACGCCACCAATTGGCCAGCAAAAAAGTAAGACACTACACATGATGAAATGTTTTGTCCGCTCAAAACAGCCCTGTATGCTGGAGCCAAGGCCGAAAAAAAGTTGCGATGCGAGAACGCTCAACGCTCGATCAAACCCCCGTGAGGGCGAGAGCTAGTGACAGAAGGGAATATGTAACATAAAGGAAATACCAAAGATATGGATAGCTAGGAAAATCGTATCGTACAAACGTGTAGAGACATTACATCTTTCACATGACATGCGTGATATCAAGGGAATAAAGTCAACACCCCTCAGAAAGGTCTATCATCGATCTGGGGAGTACTGTAGGGTAACTCGGCGGGGGCCGCTCATGCTGCTTCGTGGGGAGGAGTTGAGCACGAAGTCGGGGATTGGAGGTGTCATTGCCCGGCTAGGAGGAGATGGACTCCTAGACTTGGACTGTAGGCTTGCCGCGCGTTCGCGAGTAAAGCTTCTGGCCTGGTGGAGAGAGGGAGGGCCTACAGCAGTTTGGCTGAGATTACTGTTCGACCTCATCCGGCTAAACGATCGTGGAGGGCATGCGATAGCTTGGTTTGAGTATGGACTGGCCATAATGCTCGTACCAGGCGTTGCCGCTGGAGGTGGCAGACCCGACGGACTTTCTGACCTAAATAGCGGGTGAATGTGAGCCTCGCTGCATGCTGGACTTGGGGGGCGCGAGATGTCTGGCATCATCCTGGGAGGCGGGGCCAAGTCTTCGTCGTCCTCTTCTGGAAGCTCTGAGAGGAAAGGACCGTCCAATGCGCGCGCAGGCGAGTTTGGACGACTACCAGGGATTGGCTCCAAAGTCGTGCCTCTTGATGGTGCTGCTTGCAGAACGACATCGCGCGTCGGAAGGCTGACACTGCTTGTGTCCCAGCTATCGAAACCATCCGAATGGGAGATAGTATCGATTGACTGTCGATTCGAATAGATACTGACCGGGGCATCTTTGGTGAAAGATTTCTGGCTAATCAGAGCAGTGCGCGATGTGACTGGGCGAACTACATGGCGAAGAGAATCTCGGAAAGATTTGAGTGACTGTGATGAGCGAGTGGAGAAGGTGGGCGAAGGTAAGGCTCCTAGAACCTCAGGTTGCTGATGAGCGGCCAAAGGAGACGAAGGTTGGACAGGCTCTGCAAAGTGGAGGTTGTTTGGCCGCGAAGTTCGCAGCTCACTCATGACTGAGTCACGAGGGCCTGATGTGATGACGGTTTGGACTTTAGGCGTCTTGCGGTTCCACAGGGATGAAGTGTACAGAACAATCTGGCTGAGGCAAGAGATGACCCAGATAGCTATTTGTCCTGAGACATGGCTGTCCCAGTTTGAGACTGGCCCACTGGAGGGACCAGCAGTAACCTCTACCCATCTTGACTTGATCATAATGATCAAGATGAGGGAAAGCACCAGCGCAGCGCCCGATATGAGGACGCTAGTGGCTACAAGAGCCTTTCTTGCTCGCCCGGATCGTTCCAGAGCCCCGCGGACATTCCCTACATTGTGGAATATGTAGAAGCCAACGCAGCAAAGAGAGACGACGTCGAAAGTGCCTGCTAAGGCGGCAATGCTGACCAGGGATGATTGAGCCGAAGAAAACGACGCTGCTTCCAGAATAGATAAGATTGAGTCTGCAGCTGTGCTTGACCATGCAACAACGCCGACAAGAGAAAGGTAGAATTTGCGAGACTGTAACATGATGAAAAGGAGGGCGTAAGGTTGTTGGCCAGCTCAAACCCCAGCCTGAGTGCTGTTGGTGGAAAGGCGACAGTCAGCCCGGAGAACCTCGAGGTAACGATGAGACAAGAGCGGGTATAGTCGTATTATAGTACCGGGGATTTCCAGGGGGTATTGTCGATAATTGGTTTTGGTTGACTGCCACCAAAGAGGATGCTGCAGAGAAGTGGGTGAACTATCGGTTGAAATGCAAGATGGAGCCCCCAGTGTTGTTGCTGTGGAGAGGCGCGAAACCGAATACGCGCGAGACGAACGCGTTGCAGGAGATAATGCGGCTGTATAGCTGCAGCTACTATAGTCGAGCAAGCCGTTACGGGGCGTGGCTGATGCGGATCTAGACCGGATATAGTATGTACGTTATGACTGGCCGATCTTCGGTAGGCGACTAAGGATTACGATAGGTTTGGAGAAGCGAGCGTTGGACGACGATGACTGACGACTGGTTGACGAGCAGTGTAGTGACGAAAAAGAGTCAGGATGGCGTGAAGACGGGAGAGCATGTGGGGAGGGACGAGAAGTAATAATAAATTTAGAAGAAGTCGAGAGGGCTGATGTGTGCCCATTGTTTCGTGGACTGGCCTGCAACACGCGTAGGACAAAACGGGGAAATCCCTACTAGTACGCTGGGATGCACGCAAGCATCTTTCCAGCATGGCGCTGCACGACCTCAAGGCATGGTTACCGAATCCTCAGGCATGGCCATGCGACATTGGCACAGCAGAATGCAGTAGCTTGGCCGCAGAGCTGAGAGTATGATGGCATGCCTATGAATCAGATTGCTGGCACCGGTGCCGGATGCGCAGAGATCTGATGCAAAAGAAGAAAAACAGTTTGTCTTTTCGAAACACGAGCAGAGGCGGCCAATGGCAGGCCTGGCCGGCTCAGGCGTCGAGAGCCGGAAGCAGTTCAAGGGCCTACCTGTCAAAGTTTATGGTGTGGAGCTGCGGTAAGTTTAGCCCTTCATTTCCTTACGCGTTGTTTTGGCTATGCGTTCGGCAGACACAACAAACAACCTTACAAGACCGCGTTCGGATAATTTCCAGGACTGATGAGCTGTGGAGCCTCGCCCGGTCTGCCATGTAGGCGCTGGAGATGTCATTACGGAGGTGTGACCGACGACAGTCCCTTCTGCAATGCGGAGGTCACAGCATATCAATAGGCGACAGTCATTCCGTTGGCGTGTCCTAGCCAGAGTTTGCGATGGCGGTGAAACGGTTGCCCTCGCCTCATAATTGGCGACTCATGGGCGGCGATTGAAACAAAGGGCCGATCGGATGTGCTGCACATGGCTGGGCGACGACGATGACAGCAACCTGGTCAGTTTTTTGAAGTTGTTGGTGCGCGGCATCTGGAAGCGTGCCGTGTGTCGATGGATGTCAGCCGACTAGGCTGGGGAGGAGATGAAGCTGCAGCTAGGTGATCTGCTGTTGCGTCACTGGTGTGTTCTGGCCGTTGGGGCCCTTGCAATGGATTCCCGAGCCCTGAGCTGGATATCAGCATTCGTTACAAAAAAGAAAAGTCCCGTGACTCTCATGTGTGTGTGTGGGTACGTCAATACCGAGATAGAGGTCTAGGGGTCTTTCGCGTTCGCTTTAGCACAGGAGCTGCATCAATCGATCCGTGGATGTGTGCCTGTAGCCTGGTGGCGCGCCACAACTGTGGCGGCAAGCTGTGGCGGGCGAAATGACAATGTGGTTGACGACAGAGATTCTGCCTAACCTATCACTAACGGACTGTGTTTCCATGGTCTTCTGAGCAAACGATCCACGCTTTGTAACGATATAAAGGACCACGATTGTCTCTTACTAGTCATCATTCCTGTCTCTGCCTAAGCCTTCCCTCACTACTCAGGTACTACTAAACCCCGCCAAGAAGTGGAAGTGCCTCATCCTCCCCACTACCTCATCTTGAACATCAACACCCCACCCAACACAGCTCCATCTTCAACCACGCACCCAGCACCCGCCAAGATGAAGATCACATTCAAGGTATACACTTTGATGCCTTCTTGGCCGCTATAGACCCACAGCTAACCTCTCTGCAGGACCTCAAGCAGAACAAGTTCGTCATCGAGGCCGAGCCTTCGGAAACGGTGCGCAGGCCCGCCACATCTCGAAATTTATCTCAACCACATGCTAATACACGCGATAGATTGGCGCCCTCAAGTCTAAGATTCAGGCAGAGAAGGGGTGGGAAGTCCCCCAGCAGAAGCTCATTTACTCTGGTAAGCTTGTAGCCGCACCTGGCGAGGTGACATGGCGGCTGCAGTCCAGTCGCTGACACAAGACAACAGGCAAGATCCTGCAAGATGCCAACACGGTCGAGTCGTACAATATTGAGGAGAAGGGCTTCATCGTCTGCATGGTCTCCAAGCCAAAGGCCGCCGCCGCATCGTCAAGTAAAGCAGCGCCTTCCACACCCGCCCCAGCAGCAGCCCAGACGCCCGTAGCTCCCGCCGCACCAGCACCTTCATCCAGCACACAGAATGCCCCCGCTACACCCTCGCCCGCGCCAGCTCAGGCATCCGGGGAGCGCTTCAATGACCCCTCAGCTCTGACCATGGGTGGAGAGCGAGAGGCCGCCATTGCAAACATGGAGAGCATGGGTTTCGCAAGGGCTGACATCGACCGGGCTATGCGCGCCGCCTTCTTCAACCCCGACCGTGCGGTTGAGTATCTTCTGACGGTAGGACAAGCGACGCTCCTGCCATCTAGACATGTTCTAACGTCATTTAGGGTATTCCAGAGAGTGCGCTCCAAGAGCAGGCACAACAAGCACAAGCTCGTGCCCCGACCTCGCCCACACCCGCTCAAGGCAACACAGGTGCGCCTGCACCCACCGGGAACGCACCTTCGGGAGGTGATGAGCCGATGAACCTATTCGAGGCCGCTGCCCAGGCTGCTCAAAATCGCGGAGGTGCTGGTGGTGCTCGCTCAGGCGGTACTGGAGGCGGTGCTGCGGCCGGTGCGCTCAACGCCAACTCTCTCGACTTCTTGCGCAACAACCCGCAGTTCCAGCAGCTACGACAGGTCGTACAACAGCAGCCACAAATGCTTGAGCCCATCCTGCAGCAGGTCGGCGCAGGCAACCCTCAGTTGGCGCAGATGATCGCAAGCAACCCAGAGCAGTTCCTGCAGCTCCTCGCCGAGGATGCAGACGAGGATGCGCCGCTGCCACCCGGTGCTCAGGCCATCTCCGTGACTGAGGAGGAGCGCGAGGCTATCGAGCGCCTGTGTCGCCTTGGCTTTGAGCGCGATCTCGTCATTCAGGCCTACTTTGCATGCGACAAGAATGAAGAGCTGGCCGCAAACTTCCTCTTTGACCAGCCCGACGATGCGGACGACCAGTAGAGCCCCTCGAGCTTGGTGCAATCACTGTGCGACCCTACCATACCCGATATCGACACTCGTCCGTCTGATATCACCGTTACAATCGCACGACAAACATCCCGAAATTGGACGATACTATCTCGAGTCTACTCCCATCACACGGCTAAGTGCAGTACTTAGGATACGGAAAGAAACGTCCGACCAGTCTCACTGCTTTCTATGACGACACATGATACCTTCCGCATGCGGCACGAGTAGGAGCTGGAACTGCTGTATGGGTAGTTGAAGGACCAGCATGCGCTAGCTAGGCGAAGTAATAGCTCATCAATAAATCATCATCCTATTTCCATGTATCGAACTGCAACGTGAGATGGTTCTCCGGTGATATGAGACCTACGTATGGTAGTGTTGGAACGGTCTACCTAACGCAACCATTACTCGCTTCTAGCCCACAATGCATCCGTATCATAGTTCCAGCAATCTTACGCGGAACCCTGAACGAGTCTATCCACTTGCTAGGGAGGGGGAAAAAAGCATGCTCTTTTTGTCTCACTCAGCCTCTTTCGAAAAAGCAAACAAAGGAATGGTCGCGTATCTCATTATCCTGCCCTGACCCCACGTTCACCTCTCCTTTTTCCGTTTCCAAACGGACACGTCTTTATTTTTATCTTAGATCCCAGACGGCCCGCTCCCTGAGTCCCGCTCCCTGGTCCTGGGTCTTCTTTTTTTTTTGATTCCACGCCGCTCTTATCTAGGCTAATCTTTTCGTATTACGTATCTTCTTTTCTTCGTTTGACCCTGAAGAAGTGGATAGGTAAGTTTCAACGAGGTTCTTGTGGTGTGAGTTTGGCTGTGATGGTGACGCTGACGATGATTTCAGGGGGAATAAATTTATTTTGGAAAATGCTGGTCTCTACGAGTATTGCAAATGGCAGATGGATATAGAAATATGTCTTCAGTTCCATTAACACAAAAAAAAAGGATCGATTTCGTAAAGGCAGTAGTGGTATACAAGTAAATATACTAGCTAGAGAAAAAGATTACGCTTCGACAGCAGCAGCCTTCCTCTTGCGACTCCTCTTCTTCTTTTTCTTCTCGCCTTCGACAATATTGCCGTCATTGTCGTTGTCGCGCCCAGAAGGAGCAGCAGCCTCTTCTTCACCAAGCAGGCTCTCAAATCCACCCTTGGGCCCGTCTGGATCGCCAAAAGTGTCTATTCTCCATTGCCTGATGCGAGCCTTCTTACTGAGAAACTTCTTGTCCTTCTTCTTCTTGATGGGATCCCTGAATGCAGCCAATTTCTTCAGTCCAGCAAAGTCGTTCAGCGCCTTGTCATCTGCGAGCAAAATGTCGCGCGCAGTCAGACCGAAACTTGTGGGAGATGTTTCGCGGTAGCGGAAACGGGAGGCGGCCTTGGAGGGCTTGGAAGCGAGCGCGGCCTCGTATTCGAGGTTTTCATTGACGAGGTTCTCTATCAGGCGGCGGTCGCGACGCGCGGTGGATTTAGCTTCTGCGCGTTCTTGTTTGCGTTGTTTTGATGACTTCTTGGATGATGCACCGGCCTCTGCTTCGTCGTGGTCGTCATCTTCGGCTGCAGCATCGGGCATCTCATCATCTGATGAGAGGTCGGGTCGCTCTTCGTCCGAGTCGTCCTTGAAGTCAGGGACAAGATCCTTGATATCAATGTCGTCGTCGAACTTGGGCTTCTTAGGCTTCTTGCTCTTCTTGCTGCCCTCTTCGTCGTCCTCTACGCCAGCCTCGCCATAGTATGCATCACCAAAGCGCTTCTGCATTTCGGCATCCCATTGCTCGTCTGACCAGTCGGCTTCTAATACATCCTTCCACTCTTCTATCTTGAAATCCCTGCCGCTGAGACCTCCGATCTGGCGGATCTGCTTGACCTTGTTCTCCATGTCTTCGACCTTGAGCTTTCGGAGACGTGCAAGATCTTGCTCCTTTTCTCTCCTTTCGGCTTCTCTCTTCGCCCTTGCAGCTTCACGAGCCTTCTTTCGACCAGTCTTATCGTCTCGGCGAACCGTAGTGCTTGCGACGGCGTCACGCGCGTATGTCATAATCTTCTCATTTGCGCCAGTTGTGTCCTCAAAGTATAGGTTGTATGAGTTTTCCCATTCGTCGGCAGCGGCGTCTTCGTCTTCGTCGTCGGACATGAGGGGCTGGAAGCGGGCAGATTGTGTCGGCACCCAAGCGCGAGACGCCATGAAGTTGGACAAGAATGTCTCGGGGTCTTGGTCAGCTTTCTCGACGTCTTCGGCAGTGATCTTGACTCGGTCGTTCTTGGGTTTCTCTGGCTTCTCCTTTGCAACGATGAAGTCGTCGTCTTCTTCTTCATCCGCATCCTTGAGCGCCTTGACGAGATCTTGCCTAGCATCCTCCTGTTCCTGTGCATATGTCCTGGGCGGTGCATCTTCGTCCTCGTCTTCAACCGTGAACTTTCCCTCAAGTAGATTCTTGGTATGGTAATCTCGCAGTGTCATGGACGCCTCCTTCTTCTCCTTCTCATCTGCGCCATTTTCGCCCTCCTCAAGTGCCTTGTAGAACTTGGCTTCCTTGTTGTAGATACGAGGATCCTTTGCGCGCAAAGCCTGGAGAGTAGCATTGACCTGTTCGTCGAGTTCCTCGTCGAGCAGTTCGGCTGCGTCATCCTCCTCCACGCCTTCTTCCGAGTCTTCGGATTCGTCGCCGCCGTTTGCGAACGCTTTGTCTTTGCCGTACTTTTCCTCTACTGCTTTGAGTTAGTAGCTGACAATGGCTCCACACTGAATACGCGTACATCGGAATCTCTCTGCCTGCTTTTTGTTGTGCTCGTATTTGCGAGCGTATTCCTCGTTGACCTGGAGCGACACTCCGCCATGGTCGCTGTCCGAGCCTTCATCGTCGGTGTTGTCGAGCAATTTCGCTTTCTTAGTAGGGGGCTCGCTCGTCGCGTTTAGCTCGCGCTTAACGCCGTTGGTGCGCTTCTTCTCCTTGGTGCCTGCCATGTTGGATGTAGAGGTTGTTGTTGGATTGGCTTGCGCCGGATGGTCACAAAATTTTGGTGGAGTAGGCGCTAGCGCATGAACCCTGACGTTCGCCGCGGCAGTGACGATGGACCCGCCGCAACCCCAATCGAGCGGTACATGAGGGAGAAGCGTTAACACGCGACATGCTCGACTGCGCCTCCTACCATGTATTATAGCTTCCATATCTAGTCTTCTTCAGCTTTCTTCAGCGATACCCATTTCTATAGCGTTTATCCACGAAGAGCCGGCAGCATGGCGGAAGAGAAGCCACCGCAACTTAGCATAGAGCCGGTGTCCAGACCGCTGGATCTGATGTTTGTCTAGATGGCTTGAACTAGATAGACAGACATACTGACAAACACATCTAGTCCAGTCGTAATCAAAGAAGCCGCCCTCGATTCACCCACCTTCCGCGCAACCGCTGTTCATTACGGCGACCAGATTGAACTGATAGAACGATGGCTCAACTCCTTCGTCACCGCAACTTCCAAGCTTGCTGCAGAATGCAACAACATGCAGACCCTCGTAGACACGTACATACAAACGTCGCATCCGCCACTGCAGCTTTCCGAAGCCGTCGTCGACCATGATTACACCGTCCTAGCCCTGAAGCGATTCGGAGAGGGTGCACGGGAGTTCTGGAATGGCACACTGCGCAGCATGAAAAGGGCTGAGCAGACCATGTGCGAGCCCATGAGAGCATTTGTGTCAAACGACTTGCGCATGCTGAAGGAAGCGCGTAAGAACTTGGATTCGACACAGCGCACATTCGATGGAGCCATTGCACGATATGCGGGTCAAGTCAAGACAAAAGAGGCGTCGTCGTTGAGAGAAGATGCCTTTCAATTGCACGAGGCGCGACGAGCATACCTCCAAGCCAGCATGAACTTCTGCGTTATGGCACCGCAAGTGCGATTGACGCTGGACAAGGTACTGGTCAAAGTCGTCAACGAGCAATGGCGCGATATGAAGGCAGCAACAGAGGCATCGAACAAGGGCTTCAACGCGTGGACATCAGATGTCGAGCGCGTACGAGGTTGGAGCAAGGAGATGGAGAACGGCGAGCGTGTCTTCAAGAGAGAGCTGTATCTAGCACGACAGCAGATCGAGGGTGCAGCCGAAGTCAGCGCAAGGCCGTCGCGAGACCTGGACACATACGCCGCTTCGACCGTTCCCTATCTCGGCACTGCGCCTTCGTCCGCGAACCTGCAATCTCCAGCAAAGCCTGAATTCGGGAACGAGAAGGCAGAAAAACAGGGCTGGCTGTTCCAGCGCACAATCACCGGCAAGCCGGCCAGGACATACTGGGTCAGACGTTGGTTCTTCGTCAAGAATGGCATCTTCGGCTGGTTAACGCAAGGAACACGGTCCGGTGCTGTCGAAGAATCAGAGAAGATTGGTGTGCTGCTATGCGGTATCCGACCTGCATTTGCCGAGGAGCGACGCTTTTGCTTCGAGGTCAAAACGAAAGACACTACCATCCTTCTCCAAGCCGAGACGCAGAACGACATCACCGAGTGGATCTCTTCCTTTGAGGTCGCCAAGCGCAAAGCCCTCGAAGATACATCCAAGGATCTGTCAGGCGCCGCGTCTGTTGACGCTGCTTTCTCTATAAGCCCTCCCATAGCTCCCGAGTTTGCTGCAAAGACCTCCGAGGGACACGCTGGCCACCCGGGTGAAGACACCGTCCCCATGGACCGTGCCGAAACGCTCGGCATTCCTGGTGGTGATAGCAATGCGACACGCGGTAGTTTCGACGTGTCGTCTCGACGTGGCACTACGACCGAAGGTGATAGCAGCCGCCGCGATCACACTGCTAGGATCATGGAGAAGCTTGACTTGACACGGAAATCAACAGTAAGCCCTCAGTTGAGTGGAAGCAACCCCTCTTCCGCCAGCGGTGGCATTGCTAGTCTTATCTCCGCGAGTCTTGCTTCAGCTAGTCATAACATTGTACAGGTCGGTCAGATTGCCGCTCCTGCGCCTGGACTCCCTGATACTCGACTGGTAATGGGACAGACGCTTCCTTACACGAGTCTCGCTCCTTCCACTCTTGCAAGCCCACCAGCCCCGACGAATCTCAGCAAAGCTGCTGTCGCTGTAAGCGGAGAGCGAGGTCTTGGGACGGGTCGTTCGGGTAACATGCCTGGTGGACTCATGGCCAACCTGTGGGGCTCAGTCAACTGGGGATATGTCAACGTTCTTGGGCGTGAAGAAGAGACCAACACCCGTGATCGGAGCCAGTCTGGACCGCCAAGCCCTATCAATCCGTCTCCAGTCATTGGGCCCGACGATGAGAAGAATGAGACTAGGGCAGCGCCTACTGTCCCAACTAGCGCCGTTCATCGCAAGTCAAGTAGTATGGGCGGACCCATCCCGACGCTCAACAAGACTAGTGCTGAAGAGATTGAATTCCCAGACTACTACCCTCTCGCTTTGCGGATGCAAGATGCACAGTTCCGTATAATTTTTCCTACCGTGCCACGGGCGGAGAAGGTTGTACTAGTGTTCCGTGCGGTATGGAATCCGACAGAGCAGCAAGAGTTCCCCGGGCGTGTGTACGTTACGACTAAGAATGTCTACTTTTACAGCAACCACCTTGGTCTTGTGCTCATTACTGGAATAAGTATGGCTTCTATTGATGAAGTCACCGCTGCACCCGGCAAGGACTGCGACTTTCTTTTCCTCCACTTCAAATCGGGTTCCAGAGAAGATGGTGCGACTAGGCTTACTGTCAAGACATTTCTCGAGCCTCTCAAACTGCTTCTGCTTCGCTTGAACTTCCTTGTACGCAATACTGCGTCTAGAGAGTACAACCTGGAAGAAACTATCAAGGGGATGATCAAGATGGAGACGGATGAGAGTCTTAATTCCGCGGGTGAGGAGGGCTGGGAGGAAATGTCCCCCGACACACCTATTGATCCAAATTCATATGGTGGGAAGAACATCAAAGCCAGTCTCCGCATCGATGGCAATCTATTCGGACCATCGGGTGCAAGTGCTGGAAAGAATGCCACCAAATTCAAACTTCCGTCGCAAGCTGTCGTCTTCGCTCCCGCTGGCATGACGCAGGTTGCTGTGGAGAAGGAGTATGACATTAGTGCAAAGGGACTATTTCATATCCTCTTCGGCGACAAAAGCGCTGTATTCCAGTTGCTATATCGGGAACGGAGAGCATCCCGCATTGTCCAAGGACCTTGGATCACGAGCGACAAGAACCTCCAACGGAGAGATTTCGAGTACGAAATTACGCAGCCCGGTAAGAACGGAGCTGTTGTGATAAATGACTACCAAGTCATCGAAGTTCTGAACGACCATCTTTGTTATGTGGTATCCGATCGCAAGACGCCTTGGTACCTGCCAGGCCATGAGCGGTTTGTACTTCTCAGCAAGACTGTCATCACACATGTGTCGAAAGCGCGGTGCAAACTTGCTATCCACACAAAGGTAGACTGGAAGCGCAACCCACGTTTTGCGAAGAAGCTCATCGAACGTCAAGCATTGCAAGACTTGGAGCTTGAAGCGCAGGATCTTGTTGATGTCGTCAATGATCAAGTTGCAAGGCTCGGTCACAACAAAAGTACCAACAAGGTTACGGGCATCTTTGGTCAGATTGGGACTCAGACACAAGCTGTACAGCTCGATGCACAGGACATCCCACCACCAAACCGACCACGGAAGTTCAAGCTGCGACCGCAAACAACAGCTTCTTTTGTCGCGCAATACATAGGCAACATCGTCATCAGCGTACTGTCAACAGTTATGAGTTGGATACTAGCGATTGGCGCTGGGCTCGGCAAAGTCATTTCGGCACATTCCCTGCTCTTTGGTCTTCTACTAATCAGTGGTGGAGCCAACTTCTTCTACACCTCAAGGGATAGTTGGAGCTGGTGGCATGAGCGAAATGCGGCAAACTACATGTCACGACTGGGTGTCAAACCATCCATTACGATGACCCGTTCAATATACATTCGCGATATAGAAGAATCGTTTTTGAGCAAGAACGGCACCAGCCTTGAGCTGTCAGTGCCAGTCGCGGCCAGCACCGATAACAAATGGTATGCCCCTCTCGGCTTAGAAGCCTAACCTAGCTAACCTTGCCAAGTCATCAGACATTCACAACCCTCCTCCACGACCCCTCATCAACAATTTCAACTCAGTCCTACTTCAGACCCTCTACGCATAGCACCCAGCGTCTCCACCGCACACGGCAGAACCTCGGCTCGCATCGTCATGACCTACTCGTTGCTTTACGGGTGGTTAATCGGATTGAGAAAGAGGTAGTGGAAGCGGAATACGAAAACTGGTTGCTGGACGAGACACACAAATGTAGCAAGGTTGGAAAGCTCTTGGAGAGCGCAGCCAAGAAGGGGAAAGAGAAGCAAGTGGAGGATTGGGTTAAGGGATATTGCGGCGACTGTCAGAAGAGCCTGAGGGTGGTTGAGGAGAGCCGGAAGGGTCTGGTTTGAGTCCTACTTCGGCTAGCCGCTAAGCACAGGAAGATGTAATGGGGCAGCCTACTGAACAACAGTGTAATGTCATCGCACAACTCACAAACGCAAACCAATTATCTCGGCTTAAAAACAGGATGAACCCTCATTTACCCCATGAGTTCGCCTAGGCGCTCTGACTCTAGGGGTATTCTGCACTTGCCTTGACACTGTTTTATTTCTCCACTTCGCCCTCCTTGCTCTTGCCCTCGACTCAGATTTTGACTTTCTCGGACAAATCTAGCCAGTTCGCGCAGCTAATCTACTTGGTTAAATAATCACAGCCATGTCCGCAATCAGTATGACATGCGAACTTAAGGACGACACGATTGTCGTGAACGGCGACCTCAATATCTCTTTCTGGCGCACAGTCCGCGTACCTGATACTCAAGTATCGAACTGCCTTCCTCCCAACCTTGGCGCCTTTCCTCTCAAGCCTGTGTCGCAACACAGCAAAACCCTGTCTCCAAGCATGGTCGCCAAGGGGGATGTGTTTTTTCCCATGTACCGTAAGTCTAGCGAATGGCTGCTTACGACATTTAGTGTCGGGCTGATGGATATGCTACAGAATCCGAGGCTATGTGGATCAAGTTCAGTACTGTTCACGAAGATGTGCTGCCATACATGATCAAGATTTATGTCGGTGGCGTGAATGTAATCTCTGCCGAACCCGCTATGGAGTCCATGGTCAGCCGGTTTCGTCGCCAAGTACGACTGCAGCTGACTTCATCGGACCCTAAGGTCGCATCTCTCCAAGACTACGTTGTTGTTCTGGAACAGAAATGGATCGATGGGATAGCTAACGGCGACGGTACAGTTCACCAATTTGTCGCTGCGCCTCTACAAAGCGGGCTCTCGGTTGAGACGCAAATAACCGGACAGGACGCAGTAGCTGGGATACAAATCGAAATCACTCCTTACAAGGTCGCTGGACCGCGTGAGTTTTCGGGAAGGCCCATGCAAATCTTCCTGAAGCAGCTCAACGGTACAACCAAGACCTTCAACGTCACACAGTTGGAGCCTATCGAGAACTTCAAGCTCCGCATTCGCAAGGCAACAGGTATTCCCACCAGCGTCATCCGCTTGATCTATGCGGGCAAGCAACTCGAAGGTACGTTGCCTCGGTCGATATAAGCGATACTATTATGCTGACCTAACAATAGATGGGCGTGACTTTGAAGACTACCGCATCTCCAAGGAAGCCACTATTCATATGGTCCTTCGCCTCCGAGGCGCCGGTTCTTCCCCCATACCCACGCCCGAGATGAACATCGCAGCTGGCGGTCTCATCAAGCAAGTCATTCATCGCGATACCCACTGACCGAACTGGGATACCAGTAAGACCATCGTCTTCAACGCTCAGATCCTCAACTCTGCTCTATACCAGGCTGTCACAGGTGTTAAATCTCTTACTATGCCCATACGCCACGAGGTGTACACAGCCCACGGGTTTCCATACTACAAGATGAACGAGGAGCCAAGCGGCATTCACGGTAACTTCGGGTTGATCAAGTCTGTAGATCAGATCACGGGTAAATCTGGAAGCAAGCTACGGCCAAGACCCCTCGAGTAGTCAACATTGGAGAAGGTCACAAAATTGTGAATCCACGAGGTCCACTCCAGATATTACGCTCGGTGTCCGAGCTTGAGGCTGCACTGGAAGGTTACCATATTGCGAGCTTTTAGGCTAACGCACGATGGATTAGGCGTTGGAGCGGGCTGTCCAAGGTTCCAAGGAAGCACGTTTGGATCTGGACGGAACATTTTAGGGTGTTAAGTTCTTTATTGATTGAATATAAAGCTGAGCAAAACGGAAGCTCTACTCTGTTCTAGTTTTGAAGATATGGATAGTATAGCAGCATTGCAGCTACACAACCGAAATCCGATTAATGGCCTCTTCCTCTATGAATCCATCTCATTCTCTATGATCAGAATTTTGGTGTTAGACTCCCGTTTCTCATCCTCAAAACACCCCCGTCATGGCTTTCTCCAATTGCGGGTGAGTTCAGCGGTACTGTCTCCCAGTCAGTTGCCAAATTCTTCCTGAAAGGCTCTTGCTCTCCTCTCCGTTCAAAAGGAACCGTCCTTCTGCGCATTTCGACATACCTTGACAAACCCAATATCCTGCGCCTTCTCACGGAAAGCCTGGCGACTCATGTTGATTCCATACTTGCGAATGATCCCAGACTTCTTCTTGTCACCAGTGACAACACTGCCCCTAAAATCAGCAGCAACTCGTATTTCAAACATGACCCATTCCAACGTACCAGCCAATTGAGGCCTTGCCGTAAGTTCGTGGGCGCGAGTACCAGACAGATTCGTGCGACATCTTGGCGGGTTCGTTCGATGCGATTCGGGCAGTCGCTGGTTGTTTCGAAGTTGTCAAGTTGTTTGGAGGCGCGAAAGGAGTCTAGACAGAGTTTTGCAAAGGGAATTTCGTTTGTGTGGCGGCAGAGGTGCATGATTGTGTGTGGTAGTACCTTGTTGGACACCCTGTTGGGGGTTGCGTATCACGGTACTCGCGAAGAGTTGTGGTAACGTGATCTTGAACATCACTTCATCTATTGTCACGATTATATGGTTTTGTTTTAATGTGAGTGTCAACTCGGTTCTTGGTGAGTGTAGGCAACACGACAACTGCCGGACCCTAGGCTACATATTAGATTCGTCCTACAACATAAACTGACATGAACGATTGTGACGCTTGTTGGCTAGGGATACACAAGTCCAAGAGTAATGGTGGGATGTAGAGATTTTTATGAGAATAGTATTCGTTCTGCTATTTGTCTGCTTGAGCCTGCTCAGAGACATCTCAACATTGCACTAGCACACTGCACCATCACCGCCTTTACCATAAGCCTATCCGACCGACCAATACGCCGAAATCCATTCGAAAAAAAGGAAGAAAGGCAGCATACCCTGCAAAACCCCACTGCGTGCACAATAACCACCGCCATTACACCTCTTGGCGGTGAAGGTGTCGAGCTTCCAAACTCTAAATAGGAGGTTGGGAACATCCAGGCTTCTCTCAAACTGCCGGCAACACACGGAAATCGTCTTGCAAGCCATGCAAGGTTGCTAGTCCTATTTATGCATAATGTGGTTTGTGACGCTGCTTTCGATAGCGTTCAGCTGGGAGAGGAGAACCGAAAAGGTGCAAATTGATGGCCATACAGTCTCTGAAACCGTGTCAGAATATACCGTACAGTGCCAGCCGCAGTTGGTGATTCTTGGTAGTTATGAATGTCGAAAAGGCATCATGTTGAATGTTGCAAGTAGAATGGAACGATGCGGGGTGAACCAGCCATCCCGCAAACCCCAACAAATTACAACTTCAGGTCGCCCGCTTCATTTCATATATCATCAATGTCGTAGTAATCGTCGAAACCGTACGGCGGACGTCGGATCTGAGGTCTCGCCCAACCGTTGCCAACATCATCGTCGTCTTTCTCTGCGTCTAATGGTGTCCAAACGATGACTTTCTTGCGCACTCTCCAACTTCGCTTGTTAAACCTCGCTTTCATGTCCCGCTCCTTTCCGTACCCAGGAGACTTCTGGGTGACGTCTACATTGTCGCCGCGCTTCACTAAGACGAGTAGAGCTTTTTGGGCGCCAGCACCCCTAGTTAGCTCCTCGTCGTCAACCCGGCCGAATCCTTCAAGTTGATGCTCCTCTGGATTCTGCTCGAATGACTCCCGTCTGTTCGGGTCAAGAACAGACGTGCAGTCATTTTCCTCAGTCGATCTGAAGACTTGGACAATCGATCCGGAGCCTTCTCCATCCCTGTTCAACAGCCTCTTGTTCCAAAATCTGGGCTGGGGCTGACGGCAAATGTCCCCTGTCTCACGAGATCCGTGACTTCTAGAGGGGCTGAAGCCGAGCATGCGTGAAGTCCGAGTGACATAGCGAAGCTCTTTCCATCCGTTGCCGCGGTTAATCAGATTCGTGATAGCATCATACTCCGGTGCAGCAGCAGCGACCGCAAAGACAGTCAAGCAGTCCAGTCGGAGCGCAGGAAGTAACTGAAAGATGGATTCGTGACGGTACATGAGGTCGTCAAAGCCTTTGAGATAACGCATCATTGGGGAGCCGATCAGCCGAAGGTGGCGGATCTTAGACACAGTAGATTCCGGTAACTCAGACAGTCTGTTTAGCATAGTCTGAGGGTCTTCAAAGTTGAAAGTAACACGCTGAAGCCATATGTCGCGTGTTTCGATGTGAATCTGGCGGCATACGCGCAATAGCGCCAGGGAATGTGGGGCAGGCTTGAGATACCGCTCGCCATAGCGGGGTGTATATCGCAATCCGAATGTCAGCCTCGTCGAGTTGAAAGCCAGCTCCCATATCTCGTCGCGTAGTTCTCGAGGTAATTGCAGCAAGGGGCTCGAATCATTCAAAGCAGTGTTATCGTCCGTCATCCTTATCGACCTGATGGAGGTTTGGCGGGGTTCATTGTACCAGCGGTACCGGCCACTCTTGGGCGGGATAAAGTAGTCTTCGTCCTGGATCATCATCTTGGAGAAGGTTTGCCCTGCATTGGAATCGAAGGCCGTGGATGGCACCGAGACATGGGGATTGGCCGGCTGATAACGCCCTTGGTGGTGTCCAGCGCCAAGCAGGTTCCCGACTTGCCGTCACGCGACACCACATTAGTCGCCTGGCAATCTCGACTCAGCCACCTTCCATCTCCACCCAGTTGGGACGGTTACTCCACTCTTCTATCTCGACTTTCCCAATATTGCCAAAATGCCTCGCGCCCGCCGAATATCCCGCAGCTTACTCCTCGTTCCTATTTATGAGTTTCCCGGCCGACGCCCAGCTCCACACTCTGCGTAATCCGGATATCAAGACAATAAGCAACGCGTTAGGCTGGTGATTACATCAAGCGTATGCTTGGGACGCGTCTTGCATAGACTCCCGCACGGACAGAGACTCCAAAAATCGCGCTTCGAAGCTAACAGTACGCAGTGGTACGCAGCTCTGAGGGCCACACATGGAGCCGATATCCAGCCCTGGCAAATCATCGACGACACGGAATCCTGTCGAACCGCTGAGTCTAGATACCGAAGCCCTGCCAAGCATCTCCACACTCACCGAGATGCGTTGTTTACCACCTGAACGCTATGCCACATTGATGTCGACATCCCGTCTCAAGTTGCTATTACCGAGGCGTATGGCTAAGATGCATACAAGCGAGCCTGCCACCGGAACAACTCGGGCGCCATTTCCACCGTTAACTGGTACTATTGACCTCCGGACGGCACGGTAGGGTGCGTCCCAACAATTAGTTGAGGCTGACAAGTATACCATTTTGCTGGACTACTGTTATTCGAAGCACGTATTCATGCTTAAATTGATAGCCACTTATCACACATGAATACTCTGGAGATCGTCGAGCTTGTGACAGGTTTCCAATGCTTGGTGCGGGCAGATTAAAGCTCGGGTCAGCAACGCAAGTGTGGATCAGACTCCATAACAAGATATTGGGACTCCGTTCGAATGCAACATGCGTGAGACGGTCTCGTGGGACTCCGCAATACATTCTTTAGCGCGGCACTCGCCATACCGGTACATTGTTCTCAAAGCCATATATGGAATGCAACAGTGGCCGCCGGACAGGCTCCGATCGCGGTACATGCGCCACAACAAAAGCATTCAATGCAAGACAGCTTTCGGATGCCGCCATCTTCCGCTTGCCCACGATGAAGTAGCGGGGTCTTACACCGGTATATCGTTCTTGGATATACGACATAGTGGATCTTTGGAGGAAGCTTCGCCGTATTAACTTCTAAATGAGTAAGACTACGCCGGAATTGCGGATGCGTGGCTACGCTGCAATGGAACATCAAGGGTTGATTTCTCTTCGTGAATCCGGCTTGTGGCCTAGCTCGCTCACGATCCTTACTGGAGGCTCGTGGACTCGCATCAACCTTCACTTCTCCGCTCATAGAAGCATTTGCGGTGAACGATCGGTGCGAGTATGCTGGAGCAGTGGGCGCGATATGCTTTGACAGGTAGCTTCGCCCAACAACTGCAATATTCCCAGGCCCATTTCGTGATAATGTTTCTTACTCTCCTCCGCTGCTCGGAGTCATTAGTGTTCTTTTCGTGTTAATGAATTCCTCTAACGATTGTCGCATGATTCATCGCGGTCTACTACTTTATCAGGAGAATATGTCTATCAACTTCAGCTCATTCTCGTCTCAACTAGCATCTTAAAAAAGGCTATCATTGTTACGTTGTTGCATGGTGTTCATACATCTTATCTGCTCTAGTACCGTTGCTGCGTTGTGCCATTCAACTGTTCATTTCTATCATCTACTCTTCAAATGGCGAACGTGCTGCCTTCTGGCGGCGTCATCCTCGCGGACATACCAACGGAGCTGCTCGACCAGATTGCGAGTGTCGCTCCTCGATCAGCACTTTGCGCACTTGCCCTGACGTTAAAGAAGGCGAGCGTCTCTGCGATCAATTCCCTCTACAAGTCCTACCTGAACCGTACTGCACCAGCGAAAGCGCCCTTCTATCTCTTTCTCCCCACGATATGCGAACGACCCGACCTTGCGGCGAAAATGAAGCGCGTGGACATCCGTGAATGGCGCTCGGAGTATAAGGTGGCGACAAGAGCCATGTGGAGGGGTGTGACGCAGATTAGCGACGTCGACCAAGTCAAGAAGAACGGCCCATCCTTCACAAGCACGGAGAAAGTTATACGCGGGTCGATACTGGAAATTTCAAGCTGTTCGTCGAAGTTGCAGTCAAAGCCAGACTGATCGCGAGGCCTGCGTCACCCTCCGTGCCTACGCTAAAATCGAGCATCGTGTGGTACACAACACTGGAGGAAGATGGCGACTTCTTGCGACTTCTGGAGCGTGGTGTGGAAGACGCGCAGGTCGTGCTGATGTTGGTTCTGCTGCCTAATATGGAATCCCTCTATATCGACGGACCCAGTCCCTTCCCGCTTCTCAATTGGCATCAGTTTCTCTCTCGTTCCGGCGCAGCTTTTCATAAGCTCTCGAGACTCTAGATCGATGATCGAATACGCTGGCGACAGAGCCTGTTTTTAAGAACAGCCTACAGCTTCTACACATCATGCCCAGTCTTCTGAACCTTGGCCTTATTGCAATGGCCGCTGAAGGTCATCGATTCACAGTCAGACGCTTCCCTTCGAGCAAACTTGGACACCTCATTTTCTTGGCTGCGGAATCAACATTCGACTCTGGCGTAAGATTCTGTTCAGTCAGAAGCTGAGTGGCTTAGCATATCGACCTGGTCCGGCCCAGGTTGCGGAAACCACCGGATCGGATGTCTCTCTCCCAGACTTAGTGGCTTCACTTATGGACTCTAAGCTTTCGCTGAAAACGCTGATGCTCTCTCCTATTAGAATACGATCTGAATACAGCTTTCTTAAGATGTTCAAGACCCTGGAAACTTTGGAGATCCCTCATTAAGGTATTTTAGACATTCCCGGAGATGATATCGACCTTGAAACCATATATGCTTCCCTGGTAGATCGGCTTCCAATCACCTTAACCCACATCACTGTCCGCTATCTAGCCTACAATACCCAAACCAAGATCATCATGGAACAGCTGCCTTTATTGAAGATGCAAAACAGATTGCTAAGCCTGGACGTTGTAACTTCCAACTTTTACAGCGCTATAATATCACCTTATGTCACGGGGACGCTCAATGTTGGTGGTCCTACAGGAGCACTAGCTGCCAGTACCATATGGGATCCCATACCGAAAGTAGATTCAAAAGTCCAGGGAGATCTCAGCAAGTTGTCCAAGGAGGCAGGCATTCGTCTGTTCGTAGAACAAACCCACTATCAGGAAGCTGCGTGAGCAAAGAGGCATCCAAGAGATTGCTAAGAGAGTAAGAAATAGTGAAAGGGTAATCTCCAATACTTCAAGGTCTCATGTATTTGACGATTGGAGATTGAAAATTTGGTAAGGATTTATTAATGGGTGTATTGACAGGCATCATTACTATACCAGTGCGGGACTAGTCTCCGGTTCACACATCATACACTCAATGACATCACTCTCACAGAATACAGTCTCGTATCCACCATTCTTGTCCAAACCATTGTGCACATCCCACGGAATCACGGCATATCTTCTAGGATGTCTAGTAATAGCATAGCGCAATGTGGCTCAGCAGGCACGTGGCGCTTTGGTCGTTCGCCACGATGACGCGCACTCAATTGAAGCTCCCGTTCGCGCGTAATGCCCTGGGTTATTAGCCCATCACCCCGCCATCCAGCTTACATCGCGACATTACTTGATTATACGTAATTCTACATCAGTCCCCTTTCTCACATCTCCACCTTCCTCCTAAAAGTTGATACATAACTCTCCCCTATCAATCATACAGAATGGCAGACTTCGCACCACCACCAGTATGTACATCGCGATCGCAACCATCCTGTCGCATGATCATGGCTAACAGGATATGCAGGGCCCTCCCCCACCAAAGGTACCGGAAGGCTGGAAAGCCGTCTGGAACCCGCAATACAACGAGTGGTTCTACGTCAACGTCTACACAAAGCAGTCGCAATGGGATAAGCCGACCGAGCCTGTCTACCCTCCCGGTGAAGCCCCGCCCGCTGGCGCTCCCCCAGGATATGCGCCTCAAGCAAGCGGAGCTGTGGGTGGATATTCTTCAGCCGCGAACGAGAAGGGAGGCTTCGGTAGCAACAACCCATATGCGAACATGAGCGAGGATGAGGCGCTTGCAAGAAGGCTACAAGAAGAAGAGCAAACGCGCGCCAATGGACACTCGAGTGACACGCGCGGACATGCGAACGACTACTACACCCAGCCTGGGCAGTCGCAACCACCACAATACGGTGGTTATGGCCAGCAGAGCACCAGCTCGTACCCGCAAGAGCAACATCACGATGCGAATACACAAGACAAGGGCAGTAAAGGTAAAGGTCTGCTGGGCAAGATCCTCGGAAAGGCTACTGGCTCGTCACATTCATCGTCATCGCACGGGTACCCACAACAGCAGCACGGCTACGGACAGCCAGCATACGGCCACGCGGGTGGAGGGGGATACTATGGCGGAGGAGGCTATGGTCGACCGATGGGTGGCGGTATGCCTATGGGTGGTGGTATGATGGGCGGTGGCAAGCGTCCAGGAGGAGGAGGCGGCATGGGAGGCATGGCCCTCGGAGCTGGAGGAGGTCTGCTGGCGGGTGGTCTCATTGGATCAGCGATGGCAGGAGATGGTGGTGACACCTACGTCGAGAACAACTATGGTGACGATGGCGATATGGGTGGAGGAGATATGGGCGGCGACGACATGGGTGACATGGGCGGAGACTTCTGAGGCGGCGCAGTCCTGTCTTAGTACTCCTACGATTTCCCTTGCTTGTTTAGATACTCCGGTCACCCTTCCTATGCTATTTATTGTAGCTTAATACTGTCTTCATCCCAATCTATTATGCACAGAACCAGAAGGGGGTTTGCGAGCCTTCGCGAACATGCGAACTATGACGTATCTCAATGGTCGGTTTAAATCTCGCCGAAAAGTCCAACACCAACAACGCCACGCTTGCGACACATCAACATCTTCATGCTAAAAGCAACTTCGCGCTTGATAAACATTATGGCAGCCGAACAGCAGAAACGGAACATTGTTATCATCGGTAACCTTTTGTCAAAAAAATTTGAGCTTCAGGATTTTCTTACTAACGACTTCAGGTGGCGGCATCATTGGCTCAACCACAGCGTACTTTCTTTCGCACCACCCAAATTTCAACAAAGAAAGAGATAGCATCACACTTTTGGAAGCCACCAAGATCGCAGGTGGCGCATCAGGAAAAGCCGGTGGTCTTCTAGCACTATGGGCGTATCCGAACTGCATTGTTCCGCTAAGTTACAAACTACATCAAGAGCTAGCTGAGAAACATGGTGGCGCTGAGCGTTGGGGTTACAGAGCTGTGCACTGTGGTCAGGTCGACATGTACGGTGTGCTAGCCAAGAACAAGGGTACTAAAGACGGTGCGAACGGCAAGAGTAAAGAGGACTCAGTTAGTCTAGAAAAGCGGACGCAGAAAGCAATCAGCTTACTACGCGCTGCTGGTGTGCCGAAAGATTTGGATTGGGTGGCTGCAGATGGTATGAAGGCTTATGAGGAAATGGGTACACCACTCACAACGGCACAAGTACACCCTTATTATTTCACGACGAGCATGGCACAGCTTGCGGAAGAGAAGGGTGTCAAGATTGTGTATGGTTCTGCTACCAACATCGATCAAGAGAACGGCGCTGTCAAATCGGTTTCGTACAAGAGCAAGGACTCAGGCGAAGAGCAAAGACTTGATGCCGATACCGTTATCCTTACAGCAGGCCCATGGACAAAAACAGTCTGGAAGCCCTCGCCTATCTCGGCTCTCCGTGCTCACAGTGTCACCATTCGTCCTTCGCGACCCGTCTCAGCCTACGCACTCTTCACCTCAATAGACATGCCTCGCGGCAACAGCAAACGCGGCGAGACTGTAACACCCGAGATCTACGCTCGCCCCAACCAAGAAGTTTATGCTTGCGGAGAGGGCGACCATCTCGTACCACTTCCTACATCCACCGATCTCGTACAATGCGATGAGAGTCGATGTCAAGAAATCTTCGAACAGGTCTCAGCCATCTCAGAAGAATTGAGAGACGGAGAGGTTACCGCGAGGCAAGCGTGCTATCTGCCGAATGTCAGCAGAGGAAGTGGACCACTTATCGGAAAGACGAGTGTAAAAGGCCTGTTGATGGGTGCTGGGCACACATGTTGGGGTATTCAGAACGGACCTGCGACAGGGAAACTGCTAAGTGAGTTTGTATGGGATGGCGATGTGAAGAGTGCACAGATTGGAAGTCTGGATCCCAGGAAGTTTGGTGTTTAGAGTGGAGTAGTGGTTGCTTGAGCTATGAGAAGAGTACAGGAGAGTGATGGTGACCTCGCTTAATCGGGACTACCATAGATCTAGATGATGTATATCGCGCACGATATGATATGCAACCGACACTTCAATCTCTCCACTATTTATCCTTGCTTCTGCCTTGGCATTTATCTCAATCTCGTTACTCTCTGCACGACACATGTGTTCTCTTCGTGAGGTTCTCTTAGAATCTTCCAGCGTCCACACATGGTCCATGATATGTTCCGAAATCGTGCATCAAAACAAGTCACATGTAGTTTCATTCATACTTTTTAGTAGGACGCACATCAAAGTGGATAGTAAGAAGAATGGTCTCCGAGCAAGACAAATATTTATATAGCCGAGGCTCGACACTAAGCATAGCAGCGGCATGGTAGGTTGGGATCCGTGTTTCCAGCAACCAACTTGCACATGGCCGTTTGGAGAACTACGATGTCGGATACTAACCCCCGAAACAAAACCTTCCAGGAACTCTTTCGTAACTGCGCCGCTCCCGGCGGCGAACATGACTAGTTGTTCATATGTTTTTCTGATTTGCTCACTATGTTCCTTCGAACCGGACCATAATTAAAAGAAACCAACTTCTGGAGAGCGAACAGCTGGAGAAGCACCCATGCTACGATACCATTGTAGTTTGGATGTTGCTAGTAGGAGAATGTGAAGTAGAATGTTGGAAGAATAAGGGTGAGAAAGGTAGGCCTTTATACGTGCAAGCACTCGAATCCTCGGAAAAAGTACCCGCAATGGGTTGATCGTGTATTGAATGGCTACTTGGTTATTGTCTAGTATATTGACGATATAAGTACTGGTCATGTCTCAACGTCATGCGATGCCAAGTAGTGTTTCGGAACAAGGCTTGAATAGTTTCCGTCTCTACACGGCGCCGTGGAAGGAGTTTTTGGAAACAAGAGATGCAAGTATTTGGAACATACAAGGAGAGGTGAGGAAGAGTGGAAGAGTGGTTTGTGTACTCCTAGGCGCACGGACATCGAGCTAATCAAGCATTTGCGTTGTTGATAATGATGGTCATCAACACATCGTTTACATATCCATCTGCGCACACTGATATGAGACGACAAAGCTCAAGTATTCAGCTTTCCGTTCAGAGGAAGCCATCCGAGCCTCTAGAAATCTATCAATAATCCACAAACCCAACTTCATCAATGGCATACAATACTTTTCCCATATCATACCTTATCCAGTTTCTACCCAGAAGACCACTCAAGTGCAAAGCACCCGCTCAAATGTCATCCAAATCCTCCTCCTCTGCCTTGCTCTTCTTTCCGTCTCCGTTCAGCCTGTCCATCCTGACATTCTCCTGTCTTCTGGTATCGTTCATACCGCCGCTCATAGCCATAGCCTGGCGTCCAGTATCCGAGCTCTCAAGGAAGGTACGAAGACGCTCCTTACCGACTTCAAGACCTTGTTGCGATGCAGCGTTGGCCATGCGTGCCATGGGGCCCCATAGATTGAGGGTGTAGGTTACGTAAGCGCCGACGGCGAGGAGGATGAGGAAGATAAAGTATACTGGGTTGCGAAGAACTGCAAGGTGTTAATACATGGTCAGCATGATTGATACGGGGGAGACTCACCAGCTACTATCTCGTTCCAACCCAGCGCAAGGAGTAGACCGTAAAAGTATAACGGAACTTGTGTGATACCGCCAATCGCGCTACGCTTGGCTTCCACGTAGACACCATCTGCGGTCTTTTTGAAGCGGACGAGAAGATCGGCTTGCTTAGCGTCGGAGAGGATCGTCATCTCCTCTTCCAGGGTCTTGCCCTCTTCATCGTCTAGGCCACCGATGGGTGTCAAGTCATCCTCATCTGCGGCCGTTGCCGAAGCGGGTGCTTCGCCGATCCAGGAGTCGAGTGGTGGAGGGCTTGATGTTTTTGCCAGCTTGAAACGAGCGAGAAGTGGGATGACGGTAATGGTCGACTCTCGGGCTTTGGTGTAGATGCCCTCGATGTCGTCTGTAGGTCGCCATATCCGTGGAACGCCATGCTCATCATATCGGAACTTGTCTTCGAAGTTCTCTCTTAGCTTTAGTAGGATGTTGCCCTCCATGACCTCCTCGTCAATCTTTGCGCGGAGGACAGCCCACGACTTGCGACGCAACCTCCACAGACCGACCTCAACTTCTTCGGGGCTAGCATCAAAGCTTGATGCGCGGTCGGTGAATCGCTTTTCGGCCATCGAAACAGTATCGGTGAAGATGGTCCAGACACGGTCCCAGAGATCCTTCTCTGTTGGAGGTCGCTCGCCATGCTCGGGCGCGCCAGAACCTCCTCGACCGGATCCGAGCTTGTTGAACTCGAGACCGACAGACTCGTCCAACCTTGATCGTACCCAACGCTCGATTCGTGTGGCCAGCCGTCTCATCTCCTCCTTGCGCAGACGGCCTGACACGTCATCAAGTTCCTTTTTGTAGTTCTTCAATTCGTTCTCGTAACTGCTCCAGGCCGCACCTTCGATCTCCATCGCCTTCGCATCCTCCTCAAACTTGGCAAGTGCCTGCTTCTTTTCCGAGTCGACAATCTGTGCGAAGTCATACGTGCCCTTCTTCTGACCGCTCTTCACCGCTGCGCTGACGGCTTCGCTGAAGGACTCCACCCCGGACTTATGAGCAGCTGTAAGTTGCTTCTGGAACAGAGCCTTCAACCGTGAATCTACCTTGCCTTCGAGTTCTGCCTGCTTCCGCTTGTAGACGCCTTTGTGATATCGGCTCGCATTCGTATCGAAGTCTTTGAAGACCTTGGTTCGTGCAGCACTCATGGCAGGGCCGAGGTCGGCGATGACCGAAAGCTTTCCTATCCGAGCATCTTCGGCTTGCTTGTCCTCTAGTGGTGTGATCTTCTCGTCGAAAGCGACCAGGACCTCACGCGAGATCTCGTCACAACGGAACTGAGCCAGCAGCTCTTGCTGTGTGGGCAAATCCAAATCCTTGTTGTTGACAATCTGATCCCATACGCCTTCCGCATATGCCGAGAAACCGTCTGCAGGGATCCGTCGGTGGTATTGTGGCAGGAAGATGGGCGCCGTTGACTCGTCGATGAGACCATTCTTCCTCGGGTCATTGTATCCCTCCTTGAAGCGTGTGCTAAGCTGCGTGACTGCCTCCTCGAACTTCTCCGGTTGTAGGATCTTATGCGGTAGAGCGACGAAGGCGAAGTCGAAGTAGTCTTCTATCCGCGAGTTCTCCAGGCCGTTGGGCTTTGAAATGGTCGACCACAGCTTGGATAGGTCTTGTATTAATGTGTTTTGTAGGTTCTTGAGGGGTGTCGTGCCGATGTGATCGCGAATGACGAAAAATAAGAGGGATCTAGGAGTGGCCCTACGTGATTGTCAGCATGACATGAGCCCAGGGTAGTAGACAAACTTACTTGCTGTCCTTGACAAAGAGCTGCAAATTCACTTCAAAGACCGTCTTGAGCAGACCCATATTGGCACCCTGGTATAATCCGACTTGGTGTTCCCAGATGTTGACGATGAGGACCTCGCTTGTGGCAAGCGCAAAGAGGGCACTCTTCCGCTCAAAGTCCTGGTCCTCTCCTCGCTCTCTGCCATCTGTACCCTCTACATCCATAACCAGGATGTTCTCTGCCATGTTTGAGCCACCCTCCTCCCGCTTGTTCTTGCTCATCCATATTCCCTTTGTGGTTTGACGACGCTCCTGCTCGGACATGACACCGAACTGGGTGCCAAAAAGGTAGTTGAGGAGGGTAGATTTTCCGGTAGATTGCGAACCAAAGACGGATATGAGGTGGTAGTTGAAGCCGGAGGGGATAACTTTCTCAATGCCGAGATATGTAGATAGGTTTGTGCTGCATGGCGGGAACCTATTAGCCCCCTACTCCTCTACGCAATTGCCTAGACACTCAGCAGACATACTTGAACATTTTGTCCTCATCGATAACCTGGATGCCATGTTCGTAGGCACCTTTGTCGGCATTCTCGCCCACACCGGCAAAGTGGGCGTTCATCATCAGAGAAGGCGACGTGTGGTGTTTGACGTTGCTAGGACGGCTCTGGCCGTTGACCTTGAGGGATTCGTCGGCCATGATTGCTTGATGTACAGTCCAGCCGAGAGCTGCACGTGGTGCGGGAAGAATATGGCGTTGTTAGGGGTGAAAGCTGGCCGTTGATGTCACAGGCCGACCGCTTCTAGAGCGCCTCGCCGCCATTCGTCGCTGCACCCTGGCCCAGATCCTCGCTTAAGCCCAGGTGGTGGTTACTGCGTACAGATGACGGTCTGCTGCATCATTCACGCTGTTTGTATACAGGCTTTTGAGACATTCCTGCTTAAACTCTCGCGTGTTGTTGCCCCGTGGACAGCCATCAGAACCATGGTTGTGCGCAGTAGTGGGTATGCACCTTGCCATCGAGGGCGGGAACAAATCGGCACGTCTTGGCGTTGATTTCGCCAGTATCATCACTGGGTCGCTTGACATGAGGTTCTTGAAGACAAACGTGTCCTTAGATAGACACCGAAAAGCTACCGAATACTGGGAGATCGCCGTATAGATCGATCTAGACGTATTTGCTCAACGCAGAGCTCTAGCAAGAAGAGAGAAATTTACACAACCCCCACCATACATACTACCATACTACCATACTACCAAACTACCAACATCATCTGGCATCTCAAAATTTCCTATATCCTTTCCCACCACTAACCATATCTCCACTGATCTTGCTAATCTCCTCGCTATTCTTAACCCACGCCTTTGTCGCATCATCGAACACCCCATCGCCAAACTTACTTTTGCACCACTCCAGCATCTTTTCCGCCTCGCCTCTTATCCTCTTCTCCACGTCCTCCTTTCCATCCGTCCTCTCACTTTTCTTCTTGCCACGGAACTCCTCAACGGCGTCGATCAAACTCTGAGGCTCTTCATCGCCGTAGACGAATTTGATGAGCGAAGAAGAGATGTCGCAATTGCTGCCAACTTGTTTCGCAACTTCAGGATCCAACTTCTGGCCGTCTTCTTTGTGCTTGGGTTGATAACCCTCGCATGCGTCTGCCACATCGCTTATCCAGGCCCTTGCATTGTTGAAGTCGCCTTCCGCGCGGTGCAAGATACCATGTAACAGCATTCCTTCCACTGCAGGTGGAGCCTGCATATGGCGTACTAGAAAGTGTGCAGATGGCAAGTCGTGATTCAAGATATGCAATAGTGCCTCGATAGTAGGATGTACACGCAAGTCTGCGATGGCCGCTGTGAGTTGTGCATCTTGAGGGTTCCTGGGTGGATGAACAAGACTAGTGCTGGGTATGAGCGTCTGCGATATCGACTCCAGCCTTCGTGGCACCTCGTCCGATTGTCCCATTTCTCTGTTGAGTTTGGTTCAGTTGAAGCTGCCAATCTTAGGTATAAGTAGCAGGAGACGAGTCTTTGATTCTAACCAGGGGGTGAGGGTGAAAATTAAGCAGTAGTTGCAGTCCCAGCAATAGTATAATGTCAGGGAACTGTTGCTCTTTACATAAAACAGATAGTCTTACAACATGTATGCACCTGCTAGCTTCGTCGCGAAAGCATGTGACGTGCTTGATGCACCAACCCAGGAACGCAGACGTCATGATGGACCCTGTGGAATTGATTGTGTGCAGGGTTGGAGGGCTGACATAAAGGAACTTGATAACACTCGAAAACCCAAATAGAAACGGCGCAAGCATGATTGACACCTCTCATATATAGTGATAAGACATAAAAAGTTCTTTTCAATAGATGCGCTGAAGTGCGCTCATATCTACATACAACGCAGACGCCGCTTTGTAATCAAGCTGCCAGAACACAACCTAGGGATACAGACGTAATAGATACAAGGAGAGGTTCGTAGATCATTTTTCATCCAAACGCCAAGCATGATGATGGAGATCTTGAAAAGAAGAGGGAAAGGCCGTATCGGGCGCTAATCGGAAGAATGGAGGTATTCGAGTTAGTAGTGAGGTAGTGTAAGACACGAGATCAATTCATGCTTGAGCCTTGTTGTTCTTCTTCTGGTCTTCCTCCTTCTCGGCCTTCTCCTCCTTCTTGTCAGCAGCATGCTTATGCTGCTTGGCCTGGTGCTCTTTGCCTGCAGCAGCGGCCTTGCGCTCCTTCTCGCGTTGCTCCTCAGCCTCTACCATTTCTGCATCGCTATGTTAGCTCACTGTTCCACATATACAAGCTGATACTTATGCACATACCTCTCCACTGGTCCTCACCAGCGTATCTCTCATGGTGAATCTTCTTCTCGATAACGTGCTTATGTTCAGGATCGTTCGGGTCGATAACCTTGATCGTCTCCCACCTTCCCTTGCCCTTTGCCGCATCCGCACCCTCAATCGCAAAGCTGCCTAGTAGCGCCGCCAGTGTACCACCCTGTGCGTACATACGCGCCTGTACCAGCTTTTGCGATCCGCTCAGGTATGGGTTGCGGTTGACCATGTGCCATGAACCAGCCATGGAGGCGATCCAGAAACCAAAGAGGAGGGGGTATCGGTTTTCGGTTGCCCAGTCTTTCGCGCGCTCAAAGGCGGTTCTGTTTTGTTCATAAAGGGCTTCACGCTCCTTTTCACGCTCGACTTGGCGCTTCTTCTCGGGGGTGTGTTCGATATCGTATGCTGCGGAGGCTCGGTCGGCGGCGATGACGGCTGTGGGGTAATATTGTTAGCATCTGGGCTCTAGTTTCACAATGCGGCGTGTGAGGACATACCAACGAATGTTCCTGTCGAGGCGACCAAGAAAGCTCGGAACGGGACAGTGAGCGCTCTGAAGGAGTGGTATCTTCTGCTCGCGGCCATGACACCTGCAGCGCCTACCGCCGTACCGATGAGACCACCGATTGATCCGCCCTTAACTGTGGCACTTGTAGTTGTCAGTATAAAGTCCGAATGCCGCCATTCGTGTGCAAAACTCACTTGTAATGCGCCGCCTCCTCTTCCTTGGTAAGAACCTTCATCTCGTCTTGAATAAAAACTGCTCCCGATTTGGAATATAAGTGTGTGTTGTTGGTCGTGTGAAGTTAGCGGGTATTGGGAGCTTTGCGTCAGGCTACACGGAGTGTTGGAGAACTTGGATGAGTACGCGTATGGAATCTGAATTGATGTATTAATTATGACGGCGCACGCGGCGACTTATTAAGAGATAACGCAACGCTCAAAACTACACCATGGTGACGTCGCCGAACTTCCGGTGCCGCTAGACCCACGTTGACATGTGCAGTCGTGATGAGGTAAGTGCCTTTCGGCAGGCCCTGCCTAGCCCTACATTCCTCCAGGACTGGGCCGATTATCGTGCGCGCTGAGATCAGGTCACCGATGCATGATCGATTAAGCAAACTTTCTTTAGGAATTTATTTTACTGCTGTTCCATTGCTCGCGTTTTGGTACTAAATGAAGGAACATTATTTCCGTGACGGGATACATTTCCAGCCTCATGCGACCAATCATCGCATACTTTTAAGAGGTTGTCCTTCGAAGCATCTCCATAGGAAATGCATCATCATACGCGTTACTTACTTACCCTTGACACCAATATGCAAGAAGCCGCTAGGTAAGACTCTGTAAGCTTGTAAGCAATGCGTCCCCGGTTTGTTCCCTGTCGGCAAGATGTTGCATGTCGCATGCTCTTCGGATTTTGCGCCGAAGCGGCATCTCCTTAGTTGCCGCTCGCCGCTCGCACTGCTCAAACTTTGCGGAGATGCGGCCAACCTTCGTTCTCCTCTACTCAGGGTCGCCCGACCTTTCCAGAACATGACACTTGATGAAAGAGCTCAAAGCAATTAGCAAAGCTGAAGGTCGTTCTACAAACAAGTGGAAAGCACTTCCCCGATCATGTCCGAGTTGCCACCGAAACCCGCAAGAACTCCACGATTCACCGAGCGGCTCCGCACCTTGACCTCGACAACAAAACGAGTGGCGACTCCTGTATTTTATGTTCATGTATCAGTTTCCGACAGTACGGTAATGCTGTTAACCCTTCCGGAGACATCACGGTCAACAATAGAGGCGAGCTTTATGAAGCTTTCATTCCGTCGAAGAATACGTACATTCGATGACAGCATTGCCATAACTGCATTACCATTTGATCAGTCTGCTTCGGACAGAAGGATAAGTATGTAGTTACAATCCAGTCCATTGTTCACCATATCGTCTTCTCCAGCTTGTCCCGCGCGCTAATGCTACCAAGTATTTCAGGCCCGATGAATATGTCAGGATAAACAAGAAAGGATCTGTCGTGATAAGGCGTGTCCTGGAATCGATGCTGTCCCAAATGACTGCAGGAAATGTGTATTTTCGTCTTAAGCCAATGGTCTCTCACAATTTTTTCGACATTGATCTTAGCTTTTGGGCATATCCACGATACCTTCTTCGAGATCGAGCGAGCGGTGTACTGGCAATACCCAACGATACGTATGTGGACGAAGACATGTAGGCTTGCAAATAGGCTTTCAACGGAAGGCGCCAAAACTTGGGCGCGGTGTGGGGTTGCCATAGCGGGGAAGCATACCTGCCGGAGGTCCTGGGCGCGTCGCAAGAGCAGGGTTACAGCAGAGCATAGCTACGCGAGAGCCGTACTTGGAACCGCGGAGAGAGACCATGTGCTTGCGAATATGGCCACCGACTAGTTCGCGATGTTGAGTGCCACTGTTGGTCAAGACATACTGGATGAGATAATTGCCGAACTGATCACCAGCGACTTCGAAAGATTAACAAGCATTCGCGCAACGAGAGTGACTTGGGACTTACTATCAATAAGAGGCATGCGTGGACGGTCAGGGCGAGCCTCGCACACACGGTCCAGGTACCGCTCCAGGAACTCGTTACCACCAATTTTGAGGCACTTTTCGATGGCCTTGGAAGCGTACTGGTCCATGCTGTACTCTGTACTGAAACGGAGGATGTGATCGATGGCACGACTACGGTCAGCGGGCGAACCATGTTCGCAGATATGTTGGATGCACCAGTTGCCGAATTGACCATGGGCGATGACATCGATGCTGGCAAGCACCTCGTTGATGCAGGGACGCTATCGTCATTTAGTACAAATTAGGATATATGTTTGGCAGCGTCTTAGCGTACCTTGTCTTCCTCGAGACAGTTCTCGAAGATATTCTGCACGACTAGGCTGCCAGTCTCGCCCAATGCAACCTCATGCCACATACCGCGCAGAGCCTCATTGACGTAGCGCATGATCTGAGGTGGAGAGTCGCTCCACCGGAGCTCAAAGAGCTTCTGCCAAACGTGGCACGCGTAGCGGTGGATGACGGTCTCTGGAATGCGGCGAAGAAGCTCGTGGACCATAGTCGCCTTGTACTCTTCTGGAACGCAGTCGAAGGCCTTCTGGATGACGTGGCAGCCGAATGCATCCATGCTCAAAGCAAGGGTATTGCCGCGGATGGCTTGAGCGATGGCGATAACCTGATCGTGCGTGCCATGCTCAAAGCAACGCTGTACGAGGAAGTTGCCGAAGCGGTTGACCATTAGAGCGTAGGCTTGAGAGATGATGGCCTCCACAATTTCAAACTTCTGCTCTGGCGTACCTACCTTGAGCTTCTGCTGAAGAAAGATGGATGCCTGCTGGTCGTTGTTGCAGATGATCTTATCGACAATGTACTTCCAGTTGCAGCTCATGTTGCGGTCTAAGAGGCGACGATAGTTCATGGGTTCAACAGGGGCGACGTACTGTGGAGTGCTCGACTCACTCGGAGCCTATGTCATGTCAGTAAAAGCGAGATTTCGTATGTTGTAGTGAGGGCTGACCTGAGAGTTCCATGGAGACGGGCCCATGCCGTTCTGTACGTTGAACTCGTTTGCGTCTGGCGACAATCTGCTGGCCATGGTACCAATTGGAGCCGGATGGCCTATGGGATACATGGGTGGCATGGCGTACTGGTTGTAGCTAGGATCGAAGGCCGAACTGGGACGGCTGGGTGGGTTACTCAATCCGCTGCCCATACCCATGCTGTTGCTCATGGGATTGGGCATGCCGTTACTCATACCGGTATTGAAGCTGTTGGACACGCCACTGCTGCGAAAGCTTTGGTCGAGAGAAAAATGTGTGGGCTCGTTCAAGAAACCATTGCGGCGATAGCCTGACTGTATGGGCTGTGGTAGGGGCTGTGGTAGGGGCTTGGATTGCATCTGGGCCTGGTATGGGGGTCCGAAGCTGTTACTGCCAGTGTAGGCCGGACGAGCAGGTTCGTTGCCCCAGCCGTAGTTGCTCCGAGTGGAGGCATTGAACTTGTTCTGCAAGCTCGTAAGAGTCTGCTCGGTGACATCACCCGGGTAGCTGTAGTCAGCCTCAGACGATTGGCTCAGGTGCTCCATGGTTGATCGGGCCACATGATGGCTGTGCATCTCTTGGTTGACACGATTGACTTCGTTGCGGGCCTCTTGTAATTCCAACTTCAGCTTCTGCAACTCGCAAGCCTCGACGAGCACAATGGAGCTGTCCATCTCGGTCGGTGGGGTATACGCGAACTCGTCGGTGGCCGGTGTAATGGGGATAGATCCGTTGGAGGAGTTATATGGGTCTTGCGGAGGAGATCGTCCGTTCAGACGCTGCAAGAGCGAGTCCATGACAGTTGACTCTTCGTGAGCTTCTACCTTGGGCTTCTGCAGGGGTCAGCTTGAGTGATGTGAAAGACGGCGACGATGACCTGTAGTAGACGTCGGGTTGACTGACCTTATAGCCGTCAAACGAGTTGTGCTGTTGCAGTGGAAGCTGGTTGCCCAGGGTAGAAGAACCGAGTGGTCGCTTCATGCCCTGTGTATTGCATGTCAACGGTGAGCCAAAAGCACGTTGGAAGGCAAATGGGTATTGGTCCAGGCTCATGCTGCCTACCGCCTGGCCCAGCACCTCAGGTGAGGTATCAATCCTGAGATCTCCGGCCATGGCGAATCGATTGGGGCCCTTGCGGGGTGTAGGAGAACCGTCGGAAGTTATGTTGAAGCTCATAGTAGCAGAGCTTGGAAGTGTGGGTAGATGGCTTAGATCCGAGAGGCAGCAGACGTCTCCAGGCTATATGGTGAAAACTGTGATTCCGAAGGCGACTGGAACCAGATCTGAGGTTATTGGGCAAATGTGCAGATAATATGCAGGACGGAGGCTCAGTACAACTCGTTTGGCGACGTATATAGCCAAAGTAGATGCAGAAGCGACGAGAGAACAGCTCAAATGTACATAAATCAGTAGGTCACAGAGGACTTTGTCATAAGGAAAGGACGACAGCAGTGAGCAGAAGAAAGAGGCCGGGGCGAGGTTGAGGAAAGTGGGTGACGACGATAGAAGCTTCTAAACAGACGTGGTGAGCGCGACTACAAGGAAGGCGCGTCGCATCGGGACGTTCCGCATTCGTCTTCACCAGCAAACGGAAAGCGTTGTGTCTGAGAGGACGAACCAGGAACAGGAAATGGACAAATCAGTCACCGAGACAGTACCCGCTGAACCTACTTCTTAGATCATTGCGCTCCTAGCACCATCAGAGCCTGTGTAATCTCATAAACTTTGATCAGACATCTTGAGCCTTTGTTGTTCTCAACCAGGTACCACTTCTTCAGCTTGGATCGTGGTACTGCTTAACTACTCTCTATGATACTACTTGGAGTAACCTCCCAGTCAGAGTCGAAAAAGCCCATAGCTAACACACCCTCAACACCCTTCCACTTTGCGCTTTCACCAAAAACAACAAAATCGGGCTGCCCGACACCCGTGAGCATAGGAACGATCCGAGACGCCTGTCGCAACCCCTCGTCATCGATACCCCATAGAACAAGCTCAAGGCGCTCGCCTTCAAGTGGTCGCAGGAACGCTGCACCTCTGGCCTCCTCGCCGTATCGATGCTCTTGCCCTCGATAATCCCGGATGGTAATCCCGGATTTTGCGACATGAACTGGGAAACCTGTCTGACTAGTCTCAAGGCTGGAGCCAGTAGCTAGAGTGATAACGTTGCCAGTGGGGTCGGAAGAAACAGGATCTGATGCGGAAGAGACCACACTAGTGTCTGCTTGGAAATACTGGTGTAGATTGCGTGAAATCTGCAACGCAAGGCGAGATGAGTTAGCAGAGCCTGGGTGCTGGATGATGAACGACCCTTGGGTACGAAGAATAGCGGTCATGGAGCCCAGCTGTCGGCCACCCCTTTCGAATTCCGCAGACTCTGCAGCACGTGCACCAACACTCCAACCATTTTCTGACTTATAGACATTGATTGCAGAGACGTTCGTTGTTGCTGTCCCTGCTAAACTCAAATCATGTCCGTCGATTGACACCGAATCCTTCCAGAGGGTAGGACTGAACTCAAGACTTCGTACGTTCGATGTTTTGATGACGTGCCCACGAACGCCAACCTTTCCATAGCGTCCTGGGTCCTCTAACTGCTTCACTTGAATTCCATTCTTGCTCCCCATGTCTCCGGGGTCACCGACCATGATGAGGAAGTGTTCCATCTTCCGCGGCAGAACATCGTCATTCTTTGCTTGGGTATAGTAGAAGTCTACCAGTTCTGGTGTAGTCATGACGCCGTCCCACCAATGGTTTTGCCCTGGCACTTCGTTGTAGGTAGCGTTGGCTCTCGTAACCCCAGAACTGACTCCCGTGCGGTACAGCTGTTCTGCAAGTAGGCGAGAATGATATGCTGGAACATTGTCGTCAATTTGACCATGCTGCTGCTGGACAGGTATGCCATGGGCATTTGGCATCAGCATCTCGTGACGGTAGCTGTTCAGGGATGCACTTATGACCGCTGTACGCTCTGGATCTGCAGCTTGCCACAAGTGGTATGGTACGTACATCTGGATACTGGTGTAGCCGGAGACTGGTGCTGCAGCGAGCACCTTATCAGGCCTGTGAGTAAGGGCAAACCAAGTACCCTGCCCACCATTGGAGTGTCCTGAGACAATCCAGCGGCCTGTGTCAATATCGTAACCTGTCCAGTGATTATTGTCGATCCAGCCTGAAATAGCTGCTATTGCAGCTTCGACGTCGGCGAAACCCCAATTATGCCAGTCGTCGCCAGACCACGGTGTAACACCTGTTGGAAACAGCACCCATGCACAGAGATCGGAAACAGGATCCAGGGCACCAGTAACCATGGGATTATCAGCCTCAAGACCAGCTCCATGGAGTTGCAGCAACACAGGCAATTTTGCTTGCCCAGATGAGCACGTTGCGTTCTTCGCCGGAGGTCGAAGCATAGCGTACGAGACCATGCCACCGGGGTGAAGGTAGGTGACTTTGTGGGGTTTGTAGAGATCGACATGATTCAGATTTTGTGATGCATGTAGGGTATTTTTACGTTTACCACTAATCGTCCTGTACGTGATGTTATAATTCACAGATGAATCGTTATTGGCGAGGAGCGACACATTGAAGGCGATGGGCCTCGTCTGGCCGGCAACGATAGTAACAGACATATACGAGTCATTCTGCGCATGAAAGCCGTCCTGGTCAGCAATATCAGTATCCCCATGTAACAGTAACTGAGCATCCACTGCTGGCCCCGCGAAAGAGACGTGAGAGCTCACACTTGAGTGTTGTATGCTCAGGATTTCAATATCCTCTTCCCCGGAATTCCTCAAATACACTGAACCAATCGACGAGGCGAGCTTTCCGCCAATGACATCTGACACTAGGATGCCAGGCCTCGCAAGCTCCAAAGATCCGGTAATCTTCTGTACGTCAACAACGACGTCAATGGTAGGCTCCAGGATGCCGCCAAAAGCTCTCACATCGCGGGCCAGACGGAGATCAATTCTGTGTGAGCCAGGTTTGAGATGCAGAACAGGAGGTGCCTTGCGGTACGTATAGAAATCTCCTCCAAAGTAGTGCTGGTCATCCACCCAGTATTCCAGGATAGCATCCGTGTGCAGGATTAGATGTTGAGTTTCGTTGCCGCCGACGATGAGCTCGCCCCGAGCCCAGGCCTGATATTGAACAGCAGCCCATCCGTACACGACCTTTAAGAAGTCCCAGTCAATGTTGGAGTAGGCTACACTCAAGGAGGCGTTGGCCGACGTGGCATCGCTCATGGCCCGCACGGCTTGGGTGACGTTCCATGACGCGGTCCCATTAGTAGGCAATGAGCTTCGAAATGTTGCCTTGGGGTCATATTGGAGGTTCCTGAAGCCGCCATAGTACTCGAGTGGATCCGCCCCCCATGTCGCCTCTACAAGATGTTGGTATACCGCGTCCAAGCTACTATGATGAATGACGTACCTCTAGTCCCTATCTGAAATGGCCCTAGGACGTGCCATGTGTCGTTGAAGGAAAACAAGGAGGCCTTCTCCTGGCGGCTCGCTGGTGGGGCCACGAGCGGCCCATGTTCCGAAGCATGACCCAATTGCAGCAGGAACAGGAAAGAACAGAACAAAGACGGCAGCGACGGCCAAGTCATCAAAACGAGCATCTTCTGGTTTCTACGAAGCCTCGATACATGACGAAGAGCAGAAGTGATGCTTTTGAAAAGAAACGTTATCGCTAGAAGATCGCTACCAGACACAGCAGGTGCTGAAGGGTTCATCAACAGAGCTTGGCTGACGATGGCTGGTGGTTTGGTATCCCTGTCGGCTCCTGCCCTAGCTATCAGATCCGAACCGCCTCCGGAACGCGCATGTCACTAACCAGACAATTCTCCGCTAATTACGGATCCATTGCGACGCTTGCCTTCAACACCACGCTTCCTGGAATAATCCTTCGCGACGATCCACGGTACCCCTCCATCGCTACTGCTGCTTGTACCACCCTCGTGCTCTTACATGTGGTAGGGAGTGCGCCACTGTTCCGCGCGTATAGTACAAGTTGCCTGCAGCATCATTTCCCTCTCCCCATGGCGTAACGAATACATCCCACGATACCCCGACGACCTTCCATCCTGTAGTCGCGATGACGCCTCCGTCGGCGCGGGACCCGAGTCCTAACGCTACCTTCAAGTTTCCCGCTTTCCAGCCCGATTTACTGCCGACGCCGGAGGAAGACCACATATACGGCCACACTTCGTCGCGGTCTGCCAGTCCCAGTCATGCAGCCCAGACGAACGGCAGTGCGATACCAGGAGATAGGTGGCATCCGCGCAAAGAGGCTAGGCTTGGGGGCATGAACGTCTCGGCATCAGGCTCTTCGAACAGACATGGACGACAGAAGAGCCTCTCAGAGGCCTTCAGGACGATACGGACGCGAAAGGGCAGTGTGAGCCAAAACGCGCATGAACTAGCAGATGCGCTCAAGGCGCCACTATCGCCAAAGCTCATTGTAGGTTGCGACACGCGTAGTCTGGTATCATCTGTGACTAACAGGCACAGGTGCTCTGTGGTGTGTGGTACATGACCTCCATCTTCACCAACATGTCTTCCAAGGCCATCCTGACTGCCCTACCGAAGCCCATCACCCTTACGACCGTGCAATTTGCCTTTGTATCTGGCTGGTGCTTGATACTCGCCATGTTCGCTAGAAGATACCCACGATTAAAGCAGACGATGCCTTTTCTGAAGTACGGCATACGCACCCCGTCTAAGGAGCTGATCATGGCTACGCTGCCTTTGACTTGCTTCCAGATTGGAGGACACATTCTGAGTGCCGACGCTACCTCGAGGATACCCGTGTCGTTGGTACACACCATCAAGGGACTTTCGCCCCTCCTGACGGTCATGGCATACAGCATCTTTTTCAAGATCCAATACTCGCTACCCACCTACCTCTCCCTCATACCACTTACCTTGGGAGTCATACTAGCATGTTCGGCGGATTTCAACGCGAACCTGATTGGCCTAATGTCCGCATTCGCCAGCGCCATCCTCTTCGTGGTCCAGAACATTGTCTCCAAACAGATCTTCAACGACGCTGCAGCCGCTGAGAAAGACGGTCTCCCACCCAACAAATTCTCCAAGCCGGATAAACTGAACCTCCTCTGCTATTCCTCTGGTCTGGCCTTCCTCTTTACACTTCCACTTTGGCTTTGGTCCGAAGGATTTACCCTCATCTTTGACTTCTTACACGACGCTTCCATCGAGCTATCAGACCACCCTGAGGCCTTGGATCATGGGCGCTTGCTACTTGAATTTCTATTCAACGGCACCTTCCATTTTGGGCAAAACATTGTAGCCTTTGTCCTGCTATCTATGGTGTCACCAGTTACTTACTCCGTTGCCAGCTTGATCAAGCGCGTCTTCGTCATTGTATTCGCCGTGGTCTGGCTCGGCAAACCTATGACAAAAGTGCAAGCTTTTGGTTTCGTACTCACATTCGTGGGTCTATATCTCTACGACCGCACGCACGACGCCGCCAAAGCAGATAAACGCGCAAAGGCCCTACAGTCCAAGAACAGCGGCTCACTGCTTCCATTAGCCACGGACGTCAAGTCACGACCAGTCTTCACTGCCAGTCCATCATCTATGCCGGATACAGGAGCGTATCCGATGCCTGGCATTCACGAATCACGAGAAGGGAAGAGACATGATGGTTCAGGCAGTTCGAATTATCGCAGGACATCTGAGCAGGGCTCGCATTACCTGCCTCCTGGGACCAAGGCGGAGGATACTTGGCGGCCTAATGACATGAATGGTAGAAGAGGTATTGGCGTTTTATGAGTACTTACGAATCTATTTGTTACATTCTGATGGATCTTTCCTTCAGCAATGAGTACCACAAGCAAGCATCCTAATCAGTGATTCGGAGGAAGCATTGAGTACGTTGATGAAGATGCGCAAAGGACCGAATTTACATGCCGAACATTAAGAATCATCGATTCGCCGAGATGACCGACCAAAACTAGGAGCCGTCGATCTATTTCGTCACATGTGATACAACGGCCGCCCCAGGACTCTGCTGACGCGTCAGCCCTGTACGAAATCCAAAGCCTGACAAGTAACGAATAAGGCGAATACCAAAGGCAACTTGAACATGAGCTGACATTGCAATCACGCCCTACATACAGCCGCTATTCGCATTACCGCCTCCCGTCCCGAACCGAACAAAGGAGATACTCCTCGCAGCATGCAAAACCAAGCAGAGACCCAGACACCTTTAGAGACAAATCAGACGTAAAGTGAGCGACTTCCTGGACGCCAAGTTTGGGCATTTGCATCATATCGTCTTGTATCCCGCGCGTTAAACGTGAAGCATATTGTATCGTAGTCCTGCTCGCTATATCCGAGCTTCCCCCTTCGCTGCTTCGCCAAAACATGCATTGTAACCCGGCGCAAACAGATTGTAGGTGAAGGATACTTGTGGATTTTCGTTGTCGTCTAGCAGCATCCCTTCTTCTGCTCCGCGTCGGCCGACTTACTGATCTCGAGAACCTTGCGGTCGTTGCCAAGGACGGGACCGCTGCCTTCGCCTTGGTCGAGGGCTTTGCTTGAGACGATGCGGTAAATTTCTGGGGAGGTGTTAGCAGCGGCTCATCTGAACGACATTTGCGGCTGGAGTGACAATAAAAGTGGCGGTGTAAACACATGTCCCCTTGGACCACTCAAGGTCACTTGAAGCTTTGCGCCAACCACTATTGTCGCTACTATGCGTTGTGGATAGGGGACTGACGTACCTGTGAGAATGTTCTGGAAGGCAAGCTCGACGTTGCTGGCGTCCAAGGCGGACGTCTCGATGAAGGAAAGGTTATTCTCGCCTACCGAGAGTATTAGCACACATCCCGAAGACTGTCTATACAACCGCCAATGTCGCAGAATTGGTACACGTACTTGCAAACTGCTTGGCCTCCTCTGTTGGCACTGCCCGCAGATGCCTCAAATCGCTCTTGTTACCCACGAGCATGATGACGATGTTGGAGTCAGCATGGTCGCGTAGCTCCTTCAGCCACCTCGTCACATTCTCGTATGTCTGGTGCTTGCTGATGTCGTAGACAAGCAGAGCGCCGACTGCGCCACGGTAGTATGCGGAGGTGATGGCACGGTATCGCTCCTGGCCTGCGGTATCCCAAATCTGGGCCTTGATGGTCTTGGCGTCGACTTGGATGGATCGGGTTGCGAATTCGACGCCGATGGTCGACTTGGAGTCGAGGTTGAACTCGTTGCGCGTGAACCGGCTCAACAGGTTGGATTTACCGACACCAGAGTCTCCGATGAGCACCACTGCGGGGGTTAGCGGGCGACAAGGCCAGGAAAAGTAAGGTGGGGGGACAGGTAGGTACCCTTGAAAAGGAACTATTTACACTATCGTCAGTATGCAACAACGTAGGGCCACTGTCGTACGGAGACTCACGTCATATTCGTCGTTCGCCATTGTTGCGGTAGGTGGGGAAGTGGCAGATGGGCGGGTGGAAGTCTCAGTTGATGTATCGGCGAGATTTGTGAAAGCAGAGCCTGGAGAGCTTTGGGGTATCAAGGCAAGCAAAAAAGCTTGGGGTCAGGTCGTCGTGGTAGTGGACAAGTGCGCTATCTCGCTGCCTCGAGGAGTCGCTGCTCCACCGTCAAAGCACCAGCCAGCACCCCAGGAGCGAACGAGCCCATGCCTTCTTAGGTAAGCGAGACGCTAGTCTCCGCGCCCTCACTCGAACCAACACCTCCATGCCTGCTTGCACCGCCGCAAACACTTTGCCTTGCGACGACTAGACCCAGTTACTCTCTGACTTTCTATTGCATTCCGAATGACAACAGCAATCCCGCGCGTATGCGGAGAAAGAACTCACACGTTGTATCAACATCCCGCTACTGCTCTCAACCAATCAGAACCTCGCGTCTTCACCCGCCTCCATAGCTTCCCACAGAATGTCACTGCGCTCTGATGAAGATATTGAGGGGGGCGAATATGATGTGGAATGTATCCTAGCCGAGCAGTGGCGAGGCTCCTGGGATGTACAGCCCTTCGGTGCGGGCATTAAATACTTGACCAAGTGGGAGGGTTATCCACTTGAGGAGTAAGTTTGTCACTTACTATCATTGAATCAAGCTAACCAGCTTGAAAGATGTAAGCATTCCACCCTCGTCTTTAACACCTCTATATTTCCCTCTGCTAAACAGCACCTACCTGTGCTCTTTTACCTTTCCAGGTGAACAAACGTCCATCGCATATTTCTAACATTATCTAGGCACTTGGGAACCAGCAGTCAACTTCAACGACGTCTCGACACAACCTGAAGAGCCCTCAAGCACCACCGCACTGGAATTATGGAACGAAAAGAAAGCGAAAACTAGCAGAGCTGACTTCAGGAAGCTATGCGACAGAAACATAGCAAGATATGAGGCAGCGCTTAACAACCAACATGAGGTGTCGCCTCTGGAAGGTGCTCTTGTAGATAGAGAAGCTGCAGACTCCAGTCAAATCAACCACTTATTTGTGGACAGTTCTACTACGGACAACGCGGAGCTATTCGCCAGACAGCCTCCAAAAGCGCGCAAGCCTCCCGTGGTGCAGTCAGAATCCTCTTCTTCTGAAGGAGAGTTGACAGATGACTCATTGGTGGCAGAAATGGCTACGACGTCGAGCAAGACAAAGCGTACGTCCACCGATGCAGAAGACTCTAATACTGGGCGTCGAGCAATTCAAAAGTCAGCTCAGTCACCCCGTACTCCATTGAAGCGTGCTGCGACCACGCCGAACCCGAAGTCAGTCACGACATCGAGCTTGGCAAAACCTGCGCAAAGTAAAGAACTGCGTAGGATTTCACTGCCGCAAGCAGATTCAGGTCCCCGAAATGAGCAAATTGAAACAGTCTCCACCCAACGAAGGGCAAGTGACACTATTGGACTTACAGACGCTGCTACGGGTAGTGCTTCCGCCACGCATAACACTATACGACCCGTTAGCACAACCTCAGGTACTGCAAAGCGACCAGTCTTTTTTGTGACACAAACTAGTTCTAGTAAGACCACATCCAGCCTAGGAAAGAGTAGTGGTATCAGGATAGTAAACGAACATAAACTCCAACCTCGTCAAACTTCTGCCTTGTTAAAGAAAACTCGCTTCCAAACATTACGTCGACAGGGAGAGGCAGATAAGAGGTCTCGTAGGGAGGGTACACCTGATATTGGGGCTCTCAAATTCGTTAATGGCCCATCTGATGCCGTTGTTTTGAATTTACAGGCACCACGCAATGATCCATACGCTCGTCGTGAAGCTGGCCATAGGCGTGTCATCGCAGAAGAGCCCCGAGACGACGCGCCTCTAGGGCGAGAGTCTACTGACAGGAACATACCTTTGGAACCCTGGGAGTTTCACAAAGTTCCCCAGGTATGCTATCAATGGAGACTTAGCAATAACTGCACAAAAACCGCGAGGGAATGCCGCTTCATGCATAGGCATAAGGATGACAAGGGCCGCGATTATCCTGTAGCGGATGTGCAAGGTTGGGTACCTGGAAAATATCGTAGCCCACCACTCACATGTCCGTTTTGGCTTAATGGGCCAAAAGGTTGCAAGAAGTCTGCCGAAGACTGTCAGTTTGCGCACGAAAATACCGGATTGACGAAACATAGCGACCCCACAATGGGTGATGTGCGAATTGACAGTGGTCGGCAGCCAAAGCATGATGATAGCATAGAAAATCCGCTCAGAGACAAGAAGACTATGAAGTCTCTGAGACCAGATCAGCTTACATGCTGGTTCTGGAGCAAAGGCCGGTGTCGGAAAACAGAAGAGGATTGTGCTTACCAGCACAGAAATACTGGCATTATCGCAGATGGGCCATATGATGCTCATCAGACGTCCGTTTCTGTGTCAAATGTGCCTGACGATATGGATGTCGACCATACCATCCAGCCGCATACGACCGATGAAGCAACACGTACGCCTACTCCCGTATTATCCGAACAACCGCAACAGTTCTCATTCCAGCCACCACCTCCGGCTCCACCTCCACCCATCAGAAATGAGGTCGAGATTCTATGCAACCAATTGCAAGCAAACGGAGGCTCAGTTTGCAGACTCGATTTTGAGGATATGTTTGCGAGTAATGATGGCGAGGAACCTGGCAATCTGCTAGAAAGTAGAGCTTTTCTAATGTACCATCCCAAAGACCATTTCGAAGACTTGGAAATCATCACTCGATGGTTGTTATTGCACCATGTCCAGGTTGCTAGTACGAGCTATCAGGGTGCATGGGCGGTTTTCCAGCAGCAAATCCTACAAGGAGGTTCGGGCATCATCATTGTACGTAATTCAGACTTTGTAAGACACACGAATGCTAACTATACCAGGCACATCCGGACGTTGAGTACTTCACAGCATTTCCAGGTTTTGGCAAAATTCTCCGCAGGGATGTGCGTGTTTGGTCGGTCGGACTTCAGCCAAGTCCTGAGTACGACCCTGCTTTGACGAATATTCCTCCTGTGCTCCGATATGAGCGCATTGAAATCTTTCCAGTTGGTGGATTCATTTACATCACGGAAGAAGTCTTTGAGACACAGCCACGACTTGCTTTACAGATCATCAAGCTCTTCTTCGCAAAGATTACAAATCTGAAGAAGCTTGCAGGTCCATTGGCTCCGTGGCAAGAGGTCGATGATGCCAGCTTGTTCTGGCGTCTATGCGTTCGCCCGGAGTTGATGGAGTATCTATTGCAGAAATGCGAAGACCATGCGATAGATTTGGACGCTGGAAACGCTGACATACAGAGGTTCACTTACTACGCTCAACACAGCCTGATCCATTGCTAACTTTGATGCAGTTGCGCCAAGCTCTACACGCTCCTCGCCGAAACCAACTACATTGAGCAAGACGACCCAGATGTTCCACTCAACGCTGTAGCCGACAAATACCCAATCCTTTCCGAGCGCCGTATCATCGCCGAATGTGAGCCTGTAGACTACTTCAACACAGTCGCACGTAGCAAAGAAGCCGCTAACCTGAATATGATCCGTTACTACGCCGGACTGCAGGTCGACTTGCGTCGTGATTACCGCCACTTCTACGTGGTACATACGGAGCCAAATGCAGGGTATGTCCAACAGTGGAAGGACGAGATTCAAACCCTTGCCGATGTCGTCACACCCGAGCAATGCATCAAGGAGTTTATGAAGGAAGGGCTGGACAGCATGTTTGACTTTTACGAGCGCTTTATGCCAGAGAACGCAGGCTCAAAGGCAGGAGTCAAAGACGGTGACATAACAATGCGTGCAGGTTAGGGGCTTGCACACGTTAACAAGGGTCTCACAAAAACGGGCGTTGGGTGGTGGACAAAGGCTTCCAAGATGCTTTTGCAAAAATCTTCCCAGGGAACATGAAGTTATGTCGTGACTTCCTCTTCATAGATTCGACTTTATGATGGCAATTTCGCTTCTTTTCTAGGGCATTACGATACCCTTTGATAGCATACTAGATGACATGTTTAATGAGAAGAAGCATATCATCACCTGAGCAGACATACTACAAAACGACGTTGACGGGTATATCCTGGAATCCCTCTCAGTATGTAGGCAAAGCGATGGACGACAAAGGCAAAATGGGTATCATTGACTCGATTTCAGACGTAACAGAACTACTTCTTCTTTCCTTTGGTCTTGTCTACAACCTCGACCCAATTCCTATGCACGCCCCTCTTCTCCAATGCCTTCATGATAGCGTCTTTCTGAGGACCCTGAACCATGACCTCCATGACAGGGGCTTTAGGACTTGATCCTTGCAGTTTATCCACGCTCGTACTACCTGCGCACGTCTTTCTCAGTTCGTCAGCGAGCGGCTGTGGTGAGATGTAGTATGGTTCCAGCCCATGCACCTTGGTCACAGTTTTGTTGCCACTGCGCGTCTCAAGCGTGATTTGGATCTTGGGTGGTGCACCAGCTTTTGGCTTGGCGTCAGCAATATCGGCGTCGTTGCGGATGATGGCGTGGAAGGGCGAGGCGGCAGCGACCATGCGTTCAGACAGGGCGTCTCTAGGCATGGTTCCTGATGACAGCGCCGCATTGTCGGCTGCTGAGGAACCCAATAGGGCATCTGCGAGTTGGGGGTTGATGCGAATAAGACGCTTGTTCTTGGGGTCGATCAAGTTTTCCGCCTCTACGTAGGCTATGAGAAGCTGCTTTAGCTCTGCTGGCGTGTAGAGACCGCGCGGATCTGCTTTGGAGGCACTCAGGATAGGCGCTAACTTCTCCTTAGGCCGCAATACAGAGACAAGCTTTAGCCTTTGGCCAACGGAAGACTCGGCGGACAGGGATGCAGCTGGCTTGCCGTTTGTGCTCGCTGCGGCTGGGGTGTCCTTCTTCGGCAACCTGTAGGGAACGAACGACTCAACTTGGCGATCCTTGAAATCGATATCAAGTATGACGACCTCATTGCCGTCGCGGTCTTTGCACTTGACGATTTTTTGCTTGTCTAGATGCCTTATAAACTTCCTGAGGTTCTTCCAACTTGTCTTTTTGATTTGTAGCGAGGCGGTTCGCGCGGGGGTGTAGGTGGGGAGGAAGGGTTGGACGAGCATGTCCATGACGTTTGATTGCGAGAGGGGAAAGTCGAGGCCGTAAGAGGGGTGGCCCTTGTTGTGATCCATTTGGTATCGGACGCCGTACAAGAAGGCGTTCTTGAAAGCTTCATCGATTTCTAAAGCTTGTTAGCAGATGGTCGATTCAGCGAAACTAGTGAAAGCATACCCTTGGTAGTTAGCTCTTTATCCTCGAGAACATCGATGAAGTCGTTGTTGGATGGCGCATCCTCGCCTTCTACGCCCTGGGATCTCTCTGCCTGTGACCGTTCGGTCGGAGTGGCTTCGAGAGCGACACCGCCTTCGTCGTCATCTAGGTCTACGGTTGCCGTGCGTTCAGCGAGACTCGCCTCTTCGCCACTGTCGTCGTCCCAGCCCTCGAGAATATCGGGAGGCTCACTGCCGGCCTTGCCTGTTGAGCTCCAAGACCATAGTTCGTCACCTGCCCAGTGGAATGTGGATACTGCAATCCCTTTGGTACCCTGGACTTTGCCCAAGGCGCTTACGTCGATGGTGCACTCGCCTACGGCCATGGGGACTGTCGGTGCCTCGAGGCTCGCGACGGCGACGATGGCGCCTTTTGTCGCTTTCTTGGGGAAAGGCGGGCCTCGTTGTAGCCCAGGCGTCATCAGGTCGGCGCCACCTTGCATTTTCTCGACGACGACGAGTGGCGTATATAGTAGCGGGACTATGCGTGGGTTGTGCCATAGGGTGTAGACGGTAGGGTACATTTTGTCGCCAACCTTGACCCACAACACTCTCTGATCCCCGCCTGTGCCCTCATGGCTGCCTACGTATATTGTTCCTGACACCTGCTTGAGGTCGGGCCCTGCGGTGGTGGTGAAGCGCGCCGACAGCGCATTCTCGGGGAGTATGGACTTCCGTAATGCTGTCAGCCCGGCGGTCGAAGCTGTCTTGTCTTCGGGGCTCGCGTCAGTTTCTACGGGAATCTCTATGCCAAAGTCGGCGATGATCTGGTCGGCTGTCCTGCGGCGATCGCTCGACTTGAGTGGGGAGAGGGGCTTGATCTAGGGAATGTTAGTCTGAGCGGGAGTATGTGCGGAGATTATTTCTACAGTTGGTTTCTTTTTGAACATGTTGAATTGTGATGCTTCTGCTACAGTCGCTCGGCGTCGTGAGCTCGGATGAGCCTCTGCACGCTGGCCGCAAATAATGTTTGGCGCGGGCGATTGTCCATGACTTCAGCGGGGCAGCTAGCGCGTTTTCCCCATGCCATTGCCATGTGCCGCACTGGGAGGCATGCAGCATGAGTCGAAACCCCTCATGCTGACTACGCCGTTCTCATTTGGCTAAACTATGCGACAGACGTCGTGACCAACGCCACATTAGTTTTCGCAATTATCGTCATCGTCCATGCACAGAAGCTTTGTGTTGAACAATTATGCAGTACGAGGTCCACGGATGACCCAGGGACCCGGTCGTCACATTAGACTTTTGTCACCAGCTAAACTATCATAGCGGGCGAGTATCGGTTTTTCATCCCGAAGCTACTTTTTCCGTGGTTGGGCTTTCGTTGACGTCGGGAGATTAACCACACCTGGAGGCGCGTGCTGGCCTCACTTGTCGATCCTGAAACCATGACGCTCCTTAGTGGCATCCTGGTGGGCAGTTGAGATTCTGCTGTACTTGGTAAGCCGGCAGATGTCCCTCCCTTTGGCAACAACAGTATGCAAAGATGCCTTGACGTTTATAGACCATTGTCCTATTTACGCATTGCACAGCATCAGCCGCGTCTTCGGGACGGGTCCTCGCACCTCATTCAAGCTGTTCAGAGCCTCCGGATAATACCATCTCACGTCAAGTACTCCATAGCCATCTGCCGCAAGCTGAGCAGAAGGGATTACCAGTTGCGGTTGTTGTATTGTCACGTTAGACATCCCATTCGTTGCTCGTTTGGGACACGTACTTTAACCTGCTGCACCACCGTCATCCATAAAGAGCGACACTTAGTGACCGCCTGTCCCTCAAAGGAAATCAGCCTCGCACACGAAACGACTAAATGCAAGGAGATGAACAATGTAGATAGACTTCATCCCCAGATTCCAGGACACTGGCCCAGGCCACTGGCGTCAATTGCGCCCCATGTCGCTCACCCGCCCAACATCCATGCAGCTGGCAGCACTTGGCGTTGAGGTAAGCCAGTTCCGGTCAAGGCGTGCTACGCTTCAATTTTTAGCCGGCCAGGCACCATAATGCCATGTGTTTGTTGCACGGTACGCGGCTCTGTGCTAGCCATTTGCCGCATCGGCAACAGCTGGGGGTTTTTTTCTCGCACGAGCTTGCGCATCCGACCCCCATTCCATTTGGGTAGTCAGGCTGCAAACACTGCAGTGGTTCGTGGTGGCGGGACGTCAGCGAAAGACTTGCCGGGCCGGCCAATGGCTCAAGGCCTCGATGCTAACGTCGACAACGGCTGGCGTACTTCAACAAACATTTCTTGGCCGCGTGGTGCCAGTGGCCGACCGGGGTGCCACAGCCATGATTCAGTCACACTACGCCTCCCTCGGGCAAAGCACCAACACGCATGGACTCGGGCCCCCGGGGCCTCCAGGATGACCGTCGACCGTAAAGGTCATGGCGAGATGCGGAGAACTGGCGCGCCACGAGAAACGCCCAGCTGCGCCCGTTTCTTCTTGTGCTCATTCCCCATCTTTCCTCATAAGCCCGTCGTTGTCGCTCACACTCACGCCTGCCATGGTAACAGCCTTGAGGTCGACTTTGAAGCTTTTCGCGTTGTGACATCACAGCACGCTTCCTCGGCATTTGCCCCGGCTTCCGGAACCGACCATCGAAAATTCTGCGAACACCATGAGTCCCATACCCGATATGCGATGGCAGGAGCATGAAGTGGTACCCAAGCCCAGTGACCCGGAGGAACTCATACTGGAAGCATGGGCGCAGGGCTATCTGGTTGGGTCGCTCATCATTATGAGCTTCATCACGCTGGCGAACATGAGGCGAGGCGTGCTGTTGCACAAGGTTAGTAAAAACCCTCTTTAAGCAGTGACCACCGCTGACAACCATCTAGTTGATTCTACTTGAAGTGAGTCCACATTAACGCGTCTGCTTACACCCGTACTGATCAATTCCAGCTTATCCTCGGTATATGGCAAGGATTCTGGTTATTCTTCCCTAGTCCAGTCCACGCGTGGTGGCTATCCGTCGCTGCCATCTTCCTAAATGCTTCATGGTCTCTGCATAATGTCATTGCCTGGATGAAGATTAAACCCTTCCTCTCGAAACCCGTCAGCTATATATTCATCGGCACTGTAATTCTTGCTCAACCATACTGGATCGTGGAGATATACGCCAACTTCGCCTACTTCCATGGAGTCAACAAGATATTCCTGTCTACACGACCATACGAGGCGCTATGCCGTGATCCTTGGTGGATCTTCACCACCATCTATCTCTTCTGGGTCATCAAGACCCAATACGAACTGAGCCTCAAGGAAATCATCCGCATCTCGCCGCGTTTCGGTATCATGCTGTTATCCATGTTGCTCAGCATAATCTTCATCATCCTAGACATTCTTACCGTCACCAGAGCTATTGGCCTTCCAGGAGCTACAGGCATCAATCCCTTCTGGAAGTTTGCATTCGTCTTCAAGTGTCTGACAGACTCTGTGGTCCTCGATGACTTCAAGGTGGCGCTCGACCGCTTGCGAGCTTTCAGGATCAGTCGGCTGGGTAGCTTTTCGGGTGACATGAGCGACAGTCGGAGTCGCCCCGACAACAACCTCGTTGCTACATGGGAAGAGATGGAGAGGGAAGCGAATGCGCTCCAAAATGTGCGCAGCCCGGACGGCGACTACATACACCCCAGCAACTACCCATACAAACCCAAGCGCGCGCGAAGACCTCACAAAGACTCGGTCATGTTCCCCAATCAATCGGATTACCGAGATTCCAATGCTGGATTGGAGCCGGAGGATATCGTACCCAGTGCGTTGGGTGATGGTCCGATCAATGCGGCGAATGCACAACCCGTGCAAAAGAAACAACACCAGTTTATCGATGACATGGTCAATCACAACAGGAGAGATCTGGTTGCTGAGAACGACTATGCTGAGGCGATGAGGGACATGCAGCGAGATAGTGTCTCTACACCTCGTCGAATAAGCGAATCTCCCCGTCGACTCGCACCGCCGGGCTGAGTAAAGAAGGGACCTTGGAATTTTTCAACACTTAACATGTGTCGAACGACCCATCAGCAGCTGGGAACCGGCCAGCGCCGATGAGGTCGGCGCATTTACGGCTATAGACATCCCTACCCATGCGATGCACGAGCACACCAGGTGCAACCCTGATCCATGCGCTTACCACGATCGGCGCAGTGGACAGGCATGACCCCGCGAAGGCCACATACGGATTTGGACGGCGATAGAAGGATAGAAGGAGTCAGCGATACGCTATTGCGAATCGACGACAAGCGGCATGTTGATATGAAGGCGTCGTTGTGTACATGCTTGCAGGCATTGGCCAAATTGGCCAGATTTATATACCCATTTGCTTTTCATCGATAGGCCTTATGCCATATTGCATACCCAATACGAAATATACTTACACACGTATATACAAATAAAATTCCGACATCTAGCATCTTGAGGAATATGTGGTGCACCCGTTGACCTGCCCTGTCTCTTCCGCCACATGAGACACTCCGGTCTGGGAAGCACACCTTGAAGATGTTTTAGACGGTGTTTATGTATTCTCACCCTTCTCTACCCACGACCGTGGATTCGACTGTGTCAGCAACATGATGCAACGTCGACGCCTTTTTCTAATCTGCTCCGTCCCTCGGTTTCCTACTGCTTCTCCCCTAAGAAATATATTTCATGTTTATATGGCGGTCATGCGAAGGCCTTGTTTCTAGCCTCATGGACTGTTATAGTACTGCAGCAATTGATTTTGGTTTCGGGCGTAGTTGAGGCAGGGACGAAGCTGGCATTGTAGTTTTGGAGATCATTCGTAGCCATGCGTCGGATTTGGATTTGGATTTGATTGACGACGGCGCAATATCGTGTGAATGCAGCTCAAGAGGATGTTGCGAAATTTCCAAGAGATGAATGATTCGTTTTCATCTTCTATGATGTGTTGGCCTCTATTATCGTGTGCTTTCTCAGACGTCTTTTTACGATTCATCAGTGTGCGAGGCTGACGTTGACTCTCCCTTAGTATAAGGACCCTTCTTCCATATCAGCTCACAGTTACTAGGCCGTTCTCCTTGGCCAATCTCGTATGTTGCGCACAAATGGCCAGTTTCGTTCGTGATTATGTTTCTTGCAGCCAAGCAAGGGCTCCAATGCATGCTATCGACGAATTGTGGAGCTTTGGAACCAACCTTCGTTCCACAGCAATACTCTACAGCTGTCGCGTCGTAACCAACTCCAAGTTGACAGAAAGCTACCCCCATGAACTGGGCGCCCCCCTTGGCCCATGACTCCCACCGTATACTTAATCTCACTGCAAAGACGTTCTTCCTATTAAGCCCGAATATCAAATAGCAGACACTGATGGGTTGCCCTTCGTAGATGAACCTAAGTCGACGGTCTCCAATCCAGTCACTAAAGACCGGCGGCCACGAGCTTGAGAGCGTATATCCTGCTTCATCAATCAATGAAACGCCCATGATGAATCTAGATCGCGATGCCAATCTCCAAAAACTTGAGACAGTTTCCCAGCTTGCGCTCCAGTCGGACAAAAGGCTTTCCCAGGATATGCTCGTGGTAGCAAAGACAGAATTGTAACCTCCATCACTAATATATATCAGTTTCCTTCTAGCGGTTCGATTTAAGCGTCCCCAGGGGCTTTTTTGGAAGTTGCGGATAGGTGGGCAACCGCCAGCTCGCTCGAAGACGTTTTTGTTTCCCCCAAAATCCTGCTTGAGTACAATTCCAATGCCAATATGCCTGCCTTTACTCTGCTCTGCTTCTATGATACCTAACCAAATCTTGTTTCGTGGTTCGATAAGCACCATGAAAAGCTCAATATGTAAGCCACGTCCAGTCACGGTGGTATGTGCCCCTGACAATAGTCGTATGTGGTAAATGTTCTCCCTCGGATATTCCAGAAATGCTGCTGGCAATCGTGCAAGACACGAACGATGATGCATATAGGGAAGGTTGTATCCCCAAGCCAGGAGACTTATGTCATCGGAACCGCTCAAGACGGCCTCTTGGAGCCGAATGAAAGCTTTTTCTCCTTCTCCGTACAACAACGGCATATTGATATCCAACAGGCCTAGCAAGCAATATGCCTCGTCCTCTACACGAGTAGTATTTCGTCCCGCCATCCATGAAAGTTTGCATGCTGCTGATATTTGGGAAAGATTCTCAAAAGTACCGAAGATGTACTCGGGGATGGACGTAATATCTTCCAAGAGATTAATCCACTCTCTATCAAGAGTATAGTTGAGAGAGATGGGAGAAATCAGCGTCCAATTGCTGTCGTAGAAATCGATTCGTTCTGGGGCTAGTAGCTCCTGTAAAGTCCATCCTCTAGTAAACCATCGACTCTTTCGAAAGGCAGAACCATGCTCGTAAACGTCCGATCCAGATGGAACATCCTGTAGGTAGGCATAGCACACCTCAGCACTCTCGTACCAGCGGAACATGGAGTTGATAGCTTCCGAAAGTTCCGCACTGCTCGTCTTATCAATACAGCAGGTATCGACCCATACCCAGAGCAGCTGGTCCTTGATTGCCTGTTGACAGCATCCTTCGATCTTGGCATAGCCTTCTTTCTGCTGGTGTCCTTCTCTTGACAGATCTTGAAAAGTGACTTCTTCTTGTCCCAAGTATGCGAGAGGATTGCGTACGGAGGGATTGCGTCACCAAAAAACTCCTCCAGCTGCCGGGTATCGACATTGAGCAGTCTCATGGCTTGGATGTCGCACGCACTGACGAGGCTGAGGGCGCCTTTGCATAACGTGTCTTTTGCGACTGAGATCTACGATTCCATAAAGAAATGTGAAGCCACCGTACGGTGATCACTTTGAAGAGATGAAGTGGTATTTCGAAGCGGAGATACGTGTGTATGAGTTCTGTGTAAGTCAAGACTAGGAGAATGGATGGGTAGTCGGCCTGGAGGGAAGCGCGCTTATGGCTGCGTCGATGTTCAGCCGCAGCCACAAGCGTCGCGCATCTTCATTCGACTTTTCATGACCAACATAACGACTGTCACAGCTGATGACTATCAACAAGAGGAAACAGTAGTCGTAGTGGTATCTGGAAACAAGCACGTATGGATCTTACAGTGACAGAAGCGGTTGTAACGTAAGTCTGTACTGTGTCACATGCGCTGGGCGAAGTGAATACAGGCTGCTGACCAGGTACAGTCTAAGTCGCTGAGCTGGACGACTATGTGTTGAGCCTACCTAGAGGGTAGGTAAGTTGCGAATCGATAAAGCGGATCAGCATTTGTCCCGCATGCTGTTCTAGCGCGGAACATTCCGAGCCTCGGCTCGCAATTGGAAAATGCACCTGAACCTTTGCAAGGGATGATGAGGCGTCATATGCTGACGCTTGGTGTACAAAAACGTGTCCTATCCCTCCCGTCGCCTCATCATATCCATAGCCGCGTCCTGGTATGGTCACCATGGCGCAGACGGTTAGCATCGTCGTTGCGGGCGCATCGATGGCAGCACTCGCGTCACAACCCGCGCTGAGAGGCAATCTGACGGCTATGCTAGCCAAATGGACAGGCTACAACGCGCCTGGAGGTGTCTGGAGGATAGCTGCGATTCTTCTCGCATTGGCGAACCTCAAGAATCTGCCATTCGTCTGGCATGTACGTGTTGAGCGGAATAGGAGCACACACGACTTCAAGCTGACAACATCCATAGCTGCGCTTCATCCGTGCCTTCTTCTACCAACTGTATCTCCAACCGACCCCAATTCCTCCGCATGCGCTCTTCCAACCGATCATAACCTCGACCCGTACCACGCTCCTTGAAACAGACTACAACATGCACAAGTCGAATAGCACATACTTTAGCGACATGGACATATCTCGTACCCATCTCTTCACCGCGCTCATTCGAAATGGCATTAGGAAGAACAGCCGCCTATATGGCGCCAAGAAAAATGCAGTAGCAGGAGCAGTAGGCGCCACAGAAGGTACACGGGGCAAGCATATGATTGCCCTAGGAGGCATAAGCTGTCTGTTCAAGAAGGAGATCTTGCCGTACAAGAAGTATGAGATGTGGACAAGACTTCTTTGTTGGGACAGGAAGTGGTTCTATCTAGTCACACATCTTGTCAAGCCTGGTGTAGGACAACCCGAGAGCTGGACACTGCAGCCTTGGAAGAAGTCCAAAGGCACCAAGGACGCTGACCCTGAGAAGCTGAAGGGCGCCGTATATGCAACCGCGATTGCGAAGTATGTGATCAAAAGAGGCAGGATCACAGTCCCTCCAGAACAGGCACTGATAGACGCTGATATGGTACCAACGAAGCCAGAGGGTTGGATTTATCAAGGGCTCGCACACGAGGAGAATGAAGCGAATGGTGATGTTCTACCCAAGGCTGTAGAAGCGAAGGATTGGAACTGGGACGTTATCGAGGCGGAACGACTCAGAGGCTTGAAGGTGGCGGAGAACTTTGCGGCCATGGACGGCATGCATGAGTTCTTCGATGGCGGAAAAGATGGTGTTTTGGGGGAATACGCGGATTTGTTGTACTGATTGAAACTGATTTATTGAAGTAGAGCTTGATACCCTAGATCTGGGAGTAGATTTGGAATACAATACAGAACAGCGAGGGCAAGGTGAACACGTACTGTGGACAGCGGCTACATATCATGATGTTTTCACATGTAATCTTCTCACCTACGTTCACATTCGTTACAACCACTAGCAGAGACAATGTACTCCAGGGAACGCACAGGGAACGCTAGCGTCGCGCTAAGCCACTGGCGTACCCCGGGGCTGCGCCGCCTTTCCCAGCCAACCTCGAGTGCTGCGTTTGACAATCACCGGTCACCACATGCAGCGGGTCAGTTATGGGGCCGTGGTGCCACCTGCTGGTTCAGCCTTGTGGCTTTCAACCTTTGATGCTTCTATGCGATTAACTGAATCCACTGACCAGCAGGGCGCAGGTTTTCCAGAGACACTCACACCAAACTCACCATCTTCTTCTGGGACTACGACATATCCGTTTAACAGAAGCTTCAGCAGTCATGGCCGCAACGTCAAGCGTTACTGCAATAGGAGGTCCTGACATGGCTTACATTGGGGAGCTTTACGAAAACATATCTCGACACCCACCGGGCATAGGTGCCAGGAAGCTACTTGTCGAACACTACATGTCAGTCGGTAACGAATGGTTGGAAGGTGCATTAGACGAGGCAAAGAAGCTGCAGGGTTTAGCCCCAACAGATCCAGACGTCGCCGAGTTCCTAAAGGTTCTCGAGAAGAAGCCAGAGCCTCCAGGGCCTAAGAAAGCAGCTGAAGTAACGTCCACGTCTTTGACACAATCACAGCGACAGAATATCAACAACGCTCGATACAAGGCCAGACCGATATCGAAACACGAATCCAACCGCCCAGGCTTGACCTTAGGAAAGCCAGTCGGCGACTTGGACGATTCGCAACGAGACCTGGTCACTGGATACCGAAATATACGTGCAAAAGCAATGCACGTATTCTCTAACATGCTACGTCTACAGGCACTCCAGAAGAAGGCCGGTTTACCCCAATCGAAAAATCTCGCTAAAGTGCATGCTATGGCAGATGGAGATAATGGTACCACCTGCGTTGGGATGCGGCCGCCTGGAAGTGCTCGTTCTGTGGCGCGCAACGTCCGGGACAACTCAGAGGAGGCCACGAACCTGGTCATACTAGACCTAGAAGACATGATCAGATGGATACGCGCGCCGTATGGCACACCTTCAGGTGCTAGTATTGACTCCATCCGTGATGCTCTTGTCACACGTCGAAGAGCAATTGAGTCTGTGCTTCCTGACGAGCTAAAGATCTATTGCGAGCTTGGCTTCATGCACGTTGAGCATGAGCACCTCGAAAGAAACTACGTCAATGACGAGACTATGTACGGAGATGAGGTCAAAGACATCCCAAGAGAGGACTTCTACGTGACTGAAGACAACTATGCGTGGTCGATGGATGGTACGTAACTTCCATGTACGAACTGCACACGAGACGTATGCTGACTTCATATACCCAACTCTAGAACTTGTCCAGGCTATACAGGCAAATAGCGGTGTACTTCGCAATCCTCTAAGCAGAGAGATGTTCACCCCAAAGGATGTTAAGGGAATCCTACTGCATCCGTCAGGACAATCTCTAGCCGCTCTACATGTCGAGCAGCATGCAATGTCTAAAGGTGTGCGGAGTGAGACGATCGAGCAGATGGAAAAGCTCTCCACGATATTGCTAGCAGATCAAACTAGCGATACGTTCCCCAGCCGCAAAGCAGTAGACGAATTTCTGCTTTATGTTGCAACTCGTAAGTCTTTTCTCGAGACAATGGCGTTCGATTGATTAACATGGTGACAGTACCGGAACTTGAGCAGAAAGCGATAGAAGGCCTTAGATGTCCCGCAAAAGACTCCCATACCGGACAATCTTATGACTGGTCCATTGGCGAGGCAGTGAAGGATGCAAAGGGCAACCTTGTATGTTTTCACAAAACGGGCGACTTCATCAAGCAAGCCGCTGCACACTTGCGGAAGAACCGTAGCGTTGCCCCCAGACACCGACGAAGGTAACTGTTCAATTATGTGACAGCTGCTAGCAGTTTCATCGGCTCAACCATCGATTCTCTGGGTGTTTCGCGATAGCGGTCTACTTCCTTTTGTGGTATACGAGTTTCATAATGGCTGCAAGTGGCTGCAAAGATCCGGGCTGTGGTCAGACACATCACATGGGTGAATCCTTTCGATGCTCCTTTAAGTAATGGCCTTGCGTATGAAGATGTTTTGTGGTTGGATGATGCCGGTTTCTGGCGCAGCACTCTAGGATCCTTAGATCATACAGCCCACAAGGCATCCTTACACCCCACATGCTAGGTCCACTCTTCGAAGTGCCTTTCGCCAGTGATCCCTTACATTGGATTTTCATGTTCATTTACTCGCTAACCGTTGTCTAGTACCGCGGTTAGCCTACACAATCGCCATGGCCCTAACTGCTTCAGGAGCCGGTGAAGGTACTTTTGGTACAAGCCACCCTGTTCAGCCTTGTGCGCAGCCACGGAATCTCCGTCTTCCGCAGTAACAGGCCACCCAACACATGAACTTCATACACGATTGCATATGCGCTTTTGCAGTTACGCCCAAAAATGGGTCTTCAAGATTCGATGTTCGTCCTTACTCATCAGCCGTAAGTCTGTTGGTTGTACCTCCTCGAACACAACCAAACATCTTGCTACTCTAGACCTCGCTAGTCTCATATTGCCCCAAAGAAAGCACAGTGGGTTACAAATTCCGAGCGCATCACCTTTGATGGTTACAATTCGCTCGAATGTTCTCGTGCTTCTTTCCCGGTTACCAGATCCTATGATTACTTCGATACGGACATTCCGAGCGACTCTTTTCCCGAACTCACCCTAGCATCCTCTAACTACACATCGTCATTTGAAGGTCTATGAGAAGCATGGACGCCGCAATCATCCTTCCTACTACAGCCGAACGATGCACCGACAAACGCCCACGTATGTCATGGGCCAAGAGGCCAATCCCTTTGAAGAATTCGGTATTCTTCAAGAAGGCCAAACACGGTCAAGAATGGCATGAAGAGGTGGAGGGCACTGCTGGGCGACTGCACCCCTCAGATCCTCAATTCCCGTGGGGTTTCGTCCGTAACCACACCGATACCTATCTCAAGAAGAAAGGCAAAATTAGTCAGGAAGAAGCAGATGTAAGACTGTCAAAACTGGTTCAGATGCATCGGGCGAGAGATGTTGCCATAGCCTCTGTAGCGCATGCTATGACGGCGCAAAGCCTGAGCCTGCTGCTGCTTGCTGAAACGAATGTCATGTATGGAAGTTACTGGGGCCTCGACACTTGGCTACAGAGCTTGATAGCTGCAAATGAAGGCAATCCCGCCTCAACAACACATTTGGAGGCACAATGGGCACGCTTACTTCTACCTTATGCCACTGTCGGTCCTAGCGCAGCCGGCTACTACCTGAAGGGCGTAACTCAGGCCCTGAAAGAATTCGAACCCCGGAACATGCAGAATGACCTTTATAAATTCGCGGCACTATTAGGGAGATCTATAAAGGATTACGCGGCGCAGTTGGAAGGCCTCCGGTTGACAAGTGATTGGGTCGCAGCTAAGGAGGCAGTAGACTGGATGACGAAACTGGATACATTGTCAACTCTGGATTTATCAGGTTCACTGCGCATAGAAACTATCTTCGACGAGCAATTCCCAGCCTGGAGGATGTGGGCTTCTTGGAGACCAGACGTTGATCGTATTACCCACCTCTCCAAGCTAAGAAGCACATGGACGTCGACTATTATCGATATATTAGCCCTGGAAGGACCTGACCTGATTACGGGTACCGAAAGGACTTTACGTCAAGGATTGATAGCGGATTACAGCGAACAACGAAGATGGATACATTACCGTGGTCTGGTGATCGAAGTTCCCGAGCTTACGAGAGTATGCTTAGCGGCCGTTCTAGGGAGACTTGTGCGAGGCTTGGACACGGTTTCCACCTCGATACCCGAGAGTGAAAGCCTCTTCAGCCTTTTCCGATCGTTGACAATCGGCCGAACAATTACCAAGAGCGGCTTAGACCTTTTCGATGCCTCGTTGGAGATCACCTCTACATCTAAAAACGATTCCTTTACCGCTATCCGCGAGTTGTGGTCTGAGAAACAGCAAATCAGTGGAATTCATGTTACATCCCTTCAGAAGCTTCTTAGTATCCTCGAAGAACCGCAAGCGACGACTTTCCGCGAACTGTTCCTCCAAGACTGGCTCTTCTATGGCTTTGAGAATTGTTTTCGCGAGTGCCAATCTGTAATACGGGAGCAGATCAACACCCCTGTTTGGCTACGTCTACTCCTCGAGCTACACACATTCTGTACTGCCGTGAAAGCATCTGTACACATATTTCCGCAGCTGAGGCCCGAGTTCCAAGCAAAGATACAGGAATGGCCGAGCGAGAAACGGATGACATCAATCAAGGAGATATATATCGCGGCCCAGAACGTACGTTTAGATGAAGCGCAGACAAGGAACCCATTCGTTTGGATTGACCCTGATATCCCATCTGAATCCATATTATCAACATCCAGTCCACAAGACAAGTGGGGGCGACACTCACTAGAACTACTGATCGAGAAACATTGTCTCAATCACCTACTCAATATGGATGCGACTAGTAATACTGTTGACCGAGCGTTGCGTGACATCCTGGACGTATGGGAGAACACTATAGAAGGAGTGGACGACAGTGACCGGCGCATGCTCGCAATCCTTGTTTCGAGAGACATCGGTGACTCTGCTGCCCATCGCTGCGAGTGCATTTACGAGCTCGCGATAGACCTTGGCTTAGGTCAGCAATCTACGTCCATTAGAAATATGGTACGTATCGTTCGGGTGGCGGAGAATGATTCACGGCAAGCCATCATTGCCTTGGCAAACATTCTAGTCACGCGAAAAGGCTGCACGCAGTGTTGGAGAGCTCTCCTATACAGATGGCTAGATCAGGATGACAAGTTTGAAGTGGTACACGGTACTGCCCTCGTCGATCACCTGATCCAAGCGATGGACACCAGAACTTGGCTCTCTTTCATGCAGTCGCTCGAGACGCTCTTCAACGATCTGATATCCTACCACACTGGAGAGCATGCATTACCATCACTATTGCAGCCTCAGCTTCTTTCTTGGGTATCGAGGGTGGATAAGTTCAGTCGCACCTTGACAACGCTTGAGGATTTGGGTGGTAATCCAGTCGCAGTACGCTCGATTCTTTCTTCTAGCACAGAACCACAGAGAACAGAGAATCTTGCTATACTTTCTTGTCTTGAAAAGGCTGAAGGTAAGCCATCCGAGGCGATCATACAAAGAATCATCATATGGGTATCTGGCAGGAGATCGGACTTGCACGAGGTCAAGGAATGTTTGCACAAACTACTTGACGCAACTCACGAGACCATACTGGCATGTCAAGAGATTTACGATGCAAAATCCGGCTTCCTGGATATACCCGGCCTTCCTACCCATGAACAGGCTGGTCTCCGTAAAATCTTCGAGAGAGATCATGTCTTCTACGATGGCACCTGCGAACGATACAAATCCACTCTACAAGCAGACTCCTCCACCCTCAGCAGCGGAACCCCACATTCGCAGCATACCATTGCCAAAAAAAGATATGACATCCCACTGGCAGTCGCTGAGGTCATGGTCGCTGGCTGGATCCAAGACGATGATGTGAAACCGGAGACGAAGACTGTCATTGACTGCTTCGCTCGGTTACTCAATTTGGAGGTATACGGCGGTAAGATACCGGAGACAGAACTTCTCAAAGCAACAGCGTTCTGGGACGGCATCGAAGCAGAGATTATGCGAGAAGCTGATCGCCTCGAGTTGCTGAAGAGAACGCTCAAAACGAAAGATCCTGTGGGTACCACATTGTTACTCGAAGAGTACAATGTACCTGATACTAGCCTGCTGGAGGATGAGATACTTGAACTGCCTGCCGGTGTTATTGATTTAGTCGAACTGATAGGGGACGACGAGGTTGAGATGAGCTTCTCACTCGCTTCGCATACCGAGCTACAACGAAGCGCAATGGGTGTACCAAGCGCAGCAAATAACCTTCTCATACGATTATGTCTCGATCCATATGGGAATACGCCGCCAAGGTTCTGCACACACTACGACAGTGACACTGATCTTGAGACTACTCAACATCTCCCATGGGTTTGCCATGAGACGTCTAAAGTGCCACACGAGCATGTGTGCTTTTCACCGCAAAGTGCTTTCATATGGCAGCTTAACAGATTCATTTTTAGGCACATTATTAGCCGTGATGTAACGATAGCAGGGTTTTATTCCGGCATTCAAAATACCATCAGAGAAATGGGCCGTATATGTATCTGCTGTGGAGCAGATCACAAGGCGGAGAATACGCAGTTGCGACGATCTACGCCATGCAGTCTTGTCGCATGTGCACAGCTATGGTAAGGCAACATCAAATACGAAGCGGTAGATGGAACGTTTACTAACCAAGATCAACCCAGGTATTCCCTTCCGCTGGAAATCCGCATACCCGAAATCCGAACGGACATCTTCACCGTCGACATGCTCCTATCCTCCGTGTACAATGCAGCTTGTACGGGCACCCTAAACCTCCTCCCAGGCTGCCCCATAGGCAGGGCCAGCTCCATCAAAACAATCCTCAACGCCTTGCCCAAGCTCTCTATCATCCGCGATGCAGTCCAAATTTCCAGCGTCCTGGCTAAATACCACGCCGATGCCGAGAAGCTCATCTCGTGGGCTTGTACGCAATTTCGAGGCTACATAACTACGGCGAGCGGGTTATGTAGGATCAAGAACTTGCCAAAAGGGACCCATCAATTCGTGCTTGCGAATGCGAGTCCGGGACTGGAAAGTACATACTTGTCCCGCCTACCCAAGTCGTCTTCGGAAACTACAGTACTCTTCCATGGCACGTCACTCGACCGCCTCCCCGCAATCCTCGCCCAGGGTCTCATTGTCTGCTCTGGCACATCTCTGGAACGCACCGGCGCCGTACATGGCAAGGGTATCTATTTGTCCGATGACCCCGCATTTTCATTTAGTTACTCAACCATTAATTCGAGTTGGAGAAACAGTGCGCTTCCCAGTATGCGACTCATGCTTGGATGCGAGGTTGTTGGGAAAGGAAGCAGTGTTACGCATGGGATTCATGTTGTGAAGGATGCGGGGAGTGTAATGGTGAGGTATATCTTCTTGTTTCCACACAATGCTGTAGCACCTGTCGCGAATCATGTTGTTACGGCTATGGGGAGTGCGATGACGGCGTTGAGGACGGGCGTTGTGTAGGGTGGGGATTGTGGAGGCGAGATTGACTATACTCAGGCCTTTCACTTCGACCCGTCTAATAATACGAAGGGGGTTTGAAAATAGCGAAAAACTTTTCTTCTAATATTACTCACTCGTTCGTATAAGTTTGATGGCATTCTAGACAAAAATGGTGTTGTGGTGAATTTTCTTTCTAGTTGCTGTTCGGTCGGAAAAGGTGGTTTTAGCGAAGTGGACGAACCATACTACCTCGACACTAACAGCACCTCTCCACACTGACCGGCAGAAACGGCGTACTACATACTGAACGGTTGATTCCACAATAATTAGAATTTTAGTTAGTTCTTTCGTAGTTCAGAAGCTACTAGGGTCTATGTTAGAGAGTGGAGGATGTGCGGAGGCATGCGAGGCTAGGCATCATATGGTGTGAAATTGAATACCCGACTATGACAATTTGATAAAGAGGCTCCGTTATATTTTCTGTTTTGCAATATGAAATCTTGTTATATCGAGGTTTTGTGAGATGGGATAGGTTGAACACGACGCTCGGCATATAAAGCGGGAGTGGCGGTACAGTACTCGTTGATTGGTCATATATATGAGCACTGCTCAGGTGTAACATCTGTGATGGACACACATCAATCTGAAATAGTACTTTCCACTATATTTCCTTTATTCGAGATGGTAGGTACCAAGGTCTTGAGATCAAACTATTTTTTGGTCATTAGCGAGATTGGAGAATAATCGCCCAGTAAAAAACGAGAATCGCCTCCTATAAGTGTGCCAGAGACATCAAGCAGCGCAAAGTAACACATGATGTGGTGTAATTAAGAAAAGGAATAAGACGCGGTGGCCAAGATGATGCACAGACAGGAGATATATGTTGTGTGGTACACGGTCTCCGCCGAGGCTATTCTCCGCACAGAGACACTTGGCAGCGGAGGACAAATACATGTAATCTGCTGACATGCTGTTGAGCAAGGAGAAGCAAGGCATGTACTACCGAATGCTGGGCTTGGCTTCCCCACGGAGGTGGACTATCTGTATTCTGGGGTGACTGCATTGCTAGTTGGGATCATTCAGTGGGTAGTCTGCGTTCATACCAAGACGACGGTGACGTGGCCCCCGAAGCAATGTCACGAAAGTCTATATCCACATGGGACTGGTGTATAGTATCTAATCACCAACGACTGCAGTCTCAGGTAGGTTACATGGTCTCATGAGAGTCGAGGGTTGAAAGTCCACGGCTCGGATAGTCCCGCGAGGGTAGCCAAGGTCATGTCAGAAATCCCGCACTCAAGTGCAGCGCTTGGAGAGGCTGGGCGTAGTTTGCCTAAAGTAAAATGCGGCTGGTGAACGATAATGACCCGGACACAGACTGGATAGGTAGGTGCCCAGGCGGAGAAGAGGAGATGCGCACAGCGGACACATTTCGATCGCCGGAGGGAGGTGGGTGTGCTCAACGCCAAGGATGATCTACACAGATCCGTCTGACGCAAAATTGATCTGCTGCTTGGCGGGCCATAAAAAACCATTCTTGAAGTACAACGATGATTAGATTATCTCTGTGCTTGCCCAGACGGGAGAATGAGTTGTTGTTGCGCGGCAATGTCAAGTAGACACATGGTGTGGGACACGAGAGCCGGTCAAGGAAACTCTCTCCACCAGGTGACGGATGCACTAGAGCCAAAACGACACTTGAATTCGTCGCGCATGAAGGTATGGCAGAGCAGCCGCCAATCTAGGGATAGTTGCTGGGCAGTAACATCGACAGCAGCCGAAGGAAGGCGTATGCTCTTTAATTGGTCATTGAAAAGCACAAAGTGCGCTTGGTTGAGCAAACGGGTGCGTTCGGCGTCTGCGACAGCGCCTGGTTGGAAGAAGACTTGAGTGAGGCGGCTCGTCAAGTTGGCTGTCCCTGCATATGTCTGGTGCAAGGATGGCGTGTCGCGAGCAGTTGCCGGTGAAGATAGTTTCAGCACAAGGCGAGCCTTTGTGTTTGCAGGAGCAAACGACGAGGGCTGGAAGCGAAACGATGGTAGCTGCACATTGGCGGCCTGATATTGGGGGGTTGGAGGTTGAGTATCACCACGGAGATCAGGAGGGCTGGCATCGTGAGTGAAAGTTTCCCGAGCAGTGGCAGGTGAAACGCGGCTTACAGCAAGCTCCTTAGTGTCTGTCCCGCGAAGCGTAGGCTGCAGGTACGCGAGACGTATCGTGCGAAGACATCTTCCGTCACATGAGCCAGAAAGGGACACGTCTGGCGCAGCACAAACCAGGCGAAACAGTGATCGTCTAAATACATGATGATAATGTGCCATATCTCGACAGGTAAGACGTCGGGCGACATGGAAACTGCATGGCATTGCAGCGCGCGTGACGGTGGCGGACCGACACCGGTGGGGGTTCGCGACTCAGGGCTCGGGGCAGACATGGAGAGGTTGGTGGTCGGCAGCGACGGTGTCTAATATTTTGTGGGTGCGATGATTATTCCCGCACTTGTTCTGGAGGCAAATGCGGTGAGGCTCACTGGTGCACCGGCGAGGCATCGGCAGTCGCGCAGCCAGCCAAGGCAGGCGAGAGCGAGCCACAGGGAATGAGGTCACGTGTCGCACCGTCGCGGCTTCCTCGTTGGGAAGGCCTTCCTGGGTCTGGCTATGGGGCATAATCGCGCATGCGCCTCACAAATGGCCAAGTCATCTTGGGCGCATCCAGGTCGCGGTCGCGTTGCGAAAACCAAGTCAACCAACCAGACCCTGCGCAACCGTCAACTGTGGCATCGCAACGGCGCGGTTTGGGCGTGTGGAGTCACAGTTTGTATTACCATAACATGGACGGTAATTGGGAGCCGTTGGCCAGGCGACGCAGGGCGAACAGGGCCTCTGATTCGGCCGATAGTGAGATGGAATGAATTGCTAAGGCTGGTTTGAGGCAGGCCCCGAGGTGCCCCTTAGCCGCTTGGCTCGTGCTTAATCATGGAGTGCGGTGCTTTGTGCAGAAGCGTCGGCGGCCGATACGCGGGGGGCAGAAAACAATTGCTTCATCTGGGCATGCTGGTCGCGCGCATTGCATGGGGGGAGTCGGATATTATGGCACGGTGGATGCAGTTGAGGCTGATGGGATAAGTGGCATATCTTGGTTCGTGGGTCTGGAAGGCCGCTAGAAGAAAATTGTGCAAATGCAAAAGTCGCGCAGGCGTGGGGAGCAGCTACTCTGGATACGCGGCTCTCTCGTACGGGGGGAAAAATGCCTCGTACTCTGGGTGGGTGGCTCGAGATGGCGCCAAGCATTCAAGCTTTCCTGTGTGTGAGGGCAGAAGCTTGGTGCCGCCAGAGTGAGCAAGGTGCGTGGAGGAGGTGCTTGCCGGTCGCTCTTGCCAAAACGTCATGAGAGCTGATCCCTGCAGTGCAGCACGCTTGTCGCGGACTGTCGCGCTATCTCCAGCTTAATCTCTGCTGCCGCTGCTGGGTGGAGAAGAGTGAGAGTCGCGAACATGCGCCGAGGGAAAGGCGATCACAAACTCTGGGATTGATACCGCCATCGCAATTCCGCAGTGCACACAGGCAATGAAGCTACGCAATGCACGTCGAGGTAGTCAACGGCAGTCAGCCTTCCGTCATCAGCGCATCACCCTCGGCCGGTGAATGCGACGGCCAATCTCTGCTCGCAGTCGCGCGCCGATGATGTAGCGTGGGCCGCACGGACCCTTCACAACAAATTCACCCCCGGGACGCTCGGCTCGAGCTAAACCCCATCCATGGTTAGCTTTATGACAATCATAAATCCCTCATAGCGGCCAAAGGTCGGTCCTTGCTGAGTTTTTCCCTGGGTTGATACGTGGGTGAGTTCCTGCCGCGCTACTTAACCAGAGCCTCTCCCGCTTCCATTACACTTTCTTCACAGAGAAGGCCCTGCTTGCAGTTACCTATTTGCACAGCACATTCGACCTGACACTCAACCTCATCGTCAAGTCGCCTCGGAAAAGCCTTCTCTGTGCCTAGAGTTACCGGATATAATAATACATACGAGCAACAGCATTCCTTAATTCGACAAGATGGCGCCCAACGACGATGTTGAGCGCCCACGCGCGTCCAGCGCCGCTGAGCGGCAAAAGTCCATTGTCTCCATGACCGAGTTCGAGGGCATGGATGAATACACCGCGCTCCAGAAGTACATCCTCTTCTACCGCGACACCCGAACCAACCCTCACGCCGAGCCATCCCAGAAGAAGAAGGCCTGGTGGCAGTTCTGGAAGTCGGGCTCGCCCACCGCCGCTGTTCCCATCCAGGATGCCGGCGCTGTCCCTGACGACTGTAAGTTTTACCATCCTCTCTCCCTCACTCAATTGCTGGCAGCGCCGTTTTCAGCACCGCCCACAGCCTGCGTCGCCAATCTTCCCTTAGCTGAGTTTTACCTCGACATTTGGTGGCTGGCGCTCGCATGGTCCGCGCTCAAGCTGCACCCTGCTAGCAACACGATAGCGGCAGAATTGGTGGAGCCAATCATGCAACCCGGCTCCACCAAACTACCCGCTTGTGCAGCATGCGAGATGAGCAACACGATCAAGAATTTTGCTAACATGGAATTGCAGACCTCAACACTGAGCTCCGAACTGGTCTTACCTCGTCCGACGTTGAGCAGCGTCGCAAGCGCTATGGTTTCAACGAAATCTCTTCCGAGAAGACCAACCTTCTCAAGCAGTTCATCGGTTACTTCACTGGTCCCATTCTCTACGGTAAGCATCCCTGCACCCACATGTTTAGCGCAAAACTAACGCATCATAGTCATGGAGCTCGCTGCTCTTCTCGCCGCTGGTCTTCAGGATTGGATCGATTTCGGTGTCATTTGCGGTATCCTGTTGCTCAACGCCATTGTCGGTTGGTACCAGGAGAAGCAGGCTGCCGATGTCGTCGCTTCGCTCAAGGGTGATATCGCCATGAAGGCCGTCGTCGTTCGTGACAACCAGCAACAAACCATTCTCGCTCGCGAGCTTGTTCCCGGTGACATCGTCGTTATTGAGGAGGGTCAGTCCGTCCCCGGTGACGCCCGTCTTATCTGCGGCTACGACCACCCTGAGGACTTCGACTTGTACATGAAGCTCAAGGCTGAGGACAAGTTTCACGACGCTGACCCCGAGGATGAGAAGGATGACGACGTCGATGAGGAGAAGTTCGATGAGGAGAACCCCATCACTCAGGGCCACCCTCTCGTTGCTTGCGATCAATCGTCCATCACCGGAGAGTCTCTCGCTGTCGACAAGTACATGGGAGAAGTCGCTTACTACACCACTGGTTGCAAGCGTGGCAAGGCCTACGGTATCGTCATCACCACTGCTAAGCACTCTTTCGTCGGTCGCACTGCTACCCTCGTCCAGGGCGCTCAGGACCAAGGTCATTTCAAGGCTATCATGAACTCCATCGGAACGGCGCTTCTCGTCCTCGTCATGTTCTTCATCTTGCTCGCCTGGATTGGTGGTTTCTTCCGTCACATTCCCATTGCCACCGCCCGCGAGGGAACTGACAAGTCCGTCACCCTTCTCCACTACGCTCTTATCATGTTCATCGTCGGTGTCCCCGTCGGTCTTCCCGTTGTCACCACCACCACCCTCGCTGTCGGTGCTGCTTACCTCGCTGAGCAGAAGGCTATCGTCCAGAAGCTTACCGCCATTGAGTCGCTTGCCGGTGTCGATGTTCTCTGCTCTGACAAGACCGGAACCCTTACTGCCAACCAGCTCTCTCTCCGTGAGCCTTACGTCGCTGAGGGCCAGGACGTCAACTGGATGATGGCTGTCGCTGCTCTTGCCTCTTCCCACAACCTGAAGTCGCTCGACCCCATTGACAAGGTCACCATTCTTACCATCCGCCGCTACCCCAAGGCCCGTGAGATCCTGAACATGGGCTGGAAGACTGAGAAGTTCACTCCCTTCGACCCCGTCTCCAAGCGTATCACCGCTGTCTGCCACATGGGTGGTGACAAGTACGTCTGCGCCAAGGGTGCCCCCAAGGCTATTGTCAACCTTGCCAACTGCGACGAGGTTACCGCTACCCTCTACAAGGAGAAGGCTGCTGAGTTCGCTCGCCGTGGTTTCCGATCTCTCGGTGTCGCTTACCAGAAGAACGACGGTGACTGGATTCTTCTCGGTCTCTTGTCCATGTTTGACCCCCCTCGTGAGGATACCGCCCAGACTATCATTGAGGCCCAGCAGCTCGGTGTCCCCGTCAAGATGTTGACTGGTGACGCTATTGCCATTGCCAAGGAGACCTGCAAGATGCTTGCTCTCGGTACCAAGGTTTACAACTCTTCCAAGCTCATCGGCGGTGGTCTCACTGGTACTACCCAGCACGACCTTGTCGAGCGCGCTGACGGTTTCGCCGAAGTCTTCCCCGAGCACAAGTACCAGGTCGTCGAGATGCTTCAACAGCGTGGTCACTTGACTGCCATGACTGGTGACGGTGTCAACGATGCTCCTTCCCTGAAGAAGTCTGACTGTGGTATCGCCGTCGAGGGTTCCACCGAGGCTGCTCAGGCTGCCGCTGATATCGTCTTCCTTGCCCCTGGTCTGTCCACTATTGTTTTGGCCATCAAGACTTCTCGCCAGATTTTCCAGCGTATGAAGGCCTACATCCAGTACCGTATCGCTCTCTGCCTCCACTTGGAAGTCTACCTTGTCACCTCCATGATCATCCTCAACGAGACCATCCGCGCTGAGCTCATTGTCTTCCTTGCTCTCTTCGCTGATTTGGCCACCGTCGCTGTCGCGTACGACAATGCCCACTCCGAGCAACGTCCCGTCGAATGGCAACTGCCCAAGATTTGGTTCATCTCCGTCATCCTCGGACTCCTCCTCGCTCTCGGTACCTGGATCGTCCGTGGTACTCTCTTCATCCCCAGCGGAGGTATCATCCAGAACTTCGGTGCTATCCAGCCCATTCTGTTCCTCGAGGTTGCTCTTACTGAGAACTGGCTCATCTTCGTTACCCGTGGTGGCAAGACCTTCCCCTCGTTCCAGCTGATCGTCGCTATTCTCGGTGTCGATGCTCTTGCGACCATCTTCACCCTGTTCGGCTGGATGTCTGGTGCTCCTTACCAAACCAACCCCCCTACCATCAACAGCAGGTTCCGTGACGACGGATGGGTCGACATTGTCACCGTTGTCGTTGTCTGGGCCTACTCCATTGGTGTCACCATCATCATTGCTATCGTCTACTACCTCCTTAACCGCATCGCATGGCTCGACACCCTCGGCCGCAAGGACCGTAGCCGCAAGAACCCTGCCATTGAGAACATGATTGCTGCCCTTAGCAAGCTGTCTCTCGAGCACGGAAAGGACAAGCACGGCACAACCCGCTACGTCCTTGCTCCCCGCGCTGTCGAGGAGGAGGACGATGACTAAATTAGGGTCGCTGTCTAGTAATGACGCGATGTGTATTTGGATATTTGTACGGGATTGATGAGCCCACCTGAAAGCAAGGTTAATTTTTCATCACTGTCTTGCTAGTCTTCTCATGTATACCAAGAAGCATAATTTCATTGTCTCAATTAATACCCCAATTGAAAATATTGCTGTGAAAACATCCCTCCTAATCCAAAGTGTCTCCTTGCTACTATGTTAACTCTATCAATCGCTATGTGAACTTTTCAACACAGTTTAATTTCAAGTTTACCTCGCGCAGACCTTCTGCATGCACTATTGCACGGGTCTAGCTCATCGGAAAGATTCACGGCTTTACCAACAGTTGCCGCTAGTCACCCGTCACCCACCCTCACCTCTTACGCCCATCCACACAACATTGATAAGAAAGGTACACGAGAACACAGCGTTCAAGCCACTTACGACTTGCGCGGAGCAGATTGCAAGGGCACGCGGGGTCGCTTGTGGTAGCTACTGTGCCTGCGACCAAGCGGGGTAAAGACAGCTGCACGCCATTCGCGGTGTCTCCTAATGCAACGGGCTGGATAGGCTCATGCAAGCCCTCGCCAAACATGACATAGTTGTGCTGCGAGTTTGGCCGAGTAACGCTTAGTCAAATTTTGGCATTTTACGATCCAAGTCCAATTGATCAGATGTTATTGGGTTGCGCTAATGGGATATTGGCAGTTGGAGATGTGCTCCTTGATTATGTTTTTAATCTCAATTGTGCAATGTAAATATCACCACGGTGGCCCCGAAAGACTAATTTGTCGTGTCTGGCCATTGAGCGCCATTCAGTATAACGTTTTTCCGTATCCTGTGGTTATATTGGGTGGCCTTATAGCGTGCCGAGCCTCCGTGACGGTTGACACTAACCTTAGTTTCCCTTCTCGTCGCATCGCGGCTGGGCGGTGACATGTAGTGTGTTGCGCGCCGTGGATCGTGTAGATGATGATGCTGTAATGGCATGGTGACGACGCTTGTCGCACCCTCCTTCGCGTCTTGTCTTGAGTTGATAAGTAGCCCTTGTCTGATGGAAAGCAATGATGAAAGAATGCTTGCGTATTGCTTGTGTTGCCGTTGCTTTGCGACGAGCCAAGGCGCGGAGTGTTTCGCCTTTAGCGAGCGGCAGTGACTACCTAGATCGAGTTCTGTCGTGTATTGACACAAGTTTCAATAAAAAGCGCCCGCGCGTATCGTTTCCCCGACGCGAACACGGAACAAGTAAAAAACTCAAAACAAGAATACCCGTGGCGCAAAGAGCGACTGTTCATCACGATGCATGACGTTTGATCGCCATCCGGGCGTTTTCACATATCGCAAGCCGTGCGCTGGTCTCCTTTGGGTCTTTTTTTACCCGCAACCTTTTGCGTCGCAGGCGCAATGTCGATCTAACGGAGTGATGAACGAAATTTGTGTCCGCGGGCGGCTGGGGCAGTCTGGGCAAGATGGTCGCGTGTTTCCGGGGTTTGTCTTGTGTGATGATCCCGCCTTCGATATCATCACGCCGATGTTCTTGCTGCACGAAGGGAGGTTAGATAAGCGATGGCTGGGGCTGGGCTAGGTATGCAAGCATCGCAACTTGGTGCCAGCATACAAGCTTAGGTAGCCTTATCGTAACCGCACGTGTTTCAGCTTCTGTGGGTTGAGGACGTCATGGGATTATGTGGTGTTGTTGCTGGCGCGGCTCGATGACGCCGAGACGGGCCGTTAGATATGTTACTTTGCTTCTTGGGGGATGACGTGGAGGGTTGCAGTGGTGTTGTCCATCTTTGTGGCTCGGGGATTTACGCGTCTTGGTGGCTTCGATGCAGGAAGCTTAGAAAGATAGATGAGTGGTCTAGATCAACGCATTGTGCTTTAGGCAATAGAATGACTACGAAAGTGCGACGATACTGTGCATGCGAGTATGTAGAGTTAAGAGATTCTATGCTCGAATACTGCTCAAATGATTCCTTTCGATACGTTACGCTGAAGTCTCTCCTCGTGCATTATCTAGTAACAGACTTTCGAGTCCAACATTCGGGTCCATCCTCTCGGTTGTCATGTGATTTGCGTGTTCAGTAACGTAGCCTGTGCGCTTGCTGAAGTCCAGTACCACATCGAGTGCAAACCAAGTCGCAATTACCCAATGCAAGGCTGCTATCTTCCGAACAGAGGGCGCTTTGTTGTAGTTGTTAAAGTGTGCCTGATTCAATAGTAGAAGACCCAAAATACATGGTAAGCGCCAACTTATTTCTCGATATCCTGGTCTTACGTATCTTGCAAGACTGGTTTCCCAAACTATGCTGACCGTGCAGTAGACGGTGGAAGCTAATACACACAGTGCGATCACATCGAATGGACTCACATCAGACGATTGTAACAGAACTGAGGAGGATATCGCTATTGCCGCGTAGATGCCGTGAACCAGTGGGTTTTCAGTTATAAGTGACTTGAATGCACTGATCGAAAGTGCATATAGTCCACGTACATGATGCTTATTTATCTCCAAGGACAGCACATCCTGGTTGGAAACACGCTTCCATGAGGCCGATACAGTGACTTCCTCTGGCTGATAGGTGGGTATGGAAACAACTCGGGAGCGTGACTTGGACGGTATCTCAGAGGACGGTATACTAGGGGAAGCACTGTAGTCTGGCGGAATTTGCAACCTTCCGTTTCTGGTGACGTATAACAGCCGGATGGTTACATTCACACTGTATCGCACTTCGAACCCAACGTCCACTCGAACCAGAACCTTCAAACATGGTTTGTTCTCGTCATCGCTGCTCCTTGTGTCTGGGCATGGAGACGGAGGATGGAAAAGAACCCCATAGCTGGCTCGCTCTGGTTGATCAGACACTCGAGTAAGCGGGATTTCTGATGCCACGGGCTTACTCAGACAAGTCCAGGTTGAAGTCGACGTGTCGAGGTAGACGATCTCTGGTCTCCATGAAACCAATAATGCCGATAAGTCATTAATCGACAGCATGCGGTTAGGCGAGGGTTTGGAGGTTCTGAGTATGCAGCAGTCTCTCGAGCGTGCAGCATCAAATTCTTCTGCTGAAATAGGGCGGTGCTCGCTACTTGGCGAGAATGTAAAGTTCTGAGCAGACCTCTCCACAGCGTGTAGCGGTATGCCAATGCGCTGCCCGGTTTGGTCACAGCAAGCAAGGACGGCGAAGTATTCGGGACTTCTGAGAGCATCTGCACTCTGGTTCTGGAACAATGGTAGCCGGATCTGGAGCCCTCTGTTGCTGAAAGAGAATGGAGCAACATCATCATTAGTCAGTGATATAAGGTTACAGTCCTCAAAGTCTTTGGGATGACAAGCCAGGAAATTGACGTCCGAACTTCTCCGACGCCCGTTGGCTGGACGAGAGAGCCATGCCAGGAACGACTGGTCTGGCTTAAGTTTGATACACTCTTCTTGAAGTCTACCAAAGGCCTTGGCGCCGCCTTCTCCGTACAGAAGTGGCATGTTGACTCCGAGGAGACCCATGAGGCAGTACGCGATGTCCTCATCTGCCGTCGTCTCTCGGTTTGCTGCCCAGGCGATTCTTTTTGCTAAGCTCGCTTCGCGGATATAGCTCAGCGATTTTGCACCATTTAAAGCCTCCAAGTCGATTGTAGTTATGCTTGAGATCTCCCTTGCCAATTCATCTCGAGTGCCAATTTTCCGCCATGCAGAGTCGTAGAAGTTGATACATTCAGGCGCAACGAGTTCTTGGAGGGTCCAGCCTCGCTTGAACCACCGGGCATCCGCAAGGTTTCCGACGCTCGGAAAATCTTCAAGGAAAGCGTAGCATACTTTGGCTTCCTGGTACCAGCGGAACATAGAGTTGATAGACTCCGTTAATTCGGCGCTACTGCTTTTGTCGATGCAGCAAGTATCGCACCAAAGGTAGTCATAGCCATCGCTTTCTGCCTGCTTGCATGAGAGATCGATTTTATGCCAGCCAGCTTTGTTCTGATTAGACTGAGATTGAATGTCATGGAAGGTAATCTCCTCTTTCCCCCACGTGTGAGACAGTATAGCATATTCTCGTGCCCCGCATACATGATCTTCGAGATTTCGTGATTTAACGTTGATGAGTCTCATAGTCGAATGAAGTGTGTAAAGGTTGGGTTGGGAGGAATGAAGTGCATAGGACGAGAACGGACAACAGGTGACAGCCGTCTTAATAGTCGTAAGCTTGGCGGCTGCGCCACAAACTTTGGGGGCCAATGTTAATACCAGGGAGAGTGCCAATTAAACCCTATTTGCTGCGCTGTGGTCAGAAATGATGTGAGAATCAGACTCGATTATGTTTGTTTACGGTGATGACTGTATTTGGTCTCACTCGTGGTTTTCATGACGCTATTGACAGCAATTCACCGGACATACGCACTACCAAGAAGTTCGTTCTCTGTAAGTTGTACCTGTTACTATAATTGTACCCTAAAGGTATACGTAGTGATCCACGTTACAATTCTAACAGAAAAGTAACAGTGTATACCTTCAGCTGGGCTTTAGTGTTGTACAGCTTGTATAAAAAAGGCCTCTTTGTAGTACGATCAAGAATACTAACAGGGCCTCGGTATAGTGAAGATTGGAACTTCACCATATTTTTCGAGGCGAACGGTAAGAACAGTGAAAATAGCGGGCGCGGTCTCTTCAACAGTTGCCGCTTATATAGGTGATAGGTCTGATAAGAATCTCTTTCGTCTAAGCTTGGGGCCATGATGACCGGTGTAGGTGTTCCAGGCGTTGTAAGTTGAAGGAGTTTGGGAGTTGAGGAAATGGGGGGTCGATGGAGAGGAGGAAAAAGTCACAGGGTGTGTTAGCCGGATAGGTAGGCAGAGACAGTTTCTCGTCTGGTTGGCTGGACAGGCAAAGTAGCTACGATACGAAATCTTCCGCTCTTCAAGATGTTAGCAGGTATGATGGTACGAACCGAAGCATCATTAAACACCTATACTGAACGCACGTATCAAACACCGCCGTTCAACTGCTTTGGTTTCACATCCCCTCTTGCCTTCGCAGGAAGTAGCTTCAGAAGCCCAAACAAGCCGAATGCCAGAATGACCTGGCAAAGCCAGAAAAGTTGACCACCCAGGATATGGTACTTGACACCGATGGCGTAAATGCTAGTCGCAAGAGCCGGAGCTACAGATCGAATGCCACTTTGAGCAGCAAGTGCGACAGCGTTGAGCGTCCCAAGTGTCTCGTGTGAAGGCGATATGTCGTTGAGTGCGAGTTGAACGCAAGCTAGAGTATATGTTAGCGCAGCACATCAATACAGGACTGTAACTTACTGAACGCCATCGAAACCCCGCTCGCGAGAACTATGATTGGTGGACCAGTAGCCCAGAAAACGGTAGTATGTCCGTACCGAAGTAGGATGTTGTACACTGGACCGACGACGAAGAGAACAGGCCAGGCTGATGCGCATAGCCAAAGCACACGACCAGTACCTATACGTTTGTGCAGTATAGGGAACACAATGAGCAGCCAGGCTGCTTGAGAAGCTCCATTCAGCGCTGTACACGCAGCAATAAGCTCTGTTGTGAAGCCAAGACCTCCCATGTCAATGGGCGTGTACTGGGCGACCGGAAAGACGGCTGTGAAGGTGAATGCCATGAGCATCACGTAATTGTATACTACAAGTACTCGCATGACGCCGGGATACTTGATCAGCTCCCGGGTAGACATGTTAGACTTTGCAGTCTTCTTTCTGTCGCCGTGAATATGCAAGGTCTCCTTGACGAACAGCATAGTCGTGATCGCTGCAGAAAGGGCAATAGCCGACACAACAATGTTGGGTAGTGCGTAACGGTAGTCATGCCAGAACTGCACCTTGCCAAAGGTCGATGTAAACTTATCCGCTGGGCTTTCGAGTGCACCACCTGTAGATTTGCGCTCAGTCTATCGTCAATTTCGAATGGCTGTAAAAGCACGTACCGATCAGCGGGCCAATGAAAATCCCCATGTTGCTGGCGAAAGCAAAGAAACTGAAAGCTCGTGCTTGAGTATGCTTGGTGCTATTCTCGGAGAGCATGGCTCGGACAGTGACAATTGTTCCAGCAAAGACGCCACCTAGACATCTGAACAACGCCATCTGCCACAAGGTTCTGCTCAAGCCAAAGAGAACCGTAGCAACGGTCAAGCCCAACAAGGATATGACTAGTACGGGTTTTCTCCCATATCGATCAGAAGCCTAGAGACTATGTCAGCGATACTCTCCCTCCATAGCAAGACCGAGGCTGCGTACCTTTCCCCAAAGAATCATAACACACATCTGTGTCGCACTGAACAGACTCTCGATCAAACCTGAATAAAACCCAACATCCTCTGTATCCACGCCCCCTACCCTCTCGATCATGAAGTTGATATAAGGAAAGATGGAGAAGAAGGCAATAGGCGCTGCGCAAACCGCATAACACAGAAGAAATATCTGTGCCTTGGGTAATGGCTTATCCTTGTCCTCATCATCATCTTCGATATAGTCTTGCTGCTGTGAAGGATCGACAGACTCATCTATGGGTGTAGGGTCTACATGGGTCAACAGAGGCGTGGTCTCATCGTTTGATTTAGTAGCCGGTGAGGCATCGATCTTGGTAGATGATGTAGGCATTGCGAAGACTGATGCCAAGTAGAAGTGGGCTTAGATGCAATAGTTCCGTAGCTGATTGGAGTTCGGATGAAATTGCGTCGATATATCCAGCGTCCCAACAATGAGACCAAAAAGCATAAGAGTAAGGCTACAACTAGATGTAAGGAGGGGAAGGCCTATGAAGATACTTCAGTCATATCATGGCGTGCCATGGGTGAGATTGTAGGTTGCATGTAAGCAATTTGCAGAAGAACGCGTCGCTTGGTGCCTTCCCGACCGCCGGCGCGCAAATTCCGCGCTAGCAGGGGAGTCCAACCACCTGTCTCTAGTTGTGTACGCCGTTGCTTCAATCGAAGTAGAGGCACGACTAGGACCCGCGTCTCAATTGTAGCTCACTACTATTCATTCGTATACATGCCCATTTGCTTTCAGATATGCACGTGCTCACGAATTACCAGCTACAAAAACAACAGTCTTCACGTAATCACGTTATCACCACATATGACTACACGTTGCAAGGGATACGAAAGTGTCCATAGGCTCTAAGCTACTATCTTAAGATCCTTACTACACCCTCGTGTGAGCTCAAGCTCCTCCATAACTCAAACACCCAACCATTGGCCCGCTGTGCTATTTTGTGGACAATCGACATGTGTAAAACCCCGGAATAACAAGGCGCCAATACAAGGATGTCCCCGCTACCAGGCTTGTCATGATTTCGAGAACCGTACGCAGGAACACGCTAGGAAGAAAACCGTCAGTCGATGAATCGCTCGGACGCATGACTGCCAGTACCTTAGAAGCACTTGCGGTGGACGATGGAGGGACCGCTCTCGTCGTACTCCTGCTTTGAGATCCACATCTGCTGGAAGGTGGAGAGCGAAGCAAGAATGGAACCACCGATCCAGACGGAGTACTTGCGCTCGGGGGGAGCGATGATCTTGACCTTCATCGAGGATGGGGCGAGGGCGGTGATTTCCTTCTGCATACGGTCGGAGATACCGGGGTACATGGTGGTACCACCAGACTAGTTGCTGTTAGCTGCGTGCTTTGCTGGATTGTAGCGTAGAACGTACCATGACAATGTTGCCGTATAGGTCTTTCCTGACGTCGACATCGCACTTCATGATGGAGTTGAAAGTGGTGACGTGGATGCCACCGCTCTCAAGACCCAAGACGGAAGGCTGGAAAAGAGCCTCAGGAGCACGGAAACGCTCGTTGCCAATGGTGATGACTTGACCGTCGGGAAGCTCGTAGGACTTCTCCAAGCTGGAGGACTGGCTGGCAGTCTGGATCTCCTGCTCGAAGTCAAGAGCGACGTAGCAGAGCTTCTCCTTGATGTCACGGACGATTTCTCGCTCGGCAGTGGTGGAGAAGGTGTAACCGCGCTCAGCCAAGATCTTCATGAGGTAGTCAGTCAGATCACGACCAGCCATGTCGACACGGGAGATGGCGTGGGGAAGGGCGAAACCCTCGTAGATGGGGACAACGTGAGTGACACCGTCACCAGAGTCGAGAACGATACCGGTGGTACGTCCGGAGGCGTACAGGGACAGAACGGCCTGGATAGAGACGTAGAAAGCGGGAGCGTTGAAGGTCTCGAAAACAATCTGTGTCATCTTCTCACGGTTGGACTTGGGGTTGATGGGAGCCTCGGTGAGCAGGACGGGGTGCTCCTCGGGGGCAACACGCAGCTCGTTGTAGAAGGTGTGATGCCAGATCTTCTCCATGTCATCCCAGTTGGTAACGACACCGTGCTCAATGGGGTATCGCAGGGTCAGGATACCACGCTTCGACTGTGCCTCATCACCGACATATGAGTCCTTCTGGCCCATACCAATCATGATACTGTATGTTGTTAGATGGCGGATTGCGTGGGGATAACGGGAGGTTCATCGTACCCATGGTGACGCGGTCGGCCAACAATGGAAGCTGCGAGCTGTCAGAAGTTGCTCTCGTAATGGCCTTCGGGAGCGCTTTAGGGCGCTCTCGATGCAGCCTCAGCTGGCGAGGTACTTACGGAACACTGCTCGGGGCGCATCGTCACCGGCGAAACCGGCCTTGCACATACCCGAACTGTCAATTGTCAGCTCAAGCTCATGTCATCTCTGACCCTCGCGCGCTGCTGTAGAGGTGTTGGTCGCGGCTCGGATAGGGCGAGGGCGCAGATAGCCCCTCCACAGCAGGGATGGCGGTGTTGGGCTTCGTTGATGCCAACTCACCCATTGTCGATGACGAGGGCTGCGACTTCCTCTGTAGTAGGCAATAGAGGTTAGCAGAGCTCATTGAGATAGACAGTATGGTGGACGGCGATGGTTAGGACACGGGGCGGTAGGGGTGGAGCTTGCTTACCCTCCATGTTGATTGATTAGGGTGAGATTAGAGTAGACGTGGAGTTGTAGACGGGTGTCTGTATAGAGTCGCTGGAACAATTGAGCGTCAGTGGTTAAGCTCAGAGACGCAGCTAGCGGTGAAAAAGTAAAAAGGGTACGGAGGTGTTCGGGGAGCTTACAAGTTCGGCGGCGGTGTTGAGGTTGAGGTTTCTGGTGCGCAGAGGCAAGAACTGGGTGTGCTAAATAAGCGGGTCGGCCTTGCCCAGATTTAGCGGGGTGGCAGGAGCGCAGGCGCGAAGGAGGCTTTGCACGAACGGGCGGCTCCTAAAGGAGGTTGTGTATAATTTCAGCGTTTGGGCAGTTGCTTCACGACGATCACAGCATTGGCTATCTTATATGGCATGGTGGAATTGTGCAGCCTAGAATCGTCGTCTTCTGCCCCAGTGGTACGCACCTGGGAGAGTACGCAAGCTCCCCGCCACAGCATGAAGGAAGCTGCTGTCGGCGCACGTCAACTCTACCAGACCGCCAGGCAGCGGTGTTAAATCCTTGGCGTATAGCAATCATAGATACTCCACTAGGACCTACGTGTTCTCGACGGCGCGCTGTGAATGCATAAGTCGGGATGAAGCACAAGTCAGTCCCCAGCCATCCGCGGCTGCTCACCGCCAACTCGCCATATCCCCGCCCATTCCGAATACGACGGGTACGCGTCACGTGTGCGGAGGGGCAGTAGACGTGCACCTAGGGAAACGAGCATTCGCAGCAATACTTCCAGTCTCGATGCCAACGTGTCGTGATTATGTCATGTGGAGCCAGCATCGACGTATCTTCCACACGCCTGTTGTTTGTCGTGTTTGACACCATGTGATTGATGGTGTTGACAGCTGTGTTGCTGTGTTGGGCAAGCATGTCCCATGGAAGGCCCGCGAAGCTGCTGGTTCCCTCGCGAGCGTCGGCGTCATAAGGCCCGCCAAAATTATTCAATGTCGACACACCCCGCAACCATCTTCGTTCTTCGCACAACAAACCGAATACCAAACGCATATCAGACACCATGAACGACCCAGGACTAAACAATCTCCTCAAATGGGGTATTCAGAACTCCGAGGCCTCGCGCACCGACGTCGCCGCCGCCGACCAACCGCCGCCACAGCTCGATGCTGAGGCGCTGCAACGGCTCATGACTGGAATGTCGGGTCCCTCAGATGCGCAATTGATGCAAGAAAGCATGCAAGTCATCCAAAACGAGGAGGCGGAACTGGAGCATCGCGAGACTGCATTCGACAACTTTGAGCAACTCATCGAGAACCTCGACAACGCCAACAACATCGAAAGTCTAGGACTGTGGACGCCTCTCGTGGAACAACTGGAGAACAAAGAGTCTGAACTCAGATTCTACGCTGCATGGTGTTGTGGTACTGCCGTCCAGAACAATATCAAAACACAAGAGCGAGTAAGCAGCCCTTGACTCTGCGCACACTTATGGCCCATACTAACAGTTCCCAGCTCCTTGTAGTCGGCGCTATCCCCGTTCTCGTCCGCATGGCAACCTCAGACGCCGAGAAGAAGAACCGTAAGAAGGCCATATTCGCCCTTTCGTCAGCCGTTCGCAACTTCCAGGCCGCGCTCGATGCCGCTGTCGAGCATATGCCTGCCGAATTTAAGCCCCAACAAAAGCTGGACGCAAACGACATGGAGTCAGTCGACGTTTTGATCAACAAGCTTCGTGAGAGCGTATAACGGGATCGAATCTGGATTGCATTGGGTCGGCGTTATGGTACTTCATAAGGGTCAGCATGGGACGGCGCATAGAGGGACAAAAGCTGGACATAGAAGACGAGTGGATGACATACCCAAGACTCAACGGAGTAACGCTTGGGCGCAGGATCCCATATTTTATCACGTCGAGCGTTGCATAGATTAAAGCAATACGAATTCGACGACCTCTTATATGACCCCCAGCACAAGTCCAATCAGCTCGCTGAATGCTTCTCGTCCGACCATGCTCTTATCAAGTCCCATTCCAACCACAACCATCCTGATTTCCCTGTCGTCGCGTTGCTTGATAGCACTTGCAATCTGTGTCGCGAGTGTTTGTCCAAGAATATCAAGCTCTGCAATTGTACCGCCAAGTATATTTGTAGCCGTGAGATGGTGCATAGGAAGGAGGTCCGAGTTGGGGTCCTCTTCGTCGCGTTCGAGGGAGGCATTCGAGGTCATCGAGGCGTCAGTCGCAGAGATATCAAGGGGCACATGTACCTAGACAGCATTAGTAAAGGCCATCACAATGAACCAGATATATTAGCATACCCAATGTGCTAACCGTCCATTCTGTGTGACGGTGATGAGAATCTTGTCCGCAAAGTTGACCGTTGTTGCCGTAGTTTCTATACTCTTAATCGTCGAGGTGGCTGTGTTGGTACGCGCTGGGTATGGGGCAGGCGTTACGACGTATTCGTCTAACGTGGTGGGTGCTGCCATGGCGTTGTGTTCGCGGGATGGTATGTCTGGTGCGGACCCCAAAGGCAATACGACGAACGGCGACCTGAGTAGTTTGACGTCTTCGATTACCGCGATTGTATACGCGCTCAGTATTATGTTGCTTCGAGATTCTCTTGTGTGCCTCGTTGTTTGTGTTGTTGCTTCTCTGGCCAACAGCCCACTCAACTTGCGCGGGAGTGATGCGGAGTTCGCCCGCTAGCGTTTGATCCCCACCAAAAACTTTCGGACGCTGCGAGCAATCCTCGACGCCGCAACCACCAAAATGCCCAAGTTCGTGCCGCGACAGCGAAAACACAAGGTTCTGGCCCGTCGCAAGACGCCGGCGAACGATGCCACCGTCGATGCCAATGCGACCGAGATTTTGCCGCAGGAGGAGCAAGAGCGCGCTCAGAAGAAGGCTGCGCTCAAGGATGAGCTTACACGGGAGTCGCAGGGCAAGATGAGCGGCAAGAAGAAGAAGCGTCTCGACAAATACATTGTATGTGAAGATATAGTCTGGAATGGCTTGCAACACTTTTCGCGGCCACTTTGCGCTAGGATTGCTCAGGGAAGAACTCCAAGACTAACTTTTGCAGGACACAAAACTCAAGAAAGAAGAGAACCTCGAACTGCTGAAGAAGCTCGCATCCCAAAAGGTCGACACCAGCTTATTCCAAAGCTCCAAGAAGCTCGGCCGAGGAGCAGATACGAAGAGGGAGGCACTGAGGCGGGCGCTGGCTGAGAGTAGAGCCGGCATAGACGTGGAAAAGAATGAGGGCATGATTCTTGAGAAGCGCGACTTCAAAGAAGTTGGAGACGACAACTCGGATGACGACGATGAACAAGCACCGGTACCTGCTTCGAAATCAACCGCACGACAAATCTCCCCACAAACCGCGCAAACCAACGGATCCTTACGAGAACGAGCGCCATCACCGCCACCCTCCAAGCCCGAGATCGACGTCTCCCAACCAGTCACAGGAATCTTCGCGGCGCCACAGCAGACTGGTGGACTCTTTGGAAGCGGACTGAAGAGACCTCTAGAGGTCGACGAGTCAGGCAAACCCGTCATACAGGTGCGAAAGCGCCGGAAAGGCCAGAGCAACAAACCTGTCGTGGTCGAAGAAGAGGTAGCATGGGAAGGCTTCAGCTCGGGTAGCGAGAACAACGAAGAGGACAGTGCGGACGAGTCAGAGGCTTCTGGTGCTGAGTCCGATGACGCTGGCTCGAATTCTGCAGAGGAGGTATCGACTTCAGGATCCGAAGCATCAGACGAATCTAGAGAATCTGGAGACTCCGAGGACGACAGCGATGAGGACAGCGACACGAGTCCTGATGAAGAGAACAAGATCGCAAAGAAGGAAAGGACATCAGCTTTCAAAGCCTGGGCGACCCAGCAAAGAAATGAGCAAGTAGGATTTACTCCGACAAACCAACTCTCGTACGCACCGATCCCAGCAAACTTCAAGCCTCGAGCTCCCGAGCAAGATCCTCTACCACCAGAACTTGAAACGAAAACTGCGACCGATGGAATACGGAAGGCCTTCAGTGTCAACGTCGAACGATCACCGGAGATACAGGAGTCAAGGCTGCAGCTCCCCATCGTAGCGGAAGAACAGAAGATCATGGAGGCTATACACAACAATGACGTGGTAGTAGTTTGGGGTGCCACCGGTAGCGGTAAGACCACGCAGGTGCCCCAGTTCCTCCTAGAGTCTGGATATGGAGCGGCCGACGGTCCTACTCCTGGCATGATTGGAGTTACGCAACCTCGTCGTGTAGCTGCCGTCAGCATGGCGAAACGTGTTGGTGATGAACTTGGCGACCAAAGTACGAAAGTGGCGTACCAGATCCGATTTGATACGTCAACAAGTGCCAAAACCGCTATCAAGTTCATGACTGATGGTGTGTTGCTACGGGAGATCACCCAAGACTTCGTACTGACAAAGTATTCCGCAATTGTCATCGATGAGGCTCACGAGCGCAGTGTGAACACAGACATTCTCATCGGCATGCTTAGCAGGATTGTGGATCTTCGCGCACAGATGGTCAAGGAAGACCCGAAGAATAAGCCTCTGAAGTTGATTATTATGTCTGCTACTCTACGTATATCGGACTTCACTGAGAACAAGCGCCTATTCAGGAGTGAGCCCCCACCACTGATCAAAGCAGAAGGTCGTCAGTATACTGTTGTAAACCACTTCTCACGTCGCACTCAACGAGACTATGTCGAGGAGATGTATCGCAAGGTATGCAGAGGCCATCGAAAGCTGCCCAAGGGCGGAATGCTCGTCTTCCTTACTGGTCAGAACGAGATCTCGCAGCTAGCGAAGCGCCTAAAAGAAGCTTTCCCTTCAACACAGGGGCGGGAGGTGAAGGCTGGCAAAGTCGTGGTCTCTCCGGCAGAGACGCCGCTGGAGGCTGAAGACATCGAGCTAGGTGGACAGGCCGAAAGCCAGGATTACCTAGACGATGACGGTTCGGATTCAGAAGGCTCCGTGATCATGGGTCTTGATGACGAGGACGACAAAGAATTCGAAATTGAGGACGAAAAGCCGGAAGAGACTGTCATGAACGTACATGTTCTACCCCTCTACTCACAGTTGCCCACAAACCAGCAACTGCGGGTGTTCGAGCCACCTCCTGATGGTTCTCGTCTCATTGTCCTTGCTACGAACGTCGCAGAAACCAGTTTGACGATACCCGGCATTCGCTACGTGTTCGACTGCGGAAGAGCCAAGGAGAAGAAATATGACCTCATTACTGGCGTTCAAAGCTTCGAAGTCGGATGGATTAGCAAAGCCAGCGCCAACCAGCGATCTGGTCGTGCGGGCCGTACTGGACCTGGTCACTGTTATCGCCTGTACTCATCGGCCGTCTTCGAGAGAGACTTTGAAGAATACGCAGCTCCGGAGATCTCACGAACACCGCTGGAGGGCGTGGTGCTGCAGCTGAAGAGCATGGGTGCACCGGTTGTCAACTTCCCCTTTCCGACATCACCAGACAGGGAGAGTCTGCAGAAGGCAGAGAACTTGCTCTCGTATCTAGGAGCATTGTCTCTGGATGGCAAGGTCACGAAGCTTGGTCATGAGCTTTCATTATACCCTCTCAATCCACGATTTGCTCGTATGGTCGCGATGGGTGTTGCGCAGAACCTCGCAGCTGAGACCATTGCATTGGTAGCGGCTCTATCTGTACCGGAACTCATTGTGCCAGAGAATAACTTGGGACTACGTGAGCCTATCAGAGATCCTGACACCATTCGTACCGATCAAGACAACATCGAAGCCGAAGAGCGCTCCCGGTTGCGCAAAGCCTATAACGCTGCACAGGCTAAAATGAGCATCAATGCAAAGCAGAGTGACTGCATCAAGCTCAGCAATGCGATCTGTGCCTACGCCTACGAGCCTGATTCGCACCGGTTTTGCGAAGACATGTTCCTCAATCCCAAGTCCATGAACGAGGCTAGCCAGCTCCGCCACCAGCTCACCAATATCGTCCGGGCACATCGACCTACCGCCATCGGAGCGTACAACGCAAAGCTTCCAGCACCTTCGGAGCGAAACATCAATCTGCTTACCCAGATATGCGCGGCAGGCTTCATCGATCAGATTGCCATGCGCGCTGACCTTGCTCCTGTGCCCCCCGAGCTCCCGAGGAAGCCCAAGACTGCGATCGATGTGCCTTACGTTACTCTGTTCTCGTCACAATCGGAGCGTTCAGACGATCCGCACGCCAACTATGTGTTTCTACATCCCTCTTCTATACTTGCACGTACACCGCCAGCAAAGATGCCGGGATACATAATCTACTCGCATCTCCAACGCGCGGCAACATCCACCATCACTGGTAGTCGGACACCGAAGACCCGCATGCATCCTCTTACTCCTGTTACGAGGCCGCAGATTATCAACATTGCACTTAACACACCGTTACTACAAGCGAGTAAGCCAAAAGGCAAGATTGTAGAGCTGACCAAGGATAAGCGGGAGTGCGAGGTTGAAATGAGCCTCATGGGCGAGAAGGGCAGCCAAGGATGGGGGCTCGGCGTTAGGAAGGTTGTACAAAGGAAAGAGCCTGGCGGACGATACGTTATTGAGCGGATACTCGGTTGAGAGCCGTTTAGAGCATTGGTGACATATTGAGCGATAGAGTGGCCTATGGTTACAAGATAAATCGCGAAGAAACATAGCAATATTTTGAGATACCCCACAGTTCACCTTCTACCTATGCCGTTCGATCCGCATCATGGTCCAAGGCGTAATGACCCACTAACCTAGTCCCTCGACACACTCGTCTCAGCAGCAACCTTCTCATTCGCAAAGACAGTAACCTCCTTCTCCTTTTCTACGCTTCTCCTCCCTTTACCCTCATCATCATGCCTCGCAGCGCCCACACACTTATAACTACTAAACTTCCTAGCCGCCAACCCAGCCTCAAACATTTCATCAATCTCCTCCAACGTCCTATTCTTAACCTCAGGGAGGAAGAAAAACACCCACGTAGCAGCAATAGCACAAGACGGCGCCCAAATAAACCCATACCTCGGTCCCCAATTCATGGCCTGTGGATTAATAAAGTACGGGGCAGTAAACGTGGTAAGCCACGCGCCTACAAATCCCGCACTAGCAGCCAGACCAAACGTATGGGAGCGCAGACGCTGAGTAGGGAGTTCGCCGCCGGAAAGCCAAGCGTATGTTGATATCATGCCGTTGTAACTGAACATGTAGATGGCGGTTAAACCAACTGTGACTTTTCCGGTGGACTTTGCGTTGGGCGCTTGGTGGAAGACGACGGCGATGATAAGTTGGAGGATGCCGCAGACGAGGAGGCCGGTCATGAGGAGCACGCGCCGGTTTCCGTAGCGTACGACGATGAAGGAGTTTGCGATGAAGGCTACTATGCTGATGGCGGAGAGGACGTTGGACATGGCGAAGGGGTCGGATACTTTTGCCATTTGCAGAAAGTACGCTTTGTACGCTTGGAATGTGTGTCAGTAACTGCTTCTGAGAGTTTGAATCCTATGATCGCAATCTTACCGATGATGAACATGGAGCCCGATGCTGCTTGAAGCAGGACGGCGAAAACCGCAAGGAAGGTACGGCGGCGATCGACAGGGTTGCTGAACATGTCGAGCCAGCCTATACCAGAGCTCGTTTCCTTTTCCTTTTCAATCGCTGCTAGGATTGCAGAGGCTTCGGCACGGGAATCGTGGCGCGCTGGACGTAGCCATTCAAGTGCTTTTACTCCCTCTTCGAAGCGGCCTTGTAGAATGAGCCAACGTGGACTTTCTGGGATGAACCATATTGTGCAGATGATGATGAGAGGGAACACATAGATGAGACCGAGCGGGATGAGGTAAGCGGACTTGTCTGGTCGTTTTGCAGTGGCCCAGTCAATGATGGTGCCAATTAGTGTTCCAAAGGAGACGAAGAAGTTGAAGCCCGTCAGAAACACGCCACGAAGTTCTGCCGTACTGCTCTCCTGTAGGTATAGCTGCGAGAAGGTCATGAAGTAGCCGTTCGCGAGACCAATAATTAGACGACCAGCATAGAGCGCCCCGATGTTCTCCGTAGCCATCATCATGATGTTGGCAACGAAGCAGGTAATACAAGCCGCAACCAGACACATGCGTCGTCCGAACCGGGTGGATGGTACACCAGCAGTAGCGGAGCTGATGAAAGCTCCCAGCGTCATGAGCGAGGAGATGAGCTGCTGTCTTTCTGTGTCGATGTTCCATCCTGTGGGTGTCTTATCGGTACGGTATCCAAAAATCTAATATTGTCAGTCAGCCAACTATTGGGCTTGAGGAGAAGAAGTTTCCCAACTGCGGTGTACCTTTAGAAACCCCACCATGGCCTGCAGACCTCCAATCATACCGAAATCAAATCCATACTGAAACGGGCTGAGGATCACAACGCCACACGCGAGGAACAACCGCGAATGATCGCGCCACGTATAACCATTGTTATCAGACATGGCAAGCAAAAACCTCGTGGGCAGAAGTGCGATGCGGATGTAAAGCTAGGTTCTCCTACAGCAGGCACATGTTCGAGGCAATGCCATGGGTTTTACCTTATACTATGAAGATCATTTGCCCAGTGTGGGTTGAATGCAACCAGCGACTTTACCCATCTGCCGAAACAAGTTATTGCCAAGTCCTCTGTGCAGATACGCCTGAGTTGTCTGACCCCACAAGTCAGATGGGCTCTCCGCTCGTATAGAGCCAATGGCGGAGGTTACTTGGCGGCTTGTGCCTCTGTGAATGTGGGGAAGGGTTGTGTGGATGGAAGGATAGGTGGGTGTGTTTTTGTGCTTGAGACTGCTTATGTCTTTGTGTGCTTTGCAGTAGATTGCGGACTATATGAAGCCAGGTTCTCGGATTATAATCAGAGCGATGCATTGTTTGCTGTAGTTTGTGGATCGTTCAGCATAAAGCATTAGATGGTTGTTTTCCCTTGAGAGGCCTGGAAATATTCATCCGTGTGGCCATCTGTGTGGCTGGGCCAAGGAAACACAGTTGCTCATGATGAAACTCGGTGTCACAGTACCGTTGAGCAAGTGGATACAGATGATTTAGTAACGCGCGATACGAAGAGTTATTGGATAAATGCAAACTGGAGAAGTATGGGGTACGGGTGTAGTGGTTGGAGAGTGTGGGTCAGAACGGCTGTTGCGCGGGGAAATTAAAGCTTAGCTACACGGCGTGTTGGATGCCATACGCCACTCGTCCATGAACATGGTATTATTTACATTTGCATAGCCAGTGTTAATGTGTAACCAGGGCTAAGTGTATCTTGAATTTCCGAAGAAAATTCCATGGTAAACCTTCGAACGCCGCGTCAATGGATACATTGAGCACGTACAGCCGCTACACTGCATTTGCTATTGACACGCACCAAGCATTTTTCCAGACCTACTGACAGACTAGAGGGTTACTGTTATCATTGTAGCGAGCAATACCCCAATGTCTTGTCATTATACTGAAGCTTGAGGCTACGCCGCAGTGCTAGCAAAAGAGATGAGGGTAACGCTAGTGTGGCCGCAACTCCACCCCACTGCGTCACCATCAACATGCCACGCATACCAACATCGCTCATCCGTCAGGCGCGCGCGATAGATCCCTTTCTTCCAGCTCTTCTTGTGCCCTGTCGCGAATTGCATGCTGCCCAGAATGAGCTACGATGGCTCCGCGAACACGTCGAGAAAGTCGCGACAGCGCGTCGCGCCAAAGGAGATACAATAGCTAAAAGCTCTTTGCTACGACAATTGGTCAAAGACAGAGCAGCTGGGAAGCCACTACAGTATCTATTAGGCACAGAATACTTTGGCGACCTGGAGATACGCTGTAGACCTGGTGTTCTAATCCCAAGGTACACAATATTAGGGCTTCTGGTAGATTCGTGGCTAACAATACGAACAGAGCAGATACGGCCGCTTCAATCACACATCTCGCTGGTCTCCTAAACAATGCGCAGAGCCTCCCGCCCGAAGTTCGCCTACTTGACCTCTGCACCGGAACCGGCTGTATACCCCTCCTCTTCCAGCACGAGATATCCTCCGCATCAAGCAAAGTAGACCTGCGTCTTCTTGGTGTCGACATTTCAGAGAAGGCCCTGGGTCTTGCGAGACACAATCTACAAAGTCTACGCAAAATGCGACAACTGCAAGACAATGGGAAATTGGACTTCATACAGGCAGACATCTTGACAACTCCCTTCTCAGATCAGACTGAAGGCGTCTTGTCGCTTCCAGCTGCGCTCAACTGGGAAGGACAACCGGCCTTCTGGGACATTCTCATATCGAATCCGCCATACATCTCGCCATCTGCCTTCTGGAAGACGACAACGCGCTCGGTTCGCGGTTTCGAACCAAAGCTCGCATTGGTACCCCCACGCAGGCTCAAACAGACAGACACAGAGCAAGGCGATGGCTTCTACCCGCGTCTACTTGAGATTGCTAGGGATGTGGAAGCCAAAGTTGTCCTACTTGAGGTTGCCGACATGGAACAAGCGCTTCGCGTAGCGCAGCATGCACGGAATCTAGACATATTCGACGGCGTCGAGATATGGCGGGAACAGCCTGATGCTACCGGAGACACCGGAACCGAAGAAGGGTTTACAGTTGTTGGACAAGGCAATGCCCGATCCGTCCTCTGCTGGCGTGGTCAGGGGACATCTTGGCTCGGGAAACCTGCAACGCCCGCCTCACCAAGCGAAGACGCCGATCGCCTCTTTCGGAGCTCACACGCCAAAGTGAAAGATGCCGACGAGATAACTGCACAGGTTAATGACAAGAAACGGTTGGAGCCGAGGTTCGACATGGGAGTCGCCTCTGGAGCTGAATACACTGGTATCCCTCTTCGTCGACAGCCGAACGTTCGAATGTCTGACGACTCGGAGATTAAGTAAGCAGAGCGCACGTCGAGCGCTCTTTTCTCAGTATCTGCGGATCCATTTCTCTTTTGAAGACGACAACGAAGTCAATCCTCGAGCTCTGCACTTTTCACAGCTCGACAGATACCGTCTCAAACCATGCACCTTCCCTCAGCTTCGAAGTTCCCTAGTCAGATGTTATCATCCGTATGGCGAGCAGATCTCAAACAGCATATCTGCCTACTTCAAGAACGACTCAGGATGGATGTTAACGAATCCTCCAAACTTGAGCGCCTCTCAGGGTTATGCTTCAACCAAGTGGCATACGGCACCTGCTCTCCGTCGTAGCTGATGCGACCGTACTACAGCCTCCCACAGCACTACATATTGGGCTCCCACTAACACAGTGTTGAGCTGCTAGATGGCTTGATAGAATTGCTTGATGAACCGTCACTCCCCTCACCAATCTGGTTTCTGGAGCACAGTCTGAAAGTCTTGCCAGGATCTCGGAGAATCTATTCTATGTGACCATCATGAAGAAAGACATCTGGACCAATAGGGTCTGTGAGACCCACTGGTGTTTGTGTGAAGGATCTGGTACTGAGACTAGTCACAACTACGCTGGCGACTCAAACATCAGATGGATAAAATGTAACTTCGACCAGGAGAGTGGTGTCTCCATTCACGATCGGCAAAGCACATCTATAAGGCAGTTGGTATTGCTCGAGTTGTATTCAAGCACCATAACGTACCCTAAATGTATACGCTGTGTTTTACGCTGCACTATGTAGGTATAAAACACTGAGAATACCTTTAGGGTAGACTTTGCGTGTAACGTACAACTCAGACAAAACGAGCTCCTTCGCAAGACATGTATATGCGGCTGTATCTCCTCTCTACTTTGGCCACGAGGGGATCTAATGCAATGAATATAACTTTTCATTTCGACCTGCAGTAACTCGAGTACTGCTATATACCCGCCCTGCTACATCATGAGGCAAGGCCGACTTTTTCCTATCTTTGCACCTCTCTTGCCATTCAGCCATCAAAATCTCTAAACTCTAGTAAGAACCAGCGGCAATTACCGCTTAGATATATTCTTATGCCATTGCAGTCCATCCATCAGAATCTCGTTTACGTCCGTCGGGGAAGCAATATGCTACAACGTATGCGGCGAAGGAGGTACAAGTCGGTATCGCGGTGACTAGGCCACCTTGCAACGACGATTTTTGGGCCATTGCAATAAGACCCATGCATACAGAGGCCAATGCAATCGTGCAGAGGATGTATCTGTATCTGTTAAACTGAGTGTATAAGAGAGAAGTGTCAACTGCTTACAAACGATGATTTGACACCCGTTGGCATTGCACGAGGAAATATATGGCTGTCAACCAGGACCATATCCCAAAAACCCTGGCTGATGTCAGTAAGGATGCAGTGTATGGTTCATCAAAAACTGGTGGGACAAGGATCACTTACATCCAAGACACTTTGGGGCTGATGGCACTGTCGTTGCGCATCATGAGCCACAACACACTGGTAATACCCATCATCGGCCCCACAAGGGTACTCGAGAAGACAGTGACGGATTGTCCAATCAACAAAAAGAGCGTAACGAAGAATCCAATCGGAACATAATAACGGTAGTGTTGACCAGCTGCGGTTGGAGCCAGGGTGTGTGGTTCGTCAAGCGCTGCTGCGGGCACAATAATGGCCACAAAGACCAATGCAAGTATTAATCGTATTGGTACGCGAGCACGCTTGTGTGTATGATTGTTACCGAATAGCCGCACGCGCCATTTATTATCGGACTGCTGACAATTGACATGCTTTCCCATAATATGAGACGTATCTGGAGTTTGAACACTGGGGGCGTGGATAAAGAATGATGTTCTTTGCCAAAGGGGTGTTGGATGAATCGCAGAGGTAGTGCTTGACAGTTGGAGTCTTGTTTGGTCTTATGTCCGGAGTGATCTCTTCATAAATGTGCTGGAAAATGTATGTTTAGCTTTTTCACATATGGAGGTATATACAGCTTTAAATGCGGCTCTGTACGGTGGTTCGCATATTGAAAGAAGGCAAACGACATCCCTGCGCACCGGTTATGCAGCCACAGCATAGGCCTCCAATCAAACTCATCAAGTGTGGAGTCTTTCCGATATGCACATACCGGGGCCACAATACTGGGCAGTCGAGGCAGGCAACCGACTGTCCATTTACACTGTCATTGCAATGTAGAGTGCACAGCCACAAACAATTGAATAAGTCAGAATATAGCGAATCGCTACGTAATCATCTGAAAGCGCGTCCACTTTAAGGCCTTTACATATATATTCGCAGCACTTGCTGCAGGTTATCCAAACGCTTTCAGGCCAACTACAGAAGGTCTACGTCGAAACATGTCCTTTCAAAAATGTCTTTTGACTGGATAGCAAGCGGTAGGGAGGCCGCCCGCGTGTTGTCCAGGCTTACGTGGATGTCGAACGTCACCTCCCCTCAGTTGATTGGAAGTGCTCATTGAGATGTTGACTGAACCTGTGCAGGACTGCACTGTTATCCTCGGCTTTAGGTTGATGGAGAAGATTTAGTTTAACGGTTGCGCACTGGGATGTCGTTATATAACTTTGTAGCGAAATGGCATCATCGTCTGTATATACGCCCTACCATGTATTCCGTTACAAGCTGCGACAAGTCATACGAACAGTGAAACGCAATGTACGACTAAACTGCTTGAGGAAAGATTAGTCGTGAACACACGCGGCGCTACAAAAATTCCTCCGAGAATGAGCTCTGAGTTTCTGCTACGAACTGAGCAAAAGCACCAACATTGAAAAAGAGGCTAAGGACCTTGATTGAGTACGTATTTTCAAATGTATGTTCAGGTTGACTTTTAGACCAGTTCCAATGTACTTGTATCCCTAGCCCCAAAGCGAGTATGTGTTCCGCTGAGTAAACGCCTGCTCCAATGTATGTATAGTTGTTCAATACCCACAACCCCTCCTATAACTCCACGCTGTATATGCATATCTCCCAAATTTTCCTCACACCTATTTCCTCCTGTTAAATTGACACGACATGTCAGATGCCTGAGCTGCCTTGACTTTCTGATCTGTATGTGTCTCAATGCTTCTCATACATTTATGCAGAGAAGTGACCACCCGCAGAATCCTGGCCAGGGTTCGCCTGCTCGTAGTTGAAGTGCTTGACAAAGCGGTAGTATGCCGAAGCAAGGAGCGCACCAAGTATAGGGCCAACCCAGTAAATCCAGTGGTAGCCGACAAACGACCGTGAAGCGACAGCAGGACCGAAACTGCGTGCCGGGTTAAGTGAACCGCCCGTAAAGTAGACCCCTATTTATTGTTAGCCTCATGAACTGGGAGATCAGCTCTTCTCGAGCAAGACAGGATGACATACCGCCCATCATGGCGACAAAAAGCGCCAGTCCAATTCCAATTGGTGCTATGAAGGTGGACTTGCTCTTCTCGGCAGCTAGCATCAGAACGACAAAGACGAGTTCGGCAGTCATGAACATTTCGATGAAAACACCTTGGGCGATGGTGGTACCGCCAGATAGTGAAGTGTTCACAACACCAATGTCTCCGGGAAACATACATTCGACAAGTCCACCAGCACACATGCATGCGAGTAGCTGAGCAGGAACGAGAAAGAGAGAGCGTATAAAGGGGAGTTGACCAGCAACTACCATACCAATCGTTACCTAAAGCATGTTAGTATCATTTGACATTCCTACAGGTATTCCTAGGGGAATATTGGGTAGGTACATACCGCAGGATTAAACAACCCTCCACTAATCCGAAAGAAAGCCCAGACATTAACCAACAAACTAAACCCATACACTAAGGCTGTAAAGATATTCTGCTGACTGCTTGTCCCACCGTTTAGGATTGATCGGTCACTCGCTTGATTGGTGATCATGAGTTGACCGGAAAAAGCAAAGAAAAGGAACATGAAAGTGCCAACGAACTCTCCGCTGGCTGCTACTATGTGCCCTTCAAGGCTACTGAGACGCTTCTTGGGTTCAGGAGCAGGTACGTCATAATCTGATTCATCGCGTGGGAGAGGACTGTTATGGCCGTTTTGGCTCCGGGAACGGCGGCGTGGTGGAGGCTTAGGCTCGCGGTAGGTGGACATGCGCGGCATTGTGAATTTGGAGGTAGTGTGCAAGAAGGTAAATATGAAAGAGGTGGTTGTGTGGATAGGAATACGTGTAAGACGGAGTATCGACGATATTGAGGAAAAATATAGTTACCAGATGGATAATAGACTGTGGCTGGGGGAACCCGTTCTAAAAGACGATCTAAAAGCAACCAACGGCCGCCGTTGCGCCATAGCGATCAATCAATCGGGTTGAGGAGGACTTAGTCTTAGCCAACGGCATGGAGATGGAGGCATGACGACTGTGACGTAAGATGCGCGTCAAGGGTCCACATATAGTCCGAACCACTAAGTGTCGGGATCGCCGTTCATGAACGGCGAAGTCAATCATGGGCTGACTGCAGACGTATTTTTGTGAAGACAGCACAAATTGTGATAGGGTTCGAATGTTCCGAGGAGCAAGCATATACCGTTGCACACGGCTGAAGCCACCACCCGCCTGACGTTGGTGGCTGCGTCCAGATGTCATGACACGATGATCGGTGATTGGTACTAGGGGCATGCTTGTTTGATGGCTGAGATCTTGACAGTCGAGACTGGAATCGCAAAAAGAAGCTATGGGGTTGTGGGCGGCGCGCTGGAGCTAAAAAAGTCAAGAGGCTTAAGGGCTGGTCTACGCCCCAATCTCATTCTGCGGGCGCTGCACGTCTATTTGAGTATTGACAAATTTACACGCGCATGACCGCGCAGTACCATAGTAGTATGTACAATAGTTTCAGGGCTTACCTGCTCTTCTTACCCTGAACTTGGAAGATTTGCCGTTTCCTTCGGTCTTCCCAACGTGCCCAGCCAGAATCAACTAGGTCTTCCTGGATCACAAGATCTCTCACGCGCAACGCCCTCAAGATCCAGGTTTCGAGAGCCCACTCTATCCAGCCAGATCTCCGCAGGTATGTTGTGAGGCCGAACCAAGCTAGAGCGAAGACAGCTCCGGCAGCGCATCCGACAATGACTTGTTTTGGTGTATGATAGCTCAAGTATATCCTGCTTGCAGCTACAGCTCCTGCACAAGCCAATGCTAGGAGCGAGAGAAGGAAGCGACCACGCAGTGAGAAGGGCGTGTGGGTGTCCGTTGGGTGGGGGACGTGTCGGAAGAGGAGAAAGAGGCCTAGGGTGACGGAGAAGAAGGAGACGAACTGGGCATGTGAGGAGGGCATTCCGTAACCCTTTCCATGCATTTCTGTCTAGTATTAGCACTACGCTGGAATAGTTTCCTATGCCAACTTTACCCCGCGGCCGCTCCTCCTTGATGTATCTCTTCAGAACCCAGTTGAGCGCTTCACACGCCATTTGACCGGCAAACATGAGGAAGATTTCAATCTCACGGTTGGACCATATCAGCGTCGCATAAACAACGCATAGTCCCTGGGGCACGAGAGCAAGCCATGCGCAAAGGTAGGAGATGCGATCTGCGGGATTCTGGGAGGATTAGCCGCAGCTTTTGTTGTCAGTAGGTAGAACCAACATAATGAACATGCGTCAAGGACAGTGACGCAAGCGGAGGAGCCTCCATAGCGAATTTGCGTGGGAGGTGAAGCTTCCAAGGTCGTCAAAAGTGAAGGATGCACATGCAGTCAGTACCCATGGCGGAGCATTCCCGGCGATACCCTTTCGGCCTTGGCGTGGCGCATGCGAGATGCCTCGGTGATCGATTTGCTACATTCTAGCATCTGCTGCAACAGCCTAGTTTTTGATAGCATCTATGGAACCATAGTGATAGCAATTCAACGTCTGACTCACCATGGGCCTCTTCAAGGGGTCTTTTGCCTTTATGCGCTACCGATAGAAGAGAGTCGCCACGCCCTTCCATACTTGCTTGCGACCGCATTCGACTTATCTCCGCCCTCTTTCCGCCGTCGCCACATTCTTATACAATTCACTCGACGTTTAATACAAGTCACCGCCATAGCCGACTTCAACATGGAAGACGAGCGCGCCGAAGAGCTCAGCACGCTACAGTCCATCTACCCAGAGTTGGTCATCAACGATAGCGACCCGTACTCTGCCACTCTTGAACTGCTCGTGGCGCCCACGAAGCCACTGCCTATCACCTTCGAGCCGCAGCAAGATGTCGAACGACTCCCATATCTACCCCCACTACGTCTCGAGATTATCCTACCCGCCGAGTATCCCGAACACATACCGCCTGTCGTGAAGTTGTCTACTTCGCCATCGTGGCTGCGCCAGGACCTTCAGGCTACGTTGACAGCCGAAGCAAAGACATTATGGGATGAATATGGCGGGGGTTCTATTCTGTTCGCTTATATCAGCTCTATACAAGAACAAGCCGAGAATGCCTTCGGTCTGCAGGAACTCACCTTACCTTCTTCTATGCGCAAGGTACTGGTTGATTACAGTCGCCGGATGAAAAAGGAGCTTTTCGACAAAGACACGTTCGATTGCGAAGTCTGTCTCGAGCCGAAGAAGGGATCTTCCTGTTACCGCATGGCCCGCTGTAGCCATGTCTTTTGCATCAACTGCCTCCAGGACTACTACAACAACTGTATCAAGGAGGGTGACGTCAACAACGTCAAGTGCATGTCAACCGAGTGTGGTAGTAGTGGGAAGAAGAAAGATCGGCTCTTGTCACCCAAGGAGCTGTTATCGATCCCTATAGCTCGCGACCAAGTCGAGCGATATGCCAAAATCAAGCGGAAGAAGAAGATTGAATCCGACCCCAACATTGTGTTTTGTCCGCGGACATGGTGTCAAGGCGCTATGCGGACAGACAAGTATCCTAAGATTACCGACGTAACTCAAATGGATGATTCGGATTCCGAAGCAGACGATGAGGCTCCAACCCAGCAGCGGGACACCGATGTCGAAACTGGCCCGGAAAAGCGTGGAATTGGCGTCCGAGGTATGGATCGGTTGCAGGTCTGTGAAGATTGCACCCTCGCTTTCTGTGTTGTCTGCCTAGCATCGTGGCACGGAGACTTTGTACGCTGCGAGCCGCGCGATGCTACACAACTCACCGAAGAGGATCAGGCGTCGCTCAATTTTATCTCCAAGAACACTACGCCATGCCCTTATTGCTCTGTGCCGTGCCAGAAGAGCATGGGCTGCAATCGTAAGTGACTCCCATATACGAACTACGTGTGAGACAAAAACTGACTTCGTACACCACTCTTTAGACATGACGTGCGCGCAGTGCAAGTCACACTTCTGCTATCTTTGCTCGGCGTGGCTCAATCCAGATCACCCATACGCGCACTTCAACGACCCCAAGAACAAGAATTGCTTTATGCGTCTCATGGACGGAGCCGAAGGCGACATGGGAAACGGTGCTGTGCAGTTCGGTGGTAGGAGAGGAGCTGAGCAACAGGCGGAGTTTTGGGAACAAGAAGCTCTGCGCATACAGATGCAAGAGTTTGATGAATTTGTACGATAGCATGAATGGGTGAGTGCTGAGTAATCACATGCTGGAACGTAAAGGTTAATGAATGATGTAGACATTCAAACTATATCCTTCCTAAGCCATCGACGATTGCGCGTCGCTTACACTTGTTAGATGACCCGCATTTAAGTTCCACGACAGTTCCCTTCGTGGAAACTTATTACATTATTATTACAGTTTCACAAACTGGAAACCTATGTACCATAAATCGACCAAAATCATATACATCCACATCTGCCTATTACTCCTCAAGCCAAAGGCTTTGCGCCCGCCAGCTGCCCCGACCCAGCGATTACGACATCGCTCACAGGCTTGTCACCCTGTCCAGTCCTTGTCGCCTCAATCTTCCTCACGACATCCATGCCGTCGAGGACTTCACCGAAAACGACGTGCTTGCGATCAAGATGCGGTGTAGAGGCGGTTAGGATGAAGAACTGAGAACCGTTGGTGTTTGGACTGCGGAATTATTAGCAATGTCTTCTTAGGGGTCAGCCCGAGAAGTAGCTTACCCAGAGTTCGCCATGCTCAAGAGACCAGGGTGAGTGTGCTTGAGCTCAAAGTTCTCGTCGTCGAAAGAATCGCCTCCAAAGATGCTCGCGCTGCCGGTACCGTCTCCGTTCAGGAAATCACCACCCTGAATCATGAAATTCGGAATCACTCTGTGGAAAGTGCTGCCCTTGTATCCGCCACGGTTGGACTCCCCCGTGCAGAACTGTCTAAAGTTTTCTGAAGTCGCTGGTACAACATCAAGGAACAACTCCATTTGTATACGCCCAACCGGCTGGCCCCCAATGGCAATGTCAAAGTACACAATCGGGTTATCGGGTGACCTGCGCGCCTTTACCGTCGCACCTTCTCCAGTGACCGGGATGTTTTGTTGTGTTGGCGCATGCGACGCTGCGGGCTGTGACGGACGCGCCATCTCGGTCGACTCGCCGGCATTCTTCTCTTTACTCCCGCATATACCCATCGTGAAGGATCTAGTTGCAGTGTCGTTGTTGTTTCGGGTCGTTGTTATCGTAAGAGTAACACAATGATGTGCACAGGGAAGTTTGGAGATCAAAGATCCGAAAGTTGGGATGACGATGATCGCATCAAGCGCTACGGGAGAGCTAGCGGCATCTAGACTGTGGAAGGGAAACAAGGTTGGGGCGATGACTTCATCGGTGAGATGTTTGTTTTTCAGCATGCAAAGATGTCTGTGCAGGTGCAAGCGGATGAATCAGGCACGTGTGGTAATTGGTACGGATGCGACTTCTTACAAGTTGTGCGTGCGTGGCACCCGCGGACGTGTGCTACACCGCCATACCCCAGCCGGACCATGTCTCCTTCTATACTACTGTTGATACAGTGTAGAACACGATGGTATCTTGAATAACCTTATGGATGTTCGCCGCCGCCCCAACGCCCTCAGCCAACTTCGCTTTGTTGGTAGCAAGGTTGAAATTCTTCGCCGCCACCGCACTGAAAGTATCGTGGTCGAACTCCAACAGCGCCAGACTGGCAATGACAACAGCCGAGAAGCCGTTTGCCTTGAATACGGGCTCTTTCTCACGAAGATGCTTCGTAGAGTCCGGGATGCTGACGTTTACTATGCATAGCGTTAGGATTCGATTCGTGCTAGAAGGACCGTGATCACCCACCAGTCGCTACTACCGTATCGATGAACTTGACGGTATCCTCCACGCTAAATGGTGGCAGAGCAAGAGTCGCACGTCGGAAACCTTGACGGTTCACAGTGTGGATCTTTGCTACGCCAGCGAGTACCTCTTTGCCTTCGACGATGGCTGTCTCGAAAGAGCCGCCTTGGAAGGCTTGTACCGTGGCATCGAGCTCGAGAACGGCGTTGTGAATGTTGATTACCGACTGGGTCACATCCTGCGCTGTGGGCAGGACTTGTGGGACCGGCGAGCAGAAGGCGATGGCTGGGAGAAGAAGGAGGGAGAGTGAGAAGTGCATATTGTCGGTGCGTATCTTGTGTGACAGTCACGATGGCCTGACGAGATTGTCAAGGTTCAAAGAGCAAGACACTAATCAGAGATGCGCAAAAACAAGCAACCAACGCATCTTGCAGCCTCTTCATATACGAGTCCCTGATGGTATTCCATAGAGCCGAGGCTCATCTACGACATGTCGATCTTGCGTCGAATTAAGCAGCTAGTTACCTAGCTACGGAAACTAGGTTCAGCGGGTCTGTAGATCATCCGGTATGGCGCCGTAAACTGGAGTAACATTCATGGACCACATCCCCAGATGCTCTTCTACGACGCACATTTTTATTCATGCTAATACACGCAAGTACATCGTAACCTAAATACATACAGGCAATCTGCCACAATAGAAACCCCTTCACCGCTATCCTTAGTCACAGCCCTCAGTGCTCTAGAATCTTCTTAGCAACCCTTTCTCCGCTTCGGATAGCGCCGTCCATATATCCAGTCCAATACGGACTCGTCTCCGTACCAGCAAAATGCAACCCATCGACCTTCGCCCTCAACGCGCTTCCATATTGCGTGAGCACATTAGGCGGAGCAACCGCCACTGGACCTCCTCTGGACCACTCTTCCAAGTCCCAGCGTTGTAGTACGAATTCAGTTATGTTTGTTCCACTGTCTCCGAAGTACCTCTTGTAGTCTGCCAGAAGCTTCTCCTCGCACTGTGCGGGGGTTAGTTTGTCAAGAGCTCGCATTTCATCTCCGAGAATGAAGCCTAGTATCGCGCCGAAAGATGTGTCCTCGGGGGTACTGTCAAAGGTTACTTTGACGGAGCCGCTATCGGAGAGAACTTGTGCGCTCAGATTGTCATGATGCCAGAAAGGAGTAGAGTAGATTGGGATGCCTTTTCCGATGGAGGCCATTTTCATCTTTTGGTTGAGCTGTTGGCGGCTGGTAGGAAGTGGTGGTGAGAAGGTAATTTGACGCAATAGTGGAGGTGCCATGGCAACTACGGCTTCCTTCGCATGTACTGTTCCCGCTCGAGAAACGACTTTGTAGCCCTTGCGTGTCTTGGTGATGGTAGATACAGCAGCGTTCAGGATGATGTGCTCGCTGCCAACCTTTTTCGCTAGGTGTTCTGGAATGAGACCGGTCCCGCCTACAACTCGTTTCTCTTGAGCACCGTCTTTGATGGCAATCAACCTGTCCAGAGTTCCGACTGCCGTCTCATTACCGGCGGCTGCGATGTATGCGACAACGTATAGCAAGGAGAGTTCGCGTGGCTCGGCAGCGAAGATGGCCTTACATGCTGTGGTCAGCACGAAGGAAGTATCGGAGAGGGTTGCCTGCTGATCGATGAACTGCTGGAAAGTCATTCTGTCAAGCTCTTCCGCCTTCGGGTGCGTCCATGGTGCACTCGTGTTGAGCTCGGCTGCCCATGCGTTCAGCTGCCCCTGTGCACCAGCGACTTCAAGGAGAGACGCCTGTTCGACTGGCGGTGCACCACCAAGTTGCAGATCCGGTGTATAGGTAAGGTGTGTGTTGTTCCGCCACAAGATAGTTTTCCCTTCACTGTACGTATCGAAAGTTTCCAATCCCAGGTCAGAAATCATCTGCAGTACTTTATCCTGCGTCGGACCAACGAATTCGGCGCCTACTTCGGTGACACCGCCGTTTTTTAGAGGGTGGTTATAGACTTTGCCGCCGACACGGTCTCTTGCTTCGAGCACGACGACGGATTTGCCGCCGTGAAGGAGGTCTCGCGCTGTGGTGAGACCAGATAGACCAGCACCAACGATAGCAACGTCCACTGATTCGGGTACAACTGAGGCGAAAGCGTAGCTCGAGAGGTAAGCGGAAAGTAGAAGGAGCATGGTGCTCTTCCCGACACCAGGAGAAACGAAATGGTTGCTCATATTGGTGATGATAGATATCGTAACGATGATACGAAAGCTGAGCTGTTCGTTGATGGAAGTTCAATATCGAAGAGCAGCTTACTCATATATACTGACCACTGCATGCCGTTGCCTACAAACACAACTACGCATCGAGTTCTGATCCTGGTCATGGAAGAAGGTAAGCGTCCGAACCCGATCAGAAGGGCCGTTATCATGTAGTGGTCAATACAGGGTCATCTGCGTGTGACCTGTCAGCTGCCGGGGTATCATCCAGCTTACGAAGACATGTCTGAAAGAGGTTGTTCGCAAGGGAAGCTCAAAGTAGTAAGAGTCAGCATGACTAACCCATCCCTGTATCGAGGTATTCAAGCCTCTAAACTACACTTGGTCCGCTATATTTGAGAAAGGAAGACCATCGTCAGGGTAGTCTACAACGAAAAAAGACTAAGAGACAGATGCATAATTTCTCACCAACCCGGCAGATATGGGTAGAAAAGATTATGTTCACCTGTTGGTTGTTCTTGTGAGTCGCCGTTATTCTTCACTCATGCCCTTCCTCATTAATACTAGCGGGCCGGCCCTACTGCGGTCCAAGGCTTCCGAGCCCTCCGAAATATACATTCATGTTCAATATAGACTTCGGATCGGCTAACAAGACTGAGTCCGAGAACCGAGCATGTTCATCTGAGTACTCGAATGCTGTTAACAGGAAGACATGCCACCGCTTGTTGACAAGCTGGACGAGAGACAGACGTCATGGGGATTTCCATAAAAGTATTCATACGAATAAGCTCGTATGTTCTGGGCTGCACTCAGGCTTACATACTATTTTAGTGATTTTCGCTATATTTTGTGTTGCTAATATTGATGTATAACACATCGAGTACTTTCAAGGCACTACATGGCTAGGGCACAGTTAGAGAATCCAAGCTTCTTTGTAGTGACACATCTCTTAGCTCTAAGGAAGTCAAGACGCTGTTAAGGTGGACAGTAACTTGGGGCAATTAAAGCGAGAGAACGCTCACAGGTGTAGCCTTTTCGTTGATAAAGAGTCTGCTAAGCTGGAAGGTACTGCCGCTATCGTGAAGTCCAAAGTCGAAGACCATATCAGAGATCACAGCGCAAAGATCAGGTGCTACCATCGGCGTGATATCGATTCTGTACATATTCGCAACTTCAACCACTGGACGCGTATATTATGGCGAAGCCTGGCGACATCAAGAAGTTGTTGGGAACACACCCTACCATCTTCTCGTTGTAACATACCACCCTTCCCCTAGACCCCGCTCCGCATCGTGCTATTATCACTCTTGACCGCCGCTTCAAGCTCTTGCTCCCACCCCTGGAGGAACTTGCCAATAAGGTCCCTAACCAATGGTCTGATAGCCAAGGCTGTGCGTCGATAACACAACTCTCTCAAGCGTAGAATCGTAGGACGTATGAGAGCCAGATATTCTTTCGACGCTGCGACCTTGTCTCTGCAGTAATACAATCCCACACTGACTAGTAACTGTGTTGCTTTTCTGAACAAAAACATATCGTCGAGACATGGTAGCATATTCTCGTCTGCTTCTTTGGCATCATCCAAAAGATAAAAATGGCGTGTGAATTTAGCGATCAACTCGTGTGGTCGCAAACCCGTACAAAAGCGATCTTTGTTGAGTAGCGCCTTGAGGCACTCATCGGACTCTCCTTGATTCACCTTTGTGTAGTCCATATCGAATATACTGTTCCGGTACCAGGATTCCATAAGCTCATAAGCTACCTCGGAGCTGACGACATCATCTTGCCCATAGCGCTCCAAACAGAGTCTGTCGTTTTCAGAGCGAGGTTGTTTGGCAAAGTACTCAACAAACTTAGGCTTCTCAGCAAAGTGTTTACGTACATAGAGCTCTCTTGTGTTTTCATGAAATCTTTTAGCATATGTGTCGAGTTGGTACGTAGTCAGGTAAGCGTGAGCATTGCATGGTCCGAGAGGTCAAGAGTCTACCTAGGTAGGTACACTCGTAGGTGTAATCCAATAGTGACGATTGTCACGCACGGACTTGGCAGGCGCGTGTTCACGTGCACAATCCTCAGGCGTGCACCTGGGCAAGAGCAAGCAAGGATTAAAGACAAGTCTCAGCAAGCATGAGATACATTCCCATCATGGTGGTTATGAGCGCGCGAGCTTTCCCAGTGCGTCACCCTCCACTCTTAAGCCTACCCATGCATCCTTTCTCTGTGCACCTACAACCTCGCTCTGATAAAAGTTGAGACTAGGTTCGTTCCAATCTAGGCAACTCCACTCGAGCCTCTTGCCGCCGACCTTCAGCACTTCTCCAGCGAGCTCCTTTAAGAGTCTCTTCCCGTAGCCCTTCTTCCTGTAGCTCTCCTTGACAAACAGGTCTTCCAAGTAGATGCCTGGTACGCCTGTCCATGTGCTGTAGTTGTAGAAGTACAGGGCCATGCCCGCTACCGTGCCGTCAGGGTCGGTGAGGAGGAGTGTACGGGCGAAGCCTTCGGAGAAGCTTGAGGTAGAAGGATCGTAGTGTGCAAGAGTGCGTGTAAGTATCTCCTCGGTGGAATCAACCTTGTCGCTGGCCTTCTCGTAGAGAGCAAGCTCCTGGATAAGGGCGAGGATGGTAGGAACATCTGCGCGAGCTGTTAGTAGGCTTCCGCCATTACGCTACAGATGCTGTACCTTCGCGGGTTGCGTGGCGAATTGTTGCGCTTGAAGATGCCATTGTAATTGTCAAAATGTTATCAATGTCACTGTGATGGTCGAGGTATGGTACAAGGCGTCGTCAATTTATGTTGCTGTAAGACGCGCCCTACAATTGTCGCGTTGTGGGGTAAAGCTAGTCCGAGATATGCATCGGTGTTCAATCGTCGGCATTGGATGTGCCCCGCCTATGACGCCTTCTGCTTCTCTGCTCGTGCAGCAGCAACAGCACGCTTCCTCTTCCACTCCTCTAGTTCCTTACGTGTTGGGTTACTTTCAGGGAGATATTCGGCGAAGAAGGGGAATCGCATATATTCGCCCTCAGAGTTCCGTGGCTGTATATGTAGCGATCTGTCCAGCGCATGCTTCTTGGGCGTCTTTGGCATTTTACCTGTCGCATCAACACCCGCAAAGAGTATTTCATCCGTGGGGGCGTTGTACAGGCTGGGTTTGATGGTCTTCATAGGTTCACCCCAGATAGCCTTCCATCGCTTCTGCTCGTCATCCCATTCGACCTTGCAGCAGAGCACGAGAAGCTTGGTGTACATGCGTTGCATAAATTTGGGGGTAATGGCATGCGGTCGCTGCATGCCTGCGGGTTTGTCCGCCCTGCTGGGCTTGTCCAATGCAATGGCCTCTTCTACCGTGCTAGCGAAAAGTTTGTCTTCTGTGACAGAATCAGCATTCAAAACCGAACCGGGTCCTCTGCGTTTGACCAAGCCAATCTTTCGGTCGCCAACCATCATGGCACGTATATTGTCCCATTCTTCAGTGGGCAGTGGAGGGAGCATTCTCGTCATGGTCTCGGCATACCACCTTCGAACGTTATTGCGCGCGCGCTTGATAGGCATAGGCCGCTCCCACATATTATTGATAGGCGTCTTCATGGCTGGACTCTTGAGCTCTCGGTGAATGGAGATACCCTTCTGGTGCTGCGTCCTGAGGACGGCGCGCAACCGGGAGTAGCGGTTGGAGATGTTGATGGTGTGATGCGTCTTGGTGGCGACTTTTGGCGCATCGAAGTACTGCAGGTAGCGCTTGTTGCTGTAGTAGAGCTTCTGCAACGGAGCCGGGCCTACTTCGTCGGTCGCTGCGAGAGCACCGCCGTCTGTGATGGGGTCAGGCTTCAATATGTCCTCCAGCAAGGCATACTTCCGCCTTCCCATGCGACCATAGGTAAAGAATAGGACCTTCTGCAGACATGGTATTTCGCCCTGGTTGGCCCGGCGCAGGAAATTCAGGCCCTTCTGCCCCTTCCTCAGTAGTGGTCGTGTGCGCTCGTTAATGATAGCTATCTGCCGCCTCTTGAAGCTCCTGTGCCTGTACTTGTCCACCGCCTGGACATCGAAGGAAGCAGTTGCATTCTGCTTGGGCTGGTAGGCTTTGTATCGATTGACAATGTACCGGCGAAAGTAGCTGCGGGCTGTCGCATCGGGCAGATAGGAAGCCTCGCGAAGAAGGGCACGCAGCAGGTGGACTGGCTGGAGACTCGACGCGCTCTGCTGGAATGATGCAGGCATGCGGGAGACGAGACGGAAGGGTAGCAGACAGGTTGGTGGCTGCGGCTGGGCAATGAAACATGCAAGACATGTGATTGGCCGACTGCGCACAACCGACGACGCGTTGGACGCGAATCTCCACTCTCTCCACGACGACGGCCAATTCACTCCCCGCCCACCCGCATACCGATATCGAGTCCTGATACGGCGCATATCGCCTATCGCATATCGCAACCCTTTCACCGCGGATACCGCTTTCAGTGCATACATTGCGCACCCCCGACTGCATCTGCCCACGCTGTCGCCCAGCCTCCGTCCGCGCCTGCCCCCATGACCGTCGTTTGACCCGTACAGTCACCAACACCATCGCCAGCGACTGCGCTGACATAATGCAAGTCGCGCGCTCGTCGCTATCCTTCCCCGCAGGTTCGCCGCCCCAATCTGCCATGTACGCCAACTCTCCTCATAGCCACGGACTTATGGCTGCGCCCGCTGGCTTCAACCGGTCCTTTTCCGACATGAACGGCTTCCAGCAGCACGCTATGGAGAAGCCGCAGATATATACCGTATGCAACACCACCACACTTCTGCAGTCGCATTGGCATGCTGATGATTCTAGGCTGTTTACTCGGGCGTCTCTGTCTACGAAATGGAAGTTAACCGGGTCGCTGTCATGCGCCGGCGCTCTGACGGCTGGCTCAACGCTACCCAGATCCTCAAGGTTGCTGGCGTCGATAAGGGGAAGCGTACCAAGGTGTTGGAGAAGGAGATACTGAATGGGGAACACGAAAAGGTCCAGGGTGGCTACGGCAAGTACCAGGGCACCTGGATCAACTACCGCCGCGGACGAGAGTTCTGTCGCCAGTACGGTGTCGAGGATGTCTTGCGACCACTGCTAGACTACGACATCAGCGTTGATGGCAACCAGGGACAGGGTCAGGGTATCGAGACGCCCACCAAAGAGCAGGCCATGGCAGCCAACAGGAAGCGCTTCTATACCCAGAGCATGGACGGCCGCACCACCAGCCAGAGCGTCGGCGGTACCTTTTTCAGCAACATCTCTTCGACAGCCACCAGCGCACTTGCCGCCATGAACAAGGTCGCGCGACTAAACTCACCCGCACCACGGCCCGCATCGTCATCACAAGGTCGGAGAAGCATGGCACGACCGTCACAAGGACCACTCGCCAGCCAAGAATCATTCCGAACCAGCAGCCAGCAAAGTGTAGCATCAGAGCGTAGTTTCAGCGGGCAGAATGGACACACCGACTCAGCCTACGGTACAGGCATGGAAGACCCACAAGAGCCGCCAAGAAAGCGCATGCGGACATCGCAAGAAGAATCATACTCGCAGCCTAACGGAGCCGACATGTCGATGCGTGATCTTGGTTCACCGACAGAGCCAAGTGAGAGTTTCTACCAACATCAGACAGGACAGCGCATTTCACTTCCCGATGGCGAGGTTCCTTCAGCCCTGCCACCTTTACCACACCCCGATACCAAGCACAACGAAGAGAAGCAGGCCATGCTGACAGATTTATTCGCGGACCAGACCAGGACAGACTTCACGAATCACCCAGCCATACTACATCTCTCTGGCGCTGATCTGGACATGCCAATTGACAACACCTCGAATACAGCCCTACATTGGGCAGCGACTCTGGCCCGAGTGTCGTTGATGAGGTTGTTGGTCTCGAAAGGAGCCAACATGTTTAGAGGAAACGCCTCGGGCCAGACGCCGCTGATGAGTGCAGTCTCAGTCAACAACAGCCTGGACCATAGCTGCTTCCCAGAAACGCTCGAGATCTTGGCGCCACTCATTGAGCTCCGGGACTCCCAAGGGCGGACCATATTACATCACATCGCAGTCACGTGTGCTATCAAAGGGCGCGCGGCCTCCAGCAAGTACTATCTCGAAGCGCTTCTTGAGTATCTCGTACGCAGCAATATTGGCGCCAGTCAGATGCCTTCTTTCCACGACACCAGCAACTACCCGAAACCAATAGGATTGATGAGGTTCATGCAAGAGATGGTCAATGCGCGGGACAAAGCTGGCAATACAGCACTCAATCTAGCAGCAAGGATAGGCAATCGTAACATCATCTCTCAACTTATGGAAGTTCAGGCGGACCCGACGATACCCAATCACAAGGGAACGAGACCGATAGACTTTGGCGTTGGCAGTGACCTTGGCGACGGCGAGGTCATAATGGCCGCAAGCAGCCCCAGTAAGGGCAAGGCACCCTTGAGCAAAGTTGAAGAGACTAGCAGAGAGATACAACCCCGTAAGTTGAGATCTATTTCCATCTCCGCGAGCAAATCATTAACAAGATTCTAGTGATGAATGGCATTCTTCAGTCCGCTTCGATGCAGTTCACGCAAGAAGCGCGTCTAAAACAAGACGCGATAGATCAAACGAACGAGCTAATCACTCAACTATCCACCCAACAGAAGCAGGAGCAGCAAAGGCTAGAGTCACTGCGTGCTCGGTTACGTTTACGACAAGACCGCGCCAAGCGAATATCAAATCTCAAGCGTTGGCTCGAGCCACAACGGCATATGCTCTCCGTCAATGCGGGTGATATCGATTTGCATGAAAAGAAGAGGATAGGATACGCCGATGTGGAAGGTGCAGGCATGCTCATCAAGGAAGACGATCTGCCCTACGAGCTCCGGCAAGCAGGCGACCATCTGGATTGTCGGGCCTCCGACGGAGCTTCTTATTTATCGACTACTATTCCGCTGGATCCAGTGACGCTTAAGCAGGTATCACATCAACCGCAATACCAGACCTATGCTGTTCAACAACTACCTGCCGCCTCAGTCCTCCAACAACGACTTCGTACCTACATGAATGCAAACGGTGCGTTGCTCAAACGTAGCAAAATGCTGAAAGAGAAGGATGGGCAACTGGAGATGATGTACCGCAAGGTCGTTAGCTTATGTACAAAGGTAGAAGAGAACAGGATTGAAGAGTGTCTTGAAGGTCTAGTGGCGGCTTTGGACAGTGAGGAAGGGGAAGGTGTTGAGGTAGGCCGGGTCAGGGAGTTTTTGAGGAAGGTCGAAGGCGTAGAATGAGATTCGTCTACTGCTACTCTGGACATTGGCACAGGCAACAATGAACGTGGTCTCTACATCGCAAAACGATGCTTACGCCAGCTAGTGAATTCTTGGGGCGTTAAGGACTATGGGGATGGTTGTAAACTGCTTGCCTAGGCATGTATTCTAAGCACTTTAGTGCGGTTCTCTGCGGCGTATCATCTGGACTTCGGACTGGAAGGTTACCCATTGAGTCCTCATACCATGCTTTCAATATCATAATACTTTACGACTTGATCGCGTTCGCATTTTCATAAACAGAAGCCCAGGCAGCATTCTGAGCTGAAGACGAGTCATCGTCTTCGTTCAATTAGCGTCTGATTGTCTCGATGCCTAGACTCAAAAGGCATATCGTCCGGCGCGCTAGACTGAGCAAAGCAAAGGCGAGCCGCTACTACCAGCCGTGTACACCTGAACGTCAACGTTCTGGATGCATTCGACTTCCTTCTCACACCACCACTTCTGCCAAGCATCATGAACATTCATGACAACGAACAGCCTTTCCGCCATCTTGACCTACCACGCGAGCTACGAGACAAGATCTACGAACATGCACTAGACTTCTATAGCTGCTGGACAGACCCGTACACCATCAAGGATTACGCCAGGGTGCATGCGAAAGCGCACATAGTAAAGCGGCGACGTCTTGGCATTAATATCCTCCTCGCAAACAAGCAGATTCATGATGAAGCATTTCCTATCGTAGTGAAAACGAATCTTCTAGTCCGGGTCGAGGTACGAAATTCAAGGATAAACAAATGGTTACACGGGTCGACCCAACCAGTCCATATCTTGTCCATGTCTTCAATGGGCGATGCGTCCGAGAGGGAAGAGAAGATAAAGAAACACTCGGGCTATGCGATGGAGCTCGTTATACAGACGCAACAAGCCACTATTGAATATCACCGCCGCCCCGCACCAAGTGTGATCCTGATCCTCTGGGCGGATCTGGGCAAATTTTGCAAAAGGCTAGAGGTGGAAAGAATGAGTACTCGAAGCGGAAACCCAAATAGGCAAAAGATGCACTGCGCACAGATCAACGTCAAGCTTAACCCTGGTCTGATTACTAGAGCGTATGGAGGAGATATGAATGTACTCTCTACTAGATCCATACACGAGCAGCTGTTACGGCCCTTACGAGATGGCATTCGAGGCTCTCCTGATCTCGCCATCGAAGGCTGTATCGACGAAACCATTGTACAAGAGACGATACAGGCTGTCGAAAAACCATACTGGCCTGATTCCCAGAACCTCCTCAACGAGCTATACAGGCATAGAACACACGCTGGTGATGCATGGCTTAACCGAAACGATCTACAGCGCGTAGCCGCATGCGCCGACGGCATCAGCCTGATCGACCGCCTATCTATCAACATGACGAAATACCGTGCCCACGAACTTCCCCCTCACATCCATGCAGTGCTGGGTGTAATAAGGGAGTATCACTACTACTTCCACATCACCATCGCCCGCTGCCTCCTCGCTCACCTCAAGAAAATCACTCATGAAGACACATACTCAAATGTCGAGGAACTATCCGCCATCTACGCAGACATGAACCACGTCTTGGAATATATCGCTGTACCCGCTCATGGTGACCCAGACGGCCACTTCCGTCATCCCTTTCCCTGGTTCCCCACATTTGAATACAGGTATTCTTCTTTTCTAAATCACGAAGCGCATTTTCTGCTTTCTTCCGCTGGACGCATATTGTTGGAGCAGTCGGTGGTGAAGGATGACGAAGACCGTGCAGAGTTGGTTGAGAAAACGCGGAGACATTTGCGCAGGGCGTTCGAAGTCGAATGGGAGAACAAGGTGTACAAAGAAGAGAGGAGGCGGCTGGTTAACCTTGTAGGTATTGATCTACTGATGATGGGAAAGAGGCCGTTTCCTGTTACGCGTGAGGATCGTGGTCATTGTGTCCTCCAGGTGGGTGTCCTCCAGTTGAAAACGCCGCTCAGATGATAGACAGGTTGGCGGGTTGCTCTCGATTCCTTTTTGTTCATGTATCTGGTCTTACTGGCGTGTTCCATAGACCGCTAATCTCAACGCTAAAGCCGTTGTATAATACAAGTGTAGCATAGTTCGATATGCTTCCAAGTATGCCCAAGTTATTCGCTTCTCACATACATACTAACCATGAAGCCCTCTTCGTTTAACTCCGAGCTACAGGCCCTTCCTATTCTTTTGCCTATTAAGCTTAAATCTTCTCTCAATGCCCTTTTTTTCCTCAATTCTTTACTCGCCACACGTCAATCTGCCATCCAGCTTCCTCTGGTCATACATCTTCCTCAATGTACATATCTTACGTTCCCCTTTATCCACAACGGGATCATCTTGGAAGTTCATTTTGTAGGGCTCAAACGGCGCCTTCCCCAACGCTGGCAGTCTAGAGATCGTATACCGTTTTGGTTTTGTGTCGGTTTGAAGACAAACATTGTGACCTTTGCCGCATTTTCCAGATTCGGGATCGGCCTTGCTGCGGATGTCGATACAAATATTTGCTTGCACTTGATCAATATGGGCGGACCCTTGGGTTGGTGGTTTTTGTGAAGTTGATTTGACTGCAAGGAGAGAGGTGTCGAGGTGAGTGGATCTAAGGTAGTTGAGTTGATTAAATGATCGATATCAACCTAGTATGTCTAAGTATGGTGGCTTGGTATAGTTATGTTTTGACTGGCGGGTGTGTATACAAAAGGAGACAGATGTGTAGGCGATTTGATAGCAATGTACATACTGTGGGTATGCTGAGTTTCACATTTTAGTTTATCGAATGCCGCTATGTCACAGCAAGCATCTGTAGGTATAGGTATTGAATGCTCGACAGTCAAAGTAAGATGTTCACTTCACATTCAGGCAGTAATCCCAAAAATGGAAGCTGAAGCAACGCTTAGAGTAAAACTAGCAAGGGAATAATGCCACAATCCTTGGGCTTCAAGGTAAAATGTGAGAGCGCGACAAACGAGGGCTCGGAGATGCGAATGCTATCACAGTGCACGACATTCAATCTGCTTCACGCGGGCAATTCTGTCTTCAATACTATGTTCGTAATTCAGACTTTAAGTTCGTAGGATTATAGTGCTCCTGGGCTAAGTATATAGTCTTCGACGTGGCCCCTCTTCTCACTCCAATTCATCAGGTTCCAATTCTCCAGACCGATTACCGTCTTGTCACACATACCAGGCGGACCCGATTACACCTTCCCAAATTGAACTACATAGCTATATACTAAGACAGAACATCATGGCAACAGCGCATCCACCAACCTTAGGTCCTGCAGGTTCAGGTCACCAAATCGCACACACGCTCGGTGCTACAGTCGCTTCAAACACTCAAGGCTTTCCCGACAGGGCCTCGGACACTGAAGAAGTATCCGACCACAGTAATCTTAGTGATGGGGGTGTTGATACTGAAAGCGAAGCCAGTGAAAACGAGATCAGCGAGGATGAAGATACTGACGACGTGGAAGAAGAGGATAGCGATATCGAAGATGAGATTGATAGTGAATCTGGACGTACAAGTGATGGCGAAGACAAGTCCTTAGATGACAGCGACGTTGAGGACAGCGGCCATGGTCAAGCTTCGGACGATGAGGATTCTGAGATTGGCAACGAAGGCGAGGAGGATGAGGATAGTGAGGGGACACAGCAGCAGATTCAGATGCAGCCAGTCGGTTACCCTCTACAAGATTCTTTCCCTTCTGAGGCACCAAGACAACAGTTGCGAGAAGCAAGCCAGCGCCAAGTTGTTCCTGTTGAAGATAATAGAGTTCGAGCTACCTCTCAAATCCGCCAAACATCCATAGAAAATCCTCAAGCGATCAATCAGCCACAGCAGCAACCTGACCAACGTGAAATGCTGGGAGGACAGCAGTTCCAAGAACAGCAATACATGCAATTGATGCAGCAGAAGCAGCGCCAAGAGCAGGATACATTTGCTTCAGAGTCTAGAAGGATGCAAGAAGGGGAAACAGAAGAAGATGACGAAGAAACAGAGGAAACTGAGGAATACGAAGGTACTGATGATGATGACGATATAGTTTTAAGACAAGCGTTTCAAGCAGAGCCATGCGAAGCAACAACACAAAGGCAAATACAAGTGCAGAATCAGACATTGAGGCGACAACGCCAGGAGCAGATGAGTGCCGCCGTGGCAAAGCAAGCTCTAGATGAAAGAATGCCACAAAGAGAAGAGGAGCGACACCAAGTACAGCAACGTCGAATCCAAGCACAAAGACAGGCAATGGATCAGCGGAAGCAAGCACTAGAAGAGGAAGAATACGAGGAAGACGAAAAATACGAGGAAGACGAAGAATACGAGGAAGAGGAAGAGAAAATAGAGTCAACGGCAGGGCAAGAGGCTACACAGGTAGTGGCCGGCCAAATTGCGCAGCAGGACGAAGAATACGAGAGATCTAAATGGGAAGTTCAGATGCAGCAAGCGATGCAGAACAAGGCCAATGACGAACTTGCTGCCAAGGACGCGGAAGAATTGGCCGCCCAGGAAGCTGCTGACGAAGAGGAACAGCAATGTGTCCGACAAGAACAGCAACAGCTGGAAGAAGAACGGAAAGTACAAAATGCTGCAAACAAAGCCGAGCAAAAACGGGTTACAAACGAAGCTAAACAGCTTGCCAAGCAAGATAAAGATGCAAAGGAAGCTGAAGAAAAGGCGCTAAAGGATGAACGGAAAGCCGAAGAGAGGGTGCAAAAGGATGAACAGAAGGCTGTCGACCGTGAGGAACGTGAAACCCGTCGACAAGAGGACCTAGAGGCCAAAAAAGAGAGAAAAGCCGAAGAGAGTGTGAAAAGGGATGAACAGAAGGCTTTCGACCGTGAGGAACGTGAAAACCGTCGACAAGAGAATCTAGAGGCCAAAACAGAGAGAAAAGCCGAGGAAGCTGAGCAGAAAAGAGCGCAGCGCGGGATAGACAATGATGCCAAGAAGGAGAAGAGGGCGAACGATCTAGAGATGAAGACGACACAGGCAGAAGAAAGACGAGATCGCAATGCAGAGGAAGCAACCCAGCGGCAACAGCAACAAGAGATAGACCGAGAAGCTCGCAAAGCTGAATGGGAACTCCAGTCGGCCGATAAAATCCAACAGGCACAGGAGAAAGCTGATCGTAAAACACTGGAGGCTACTCAGCGTCTCGAGGAGCGGACCATGATGCAAGAAGCTAGAAAGACTGAACGAGAAACCGATATGCAGATGCGATTGACTGAGAAGCAGACTAAGATAGATGTAAAGGCTGCCGAAGCCGCACATCGTCTTGAAGAACGTGCTATGGAGCAAGAGGAAAAGAAAGCTCAGCGGGAAGACAAGGTGCAGCAACGCCAGATAGAACTAGATGATAAGAGGACTAGACGAGAGACTGAAGCTGAAGACAAGAGACTCAGAAAGGAGGCCGAAGAAGAAGATAGAGCGCACAAAAAAGAGGCTGATCGTGAGAGGAAGATTCAGCAACAAGAGGATAGGCAGCGTATGAGGGAAGAAGAGGAGGAGCGACGGATAGAAGCTAACAGTGCCATGGAAAGGCAGCAGAGAGCGCCGGCCCAGCAACCTCATGCAGCCGGCGAAGGAATGCACACTCCGCCGGCACCAAAAAATCACGACGCGGTATATAGAGGCCAAAGCCGGCAAGGGTATGGAGATGACGGTCGTTTTCAACAAGATCAATGGAATGGGAATCATAGCCAGCAACCAGAACACCCAGATGCGCAGCACAGTGGTAGTTCCGCAGGTCATGGACTTAAAGGCGAAAGCCATCCAGGCCACGAGCAGAATGGCATGCATGGTAAGCCCGGACCGGAGCAACATGCGAAGGCAGAGCGGGAAGCACAGGAGATGAACCTCATGGCGAAGAAAAAGGCAGAGAGATATTTGAAGAAGGTGATAAAAAAAGCCGAGGCTAAGCAAATCTCCAAAAGTCCCAATGCTCAAGACACAGACAGCAAGAACGGTAAAGATGGAGATCAAAGCACCATTGAAACCCATATTAGAATAGATCAAGTATTCCTATTGGAGAAACGAGCAAACAGAAAAGCAGCAAAGAAAGACGCCAATATTCAACAACAGGGTATAGTGAAAGTGGCCAAGGACGGCACAAACAGCGAGCAGGAAGGTAGGATTCCACAACCTGCGGGCACAAAGGCAGAAATAGAGCGAAGGCGAGTTGAGAGGAAAGCAGCGAAACAAGACAAGAAAGCTGCAAAGAAAGAGACCGACGTCCACAAGCAAGTTACTAGGCCAGTTGCCAAAGATGATAGCACGACTATGGATCAGAAAGGCGCCGAAGATCAAGTCAACGGAAAGCAGGATGTGAAAGAAAGCGCAGCAATCAACCAGAATGGTGCTGATGAGCAAGCCAAGGACGAACGGAGCCTAAAAGGACCCGCGAGCGAGGACATCATCGCAGAGAAGAGGGCCGAGAAAAGAGCTAAGAAAGATTTGAAAGACACTGAACAGAGAGATGGTAACATCGATGAGTCTAAGCTGGTTAGCAAGAACGCTATAAACACAGACCCCAAAGCCACCAAAAAGAAGGCCAACGAGGAAAAAAAGGAGTTGGATGCAAAGAAGAAGGCTGAAGCGAAGGAAACAGCTTTGAAGTTGAAATTGGCACACAAAGCCGAGAAAGCCGATAAGAAGAGTGCTGAGAAAACTAATCACGAAGCTAGTTCAGATACCAACGGGCATACGATAGACAAAGATGCGAAGAAACATACCGAAAAGTGTGAAGACACTAGCACCGATAAAGCTGGCAAGGAGGCCAAGAGAGCGGAAAAGGCACGACAGAAGCTTGAAGCAAAGCGGCTCGCATCCGAAAGGAAATCAATGGACAAAGAAGAGAAACGCAAGCAGGAGTCGATCGCAGAACATGAGGCAGCTGATACCAAGGATAGTGACAAGGAGGAGAAAAAAAGACAAAAGCTTGCAGCAAAAGATGCGGCCAAAGAAGAGAAACTCAAGCAAGAGACTGCGGAAAAGGAAGAGAAGTCGAAACAAAGAGCTGCAGCAAAAGAGGCAGCTAAGGAAGAGAAGCTCAGGCAGAAGGCCGCAAAGAAAGAAGAGCGAACAAGACAAAAGCTAGCCGCCAAGGAAGCCGCGAAAGAAGAGAAGCTCAAGCAGAAGATGACTGCCAAACAAGAAGACACTGGACGAAAGGAGCACGACAAGGAAGAGAAACTTAAGCAAAAAGAAATCGCCCACGACCAAGCTGCCCAGCAGAAGGAACAAGACAAAGCTGCGAAAGCCCTGAAGAAAGAGCAAGACAAGGCTCTCAAAGCCCAACAGAAGGAAAGAGACCAAGCAGCAAAAGCTGAGCAGAAACATAGAGACCAGGCTGCAAAGGCGCAACAGAAGGAGATGGATAAGGCAGAGGCGCAACAGAGAAAGCAGCAGGAAAAGGTTGTTGCAGCGCAAAGAAAGGAAGAGGAGAAGATTGCAAAGCAGAGGGAACATGGAAGGGAGAAGGCCATGGCTTCTCAGAGGAAAGAGGCTGAGAAAATAGCTGCGAAGAGTGCTCCGAAACCGACGGCAGGGCATACGGCGGCTGCACCGAGGAGGGCTGCTCCTGCGAGGAGGCGGAGGTAGATAGGACTTGAGTTTTCTCGATAGATGTCATAGCGATAGCGTATTGGTATATGGATCGTCCGTGATATAACTGCTTCATGTAGTATCCGCTGGACTTCTTTGTGTAGAGTCATTTATCCCTCCCATAATTCGCCTTCTAATTCTTATATCAAACTATTCCCAGTGTTCATCCCCCTACTCGCAGTCTTCCAGACTCTTCTTGTAACCCTTCCACAACTCCTCCACACTCTCCCCACAGCACCCCCTCCACAACTTCTCACCATCGTACTTTTCCTCCCTCAATCCCTCGTTGATCCTCCTCACAACATCCTTCCCATGCTCCTTCTCCAACCACTCCAGAAAATACCCTGTCTTCTCATACCCAGCATCCCAATCGCAATCTCCATGTCTCTTCCAATGCGGCGGCGCATAACCAGCCTTCAACCTCACCCAATCCGCCACACCTTCCGTTAAGCCCGTAGGCGCAGACCCAAATCCACTGTGTTGCCAACAATGCACCATTTCATGTACAATCACACCCATGATTTCTTCCTTTTGCCGAGATTCAGGTACATGGGATATGTAGCTTGTGTTTAAATGTATCTCCTTGTGGTCGTCATCAAGATCTCGTCCCGTGGTGTATGCGACGCCATCCATTTCCCGTAGTATTAGGGTGACGGAACGCGTGCCTGGTATGCATGATATGGGAAGTTTAGTGTAAAGGTGTTTCAGGACGGCGTCGACGGCGTATTCGAGCGCGTTGGACGCGTGGATGAGACGGAGGAAGGCACGTGCGCCATCAGAAGATAGGTCGCGGAGTTCGAGGCGGAGGAGGGGTTTTCGTTGGGGTGTTACTTTTTCGGACAAGACGGGTAGTTGGGTGGTGTGGTTGGCGAGGGATGTCGCGTTGTCTGGCGAGGAGGATGTGTTGAAGGGGTGGGTTGGGGGTAATGCGGAGGATTGCGGGGCGGGCGGGGTTGTGTTGGTTGTTGAAGAAGAAGACATGGTTTGATATTGCTTTGTTGTCTTCATTGGTAATCCTAACGACGGGTTTGGAAGTTTGACTACGGATCAGAGAGTTTGGGGCGTTGTTGTTTGGATTTGGTGCTATGTTTGGTTGCAAGGACATACAAGAGCCATGGAGGCGTGCACCTCGTGCTGGACAATCGCCAAGATAACGAGATATGCTACCTGCGATACGAACTTCCCCGTGGACTCGGTCTTTTATACCAACTCATTTGTCTTCATTTTAGGATTCTTCTATTTATCTTTGAGTCTAGTCTATCGATCTGCGAATGCATCTGGTGCGGCTGCTGCATGAACCCGGTCTATCGCTTTACGTCAACTTTCTCTATCATAAACCGTCTCATGAACTCTTGAATACTTCTGGGAAAATCTTTCGTAGCTCCTGCAAGTTTCTGATTTGGTACTTGCTGGCTGGCTGAGCGGGTGCAGGGTCGTTCTCGTCGAGCAGATGCGCCGTCTTCCATCCACGTCCCTCAGCTGCTTTGCAGTTGATATAAGAGTCGTCTGTATCATATAATTAGTAAATCATAGGTAGGAATTTTTTTGTCATCACTCACCGACGAAGTAGCATTTCTCGTTCGACTTGATACCAGCCTCGGCCATCGCCTTGTCAAACATTTCCACGTGCGGTTTGCAGTAGAACTTTTCCGAGCCATAGTCGCAGAAAGTGATACCTTCGAAGAGGTCGTCAATTTGCAGAAGGTTGACAACGCGCTTGCCATGGGTGATGTAGGCATTAGTGAAGAGCCATAACCGAACCTTGCTTGTGTCGATGTCCTCGATCAACTTGCGTAGCTCGGGGTTGGGCTTGATGACATCTTCCAGAGGTAACGCGTCGTCGACCTTGCTGTTGTACTCTAGCGCATTAACCTTGTGGTGACGAACGAGTCCCTCAATGGCAAGACCGTATTCACGGTAATATCGGTAATGGAGTTCGTTGGCATCTTTCTGGGACAAGCTCAGGTGGTTCTGGAAGAATTGATCAATCAACTCGGCCATCAGTCGATGAATTTCGAGGCTCTTGGGGTAAAGACAGTTGTCGATATCGAAGAAGAAGACTGGCTTCTCGTTCTCGTCCACCGTGGCGTTGTTGTTAACTGTTGAGTCATGTTGGCGAAACTCCATGGTCTCCGGTGGTGCTGCTGTATTGAACGACATGGCTTCGATCTGTTACAGTTGCAAATGTGTCACTGTAGGTGTAGTGGCTGGAATGGTCTCAGATGTTTGAGATATCCCGACTATGCTGTCTAGGTAGGTGGCGCTGGAAGATTCTAAAGATTGACTACTTAGTGTTAGTTTCATCATAATGCTCATAATAATGTGGGGCCAGCATCATACTTTGTCGCAGTACTATGTTCAAGAACGAGGAAAATATTCAGTGTATTCCTTAAGTAGATACAATTGCTACATTTACAATCATAGAAACCGTGATGAGTACATGAGAGAGTCACGATCCCTTTTGGGGCTAGCGCTGGAACTGGCGCGTGCACCTGCTGAAAACCAAAACGCGCTGTAGCTCCGAGATTCATAACCCACTCGCTGGCGTGTTGCTTACACTCGTTCCCCTTCATCATCTTCCCACCCAGCTCAGTCGCGGGTTTCGCCTGTATTTGTATAGTCGCCAGTTTTGCGCTCGCTTGTTGGTGTTTGGTACTAAGCCCAGCTTCACGTCTGTTGTGATGGCAGCACCAATCGCTTCAATGTCGGCAGCCGCAGCGCCGTCGTCGCATCTGAACGGTGCCGGTGCAGTGTCTGCAGAGGTGCTTCGCGAGGCCGAGTTCCTCCAAAAGATTTTGCAGATACGCGATGAAGTGCTTGCTAGCAAACACCCGCGTATTCATCTTCCACCCAAAGTAATTGAACAGGTTGCACCGCGTCTTCCGCAGACTGCCTCTAGCAGACCCACGACCAACAGCACACCAAACGGATCTTCATCGCAGCTGTTTCCTCCGCGTCCAGCATCCTCAACACGCCCTCCCACGTCTCCTATGCCCCCTGCACAACGACCATACTCGGCCAAATCTTCCTCTTCGAGCATCGATCCCATCTTGCTCACAAAATCCGAACACCTGGTCAAGGCGGAGCAGCAGCTCAAGCGGCAGCAGATAGAACGCGCTCTGAAGGATCAGTTCGATAAAAAGGGCCGTGGCAACGATGTAGACGAGCGAGAAGCTCTCATCGATGTTGAGCAGTGTTTGATCAAGGCTCACCAACTGGTCCCGCCTGTATCTGGCTTACCATCTCCGACTAACAACAGCGATGAGGTCGAGTCATTTGACGAAAACTCGTACTACTCTAGCAAGGCGAACAGTTGGTCTTCGGAGGATGTTGATCACGCTGACCACACCCATGCTGATGCAGCTCCACTGACTTCACAGGCGCAACCAGCAGCCCAGCATGTGAATGCGCACTCTCGTCCAGCTGAGCCTACTGTAATCGATCTCGACGAAGAGGCTTATGAGCCAGCCGATGACATAGAAATCTATGAACCCGAGCCTGTACAACTGCATGACGACGGTGAAGAAGAGGAAGACTACTCTCCACCTCCAGCTGAGATCGGTCCAAGCGAGCCTCTCAGGGGTCGGCAGCGCAACCGCCATGGCGGTACGAACGGGTATGATACTATAAGAACTCTCTTACTTTCTCTTTCCACCATCATTTTGCATGTCAAGTCAAGGGCTTGGTCTTCACTACACCTGCGATGGTTTGTTCATCCAAGTCCTGCTATGATGGTGTGGTAGCGAGCGTCGCCATATCGTGGGCCCGAAGCTCTGCTGCTTTAAGGCCAGTCATGGCCGTGCTTGCATCTCTCTCTTCGCTTCCCTACATCTGTCTTGTATCTTTTTAGCCATATTTATGCTAATGTTCCGTAGATCACGCCGTCAAAGCCCGAATGGTCCAGCAGCACCAGTCCAAAACCCTCGTAAGCGGAGACGAGAAGAGAAGCGCGAGCGTGATGAGAAGAAGCGTCAGCAACAGCAACAGCAACAAGCCAACAAACGTGTTATCAACTCGCCTGAACCGTACATCAAGGAAGAGCCGCAGTCACCTCCTCCTTTCGCCGCGTACCCCGACTCGCAGCCCAGTAAGCGTCGTGCGCTGCAGCCTCATCCTGATGAAGTAGAACTCGTCTCCGCGCAGAACAGTCCTAGGATGCAGCCTGTATATTACCGTGACCCGGAGCCTCTAGCACGATCTTACCGCGAATACGATGAGCCTTCGTCCCCGACAGTCATACGCACACCGCAGCGCAAATCGCTACGTGATGAACAAGATCTCAGGCGGGTCGCAAGTCTCCAATACGCTCGACGACCCTACTCGCCAGGTGGCGGTAATGAGGTGTATGCAGCACCAGAGCCTCGCCAGATTCGCGCAGCATCCCACGCCTTTGTCGATCGCGCTGAGGCGCCCATGTACCGAGAAGCCTCAGCTCGCCCGTCGGCCGCACCTAGATATGTACGCGAACGTTCGCGATCTCCTATTCATGAGTACATGCCATCGCAACAGCTCATGGCTCCGCCGCCACGGCGAATTGTCGTTGACCAGTTTGGAAACAAATACTATGCGGCACCAGTAGATGCGCGAGAGTCGATGGCGCCACCTAGCAGACGAGTGGAGGTTGAGCCATACTACGAGCGCGCTGTAACGCGGGAGCCCACAATGCGTGCACCCGCACGGGCAGAGTTGTACGAAGAAGAGGCTGTTCAAAGGATGCCTCCGCCTCCTCGACGCTACGTTGAGGCGTCAGAGCCCGAGATGATTGAGAGCCCATATCGGCAGCGGGAGCCCTCTCGCCGCCCTGTAGAGGTGGAATACCGGCCAGCGCCACAGTATGAAGAGATGGGCCCGCCACGAGAGTATGCGCCTGCGCGATCGTACAGTATGCGTCCAGAAGTTGTTCGAAGAGAAGTGCCCGAAGGTTACGTTCGTCACGAGAGCATACAACCGTCTGCGATCCGCGCCTCTCAGCCTCGATTCCGTGAGGTTAGTGTTATGCAGGAGCCTTTCGATGAGCGTCGTTATGTTGGCGCACCTCAGAGCAGGCGATATGTCGAAGAAGGACCTATCGAGGTTGCCTCTGATCCATTCGTGGAGCCGCGTCGCATGTACACACGCTACTAGGGCGTGGTGGAATTACAGATGTGTATTGTGTAGCTATAGGATACCCTGATTAGTGTTGTAGAGAGTTGTAATAGCCTGTAGCGTTGGATAGCCATTGTTAACACAGTGTATTCACTTGCATGTACATGTTCGATGCAGTTTTCACTTGTACGTGCCAGTTGGATGCAACTGCTTTGGGCAGGTGCCCCTCAGTGACTCGAAGTATCAGTGTCTCAGTGCCGCATCCCCACAAGTAGGGCTCCTCGGCTGTGATGCCGACTAGGGAGTAAGATTTTCCCTTTTGAGTCTGGTGAGCGGGCACCCGTCATCGCACTGCAGGGGAGACGTAACCACGCAGTGGGCTCTGAGACCAAGAGATGGGCAGATGGCATCCCCGCGTTGGCAGCTGGATCCTGAGGGAAGCGCCGACTGCGTCGAGGTTCAAGCTAGAAGTGATGGTCGGGCTGTTTCGTCACACACACAGTGTTTCCCACGCAACCGTGCCTGTTTGACACGTGTGGGGTGAGAGGAAAAAGTGAGGAGGGCGACGAGGTTTGGACGTGTATTCGAGAGGGTGTGAGTCGAACCATTCTAGACTTCTATTCTTACTCGGACATGCCATGATGCTGTAATACCGAGCCTCGTCTGAGCGTCAGCTATGCTTGTTTAGCGATAGACTCGCAGGGCGCCTCCCGGTCCACACGACGCAGCACAGCTCAACAGGCACGGCGAGCACGCGAACAGGGCATGGCACACGACCAGAAGAAAAAAGCATGTCGAGCTGTAATTCAAGGGACCAGGCTCGAAGCACTGTAGAAGGTTCTGCTTCTGGATTGGAGGGCGGGCAGGGGTGAATGTCTTCTTTTTGTTGCACCATGGTCATGGTGTTCGTGGTCCACTAGGCACATGGGACAAGCCAATCACAGCCAGCCACCGCCTTGCTCGACGCTCGCTCGACTGCTGCTGCTCTCCGGTCTTCCTCGTCCTTCTTCTTTCTCTCACTCCCACCACCTCCCGCCCGTCAACACCTAGGGCGTCGACTCCACCACCATGCACAAGTTATCAAACTTCCCGGCACAGGCCCGTCACGGCTGGGAGAAAATGGCCCCGTCCACGGCCTTCTCCTTCTCGAGGTCCAACCACGAAATGCCCGTCACAGCTCCGATAAAGCGTCCCTCGACGGCGACGTCAGCCCCGCCCGCCATACCGCCCGGCACCCAGGTCAATCTGTCCTTCAACGTGCCTTTTTCCTCCAACCTCGCTGGTCCCGACCCTGACGACATCATGTGGGCAAGCCCGGGGGCGAAGGCGCGATGGACTCATCCGGAAGGCACGGCAGACGCTACCCCAACACACAAGCTACCCGTACACGCCCAGAACGTCGACAACCTGCGGAACCTGTGTCGAGAAGTGAGCGAGCAGACAGAGGGACGCGTCTCGGCCAACGTCACGTCGGCCGAGTCGAAGCCGCTACCCGGTCTGCAGCGGGGCCCGTTGCGGGCGCTCGTCACCAACGTGTGTCTGTCTGGCGAGCTGGAAATTGTCAACTCGATGCGCTGCCGCATTTTGAACTCGACGCCCATCTCTCTGGTAGGCTGCTGATGCTGGCATTCACGCCCGTAGAGTACATGCTGACGTCTTGGCACAGCGATCGTCCTTTGTCGATATTGACTCGCAGCTCATCATTGACCCGCCCTCGCAGAACGTCAGAGGTCCCGTGCTCAATCAGCTCGACATGATCTCCAAGGCCACCAAGGCTGACATCTTCCTGCTGATGCCCAAACAGCCCGACATTGAGACGGCGAGCTTCCATGGCAACATCGACACGGGCATGGACCCGCGCCTGCGCTGCGCCATCTACGGCGACCTCGAGACCATGGAGCACGCAAAAACCCGTGTACTGATTATGATCGACCAGATTGTGAGTTCTGCGAGCCCCACTGGTGCCCGCTAGCGCAAGATGCTAATTCGATGCCGTCACAGCTCAAGCGAACCGTTGATACCATGAAGCTCGAGCTGACCATGCATACCCTGATATGCGGACGCGGACGCAAGAACATCAAGATGATCGAGTCTGCTACGGGCACAGCCATCTACTTCCCCCCGCCCTTCCCTCGCCTGTTCGGCTACACACCGCCGGGCGCTCAGCGAAGGCCTGATGACCTAGTATACATTACTGGTGAGAACTCGGAGAATATACTGCGCGCCAAGCAACGTCTGCACGATCTTGTCATGTCCACCAAGGTCTTCGTGAAGCCTGTCATGGTCACTGACACCAAGCTTGACGCCATCTTGCTCGAACGTCTGGACAAGGTGCGCAAGATCATTGAGAACAACGGCTCGTACATCCTACTGCCTCCTCTTGGCGTCCAGCGTGGTGTTGTGCGTGTCCAGGGCACTGACGTCTTGCATGTCGAGCGTACTGTGCGCGAACTGATGCAGCTTGTGAGTTTGTCATATGCACTGTGCCTACTCCATACTAATCATCTTCAGGCTGGCCAATTCTATAGTGCCTCGTGGTTCATCACCCACCCTGACCCTACGCAGCGTCCACCCACACCCGCCGATGTTCGCGCCATGCTCTCCGATATCTGCATCAACTCTGGCGCTGAAGTCAGCTTCGAGAAGCTCAACTTCCACATCTATGGTTCCGACGATGCTGTCAGGGCTGCACTAATGGTCATTAGCAACATTCCATTCGTGAAGAAGTCGCAGTACAACATGAGCGTCAAGATCGAGCTTGCGAATGAGCACAAAGAATTCGTCAGCGGTAAGAAGAACGGCAAGATCAACAAGATCATGAGCCACAGCAGCGTGCAGATCGTATTCGATGGCTTCAACGAGTACAACTTCTACATCGTAGTCCGTGGTGCCCAATATGAGGCTACAAAGAACGGCCTCGACCTTGTCGAACAGGAGATGCCTGCTTCCATCTCCTTCCATGTTCCTGACCAGTACCACAAGCGTATCATCGGCATCGGCGGCCAGCACATCCAGCGCATCATGAAGAAGTACTCCGTCTTCGTCAAGTTCTCCAATGCTATGGATCGCGGTGGCTTCGGCAAGGAGGAGGACGATATCAAGGTGGACAACGTCATCTGTCGCACGCCCGCGCGCAATGCTCAGAACCTTGACCTGGTCAAGCAAGAGATCATGGACATGGTTGAGAAGGCCGATGCTGAGTTCGTCTCTGAGACCATCAACATCAACCGCCTATATCACCGAGAACTTATTGCTCGTCTAGACAAGATCGACGAGTTGGAGAAGAAGTTCAACTGCAAGATCACCTTCCCTAGCACTGAGGAAGCTAGCGACATTGTTACTGTGTCCGGTCCTGAGTATCAGGTGCCATTCGCAGTTGATGAGTTCTTGGGCATGGTCCCGGAATCTCACGATCTCGCCTTCCCATCCACTGCTGAACTCAGCGAGTACATGCGCTCTGCTGAATTCAAGGCTGATGTTCTCGACAAGCTTAAGACACAGCATGAGGTCGATGCTCAGCTTCAGCAAGCGCAGACCGAGACTACCGATGGCAAAGAAGAGCAGATTGAGGCCTTCCACATTGTCTTCACTAGAAACAATGCTGGCGGATTGAAGGACGCCATCGACTTCCTCCTCAACAACCTAGTCATGCATGGTCTTGACACTAACACCGTTCGCGGAGCTCTCCCACGTCCGAAATCCGACTCGTTCGAAGACTCATTGCCCTTCTTTGAGTCTAAGCTGCTCCAGCGTGCGGAGCCGGCTGTCGAAAGTACCGACTCACCTACCCGCTCTCACTTCGGTGATGATGAGCCTCGCGGTATGCTCGACCGTCTTCGCAAGCCAGGTAGCATGTCGTCCTTCACATCCATCTTCAACGGACGCAAGAACACCAACTCACCGGGATCGCTCTTCAAGCACGCCTCCAGCAACGCTTCGAAGGCATCCCTTGCCAGTCTCGAATCCACCGGTAGCTACCGCAACCCGTGGAACGACAGTGGCATTAACCTCGCGGACGACGAGCACCACAACAACGGCTGGCCTATGCCAGCACCTCGTTTCGAGTCCAAGTTTCCTTTTGGTTCCTCTTCCGCGGCGCCTGGGGACGTGACCCCTAGGTACGATCCGCGGGGCTCCGTGGACAGCGGTCGCCCCAGTACTTCTCATTCTGCATCTGGATACCCGGCCCCTATTGGGCCTCCTCGTTAAGTGATACACCAATCTCGAACCATTTATTTGATACCACTACTGTACCCGGCCTTTAACGAAGAATACCCCGCCACGCGTTCATTGTCTCTTGTACGTGTGCGACGACAAAAGAATTATACCCCCTCCTACTCTACGGCGAAAATACCCACGTCAGAAGCCTAACCTGGCTGGTTGTTGTTCGCAGTCTTGCTTTCCTGTATGCGTTTCCTTTTTTGCAATTTCTTGTTTACGGCGTTTTTCTTGCTGCTTTCTCCGAATGATTCCCCAATTACGGCGCAAAAAGAAATATACCAATTGGCTGCTTTTTTGAGGATTATGCGTCTTTTGTGTGCTCAGCGTTGGGTGTGTGACAGGTGGATGCTAGCTGAATACGATGGGACGATGATACCCCCCGCCCGCCAGCCGTGGTGAGACGGGCACTGGTGGGCTACGAAACGGTGTATGGGTAGAACATTTAGGTGTTGAAAACAGAAGGGTTATGTGCGCGGCTGGGTCTTTTTCCTTCTCTCCACTCCTTGATCAATTTGCGGTGGAAGGTGGAGGAACGAAAACGCAGAGATATACATGACAGATGAACGAAGTGCACATCTATACCCCGTACTTGTATTCCTTGATTTGTGCATGTGATGCTTAGTCCGACGATGGTCTTTTGAATAAATCGAGTCTGGGTAAGGTGGTCGTATCGATGTAGGACTAGAACGTAACCGTGAGGGTAATCTGTTGTATTATTCATCCTACGATTTTTAAGCTGCGCAGGGAATAGACCGATAAACAAGCGGAAGAAAGATGTCTTAAGACCAAGAGTCGCATATCATCTACAAGTTCTTTCGTTCCTGGGCAATCGAGACGTCTGTCCCAATTTAGGGCGATGGTAATAGTCATCATGTTTCGACTTGATAGCACACATCACGTTGGTGTTCGACATATGGTAATCGGAGTATAGCTGCTACCAACAATAGCTTTAGTTTTATATGAGCTACATAGGCGCCACCCGCTGTCCGCAGATGATGGCGGGCACGACGCACTTTTAATGGTCATGTATACGGTTTTTTTATAGCCACATAGTCACGTTCAAACATTTCGGCCAAGATGAAAGGCCCGTATCCCGTGCTATCATCAACTGTGCTCATCTTCTCATGGTGGCACAATATAGTTTTGTGGCCATTACAGGCGGATCCACGAGCGGCATCGTGTAATCAAACACAGTCGTGAGGAACATATACAGATTGCACATGTGTAAGGTTCAGACCACTACGTACTCCTCGTCGACCTCTGCGAGATCGTAACGAATCTACCGCTTGGTCTTCTTCTTGGCCGCAACAACCTTGAAGTTGCTTGAATCGAGAGGTGCCTGCTGCTGCTGCTGCTGTTGTTGTTGTTGCTGGGCAGTGCTGGCGCCACCCTTCTTGGCAACTTCCGACCAACCACTACCCGCGGCCTTGTTTTCAGCGGGAGAGGCAGTATTGCGCTCGTCGATGATGCCCTTGTCGGCCAGCTTACGACGGCGGAGGAACTCCTCGGCGAAGTGGCGGGAGTCCAGAGTATTGGAGGCGGAATGCACGGATTCGGTAATGAGCTCAGCGTCAGCCGGGAAGCTAAGAAGGGAGGAGACAAAGTCTTCGGCTGTTCGAAAGTTAGTGCGCTGTACAAGGAATGATAACGACAAACACATACCATTGATACCCTTGTTAAGGTCATGACGAAGCTCGTTGACGGCCCACTTTCGGAATTCCTCCTCGGCGTTGAGCTTCCCAGTTTGTCCTCCCATTGTTGCACTACGCGTGACAGTAGGCTTCTTGGCGAGCGATGGTACTATAGTCGAGCTAGTCGAGCGGACGGCACCGGGCACAGGAGTGGTGGTACCGCCCGGTGTCCTTACCTTGCCGCTTGCGCCGACAGTGGTCCATGCAGTGCTGCCAACAGGCATAGCAGCAGCTAGCGTAGGTGTGCTCTTGCTAGCCAGATCAGCATATCGCTTTCCAGCCGATGGAGGTGGAGCGGCGGCACCGAAGGCATTGGCCGCAGCAACAGCCTGTGCAGTAGCACGTTGCTTTCGAGCCTCCTCTTCTTTCTGGATCTGCTGCAGTGTCTTCTTGGAACTGGGCGTTGGCTGCGCGGCGACCTTAGTGGCGGCAGGCTTGGTCCAGACGGAAGCGTTAGCGGCACTGGGCGTTACAGGCGAGGCACCGCTCGCCCAGGTCGAGCTCGAAGGTAAGCCAGGCTGAACTGCGGGTGACTGGTTTTGGGCTTGCATCTCCTTCTCAAAGGCTTCGCGACGAGCTGCGGCTGCGGCTGCCTCACGCTCTGCAGCTTTCTTGGCTTCCATCTCCTGAATCTCCCTCAAGGAAGGTCCGTGAGATGCGTTGACTGGCTCTTTTGCCCACGGAGCAATGGACACACTAGGAGTATCAGCGGCAGGAGTCGCTGCACCCGAACGAGACTCAGTATTGAGATTTTCAGCGACAATGGGCTTCCTCTGAGCGGCTGGGGCAGGAAGTGGAGACTGAGATGGCGCAGGTGGGAATGGGAAGATCGCAGGCTCGACCTTGTTCCATGCAGCTGCGGGTTGAGGGGATTGCTTAGCAGAAGCAGCCTTCTGAACCTGCTCAGTAAGCGATAGCGTCTCTTGACCAGCAGATGGTCCGTCGTTCTGATGCTCTGACTGATGATCCTGTCCCTCGTGTTCCTCGGGGGTCACAGGCTCAGAGGGTTGCTGCGATGGCTGAGCAGATGAAGCAGAGGGTTTTCCAATGACGCCTTCTGGTGGAGGAGCGGCATTAGAAGATTGCTCCATGTCTGTCTGGACTCGCAAGTCTTGGAATTCCGCGAAACGCTCAGCAAAGTTCCGTGCGTTTTGCATGTCTTCAGGACCACCCGGGCGAATCGTGGCGTCATGCTCAGCCTGTTCGCGCTTGAGACGAGCACGATCGCCAATCACAGAGGCCATGTATTGTGCGTGAGCATCGGGATCTTGCTGTTGTCCAAACGCAAACGGAGGCTGGTTGTTACGTCCCAAGTTCAGACGGTCCATCATAGCGGGGATTTCTTGGTCTCTCCTGTTGTTCAACATGTCCATGCCGGGGCCGATCGGACCCAAGCCCGGAACAGGACCAGGACCAACTCTGAAAGTATTGTCCATGAGCCCTGGGACGGACGCTCCAGCCGCGGCGCCTTGGGTAGGTGATGGCTGATATCCGCCAGGAGATGTGATGCTACCGAAGCTTGGTTGGCTATGTAAACTGTGCGCGCTGGAGTGGTGGTTAAGCTGGTTTGGCAGCACTCCCATCTGGACCTGACGGGCAAGCGCTTGTTGTTGCTGAGCCAAGTGCTCTTTCTGGCGAGCCATGAGGTATTGCTCCTCTTGCTTTCTGCGCTCGAGGGCATTCTGCTGTTCGGCAGTGAGGGTAGTCCCAAAGCTGGGGAAGCTGTTGGCGAAAGGAGGTTGGGCACCTGGTGCAGTGGCGGTGCTAGGACCAGCACCTGCCCAAGAGTTGCCTGGCTGAGATGTTGCGGGACCATGCGGGATGCCGATCTGAGGGACCAAAAAGGGCTCGCGAGAGTTACCAATGCGGCGGATGAGTTGGGCGAGGGGTTCATAATCAGGCTCTTCAGCCTTCTTCACCAACAACTCAGGCGAGAAGAAGCCAGCTTTGTACCAGTCATGCATCTCCAGACCGGAGAATGGTCCTTGAACATTGCCTGAGGGGTCACGATAGATCCATCTCATTCTGTCAGGCATAACCATCATTCGCTGCTGAGGCACCGGAGGCTGACTGGAGGCTGGACTTCCAACACCGGGCGTGGATGGTTGTGCGGTCCTTGTCGGGTTGAGAGCAGCCATGGAGAGTGAGGTGGTAGCCATGTTCTGGGATTGTCCGGCCGAACTATGGTCATCATGGTGGGCATTGGAGAAGTCCTCGAAAAGATTGCGGTTTGCGCGGAACGGGCTCTCCGTGTCACGGGCTGGCGCCTGTCCACCAAAGGCATTTCTTCCAAAGGAGCCAGTCATGCTGTGTTGCCGGTCGCCATGCGAGGAGTTGTCGTCAGCATGCGCTCTGTTCGGGTCATTAGATCGCATTTGTTCTTGCATGGAAGGCGGGAACAGAGAACCAAGCCTGCTAGAACGGCCTACTGTACCATGGCCGAATAGCGAGCTGTTGCCTAGGCCAGCCAGAGAGGGCGATTGAGCCTCGCCAACATTCCCGAAAGCATGGTCAAAGCCGCCAAGGCCACCGCGTTCGCGAGTTGGAGTGCCCATGGTGTGGTTCCCAGTAGGCCATGCTGCAGAACCTCCTAGACCGGGCAGGCCACCAAGGCCCGGTAGGGTAGGAAATCCTCGGGCTGGTCCGACACTGGAGGTCTGGCTGCGGTCACTAGCTGCAGTCTCGAATGGCGCAGACACCTTTCCGAGACCACCAAGGCCACCAAACGCGTTGTGGATGCTCGAGTGAACAGACTGGTCGATGTGGAAGCTGCTCATACCAGGGAAGTGTGCATTCTGGTCGCCGGAATCGTCCGAGTCGTCATTATGCTGGTCTCGTGCGTGGTGTGGGCTCTGGTACGGATTGGTGTCCGTCGGGCTCATTGGCTCATTGCCCCGATGGGGTGATTGATCGGTGAAGTTGTTCCTGTTGTACATGTCGCGAAGACCAGTGTCGGCAGTAGTCATCCCAAATGCGGATAATCCAGAATCGTCGCGGTGGTCGGGGCGGTGGGGCGTTGCGAAATTGCCGAAGCCTTGTGGCCGGGGCGGGCTAACGTCTTCGCCGCGCAACGCAGCACTGCCAGTGGGATGGTCGTCTTCGGGGAACGGATCTGTATCGTTACTCATTGGCCTGTTGGTGCGAGTTTCCATCCACGAACTGCCTGCCTTTGAGGGCTCTGCCTCGCTTAGCCTGCCCAAGTTGCTCATTGAAGCTTTCTCTTTCGGCCCGTTCCCAAAGTCCTCAATGCTCGGCTTGCCCATCAATCCTTTGAATCGACTCTCACCACGTAAACTTCCATAACCGGGTTTCTTCTCTGACTGCGGCGCTGCAAAGCTTCCGAAGGCGCCAAAACCACCACCAGGAGTCGCGGACCACGGCGAAGCACTACCACCTGGGCTGAAAGGTGCGGTAGTTGCGCGCTTTGCAGAGCCAAAGCCACCAGCACTCTCAGCCGCGCCCTTTTCTTTTTCGCGCTCCTCACCAGTGCGGCCCTCTACAGGCTCCTTGTAATCTGTCCGACGACGTACTAGAGCGGGTGGCGGAGTGACAGCATTACCTTCTTCGCGCGCGAATCGTGAGGTGGCGGGGGACGAGGGGAACGGATACGCTTCGCTGGTGTCGCGACGGCGGGGGCCTGGACGTGCGGTTGTGGGCGAGGAGAGACCATATGGGGTGCCGGGACCCTGCGATACGGACGTTTTGCGTAGTGAAAGGCCGTCTTTGGGAGTTCCGTCCTTGTTCTGTGTGGGTGGTTTCAGCGGCGAGTTGACAGACGAGTGGAAGATCTAAGCGAAGAAGCGCGCGTTAGTGTATGGTAGGAAGGTGCGGTGGGGTGTGAGTTCCTACTTCTTTCTCATCGTCGGTCATGTCAGTCAGGCTGAGTGGCAATATGCTACCATCTCTATCCCAGCACTGGTCGACCCCGCTCGGCGCCTCCCTCTCCTTGCCATGATCGTCCTTGCGGCCCCAAGAAGCGCTCGAAGCACCATTTGTAGCGTGAGGCTCCCATCCACCCATGTACAAATCAGACAGTCCATCGTTGAGGTCGCTCGATGACTGTTGTATCCGGAACAGCTGCGTCAGTTGATCCCGCGAGTAGCGACCCTCGAACGAACTGCCATTGCGACCAGGCTGTGCGTGGGGAGGGACGTATACGCCCGAGTTCGTCGACGAGTTCTGTGGCGCGGCGGCGTCTCGCGAGGATGAATGGTTCGTCGAGCCGGAGAGGCTGGTCGCGTGTGAGGGTCGGCGGAATGTTTGCGTGGCACCGTTGGTGCGGCGAGCCCTATTTTTCGGGTAAGTCTCGAGTAGGAAGAGAGTCATGACAGTAGCGAGTGTTGCGATGAATAAGACAATCATATGGTATGCTGCGCCTAGCAACTTGGAATAACAATGCCTCATATATAGCACGAGAGTGGTGTATCCATGGGGATACAGGCAAGTAGGCTAAGGGAAGACTTACCAGTCAGCGCCTGAGTCTGGACGCGCTGGATTAGCATTGTTTCCTGCAGCTGCCGAAGCAAAAGAAGTAGGAGCCATTGTGTGGTGGTGTAGATGCTGGTGCGGAAGTGGCTATGAGACGAAAGCGTGGTGTCGAGGCCAAAAGATTTAGTGTGGGGATTGTGGCAGGCGAGTGGTGGAGGCAGGTGCAGTCGAGATGATGTCAGGCTTGCAGCGGTTTCGTGCTAGGTAGATCGGAGAGATGACGGCGCAGTTCGTTGTGGGACACTTCGGTGGGAAACGTAGTCGTATTGCGGCGACAGAAGAAGAGCTTCAACCATGGGCGAACATTTGAGGTTGGCTGGAGCCGAGATGGGTGCACGTGATCTGATCGTATTATGGGGACTTGGTTTTTCTTCAACGTCCCGCCACACCAAAAACGACGCGTCAACGCGTCGCGCCTGCCGGTTCTTTGTGCAGATCAAGTAATGGCGTTTTATTTAGCCATCGCACCTTGCAAACTACTCCCAGAGTGCTGTCGTCAATCCTCGAATTTCCAGATCTGCCCGCTGTACCACACACCGAAGGCACGACTCGACCCGTATCCCCTTGTGAAGAAGGGTAAGGTGCGATGTGTCATCTACGCTCCGTCGCATTGCCCTAGCACCTGTCGCAGCCTTCTTCTGAGCAAGACCGACAACGAGCCATGTTGACTCATTCCTTCCACATCTGCTGTTCGTCCTTTTGAGGTTTGCCTGGTATCGTGATCGCCCTACACCCTCCGGCCAGTATCCTTTTTCCACCAGCATCTTCTTGCTAGTCGTTTTATTTCATACATGGATCCTGCACATGCTTTCATCCACATCGGTATACTGACATGATCTGTCCAGTCAGAGTACATGGCCACAGTTATATAGTTTGTTCTATCCCGCTAAACGATGTGTTTGCTTCAACATAACTGGTGTACCGTAGTGATACCATGATGCCAACCACTGCTTGCCTTGTGTCATACAGGCCTACTACGACCGGAGAATCGCCTTACCAGCGATGACTATCGTGCTGGTTCCGTCTACGCCCCAGTGACTGCATCGTCTGAGGTGCCTCCAACCATCAGCGGATGACTAGTATTACGGACAACCTGCAACCAACTTAGGCACTTTGCCCTATTTAGTGGCATGTTCGCTTTACTACAAAGTCAACTACGCAGCCTGTCCATGTCTTGGGATCTCTTTTGCCCTCTGTGTAACATGAATGGCACCAAACAATTCACACCACATTCCTATACCTTGGTCACTCACGTCAATCCCAGGTTCCTGTCAAACACCAGAATTCTCAAACGTTGGCGCGCATGCACAGGAGCTAACGTCATTACCAACAAAAGTTTGCCGAAACATCACTCAAAGCTACCTTCTTCCTTTCGTAAACGCGAATTTCAATGGCGGGCCTGATGGGCTTCCCTGCCCGCGGTTTCCGTCCGAGCCAATGCTACGACGCCTCTTATAGTAGCGACAGCGACATTTTCAGACGAGAGACGCGTGATCAACGGAGAATGTTTGCTGAGTTCCAGAGACAAGCATATATGTATAGGTCGCATAACCAGCAGTCATCGTCTGAGGGCATGGGAGGGTTTTATTCACCCTTTTCGAATTTTGGAAGACCGAGTCCCATGATGGGAGGCCACCCACAGTTCGGTACTCCTTCGCCTCCGGGCATGAATATGGGTGGCGGCAGTTTAGGCGGCATGGGCTTTGGGATGGGGATAGAGATGGGGTCAGGCATACGAGTGGGTATGGGACTGGGGGTGGGTGTAGGCATGGGAACGGGCAGGGGCAGAGGCATAGGTCCTCCAAGTCAACCTCCTTTTTGGGGCGGTTCGCGGATGCGTTATGGACAATCTTTGCCATTCGGTCTAGGCCACTCACACCAGTCGCGTCCAATGTTTACCAACCGCCATCGTCAAAACGGCCAGCCATCACCGCCTCAAGCCCGTCGTACCCCCTTCTCAACAAACCTCTTTGACGACGATGAGGATGATGAGAGCGACTACGACACCTCCACAACATATGACTACCCAGGACGAAGGAGAGAAGGCTTTAGACAGCTTGGACGATCACCATACGGAGCTCGACATAGACCAAGTTGGATGCATAATCATAACGACCGCTGCGAAGAATATGATGACGAGGATGATGAAGATGACGAGAGTGACTTTGAAGAGTACTACCCAATGCGTCGACGACGGCCAAGGTATTAGCTGCTTCATATGAGGCTTTCTCCGCCGCTGCTCAAATTCTTTTGTCATCAAAATAGTAGAACGCATGCTATCTGGCGTCAACATTCAATACTATAGTCTCACGTTGAAGCGAATGAATTTTACCACGAAGCGCTTGTCCAGATATCACCAATGCCTCAGACAGTCGCTACGCTACGAATCTAGCGCATCGGTTGCTGAAACCGCTTCGATCCATCACCTTCCCACCAACAACCCGGGCTTTCGCCACGTTGCCTGGCAACGAAGCCAAGGATTGGAATTGTTTGCTCATACGCAAACGGGAGTACAAACCGCACTCGCGTATGACTGACATCGTTTAACACGCGTGCCACTGACCCGTCATGACTGGAACTCCTTGTCCCAAAGGTTTGTCATCTTTCCCAGCAGCAAACGTACCCTATCAGCGTGAAGGTCAGTGGTGTTTGCGCAACGTACGATGAACAACTGCTTGGAACTAACAATTGCGCCCAGTTTTACTGGAACATGGATTGAATTTTACTCCGAGGCCAATAAGACACCTAGTATCTCCAAAATTTCAGCAACCACCCACTCCAGGGCTACGGTGGCTTCGATGAACGAACGGAAGAAGCAAGCATCGCGACCTTTCTGGGGCAATGCGCCCGAACTCGCGAAGATCTTAGGAGATTACATCTCAGCCGCAGTAAAGAAGCATGGAGGCGGAATGCTCGAGAAGTCATCGCAATCATGATGTTTAAAAGAAATCCGTTTCCGCTATAGCATTTTTGTGACAGCACTGCACGACTCTTTTCCTCTCAGCCTAAGATAACTCATCCCTATCAAAATTGTAAAGAACATCTCCGACTATCTTACAGAGATTCGTTTGCTCACTATGTGCCTCCTTTTCTATTATGCTTATCAATGCCACCCGTCGCTATCGGAAACATTACTTCTGCCTTGTCATCTTTATCCATCGTTACACAAGGATTGCGAAAGTCCACTGGTAGATGATTCACATGCTGCCATAGTTTGCTCAAGGTTGTGGGAAAAGAAGATCGTGTCGCCACATTGTATCAAGTGCCTAGCGAGGCTAAGCAGCCGCGGACTGGCGCTCCGCGATAGCGAAAATGAAACCACATAACAGCCTCGGCGCTATAAGATGGACCTACAGTCTGCTTCAATAAAAGAGGAGTAGTCTCCGTGTCTACGCATCTATTCGGCCAGCAGAAGGATAGAGTAGCAGCCTCCAAGTACAGCAAGCCTCAGATAGCCAACGCTATATCGTGAGGCTATCATTCTACTACTGAGGACTAGGCTCAAGTTGCCTGTAATATCGCCCTGGAAGACTACAAGGAGGCAGACACAGTTTCCTTATCAGTTGCGCCAAGGTTCTGCATGCATGTCAGCCCGCATACATAAGCTTCCCCGCATGACCATTCAAGCTTCGACATCCTCCACAACTCACGAGCCTCCGGAGGATAAGTCTTCGGAATGGTCCTTAGTTGCTGCAGCCAAGCCCCGATTGCCTTTATTTAATCGGCTAATGCACACACCGCAACCACTTGAGTCCAAGGCAGTGTTGCACAAGGCTATCGATCTCGGAACATGGGTACGAAAACAGGAAGACGCAGGATATGTGTACCACGACCCGAGCGTACTTGCGGCGGAACGTGGGAGTCTGGAACCTCGGGACTGTACATATATAGTAGGAGGCTTTGTTACTACTTCTGCAAAGCTATCGTCAGCAACAATGGTGGAAAGTACTTGTATGGGGGAGATGCTTGTACAAATTATCCAGGCGCTCCGGTTTCAACAGTACTCTACGATTGACAATGGCAGAGAAGAAGATTGACGATACGATTATCACTCCTATACCGTCTGACATCTTAGTTGGAGATGTCGAGCCGCAAGGTTATGATGTCGTCGCTACAAAGAAGCTTCTTCGTAAACTAGACTGGCATCTCATACCATTCATGTCACTCATCTACCTGTAAGCTTCCTATACTGCCCAGCTACTCCCGACCATCCGCTCACTTTTTTTTCAGTCTGTGCTTTCTAGACCGCACCAACATTGGAAACGCTCGGCTCGACCATCTCGAACAAGATCTAAAGCTACAGGGCCTACAGTACAATGACTGTCTCGCCGTTCTCTTCCCCTTCTATATCGCCGCTGAGATACCGTCGAACATCATGATGAAGCGTACTCGACCATCTATTTGGTTGACCTTCATCATGTTTTTCTGGTCACTCGCGATGATTTGTCAAGGCTTTGTTAAGAACTATTCTGGACTGATGGCGACACGAGTTTTTCTAGGGGTGTTTGAAGGTGGACTATTCCCAGGTGTCAACTACTATATTTCGCAGTGGTGAGTAGACCCTCCAGACCCTGGGCCAAAGGACATGACCATTTACTTACTCATTTGAGGTATGTACGAGACGAGTGCGGCTTCCGCATGGCTCTCTTTTTCTCAGCTGCAACACTAGCTGGAGCTTTCGGCGGAGTACTAGCCCGAGGTATCGCAGAGATGTCTGGTGTTGGAGGCAAAGCAGCTTGGGCTTGGATCTTTATCTTGGAGGGTTTGCTCAGCATCCTCGTCTCCATGACAGCATACTGGTGCATATACGACTACCCTGCAACGTCAGTCCCCCGCCTTATCACTGCCCACCACTCAACTAACTAGCGTATAGTGCCCGCTTCCTCACCCCAAAAGAGCGCACAGAAGTGCAACGCCGCCTGGAACAAGATCACGGCCACCTTTCCAACGACTTCGACATCAAGTACGTCTACCAGGCCCTTACAGACTGGAAGATATACATCTTCATGTTGATATGCATGGCAGGGTTCTGTCCCATCTATTCCTTTGCTCTCTTCCTCCCCACCATCATTAAGAATATGGGTTATACCGCCAACGACGCGCAGCTCATGTCCGTCCCTCCTTACGTATGCGCTTGTTTCTTCACCATCACTGCGAGCTGGTACGCTGATCGCGTGAAGAAACGTGGTATCTTCTTAATGGGCTTCCAGGTCATCGCTATTGCAGGCTTCGCCATGCTTGCTGCAACTGGAAAACCCAGTGTACAGTATGCAGGTACGGTACTTGCGGCTATTGGTATTTACCCCCAGATTCCGTTGGGTATGGCATGGAACAGTGGGAACATTGGCGGTAGTTTGAAGCGTGGCACTGGAATTGCTATGCAAGTTATGGGCGGCAACTGTGGAGGTATTATTGCGAGTTATGTTTATCTGTCGCGTGATGGGCCGAGGTTTATTGTTGGGCATAGTATCTTGATTGGATTTGTCAGGTAAGTTGTGGGTGTGATTGGATGACTTTGAGAATCATGTGCTAACGTATTGTAGCATGGCTTTCTTCCTGACATTCTTCATGTCAATGTGGTGTCGGATGGAAAACGCAAGACGCGACAAGATTGCGCTGGAAGCTGAGACGCTGGAGTTAACCGACGAGCAGAAGTTGCTGGAGCGAGAGCTAGCCGATAATGTGCCATGGTTTCGATACACTACTTAGAGTGGGGTTAGTTGCTGGAGGTGCTATTTATACCTTCGGGCGGCTGTTAGCTCAAGCCTGACCTTGAATGTCTTGTGGGTACCGATCCCATGCGGGTCATAACATCATCATGCCATTAAGAATATAGAAGTCTAAATAACACCAAACCAAAGCCTACGCTCAAACCATTCTAGTTGGCTGCGTTGGCGCCATAGCCCATTCTGGAGGCTCCTCGTCGTATCGCCTCTCCATCGGCCTGCTGACCTGCGTTGGCTGCATGGTCGACCATGCCACAGGCTCCTCATCGTACCGCGTATCAAAAGCCCGTTCGACATTTGGCACCAGCTCCACAGCCTCAGCCTTCTTTACTCTCCTTAACTCTTGCTCCTCCAATAGCGTCTTCTTCACTGTGCGCATCTTCATGTAGATCCAGACACCCATGGCAATAGTGATGATGAAAATAGCACCAAACATGACCGTCTTGATCAAGTCGTCGTTGCTCTCTTGCAGGAGCAACACACCCAGATAGACGAGGAAGATCTGCTTGGGTAGAGAAAGGAAAGTAGCGACGACAAAATGCCAGAACTTGACGTCGCAGGTTGAGAAAACGGCGGTGGAGAAATGCGCTGGGATGGCGGAGAGACGAATGACAAGCACGATGAAGAACCCACCATCACGCGTTAGACGTGCCATGGCTCCGTAGTTCAAGTTCGTACGCTCCATTTTAAAAGCTTTGGAGCGGAAGGCGTATTTGAAGGCGTACCATGTGCCAACTGAGATCAAGATTAGCATACAGGGCATATAGTTTTGAAAACTTGGTGCGGCTTACCTTCGCCGATGAACGTGCCCGCTGCAACAATCGCGAATCCAATCCATAGGCCATAGACGACACCGCATAGCAGCGCGATGACCTCATGGCCGAACAGAGGGGGAAAAGAAATGATAATAAGAATAGCGATGGGAATCAGCCATCCTGCTGGTAGATCTCGCACTTTCTCGGACCACGGCCGTAATTTCTGCACAGACACCGTTAGCCACGTGTTCGTCGGCACCAAAGCAAAACAGTGTGAATTTACCTCAACAACGGCGTCGTGTTTTATCGTGATGATGACAGTCAAGATACCGATAACGATAAACAGTATGTGCCATGCTGGATGCTGAGTCAGACAAAAAAAAAGCTCCGTGGTCATAGGGGCGGCTTGCGCTCTTACGTATGTACTTGGGGGCGAGGAAGAATCTTTTCCAATCGAACTTTTGGTACTCTGTTTCTTCCGGGGGGCCTTGAGGCTTCTTTTTCTTTGGCTCCCCATCCATCATACCCGACATTTCAATGTCGCTTTCGCGTTTGCGGAACCACATGGCGGGTTTAACAAGTTGGTGTTGCACTGTTCCCGCGGAGGATTTGCCGTGTTAAGAAGCCAGGGTCGGCGAAGGTGACTGCGCGTCCGGGGTCAATGCGCAAAACGAATGTGAAAGTCGTGAGAGTTCGTTATCGCTATCTCTCACGACGTAGGGGACGCAGGTTGTGAGAAGGAACGCTGGGCAAAAGTAGGTCGGCGGTGCAGGTGTTGGTGGCGCGCAGCTGCAGGTGGATAGGGGAGTGATGTATCAAGCTTCGCGCCCTTGAAACCGGCATAGCCACATCCGCGTAATCGAAGCCTGGGCCAATGGCGACGCGCCGCGACGTTGCTATGTGAGACACTGGCGCGGGAGATCGGCGCTTGCACTGGTGCGAGTTTTAAAACCATTCACCAGTTTCGCCTTGTTTGCGCATCATTTGCCATGGATCTCCACGCGAGATTTCAAGGTCTCAGAGTCGTGATTATGCGTCGCCGTTGGAATTCCGATACCCGAAGTGCTGGGCAGATCAGGATGACAGGTCTTTTGAGGAAGCTTTCCCGTATAAAGCGGGCGGTGCATGCATGCGCCTCAGCCAGAATCTGCGCCCTTTCCCGTGTTCGTCCGATATCAGCGCAGATGGAAGGAAATGGAGATTATATTTGGGTAGCGCTGTTGATCACTATACAACCCCAACGTGGATGACCGTTGGATACTGTGGAGGCCTCGGGGTGATGCGTAATCACGCCGTGGTACACATATACGATCGAGATTAAGGTCATACATAATGGGATAGATGCAGCCATGAATAAAACACTTTTGTGTTTGTCTGAACGAATGATCGCATGTTCACGAAATGACTCATGGACGAACATAGTGGGTCGTAGCCGCTTAGTAACAGGTTCGATGGCTCTGTCGATGTACTTTCCACTAAACTATGCGTTCTTTCCTCCATGAACCCACTAACCACAAACTGTAGAATACAAGTTGCCAAAGACCTCAACCTCAGTTCCCCTTTATCGTCGCCGCATTCATCGCCTCTGATGCATCGTCGCACGTTCTGTGCGTCCACCCGGCTTGCACTCGCACACCTACCCAAGTAGGCAACCGGCTATCCCATCTATGAGACGCTTAGGCAGTCACTTATCCGGGGCTATGACTTTTATCTTCTTCTTTGACATCTAGCTATCTCTCCCTGTCGTGTGTTAGAAATGAGTGTTTGTTTGAAATGAGTGTTTGTTTGAAATGAGTGTTTGTTTGAAATGAGTGTTTGTTTGAAATGAGTAATGACTTACGATTGAAAGTCTTCGTGGCGCAATGATCCAGTAAGAGTTTTGCACTATCTTTCATGCTCGTCAGCTCTTGACGGAGGTATTCATTACTCATTCTAGATGACCTTTACTCACATGTATATCGTAGGTACCGGCACCAAATTTAATTCTCAGAAGTGTTGCCAACTTCGCTGGATCGATATTGCTTCCCGAGATCGACTGCGCTTCTTCAAGATCCGACAGGTAATCGTCCTCATCTTGCTCTCTCATTTGAGGTGGGGAAACCTGGACGTATGCAGCGGCCTTTGATGTTGTCATTGACGCTGGTATTGGTATACCGTACAACCGTAATAGAAGAGGCTTGAAATATATTATTGCGTTTATCTCAACACCAGAGAGGAGGACTTCGAATTATCAAGAGAGGTATGTTATAAGTTTGAGACCAGGCTGAAGGGTGCATTCATTGCCCTGTTTCAGCTCAGGGACACCCAAGCACAGCTGCTGCGCCACGTCCTTCGGCCTACACCACAATTCAGTTGACCGGCTGAGACATTGTCTGACCAATGAGATATGCCCGTCTAAAGGAGGAGGTCGTTAATGCAGCCACATCTTGCAACCCCAGGCGATGGACTCGAGGGTGGATGATAACCACGCGCGAGCGACTGCTCAGCCCTGTGCGGCTCGAGGTCCTCCACTGAGGCAACCGCATATAACAAAGCGATACGCCGTAGAGGCTGTCTTAAAACTTGGACAGTATTCACTGTGAAGTGGACAAAACCTCCCTTGTTTAACATGCACGTGTCGAAGGCAGATGCCCCGCCAAAAGAGGCGCATTGGAGTCCGGTCAGAGGCTCCGCCCACCAAAGCCTCCGGAACACAGAACAGTGGACAGCTCACTCCGGAACCCACAACCCACAATCACTGACTGAAGCAGAGGAGAGACTAGCCTTCTCAAACTTTGCGCTGTCTGACGTATCGGCACCCTTTTCAAGGCTTCCTGTTTCTAAGTCTGTGCCTACCCCGCCACAGCCCAGGAATCGACGGGGTTCAAGTGGTCGTCGCCCCAGTGACGATGGTCTTAGACCAAATCAGCACTCGATAATTCCAGGCTCCGCGCCACGTCGTCGTGACTCTATCCTTGGGTCATCAGACGACAGCGCAAATGATGACGACAGCCTTCGATCTTTCAGCAACTTACAGTCATCGGACTGTGACTCGAATGGCGTTAACTTGCACCCTACCAAAATCGTACGGCCAATTGGGTCGTATTGTAACTCGCCGTCCTCATCCATAACATGTAACAATCCTCATCAAATCGAGGCTCAATTTCTTGAAGAAGACAAAAGCGCAGGAGTAGAGGCTACGCGATGGGAGAGTAACGAGGTATGTTTCGAATGGAGCATTCACACTCGACTTTGTCTGACGAGAATCCCTTAAGCCTAGCTCATTCGGCCACTCCGGACCGTACTCGAAAGAGTCATGGAATTCTGTTCGAGGCTACACGTCATCACTAGGCCTTCCAGCTCTACGGAATCTTTCCGTCTCCCCGAAACTGAGCGTCGCGAATATCTCAGACGCTGGTGATCAACAGCAGTTACGTCAAGAACGTAACCTTCGGCGTTCAGAGGACTCATTCGACGAGGACCTAGAGCAGTCATTGGCTTCTTTGCCACCTTTAGGCCCCAAGTATGAGCTACAGAAGGAGATCCTGGATGCACGCCAGCAGACGCGAGACAACGAGGGCCAGATCAAAAAGTTCGTTTCGAAAGCCAAACTGCGCGGTGTAATAACGGTTGACGCCGTCACGAGAGAACTGACAAGAACTTCGGCCAACTGCCATCCCCGACTGTCAACCGAGCAAATCAAGTCTTATGCAAAAACAGTTTGTGTAGCGACGGAAGAAGGACAGAAGGGGAAGACAAAGATCAAGTCGTTCCGGAAGATCTTTGCTCTTTTGGTGCTAGTGGAAGCTGTGCCCTCCATTGTCGATTTTATAAGAGAAGATGTTACTGATCAAGATCTACCCCTATCCTTGGTGAAGCATGAAAGCACCGATGAGGTATATCGCAAAGGCGAAGAGAATCACATCCCTCTAAGCTGCTTTAACGACTGGTCACCGTTGAAACTTGAAAACTTCTTAAGCTATCAGTGGTGGCTACTCGCGACATATTTCTCGCCACCCGATGATGACGGGGTAGTCAAGAACTACAAGCTTCAAGATGAGCATATCCTCCCTTTTGTCACCCCAGGAAATGCCTTAGGTCATTACAAAACTGGTGGCTACGGAAAGGTTATCATGGTGCAAATACCCTCAGATCAGCACAACTTCAGTGACAAACGGCTTTGTGAACGTGGCTTTGCGATTAAGCAACAGCTTCATGACGAGAACCGCGAGGCCTACAAGAAAGAGATAGACATATTGATGAAATTCAGTGGCGGGCGAAGCCATCCGCATATAGTTTCTCTACTTGCGACGTATGAGCAGTTCAACAAATTCCACTTGATCTTCTACCGAGCAGAAGGCGATCTCTTTGACTATTGGAGGGAGCTGAACCCCCATCCGGATCTCGACCATGGCAATGTCACTTGGTTTGCCAAGCAGTGTAGTGGGCTTGCTGATGGCTTATCGAAGCTCCACAAGCTGTTGTCTTTCACCAAACCTGAAGCAAAGATTGAGGAAGAAAGAGTGAACGACATGAACGGTAGGTTTCTTTCATCATAACGGAATCAGCGATAAAGATTGCTTTGTCCGCGCAGCGTGGAAATTATCTTCTTTCTCGTTCTCCATCACAGACCTAACATATCACAGACGCTGTCGATGAAATCTCTACTCAGTTCGAGAAAAGTGTGAGATTTCAAATCGCACCACTGGAAGATCGTGTTGGTACAGACTCATCGATACTTTCAAACGGCGTCAAAGAGCGTCCGACCAGCCCGCTCAAATACACCAGCGAGTTCAGCGATCGCGGTCTGCCGCCGCACGGTCACCGAATCCACGACCCTGGCAATGTGGGGAAAAAAATGTATGGCCGCCATGGGGACATCAATCCAAATAACATTCTTTGGTATAACGATGGCGATGGTGATGGTGATGGCGGTGGCGACGGTCGTACTTTGCAGGGGACTCTCAAAATTACCGACTTCGGACAAGCTGAGATTCACTCATTGCAAAGCAAGACCAATCGCCGTGAAGTGTCTAACACTCTGACATACCGACCTCCCGAATGTGATTTACAACCCTTGATTATTCGACAGTCTTACGATATTTGGTGTTTGGGTTGTGTATACCTCGAGTTTGTATCGTGGTTGTTAGGGGGAAATGAGCTTGTGATTAAATTCGGAAGGTCACGGTCGATCGCTGACTACTACCGTCGGTACACGACTATCGATACGTTCTACGAAGTGGAGAAAGACCCCGAGGCCCATAGAATACGGGCCAAGGTCAATCCAAAGGTCACTGCTGTATGTTGCACTCTTTAATCCTACAGAATACTGCTAACACCATGTGATAGTTCATCAATGAGCTACATCGACATCCGAACTGCACGTATTACGTGCATGACCTACTGAATTTGATTCAGTTCGACATGCTACTAGTGGACTCAAGCGAGCGAAAATCTTGCATAGACGTCTGGCGCTCACTACGTGATATGTACCTCAGATGTCGTCGCAACGGAGACTATGCGACGGTCGGCAGCCCTTGGTGTAACATGAAGCCGGCTGCTTCGTCTGTTGAGCACTATGTGACGTCCGACTTGGAGCAGGCTATACAAGAGGATCTGCCGAGTCCAAGGTCAGCAGCCCCAGCTGTTCAGCCTATCGCATCAGCAAGAAGACGGTCGAGCCGTATACCCGTACCCCGACTTAGGTCTCCTTGTGTTTCATAACTTCAATTGTCGGTATCAAGCGAGTATTGCAACCTTGATACCGTGCTAGTCACTAATTAAGAGCCATGTTACGAGTTACATTTCGGAAGGAACTTACATCTTCTGTGCGGTACTCTAAAAGCTGGATGATTACATTTACATCAATGTTACGCTATACAACTACCATGCAGACAAGCATGTCTCTTGAAATTTTCGGAGTGCGTTGTCCTTTGGAAAAGCACTATCTACCTAGGCGCGCTCGGCTCGGCTTATGTGGTGAGGCCACGCGATGGCGATTAGCACATCGATTACTGTGTCTGCTGTCGAGAGCGGTATGCGCAATTGCTTTTTCGCCCCTTTCCATGCAGGCGCTCATGCGCTTCAGGGAACAGGTGGGGTCCATCTGCAGTTTGTCTGTGGGGTCCAATACTTGCCGCTACCTTTAAACGCTTTGGGCCATGTTCCCGTCCCTCCTTCCCAGAGTTGAAGCGAACCGCAAAGCTGAGCATCATTGACAAGGCTGAGCGTCACTTGCGGTATGAACATCCCGGACGCTTTCACTGTCATTTGCTACCTTTAGCGATGTGGCGCACATCCATCACAATTCAGACTCCAGTTTGCCGGCGGCTCTGCAGATTAGCCCCATGTCATAAGGTGTTACATGTGCCCATGAAACCTAGCCTTGTCGACCTGGAGAATCAATCTTGGGATACTGCAATCTTGTCCCAGACAGCAACTTCTCCAAGACTTAGTATAATTCACTTACCCCTAATTTCGTTAGATTTGAAGAGATAAATGTGAACCAGAACTGCGCAATGAGTACCGCCACTACCTTGTTCTTGGTGTTCTTATCCATCATTGGTTATCTGATGTGGGGAACCATCGCGCGCGCGATCCAGCCGATCCGACCCGAGAACCTAATCAACACCGAAAAGAAACACACCGGAACACACACCCTAGCGTGTGAATCGAACGACGACGATTTAGATAACCTTTTCCCGCCCGAAAACTCAGGCTCCGATCTGGTCCGTACTATACTTGGTCGGTTCGTGACAGCAACGTTCCATGATCCAAACCGCGCTTACCTCCCTGAAAATGCGATCAAGGAGCTTATTATTGTCAGGCACCAGGTTACTCCGGGCCCGTTCGGGCCGGTATGCCAAGCAATCGCAGTATATTAGCCTACCTTACCGCTGTTGTGGCTCGACAGCGGTTCGTCTCTAGTCTTACAAGGCAATATACCTCTACTTCCACTATCGCGGTGCATCTCGTATCTATAAAGACTCTATTGCTTGACAATTATCCAAGCAGCGATCGAACAGGAGCTGGCTAAGATTGAGAGATATCCAACAGAGCTTACCGCTAGATGGGATCGCGAACGTCGGTCTCAGCTCGCCACATGGATTCGGAACAAGGCCCCCAAAGTATTCACTATTGCCATCCAATGCGACTTTGAGCCATTTTATCTGCTACTGGCGATGTTCATGTTCCAAAGACATGGATATACTGATGACAGACTGCCAATGGTTGATAACCCGCCATGCCAAGATACGTTTCCTCCGCGGATCTGGAGTGACCTTAAGATAGATAACTTCCGAGAGAAGCAGTGGAAGTGTTTAGTTCCAGTATTTGCCCAAAAAAAGTACGACTACGACCTGAAAGCGGAATGTATATTTCCTTTCACTTCAGACGGTGCAGTCCCAAAGGATGGCGCTTTCAGTTCCGTATATCGTGTTACTATACACAAAGACCACCATGAATATCCGGAGATGCAGCAGGTACGTTGACTATCGCATGTACCGGGGTTTGTCTACTGAGATTCTCGAATAGGTAGCGCTGAAGGAGCTCAAAGTACCCCAAGGAGGAGAGCAAGCTGCTGGAACCGACCGGGCCTGGAACTTTGAAGCCAACGCTCTAGAAGCTATCAACAAACTCGACCATGCCCACATCGTGAAATGTATTGCAGCTATTCGCAGAGGCCATAGTCGCTATTTCATGTTCCCTTGGGCAGATGGAGATAGTTTGCGCGATTATTGGAACAACACGCCCCGAGAAGCTCCCAATTCATACATTTTAAAACATACCATCTTACAGCTTAGAGGTATTGCGGATGCTTTGGATCGACTTCACAACTTCGATGGTGGTCGCGCAGAATTAGAAAACGGTGTCAATGGGTTAACAATAAGGCTGAACGACTCGAATATTGTGGAATCGCACCTGATCCATGGAAGCGACGCTGGTAGTGACAATGGACTTGACAGTGAGGTAGACGACTACAAGAACGCGGAGCATGCGGAATCCATCAGACATGGTGATCTGAAACCGGAGAATATTCTCAGATTTCTTGGTAACGGATCAAAGCTCGACCTAGGGACTTTGAAGATCGCAGACATGGGCCTTGCAAAACGACACGTGGTGGCTACACAGGAGCGAGGGAAGGCGACAAGTACCAGATACGGTACCCGACGATACGAAGCGCCAGAGACTGTTACCGGCGAGAATGCGCGCTCCCGGTTGTACGATATTTGGTCAATGGGATGCATTACGTTTGAGTTCATTGTCTGGATCCTGTATGGCAACGACGAGTTGAGCAACTTCTACAAACAGATCGAAGGAAACACACAACAGATTTGCCAGTACTACGAAGTCTTGGACGCGAGCGAACCGGAGAGCGCCAGAGTCCACCCTACAGTCCTTAAGTGGATGGATCACGTACAGACTAAGGATCCGGAGTGTTCAGCAGGGCGCGACTCGGCGACCAAAGATCTGCTCAAAATCGTACGCGAGATGCTGTTAGTCGTCAACTTACCACCTAACAGAAAGAGTGGAACTATTCGCGGTCGACCTTTACTTCCTCCAGCACTCGGCCAGTCTATTGCACACTATCGAGCCACTGCTGCGCAGTTTCGGGATGCGCTTGATCGCATATTGGGAAAAAGAGATGTACCTGGCTACATGTTCACTGGCAAAGACCGCACCAACGTCAGGACGCCGACGTTCACTGCCCCAATGCTATCGCCGAATAGTGCTAGCCTCCCATTGAGTAATCTACAACCTTCAGGACCGCTCAAGAGCGGAGTGCTCGGTCGGCCTATTGGTACCGACTATACGCTCCCGCCTCTCAAAGATTGGGAGTTTCAGATCGATAACAGCTTCACCGAAAAAGTTGTCGGCACGGTCGGTATGCAGGCATTCATGCCACAAGCAGATATTAATCGCCAACTTTGTACTCTGTGCTCGACGCGGAACTTTCTGAAGGGCGGTTTTAGCATTGAGGAGCAGGTGTCTACGTTGGAAGATCGTGCGCCGAAATGTGATCTCTGCAGAATGCTGTACGAGATTCACAGCCAAGCCGAAGACCCTAAAGGAGATCGAGCGAGATTCCAGAGAGACCAGTCAAGCATCATCATGACGGGTGACTCATATCCTGTTCTTTCCCTCGTCAGGAGTCCAAATATGGACCTTCCGTGTCCTATACAAGTTGGGTTTCCAGAGCTTCCCGAAGCTGGATCAGATGCTTTTTTCAATATCATAAAGCTTTGGCTCGAAGATTGCGATACAGAGCACACGGGCTGTCAAGGGCTATCTCAGAGTCTGCCAACAAGACTGCTCGACGTGGGCACCTCTGATGCGCCTACGTTGCGTCTCGTCGAGACGAAGCTAGAGCACATCTCGAGCAAACAATATATCGCACTGTCGCATCCATGGGGAGATACCACAAAGTACACACCGTTTTGTACCATCCCAGAGAATCTAGCCAATCATCTATATGCTATTCCCGAAGGCGATCTCCCAGCGACCTTTCGGGACGCTGTCAGATGTACACGAAGGATCGGCATTCGCTATTTATGGGTGGACTCGCTTTGTATCATCCAAGGTGAGTTCGGAGACTTTAACGATGAGTCCAAAAAGATGGAAGCAGTTTTCAGTGGAGCGTACTGCGTGCTTGCTGCAAGCCGAGCAAGCAACCAACTGGATGGCTTTCTTGGTCCCAGGCCTCAGCGTGAGTACATTACCATTCAGCGAGGCAACAGAAAACCCTTCTTTGTCTGCAAGACGATCGACAACTTCAGTAAAGATGTTATCGAGGGGTCGCTGAACAAGAGGGGCTGGGTGCTGCAAGAGCGCGCGCTAGCACGGCGGACTATCTACTTCACCAGAAATCAGTCATACTTCGAGTGTGGACAAGGGGTCCGATGTGAGACCCTGACTAGACTGCACAAGTGAGTCACGATAGGTTTGATTGGCTTCTTGATCACTACTGACCCAAAGCTCAGCAACATGGCAGACTTCCTCGGCGACCCAAACTTCCCTAACAAGGCCATGCGTGCCAATCGCGCGCGAAAGATCGCTTATTTCCAAGGCCTCTACAGACAATACTCCCGCCTCGACTTCACCCACTACTCTGACCGGCCGTTTGCTATCGCAGGTCTCGAGAAGCGTCTGCAAAATGCATTCACTACACGAGGAGCATTTGGTATCTTCGACGACGGGGACAAAGAGGACGGCGGGCTCTTTCATCGGAGTCTACTGTGGCAACGCGGTGAGGAGAGTGGCGATTTGCCGAACATGACGCCGATCGATTTTCCGTTGGGTCGCAAAGTGAAAGTCCCAAGCTGGTCCTGGATGGCGTATAGAGGTGGCATAGACTATATCGATCCACCTTTCGACCAAGCAAATTGGGAGCGCACCGAGATAATTCCACCTTGGACTCGTGGTGGTAATAAACTCTCCACGGCAGATACCAGTCCTCAGGATGACGAAATCGCTATCATAGCATGGGTCCGCGACTTCAAAGTTGCTGGGCGATTGCCGGAGGAGGTCAAGATAACGTACGATGCTGAGCGAACGAGCGCGAGTGACGGTCAAACGCCTCAGTGCGTGATCGTCGCAAAGATGAAGGGTGGGAGCTCGAACTCGCTAAGAAGATACTATGTCTTGATTGTAGCAGCGATCCAGGGGACATCGGGCAGGGGCGAGAAGAGGTACAGGAGGGTTGGAGCAGGATTTATGTTGGGAAAGTACATCTCATTGGAAGGAGAGGGACTTGTTGCGAGGATTGTTTGATGTGGTTTAGTGCATAAAGTGGTCTATGAAGCATGTGCCTGGGCGAGAAAGTTTCCAGGAGTCCCAACGCGTTGTCACGTGGACCCTCTTCCCGCCTTGGTTCGTGCGGCGCAGACTGATGCCTGGAGGACGTCACAGCCAATGACGGTAACACATTCTCCAACAACATCGCGCGAGCCATGCCACAAATGCATCAACGGATGGAGGCTAGAGACTGCGCTCCCGGCGCACTCACTTGATTTTCACTTCCATCTCGTCTTCGTAGCATCATCATGGCAGAAGCAGTAACACCGTCAAACACGGAAGACGTCGCGCACGATGACCTCTGCCCTGTAAGCACAATATGTGATTACGCGTGCCGCTGCTAACAGATAACAGATATGCCAGCTACTCCTCTTTACGCCCGTGAAAACTCAGTGCAACCACTTACTATGCGCGTCATGCATGGCGCAGTGGTCTGACGCCTCCAATACCAACCGGATCGAACATTCGAGCTGGGATGTGAACCTCGCAGACTTCGACCCAAATTATGATCCGACGTATGACCTCGAAGCGAACTGTCCCATGTGCAGGACTCGTACCACTGCGGCCCCGGATAACGCGTTGGCAAGGCAGTTGGAACAGAAGTATCCCATCACATATGCCGAGAGACGGGTGGAAGAGGAAGAGGACAGGGGATCACGCATCGGGCGTGACGGCTTTGAGGGTGTCATGATCCTCATAGGCAACAAGCACAGGCTCATCAGGAATCCTGGCGACGACAACGAGCACGACTGGTCATTTTTTGTGCGCACATCGAGACCGGAATTAATCAAGGAAGTGCACATCTACCTGGTATGTTTCCGAGTCCTGTTTCAACCAAGTGGAGGTTCATTATACGATATCACGGTGCCAAGGTCTCTCCGCACAGAGCCCCTAGTAAGCCCAGTGAGAGTTCTACGGGATTCCGGGAAGGATAAGACAGGCGTATGATTAGAGATATTTGCGCATCGTCCACTTTTGCTATCGCCGCAGGGCTGACAATCGATAGCATCCTACATTTCGGCGAAACCACGTTATCCTCCGAAAACCACCTTATGAGTTCAAAGCTCGGGGCTGGGGAACCTTCGTCATTCGTACCGAAATCGTCCTGAAGCAGCCATACAACTGGATCATCGATAATGCTGGCACTAGACAGCAGGCACTCGAGCTGGAATGGGAGCTCGACTTTGAAGGGAGAGGCAGACAGGGTCGGGTAAGAGCGAAGGTTAACAAACTCGATGTGGAAGCCAATCAGGCCGGTCGTACCTTGCGGGCGAGGCGTCCACCTGCAGCTAGGCCTAACCCGGATGATGAGGATGACGAGTTAGATGATGACTATGAAGAAGCCGAGGACGAGGATGAGGACGACGAAAGCTCAGAGGACGAGGACTTTGAAGAAGGCACCAGCGAATACGTTGAGCCGTCTCGGAGATAGCAATCAGAGATATCAGACCGTTCCCAGCACGGTATGTGTTCCAATCATCAACACCTACCCGTCTGTCTCGATTTAGCCATCTCGGTGACAAACTTCTTAGTGCAGTCTATTGGAGCAGCGGATATATATACGTCGGGGTAGAATCAACCAAGTGATTTAAACATGCTGAAACTGTGCAGGCTTCCATGAGACGCAGCTTGTTCATAATCGCCGAAACATCCGCCGTTATCTCATACATCCATTATGGTGCAAGCACGTGCGGCCACATGGGCAAAAAAACTTGTATGCATCTCCCTTTCCATAAGGCTGCAGTATGTCGGCCACGCCTTATTCGTTCCTTTCAGCATTTGCGCTGGCATGCACTTCCAAATCAAGAACTCGCAGGCCAGCTGCAGGGCTTGGCATGCTGCTGCTGCAAGATACGCATTCCTTGGCAAGCGTAAGCACGATCGAACTACAGAAAGTACTTGGCGAATACAAAGGTTTGCTAAGCCTGGACCGCAGCATCTTGCGAGACCGAAGGCTGCCCGCTGAGCTTATTTAAAAGCTTGGCGGCGAATGCTGGTTCGTTCATCATTGGCAACCATCCTAAGAGATCGGCACGACTTACTGTCCCTGCACCGATCAAACCGACAACGTGGTTCGTCTTACAGATTTGAGATACACAAAGTTGTACCGTTCAACGCTGACCATGCAGCGCATCTGCATGGCTCACGGCAGACGACGCTTCTCCACCAATAGCAAGCGAGGTTCGCGTCGTGCAAGCTTAAGAATACCCCCAAGATTGTACGGTTTGTTCTGACACGCGTTTAAGTCTATTCAGGCCTACCTGTTGATTCATACCGCGGTTTCCGTCGTCTGCACCTTACTGGAGTTGTCTCTGGAGTTGTATGACTACCACCCTAACGGTTTCCCGGACGCACAAGTCTAACCGGTCGCTCGGTACTGATAGCTCATTTAAGCTTCCCGCTGCAATGATGCTATGACCGAATTGACCATGTTTCGGGGCGAAGGCTTACACACAATGGTAGGATTACTACGACTCACTGTCAATGACGGACCGACGCGTGCTTGGCAGACATCGCACTGTTTCAGAGCGTCTTCGCCCATAGCTGGCGTTTTACATATATCTTGTGTGGAATAGCAGCCTTCTTGTTTAGCTCTCCGTCATTCCAACCATATCACCCTCTAACATCATCACATCTCTTTCGTTTGTTTCATCATGGATCTCGCACGTTATTTCAGTTTACGGAGGAAGACTACCGATAGTCACGGGAGTACTCACACAGGACATGGCAAAGGCCGTACTTATCTACCCCTCCTCGCAAATCCTATCAATGAAGATGTCCTCGAAGTCGTAACGGGTAACTCCACAGATCTGGAGAAGACTAATACTCACGCAAGCACATTCGACAGTTCGAATGATACAACTACACTTGCTGGGAACGGCAGAACAAGTCGCGGAAACATAATCATCTACAAGCAACATACGGAAGCTAGCACGATAGAGCTCTTCTATGACCTCTTTTTCGTTGCAAACCTTGCGTACTTCACAGCCATGCATCAGCACACTGATGCGGAGTGTATGTATGACTGTCCACTCCCCAGCTACACTGACTAATCCGATTTTAGCACTAATAAACTACCTCAAGCTCTTCACTCTGATGTGGTTCACCTGGTTGAGCGTCACACTCTTTGATGTGCGATTCAGTATTGACTGCGTATGGAATCGTTTCCATAAAGCCATACAGTTCGGCATCTTCACCGGCTTTGTATATGCTGGACCGGTCTTCGACAAGTACAGCACCAGTGGTGTTGAGAAATCATATCGGAACTTTGCTATTGTGCTCGTAATTGGTAGAATTGCGATCGCTGTACAATATGCTGTGGTTATGTGGCAAGGGCGCATGTTCCGTCAGACGTTGATTCCGTTAGGTCTGAGTGCTGGCGTGCATGCCGCGGCAGCGATAGGCTATGCCATTACCATGGTTGTCTTTCCTAGAGGTCGGGTCGGTCTTGAGGAACAACTAGCATGGTAAGTACAATGCCTTCAAGTCATTTCTCAGTCTAATTGGATGTGTAGGGTCATCATCTCCATCGTTGAGGGTCTTCTGATCTTTCTCATCGCCATGATATGGCGAATTATCAGCTTCAAATACACCCATCTAGTTGAGCGGCTGCAACTGCTCACCCTCATCATTACCGGAGAAGGCATCATCGGAATGGTCAAGAGTGTAGCATGCATTACCAAGGGACAGACAAGCAACAACATGAGCGAAATTGGGACTGTCATCGCAGCCGTCCTTCTCTTGGTATGTAGCCACAGATTGAGCAACTTGGAGGACACAACTAACAAAGTTTGTAGTACCTTCTGTGGATGCTGTACTTCGACCAGCTTTCTCACGATCGCTTCGGAACCTTACGGCAACAAGTATGGGCTCTTATACACTACCCGTTGCATTCAGCGATTCTCCTCTGCGTCGAAGGCAATACATCGCTTATTGTGTGGAACTCCGCTGTTCAAGCTCTTAGATGGATATGGACCTTCAAGCCAGATGACTACTCCAAGCCAGCCGATGGCTATTCTGACACTGCTAGCTATATTGACTACCTCAATCAGAGCATGATTGCTGTCAACGGAAGATTTAAGAGCAAACACTGGAACGCCACGTACAATTGGAACACCAACTTCACAGCCATCGAAAACTATACTGCGACATACGGCTTCAAGTCCGAAGAGTGGAACAACCGAACTGGCGACGTTGTAAGACACATGTTTGATAGGGCGCAAGTCTTTGTCTACGAGGCACATGCCGATTCCCTCGCGAAACTTAACGCCGTGACCTCGACCGTAACCAATCCACGAGTCAAGCTAGACGCAGTATCCGATGTTTTCAACACCACTACCACGCAATTCTTCATCGGCGCTGGCTGTGTTTTGTTGGTATTGGCGATCATGTACTGGTTCAACAAGATACACAAAACGAAATACGAGTTCGGCGAGATCATCAATAGGGTTGTCGTTGGCTTCACGCTAATCATCCTAGGTGTGTCTGCTGTCATCGCCGACAAAACTACCAATGGTTTCAAGTTCAAAGGGAGCCATTGGATGATTCCAATAGTGGTGCTGTTCTTCGCTGGTGGTAAGTGTTCTCCCTCACTGTCGAAGATCAAGAGTCCACATGCTGATTCTCTTTCTAGTATTGTTCCTTGATAACGTCCTCTTGCTTGTCGCACAGTACACAAGTCGCCATCCACGCCACTCGCACAATCGCGATATCTCGTGGGGTAACAGATCCCTGGTGAGCGACAGCGATAACGAAGCTGGTGGCCTCATCTCAAAGTACCCCAGCCGCGCACCGAGCCCTGGTGGTACACCCAAGGGTACACCTCGCAGCAGAGGCCATACACCAGCACCTTCTCTGAACAGAGTTCAAACCGCGTATACGCCATACTCGGACTCGCCGCCTCAGCCCCGTGACTTTGTCGCAGGCCCATCGAACGGCAAGGCTAGGATGCCGAGTCGCAGTCCTGGTCCAGCTTTTGGTAGTGATGTCACACTCCGCGACGAAGGCCACTACACTGGAAGTGGCAGGGTCAGAGCTAATACCGGTGACTTTTCATACGAAAACACGCCTACTAGTGCTTTACCTGAAGGTCAAGGATTAGGCATAGGTATTACAGTTCATCGACCCAGTACACCAAGCCTATACAGTAACAACGAAAAGAATGGCAACATAAGCAGAGAACCTAACACGAGCGGACTGAAAGAGAAGGCTAGTTGGAAGAGTCTGGGCGTCATGAACGAACATGACTATGAAGGTAAAGGGTATGGTGATGCTGGGTTGCAACAACCGACACGCGCAAGGACGGTTAGTTTCGGGGATCATGGAAATGTCGCTTGATGGCTTCCAGATATGGCATACGTTGCGCATTTTGGGTGGTCGATTGAATGATTTAGCGTGCATTTTGCTGCTCTTTTGCTTGTTTTTTTACGACACTCAGCTCCCGTGCCTAGGAGCCTGGACTGTGCAGCCTGGACGGGTTCACGCTTGTTTTTGAATAGAAAGCGTAGATGGGTGGTCGCATGTCGCCTTCGGATTCAACATTATTCATTCGGTCGAGATCATCGATCATAAACATTACCACTCTTCCTCAATCTTCCCATTCTTTCTTCCTTGTGCTACAACGATATAGCAACCTCGATGCCTCTGCAGACCGCCGCATCACGTGCACCAACTCAATCCATTAGGTACTCACCTTCCTCTCCCATCGTAACCCCAATTTCCACATCTGAACCTCTAACCAGCCACAGGCACGCTTCCTGCCCAGGCACCAATCACAGCACCAGGTTGAAGGCTAGCGGCGCAAGGCTGCAAATGCGGGGCAACCCTTAACGCTTACTCCGCCCCTCTCTTCACGCATCCAGTGGCATCCTACTTGCTGCGGCGCAGTGCGGATCAGGGCGTAGACTTCGTAAGACCAAGCACGACTACGTGGTTGTAAGCATCATCATCCAACTTTTAGTCCACTTTCTTTTGACACGACAACGCGAAGCAGAACGATTGTTGTTGAACGAGTATCATCGTCGCACACGGCACTGCATAAGAACCGTGGTACTGGAAGAGCGGTAAAGTCTGTGCAAAGAGGGGGCTTGGCGGCGGTTTTCGTACGTCGGGTTTACGAGGATACGACGCGACGAGCCGAGGTAGGACTGCGCAACAATCTCTGCAGGCGTGCAGTTTCAACAGAGGAGGCGCGCTGGCAACGACAGACTGGAAAAAGAGAAGGCGACAGTGTCAAGGGACGAATTGCGCACTCTTGTGTATTTTGGTGTGCTTGGACGCGCAGATCGCGGAACTAGGGGCTTGGAGGGTTCGTGGTCGTGCGTAAGACGCGAAAGAAAGAGGCGCGGACAACTGAGTTTGGTATCGGGATAACTACCAAAGGAGCTGCAAGGCAAGACCGGAGGAGAGAAAGAGTATTATCTTGGTTGCGTCACTGCGCTGCGTTAAGACATTTGCAAACGAAGGAAGGTGGCCCAGATCAAGGACAGCACCACAACAACGCCAACCAAGTGAATGCACAGGGACATCATAGGCCTACCTCATTGAAGTTCTTGGGAGAGAAACTCTTGTTGCCAGTATCCCTTACCGCCGCATCGCCATTGCTACCGCCAGCCTCGGATTATTCTTCCTCAAACTTCATCCCCACGGCTGCCAAACTTTCGCTATACCACCCAATCCACCGCCATGCTCCTAACAATGTCAACAACCCATCCGCGCACCAATGGCTTCTTAAATCTACTCTCATACTGGCATGTCCACAAGGCCGAATCGACATTCTTCAAGCGCCTAAGCATGCGCTGCCTAGAAGCTGTTGCACTCGCAGTAGCCATGCTCTTCGTTCCACTTGCAATGCACCGCGCCGTCCGGAGCTTGGATGATATATACGAGCTGCTAGATCGACGAGCCCAGTCACCGTACGTGATAGTTCCATGGACGAGTATCGTCACAGCCGCAGTCATGCTACTAGGATGGCATATCTGGCTCGGTCGATTAAGTTACAGAACGGTCCTAGAAGCAGCGTCGACACCGATGAACGATGCAACCATCAAACCTGCAGAAAGAGAAGTCCTTGAAGAAAGAAAATCGCAGGAGGTACGGATATCGTGGAGTCGCATACTAAGTCGCCTCGTCATACCTTGTTTACTCCTTACATTGGGTTTACACTTCGTGTTCCAGATCTTCACACGTATAAAGGATCCGAGACCACGTATTGTACCCAATACTGTCGACATGCAGGAGGCTATGGGGCAATTGTATGGGTTTCTATGATGCACCGCATATGTCGAAATAAGAACTCGTCATGGGCAAGGTGCTGGTAGAGAAGAGAGAAAGGGAGAGAAGGAGGCACGAAATCCGGATTCAAGCTATCCAATGGATATGTGCAAGTCGAGAGAGACGTCAACTCGAGCGAACCTCCGGCACCTCGCAAGCGATCTACAATTACACAGCAAAAGACGATGAGTGAGAGTGCGCTTGTCTTTACCCCAGAATATCTTCGGCTCAATTCCGGTCCAGTCTACCCAGTTCAGGGTCCCGCCTTCTCCACAGGAAGCCTTCTCCGCACGATGACGTATTCGATGCCGGCCCTCGTTCTCTCTTACCCCGGACTTAACCTCTATATCCACAGCGTCCAGCCTGCTGGGCGAAAGTAACATCCTTCTTTAGGCCTCCAGCCAACGCCTTGGCAATGGTGCACGAGGTCAAGTGCGAAGCGAAGAGTAGTCGGTCCGTTTTTCGCGTCGAGAAATAGCGTAATGGACCGGCTAGGCACGCGGGCTAGCTGCCGTCTTTGGTGAGAAGGTGCCGAAGGTACTGTTACGCGTAGATGAATGGGATATAGTGAGATGGCGGTGGTATACTTGAGTCGGTGTTACGGGGTTATAAGATGTCCGTTGTGGAGGCAAGATCATAGGGTCGGCAGTATATGGGTTGTCAAATAAAGCAGAAAATGTTGGCAAAAAGACGTTTGTATACAAGCTTCATGGCAAAGATATGAACGTAGTAGGCGTGAAAACGGCGGTGATATCGTTACACCAATTGACTGTCTAATTCCCGTTACATATCGGTAAAGTGATGCAAAGGATTATTTGTTTCCAGCTTAGTGAAGCCTGTCTACTGGGTGTGAAAGGAAACAATTATATGACCTGTCTCCACTCTCCAACAAGCGCAAGTCCAGAGAGGCTCTCATCTCGCAGATAAGCGATCGATACAACCCAAGTGCGGTATTATGTGAAGACTGTCTTCTGTCGACGTACAGTAAGATCGTTCATACTCGGAACATCGTACCTACTGATAACACACTACCACTGTTACTGCTACTGTGGACCCATCTCCGAGGGAAGCATGACAGCACCAGTGAATCCAGACAGATGACTTGCGCTATATTGCCCACGGGGATGTTTAGAGCCACAAGTGTAGCATATGCAGATTACGCTAGTGTACCGTAACTTCCCAGTGGTACCCTTCCACAAAACGTGAGTCTGGCTAGGACAGCGCCGTGTCAAAAACGTGTACTGTACCATGGTTGTGCAGGTATGATGCATATCACCGAACTAGTAATAATCACATGTGTCAGTTCGATATCGAGGCGTCTTTCTGCCAAGTGAAGGATAAGCGTGTGTTGTGATTTCACAGTTCTTGTGTTTTCCGACGAAAAAAAACCGCGTTGTTCAATTTGCTGGATGTGCTGGTTAGTAGGTGACTGAGGTACTGTATTACCTCTTTCTGCTATATGATCCAGCGCGACCCCAGCGTAGATACTGGGATATACAGTGCCCAAGCATCAAATCGCGGTTCCGCAGTCTTGGATGAGGCTTGGTCTTCAGCCGTCCACTCGTGAAACCACTCGTATGTTTAGTCCACGATGTGGACAATGCGGGGAAAGATGGGGCCGTCTTGTAATCCTGGTCGACAAGCACATGTGTTATCAATTGCGGAGAAGGTCCTGCAAGGTACGGACATCTAGCCAAAGCAACGCAGTCCAGCATGAGTAGCGCGTTCGTGGCAGTAGGTTGAGGCTCCAATGCAAACATCTGGAGCTGGCGTCAGCGTGGAGTGATGGTGCGCCACGACCGGGACCGGGATATTGGCGACGGGATCAATTGGACGTATTGGGATGTAAAGAGCGATTGCACCTGTTGCGCACCGACGCATGTATGGGTAGAGATGGCTTGAGATACCACTTTTCCTTGGTGAAGTTCCGAGATAAGGTCAGTGGTGGTGTAGCATTTATGGCATGGTCGCAATGCGCATACGAGCCACAAACCGAGCGAATCGTTGGCTCTCTGCCTCGAGGAACTCAGCCTTTCTAGCAGTCTTATGGCAGGGGCGTGAACAACCGCACTAGGAGCCTGATGATGAGGCAGATAAGACATCTCGCCCGGGGTCCATCTGATGACAGTGCCCGGCAGCCTTGGCCTTAGCCCAACACCAAAAGCAGGCGCCTGCATGTAAGTGTGGGTGAATCGATACGACGCTGGATGGTGGCGCACATGGGGGTTGAGGCGAGGCAGTCATGGTGGGATGTAGCCGGTGGAAGTAGCGGTAGCGCAATAATAGTAGAATGATACACGGAAAGCACTGCCGAGCGTTCCAACAGGTGCCCTTCAATGCCACGATGGGGTTCGGGCAACTTCCCAAAAGCCTGGTGGTTGGACCGCAAGTTGCATGTGCTTTGCTCCAGTTAATGCACGTATGCGAAATGCCGATCGTCGCTGATGGGTGATCGCAGCCGTGCCTCGGCAGGAGGCAAAGCAATTACCGTTTTGAACTTTACGACTCTAGGCAAGCTTGCGTGTGGCAGCACAGGCATACAAACATAGTAGTGTCGCAAAGGAATCTTCGTATGATGTGTCGCATTGGAATTATCGTTTTAGTAGTGCCGCTTAGGCCATGGATGTTGCAAGGAGTTAATTACGATTGTAATTCGATGGTACATGGTCGCTTGGGAGTCGTTTTCAACCTCGCTGTTTGTCGCATAGGTATAGCGGAGGTCGGACATCATTCGCAAGTCGCCATTTCTCGAGGTTCGCAGAATGAATGGGTATTGCATTTATGTAAGAGCGCAGCCAGTGCTCACAGGCTTCTGGCGACAGAGAATCTATCCAGCAGCGTTAGATCATGACAGAACATTTCTGCTACACACGTTTCGCTGATTCGCTGAAAGCAATTCAAACAGCACGCTTGTCCACAGGGACATTGCGCTTCAGTCCAATAAGCTGAAGCATCTCGGTCCAGAAGCCGACAGGTGGTGTGATGAAGGAAGCCTCGTAGGCGTCGATAAGAGGAGCGTCCCAAACAAGGTCAACCTCATGTGGCTTCAGCCACTTAGTCCTCTTGAAGAGTTTCCAGAAGATGAAAAGGATCGGGGCAACGCCCACCATGGTGTAGTATGTGAAGAAGGACTCCAGGGTGAAGTTGCCGGGCTTGAAGGTGCTGTAACCGTACACAAAGACAACGCAAATCTCGAAGCATAGAGCAAACCAGGTACCGTATGGTTGGAAGTAACCGCAGTAAGGGAGAGTCTTTCGGTCGAGGCCCTGGACTTTGCAGGCCTTGTAGAAAGCAAGGTAGGTGCCGCACATGACGATGTAGTTGATAACACCACCAGCAGTGATGATGTTGGTGAGCCAGGTCAAGACCTTGGCGGAGTCGTCCGACAATTGCAGGAAAGACAAGAACGGGAAGATCATAACTACCAAGAAGCAGTAGATCGGGACACCGTTCTTGGTGCACTTGCGCAGGATCTTGGGGGCACGACCCTCAATAGCAAGCGAGTACAGACTGCGAGTTGCACAGTACGTGTACGTGTTACCCGCAGAGAAGATACTCGTGATCAAGAGGGCGTTGACAAGATGGGGAAGGCCGCCGATGTTGAGGTTCTTCATGGCAATGACGTAGGGAGAGGCAGCAGCACTGCTCTCACCAGCCTTCAAGACACTGACAAGCTCTGGATCGTTGTAGGCTAGAACGATACCGACGCAAAGAGCACCAAGGATGAAGAAGGCACCAAATCGGAAGTACACTGTCTTGAACGCGGTCTTGATGTAGGCACGGGGGCGCTTGGCCTCACCAGAGACCATGGAGATGTACTCGGGACCGACGATGCAGAAGGAAGCAGCCCAAAGGGAACCGAGGAAGCCTTCGAAACGTCCAAGGTCGCTGCCGCCGGGCATTGGGCCAGGATCGCGCCAGTATCGGAAACCATAGGCATCCTTCTGGGGGTTACCTCCAACCATGGTAATGAAGGTGAAGCAGTAAAGAATCAGGATCAGCAGGACCTTGCCTCCAGAGAGCCAAAATTCAGCTTCACCGTACGCCTTTACAGCCAAAACGTTGCAAGCACTAGGAGTAATTAGTTTTCGTCCTCTATGTAATATATCACCCCAAGGCAAATCGGTAGGTCTTACGCGTATAGAACGATGACAGCCGCACAGACAGCAGCGACTGGAATGTCATCTCTCCAGTATCGCAACACAATGTTGAGAGCCGTGATTTCAAACGGGATCAGCAGAGCTTCGTAGAAGAAGAAGTTCCAGCCGGCCATGAAGCCTAGGGACTCATCGACCCAGTGTCCAGCCATTCGAATGAAACCTCCGGACACAGGCATGAAACTGGCCATTTCAGCCATGGCGTTGTTCACGAGAGCGATGATGCAAGAATATCCAGTGTAAGCGAGAAGTAAACCGAGGGGCCCGCCCTTGTTGAGAGCACCTCCGATGGATACAAACAGCGCAGTTCCAATGGAACCACCAATTGCGATGAGCTGAATTTGGCGATTACCAAGATGACGCTGCAGATCGTCGGAGTTGTCGGTCACTTGGCCATGTTGAATATCGTCACCAGGATAAGTCTCGCGGACGAACTCTCCAGAATACTTCTTGTCCTCGGCCATGGTTGCAATGGGGATTGTCGCTTTAGGCAAAAGGGTAATTGTCGCAAGGGAGTAATGTCGCGTGTGGAAAGTCGCTTCAGGTATGGGGTTTGTCGCTCTGGAGTCGACGCTTGGGGGAGGGATCGACTATCAGTCGCGTGGGGAGCAGCTAAAGCTACAACAAAATGAGTTGCACTGGATGCCAGTGTACAGAAGGAAGGCTACAACGTAGTAGAGGAAGTGAGATCGCCCTTGTCGAAACCAGGACCCTGGGGGTGAAAGGCAGGGTACTTATACGAGAGACAGGCGCGGCACACCCAGTCTGCCCTGCCTGTGGATCCTCTCGGTGGTGAGCGCTGCGATGCGACTAGGACTCGAAAGCGGTTTGGTGGGGCGCTAGGTAGACGGCGACGACTAACCGATTACGGCGTAGTGAATATACCGCGACTCTGGGCATGGGATTTGACGGTACAGAGTTTTCAACCCACCCCGGCTGCATTGCTACGCCAGCGACCCCGCTCGTTTTGTCCACGCGAATGGGGATGCGCCTTCCCTCGTTAGCGGCGTAGGCGGCGCCACCCTACTGAGCCGGCTTGGGTGACAAGACGGGCTCAGCGAAGCAGCGCAAACGTCTTGTTTGCCCATGGGCAAGCGCGCCTGGTTCAGGCATTGGGGTGGGCGACCAGGGCCCAGGTCCTCCGCCATTTGGAGACAATTGGGGGAACGTAATCCAGCGTGGCGGGCTTGCTAAGTTGGCAGGCCTCCGGTGCTGGCAAGTGGCTGCACGAGAGGCATGTGAAGGCACGCGCAACCTCAGGTAACGAGCCATTTGTCACACCAAGCTCATGGGAATCCGGGGTCTGGTGCGGTCGCTTCTGGTGTGGCGCTTTGCGGCTGATAGAGCCTCGCATCTTTTGTGAGAAAAAGGTTGTCTGATACTGCCAGCTCCATGTATCTAGGGGAGCCGCATGCCGAAGCCTCTGGACCGGGTCTCGGCTGATAGCAAGGAACAACGCCACGGTGCTTGATTCGTGTCTTGCGCGCGTTGAGAGATTGGCATTGCGGGAGACCAAGCCTTATACAAATGAAATGACGGCATCGCGCGTGAGAAGTACCGGTGGCCCCCCTCGTGGGTGCCCTCAAGCCGACATATCGTACGTGCAGTATGTGCCATGGGTCGGTCCTTCTCAGTCCTGCCACGGAAAGTTGGTGCGACACGGAATTGATCACCATCTCTTAAGATATTCTTCCGTACTGGGTGTTAATTGTCCGAGGTTCTTCGCGTCGCCTTGGAGTTGCAGCTCGAAAAAACCGCCTGCATATCAGTTACCCACAGGTGGCTTGGGAGATCTGCAGCAGGAATAGCGAATCCTAGGAGACGGTTCTGTGGAACGCCCATACTGCTCAACTCGAAAGAGATAGCGCTCAGCCTCTCACCTCAGCGTCCGGTTGTTGTTTGCCTAAGAGCGCTGGCTCCTCGGCATCGCCCCATTTTGGGCTGAGCGGCAATCGCGTTGTGTCTATACAGGAGCCTGAAGTTTTTGCCGTGAGAGAAGACGAAATCGTGGTCGTTTTCAGAGAGCAAGAGTTGAGGTGAAGAACGAGAGTCACGATAACAGCTTAGAGATCCTCCTTCCGATTCCGGCTCCGGCTCGTCGTCGGTCTGGCGCGCCTACCAGTTTTCCAACAACGAAGCGATGATACACGACAGACGTTTGCAAGCAGCCACTGAGCAGAAAAGTGCAATTCAACGAGTCTACCATACGTCGCGCAGCGGACAAAACGTAATCCATCGCCCCCACATGTACGATTGTCCCTCAGGCGGATCGAGCAGCGTGCCGTGTAAGCATTTGCTGTCCCAGACATAATTTGCCAATTCCTCCTGTCAATATGCTCCCATCGATTCTTCGCTCCCGGTCTCAGATGCGTTGTGGCCGATCAATTGATGCTGGCTGCCGCATGTACATTCCTTCTTCGCTAAGCCCTACAGTGCTCAGATCTAGGTCATCGTCGCCCGTTCGCAAGCGTTTTAGTACAACACCATGGCGACGCTCACAGCTTTTCCGCGGCATCACTGCAGACTATTTTCGACACTCATGCTGGTCGCTACTTTCGAATAAGCAATATGGAAATGAGTCGCTTTTTTATGTTACTAATCTCCAGTCGTAGTCATTTCTTATCAGCTCGCAAATAGTGGAGTTCTCCATTTACGACCCACTCTCTTGCTCCCGCTGTTCCGAGATGCTTCTGGATGGACCCTGAATCCAAGGCAAGGGAAATTGTAGTTGCACTGCGATTGCTGATCGCTACGGACAGCTTGCGATGCGGCCAATCTCTAGCATTCCTTTCATTCAACACGGCACACGCGATCGCCCTTGACATGCAACCGTCAGCGATCAAAATGGCTCTCTATTCCTACCACTACGGGGACATGTCGTCATTGGTTGTCTGAAGTAGGGCATACCACAGATCTGCATTCTCATGGCAAGCATCGGCTGTCCGTCATTGCTACATCAGAGGCTCGGCCTTGAAAGCTGTATGAAGCAACACATGTCGCAACGCCCACCTGCTCATCTATGGTATCGAGTATGAAAAGCGTCTTTCTTCCAAGCCTCGTATCCGTGCGTTCCCCGAGACCTTTGTTCTCAAGTTCACGTACAATGCTCCATCTAGTGCGAACATCCTCTACCCACCTGGCTTGTGTTACCAGCAATCTTGATCGCACCCTCAGTCTCCATTTCACTTTTCCTTTCCTTGTATTCAAAGTCATATTGAGCGAATCTTTAGGTAGGAAGCTGCTTCGCGATGTTATGATCCAGAGCCTGAAATGGTGTTTAGCATGAGTCCTGTAGCGACGTGCCCCACTCTTACTGCCTGCCCCGCGCTACGAGATGGCGCCTTCCTCGTGTCAGCTTCGTATGTTAGCAGCTCCTGCACTTTAGCCCTTGGGCGCTTTCCGTAAGCCGTCTCAGCCTCACGAGCTCAGCCACAAAGTCCTTCCTGCAGCCTGAACAGCTACTTGCGTCTCGAGGTCGTGTCTTACTTTCTGCGCGCACATATATCACGCGCATCCTCATCGTCACTACTACCGAACATCTCCTCACTTCGTCACCCCCCCTCCAATTCTTGTTCTTTTGCTGTGATAGGTGCCCTCATACGCCTCTCCACGCCGTTGTAACATATCCTGCCTACAACAAAGCTCCACGTCATACACAACACATCGACAAGACTGCTGTGCGACCCGTTTTGCATCGACCTGTGTAGTGGGCATCTGAGGAGATTACTGCCTCTAAATCTGTGCACCTATAAATTCTGTCCTCGACTTTGCAGGTTCAGGGAAATCGCAAACATCAACAGACTCTTCAGGCCAAAAAAAGCTCAAAGCATCATGTGTCGTTGGTTCGCATATATCTCTCCCACGGAACCATGCCTGCTGTCAGACGTCCTCATCACGCCAGACAACAGCATCAGCAAGCAATGCTCTGAGCACTATCTTCCACACCTACTGCCACATAATGAAGAGAAAGACCTGGATGACTCGCCGGATGAGCTGATGCGGATGCGCAACTCTTTACTAAACATGGACGGGCTGGGCATTGCTTGTACGTAACTGATCATATCTCTGAATCACCACCTAGCTTCCTTGGTGTGCAGCTGGAAATGCATAAATATTTGGTAGTCACAAGACGCAAGCTGAGACGCCTCGAGGGGTCAAAAGCCTGGAGACCCAGAGGCAATAGCGCTACAATGGCACTCAAGTCCTTGAAATCTGCTCACACATTCCCAGGGTACACGACAGCAACCTCGTCCTACGTTAAGAACGTCACGGGCCCCCGTCCCGCCCTATATAAATCCCAATCGCCGCCAATCAACGACTTCAACTTCAAGTCGCTCTGCCACAACACCGAATCACAATGCGTCTTCGCCCATATCCGTGCCACCAGCGGTTCCGTCGTAACGCAAGTGAACAGTCACCCCTTTGTCTTCGGCCGCCACGTCTTCATGCACAACGGCGTCATCTCCAACTTCTCATCCATCCGCCGCGAAATGACCTCCCTCCTCTCCTTCGACGCATACTGCAACGTACTAGGTAGCACGGATTCCGAGCACGCCGCCGCCCTCTACATGACCAACCTGACCAACAGCAGCGGCAAAGAAAGCTGGGAGAAAGCATATCCCCTCAGCAAAATGCTCGAGGCCATGCAAAAGACCGTCATCCAGATCCTCACACTCCAGAAGAAGATACTCGGTGAAACTAACACACCAAACTCTCTTAACTTCTGCACAACCGATGGCACGAAAATGCTCGCTATCCGCTTCCGGAACCATGTCTCGCAGCAGCCGCCGAGCCTTTATTGGTCAGAGTTTGCGGGACGTACGCTCAATACAAAGTACCCTGGCAACCCGGATAGTAAGAGTGGCGGGAGTGCAGACGCAGGTGCAGAGATTGGGGAAGAAGGCGCGATGGGTAAACATACTATTATTGCGTCTGAGCCTACAACGTACGACGAGAAGGAATGGCATTTGATTAAGAGAAACTGCGCGCTTATGGTGGATGAGGATGGAATTGAACGCGAAGAGAAGATTCAATATGATGAGGGTCTGAATGCGAGGGATCCAAAGTTTGATGGCGCAGTTAGGGCGAGTGAACAGCACTAAGTGCTGATGGGCTTTGGCATGTGAGGCTTCGGGAGACTTTTAGTGTTTCTAGCACCTGTTTGCCTAATGCTCCATCTCCACCAGTCTCGTGCTCTCGGGTCTTGCACAACCTCTCTTCACTCCGGCTGTCACGTGTGGCGATTGCTATGCTTATGTTCTTCCGTATTCATGCCATCACGTCTAACCCCAGCAATTTGAAGTCATAGGTATTCTATCGTGTTATTATTTGTGAAGTTACAAGGGTATCCAGGTGTACATGTGAGTTATTTGACTGGAGACTGAGGCGTTGGCGAGGCACACAGCCCACGCTCATGCCCAGTCTTCGAACATGCTGAAGACACATCTACTCATCTCATCTCTCACCGATACCCACCATCACTCCACGGTATACCATCTGGTCTGAGTCCCATCGCCTCTTTCTGCTCCATCTGCTTCCTTAATTCGGCTTCTCGCTTCGCGTCCTCCACATACCTCACCCTTTCCCGCCTAGCTTTTTCCTTTAACTCTCCGAACGGATCAAATCGCTCGCTCTCTGGGTTTCTGAAGGGATTCTGCTGCCAACTTCCCCGGTCCGTAAGCGTTGTACTTCTGGGTCGGTTGTTCAGTACATCGTACGCTTTGTTGAGGGGTGGATCGGCAAACGGATTTGGTGTTGGTGGTACACGGGTGGAGCGCTCAGTGGAAACGGTTTCGGGGCGAGAGTATGGGCCTGGGCCGAAGAGTGTATTGCTGCGGTCGGTGGAGCGTGTCAAATGACCATTTCCGCCGGCACCATCGCCACCATTAAGACGCGCGAAGATTGAGGATGCGGTACCTACATGTGCTGTTTCTGGAGGTGGGATAGAGGCGGGCACGTAGGGATTAAAGGATTCGAATGGTGGATCCGCGTCGATATAACTGTTCTTACGTTTGCGGCGCTTGATAAAAACTACCCCAGCGACCAACAGCGCTAATGCACCTACTCAACTGTTAGCAACGATCTAATGGCAGCCGTAACGATGCTGACGAACCGAGTACACCCAGAACTATTGATGCAACCATGGCGTCTTTCGTCATGATAGGCTCTTGTTCTCGTTGTGGTAACCTCTGCGGGGCACTGCTTTCTCCGGAGAGTTCTGGCTCGGCTGTGTTCGAGGGGGGCAGAGCTAGAGATACTGAAGTCCTTGTTGAAGATAGCTCCGGATTGTCTGTTGATCTGACCTCCTTGATGATAGTTGACGTTATTGTAGGGCGAACAGCGGTTGAAAGGGTAGAGCCAGTAATCTGGGGTTGTGGTGCATCTTTTCCTGGAGAGGGGACACCGAAAGTGAACGAAGGTACAGTCGTAGTCGAGCCATTGCTTTCCGTTACCGATGTCGGCATCGACACGGCGGCGGTTGAAGGAGCATCCAAAGTTGTGGTGGGTGCAGCTGTGGCACCACTCTCTACTGGCGACGGCGGCTCGGCCTCGTCTTCGGATTCGGAATCCTCGCTCTCAGATATGTCACCAACTGTTGATGGACTGCTGAACGGTGAATCTGGACTTTCCGGGCCTTCTTCCACCTCGCCTCCAGCAGCAGGCATCGTACTTGCAACAGGATCGACCTGACGAATGCGCTTCGGGAAGACCTTGACCGGAGATGGCCGTCGAAGCTGATAGTGAGCCATGGTTGATGTGATAAAAGGTATTAGGTAGTAATAAACTGGAATGCGCTCGCGCAAGTAATATCAACAAACTACAACAGAGTAATGAATGTCCCCAGGACTTAGAACCGAAATGAATATATCCGGTCGACGGAGGGATGAAAATATGGCTTGATTTTCTCAAAGAACGACAATCCACATCAATCAAGAAGTGGAAAGGAAAGTGAAGCAACGAAAGATGGAGACGCCAATGCTATCAATGTGGGATGACGGCTTGGGAGTTTGCCGTCAGGGTCATTAGTCTCAGTCGCATAATGTCTCTAAAGCGTGAATCAGTGGGTCAGCTCGGAGCTACCTTGATCCCCAGCGCTGTGCGGAGTATGCCAGTGAAACGGCTCTTCTGCCATTGGGTTAACGTGTGTGTCCTTGAAACTAAGGCTCACCAACAGCCACAGCGTACAGTGTGAGATCGTCAAGAAAAGGCATGAAACTGTTGACTTGAGCGACGCTAAGACGCGCTCGTGCCAGGAATTGTTGCTTGTTCGAGTTCGTGGTTGGTTGCGGCGATTATGTGAGACGTCTTGGCAGTTTGACCTGACGATGATGGATCGCGTTGTGCTTCAGCACCTCCACATGCGCGGCAACGGCATATGGGTTGTTAGAGCCACACACCGGCCTTTTTGTGTAATTTGCGGGTTAAGGCGGTGGTTCTAAAGATTAAAGCCATGACGCGCCGCGTGGACCCTGCCAGCATCAGTCTAAAGTCGCGTACAGCGGACTTCAGTCCGACGGTAGAGCGAATCTAGATCGTTTGGCAAACAAGGGAAGACACAGTCGCTTGTAGCATCTCATCGTGTGATAATGCAATCGATTGTCGTGATGAAGCGCGATGAACAGTTGAAGGGTCAGAGAAGAAGGAAGTCATGAAGCCGCCAAAAGTGGAGCAACCCCAGTCGATAAGCGAGGCATTAGCATGACCCAGTCGCGGGCCACCAGCCTTCCGCATCAACACTGTCCGTCTCCTCAGGCAGCATCGCGAATCATCTATTGTCGCGCGCCCTCTTGCCTTCCGGGAGTTGGAGTCAGTCCCGTGGCTACGTCATAATTCCATCTAAGTATGGTGTCAGGTGTCAACAAGCCGGATTTCCTGCTGAGGCCATCACTCAGCATCGGCAAACACCAACTTGAGAAACGAAGTCGAGTAGGGTATATTACATAATGTACAGTCTATGAAGGATTCTAATTTTGGCTCCACTCCAGGTGAAAAGAAAGCACTCAGTTGTGTCTGCTCAAATATCATGAGGGTATCGCCCGGTCCATACTCTGGCCTAAGCACATCTCGTAGTACATACCCTTCTTAGCGAGCAAGTCTTGATGCGTGCCGCTTTCCGCAATCTTTCCCTTCGCAAAAACCACAATCGTATCTGCATCTTTAATGGTGCTGAGACGATGCGCTACCGCGATTGTTGTACGCCCACTTTGCGCTTCTTCAAGCGCTGCCTGAACAACCCTCTCAGACTCGGTATCAAGCGCGGAAGTAGCCTCATCGAGAAGAAGCAGACGCGGCTCGCGGATCAACGCCCTGGCAATAGCGATGCGCTGACGCTGCCCGCCCGACAATTGCGTGCCTCTACTACCGCACATCGTTGCAAAACCGTTCGGCAAAGACGCAACGAAGTCTGCGATGTTCGATTGTTTAGCTGCGGATTCAATCTGAGCGTCAGTCACGTTGCCTTCGACACCCATGGCGATATTGTCCCGCACTGATCCCTGGTATAGAACCGGCTCTTGCTGAACCAAAGAGACATCTCGGCGGTACTTGCGCGGACAGAGGTCCATCAACGGGACGCCATCACAGGTGATACGTCCCGTAACAGGATCGTAGAATCTCTCGAGAAGCGAGACCATCGTCGACTTTCCACAGCCCGAAGCGCCGACAAGGGCGATGAATTGACCTGGTTGCACATCGATGTCGATGACTTCCAGGACCTTAGCGTGTGGCCGAGACTTGTACGCAAAGTCAATGTCCTGTACCTCAACGTGTGCTGGACCTGTGCCCTTCTCATCGTCGAATGGCGGTTTCAATACATCTTCCTGTACAGCAGGTTTCATCCTACGCAACCAAAAGATGTAGTTTGCAGCAGTCGCCGACTTGGTAAGACTCGTAGTGTACGAGAAAAAGGCCGCAGCCGCCTCCCCAGAGAAAATGACACCGATAAAGACCGTGAAGAATTGGGTAGTCGTGTACTCTCCCGTACTGATCAGTCGGCCGCCGTACCAGAAGCCAAGGGCCATTGCCAGGAACGAGATGGATTGCGTAAGTGCATACCAGAACATGGTCCAAACCAAAGCTTTGATGCCGTCTCTTGCGACACCTCGTAATCGATTCTCGTAGAGGGCGAGGATGTGTCTTTCGAGCGCGAGACTGGACACTGTGCGGATGGCGGAGACTGCTTCAGAAGCGAGAGCAGCGCTGCTAGCGAAACGTTTGCTGGTGAGATCTTCTAGCTTGAACTCAAGTCGAATCCTGAGATACCCAGAGAACACAATCAGAGGCATAGCGCCAAAGACCACTACGAGGCCTAGTTTCCAGCCAACCGCAATGGCGAGGATTGAGCTAGAGACGATATTGACGACATTGATGCATATAAGCATCAAGTTGAAGCCCATAAGATCCCGCAAGCTGTCAGGATAGGCTCCGAGCTTCGATGCTAACGCGCCGCTCGCGTTTTCTTGGGCATCGAAGAATTCCATGTCTTGCTTGAGGATGAGGTCGAAAATTTCGCGTCTAAACTTTCTCGCGACAACCTGTGCTACGATGTTGCTGGTCCAGCCAACAACACTGTAGACAGCACAATTGCCAAGTGCAACGACGAAAAACATCAACGAATAGAAGTCACCCTGATCCACTGCTTCGTTTGAGGACAGTTGAAATGCTTCAACAACCCGAGAAAATAGGATAGCCTGAGCTGGATATGTCGCTCCTGTGGTACTTTAGTAATAGCCCGACGTAAGCGATTTGAGAACATACCTCCGGCTAGAGTTGCGGCAGCCAGGATGAGGAAACATTTCCAAAGATCTCCTTGTTCCTTAAGGACTATGAAGGTACATTTCACCAAGTTGTAGTTGATACTGTCGTTGTCTGACTCGTTCGCTTCTTGGCCGATAGCGGATGCTTGGGTCTGTGTGCGAACTAGGTCCACCTTTTCTGTGGCATGATCCTCATCTGGCTGCTCTTCGCTCTCTGTCTGTCCGAGATCCTGAGCCTTGACAAGACGAGCGTAGGCACCATCATCCGCGAGGAGCGCGTCGTGTGAACCTTGTTCAACCACGACGCCGTTAGCCATGACTGCGATGTTGTCGGCATTCCGGATAGTTGACAACTTGTGAGCGATGACAATCGTAGTCCGACCTTTCGAGACCCGTTCAAGCGCTTCCTGTACTATCTTCTCCGCCTTTGGGTCTAGAGCGCTAGTAGCTTCGTCTAACAAGAGTACAGTTGGTTCCGAAACGATAGATCGTGCAATCGCCAAGCGCTGTTTTTGACCACCTGAGAGATTCATAGCGCGCTCGCCGAGCTGCGTATCATAGCCCTGCCTAAATTTAGCATAACATTTATGAATATGTGAGAAGCACCTCAACAAACCTTCGGTAGTCGCACAATGAACTCTTCAGCATGAGCGTCCTTGCAGGCCTTCTCTACGAGCGCTCGCTGATCACTCTCTGAAAGGCTGGCCTTATCGGTACCGAACAAGCCGAACGCGACGTTTTCGTATACAGTGCCAGAGAATAGTACTGGCTCTTGCTGTACCAATCGGATGTTTGTACGAAGCCAAGTAAGATTGAGTTCTCGTATATCTGTGCCATCGAGATATATGGTACCGGTAGTTTGGTCGTACCAACGCTCTATCAAACCAATGATCGTAGATTTTCCACTACCGGAAGCTCCAACCAGTGCTGTGGTCTTTCCAGCAGGTGCCAACAACGTCAAGCTCTTCAAGACTGTGATGTCGGGTCTGGCCGGATAGGCAAAACTGACATCCTTAATCTCAACGATACCTCTACACACATTTGGTGTCTTGCCATCTTCGCTCAAGGGATCGATCTCGGACTTCCGGTCGATGGTCTTGAATAGCTCATCAGCCGAGGAAGATGCTTTTGTCAGGGCGATGATTTGAGGTGCGATGGTTGTCATAGCGGTTGCTGCGACGATGACAGCGAGAATGACAGTGAAAACGTCGCCTGTTGATTAGTTAGTGTCATATACCACGTGAATTGGTGGGACGAACCATCCTGTGTCCATCTCAGCCCCAGTTTGTGTATTACGTACCACTTTCTTTGATTTCGCCCCTGGCAAACATCCGAATACCTTGCCAGAAGGCCAATCCATAGCCAGCGTAAATGCAAAAAAACTTTTTGTTTGGTTAATGTATGTCTCACATACGTCGCGTACAGTCGCAACTTACCTCGACCGAGAACATTACGGCATAATTTGGGCACTTCTTCATACCCACTTCTTGGGCATCGCCAAGAAGCTTGTCGTATTTGCGAGACAGCAATGGATGGAGCCAGAACGCATGAACCGTCCGCACTGTCGAGAAAACCTCCTCCGCAAGTTGCCCAGCTTTGGAGTAAATCGGTAGCAGTTGATTCTCATTCTTGGTGTCAATACCTACGGAGATACCGACTACGACAATGATCGTCGGAACGATGCTTATCGTTATCAGAGTGAGCTTCCATTGTACGATGAAGGCGATGATGAATGCAGAGACGAAAGTCGATACACCTTGGATGATCAATGTAAGCTTCTCGGATATACCGTTGTTAATATTGTTTCCGTTCGTCGTAGCCTGCGTCGTAACTGAGGCGGCTTCGTCTGAGTCGAAGTACGCGATGTTCTGTCGGAGAATGTGTCGGATGAAGTCCAGGCGCAGCGCTTTGGTAGTGCGTATTGCTGCAATTGAGACGAACGCCTAGAAACATGAGAATATTTCTGTGCAGTACAGAACGTTATTTACCTACCGAGTGTATGTAAACCAGACCAAACTTTGCAATGAAGAGATACACAAAGTACAGAGTGTACTTATTTACTTCTGAGCGGTATTGGGCCGGGGTAATCGAGCCCGTTGCGAATCCAGTAAATGTTGACACAAATTTCCCGAAGACCAGATCCCTGTGGAATGTGAAAAGTAAATTAGTGTATGTTTGTCAAGTGACGGATGCTAGGCGTTGTGAGATTTCACGGCCATTTATCTTACAGCATGGCGAGACCTGGGTGACACCAAACCGCCATCGTAAGGCACAAGCGCAACAATGGCCCTGTACAGTCATCCAGGCCATATCAAACGCAATGAATGGTGTTGTGCATATGTTACTTACATTAGTGGAAGTAGGGTTCCAGCGGCGATTGCTGCAACGAACGCGATGATGTTGAGCGTCCAACTGGTGCGATCTGCATACTTGAAAATGCGCTGGTACAACGTCATTCTCGACCTCTCTCTGATTCTGCTTAGCATGCTTACCACATAGCCGCCCATATCACCCTTTGGCTCCTCAACCGCGCCACCGCTGTTGTCGGTCGGTGTTGTACTTCTCTTGACATCATCGTTCGTGCTCCGCTCAGGCTGATTAGACATGTCTTTGTCCGGTGACATATTTGGTGCGAATTTTACATGCAATGAGTGGGCAGACAACAATGCACAACATGGTTATCTCAAGCCATCTCAATGAATATGAGCATTTGGCACAAGCTGTGTCCGGACTCCGCAAAGCCCGGGCCCGCGGCATACAGGCGTTCAGAAAAGGGCGTCGCAAGCGGCTGAATATTTCCTTTATGGGTCGGGATACGAGCAATGCGAGCCAATCGGCGATTTTTCTGAGGCTTGGCTTAGTCACGGGGTTGCGCGTTCTTCGCGTCTTCGCTGGTGAAACTTGGTGGCAGCTTTCGGTTTGACAGCACTTGCAGTTTTGACATACTCGAACAGGGTCTGTCGCGAGATCTTAAACTGCTGCCTACTGCTAGCGTGGTTCTTGTTGTGAGTAATGACATAGTTGATAATTTCCACAGCCGCGGATCCCGAGAAGTCCGTTCTCTGCACACACCCACATTACAAGCCACTCTTGCAATTCATACTCACTGTAGGTGTAAGACAACCGCGGCATCGATTGCGTAACCGCCACGATGGAAGACGACGACATGGATGGATCGGTTGATGGAGCCATGTCCAAGCGTGCGGTAAGTCGCATGAGAATACCCGGGACGGTACACACGTTGACGATCTACATCTAGTGCGATAGTTGCCGTACGCGCAAGATACGTTGCGATAGAGGCGTGCCATGTTCCAATTGCAAGGCAAGCAAATTGAGTATGTTGTACTTGGCATGTCCTTGGGGTTGCTGCTGATTCGCGAAGCTTGCAAAACAACTCCTCCCCAACAGAAAGCGCAACGACAAAGGGTCCACATCTCTGAAGAATAGTAAGTCTAATCTGTTTGTGGCGTAATCGTCATTGTTTGTGGCGCCAGCCGTACCCACACTGCTACCCATGTTCTTGGTAAACGTGCGTTCGCATGAGCCTAAAGCACTTGCGATGCTCTCAGGTTGCGTTCTGCGGGAAGTGAAGTCCTCCACGGCCAATCAACGAGCTTTGCAGATCTGATGTTGAGTAATCTGATCAGAACTGACCGCATTTAGCGAGAAGAAGATTGATCGGATCGAGGACCGCTTAGCGAGTATCGAAAACGTTCTTGCCAGCCTCGCAACGGTAAAAATTCCGATGCATGAACTGCATGTGAGACATACACTGACTTGGTACATTGTCGTTTTAGAAGCTCGGTAATCTAGACCTTCAAAAAGATTCCCATGAAACCAGCAGCCAGTCGCGGTCGAGTAGGGTCGGTCCTTCCAGAAGTCCTGGAAGTTGTCTCGTGGATGCCCCTACACCTGCGCCATTCGAAGGCGAGAGCTCTATCAACAGCCAGTCTGATTATGCTCGAGCGATGTTGGCGCAAGCGATTGGGAGCACGTCCTCTATCGGCCAGAATGAAGAAGTCAAAATGGCGCTCACTGCTCTTGCGGAGATGGTTTCCCAGCAGGGTCAAAATAATGCGTCTTCCAACCCCTTGATCAACCACGCTCTTGCCGACATTGACCCAGCCAATCTAGAGCGTCCGCCGTGGGATACAGTGTGCTATGCTTTGGAAAAGGCTAGCGGTAGGATGTCATACACCGTATTTCTTGGTAAGGGCTAATGCGACCAGAATATCCAACTATGGCCTTCGCGGTGGTGTTTCCATTCTTGAGGATGGCTAACCTCAAGGACATCTTCTACGAAGCGTATCATAGCCCAGAAACCTGTAGCGCTGCTCGACGTGTGCTCACTTTCGGTGTTTTGGAAAATGTATTCAACGAATTCCGCGTCTTTCCACTAGCCGGCATGGACACTGCCAACTATTACATATATGCGACCATCTGTAGGAGGCAGACAGAAGTGGCATTGTCACAATTGACTATATGCTTGCCAGCGAGCTATGAGAATATCATGGCCTTGGTACTTGGCGCAGCACAAGCGGTTGAGATGTGCAAACCATCCCTATGTTGGACGATGATATCGAGTGCAGCAGGCTTGTGTCAGAGCTTGGGTTATCACCGCATCAATACCATGGTCAACGACAATCCTGAAGACCGACAGACGAAGATCCATGTTTTTTGGATGATATATATGTTCGACAAAACCCTTTCGCTACGCCTGGGTCGCTCAAGTATCCTCCAGGACTGGGACATTTCGCTGCCATTCGTTGTATCGAGCGACCCCAACGACAAAAATCCGGAATCAAGCGCCATGCTTTCGTACTGGATCAAGGTCGCGCGAGTTCAGGGCCTGACCTACGAGAAATTGTTCTGCCCTGCTGCCTTCTTGAAGACCACTGAAGAACGCACGCGCATTGCCATCGAGCTTGTCAATGCTCTCAACCAAGCTTGGTACGAACGGGGAGATGCTTCACTTGTAGATTTCGTACAGTCAGGTAGTACATTCAATCTTGCTTCGCAACGGCCGAGCATGATAGGCCACACCCCAAATGAGACACCACTCCCGTCTCAATACAAGCGTTATGTACACAAGTCACCTACCATGGGACGTGAGCCAGGTATCAGCGAGTATATCCAAGGCAAGTTTTACCAAATCTGACATCTGAAATGAACTGACTTTTTTTGGATAAAGGTTCTTTTGAGCGTGTTCAAGACATCTTCTTCTACTCTGATGTTGTCATGCACTATTCAACCGTCGCACTGATTCAGCGAGCGGTGAGTCCAAGCAACATGACCTTCAACCAGGAATGCCTCGAGTCCTCACGAGCGGCTCTTGTAGCGCACATGAGAGCTAGTGCAAAGTTCAATAAAAAGGGCCAAGAAGATCTATGGTCGGGATACGTACACTGGTCGGTTCTGCAGGCACCGTTCACACCGTAAGTACTCCACTGGTATCTACACACCGCTTTAGCTGACTCACTTCCATAGCTTCATCGTATTATTTTGTAATGCCATTCAAAAGGCAGATACGTCCGACGTTGATTCTGATCTAAACTCTCTTTCCGAGTTTGTTACCAGTCTCGAATCTTGTCGCACGCTTTCTGAAGGGGCAGACAAGCTGTATAAGATGTGTCACCTTTTCTTACGGGTCACCAAGCTTTACGTAGCGGCTAAGAGACAAGACGCCGCTTCACGGTTGCGGGGCGTTGCACAGAACAAACATTCCGGATACTATACAACTGTGGATGGTACACAGCTCGACCTTAGCACCATGTCTCAGTTTGATCCTTATCTTAGCGCGCTCGGTCTGATGCCTGACACCGCATGGCCTACGACTGCATACTCCACCACTCCGGCTTCGGCGAGCACAAATCCATTCGGAGAGGCCCAGGCAATTCAGAACACGAACGATTCTGGGTTGGGCTTCGGAGCACCGCAGGGAAACCACAATCCTATGCAGGACTGGTTCTCGGGATCACGCTATCTCTTGAATATGATGGAACCAGGCGACGACCTGCAAATGCCAGATCTCGACTTGTAATGGATACAAGCATAGAGGCAAGCATTACCTTTGGCGTATGGAGAATGATAGACCTCAAGGGCTGTACATCTGCTTGTCATTGACATATACCCCACTCTCGACATTATTAGATGTCCTATCCTAGCTGTCATATCGTTTCAAACCATTTCTGGAATACATTCGCGAGCAGGCGTTCTTTTGCATTACTTTAAAAAGTATCATTACATAGCAATTCGGAACGATAACAGCCTCCATCTTGCAGCCTCGTGAAGCATGCTTGATGATATGAAATATATTCTGAGTAGTTTCACGGCCATTGTTTTCTATGCGCTTCGCCATTCCACTATCTGCCCAAGCAGTTGAAACAGCATGAGGACGCTGTATTGTATGGCCGAAACCGACAGGTGAAGCCCGACGCATAGATCACGTTGCGAAACTGAAGCGACGTGCTTCATGCGTGAATGAGAAACTCGAATCGATTGCGGACAAGGAACGATTCATGTAAAAAATAATATGAGGTAGTTTGCATAAAAAGACATATGCCATGGAATCTCTTCCGGTCAACTAGTGCACATACACTGAGGATATTATTACGCTATATACACCGCCATTCAAATCGAGTATGGAGCTGAGCTCATACATCAAGATCCGGCATCGCATTGTCGTTAGCCCAGTCCTTGATCTTCTCAAAGTTCCTGCACACATGTTTACTCTCGTAGTCAGGCCAATACCCCTTCTTGCCCTCTTGCGGGTGGAAGGTGAAGACGTTGACATCGGAGAGACACATAAGGTTCATACGAAGAATCTCAATACAGTGGTCTAGATGTTTTGTTAGTCGTAGTCATGAGTGTAGAAGATCGAATGCGAGCGTACCGAGATGCGCCCTGACCTTTTCAGGCTTGTCGTTCGTGTCGCTCCACCAGAGCTTGGGGTAGTAGTCTGGGTACGTTGACATGCGGAGGAGGTTGAGGCAGTGAAGTTGGTGGAACACTTCTAGACCGACTCGGTATCCTGTCTCGCCTGTCTTCGGGTTTACGACTTGGAGGGCATCGGCAGGCTTTTGCAGCTTGGGAAAGTCTTCCATAGAGACCATTTGATCGGGTACTGTGTGGTGTTAGCGACAAAGTCTTGAGTGGGTATAGTGCGGGTATGTAAGCAAGGAAGATGTGACTTACGGTATGCGACGTCCATCCATGCATTCTCTACATCGTCGGTAATGCCAACGTACTTGGAGGAGTTCAATGGGTTTGCCAATTCAAACTTTGTTTGACTGTACTCGACAACATGCATCGCAGGCGCTAGATCATGTTAGCTATCATTCCCAAGGAGCAAGATCAAGAATTGTGAACATACAAAAAACGTCGAATTGGTCCATTAGCTTCGCTGCCGAGTGGCCTGAAAAGTCCTTTTGCGACATGACCGAACACGTCAACGAGAGCATTGACAGTGTGAAAAGGAAAAGGTTGAAAAGCGTGACATAGATGTAATTCCTCCGCCGTTGCCTATCATCTCCTTGGTATTGTGTCTTGATGAAGGCGGCGTTTTCGGAGTCGTCTTGTGACGAGCTGGAGTCGGTGTATTTCTCCATGACGTGTCTTGCTGCGATGAGGATACGGTGAAATCGACAAAGATGTTGTCTAGGTGATGTTGAAAGAAGTAAAATTAGTCGACCCGCGATGTAGAAATAATGGTGCCCGCTCAGCGTTCGATAACAACAAAGGTGAATAGAGATGGAGAACAACGTAGCGAACAAGTGAGAAATGATAGCCCAAGGAATTGTGGCTAGTCTTGCAACACCAACGTCAGATACGTTTTGGGTATCGCCAAAGGCAGGTTACCGAAACACGGAACATCTCAAAAAGTGCCGCTATGCCGTGTATGTCGCTCCCTGTAAGGCATCTCGTCCCGGTGGCGCCAGGCAACAATAGCCTTGGACACCCGTCTGCAACAAGGCTTTAAGGCATTAAGCTTTTACCAAGCCTTCTGAGACGCAGAAAGTGGGATCGTCTCAGTATTTCCGTTGGTTCAGCCGCTGCTTGGGTTTCGAGGTGAACACTTAGCCAAGACTGGATGTTCATACTTCGGCACCATCGTTTCAGCTTGGCGCGCCAACCCAAACGAGGTTCTTTTACTGACATGACACGCACATGGAACAAACGTCCCGACAACATGATTACAGAATATCGGAAATAACGTCAAAAGGCGCCTGCACTTGAGATGAACCGCGGCTTCGCCGCACTAGTTTCATGGGTAAACTCGTTGTCGGTCGACTTGATCCAATGAGATGCGAGTCCCAGAAACCCAACATCGTCTGAACAACGCGAGTTATACGGATTGCCTTGGTAATAGGCACAGAATATCCGGTAAGAGTCACGGAACCTGAGGCTAGACACGGCGGCGCCGCGGCTCGGTTTGGACACGACCGTATTCTTCAGACACTGACAGGCCTTGTCGACTGCTGGCGGCGTCGTTGGTGGAGACGGAAGCCCGTCAAGACCTTCCGTGTTTGGCTTCCCGTACAAACGCCTTCTACTGCTGTCACATCGCAGCGAACTCGATGACCTACTGGGGTGTCAACTCCGCTTCTGTGCCGTAAGCAATGCAACATGTCTCAGGACCTGAAGGAGAAACCAAGCATGTACCCGCTCTGCTTCCCAGGAGCCTACTTCACTTATAAAGCATCTCGACGTTCCAGAAGAAAAGGCATCAAGCGTTGAACGTGCTCATTCCTTCTCACAACCTGCTCAGTCCTGTTTCATCTATTCTTCTCTGCTGGCAGATCCATTCTTTCATCCAATTCCAGACTCATTTAAACTTTCTTCATAATGAGATTTACCGCACTTACTCTTTTGGCCCTGGGTGCCTCAACCTCAGCCTACGTTGTGCCAAACAACAAGCAAGCCGTCGATAATGCTGTTAAAGCTCGCATGCCAGTAAGTTGGCTGATGTTCCTTGGCATGATATATACTTATAGTTCTATAGGGAAGCGGACCTGTCCACGCATCTAACCTTGTTGCTGCACTCGCAGATCGTAGTGTAGAAGCTCGCCACCATAAGGGCAAGGGTGGTGCGGGCGCTGCTGGAGGCGCCGGAGGTGCTGGTGGTCTAGCCAAGCTCTTCGGCCGTGATGCTCAAGAGTTGACCCAGGAGGAAGACGATGCCCACTGGGCTGATCTCCACACTCGCTCTCCTCACCACAAGGGCAAGGGCGGAAACGCTGCTGCCGGAGGAGCTGGAGGAGCTGGAGGTTTGGCCAAACTGTTCGGCCGCGACCCTGAAGCGCACCACAAGGGCAAGGGTGGTGCGGGCGCTGCTGGAGGTGCCGGAGGTGCCGGTGGTCTAGCCAAGCTCTTCGGCCGTGATGCTCAAGAGTTGACCCAGGAGGAAGACGATGCCCACTGGGCTGATCTCCACACTCGCTCTCCCCATCACAAGGGCAAAGGCGCAAAGGCTGCTGGTGCTGGCGGTGCTGCTAAGCTCTTCGGTCGCGACCCTGAAGCACATCACAAGGGCAAGGGCGGAAACGCTGCCGCCGGCGGAGCTGGAGGAGCTGGAGGTTTGGCCAAGCTGTTCGGCCGCGACCCTGAAGCGCACCACAAGGGCAAGGGCGGAAACGCTGCCGCCGGCGGAGCTGGAGGAGCTGGAGGTTTGGCCAAGCTCTTCGGTCGCGACCCTGAAGCACATCACAAGGGCAAAGGAAACGCTGCCGCTGGTGGTGCTGGTGCCGGTGGCCTGGCCAAGTTGTTTGGTCGCGACGCTCAAGAGTTGACTCAAGAGGAAGACGACGCCCACTGGGCCGACCTCCACACTGGCGACAACTAAATGTTCGCAAGCTCTGGATGAACCACGAACAGTGTTGGAGAAGGAAGAGTTAGTAGCGCGAGTAAACTAGATGATTCCCTTAGTATATGTTTTGCCCTTCGCTGAGATGTTCTCTCGTTGATGCGGAGGGCCTGTAATGTAGATATAGATGAAAAAAACCTGGTCAATGATCAGGACTGAACCATCGCCTGTATGTATGCATAGATTGTTGTGACATGTGTATGCCTAGATTTGAACGCTCGTGGAGGTATTCGATGGTACTTCGACATTTGTACGTCGTGTAGTAGTACGTTGAATATATCCTGGCTCTTTGCGCTGTGGCAGGATCACATAAGTCCAAGTCCTCGATCTCCTCACTGTAACCTACAGCAGCGCGCCTGCACCAGCGCCCTGATCTACGACCAGGTTGGCTCCTCCCGCTGAATGGGCCGTCTGGTTTCTGGCTCGCTTGTGGCCACGGTTGTCGGCGCGCAAGATCTGAATATCAATCCAGTCTCCATAGACAGCCGCATCAAAGCCCAGGGTGTTGAAGAGGCCGCGAATGAGATCATAGCACTCCAGAGGGCGGTCTGACTAAGTGTTGTATGCTGCCATTCGAAGCGAAGGATCGGCCATCAATAGCTCGCGACGAGTATCGTTCTGGTATGTTCTAATCATACTGTTGATCAGGTCATATGTGTGGGCCCAATGATTAGATATCATGGTCCAAAACAGAGGGATAGCGGCCTCATTAGGTCGCGGCATGACATTCCCCACCAGCCGTCCAGCAGATGCTAGTCACAAAGAGGATTCCCATACGCCGACCGGAACCCAAAAATTTACTAAACATCCACGATACTCATGATAGTGTTGTAGTGGGAAGCGACCGCGTCTCGTGCGAAGGAATTTCGAAACTTGGCCAGGCGATCCGCCTTGTTGCGGAAGGCGAATGGGAGGAGATTGATTGGCTCCCGTCTGCATAGAGAGCAGCTTTAATGCACCGAATGGCGTCCCGTATGGTGGGTATGAGAAGTTGCGCCATGTGCTCAAGTTCCCAGTGTCAAGCTTCCATGCCTCCGCGCGATAGCTAATGTACGCCAGTATGCAATCTGGATGAAAGCGATAGCAAGCTGCACAGGCTACCTGAACGAGAATATCGAAACCTGGGGGCATATCGTCCAAGGGCAAACAGATGAGACAACGCATACTCGGGACTGAAATTGAAACGTAATCGACGGTTACTGGTAGTGGCCGAAAGTGGTCGGAAGGATCAGCCAGCGCTGAAGTCAGAAAAGCCCAGTCTCATGCTGTCGCACCCGTTCATGCCCTCTAACCTTCAACCACGCCTTCCCCATGACCACATCTGGTCTTGCCGATTCTCCATCATCCAGATTGAGGCCGTGCAGGAGGTGCCCGTTATTATATCGTTGATATAGTTTGGATACAGAGAATGCCTATAGGCTGCGTTTTCAACTTGTCGTTGACAAATGAGAGGGTGCTGTATGTCTTCAGTGGGCGACTTGGAAACTGAGCTTCGGAAATCGGCCTGCGATTGCTCCTGATACGCTAAATTGTGTTTGGCTTAGCGTTGTGCACGCACTATTGATACACGCGGAGGAATTAAGGCAATGGCACTGTCGCCCACGATGATGCAGGTTGCTTTCAGTTGCTGTTACTCTTAACGACCAGATGCAAAGTACCTAGGTAATCTCCCCTGTTCTGCTACCATATCAGAAGGTAGACTGGTCGCTTTGCAGTAGATGAGAACAATGATCCAATGACGCGCGTAGGTGGCCCCGTCCATGATCACGTCGCACTGACGGTACCATTATACCACCAGCGACAGTCTCTTGATGCACTCTCTTGCTCTAAATACTGTCAGCAATGATTGGTCGATGAGAGAGTGTGGAAGAGTAGTAAACATACCGCGTAACCTCAATGCGGAAACTGTGGTCCATGAATTGTACGGTCAACCCAAGAAGTCTATACCTCTTGGTTAGTATCGTTGCTGGTGCAGTGGCACCGGTGATACCTCAGATTGGCTTCATAAAAGCGTTTGAAAATGACATGAATGTGCCAAATGTCTTCCAAGGTGTCGGTTACTGCGACCGAACTACCAAAAGAAGCTGACCACTTCAATCAACAGCACCAAACGAAAACTATCCGTGGCTAAATGCATCATGAGAAAAACACATTTCCGCATGTAGTAAAAATTGGTCTATACAGATGTATCCTACAGACACGAGACTAGCTACATTGTTTACAACGGTTATGCTAGCTATGGAATTCAGACCGCGCCAAGTAGCAGCCGACTCCACCCAATGCAGCAACAATCCAAGATCCCTCTTCAACAAAGGATGCTGGAGGAGATCTTCTACCCAGAATGTTCTACAATCTCGCTAACAAGCTTGCCATCCTTGATATAGCTCCTGATCTGCTCCGGCAACGGGTTCTCGGCATAATCGTCCTCGGTGGGCAGGTTGATGTTTATGCTGCTGCACTTGCTTGTGAAGACTTCAGTCGCTAGCGAATCCTTGGAGAGGTATACGGTAGCGCCATCAACTTGGTCTAGTAGAATGGTGGGGAGGGTGCCGAGTACTTGTAGCGCAAAGTTGGGACACTTGATCACGTCTACGGAGCTTACTAGCGAGTCAATAATGAGTGATGTGCGGGAAGAGTTGTCCAGTGAAAGAGCGTTAGCCTTGCCGTTGATACGGATGGTTGTGTTCTTGCAGCGGGAGATGAGGATGGAGTGGTTGATTTCGGCGTCGATCTCGATGGTTTCGGATGGGGAATCGAAGTTGTCCTTTTTATGAGTTAGTAATTAGTTCACTACAAGTTTGAGCAACACATACTATTATCCACTTGTTTCCATCCAGCTCCTTCTTGGGTGGCTTCTTCGTCCGCATGCTCTCCGGCTTCTTAGCCTTGGGCGGCGCGGGACTCTTACTCCTCAGACTGCCGGTGCTATCGCTTCGTTCAGGGACTGGCGCACTCGCTCGCAATGACGGGTTCTTATGCGTCATTTGGCTTGGGTCGACCTTCTTGAGCCCCTTTGTGACATCGGAGCCCTTGTTGAGATCGCCGAAGACAGCGTTCATGTCGGGCGCGGCTTTCTTAGTGACCGGTGCGGCACCTGGCGGCGGCGGTGGGCCTGGTGGTGGTGGAGGACCAGGCGGCGGTGGGATACCGCCTGCTGGAGGAGCGGGTGGAGGAGGAATGTTCGATGCGCCTGAAAGGGGTGCGGAGGAGATCTCCTTTGCGGCATCTTTGGCGTCGATGCCGTTGCTGTTCCAAGCTACACCTGTAGCATGGTGCGTCTTTGCGTATTCGGCGAGAGCCTTGAACAGCTTGTAGTAGGCCTGAACCCATTTCACGTGTGCTTCGCCGTCAGGCCTGTATCTGTTAGCTCTGCCTCAAGGAGGAAAAGAAAAGGTCATACTTGTCGCGGTACTCCTTAAGGACCTTGTTGCCGTACATCTGAGCTCCACCGAACAGTTCGTTGATGTGCTCATGGGGCTTCATACCTCCGCCCTGGCCAATCGTAACCCATCCAAGCGATCCAACACCATCGGCAACCATGGAGACGGAATTTTTTAGCGCAGGGTCGCGGTTGCTCTGTCGGAACTCGTCCGTCTTCTCCATGCTCGCCTGGAGATCCTTGAGGAGCTCCATCAGAGTGCGGTCATCGGGTTTCTTGGCCTTGTTCGCAATGAAGAGGAATTGGCGCTGGGCGGCGAATGCTCCCTCGACTGCTTTTGACTGGCCCTCGATGACGCTTCCCAGCTTTCCGCTCAGCTCTAGCCAGTTCTTTAGGTCCGAGTTGACCAACTCATCGAATGCTTCAATCGCGGGTGGTGCGCTTTCTGCGACCAATTTGGGAGTGGATGCGCTTGTGCTGGCCGCTGTCACGCCCGGAGTAGCATTTGTGGACGCTCCATTGAGGCTGGCAGCTCCATCGCCGTTGTTGGGTAGAGCGGTGCTGGCGATGTCTTCGAGACGCGAGGTAGCAGCTTCGAGCCTACGGACCATAGACGTCAGTACATTGTCTGTTGCGACGCGCATCTGGCCATGTCGACCGAGGATATGTGCTTGTTCGGGCCCAGGAGCCATCACAGGGCACTCTCATAGAGTAGCGGGATGCGCAGAGCGTTGCAGGATGGTAGGTTCGGGTACTGATCGGTTGTGGTTTTGAAAGGAAGGTACTTACCGCTTGATCAGCGTCGTCAGGTTATTCATGTTGTTCGCCATGTGGGGAAGGTACGTCGCAGCGTTTGTAGGGAAGGCGCCTGTATTCGGACAGGTATCTTGAATGCTCGGGGAAGGGGCAGCTGCGGCACGCTGCAGCTCGTACAACGCCTCTGGGTCGTACTGTGGAGAGGGAAGACGACAACGAGACAACGAGACTTCCCGATGCCTCAACTATGAAGGTAGAGGAATATATATTGGTTCAAAAAAGCACAATTACAGGCAGAACTTCACAGGGTCAGCTCTCCCCGGCGCATGGCCACGGCTGCCCACATGGCGCTAAGCCGTCTGCAGCCAAGGCTCGTCCGTTCGAGACATGCACGTCAGCGGCATACTATCAACCTCGCGATCTACACAAGGCAACATGGGAGCATCAAACATGGCCGACCAAAACGCAGGCAACTATGACAAGATCGATTTCTGCACGCTGGGAATGTTTATTATAGGTATGCCAGGAGTAATTTTAAATACATTCATGCCGCTGAGACTATCAAGATGAGATCGAATTCCCCCCACCAAAGCCTCCAGTCAAAGACATCGTCGGCGGAGCAGGGTCATACTCAGCATTAGGCGCACGCATCTTCTCCCCACCACCACAGTCGGAATCCGTGGGTTGGATTGTAGACTGCGGGTCTGATTTTCCACCTGAGCTGCGCGACTTCATTGCGCAGTGGAAGACTGGTGTACTGGTACGCGAGACGCCCGATCGGCTGACTACGCGAGGGTGGAATGGCTATACTGGGGGAAATGAGCACCGAGGTCAGTGCCTATGTATTATCAGTAATGATACCAAGCTAATCAGTCCCATGAAGCTTTTCGATATTTGACGCCGAAATTGCGTGTGGACCATGAGACTTTGATTGGTACAGACCTACTGTGGTCCAAGTCGTTCCATCTAATTTGTTCTCCATTACGCTGCATCGACTTGATTGAGAACATCCTCGCATTACGCAAACAGCATTACAAGTTGGCTCACATCCGTCGCCCGGTGTTCATCTGGGAGCCCGTTCCCGATTTGTGTACACCCGCAGAATACGATAACTGCCTGAAAGCGCTCAAGTATGTTGACGTGGTCAGTCCAAATCACGGGGAACTTGGCGGCTTCTTCGGCAAGAACACGGACGGGAGGGATTTTGTAGACTTTCGAACAATCGAGGAGCTGTGTGGTCAGTGGTTGGACAGTGGAGTTGGTGACGGGAATGGCGGAATTGTCGTGCGTTGTGGCAAAGACGGCTGCCTAGTGATGCGCAACGGGCTGCGGAAATGGATGCCTGCATACCATCAGTCAGCAGAGAAGGTGGCCGATCCTACGGGAGGAGGCAATAGCTTCCTTGGTGGCCTGGCAGTTGGCCTACTTCGCGGTGGCTCCAGCTGGGTACCAGAGAATCTCGAAGAAGCTGCGGTTTGGGGGTCCATTTCGGCGAGCCTTGCCATTGAACAGGTCGGCATGCCCATTCTCTCACAGTCAGCGGACGGGGAAACGTGGAACGGTGTTGGTGTCGAAGATAGACTTTCAGATTTCAAGCAGCGACTGGCTAGTTATGTACAGCCTTAGTCGCGTTCACTGCTCCCTATAACCCCCCTCATTTCCAACTTAACCCTCGATGGTTCTCTCGATAATGTTCTGGTCTTGTTTCCGCTCATGCTCCCTGATCTGTTTGCTCCAGCTGTATTGTTGTTAGCATCCAGGACTGAGCCAACTGTGTAAGAATAGGTCGTACTATCGGCTGGGGAAGAATCGGTGGCGTTCGGGCATCTTGTCACGGTATTCGCGGTTTGCGCTGAGCATCCAGGCCATGCCGACGATGCTTCCGAGAGCGAGGCCTACAACGGCCGTGTTGGCTTTCCAGTTGGCGGGTTGGGCGTACCAACCACCAGCCGGTGACCAGACGTGCTTGGGGTATCTATTCCACGTCAACTCTGCACTGGCAAGCAATTGGCGCTCTGTTCGTACGGGATCTTTCCTCCTCCGCCCATGGTGAATGTGGTTGTGCGAGTTCGTGGGGTATGCTGTCTGCGGAGCTGCCGTGAGGTCGTTGTCGCATGGTAGGGCTGCCGGTAGCACGGGCCCCGAGCTTGGCGGAAATTCTTTGGCAGTCGCGATCATGACCTGTGTGAACACACGACCGGGCCAATTGCTGCTGCTGCCGACTCCGCCTTCCTCGACTTCTCTGCCGTCTTCTTTTACATCTTGTCTTAATGAAGCGGATACCCATACAAAGATGCGCTTCGCAATTGCTGGGTGCACCCTCGCCACGCCGGCCCTCGTGTCCATATACCGCGGCGAAGAATGTACGGAGAAGCATTATACCCCATAGTCACCGGATACATGCCCGATTCCAGAGCACAGTAGCAATCCCGGATGACGGTGAATTGGAACTGGAAATTGCAGCAAATTCTGGTGCACCATCACCACGCAAATCAAGACGGACCCGGCCACTTGAGAGCCTTCCATCCCCACATCCCAAAGCCGCCGAGCGTTCGACCAAATTACACGCCCTACGAAGTCGACTGTCCCTCCCGCCTCGCTTCCCCCTCCAAGCTCTCGCACGAACCCTCGTACACCCCTCCGCCGACCCCAACCCCGCCTTCAATAATGCCTCGCTATCGATACTCGGACGCCAGTTGCTTGGCTACTACACCTCCGAGTGGCTCTTGTGCAACTACCCACGTCTGCCAATGGACGTCGTCTTCGCAGCAGTAGAAGCATACATTGGACCCAGAGCGCTAACCACAATTGCAAGCGAATGGGGCATTGAGGCGGCGGCCGAACCGGGTGGTGAGGTTGATTCTGGCCTACTACAATTCAAGAGAATAAGGTCGGGCGACGATCTCCCACCAGAGTTGAGGCGACAAGCACCCTGGAAATGGAATGTCACGACCACGCACAAAATCATGAAGACGGACGAATTTGGCTCCAACAATGCCGCACCAAGTCCACACGCGCTACAAAGCACGCCAGTGCCACTGGAAGAGGCCGCCCAGTCTTTTGTTCGAGCACTCATCGGCGCATTGCATGTACACATTGGCTCGCCGCTCGTCAAGCGCTTCTTCCGTGACCACTTCCTTAGCCGACATCTCGATATTAGCACAATCTTTGATTTCCAGATGCCAACTCGTGATCTTTCACGGTTATGCGCGAGGGAAGGCTTCGAACCACCCGTCGCCCGATTGATCTCAGAAACCGGTCGTCTGAGCAGACATCCTGTCTTTGTGGTTGGCGTATATAGCGGAAAGGACAAGCTAGGAGAGGGGTCAGGCAGCTCATTAGATGAGGCCAAGACAAGAGCAGCGGCGGCAGCACTGAAGGCATGGTACCTCTACAAGCCGGTCGAAGTCACTGTCCCAAGCAGCATGGAGGGTGAGTTGGATACGAGCAAGTGGCGGCCGAACCACATCGACCACGGCGAGGTCATTGTGTAAGATATACGACATCAAACATACTTTGGAGTTGTAGGGGATTTACTTTAGGTACGGATGGCATCAACGGACGGCATACTTTTCGCTTGTGCAGCTTAAGAATAGCGGAGGGGCAGGATTTACGCCACGTTATGCCACGTCGAGGGTTGAAGGCCGGCGCACCCAGCAGCAGTGCGCATGTATCATATGTGACATGAGGATACCATGATGATCCGCAATGTGTACAATATAAGACGAAATGTTGCATCACAATACCCATTACTTGACATTTTGTCCGTGAACAGAACAGAAGTGTGGCATCTGGCGGAATGATGTTACGGGTACTATACCAAACCTAGAGCAGACTGATGGAATCCTAACTTCGACATTAAACCCTTTACACTCTGAAGTGAGTCCCTTTGCGGTAATGATTAGCGTTAAGTACATCCAGAGTGGCGTGAATCCTCATGTCTCCTCTTTTGCGACCCCTATACATCATTTCTATAATGACCGTAACACTTGTAGCGTACTACTTCTACGAAAACATCCAGTTTGATGAATGCTCGCCTACCTGCGGTTACAATCGCCATAGACCCTGTAAATATATCTCGGTGTCACATCCTCACGTTACTGCCGGATCAAAATTCAACCCCAGAAAAGCCGTCTTGCTTTCCAACATGCCATCATAGCACAATACGATAGCCCATAAGGGGCTATCTCAGGCCCCTAGACGAGCACCGAAAAGGATCAGGTTTAAACCCGCGAATCCGTCGCCCAACCAGATACCCAACGGCTTAAAAACAGCGATATCAGAGATCAAGAAGAAACCCGGCGAGATGCAGCGCGATAGGCTCCATCGTCGATTCTATGTGCGATACGCCCTTTCCATCCCTTGTGACGACCTGAAAAGCAAACTTCGCAGATCCAACATCGACTACACCCGCGAAGAAGTGGAATGTGACGCCGAAGTAGACGTAGTGTTCAAGTTGCCCCCATGGAATCTCGAAGAAGAAAAGCCCGCACCAAGCATCTACGACCTCTACCGACACGAACCCGATTACGGCACCTGGAAACTTTTCTCGAGTGAATAGATGTTGATGATCTAGGCTATCACCATTAGTGCAGAGATATAATCATCTAGTTTCATGATGACCCGGATAGGCGATATGACTCCTGTCTCGATGGCAATCCGGTAGAAAGGAGGGCGATATTGAGGCAAAGATACGAAGATGGTGAGACAAATAGTTCTGAGCTCGGACAGACTACTGAAAATGAGGAGGACGAGGGACGAGGAAGAGAGTGAGGGCTCAATTGATCTCTTTGCGTATGACGGTGAAAACACCGATAGAGAGGTAAGTGATCACTTCTATACTTCCCCTAGTCCACTGCCCTCGTCCACAGGGAATGAGTGTTGAACAATGACGGGAGAAGAGGAAGACGACGAAGAGTGATGAGGATTGAAATCATCATGATGCTAGCAGCACGCTAAATTCTCGCTATGAGGAAGCCTGTTTCTCCTACATGGCTAGTCATGATGTACTAAGAAGAAGTTCGCAGCTATATATGAAAATAGCGGACACCTTTAGGGTGCATTGAGCTTCACGTGATTTTCAAAGAAACAAGCTTCTTCGTGCACTAGAACATCTTTTCTGGAGGGAAGTCATTTTGGCGAACCGCTAATGTTGGTCAAGATGACCGTTGATGATGTGATTTCATTGATTTTATCGGAGATATCTGTGAGAGAGAGATAGAATCAAGGACTTGCGCACTGCTAGAATCCCAATCCAGTCACGGTTACTTGAGACGCCCTCCTCTTGGTGCAGTCATAGCTCAAGATCATTCTTCTAAATGCTCGCTGAATACTACCTCGCTAATGAAGATGCTACCAAGCGTGGAAAAACACAAGGAAAGAAATCAGTGATAAGAGGGTCTGCTAAAAGCGGGGTCGCAAGAAGGGGTATCAAAGGTCCGACCCAAGTTCAGAACGGACAAGATAGTAAGAAAGTAAGAAAAGGCCTGTAGTTCCGGTATGCATCTCCGGCTCTTTCTCGCTGAGATTCGTTTCCGTCTCTTTCCGAGCTGTCAAGTTTCACACACGTCGTCCGGCTTCGGCATACCGACTGACCGAGAACTATGAAAAGCCGATGTCTAACATGTTTCGCCAAGTATCACCTTGGCGTGAGTCCACGTTTGACATGCTGTTCGAGGCTTGAAGTTTCCGATCACCAACCACCTGCTGGTTCTAACCTGCGGGTCTGGGTCTGGAAATAACCATCAAAGACACTTAGTTCTGGTTTGCGTGGCGCGTAATGCTCCGAAATATCGACCAACGTCGCAGTCGATGCACCATTCATGCCAAGAGATGCTGCTGCTTGCCCACTGTAGCCGCCGCCGTCCAAGCTACGTCGTCTTCCTCCAGTAGCTTTACCGCTACTCAGACTGGCCAACACAAATCTCATCTTTATCCTCTCCTTTGGTCCTGGTAGCAACATCTTCTCGATAATGCTCAACCATTCGGACTCCGCTTTCAACTGCCTAAGCTTGCGTCCAGATCCGATAAGTCCGTTTCTAAGGTTTGAAGTAGTCGCTGCATGCAGCCGGTTCCGCCAGCTCGCCACTCGGTCAAGATGCGCGTGGTATGACGCATCCTGGGTGGATGCAGCCCGGTATTGCGCAAACACTGACAGTGATTGGCCTTGTGCGACTGTCATCATTGACAGGAAAACACAGCCCAATGAGAAGACGTCCGCCATTCTCTTTCCACGTGAAACAATGGTTTCGGGCGCTGCGTAGACGTACGACTGGTCCTGGAAGTACGTATGAAGCTGATCAAGGCGTTGAGAGTTCGCCATTGTCGGACTGAAGGTGTCAATACTCTGCCCAATGTCGAATGGAGCAAGAATGATGCGGGCACCGTCTATCAAGATCTTGCGAGGCCGGATACTTCGGTGGCAAATGGATTGCGAGTGAAGGTATTCAAGGGCGGAGGACAGATCATGCATCCAGTCCACTAACAACTTCGAGCGGTTCGGATCGCTCCCGGGAAGCGCAAGGTAGTCATCCAAAGTGTATTGTGCCTTCTCCGTCACGATACCGACGTGACTCGGTTGAGAGTATGAGCAAAGCAACTTCGCAATGTTCTTGTGATCATGTTGCTTGAATTTGTTAATCTGATCCAAGAGCGCAGCTTTTTGAGAGGACCGAGCGGTAACAAAGCGCTTTCGCACCAGAACACGATCGTCGCTGCTACCTTGCATCCGAACCCAGTCGACACTCTTTTCGGAATTGCGCGATGACCGAATAAGGCTGATATGCTGCAACGGGACTGTTTCCCGTGCAGTGAAGTCGACGTGTGCTCCCGTCAGCGGTAGTTCCTTGGACGTGGCGCGCCACTGTTCCTCAACGACCTTGCGTGCATTTCCTACGATGCCTTGGAGACGATCTTCCGGGAACGGCAAGCTCTCGTCGCGTAGATCAAAGAAAGAAGCCTGACGCCATGAGGCAACATCGTCGCAAACGAACAAGAGAATCGCGAGCCTAGGGTTAGACAAAGTCCACTGCCAGATCTTCTTGACTAGACCAGAATCCCATCCCTGCTTTCGTACGAGCTCGTAGAACCATCCAGAAAGAGACTGACCCTGAGAGGACAAGATAGAGGTATTGATATATCCGTTCACTAACGGTACTAATGGAGCAATAGGTTGTCGATAAGGATTCATCGGTGAACCCGGGTAGTCACCATTCCTTAACGACTCTCCAGAAGTCTGAGGAGGTGGAGACATGGGCGCAAATCCTGCTACCGGATTGATCACCCTTACTGGCTGGGGAGCAATAGGCGTTGTCGATCGGCTCGTGTAAGGCGGGGTATGTTTCGGACTACCTTTCGGTGACGAGGAATCGGTCGATTTGTTTGAATATGTTGAAGCTGGGCTGATCATTACGTTTGACCACGGGTTGTTGTTTGTTGTCGTCGGTGTTGTGCTTCGACTGGTGGCAGACGAAACAGACGAGGTAGTAGGAGATTCAGTCTCACGACCTTTGTACCACGATTGATCATCATCGCGGAGGTTGACCATGGATATGGTATGCTGTAGACTGTATTGAGGTTTGGGATATTGCATCGCAGGCGTTCGCCACGGGGAGTTCGATGCGTGTTGCATTGCGTAGAGTGGAGGGAGCCCAAGTCAGGCGAACAGCGCGTGGCCAACGAGGAGCGCCGTAGATTAAAGTAAGATGTTTACAGCGACTGGAGGTTTGCCTCGTGTGGGCTCGTGACAACTTGGAAAAAAGCAAACAAGAAGTATCAGCGTAACAAAGTGAGGAACGTGAAAGCCTTGAACGACGACTTGGGTCCAGGTGCCCTGGTCTGCAGAAGAAGTACAGCGGCACCTTTCGGGCAGAGTCGACCGCTTACACTCCAGCGAGCCCAAATAAGGCTGTTCCCAGTAAAGGTCTAGAGGCTTTTGATGTGCTGGCAATTACTCGCCCGCATTTCGCAAGACATTAGTGGAGGGTGACAATATATGGCCTTAGACAGTGGGTGTATGTGTTGGGCGAATGCACGCTGTGCACGAGTGCACCCATGTGGATTAGTTGTATGCAGGCGAACGTGGCCACCTCAGAGTCGCCTTCATCGTCAAAGGCGTAGCGTATGCATATGTTCGCAGCCCATCCTTTCCCGTATGGTGCCAGATCATCGAGCAGTCTGATATGGAGCGCGCGATCCGTCCCGTACCCAGTGAGTGTGGTCGGCAGTGTGCCTGATTATGCGCAGCGTTGCGCGACAAGGCCGCTAAGTTGCTGCACGACCAAGAGCACATGAGATGCAACGGAAACAGGACGCAAATCCTCTGTGCTCTGTTACACGAACAACAACTATTGGCGCAGAGGACGATACCGACGAGCTTCCCGCTGAGGTCTCTGCCGGGTGGAGGTCCAGAAGGACACGAGGTTCCGTAGCTCACCGTCTCTTCTCGGCATCGGGACAGGGGATAATTTATCTCCGTGTGGCTTCGGGAGTGACGTGCCTCGACAGCAGTGAGCGGCTGGGTCCGTTAGGCGGTATTGAAAATGCGGTCGATGTTGTACAGTTGTTCAGGTGTTGCGTGCCTCAGCGACACGTCTGCGTCAGCGCAAGTGTTGCCGGTCTAAGTTAACAGCGGCCGCTACCTGTGTCAACATCGCTTGTTTCTGAAGAAGCAAGCGCCAGAAGCCACACCCCAGGGAAACTTGAAATGTGCAGATGGCGCAACAGAGGCTGGTATGATGGGAAACTGAGTACATCGGCTTCTGGACGGCGTGAAAGTGAAACCAAAAAGCCGGGAAAGACGGCACGAGTAACGCTCATTGGCTGAGGCATCATCATCACGTGCACTGTTAGCGCACATCTGAAGCGCCCCTAGTTTTAGCATGGTTCCTCGACTCCAGACCTCAACACCAATTGTCTCAAGGGGCCCAGCATCGTCATGCCCAGTGCGTCTCCACTGTCGAACGGTTCGATCTCCAGGCCAAAGCTTGGTTGGCTCCCACCGAATGCGGCTCAATTATGCTATATTAAGCTTGTTCTTAGTCGCCTCAGGATCAACGCATAGATACTTCTCATGCCACCCGTCACAGCCTCAAGCAGAACCCGTCTCAACTCTGTTATGGAGCCTCAAGCCAGTCTTGGTGCTGCTTTCCGAGTCTGGTGCCCAACCTGAGTCACGCCATTTGCGAGCTCGCCTCGTCCGATCCACCCATAGCCGTGATTCGCACACCGCGTTTCTTCATGCTCTCGTGTTCGACTTTTCTAATTCGCTTCTGCTAATGACACTTCTAATGCCCGTTTCTTTTGAGCAGTGATTAACTTTTGCATCGTCGTTCTTTCTTCGTTCGTCACTCTTTTTCTAGTAAGCTGCTGGGCAGCACGGTCACCTTCGCACTATCGACTTTAATTTTCCGGTGTCGACTAATACTACTTCGACCATGTTTTTCAAGAACGCTCTTGTAGGCGCTCTGCTTGCTGCTGGACACGCAACTGCTTTCAAGGGCCCTCAAGTGAACGCCCTTCTTCAACCAGGCCAGGACGTCGAGGAGGTACTTCGACGGGATGCAGAACTCATGGCAACCCTTACACAAAGACAAGATGCCAACGCTGCAGACACAGCGCCACTAGCATCGCTCACACCTGCGACTGGCGATGCATCGGGTGTGGATCAGGCGAAGTGGGAGGAGCAGACAAAGCAAGCATGTATGAGCACGCTGAGCAACCTCAACGGTCAAGCGTCGAACCCAAGTGGAATTGCTGTATGCTACAACCTACCCTTCCTCGACAACAAGACGGGTATCTTTCAGGCGGAGCTCCGAATGTATAATGTATCAGCTCCGATCAACCCATGGGTTGGAGTTACCGCGGCCGATGTCAGTATGACACTTTCGTATCTTGGAGCGACTGTGCAGAACATGCAAGGCAACTTCACGAAGCGGGACCTCAGCTGGCCAGTCAGTGATGGTGTGCTAGTCGAGAGGCAGGATATCAACACTATGACGGAGCTGAAGGTTCTCATGTATGTTGGAAGGATAAACGAGAACTTGATGGGCTCAGCCATGACCCAGTAAGTAGTCTTCCTCTTTGGTCATTCTTCGACCCTAACACATTCGCAGAGAATCCCTACAGCCCCTTCTCATTCCACAAATCGACCTCGCTGCGCGAAACCCTGCTACCGGTCAGGACGTCGAAACCACCCTCTCTTCCCAGGAAGCATCCTTCGTTAATGGCATTTTCTCCAAGGCAGGGACAGCTCCCACAAACGCAGACCCCCAAGCAGCAGCATCCGCATCCGCTGCCGTTTCCTCGGCCGCACCGTTCGTCATCCCTGGAACTGCATTGGCTTTCTTCCCGATCGGTCTTGTCGTCACATCAGTATGGGCCCTCTTCTTCTTCCTGGCCGTTGGGTTTGGAACATACGGCCGCATTCAATACCGTGATCAGTACAGGAGGCGCGTTCGAGCTGAACAGGCACGCGGTGTTCGCACCATCTAATACCTATCTTTGATGCTTTTGTTCGTCGTCCTGCTATTACCAAGAGCTAGAATAGCAGATTTGGATTACTATGAAGATTACGTTCGCTGCTATACCCCTTCCCTTTTACACGTTGTATATAATTCTGGTGGCGATGGAGCTAGCTCCTCCCACAATCTTCCTGGCAGCATCCCGATGATGAGTTCCTATATGTTCTCGGCAGCGCGATAGAAAAGCATATTTAGCAAGTAAAACAATGGAAAACTCAGTATTGTCCAACCGATTCCTTGCCTTTCGCTTTGCCCGTCCCTTACAATTCCCTTCCAATCATTGTCAAGTTCACGGTCGCAACCGTTACTTGGGTGATACAGAATACGCACGCGCTCCCGTCTAGATCAGCAGAACTTGCCCCTAGCCTGCGCTAGCCTGACGACCTCTTCCTCGTTTCTCACAGTCTTGCAACCCAGCCTAATCCAAGTCTCTTCCGGTTCTGGTAGGTCCCATCATACTTCAACAGATGAGTGGTTCAAAGCAGCAGTGGCTTTCGACGACACTGCAAGCGCCTCAGAATACGATGCTCGGTGAGAGCGAGCATCCCCTCGTTATATGATCATGGTAGAAATAGAACAAGACTAACTTACCGTAGTGAATCGGCTGTGCTCCGACCATCATTGCCACCCAAATGTCTCTCCGCAGGAATCTGACTCGAGTCTCTAAAGCCTTCTATTGACATTCCGCCCACAGGAAAACGCTCCACGAATCACACGTAGAAGTTGTTGCCACATCCTGGAGAGGCTCGATATTGAAGCGGAAGGTTAGCGAGGCAGTCAAGAGTAGCGTTTGTATAGTTGACACTCGCCAGCACTCAGTCCAGTGTAAAGCGCCTCCACCGGGCCAACGGGTGCCTCATTCACTCCTAAATCCTACAAACCCATTTTTCAAGCGCTTCAATCGCCTTTGGTACTTGCCTCACACCCGAGAGTCACTGGATCGAGCACCTCCATCGCCATCGCTCACTCACGTCAAGACCCCACCAGCAACATATTTTCAAACCACACTCAATTTTGGATACCTCGAAAGCTCTCACAATACTATCGAAGACCCCAACGACATGAAGACCATCGTTATCATTCTCGCGCTCGCCGCCACCATGATCTCTGCTGTGCCCGCCACAAATGAAGGCAACAAACTTATGGCTCGTGATCCAAATTGCGACTTCTGCTTCCAACGCTTCGACTTCTGCGTTAAGGTAAGTGACCGAAGGGGTTGAGCTAGTGGTGTGATGTATACTTACAGGCGTACAGAACGGCCATACTGAGGGACAGACCGGTTGCAAGCAGACTTGCGTTGAGCATGTTTGCCATGTGTACCGCTACCAAGGCCATGAGGTAGGTCTCCCAGTTTTGTTTGGCGTTATTGGAATGAAATCGACTGACTTGGTGTAATTAGTGCAAGAACTGCGGTGGTGTATTCGATAAATGCCGTGCGAAGTCGCGCTACGCCTTCTAGGTGACAGACTCGTATATGACACCTTGACTTTCCCGGTGCGCGCCATCTTCATTCGTAAGAAACAAATGGGGTTTAATGTACCAAGAGATTACTTTGGGAATCCTTCCTGCCTTGTGGATGTGTATCATGCCTGTTGAGCACGTCTTCGATATCAATGATCTATTGCAGTGCTGATGAAAATTTTCTCTTGAGATTGTGTGTGTATGTCTTTGTGACGACTCAGCCTATGACCTAAAGCTTACCCTTTGGAACCGCCCACTCTCCCTTCTCAACCCTCTCGCAGATCTCCTTGAGCGTCTTTGCAGCCCACTCAAAATCTTTCATCTCCAAGTATACTTGTCCACTCAACCTCACCCACCAAAGCCCTCCATACCAATAAATCTGGATGAAGGTATTGTACTCTTCAAAACTAAGTTTCGACATCCAATCCCTCACTACGATGCCAACGTCTTCCTTCTCGACGCCATTCTTGTCCGCAATATCTTGGACTTTGGGAAGAGATATCGGTAGGCGCACATTAGACAAGCAGCATTGCCCTAGTGTACCAGTGCTATTCTCCATGACTTCAGTGTTGAGGACCTGCGCGACGTGCTGGGCAGCTTTGTGAGCAAGCGTTTGACAGTAGTTCCTGATAACATCTTCACCTCCGATGCTATCCCGCCACTTCAGAGCTGTAGGTATGCACAAGTAGGGACTGTTATCGATGGTACCCACAAACTCAAAATTGGCAACGAAGGGCGATTTCTCCATGTCAACAAACGCCGACTTGCTGAACGCTGATTGCTCAGAAGAGTTTTGTTCAATGCCAGGCTGGGCGTGAGACGGTGCAAAGGTCCGCTTTGGGAAAGGAGAAACAGGCTTTTCGCCCTTGGGGATGAAGCCGTGAGACGTGGGAAGTGTACTGCGTATGATCCCTTGGTTTCGGTGCGCCACATGGAAGATTGCACATCCGCGGGGGACGTGGAGCCATCTATGTCAAATCAGTAAAACCAAAAAAAAACCCCCACGAATAAGAGGAAGGAGACTGACTTGTGACAATTGCTGACAAAGAAGTCTGGGTCTAATTTCCCCAGATCAATCTCCAAGTGGCCGACCCCGTGGGCCCCGTCGACGCAACTCATGACTCCCAACTCTTTGCACTTTGATGTCAAGCGCTCGAACGGCATCCTAACACCAGGCATACTGACGACGGTATCAAAAATTGCGACTTTCATCTTTCCACCCTTGTTCTCCACCTCTTTAACCTTCTTCTCGAACTCCTCGAGAAGCCAGTCGTCTTCCACGGGAAACGTATAGTCGATCTTAACACTCTCTGCGGGAGTAGTCTCAGTGATGAGTGAGACGGTCTTCTCGCAAGCGCCGTAGATAGTCTTGAAGATGAGGATATGATCACCGGATTGGAACTCAATGTTGCGAAGAACGGTGTTTATGCCGGTGGTGGCGTTGGGCATAAACACCAAGGTCGAAGAAGGTGTGTTGAGCAGCTGCAACATGGTCAACAAAAGAAGTCGAAGGATGATCATAGCAACTGAAGGCATCTCTCGAAGGGCTGTATACAATAAAGAAAAATGCTTTCAGTTTAGAGAAGGTCTTCATACCTTTGCCATGCCCTCACGAGCCTCATCGAGGTAACGCGGATAATTGTATCTGATGAAGGGGTCTGGTTGGGCTTCGCACTCGTCTTGGAAAGCGCGCATAGTATCGCGAACTGTGCGAGGAAACGTTCCGAACGAACCTAAATGTTGTCAGTGCCCATGTATCAAGTATATATCAAAGGAAATATATGACTCGAAAAACATTCCGCCGAGATAGGTAAAGCTGTTGAACTACAGAGAAAGAGAAAGTCTTGTGAACCTACCATGATTCAAATTCAAGTATCCATTTCCGAATAGAAACTCCTTATCCCTCAACTCCTTCCCGAACTTAACACCATATTTTGTCTTGACTTCCAGGGCGGCAGATGTGCCGTTCTTTGAGCTTGACGTCATGACTCAAACTGTGCAGACGATGTTGTTTGGAACATTGGAATCCCCTCGAAGCCGTCCGATTATATATGCATATGAGATGTGACTCAATGCTGGAAGGGTGACTGTTTCTTTGATATGGCTCGGCGCATAGGTCCATACTGGGCTCGTAGGGCGTAGTGTGGCGTCGGGGACGAGCAATTGACCAATCGGGGCTGCTGGCGGGTAGAAGCGGAGGCTTGTGGGGCACGCATTGCCAGGTGCCGACCTAGGAGAGAGAGCATCATGACTGTTGAGTGGCATGTTTACTGAATACGCGTGGTTTAAAGATTCCAGTTTTCGACTTCATATTCTTTGGTTACGTGTATGTGCCTTCTTGATTTCTGTTACATACAGGCCGAGAAGCTAGAGAAGCCGGCCTCCGAGTAGTAGGTACTACCTAAGACTTGGACTATATCCTGGAGGCATACACTGTCTCTTGCTCCCTTAGCACCTTAACATAGAGGAGAGCGAGTATATATAGAGTGAAGTGTATTTAGGTAGAACTTGGAAAGTACCAGATTTTTTAATAACAAGTGCGATACTGCTTAACCCTTATTTCCGCCATATGGCCGTTTATGCGGATTAACATCCGAGGGCCACGCTCATCGGCTGCACATCCATCTCCGCAACACTCTTTGTCGCTTCACCTCGTTCTGTGCAAAGACCTATATTTAGATAAGAGGAAACGCTCGTATCGTTTTCCTAAACCTCATCACCCGACGCCGCGAGAATGAACAAACTCACATCTTCCCCAAACATCGATGTCCTGGTGATAGGGGGTGGCAACGCAGGTTTCTCCGCCGCAATAGCCGCCGCAGAAGCAGGAGCACATCGCGTCGTTCTCATCGAAAAGGCTCCCGAGGAATGGGCTGGAGGCAACAGCTACTTTACGGCAGGCGCATTCCGCACCGTGCATAACGGCACAAGCGACCTCTTACCTATCGTCAACAACGTAGATACAGAAACGGCGAAACTCATCGACATGGAGCCCTACACGAAAGAAGATTTTCGGAAAGACATGGATCGGGTGTGTTTAGGGCGTTCAGATCCAGAGTTGAGCAAGGTGCTGATTGAAGAGTCTAATGACGCTGTTAAGTGGCTTGCGAAAAATGGGATTAGATACCAGCTTTCGTTTAATCGCCAGGCTTACAAGGTTGACGGGAGGTATAAATTTTGGGGTGGCATGGCACTTATGACTCAGGATGGAGGAAAGGGTCTTGTCGCAGACCATCAGGCTTCAGCTCAAAGACATGGAGTGGAGGTCTACTACTCTACACCCGCTAAGCGTATCATCACCTCTTCGTCTGGAGCCGTCGTAGGAGTGTTAGTAGAGTATCTGGGTGAAGACACGCTTATCAACACCAAAGCTGTCGTCCTAGCTGCTGGAGGCTTCGAAGCAAACCCGCGTATGCGCTCACAGCACCTCGGTCCTACTTGGGATCTCGCACGCGTTCGTGGTACCCCTTTCAATACTGGTGAGGTTCTCGAATTTGCCATTCGCGACGTCAATGCCAGGCAAGCGGGCAATTGGTCAGGTTGTCACTCTACCTGCTGGGATGCCAATGCTCCAGCCAACAGTGGCGATCGTACCGTGTCGAACGAGTTTACCAAATCCGGTTACCCTCTGGGGCTCATGATCAACACAAACGGAATGCGGTTTGTTGATGAGGGCGTTGATATGCGTAATTACACGTACGCCAAGTTCGGACGTGCTATACATGAGCAGCCGGACAGTGTAGCATACCAAGTCTGGGACCAGCGCACTATCCCATGGTTACGAGATGAAGAATACAGGGATGAGCGTGTGGAAAAGATTTGGGGTGCGACACTCGAAGAACTGGCTAAGAAGTTAGCTCAAAATTCGGGTCTGAACGCTCCAGAACAGTTTGTCGAGACGGTGAAGCAATATAACGAGGCTGTGTACGCATCTCAGGCCGAAAATGCGGACAGGAAATGGGACCCAGCAGTAAAAGATGGTCTCTCTACGCAGTCGTCCGAAAAGAAACTGGCACTAGCGAAGTCAAACTGGGCCCTGCCACTTGACCAAGGCCCATTTATGGCGGTCAAAGTATGTTGCGGCGTCACCTTCACCTTTGGTGGACTGGCTGTGAACCCGAGTACCACTGCCGTCATTTCAAACTCTGGTAAGGAGGTTGTGGGTTTGTTCTGTGTTGGCGAGATGCTTGGCGGACTGTTCTATGGGAACTACCCTGGCGGTAGTGGGTTGACTTCTGGGGCAGTCTTTGGAAGGAGAGCGGGGACTGCGGCCGCGAAAGTAGCTGCAAGTGGAACCCCCACGATGGTCTCGTTGTTGCAACCAGCGGTTCTTTCACGACTGTAATAAATGTGAGCTAGAACTATCATGATTGAGAATATTGAAGATCAAATATTAATACACGTTCATACTGGCTACATAGTCCTCAAGATTCCAAGGAACTACGCTCAACGAGCAGGTGGACAAATGCAACTTTTACTTCAAACTCATACCAATCAGCCCACCCCAAAACATTGTGAACCCCTTACAACCCTAAGGAAACGAGCTTCTTCGTACAAAAGGCGCCAAGTGAGCAAACATCAGCTTCTCCAACAGCTTGGCAGGTCCTATCCAAGATCAATAACCATCTTCGGTTTGTTCGAAGATGGAAAAGCCGGGATACTCAAAATCCCTCCTTAGGCCAGGGTAAGCGTGACCCTCATCAGTCCATAATGACCCTGTGTCAATCAGGCGAACCTTCTGCGCTGCGACCAACAGATGCTCGTCTTCCACATACTTCTCCATATGGTAGTCGGTATTGTGCACTTCGTCGATTGTGGGAACAGTCGTTTGGGATTGGTCATAATGGTGATGGAAACCTTCAGCAAGGAAGCCATGGGAAATCACACGTTCGGGATGATCGCAGACGAGGTTACGAGGGTCCAGCAACCATAGCTCCTCGAGGTCATAAACCGTCAGCTGGTTTAGCAGACTGCTCCAGTTCCCAGATAGATTTGCGAGTAGAATGTGTCCAAGTGCAAGATACTGCAGGTTCGGAAAGAAGTTCAGAAAATGTAGAATATCGTTTTCAGCGAACGAGTGCTGGTGGTCTGCCATCAATCGGAATTCTACCAGCTTTTCAAGTTGATATCGTATAGGTGCCGACATCATGACCGGCATAGTTAATGGACCGCATTCGTGGCCTGGATCCTCTGGATGCCTCGAGAGTGTAATCTCCAAATATTCAAGGTTTGTCAGCCGTTCAAGGCCACCAGACCAAAAGAATGGCATGCCCATGTGGTGGGTATTGGTGATGGCGACATGCTTAAGATGTCTGAAGGGGAAGTACTTGAATAAATCGCGGTCGAGAGGAGGCCTCACGAACATATCATCACCTCCACCTGAGATTGCGCAGTACGATGCCCTATTGCCGAACAATGGAGTCTCGACACTCTCTAACCAGAGGTGGGATTCTTTGACTGCCTCCATGATCTTGGGGAAAATCCATTCGCTCTCCATCTGTACACCCTGCCATGAGTATTCGCCCTCAGTGAGCGCTGGGTACCCGTACTCGGTGCGCCCTAGTCCTCCTTGGAAACATGTCTCGAGTGAAACGCGATCGCATTCCGATACTTCCCACTTAGGCCAGGTGCCATCGAGGCAGTTTGGATGAATAGGATAGTACCGAAAGTGCTCTACCCAGCTGAATTCGCGCAGCAGGTGCACAAGATACTGTGTCACTGGATTCTCCCTGTCGAGTTCGTCGCGGCCATGACCCCAGCGGTCAGACGCTCCAAGGCTAACGAGACCCAGATCCATACCACAAATTGTGATCATCCTGGTGAACAAACGAGCATACTTTGGGGTTTCGCTGATTTCTTCAAGTGCTGGGAGTCGATGGTTGCACCATACAAAAGGCGTCTGAGAAAGTACATTGACAAAAAGGCGTGTCAGATACTTGGACTCGAACCAACGACGCGCGACGAGCCGGCAACTGAGTACCGTACGGATGGAGGATTTGGAATGTTTATATAATCGCTCAGTGATGGGTGTCTCTGTAGTCCAAATGTAGTGGAAGACTTCTTCGAGAATTTCCTGTGGTAGCTTATCCATGGTTGGCTGTGGTCGAATTCGGTTCTGGAGATTGTAACGGGAAAGGAGGGGAAGAACGTAGTCTTATAGCAAGAGGTCGCGCGTTCGCCAAAGTGTGGACTGTGACCATGCAAACGATGCATATATCACGAAGATGTATCACAACTGAAGTGTAGGTATCGACGTAAACACGCCAACGTCCCACACTGCGAGACGTGACCGATCAATCATCTGAAGTGGCGGGAATTACATGTGTATTCGAATAAACAAACGCCCCTAACACCATATACTCGGTCGAAAGCTATTGTGGCACAGCACAAAGCAGGGTATCAACAATGACCAAACGCCTTGCCCAAACCGAGATTTCGGGGTCTATCTTTTTCTTGTTCTCTTTGGCGCGGGTTTTGGTTTCGCGCGATTCGTTCGGCGAGTGGTAGGCGCACTATCTTCTTCAGACTCGACACTAGATTCTTCTTCGTCATCATCATCATCTTCTTCTTCTGCGGATTCAGATACGGTGCTTTGAGCCTTAGTGTTCTTCGCAGTATTAGCTCCAGCCTTTGTACCCTTGCTGCCCTTTGCCGCTCTGCCTGCTCTTGTGCCCTTTGGGTTCTTGGGTACGGGTGTGGCTTCAGCTACGCTCTCAGCCTTTTGCGAACGCACGCTGTCGGGCAGGTCTTTGAGCAGGCCGATGCCTGGCGCATAGAGGTCTTTGTAGTCCTGGGTGGGTATCATGGGTGGTGACGAGGCGGCGGCAGAGGATTCGCGATGGAAACGCTGCTGCCACATCAATTCGCCGTATTCGTCTTCTGGCAGCTCGAATTCAGGCATGTTGTTGACGTCTTCAGGGTCGAGCGGGTCGGGGTCTTCGGAGAAAGCGAACTCGTTTTCGCGCGTATCGAGGGCGTCTAGGTCGTATAACTGTGATAGCTTCTTCCACACACCAGGAATGCGCGTGTGAGGCGCATCGTCGCTCGCGAATCCGTGCGAGCGCATGTCGGTATGAATGCTAATCATGCGAAAATGCTTGTGCATCCCTAGGCATGTCAATGGCTTGTGTGTGTGTGTGTGTGTGTGTGTGTGTGTGTGTGTGTGTGTGTGAAAAGAGAGTAATATGCCCTACCTGTCGGCTTCCACTTCATCATGCTCTTCAGAAGCTGTGTTTCCTGCTCGTCGGCCCAAGGATCGCTGAGCAGCTCATCTTGCGACTGCACAAGGCCGGAATCTTGCGGCGTCCTAGGCTGTGTGTCGCGTAGCGGTGTCGAAGCTGCACTCGCCTTTGCTTTCTTCCGCGGAGGCATTTTGTGGATGCTTGATGGTGGGAGTGAAGGATGGGAAGTGACGAAGGATCGAGCCGCGAGCTGCAGGTACGGTGACGGAAGGCGCCAGGGTTGCGCGTAGGGCTGAGTCGCCAAAACTATGGCGCGTCATACCCCTCACCGTCCACTACTCCATATTCGCTGCCATGGATGCGCGTGATTCGATTCACGACGTCTTCAGCACCGACCGCTTGTGGCAGGAGCCTTCTTTCTTTGATCATGCCGATTCGCAAGAGTCGTCGCTCTTCGCTCCCTTGGAGCTAGACAGTGGGTCGTCGCGTCTTTTCAGTATCAACATGTGGACGCGTTATTGACCAACCACAGTCTCCTCGATCAGATTCGACCATCCATACGCTCCCAAACATGACCTCGAACGTGAACTACGACTGCCCGATCTGGACACGTTCGAATTTGGACCTTTGCCAGACCTCGATAGCTTTGACGACTCCAGCATCCCCATCGAAACACCGCCGTTAGAGCCCGAAGAAGACGTCTGGCAGATCGCGCTTGACCTCGGACCTGCGAACAAACATGTCTTGTTCTATACGTGGGAGTCTTTTGAGAAGGAAAAGCATGTCCAAAGCCGAACACCCTATATAAGCGAGCAGGGGCCTGAGGCCTTCGATGCTACGTTGATATGCGATGAGGGCAAGACTAGCTCTGGTCGGGTGCTCAAGGGAGACGTACTCTTGCAGTCACTCTGGAATCTCGGTCTAGGCCGGTCATCTATACTCTTCCACTTTAACCCGAAGCTGAAGACGTTCGAGCCCGCCATACTGCATGGACGAGCTTCGGGCCTGAGTCTACAAGCAGCTCAGAGTTTGATCACGCACTTTACGCACATTGGCAACACATTCCTCTATCTACGATCTTTTGCAGAGCGCACCTTTGCTTCAGCCACGTCTATTCCTGCAAAGGTTGCCCTTGCCACTTCAGTGTCACGCATCCTTTCAAGCTTGGAAGACACCCTGGGAAAGCAATCTGCCAAGATCCGCTCACTCATTCAGCTTCAGCACCAATTCGCTAAACCTCGCAATATCCTCATCCACGTTGCTCGCATGGTAGATGCTGTCAAACACGCCAAGACTAATGAGCAACTGTCTTCCATATTACACCACCGTCTACTCGAGTTGGAGGAAGGAGACGAACAACTTCGTCAGCTATCGTGTCAGGTACTCAGCCAGGTAGCTAGGCCGAGTCTGGAACTTCTCAGCGAATGGATGGGTATAAGGAAAGAGCAAGCGTCTGCACCTATTTGGCAACGCGGCAGCTTTGTGACGGTCGATGACCCCTCTGTCGATACTCTCACACTCGACTACACCTATCGGTCTGAAATGATGCCAAGGTTCATTTCTCCAGAAGATGGCAACACGATATTCGAAACAGGTCATAGTCTTCGCTTCTTGAAGTCGCAACATCCGGATCATCCACTGGCTCGACTAGATGGGCTGGCGGTCCAGCCTCCGGACATGGAGTGGGGCTTTCAGTGGCAGGACATTGAGATACTGGCATCCAAAGCAAAAGCATACGAAGATAGGCTCAGGCAAGCATTGCTTGCTTTCAGCACAGGCTCGACTGATGTGGAACCTCCTCTCTCTACACCATCTGCACCAGAATCTGCGACAGAAATTCTAAGCGATTCCCAACACCTCGATCGATACTTTGAGGAATCCATCCGACGCATGGATGAAGCCCCAAGGAGGTCCTCTCAAGCGTTACCAGACGAACTACAGCTTCTCATGGAGAGGACACTTGAGAACACAAGCGAAGCTGGCAACGCTATCTCCAACACCTTCTCACCGCCCATGTCTCTGGCATCTACTCTGTCGTTTCGCCCGCTTATCACAGCCCAAGCAAAGCTGGTCAATGCAGCCACTATCCGGTTGTTCTTTCGTTCACATCAGCTGCGGCTTCACCTGTCTCTGCAACGGCAGTATCACCTCCTTGGTGACGGCGTCTTCTCGTCTCTGCTAGCAACTGCCCTGTTCGACCCTGACCGCGAGAGTGCCGAACGCCACAAAGGCAAGATGCGTAGCGGGGTACACATGGGATTGCAACTAGGCTCCCGAACGTCGTGGCCACCAGCGAGTTCAGAGCTCCGACTAGCATTGCGAGGCGTCCTCAGCGAGAGCTACTATTCCTCTACGCTTTATCAGTCAACGCTAGGCACCCAAGTGATTGTCGCACCTACAACACTTCTCAATAACAGGGATAACGATGAGCTTCCTGGGCAGCTCAACTTTGCCATCCGCAACCTCACCGAAGCCGAACAGGAGAAGGTCATGGATCCCGACGCATTGCATGCGCTTGACTTCCTGCGACTGCAATACGTAGCACCAGCTCCTCTAAACCTGGTAATCACAAGTACCTCTCTGGAAAAGTACGATTACATCTTCAAATTCTTATTGCGGCTTTTGCGCATGCTCTTCGTCGTCTCGCACTTACCACGCAGGTATGCAGATAGCAATGCCCGTCAATTCAGGACCGAGGCATATCACTTCGTAATAACGCTCACGAACTACGTCTTCCAGACTGGCATTGCAGAACCGTGGGACGAGTTTGACACTTTTGTCCGAACAGTGGAGACCCGGTTGAATGAGGAAGATGTGGCGGGTGAGCTTGGGGTTCGAGTCACGGAAGGTGTCGCTTCGCTGCGCGATACTCATGAAAAGTGCCTCGACAGTATTCTGTTTGCGCTTTTGCTCCGGAGGCGACAGCGCAAGATCATGGCTCTTATAGAAGAGATCTTCGACCACATTCTCCTCTTCGCCAAGATGCAGAACCCAAATACTCAACAAGGTGAAGAAAGTTTCAAAGCTCTTTATGCGAAGCTTAGAGGAAAGATAAGGGTGTTCTTGAGTGTGTGCCGGGGCTTAACAGGCAAGCAAGGTTACGGCAAGGGAAGAGGCACCGCAGAGGAGAACTCCATGGAGCGACTAGTAGTCGCAATGGAGATGAATGGCTACCTTGCTTAATTACAAGTAGGATAAGACAGGAAAACTAGTTTCACGCAAAGGTCTTATCGTCATTCCGTAGCATTGTTCCGTCTCGTTTATTCCGTCGTACACGACAAGGCATCAGCCCCGCTTTTCACACGCGTGTGTACTCCGTTGCTTGCACTCGTCACCAAAACGACAACCGTACACTCGTAACACGGCAAGATATAAGAGGCAACAGCCGCTATGTCCAGGTATAATCGCATTGATACTGCATCTGCTTCTGAGATCTGGTCACAATGACCAACTTACGCACCCACGTTCTAGACAATCTCCGCACTTGTCTGACGGCGCTTGTTATCCTCCACCATGCCTCGACCCCTTACGGCGGCGCAGGTCCATGGCCATATACATCGCCTCGCTACGCTCCAAACAGCTCTTCCACCCTCCTCGTTTTCAATGTCCTTAACCAGACTTTCTTCATGGCCACTTTCTTCCTCATCTCAGCATACTTCTCATCAATTGCAGCGAGAAGGAAAACCAGATCCCAATTTCTGCACGAGAAGTGGAAGAGGCTGGGTGTTCCGACATGTGTGTTTAGTCTGATAGTGAAGGGTGTTGCTAGAGGGATCTTGGCATGGAGGTTGAGAGATGAAGGGTGGCACCACATTGGTAAAGAAGTCTTGGTAGGCTTAAAGATTGTCAGGGGTGTTTCGGGGCCGGTATGGTATTGTGCTTTACTCCTCATCTTTGATGGTATGTATGCTGGACTGCTACCGAGTCACTTTGCGGATACATCACCAGGTCAGAAAGCGCTGGATAAAACGTTCTCCAACAAAGTCGACACCGACCCATCACCAGCAGCATATCCACTTATTTCGAGAACCATCAGCACCCCGAAGGAACCTCAGCCCTTTCATACGATTCACGTTTTGATTACCCTCACCCTCATATCGGTATCATCATTCGTCATCCGACTCTACTATCCTGTGGGCCGACCTCTTTGGCCCATATCCCTCCAGCTGTCATTCGTATCTCAATACGTTGTGTACTACATCGCTGGTATCTACGTACATCGCTCAGGACGTTCACTTCAGAACGCCGTCTCCACGTATACTTCAACGATAGTCGGCACCATCACTGCTCTCGTCACCTCTCTCAGCCTCTTCCACATCAAATCTATAACTGAAACTAGGATGTCGTCCCCTCAGCTCATGCCCCTCGCTTTCGGTGGCCCGAATATACTCGCCCTCCTCTACGCATTTCTCAATGAGTTCGCCGGCTTGCTGATCGCTTCCCTCGTTTTGAAGGCTCTGTATAATCCACGCCTGTCTTTCTTGGGGAAGCGCTGGAGAGTTGGGAAAGTGGACGTGGCGAAATACAGTTATGCGGCTTTTATGGTTCATGAGCCCGTAATTCTCGATCTACAGTGTCTGTTTGGGAAGAAAGGCTGGGAAAGTATGGGGGCGGTAGAAACGGCGTTTGTAGTGGGGATTTTGGGTGTAGTAGAGTCGTGGATGGGTGGCGTGGTGCTGAAGGAGGGTATTGAATGGATTGGATGGAAGGGGTATCTGTGATGCCGAGATGGTGGAGGGGTTGGAGTAATGCAAATGTGTGGAGAAGAAAAGTTTGCAAGATGAGAGAGTAGGAAGCACAAACAGCCGCATGAAAATCTACATTCAATATGTCATACGACACGGTCTTTAGTTATGATGTCGGACCATTGTCTTTGACTCAAGGCACAGGACTACCCTTGGACTCCTACCGCAAGCGTCATTTAGTCTCCCTTATAGCCACGCGGAGAACTTTCTACTTCCTTGGTCGGCATGGCGAACCTGGAGCATAACAAATCAACAAGACCTAGAGAAGATTACAACCCCGACTATGAATCCAGACCTAGAAATGAGTTCGAACGCAGACACAACGACTAGAGGTGTAGTCTTGTTCGACGCGGGATCCATGTACGCGCATAACGAGATGGAATTCGGTACCTGGCGGAGGCCATGGACGACGTATCTGAGACAAAATCCGAGATGTTTGGATTTGTATAAGGAAGGTGTGAAACCGTCATGGCCGGTGGAGGAGTGCGATGATAGGAACAGGCTTTATGGGCTGCATGCTCTGTTGAATGACTCGGCGGCCCACCCGGGTAGTGGATCGAGAGTAGCGTAAGTGTTCTGATGAAGTGGTGGATTCGAAGTGCGTGCTGATGTGTAGGTTGGGCTTATAACGGCATGTTGTTTCTGTGCGAAAAGTACGCACCGATGGAGAGTTTGGGGAAATATCGTCCAGAGAGGACGTCAGTGGTACTGGAGCTTATGTTCAGCATGAAACTTGCAGGCTGAGGGAGGCCGACCTGGAGTAATGCGGACTCAATTTGGTCAGGCGCTGATGGTCAACAAAGCTTCTTTTGGATACGCTAGACTCGAGAGAATTTAATTTTGAAAGAAGAAAATGTCCATAGAATTATATATCCAACTACTATTCCCATAAAACCCTAGTGACAGAAAGTAAGGCTAGAAGAGAGAAAAGAATTTCGAGAAAGATGACTACCGGAGCGATCCCGCTTTTCTCAAAACGCCTAAGAAACCACCCCTTTAAGAGGTACCTGACGCCAGACCAAGTGACATAGGAGAATGCGAATCCCTAACCACCAGCCCGAATGAAAAAAAAATCCCAGTTGTCCGCCAAAGCATGCACATTCATTGACCCGGGCCTTTCAATCGCAACGGAAGGACAGCCACCTAGGCCTTGCCCTTCTTCGCAAGGTAGTATGTCAATAAGTTCAGGTGCTGTCCCCTCGCGCCGGCAACGGCCTTCCAGAAGCCTCCATCTTCCTTCGCGCCATCCGATCCGCTGATGCGCTCGTGTAGTGCGACACAGAACTCAATGTCTGCTTTGCGCACATCAGCATCCTGGTCGTCCATGCAGCGTACAGCTAGTCTGCCCAGACGCGCAGTCTGCTCAGGTGATAGTGTAATGTTCTTAGCGCCGCTCATCTGTACGAGGGATGCGAGTGTGCTCAATGCCATGGTCGTGGAGCGGGTCGACGCTTGGCCGGGTTGTGAAGAGCTCGATGACTTGGAGTTCGGCGAAGACGTCGGGGTCGACGCCGGTGTATCCTCGATCATCACAAGGACAGTGTTCAGGCAATCCAGAGTCTGACCATACTTGACAATCTCGTCTGCAGTCGCCTCAAGGTCAATGGCGATATGCGATGTGTTTTCGTACTGCGCCTTTGTCTGCAGGATAGTACGGAGTACACGAGAGTAGTACTTCGCAGTTTCCTTGCGGTAGAGGGAGAGCAGTGCGCGAATCGTTGCTAGAGCCTGTACCTTTAGGTTGACAGCCTTCATCTGGGGTGCCTTCAGCTCGTGAACTGGGGCCTCAAGGAAATCAAGACATGCTAGTAAGAGCCTGCCGAAGTTCTCGTCATTCGGTCCCCAGATTTCTTGGTTCGACTTGACCATATCCTGCATGCGTCGGAACATATGAGCTTCAACTGTGCGTCCTTCAATCTTCTTGATGCCACTTGCGAGTAGCTGTCGGTTCTTAAGCACTTCAGCGTTGTTCGTGTCGTAGCTTTCCGCGTGCAAGACGCTCCCTGTGCTGTTCGTCTTGTGGTGGCCCCGGGGGCGATCTTCGTTGCTGTTACCCATCATGATATCGCTTGACATGCTTCCGGTGCTTTGGCGGCGCTCGTTGCTCTTCTCGTTGATGGGGAGCTCCTCGAGAACCGGTTTCTCTAAACTATTCTCAACAGGTGCATGCTCCTCGCTAACGAATGGATCCTCGAACACTTGAACTTCGTCTCCAGTGTCGGTACCACGAGTGCTTGGTCGATCTGGTGACCTTAAGCGTGGGCTGCGTGTCGAAGACCGTAAGCTAGCGCTCTCTAGATGGCCCATAGATTTCGGGCTTCTTAGCGCTGCAGCACGAGGACTGGGTATCGGCAATCGACCAAGAGACTTCCTGGGCTTTGGCGGGGTGTCGTGCGTGGATTGTGTTGTTGGCCGTGTAAGATTGGGGATAACCATGGTAAAGTTGTCTTCATCCCCTACATCCACAGCTTCATCGTCTACAGTCACGCTTCCACCCAGACCGTTTCTTGCTCGAAATGGAATGGTACCGCCATCATGGTGGCTTTGCGATCGTACCCAAGGCTTCATCATTGTCGAGTCTTCTTCTTTGGCCGGGCTTACCGCCGGGCTCTCACGACGAGAGCTCATGCTGGGAGATTTGCCATGGGCAACGGGTTGGCCTATTCTTGACTTCGGCCGCGCTGGACTGACATTCGGGCTGTTTTGTGTTTGCGCTCGTGGCCTTGCAGTGTTCTTTGGCACAGCAGGCTTCTTGACCGTTGTTGCAGCAGGCGTCTTCTCTGGGGTCATAGAGGGCGTTACTTTTCCCGGTCGTCGAACAGCATACGGATCAGCTGTTGCTGGTCTATTCAACTCTGGTCGGCGGACCGGACGACGAACGGTGCCCGACATCAACGAGCCAGTGCCTGTGGAGTTCTTCAGTGCTGATTTCGTTGACTCTCCAGACATGGCCGAGGGTGGTCGCGCAGGGCCCGAAGAGGCCGTAGAAAGGTTCGATGTCGTTCTCGCGCCTAAAGACTTGGCTGATTGCGAAGTTGGCGCTGGTGAGTAACTGGCAGCAGCCGAGTTGGGGCGTTCGGGAACACCTTTCGCGGCCGCTAGTTTGGCTCTCCTCTGTTCAGCAATCTTTTCCTTCAGGGCGCTCCGCGAAGCACCAGGGCCTATTGATTTCGAAAACGAAGCTGTGCTGGTCGACGACGAGGAGAGCGAGCCACCGTTCGGATTGTTGGAATCCTTCTCGAGTGCGGTTTTCTCGCGCTTGTCGAGGGTATCGAACATCCTGAGAATCGTGTTAGTGGCTTCTACGTTAATGCTTCTATACGGTCAAACTCACTTCTCCGCCCTTTGAGGCCATACCAAAGCGTATGTCCAGTAGGCGCTTCGGTATGCCTCACGCACCTTGGGATTAGCGTCGGTGACGCCTCTCCGGATCAAGGTATCCAGGGTCTCCAGCCCTCCTGAATGTTCAATATGCGAAGTGTGTCTCTTGATCAAAGTCTTCGCCCAAGTTGCCGAGTGGGTTCGTGGTTGAACGTTTTTGTCTTGTGAGGCCATGGCCACATGCTGCAATACGCGACTGTTGTACGATACGTTCTGGAATATAGTGTCCACCGTGGCAGCTCCGTTCTGCGCTGCGATGTTTTTCGTAGCACCACACATCTTGATAAAGGATTGCAGTAGAATTTCAACCCAGGGGTCAATGGCGGAACCGAGTGTTTTCGCGAGCTCCTGAACCAGCAGGCAGCCGTTGGTGGACATGGTCGTTCGGAGAGAGTTGGCAACCTTGAGTATACCGTCCAAGAGCGACTTGATGCCTGCAATGAAGGTCGCATGGAACTCATGCGGTGCGTTGCCCTTGAGGATACGTCTCAGCTTGGTGCAGTTCTTATCTCTAGCCAGCCAATTCCCCTCGCTCTCTTTTCCTTCGTAGTGAGGCGCCATGTCGCGGAAAACGTCGTCTAGCTCGCGCTGTGTGTAGATGTGTATGGGGTCCATGACTACGACTTCGGCCGGAGGAGGCTGCTCGGACGCAAAGCTGTCTGCAAAGCCAATATCGGGTTGCAATGTCTCAGCACGTTTGGTTGGGATGGGTCGGGTGATGGGGACGGGCGGTTGCGCGGGCGCGACATCTGTGCCTTTGGACATGGCGTCGTCGTCAAGGTGGGTCGTGATGTAGGTAGCAATGGCCTTTCGGACGTTCAGGGCAATGAGTTGCTTCTTGAGGTTCGCTTTCGCGTGTTCTGGTGCGTGTCTATTGTGATGTCAGTCGCTACCATGGCGCAGCATACGAGCCAATTGACATACCCAAAGAGATCCACAACCGCCTTCTTCGCAGTGTCGCGCACGCCGGCATCTGCGTCTTCGAGGTTCGCCACAAACTGGTTGGAGTAGCTTTTGAAAGGGAGGCCTTCGGTCTTGTTCATCTGTAGTCACCAAAGCGTTAGAACGACTTCTCTCCTTCCGGATGCGCCACGGGGGTACGGACCTTGACCACCCACAACATGGCAGATTCTTTGGCGCGAGGGTTGGTGCTCTTCGCAGCATCGTGCATCAGCTCGTCGATTTCGTTGGAGCACAGATAGTGCAGATCAGCCAGAATCTGTGAGGCAGCGCTGCGATGGCTTTCGCGCGCATCGCCCAACTTGTCGGCGAGTATGGAACATAGTATTGGCGACTGTGACGTAAGTATCGATGTTTCCTTCTGAAGTTGCAAGCGCTTGATAAAGTGGCTCAGTGTCGAGAAGCCCGTGGACACGAGAGCGGCCGAGGTGGCGGCAGTACAGGCGATGCGGATGCACTCGAAGATTGGAGCCTGACAGCTTTCAGGGACCCGATTGTGCTTGATGCTCGACTTCAGCGTGCTGAACAGGGCAAGTCGTGACTGAACATCCGTGGACGGTTTCTGGAGTGCCTTGAGCAGATCCGACGTCTCTTTCTCCATCTTGGGCGCAATTTGGCCCTTTGTTCAAAAAGATTCTGCAATGTTAGAGGCGGGGTTGTTTGTATAATGTTGTTAGGGAGCGTTGTTTTGCCCGCGACCATGTTCACGCTAGAGTCGCCGAGCAACCGTCCGTGCGCTTACACCTTGTCGCACTGCCGCTTACCCCAGGGGCGCTGGATGATCCACCCCTCGAGACTTATAGACACAATGCGAACAGTTGGTCAATGACGTGGGGCTGGTTTCGACACTGCTTTGCTCTTCACTTCAAATTCCAGATAAGATGACCTGACCGAAACTTGCTCCCTTGCCACGTCAGTGAGGAAGCCAACAACACCACGGTAAATCACTCGAGCGGGGCCGTGGCAAGTGCAAGTGATAGGCCATGATGCCGGATGCGCGGGCTGCATTAGGAGAACAACGTTTGGAAAAGAGCCAAGCCAAAAACAACAACAAAGGTTTTGAGCGAATGATTGATTTCATTGTAAAACTAGCGACTTTATGAGCCTAGGTAATGACAGCTTGCCTGCTCTTTGTCCGTCCAAGTATGTCATGTCACTTAAGACTCCTTGTTCTGAGCATTCCTCTCATCCCAGACACCGACAGCCTCCTCAGCAGCCTTGACACCGCTGAGAGCCATGGCGCCAAACGTAGGGCCCATGCGGTTGGCACCATCAACCTCGCTAAGTTCCATACCACCAACAATCAGACCAGGCACAATCTCACGGGTGCGCTTGACGATAGCATCTTCGGCAGTGCGCATGTCGAGACCGCGCATGCCACCGAGCTTCTCAATCTGCTGCATGGACACGAGGCGCTTGACGGAGAAAGCACCGAATGGGCCGTCGTGGCCAGTGGTCGAGATGACAAGCGGTGCATTGATGGTGTTTGGGTCCATGCAAGACTGGTCTGTGAAAGAATTAGTAAGAGTTGGAAAAAAGGAAGTGCTAGATCGTACCATCGTGATGCATGGAGACAAGGGTCCAGTTGGTGACAACACCAGCGATGCGGACTGCATTGGGGTCGCTCGAGGTAGGAGCCGGGCGAGTGATGAGATCCTCGACAGCTGTAGCGTTGAACAGCTTAACGTTGGGAAACTGCAACACCTTGGACAATAAGGTCGATGTGAAGAGCGCGGCATGCTTAACGACAACGAAGTCACCCTCATCCTCGTATGGCACGCCAATCTCGTTCAAGAAGAGCTCGGCAGGCTTGCGCATGACCATGGCGCTGAAGAGCTGGCCACCGAGCCAGGCGCCACCACCGGGAGCAACACCAGCTTCGACAATGGCGATCTTCAGGTCGGGGCGCTTGGTGGCCAGTGTAAACGCGGCAGACAAACCACACGAACCGGCACCGACGATGACAATGTCCGACTCGGCGTAGGTGTCAAGATCGTTGAAGTAGCGGCGGGTCATAGCACGAGACACTTGAGACTCGCGAATGGGAGCAAAGGTGAACTTTTCCCAGTTGTTCTCAAGCTCAGCAACAGTCTTGGCCTGGCTGTTGGCAGCAGCCTTGACAGCGAGGTCCTTCTTGATGCCCATGTCGTTGCTAGCAACAGGGGTTTCGTAGATGGCGGCGGGGGGAGACATCTTGACAGGGGATTCAAGGGTCAAAACCTGCGAATTGTTAAGTCTATTCCACACAGGGAGAGACAGCGCAGAGCATGATCCTTTTCGCAGGTATTATCCTGATCAAGTTCGAAACCGTATAATCTCAGAACGAATCCGGCAGTGCCCACCTGCCACACTGAAGTAGAGAAACTACAACAGCATGGAAGACAGACACTGCTGGAAACGAACACCGGTTCATGCAGTATACTTAGCTGTAAAAGTACCTAGATAACTTGAGGACAACGCCCACGTGCGGAACATGTTCTGCATCGTGGTTGCCATACTTGGTGGGTGTATCTGCATCACGGTCAGCAATTGGTCTCGAAGATTGAAGCAGTGGACGAGTACGGATACTGAATAACTTGAACTTTGCAAAGACAGTTAGACCGTTGTAAGGAAAAAGAAAGAAGGAGGGTAGATTGGAGGAGAGGTTTAAATATCCCAAGGTACCCCGCCGTCCCGGCCATGAGTATCCTCAGTCATCCGTTGAGGTGGGGTAGCTATAGCTATCTGCATATGAACTGTTCCAATACATAAGGACCCACTATATCATACCGCGTCTGGATCCACGAGCTCAGCACCGCGGACTATCTGATTAGTGAAAACGGTATGTGGTGACAGGGTCCTGCATTAGTAGCCTAACTTCGGACGCAGCTCTGAGCAATAGATCAACAGCAAGAAGGACCGACCCACAACACGGGAAAATTGAAGAGTACACATGCTCGTGCAATTGCTCTTGTACCCGCGATGTTGAGCGTGATTCGAGGAAAGGGCCGGTTAATGTTGTGACTGTTGCCGTTCTTGCGTGTTAGCGTAGAAGTTGCTCTGGGCGAGCTAACTGGACATTACAAGTTCTGTTTAGAAGCGACGCAATGACGCGTCTCTATTACAACTGTATAGCCACCCCATGCTTGCACTACGGTGGTGATCATTGATAACCGAAGAACATAGCAGAAATAATGTCCATAATTTGGATACTGAATTTCCTGGTTGAATACAGCAGGGGAAGACCTAGAGACGCATCTATTTCCTAACCCTAGACTTACACTGATAGGAGGCACCAAATGCAACTGAATATACACAGTACACTTGCCGACTAGTAGGCTCCGAAGAATAAATCCAGTCGTTTGGTTACCCATGAAACCACACAGGCTGGCAAACTTAATCGTATACCAAAGGTAAGGTACTCTGCTTGACTCAATAAGGTTGATCGAGATCCGCCTAGCGGATAAGGCTGACATGGACGGCGACGGCCGAATTTGAGTCAGGATAAAGACATGGCAGATGCTGACTGCCAGTATTTCGGGGTGCTGATCAAACGTGGTGGCGGACGGCAGAGAACGACAAAGGCATCTGAATACAAGGCTGTCAGGTACAACGGCAGGTGTCCAAACCGCCTTAGTGTTGCGGCAAGCGCTGCTGAGACGGATGTGCGGCGACTGTCTTGGGATATGTGGTACGTGGCACCTGTTCTCATCTGACGGTATGCCTCGTACGGGAAGGGGAGGTGTTGGCATTTGGGAGAGCGCGAATCGCGGTTGGGCGCTGACTTTTGAGGCGGGCAGATCAGCAGGGACCGTTCGGCTCGATGAAACGTGTCTGTGTCCACCTCGTTATTCCCGTTTGTTTCAGGATCGTGGCAGAGGGATTGCGAGGGAATGTGTAAGTGCCGATTGGTAAGTATTTTTCCGACGCGTACATGATGATGGAAGCTGGCCACGCAGGTGATGGCTACATGCGAGGATCATGGTTGAGTGGGAATGCCGAGGACTCCAAGAGACGGGATTTTGACGGCGTCGTGCGACGAGCAACGTTGATGCTGGTGGGCACAAGTGGTTTGATAGGACCCTGTTAGCGGCCTTGACGTCGGGGCTGTTCGAAATAGAGACACGGGTGTTTTGCGGGGAATGAACACGCCCTTCATCCTTAATCTCTCGAGGTCGCCAGTACTTTGCGTTAGGCAGGTGCGCTCACTCGACCTTGGATGCTGAAACACGCGGTTGTTACTGTCGATTGTGCAAACGTTCGTCAGGCATCAAGCGGTCCAAGTTAGTGATAGGCCACCAAAGCGGCCGCGTTCCTGCATGATCTAATGCTAGACATGTGTGCAGCGCAGATGACGGACATGTCGATGCTGATGGAGGCGCGCCAGGGGAAAGGCCCCAGATTGCCTGAGCTATTCCGAGAACTTTGGAAGACTTCTAGAGCGGTTCTGAATTAGTGCGGAGAGAATCAGTCTTTTTAATTAAGCTCGTGATGCTGCTGACGATGATGTCGGCTTGCTGAAGGTGGTCAGAAAGATAGGAGGCTGAAGGCTACATGTGCCACGCCACAGGAGACATTGAATCCAGACCGACTAAGACAGTCGCATTTACAAATTATAGCCTCAGTATATGTGATTAACGGGCCGTCGTCGAAGAGGGAGCCCACGATCTGCGATGGCGTGTGCTTGGCAGGGCCTCTGCGCAACTCGTAATAGCGCGGTGGAGCTGGAGTCGCAGCCCGGTCTCGAAAGCTGACCACTTTGCGTCTTCGCCTTGGGACGTGTTTGGAATCCCAAGGTCGTGTTCCCATGTGCGGCACATGCTAAGCGCCTCAACCACGGTCTGCGAGTAATCATTGCTTAGCAGTCTTCGGAAGTCACTACCAAACTTCGCAGAGGCTGATGTAGGCTTTCACTTGATATCGCGTGTGGTCCCTTGTCGCATGGCTTCGTCTGCCGCGTATCTTTGTCAGGACCCTGAAAGCGCACTAACCCGCTCATTGGCTATTCACCTCCACACCACCACACGCCTGAGGGGACCGACGCCTGTAAGGTGCAGCTGTCTCGTCGACTGACTAGCCCTCGTCGCGCACAGAAGCCGTTCGCCAGTGCACCGACGCTCCTTCCGGCTGTTGACTTTGCTTTTGCGCCGTTTCCACTATCGACCTTCTCTCGCCTTGCACGGTGGAGCGAACTTTTGGGATCGCCCAGACGACCTACGGGACCACTACGTCCACGACCCTACGTGTCTGCCAATTGTCCCCTCGATTCTTACACAGGACCGGCAACCACCACGCGGCAGCACTCGCGCTGCCTGCCACCATTGTCCCTTCACCGACACATATTTCTAGCCCACCATGGAGAGTCCCGGGGCCTACCCAGAGTCTCCGATCGAGGACGAGGTCGTATATCCGTGCAAGGGATGCGGAGAGGTATGAACAGCCGCCACACAAGTCTCTCTTCAACCGCTCATAGCAGTCTAGATCCTCGAGGAAGGCAAGGCCTTTGAACTCGGTATGCGTTCCCCACTGAGAAGCCACCACCCTCGCGCCTGCCTCCCACCACCACTCACTCCAGACCACCTTCCGCGGATCTTGTATGCTAACAGTGCCCAGCTGGAAACCGATGGCACATCGACTGCTTCCGCTGCAACACGTGCGGCACCCTCCTCGACTCGGACGCGAACCTGCTGCTGCTCGGCGACGGCTCGCTGATATGCAACAACTGCACATATAGCTGCAACCATTGCGGCAATAAAATCGAGGATCTGGCCATCTTGACCGGCGACCAGGCCTTCTGTGCCAACTGCTTCAGGTGCCGGAATTGCAAGCGCAAGATCGAGAACCTGCGCTATGCCCGCACTTCGCAGGGTATCTTCTGTATGTCATGTCATGAGTCGCTCATGGCTCGACGGCGCAAGAAATCGAAAAAGCCACCCTCAGTGGCTCCCAAGGTCGACAAGTCCCTGCCTGCTCTTCCTCCCCAGGAGCAGACGACATCCACCTTCACCCCGGACCTGGACACGCCATCCGATGTCTTCTCGGAACCCACCACCACCGATGTATCTCCCAGACCTCCCCAGCCACGACGGGGCGATTCATCTTCCAACTTCAGGCGAGACGCCTCACCAATTGGCGATGCTTCAAGAAGAGGTGCGTAAAATACTCATGGTCTACATCCCCATGCATAGCTGACTTTTCCATGTTTACAGACAACACGACGCTTCCTGCGACAACATACAACAAAGACAGCACCCGCTCGGAGCTGGTAGACAACGGCGACGACGGCATACTCCTCCCCTTCGCTCTCGACCCTAACCCTGCCCCAGGCCCGTCACCGCTTGGCCGACCCATTAGCCGATTCAACGACCAAACAATAGGAGCTAAGCCCTCTGGAAATGGCGCCAGCAAGAATGTGCGCGATTACTTCAACAGGCCTACTGGCGATCATCGCGAGAAGTTGAAGGAAAACAGCTCCCGAGAAGCCTCCAAGGAGAGGCGCCAAACACAAACTACTCAGAGCCCGCACATTGCTTTCCAGGAGAAAGGAAGGCAGCCTTCAGATACCCTAGTCGAGACGCTGAGGAAGAAGAAGGACGTTTCCAACGAGTCTCCTTCAGCTGAGCCTCGATCAAGAAGTCAGCACGCTTCTCCCGCTCCTTCAGCTGCGGAACCCTTTAAATTACAGGATGTTCCCAAGAATAAGAAGGCCGAGGCCAAACGCAAGGACTCTGACGAGACACCATCACCACAGGTCCAAGAACGACAGCAATTGCCCACCTCTTCCAAGAACGACACCATGTCTGCGCGGCTGAGCCGTCCGCTGATCGAGCCTACATTCACATCCTCTCCACCGCTTGGCTCGCAGGACTCACCGCAAACTTCAGAATCGTCTTTCGGCTCCAATCTTGTAGCCGAACGACCTGCGCGTGGCGATTCGCTCAAGTCTTCGGCCCTTAAGTCTTCAGCTCCCATCTCGCGAAACGAGAGACGCAGCCCATCACCTACCACGCCTACTCTCAGCCACCCCGAACGAACATCATCCACGAATACCGCAAGTGCGAACCTCAACGCGGGGCTTGGCATACTGAGTCCTGCGGATTCGGCATCCTCCAAAACTCCTTCAGACCCTCCTGCTCTACCCGCACGTTCAGGTGGACGTCCTGCTCAACCTTCGACCGACACATTCACATCTCCACGCGCACCACCGCAACCGCCTGCCATACAGCACCACAGGACAAGTGAGTCTATCAGTAGTGCTCAAAGTGAAGCTTCTCGAGATGCATACGGGGCTGGTGGCCTTCCCCGGTATAGCCACCAAGGCGATTTCTCCATGGACGAGGACTTTGCGCGCTTGCTTGGAAGCCAGGATGGTAGAGATGATAAAGAGACGGGAGTCTTTAGGAGGGTTTCGAATGCTGTCTCTAAGCATGGGCGCAGTTTCAGTGATCGTGGTTCCGTCACATCGCGAGGTCACAAGAAATGGCCCACAAACGGCTCGATCGACATTAGTAGCCCCACGGTTGCTTCACCCGACACCAAAGAGGAAGGCGTCAATCTACGAAACGAGCTGCGCCGCGCTCAGCAGCGGATCGCAGAGCTCGAGGCTGAAAAGAATGGACTACAAGAATCGATGCACAGCGCAGCCGACATTAAACAAGCGAATACGGTTTTGAGAGAAAAGCGAAACACAATGGCTGTTTTGGATACGCAACGCGAGATGGTGATTCGCGAGCTAGAAATCATGACTGAACACCTCAAGAAAGCTAAGAGCAGTCAGGGCAATGTTGAAATTGGCCAACTCAAATCGGACATTCTAAAAGAGTTTGCAGGCTCATTGCAGAAGCTCAAAGACAACCTGGGAAACCAAATAGAAGACCTCATCACGAAAAGGTCGGATTTGACAGAGGAGATCTCGAACCTCATTCAGATGAAAGACAAGGGTTTCCAGGAGTACGAATCTCTCACAGCCGCTAATACCAGACTCTCTGCCATGAATAGGGATTTGGTAGACAACATACAGACGAACCTCAAGAACAACAAGAAGCCTGGACAGAATCTTGACGTGGCTGCCAATGGGTTAGGCATATACAACGCACAGCAGAAGGGTGGCAAGTCAGAGGTATCCGTTGATGCACAGCCAATACCCCATGAGCATTCTTATGCCAATCTCCATGATCATGACACTGAAGCAACCGTCGCCCAGCCGCAGGTGGTCAACATTAGGAAGACTGGGAAACCCACCAAGTTCTCAACATGGAAGAAGGGCGGTCAAGCCATCACGAAGAACGTCACGAAGGGCTTCAAGGGAGCGTTCGGTTCAGAGCAGAAGCAGGAGGACTACAACGTCAAGGTCATTGGCACCCCTTACGGCTCCGTGCACTCCGGGCCTGATATTGCATCCATGTCCAGTTCCATCAAGAGCCGGGATACCATGGATCAAGGGACTCCGCGAGGCTGGTTTGGTGGTAAGCCCGGGAACGTTAGACCCGGCGGACCGCCTCAAGCTGGCTTCAGGCCTATGCAGAACAACAACACCAGTACCGCTAACCTGGCTGCTGCTGACGCCAGTACCGTACTCTTCGGATCTGACCTGACTGCACGATGTGAGTTCGAACGGCAGATGATTCCACGCATCGTGAGCCGATGCATTGAAGAGGTGGAACTCCGAGGCATGGATGTGGAAGGCATCTATCGTAAGAGCGGAGGTACATCTCAAGTGAACCAAGTCCGTAGTGGTTTCGAGACTGACACGGAGCACGACATCTCGGACCCTGATTTGGACATACACTCTGTCACTTCTGCGCTGAAGAACTACTTCCGCAGGCTTCCTGTGCCGTTGATCACATACGACGTTTATGATCAGTTCCTGGAAGCTGGCCGTAAGTATATGCCTTATAACCATAGAGCACGTGCTGATGACTCTACAGAACTTGAGGAACCGAATGCCCAGGCTAGGGCTTTATCTGCCGCTGTGAACGAAATCCCCAAGGCTCACCGTGACACACTCCAGTTTCTCGTGTTCCATCTGTCGCGGGTCATACAACATGCTAGCGATAATTTGGTATGTATACGTTTATATGGGTTCGAAATGTGCGATGACTAACACCTTAACAGATGACACCACTCAATGTCGCCGTCGTCTTCGCACCAACCATCATGCGGCCCATGGACATTCAGCGCGAACTCACCGATGTGCAACAGCAGCGTGTCGCCGTACAGGCGCTACTAGAAAACTACAAGACAGTGTTTGGTGATGAATGAGATGAGCAAGATGCTCACAAAGCACTGTGAGGCCGTCAAAGACGCCCCACGCTTTTATTATATCGTTTCGATTTTCAGCATGTGTATCTACAGCGGGCGTTACGGGCCTGATCTCCAAGAGTTGCTTTGTCCTTGTCTTCGTGTACCATACGAACCTGTACAGTTTTGGATCATATCTGTATCAAGGGCCGTGAGGTGAACATTGATGGCAATGATGGAGATTGTTATTATACCCTTGGGCCGTTTCTGTTTGGTCACTTGAGTGTATGCTGCAGTAAATAATGAATAGTTGAGATGGTAGTTTCTATACACATTCGGACCGAGATCCGGACTCTTAGATCATTCACATGCTCCACAGAGATGTGCTGTTCCTGTGCTTGGCGGTTTCGCTACGTCGCCGCTAACGCGCTCAGGATGACGTCGGTCACCGCCCACTAAGCGAACAAGCATGTGAGGGAGCCTGTTTCCGGTCTCACACGATCGCCCATTAACTTCCCATAGCTTCCCGGTACTCATCTACTGATCTGCAAACCACGCACTCGGCCTTTCAACAACACACCTCTAACCTCTTACCCCTTTATCGAACTACTGCTACCCCTCATACATCATGTCTTACGCAGAGATGGCTGCCAAGGGCCCCAAGCAGAGCCCCGAGGAGGTAAGTTTGTGAAGAGCACTGCAGAATCTGGGTCAATGCTAACTTATAGATAGGCGTAAGTTACTACTGTCCATTTTTTTGAAGTCATTGCTTGCAATGGCAGCTCTTGAAGGTTCATGGAGGCACGCCGTGCTGCGACATGATCCTTCAAAATATGGGCAATGTGCCTTGATGAAAATGGGTTGTACGAGCTGTTCTAACGTTAAATCGCAGCCGCGCTCCAGCCCCACCACAGGTCGAGCACGCTTCCGATGATAGCGTTCAATCCCTTGTCGACGTAGACAGCCCGCACATCTCATCCGTCCCCTCCGACTACGAGTCGCAAGAAATCAAGACCGACACTCAAGCCGAGCGCATCGAGCGCGAAGAGGAAATCAAGGAAGAAGCCAAGAACATCAAGGACCGAGCTGCTGCAAAGAAGGATGCTGCGAAGGAGAAGGTGAAGAAGAACGCTGACAACCCAGTCGTGCTGAGCAACGCGGTCGGTCTTGCCGTTATTGGTGGCATCGTTGGATTTGGCGCATACAGGCAGTATGCCCGCGGCGAGTTGACCGGCAAGGTCGTTGCAGCCTGGGCTGCTGTCATTGGACTGTTTGGCGTTGGTGACTACTACGTCAGCCAGTATGTTATTCAATGAGAACTGCTCTCTGAACATGCGTACTAATTCTTGCAACAGGTACTTCTTCAAGCGCAACCCCCCGAAATAGACGTCGTTATCTGATCGTCTTGTTCGAATTTGCACTCCACTTCAATAGCACCTCATACGACAGATTCATGCTAGAAATTTTGATCATCTGAATTGTAGAGATTTGGCTATGTTATCTTTTGCTTTCCCGCGGTACCATACAGCAAGCAAGGGCTTCTCTACTCGATTTCAGTCTCGAGGCGAGATGCTTCCATGAGTCCACTTCTGTATATATAAGGTCAACGTTCAATATACCCGTTCAAACGTCATCCTTACTGTACAAGCTTGAATTTATATACACATTAAAAACTTTTCGGTAGTAATCTGCGAATACACTCCGATCACCATATCAAACGTGTTCGGGATGATGCGCAGCATTCTTCGAAGTTTTCCCACGTGATCTGAGAACTCCAGCCGCGCAGATCCCTGCTCTGTCCGCTTAGAAATGCAGGTCCCATAACTTTTACGTAGTGACGACACTTGCGTGTACTGTTGACATCCGCCACGAACCTCCCTTTGCATCTTCTTTCTGTTTCACATCTTTTAGCATCATGTTTCGTGCAGCCCCACGGTTAATTGCGCGTCCAGCGCTGCGAGCCGCGCCACTACGGTCTATTGCGCCGGCCAGACGGTACCTTAGCACCGCTCCACCATCACAGAAATCGAGAAGTTTCAAGAGCTTGGTAGCGAGAATAGGAATTGCGGGAGCAATAATATACTATTACAATACCACGGATGTCTTCGCAGAGGAGCCAAGACGTATGTTCGAACTTGAACGGACGAACTAATCGGGCTACAGAAACTAATACTGTCTCTAGAACTTGTTCAAGCACTCCCAGAAACCGAAGTCGAATCTGAGCACCTCCCAACCATCGAGTCCATCTCTGAAGAGCGCAAGCGGAGGCAAGCAGTACAGGCACAACTAGATGCTCAGAAGCAGAAAGAGGCTGCGAGCGCACAACAGAATGCTGAGGGTTCAGCTTCAGAAGATGGCCAGGGCAGCATAGAAGGACTACAAGAAGAGGCAGATCAGCAAGGCGCATTCAACCCAGAAACGGGCGAGATCAATTGGGACTGCCCTTGTCTAGGTGGCATGGCTCATGGACCTTGTGGTGAGCAGTTCAAGGCGGCGTTCAGCTGCTTTGTGTACTCTACCGAGGAACCTAAGGGCATGGACTGTATCGACAAGTTCAAGTACGTTCAAAGCGCGACAGCAGAGTTTCGACAGACTGGCGAAGGTTATGGTGGGATCTATGGCTAACAAAACACAGGGACATGCAAAACTGCTTCCGCGAATACCCTGAAGTCTACGGTTCAGAGCTAGACTCGGATGCCGACGAAGAGGATGACATGACAGCCTCCGCCGAAACACCAACCCGCTCTTCGCCCACCTCTACCCCGCCTCCAGACGCTTTCTCCTCCAACGCACAACCAGACTCTTCACCTGAACCTGCTACCAATGACCATGCCGCATCAGCCAAGGGCAAGTTCTCTGGCGAACGCAACTCTAAACCACAGACGCCCGACAACAGCCTAGTACCTGACGAATACAAGCCAAATGCCAAGCACAACCCTGTCTACGACGCAAGGGGTGACATGAGCAGCCTAGACAGCGAAAAGGAGAAGGAGAAGAGCAAGCAAAAGCCAAAGGGCGACAACGATACCGAGAGGGCGAACAAGGCGAAGGCGCAGGTCAAGAACCAGGAACCTGTTAGCGAGAGTGAGAGCATGGTGCCCAAGGCTAGCCATGATGCGAATGAGAGGGGAACAGAAAAGCTAGAGAAGAAGTAGAGTTGCTATACGCGACGTGTAACGGGGACATACGATAGATATGGCATTGTATTATACTACTTGTACAGCATGTTTGGAGAGGAAGAGCATTACGTTCTCTGCTACTGACGACTTGAGCAAAATTCATGTATAGTAGATGTAGTTCCAATAAACTTTCATGCACTTTGACAGCATTCCGTTGGCGTTTAAGAATAAATTTGCATCGTCTTTGATAACATTTGATAACAGAAACTACTGTACAGCAGGACTAAGCGTTGACGTACAAAGTCTGCCAAAAAGAAGAGCCATGGAGCATAATTTCTTGCAACCCGAACAGCGCAAGCACTCACTCGTTTGTACGCCAGAAAACACCCTTTCCAAGGAACCCAACAACCACCATCCCCAAGTCAAGGCCTCACACATGACACTATCCTGACGCTTGTGTGCCTTGTCCTCGGTCCGACTACATTCCTCATCCTCACCAACGGCACCTTTGTCCTTGTCCTCTTCTCTTCCTTCTCGGTAGTACGGAAGCATCTCATACGCACTCCCAAACTTGGAATCGTAGACACCCGTCTCATACACATCATCAGCGCTGAGATGTTTTTTTTTTAAATCTCCACCTTGCTGTAGCCCTCGGTGCCCTCAGTAATGGGCTGAGCAACATCAGCATCGACGCTATCGCGCTTGACACCCATGCTGTCCTCACCCTTGCCAACACCGAACATTCTCATAGCTTCGGTTAGAGCCTGTACAGCATCTTCGTTGCTCATGCTACCGGGAAGACCTTGGCCGCCCATGGAACTGCTGATGCGCTTGGTAGCATCCTCCAATGCGCGTACCCTCCTCTGGAAGTTGAGGCGGTCCATGAAGAGTTGTTGGCGACGGCGTTGCAGATCGCGGCGCTCGGCAGAAAGTAGTTTCTCAAAGTCGTTGAAATGGGCGAGTTTGAGCTGTAGCTTTTGAAGTTGTAGGTTCACTGCACCTGAGACGAGACGAGTGATGTGGCGTTCCTCATGCGACGCTAGTGCTGAGGATCGTGCTGCCGAAAGGGCGAAGGGGAGGGTTGCTAGGGGGTTGGCACTTGAGGAGTCCGATTCTCTGGTGGCTACAGCGGTTGACTCAGCGGAGGCATCGACATCCATGGCGTCGCCACCTTCGGGCTTCATGTCTGAGGCGGTGGCTGCGGGTGTAGACTGGCTGCCTTCCTTCTCCTTGCCCTTCTCTGATGGTGCAGTTGGGGCCTTGTTGATTTTCTCTTGCAGAATGCGCTTCATTTCGCCGACGCTGCGCCCTGACGCTACCGCGGCCTCTGTGACGTTTGCAGGTGCAAGACCAGCTAGGAAGCTGACAACGCTGAGGATTGGGTTGTCGGCGTGGTGAATGGGTGCACGGCCTTCGCTGAGGTACTCCAGATCGCGCAAGAACTTGGTTGAAGGAGCTGCAGATTGTGACTCTGGTAGATCCGCCTCAATGTACTTGTCCTCAATCTCGAGCTGTAGGAACTTCATCACGCACTGCTCGCGCGTTTTCGTCTGAACGTGGTCTGCAACCCGGTTCCAGTCATCGTCAAACTCCTCCAAACCTTCAAGTAGCAGAAGAGTCTCCTCTTCCGTCCATTTCTCTTCTGTCTCGGCTGTTGCCGAGTTCTCCGAGTTGGAGATCTTTGTGAAGTCCGCTGAAGAAGTGCCAGACGGGAAGTTGCCTTCGACGAAACACCTAGGGCAAAGGTCGCGCTTCAAGCCACCTGCAGCCTTCATCTGTCCAGGCTGCTCAGAAGGCTTAGTCTCGTGAAAGTGTACACGGGTACATTCGACGCCACAACTGAAGCAGTTGATGACCTTCATTGGCTCTTTGGCGGCGGCCTCGAGATCCTTGACGTCCACTGGGCCGTTCGCGGCACCTTCGCTGTTGGAAGCTTTTGGCTCCGCAGATGCTTCTTTGCCGTTGGCCTCGTAGATGTTTCGTCCGGCCAGAGACTTGGTCTCGCTCTTTGCGGTAGGTTGCTGGCTCGCGGCGCGGTCGGTAGCTGTGAGCTGCTTTCCATCTGTAGTTTTTGAACCTGGTCCGGGTTGGAAAGGCTGCAGTCCGCGAGGCGTATCAACGGTGACACGGAAATGACCGGTGAATGGAGGACCAATGTTGGATGGGCGTTCTTGAGGATCGACCTAGAGAAAGGGTTAATCATAGTTCTAACGTAACCATAGAGCGACAAGATTTACTTGGTAGTTGATCAATCCCCATTGCTCAAGGAAAGCGTGCACGCGCATGATCGCACAAACGTCTCCTGCGAGATTCCTTCGGCATGCGGTGACTGTGAGGTACTCTGATGGGTTCAGGCGATATGTGTTGATCATGAAATCACGGTAATCACGGTACACGGCGGGTGTCTTGCTGCGGTTGCGACCATTGAAGAACTCAGGTAAGGCTTTGCGCTCGCGGTAGTCGATGTAGCGCATGTCGAACCAGGTTGCGTAGCTGGGGATGATGGTCGCATATGTCTGAGTAACAAAGTGTGAGCGTGCTGCTGATTGCAGGTCGGCCTTTGCTTGTGCCTCTGGATCCGCAGGTTCAGCGCCTTCGCCATTCTCCTTTTTCGTGTCGTCGACACCGCCCATCTCCTCGTCGTCCTGGCCATCGGCATCTTCGGCTTCCGGTCGTGGGCCATCGGGTGCGTCCAAGGGGTTGTCTGATACGGGTGCGGGCGTGGCAGTCGTGGGTTCGTTAGAAGACTCCTTGGTGGGTACGTCTTCGAGCATGTTGGTATCTGTGGAACTTAGCGGACTGACGTTTCCGGAATTTGACGTTTCTGGTGTGCGCATCGAGTCTTCCAACTCAGGAATGTCAGGGAAGCCGGCGAAATAACCGCCATTGAGGAAGTCATCCATCGTGTTGACGCGACTAGGCACTGGTTTTGTGGTGCATGGAATCAGAATGCGACCTACCTTGATCGAGCGCATTGGCGTCTGTAGTACCCTCTCCAGTGAGGCTTGGGTCCCGCGCAGTTGCGCTTGCTATCGCGTCGTCGGCCATGGCTCAGGCAGTGCTATGCAACAGTTGCGATGCGACAGGAGCTGGAAGGCGCTATGCGGCACTGCAAAAGGGGAAATCACGGAGCGCGAGTACTTGGAGGAATCGCGCGATCGCAACGTGTCGTGATAGACGTGTTGCAGCGTTGTCGTTGTTGAATGAAGGTGGGGATGAGGGGGCTGCGATGGGTGGGTTGATGTCGCGTCTGAAGTTCGCGATGCTCTCGAACGCCTAAGCAAAAAGAGCACTAAGGAGCAAGCAGCCATCTCACGTGATCAATCTGCAGCTCCGCATGCAAGGGCTAGTGCCGGATAACTAACCTGGTCAAACCGAGGTCATAGTTCTCCGCGCCGTTGGCTTTACTTTCACCACTGCTGGACGAGGCTTTCTATCCCATCTTCTCAGATTTTGCGTGTCTCTCGATTCCAGGGGCGTCGCACCACTCCGGTCCATCATGTTCTCCGCCGCACGTCAATCCGCCCTCCGCACAGCTCGAACACGGCTTCGGCAGTCGCAACCCACGGTCGTACCCCAATACTCCGCCTTCGCACGGTTAGCGTCAACGTTTGCCATTCTTGAGCAGAAAGAGGGAAAGATTGTGTCACAGTCATTGGCCGCCATCACAGCAGGAACCAAGCTTGGAGGTTCAATAACAGCTTTCATTGCTGGAAGTGGGGTCAAGTCGGCCGCAGATGAGGCGGCCAAGTCAAAGGGCGTAGAGAAGGTCATCTACGTTGAAAACGGTGCATATGATAGGGTCGGTGGTCCGAAGAAACATTAAGCGTCATAGGACTGACAGCATCTTGTAGTGTCTTCCCGAGAACTATGCGCCACTTTTGGTTGAGAACATCAAGAAGGGTGGATACACACACGTCGTCGCCGGCCACTCAGCGTTTGGAAAGAACATAATGCCGCGTGTCTCAGCGCTCCTGGACACACAGCAAATATCAGACATTACTGACATTGAGGGCGAGGACAGTAAGTGAGCGTCGTCTACAATATGCACAGAGGTGCTGATTAGCCTACAGCATTTGTTCGCCCAATCTACGCCGGCAACGCGATCATGACCGTCCAATCCTCGGATAGCATCAAAGTTGTCACTGTTCGAGGCACCGCATTCCCCGCGCCCGAGACTGAAGGTGGAAACGCAACAGTGGAGGAGGGTGTCGACCCCAAGGTCGAATGCCCAACAGAATGGATATCTGAAGATCTCCAGAAGTCCGACCGTCCGGATCTGGGCTCAGCAGAGAGGGTTGTCTCTGGAGGCCGTGGTCTAAAATCTAAGGAGGAGTTTGACAAGCTCATGCCACCGCTAGCAGATGCGCTCGGTGCCGCTATCGGTGCATCAAGAGCAGCAGTCGACAGTGGCTTTGCAGACAACAGCTTGCAGGTCGGCCAGACCGGAAAGAACGTTGCGCCACAATTATACCTGTGCGCTGGTATCTCCGGTGCTATTCAACATCTGGCAGGTATGAAGGACAGCAAGGTCATCGCAGCCATCAACAAGGATGCCGAGGCGCCCATCTTCCAGGTAGCGGATGTTGGTCTTGTCGGAGACCTTTTCGAAAAGGTCCCAGAGTTGACAGAGAAGCTGAAGTCGCAGTAAGCACCGAGCACATCGATACCTACATGTTGTATATAATCCGAATGAGAAATCAACAAGATGTGAAACATGAACATCATGAAATGTTCCATGAGGATATCATACTGTCAAATTCTCACGATTGTTTTTCTATGCATCGGTGAAAAGCAGATACTCAAATTTATTGTCTTCATGAAGTCGTTGACCGGATTGGTGTTATGAATCTGCATGTATCCCCAGTTATCGACAGCTTGGCGTGCGTCAACGGCTGATCGACACTAGCACCCACGCACCCACGATTAGTCTCCACCACACCGCGGTAGCCGAGTAGTGAATCGCGCGACCTTACTGGAGAACTAGCAAAACGCGTGGCCATGAACTCGCCGCGGAAGGCGGCTTTCGGTCTTCGATTCCCATATCCTCTCCCGTATCTACTCGCAACCCATAGACGCTTCTTCATCCCCTGCGCCGCCGCGTCCGCTCTAGCGCCGATTTCTCAGCATCAAGTCATCCGCGTATATCCTCACCAGACATCTTGACCGCCATCCCATAAATTTTGGATTCTTGTGCTGTCGAAGAAGCCTGATTGGTTTTACGCTCTTGACGACCTGTGGCATATCTGGATACACTGAAGACATCCAGTACACCAGGTTGACCATGTCTGATGCCGCATCGCACCGATAATGGCGCATGAACATGAAGAACCGGAGCAAACAAACGACTCGCGGCGAGTAAATCGTCAATCAGAAGAGGAGAAGAGGAAGGAACATTCATCATCGAAAGGCAGCGGGAAGAAGAGATGGTGGAAGGTATCGAAGAAATGGGAAAGGCAGCACAGTGATTGGTGGTTCGCCAGTACTGGAATTCCTGTGAGCCTCTCAAGATATCTAGGGTATTATGTTTGTATACTGACAGCCAATAAGCTACTCGCAGCGACTCTTGGACCGCTGGCAAATGTGAGCTCAATAGCTGCTCTCGTCACCCCTTGGAGGCAGCAAAATATCATAGATGGCGTCCGGATCTCCGACTTCAAAGGCGTACCTTTCGGCGACCCAAGATGGTGCTACTGGATCAATGTGGCATCCTTGATCTGTGGTTTTCTCGGAAATCTCTTCTTGCTTTTGAACTTTACACAAAGGATCCGTTACATTATTTCTCTACCCGTTACTGTCGTTTTATGGTATCTTTCATCTGCTTTTCTTATTGCGATAACGATATGCATGAACACTTACGAACCACCTATCCGGCCGGAGCAGGGATACACGCAAGGGTTTTGGTACGCGATTGCTGCTGCTGCGTTTTACACTATCTGCTCTATGATCCTCATGGTCAACATGCTGGGCTACTTTCTTGGTCACTACCCCGAGAATTTCGCGTTGAGCGACAGCCAAAGAACGCTCATCTTACAGACCATGGCCTTCTTCATTTGGTTAGGCGGTGGCGCTGCGGTATTTGCAAAACTCGAACAAGACGCTGGTGAAGATAGTTGGAGATTCGCTGATGCTTTGTACTTTTGCGACGTAACCATTCTGACCGTTGGGTTCGGTGACCTGGTACCTACTACCGATCTCACCAGGGGTATTGTCTTCCCTTACTCTGTCGGCGGCACAATAATTCTAGCCCTTATAGTCTCATCGCTTTACACAGCAGTGCGCGAGCTCGGCGACGAAAAGATTGTTCAGAAGCACGCTGATCGCATGCGCGAGCGTGTCGCAGAACGTACAGTTACCAACTCATTTGATCTCCGTCACCGCGAACGTGAGGCACACCACCTTATTCGAAAACGCAAGCTTGGCTTCCCAAGGATATCAGCACCTAGTAAGCCACGGCCTTTCAGGACTCCTATGGGCGAGTCGGTTCAGCAAACATCCACTATTCCGCGTGTCGCCCATGCTTTTGGCATCGCATCCTCCAAACCGAAGATCATGCTATTGAAAGAAGAGAAAGATCGCTTTGAGGCTATGCGCAAAATTCAGGCTGATTCACATAAGTTCAAGCGTTGGATGGCATTATTCTGGTCTGTTACCACTTTTTCAATCCTTTGGTGTGTCGGCGCAGTCGTCTTCTGGATTACTGAAGGGGAAACGCAAAATTTGACGTACTTTCAATCGCTTTACTTCTGCTATGTCAGTCTGTTAACTATCGGTTATGGAGACTTGGCGCCGAGATCCAACTCCGGGCGCTGCTTCTTCGTCATCTGGAGCTTGATCGCCGTGCCGACTATGACCATCTTAGTTTCAGATCTGGGAGACACTGTGGTCGCCAATTTCAAGAGATGGAGTGACGAACTCGCGGACTTTACAGTGTTGCCTAAAGCAGGTATCTGGCGTTCATTCTTGAACAAGCATCCCTGGTTGCTTCGATGGCTACAGCAATGGACAGAATACCGAGCACGAAAGAAACGACTGATCAGAGGCTTTGGTGTCGCAGATCCAAGATCAGAGGATGATACTGCAGGTTCCGCTGACCCTCAAAACCGAGAAGACACACTCATCGATCCTGAGGATCGCGAGGTAGCAACCGACATAGAATTAGCTCGTCACCCTACAGTTCCTGCCCTCGCTGAAGAAGCAGAGGCTGATGCCACAAACCCTCCCACTCGTGCCTCTCTTACCCGCCGTCTCGCCCTTTCCATTCAGAAAGTTTCCCTCGATCTGAAAACCGACAACAAACGCTACACATATGAAGAGTGGGTTGAGTTCACGCGACTTATCCGCTTAACCAGTCCGGAGCGTCTAGATCGTGATCTAGGGAATGATATTACGACTTTTGAAGAGGAGAACCAAGAGGGCTTGGTGAATTGGGATTGGATCGGAGATGATAGCCCTATGGTGTCCGGTATTAGTGAGAGTGATTGGCTTATGAAACGGTTGATTGAGAGTTTGGTGAGGTTGGAGAGGAGAAAGGAGGTTGCGAGGGGAAATTCCAACTTTGAGGCCATAAGGGAGATGGAAAAAGGATGTGGTGATATCAATCAGCAAGACGATATAAGAAATTAGTAGAAAAGGTCTTGTCAAAGACAAGCCACTATACCATCAAACCTCATAACAAAGAGAGGTAGCAGGCATACCTTGATAGAACGATACAACTATAATCTAAAAGTCTATGAAATTCTTCAACGTTCAATAAAACATACCCTTTATCCTTTTATGTTTCAAACCCTCTTCTACCCGCTGCATTGCGAGCATGTTTGAGAGCATGGCTATTCCTCGATCAAGCCAGTCGTGAGATTTGACGACACTCAACTGTCGGCCAGGCAAGTATCCTTTGCTGACTATAACTGCGACCAATTCGATGGCAAGAATATTAAACTCGTGCAGTAGTGAGAACAAGACGTAAGATCGCAATCGACGTGTGTGTTCTAAGGTGATATTGGCATCCAGTGAGAGGAAAAACAATCATTTCCTTTTCCTCTCACCCTGCGCGCCTACTTCACGAATCTACAGCGACCGCTAACGTAATTTGGACATCTCCTGATATATATATATATATATGCGATCGCTCCCGTTTGCATGTGTTCATAGGTGCGATACCTGAGGTGTTGCTGGAGATTCGTATGTGTAAGACCACTTCGTCAGTACGTCATTGTTACAGCCACGCTTATATACATGTCTTGGCCATGACTATTGCCAAAATCGGTGTAGAGTGATGTTGGTGTTGTAAGTGATGACAGTGCCTTTGGTCGGGTAATTTCGAGCACCGATGTCCGCTCTTGGGGAAGGTTGAGTGCGATTAACACCCGACTAATTTAAGCGGCATCGTCCGACATTTCTTATTCGCACTGACCACAAGGATGGATGTTGAAACCAATAGACGCGCGTTGCCCCCTTTAGCTCGCAGGTATTCGCTCGATTGGGAAGAACTGTGGTGAAGCGTGATGTATGGGTTAGCGCGGGTCATCCGCCCTTCAGAGCGGAGTTCGTTGGAGCACTTGGCGCAACGAACACTGGCACCCATGCGAATGATAACCTGGAGATGATCTTGTTTGCAGATCCTGACCTCGCACTTTCACTCCGTCTTTTTACGATGTGCGTGCCAAATTGGGAGTAGGTCGCTTTCTGCCGGTATAAACAAGGATACGATCTATACGGCAGCCGCATCACCAGGCACCTACCTTTGTCCCCTGGTCACCATAATCCTCTCTCCTACCATTGTCTACTTACCTATTCTCTCTTTGTGCTTTGCAAATTTCTTTCCATTGTTTTGAGCCCAGCCATGGACTCCAGTGTCACCGATAATCGATCGCCACCTCGACCGACGACCAATGCTGAAGCAGAGAGTGCTGCGCTCGCTACCCAAGTCCTTGAAACAGGAACCAATGAGAAAAACGGCGATGCAGAAGCTACAGAACAGGATGGAAAAACCTCGACGCAAGCAAAGAAAGTGCCCCAGGCGGGTATGAAGAATTACTTCGTGAGGATTCCGCCTTGGAGGTGGTTTCTCGCTAATATGAACAGCGAGTCTTCTCATACGGATCCAAACTCGACTTTTGGCTCATGTTACTGTGCTGTATCACTTCGATAGCATCTGGTGTTACGTTTCCTCTGATGAACGTTGTCTTCGGTATGATCCGACACCACTGGAATTTGTGATAGCTCCCAGAAATACTGACCGCGATCAGGTCAACTGGTCGGCTCTTTTACCAACTACTTCATTCCAGGAACGACAATGACAGCCGGCGAGTTCCAAGCGGAGATCAACAGGCTCACCCTTTTTCTCGTCTACCTTTTCATCGCGAAGTTCGTATTGTCCTATATAGCAATGGTACGGCCACTTGTCTCAAGCAGGCAATCAGCATACTAACGCTGAAATAGCTCACTATCCGAATCAGCGGTCTTCGAATCTCTGCTGCACTGCGCCTAGCTTACCTACGAGCCTTGTTTGCACAGCCAGTCAGTGTGATAGACACTATAAGCCCCGGCAAAGTCTCCACCCGAATTACAACCTCTTCCAACACAGTTCAACTCGCCATATCGCAGCATTTCGCTATGCTTTTCCAATCTCTCGCTTTCTTCATCGGAGCATATGTGGTAGCTTTCGTCAACGGCCCGCTGCTTACCGTAGTCGCCTCTGCTTCGCTGCCGTTCATCCTCATCATATCTGGTGCCCTAGTACCACCTTTTATTCGTATACATAAGGTCACTGAGAAGCACCATGAAGATGCTTCGGCTATGGCTTTCGAGATGTTCTCGTCCGTTCGCATCGTTGCTGCATTCGGTGCAGAGGCGAAACTGGCAAGGCAGCATGAAATCTTGCTGGACAAAGCCGCGAGGAACGAGCGTAGAGCCGCGCCTTTGATGGGTCTCATGATGTCGCCCTTGATGATTGGGCAGTATGGTACTTTTGCCATCGCATTTTGGTTTGGCATCAAACAGTTCTCGGAGGGTAAGAGTACCGACATTGGAGTTATAGTCGTGGTCCTATTCTCTGTTATGATGGCGATCATGAACATGAGCAGGGTCGTGAGTCCAATTATCGCTATCGCAAAGGCATCGTCTGCCGCCACCGAACTGTTCATCACCATCGACGCCCCCGTTCCTAACACTGCTGGAATGAAGGAGCCAGATATAACGGCCAACGCAAACATCAGCTTTCAGAATGTTGCCTTCTCGTACCCAAGCCGGCCCAATGTTCAGATTCTTGGAGGTCTTGATCTTGATCTCGAGGCAGGTAAAGTTACCGCTATTGTTGGCCCGTCCGGAAGTGGTAAGTGATTCCCACCCTTCAATTCCGTACAATCATTAATGACCTTTTGTTCCCACTGCCAGGGAAGTCTACTATCGTAGGATTGGTGCAGAGATGGTACGACCTCTCGGGCACAATAGCTACAACCGCATCTGATGAAGACGACACCCACTTATCACACCACAACGGCGCACCTAAGGACAAAGAAGACAGCCCTAAGAAGTCTGGGTGGTTCAAGAAACGAGCCGAATCAAAGACCAAAGACAAACAAGCATCCACGGAAAAGGCCGGGCATGACAAGAGCAAAGAGGAGGAACCTGAGCTGGGTCCAAACACTTGCACCGGTACTATCAAGATTGGGGAGACCAACCTACTAGATGTTGACTTAAAATGGTGGCGCTCCCAAATTGGTCTGGTTCAGCAAGAGCCCTTCCTATTCAATGATACCCTCTACAACAATGTCGCATTCGGTCTTACAGGTACTCAATACGAAGGCTTGCCAAAAGAAGAGAAGATGAAAATGGTAGAAGATGCGTGTCGCGAAGCCTACGCTGAAGAATTTGTCGCCAAACTACCGGAAGGCTATGAGACCCTGGTAGGAGAGAGCGGCATCAAGCTGTCGGGCGGTCAACGACAACGGGTGGCTATCGCGCGGAGTATCATTAAGCAACCACTTATACTGATCTTAGACGAGGCGACCAGCGCTATCGATGTACGGACAGAACGTATCGTTCAACAAGCTCTTGATCGCGTATCGAAGAATCGAACGACTATTGTCATCGCGCATCGCCTCTCCACCATCAGGCGGGCGGACAAGATCGTTGTCCTACGTCAAGGTCAGCTCGTAGAGCAAGGTACCCACGACGAGCTTCTGAAGATAGAAGCTGGTGTCTACTACGGCTTAGTTCACGCCCAGGAAATCGCGATGGAGGCTGAACAGGACGCTGATGTCGACGCACTTGAAAAAGTGAAAAGCCCAGACACAGTGACCGTTGACGAGCATAAAGAGAGCAGCCAGACCTCTGAAACAGCAGCAGATCCAGAGTACAAACAACAAGGTCTCCTTGGTAGCTTCGGACGCCTTCTTTATGAGCAGCGCAGCCATTGGATCCTATACACCGTCGCCATTCTCGGTGTGTTAGCCAGTGGTGCCGTCTACCCGCTGCAAGCGTACATCTTTGCAAGTGTGGTCAATGTCTTCACCCTTCCCATGAACGAACTGGTGAGCCAGGGTAATTTCTGGGCCGGCATGTTCGGTGTACTAGCTGCAAGTACTTTTCTCTCTTACTTCTTCATGGGGTCGGCTTGTCATCTCATCGCTGTCATGGTAACGAAGCAGTATCGACAAGAGTATCTTGATAACCTCATACGCAAACGAATTGCCTTCTTTGACGATCAAGGACATAGTCCCGGATCTCTGACGGCGAGCCTGAGCTCGGACTCGACGCAGATCCAACAGCTGATGGCGACTGAGATGTCCTTGGCGGGCATTGCCATTGTCAACGTTGTGGGCTGCGTCATTATCTCTTTCGTATACGGCTGGAAGCTCTCGTTGGTTGGGCTCTTTGCTGCACTGCCAATTATTCTGGCTGCTGGCTATCTTCGAGTGCGACTAGAGCTCGAGTTCGACAAGACCAACGCAAAGGTCTTTGAAAACAGCAGTGAGTTTGCGGCTGAAGCTGTCGGTGCGTTCCGCACGGTATCCAGTCTCATCATGGAAGACATGATCGGTCAGCGCTATGAAACGTTGCTCAAGGGCCACATCGCTTCGGCCTTCTCGAGTGCGAAGTATGGTACCCTTGTTTTCGCGGGGAGTGACAGTATTGAGCTGGCTTGTATGGCACTTACTTTTTGGTATGGCGGTACTCTCCTGGCCTCCCGCGAGTACAACACCGTCGATTTCTTTGTCATCTACCAAGCTATCGTTCAAGGCGCCATTGCAGCAGGCCAATTCTTTTCTTTCGCCCCAAACATGGCGCAAGCAACCGGTGCTGCTAACCGCATCATCAGCATGCGTCCACCGAAGACCGCCTCGCCGCCATCATACCCGCCCCTGAACAAGCCAGAAGAAGGTGCAGGGATTAAGTTTCAAAATGTATATTTCACATACAAAACTCGAGCAGTGCCCGTACTATGCAACCTCAACCTGCAGGTCCAGCCGGGCCAGTTCGTCGCACTGGTAGGTGCATCCGGCTGCGGTAAATCGACAACCATCTCCCTCCTTGAGCGCTTCTACGACGCATCATCCGGCCGTATTCTGTACAACGGGCAAGATATCACTTCCCTCAGCCCCTCAGAGTACCGCAAGCAGATCAGTCTCGTCAGCCAAGAGCCTACACTCTACGAAGGCACGATCCGAGAAAACATCGCTTTGTCTGTTGATACCGCCACGGACGGAGACATTGAGCAAGCATGCCGTGACGCCCAAATCCACGACTTCATTGCCTCCTTGCCCGATGGGTACGCACAGCGTCTCGGACCAAAGGGCATGTCTTTATCTGGCGGTCAGAAACAACGTCTCAGTCTCGCCCGGGCTTTGCTGCGGAAACCGAAGCTCCTCTTACTGGACGAGGCCACGTCGTCTCTCGACTCTGCATCTGAGAAACTGGTCCAAGAGGCGATTGAGCGGGCCGCTGGTGAGGGTGGAAGAACGGTGATTGCTGTCGCGCATCGACTTGCTACGATTCAAAAGGCAGATGTTATTTTCGTATTGGGTAGTGGGAAGGTGTTGGAGAAGGGAGATCACCAGGGGTTGTTGAGGAAGAGGGGAATATACTGGCAGATGGTAAGTTATGATCCAACCTACTTACTAAGGCTGTGTGCTAACTTTCGAACAGTGTCAAGCTCAGGCTCTAGACCAATGATACTAGACGTTACTAACTTCGGTGCGTAGTGTGAGGATGTACTACCTTCTTTTGATAACATCTCATTTCCTTCGGTAAGCCATATAACTACCAATAACTTCACTCTACCTCCTTAATACTATGCTTTGATTATCCACACGCGCACCTCTACTCAGCAGCAAAACGTTGAAAACCCTTTTGTGTAGTCGTTTTTGGAGTGATTATATGTGCAATCTCCATGATGATATGTACACCCTCCGTGCATCATGCATTACCAAGCCATTCACTGGCCACTCAAGCTCTATATTACATTGTAGACCTACTGTCGGCCCATAGGTCCCGGTGGATACGGTGGCTGTCCCTGAGGCCCAAGGTCCTCTTCTCCACTGTCGCCCGTCCTGGCTGTAGGCTTCGTTTCGGTCGTAGGAGCCTTAGGTTCACCCATCCCATCGGGCTTTGGTGGGGATTTCGTGCCTGGTCCGCCACGCTTTTGCCAGTCGAGCCACGAGCCACGGTATTCGCCAACGTTTGTGTATCTACCATACGCATTAGTTTATAACTTCCTGCTGCAAGATCCTATCGCCCTTGAAAATTGTATATTCGATGTCTGTGCTCCGACTAGGGATATAGACTTACCCAGCCTGCTTTGCGATTCCCGCCGCCGCCGAGCTCCTTACTCCAGCTTTGCAAAAGAAGACGACCTCCTTGCCCTTTGGTGGTTTCTGGAAGCCAAATCTATCCTGGAATTCCTCCTCGTCTAGTAGCAGTGCATCGGGCTGCGAGGTAACAGGGATGTTTATGGAGGTGGGAATAGTGTCTGTTTCGAATTCATGAGGTTCGCGAACGTCGATTAGGAGGCGTGAGTCTGAGGGAGCTTCAAGGATGTGTAGAACCTGAACAGGTTAGCGATCATTCCGAGGAGAGTGCATTATTCTCAGAGAAGGGAGTTCCACAGGTGGAGCGAAATTGGGAAAGCATATGTAGACGTACATCATCGAATTCGTAAACTTTGTTCTGCTTCAAGTCATTTGGTGCTTGCGAGTGCCATCTTTTCTGTACTGGTGTTGCTTGTAGCCTCGCAGCGTTTCCTACAATAACAGTTCTGCTCTGCGAAGCATTTACAGTTTGTGGCTTGGGCGCAATGCTAAAAGCTCGTGCAGTGGTGAAGCTCAATCGTGTTGTCTGTCGACCGATGACGGAGGCATTGGAGCGGGCGCCGAACAATTGGGCTGCGCGTTTGGAGGCCATTGTTCTGGTAAAGGGCGCGACAATATTTCGTGATGATTCAGTTGGAAAGAACTGAGAAAAGTAGGTATCGGAAATTCTGAGATGATGCCCGGGTTATGATACCCAATGCTCAAGCAAGTGGGGAGAGGGCTTCGGATCTAGCTAAATTACTGCCGACGTCACTCTTCGCGAACATTGGAGCGTAACCACGCTAAGCTTTTAGTTCGGCAAGCATCATCATGCACGACACATGCATCGGTTGCAGAATCCCGAACGCGTGGTATATTGATTCATTCATTGGATGTGTAGCATAAAAGTACATAGCGGAGACTGTACCATCCAGGGCCTATCCAATAGTGCCAAAATGTAACGCCAGTATAAGCTCAACAACAGGTTATGGGGTATTTTCAATGGAACACGAATTATATGAGAGATGGTATAAACATCCGGAAATAGCGAGGCAGCTTACTCTTTCTCATTGCGCTGAACGTCCAGACCGCGCAGTCGCTGCGATAGTAGTCCCGCATTGGGAGGACCAGATGGGCTACCAAGTGGCGAGAATGCATTCACGCCATAGCCGACATCGCCTTTGCTCAGCTTCTCAAAAGTACCATCGCTTTGACTGTTCTGGCTGCTCACGCCGGCTCGTGGTGATGTTATAGGCGTTTCGAACGGGCTTTTCGGATCCACATCCATGCAGTCACGGGAAACAGGCCGTGAATCGATTGCAGCCAGCCGACCAAGGCTAAATGGTATGGGTTGCATCTCCGGCATAGGCGAGCTGAAGCCACTCGACACTGAGGAGTTGGTGGTACCACCTGTGAACTTGACGGCTGGTGGAGGCAGTGGAGTGTGTTGCTTTAGGCCATCCAGCTGATCATATGCTTGCTGAGACTGTGAAAGTGGCCATCCAGCGCTGCGCCGACGGAAAGCCTTATCCGTGGTAAACTGGGCTCCGGCTGACTGTGACTTTTGCAACGACGGTCCTTCTCGCGTCGGCTTATAGGTGCTGTATCTAGGCTCTGGTTGCTGGATTTCGTTTCTGAGTTTCTCTTTACCGTCCGGTACTCGATTCGCAAAGACAACTCGTATGCTTTTGTACAAATAATGGCGACCCTTCGAAGGACAGCATATGTGGAGATGGATTAGGTATCGCAGGATCGGTCGGTCGTTCGGGTCGTCTGAATTGCTGAGAGCAGCTTCTGGACGATCGGTGCCCAAGTTCTTCCGCGAGGCTGCGGGCATATCGATGATAGGTCCCGCAGAGTAACTGCGCTGTCTGATGAAAGTTTTCTGACCAGGTTCCATATCCGACAAATCATATGGAACCAGGAAAAGCTTGACTGCTGTCTTGTTTGGATTCTTCAGCACGATCTGGAGCTGACCTTGTGGCGGAATACGATAAGAGCCCCCAGGAGGCGCCTTGGGTGATGTCGATCGCCGCTTCTTCTTCTCTTTCCGGCGAAGGTCTCCTTTTGCACTTTGACCATTTTCTTCTTCTCCAAGATTAATCCTGAAGTCGAGGTCGTCTTGATCAGGGGCTGGCACAACATGTCGTCGCTTGCGTTTACCAGTCTCACTACTTTCGTCTGGCGGTGGCAATGAATTTTCTAGATCAATGTGCCCAACATAGGGGCTCGGCTCATTATCCGAGATCCTACCGTTGCCTGTATTGTAGCTATAGAAGACAGCTGGAAAGGGTACTGTAACGTGAGGTGGACATTTGAGGCTTGATTTACACTGTCCTCTGCCTAGTACCCCAATCTTGGCGACGAAGTCGAGAGGCCGCGATGGTGTAGTAGACATGCGTCCCCGTAGTATCGACTCCTCATATGAACCAACCATGGGAGCGTGCTGCAATGGAGATGCCTCTGACGAGAAGGAGGGGCGCCGCGCGTGAAGGAACGGTGTCTGCGAATGAGACTGGGGCTCAGACTGGTTGAACGTCATCGATCGTCGAGGCTGATGCGCCTGGTATGGTATTGAACTACTATGGCGTAGATGTCGCGCAGCTGGAGTCCCGGTCGCGGATCGGGCCATCTGAGTGGGTTGGTAGTCATCGAAGGACGCAGGAGAGTACGTATGCCGGCGATTATTTCTGTCGGGGCTGCGAGACCCTTGTCGCGAGCTTGGTCTAGAAGAAAAGTCCAAGTCTGTATTGTTTGCCTGCTGAACAAGCGGGCTCGTGGGCGGTAGGAAAGCGAATGAGCTGAATGGTGGCTGTGACGACTGCGATATCGCCCGTGCTCGTGCAGCTGTGCGATTGTCACCGCCGCGCGATTCCGGATACGAGACATCATTGCGTTGTGCAGCAAAGGCGGCGGTTGGGAATGAGCGATTCCAAGGGACTACTGGTGAAGTTGCTAGGAAGCCTGAGGATGAGGGGTCATTCTCGGATGTTGTGCCTGCTCTCTTCTCTCTAAAGTCTCCGGAGTGTAATGCCGATCGCGGGCGTTCGATATCCAAGCCGATCGCTGCAGGGTCTCGAAGATGTTCTGGGGTAGAGATGCGTGAGGTTTGCGGCTCGGTGGATGAGGCTAGAGGTGTCTTCGGGCGGTCTTGCGATGTCGGTCGGGTGAAGGCATCGCGTTCAGTCATAACTTCGCCCTGTATCACATCATCAGTATTCCTTACATCGGCCATCAAACGCCGTGGTGTGAATGTTTCCTGAGTCTCCGGGCGGGTACTCACACCCTGCCGCTGCAGCCACGATGGACTATTCGTCCTTTTGATCCTCTCGATCCACTCCTTCCGTCCGAACATGGATGGTTTGCGCGTTTGGCTAGGGGACTCAGGGTTCATGTCCAGAGACATGTCGGTTTTCGGTAGTTCTGATTGCAGGTCGGTTTCCAAGTTCCTTTCTACAGCGAATCCCGAAGTGTCTGCTCTTTGGAAGCTCGTGACCGATGCCTGAGGCGAGAATGACGATGTCGGCGGACTATCATGGGGATCATGAAATATGGGCATGATTGTAACAAATTGTTGCAATAGACAGCATGAGTACAGAAACCTAACGAGAATCAGAGAACAGTGGCGTGTTCGCGAGCGTGAAAGAGGTTAAGCACTGAGATGGCAGGTCGTAAGGATGGCGGAGACAGTGAGGTCAAGCGGTTGGAGCACCTGCTGGCCCGACGAATGATATGAGTAAGAGTTTCCAGTTTAAATCGGGTGCGTTGGCTCCAGTGGTCGCTTCATTGTACAGTCATACTGCCCGGTTTTACGACGAAACACCGTGGAGCGCCCCAGTTGAAGGTGCGGAGAGGAGAGACGCAGGGCCGGGACGGATGACGCGCTTTGGTCTTTGTTACAAGACGGAAGTTTCCTAATCGCTGCTGATAAAGTCGCTCGTGCCGCCGAACCGGTATTGGCCGACGCGACATGTCACACGACGAAAAAGAATAACTCTCCCGGATGCTTCTGCCCGTCCCCGCGGGAGGCGTGAATCTGTGTGCATAGATGCGATGGCGCACAAAGCTGAGGCATGAGTTCATAGCCCGTCGCGGTGGTGAAAGCGCTCGTGACCGGCTCTAGATCGCGCCCCACTTTGCCAAGGCCGATGAAATGGGCTCGCGTCTTCTGGGATAATCTTAGTACCGCGATTCCAAACTTTTCCGACATTCCACAGCCTTAATATGGGGGCAAAACGACCGCATGAAGGAGACGCAAAGTCTTTTGTGAAGAAGCAAAAGAGTCGCTTCGCTATCGGTCCTGCAAATTTGCCGGATGGCACCCATAGACGGAAAAGTAGGTTCTCTCTAATATGTTTTTATGCGTAGGCTTGTATGACGGTAGAGACTCGAACGAGGATATCGCAGTGTTATGATACAGGAGGTGACTACGCGACTACCCATATCTGCTCGCGCCGCATCATACAGTCCAATTGCTAATTGTGCGCGTAGTCGAAAAGATCAAGAAAGGTCTCATCAGCAAGGCGAAGCTGAAGAAGCAGTACGCAAAGCTCAAGGCTCGCGAAGAAAACGAAGAGACGACGCCGCGCAAGTCCGTTTACGACCGCGAATCTGTCCACGACAATGAAGACGAGGACGAGAATGAGAACAAGGAGTCTACCGAGCCTGTCCCAGAGCCCACTTTGGAGCCACATCCTGATCGCGTTGCCATGTTAGAAGAGAAGTCGCCCGAACCAGAGCCCAGGCAGAACTTTGAGAGACGGCAACGGCGGCCACGACCACAGCCGTTCTTGAAAGAGACTGAGGTGGCACAAAAGAAGAGGGAAGAGATTGAGGCGCGACAAAAAGCGAGGGAAGAAGCGGACAAGGAGCGCGCGAAGAAGATCGCTGAGCGCGAGCGCTTCAGGAAAACCATGGCTAAAGCGAGGGGTCCAAATGGACAGAGGAAACTGGGCCGAGAGAGCACAGTCCTGCTTGCCAAAGCGCAGAGGCTCATGGGCAAGACGTGAAGCACCAACATGACATGGTGGCGACGCTGCCATCTACAATCTATGGTGATGGATATACCTACGTCAGCTGGAGACACCGCTTTTCCCACGCCGTTATCAACGTCTACGCATGTCAATCGGCGCCAAAGACATCACTGTGATGTACAACAATAACGGTATCGACCTGTTTACCCTGGAGCTGCTGCTGCCCTCTTGGCAGATGGAGAAATCCCGTCGATCAATGTAGTTGAACGCATGTTGGCGACCACGGCAATGGTTGAGTTTTATACGTGTGCGCTCATCAGGAAGAGCAGCGGACTATCCGACGTATGACAGGCCGCGCGCTCTTACGAACGAGAGGGGCCACAAACAGTCTAGGTCAGGTGTACGACTCAATATATCGCACTCACCGAGTATACCTCTACGAATCAACTGAGCAAATCAACTCACTTATTCGTTGAATTCTGTTCCTCGAAACATTGGAGATCACCATGCATCGATGTTGTGTGATGTTACATACCCAGCCTTACCCTCAGCGTTAAGACAACGAGCGGTGGGCTAGGGCGTAATTTAACATGATACGACAGTAGAAGTCTAAAAAATGATATCGAGTCCGCCAGGTAACTATGCAAATCCATGTCGTTGTTTAGATATATAGTGGGAGGCGCATAGTGATCGGCATTGGCCAGAAATGGCCGATGGCACTTGCGAAATAAGACAAATTCAAAGTACTCGGGCCTAACGATCTTCGCAGCCTCGCTTACTTCTGTTGGATCACATCTAAGAGCTTCCCATCGTGCCTCTTATCACGTGAGCTTATGACACAAATAGTAATCCTTTCACCGGAATGTGTTCAACCTGTCTAACTATTGGTTCCATTTTCACAACCGTTGCGCTCGCCCTCTGTCGTGCCAGTAAGAGTCCACCGCCAGGAGTAGTCAGCGCCTGTAACTGAATGAACTGGTCCCAACGATACGGTACCATATAAGCCACTCTCTACGTCGAAGCTCACTGGAACTCTGCAAGTCTCGGGCGCAACCTGTTGCTGGGTTTATGGGATGCTGCCGCGTGCTCCTCGCTGAGTGGTGGTTGTGATGCGTGTACCAATAACAACGTACGACGTATATCGCAAACTTCACCTTGCTGATTACATGTAACTATCAATTGACTTAATTCATTCCGGAGATCTCTTCGGCGGCCGTGTCGAGACGATCAGCACGGACCGATATTGGCTTACAACTCAGCCACTATGTAACCTCTTTGAAACCAACTCGAAATTGAACACAGATGGACTTCCTTATCGAGCGACTATATCGTTCCTGTTTTGCTAGAGGCAGGCTGTATACGGCGACCATTGTTTGTTCCTATCGAATCGCCCAGCGTACTTTCCGTTATTGAGAAGTGGGGTGTGACCCACGAAGGGTAAAAAACATACATCAACAACGAACGATTGTTACGTCAGACATGCCATATATGTAACTTGCTGTTCCTGGTAAGTACGTGGCATATCTTGTGGAGCAATAAGCTTATTCCAACAGGTTGCTAAGTTCCCGAGGTCTGTGTTTCTTAAGGTCTAGCGGTGTATGGTCCATGCAGCCTTACCTAGGTACCTACAGGGTCCTAGCCATGCGAAAATCCTTTGGGGGCTGTACACACCACCTTGTCAACGGCCCGTCAGAAGATGCATTAGCCCTACGCGCACGCGTCATGGCTGCAAAGCCCCGTTGAAATGCATGGAACATGTTCGTTACTGGATGGTTTCGAAAACGCCATAGGTTGGTGCGCACACTAGCCAAACCGAGTATCGACCTCGAACAATACAACTTGGCATACAGTTTCCTGCCGTCTATCCTCCGCAATACCCAAGTACCTGGCTTGCCAAGATGATGGATCACTATTATGCTAGCTTTCCGCTTAAGATCGTAGTCGGCTCTTCACGATGTCTACATATCTAGTAGTCTTGCACTCCTTACTTATCTCCAATTTCTGCTGCTTGACCGATATAAGTCAAGCTTCCTAGAATTCTTAGACAATCTTAGACATCTTCCCTTCTTTATACTACACTCTTTCCCTGGTCATTAGAACGTTTTTCGATTGGTCATACCAGTACATTACAAAGGACAAGATTTCCACCTATCCTGACCCTAATGGACAACTCGATTCGCCAACCTAGGAAATGGTCTTTAGCAGAAGATCAGAAACTTCGAGAAGAAGTGGAAGCACAACGTAAGTTATGCTTATCATTCTCTAGCATTCTTCAAGCAAGCTAACTGAGCATCATCAGTCGTAGAAGGAGAAGTCAAGGATTGGTATGTCACATCTTGCGACAGTCGATTCTACAATTAACAAGATACATAGGTGCAGAATCGCCGATAGCCTCCCGGGACGAACGAACAAAGACTGTAGAAAACGTTGGCACAACTCAGTAGCAGGAGGTCTGAAGAAAGGACAATGGTCAAAGAGTGAAGACCAGTTGCTTTCAAGAGGTGTGCAACAGCACGGCCAAAAGTATGGTTCAGTGAAACACAGGAAGTACCAGAGCTGACTGTTATTTCAACAGATGGACTGTAGTTGCAAGCTGTGTCGGAACACGCAGTGCAGACCGTAAGTGATATAACTGGTAGCTATTTTCATTTCTAATCGATCATTAGAGTGCGCAAAGCGGTGGCAGCAATCACTTGATCCTGATCTAGATCGAAGCGAATGGCGCGACTCAGATGTCAGTGGACAGCAGTCTCATACATGTTTCACACTTCAGCAAGCTAACAAGCGCTTCGTAGGATGCAACACTTATCGACGCAGTCCAGCGACTTGGACGACACTGGAAAGATATCCAACGTGAACATTTCCCCGGCAGGTCGAAGAATGATATCAAGAACCGGTATGTCACTTGCTTTTGCCTATTGAACTTGTTGTTGATAGTCTTAAGATACACAGTCCTTGTGCGAAGATATCAGAACCAGGGTGTTATCCTGCCCAATGCTCCAAGCTCTCCATCCGACTGTGGTACACCGGCGGGCTTGTCAAGCTATCCTGATGACGATGATTACCTCTCCCACAACTCACACATGTACGATACGTTATTGCCAACACCCTCTCACGGATCAGATCGCCACTCCTGGTCAAGTTTCGACAATGATGCATACTCCACATGGTCATCTCCGCAAACATACACCACACCTACCGCCATAGCCGACCATAACGCACATCATCAATCGGTCACTCCGTCCCAGTATCTGTATACTCAGCCACCACTAGGCTCGAACGTGCCTTCCACATGGGATCAAACATCCCCCTACACATATCACCCGGCACCGTCACTGCATACCGGCGCACCTACAAACCCACCAGTATATGGCTACAGCCCATATCCGGTCACCCAGCAACCAATGATGGCCCACAACATTGCTTACACAGCCTCCACGGACCGAACACCATATGCCACGATGCCGGATCACTCGCCACCTACTGCATCAGGTCAGCAGGTTTACGACCCGAGCGTATCAGCAATGTACCGTGACCCTAGACATTCACAACATCCCTACTATCACTCTTGAGGCTGTGCAACATGTATCTTATAGTGTAGGACTTGGCGGTTGATTACTTAATAGGTTAGATATGGCAAGTGTTGATAGGTCGAGCTTGGACTGTTTCGTCACAGTATGCAATAGAGATAATTATCCGTCCGAAAATCCTTGACCAATGGTCTGTTTCACTGAGGCTAACTCGTGTTTCAACGAATTCCTTGCAAATCTCGGTATCAACTACTGCACGTTCTCCAGACGCCAGAGGCCCAACCACGTGACTTAATCGGAATGCAGGACCCCTGATTGGTCGCCTAAACACAACACAGCCTCAACCCCGAGTAGAGGTCGGACGCCTCGCGCACCCACCGCGTTAAGTGACCTTCGCTAATTACCCATCCGAGTAAAGTGCGCTTCCACGGAAGAAAAGAAGAAAAGACAGGATCCGTAGTCGAGTCAGGTCGGCGTCCCCACTATCACGAATCAAGGATGCACGGCCAGATTCTTTTTCTCTGCCTTGAAGACAGCCTGAGCCGTTGCAGCAGCGCATCAATACACCACATGCATGCTAGCTAGTGCCATATGTGGCTAAGGTAGGGAGGGTTACCTGATCCGCTACCTTGCCCGCTGCACGATGCACGATCTCGTCGCCTGGTGCGCTGTTTTACCTGCCTCATCCGCTGCATGACGCACGGGAGGTCTCTACATTACATACGCGAGTACCTGCAGCTTTGTCCCATACAGACTAGATCATGCTATGCTGCTCGCTTGGGCCGTTATTTGTTGACCCTTTGTCACGATACACCGAGAGCCCGATGATGGCTTGCCGCGATACCCTAGGTACCGTTAGCATGGAAGTTAACCACGTACGTGGAACGGCGCCCCGTTCCTGTCGATCTGTGTTGTCGATGCTGCACGCCATACCTCATTCCTCGCATTCTTGAACGGGACTCTGGGCCTGGCCTGGGTTGGCATGTTGCTGCCTTGAGATAGGCCTCGTATCTTGGAGGAGGTCCTGTAGACGAGCGTACGCGTTCCTGCATGAAAAAGTGTATATTTGGGTGTATGTACACTTCGAATAAGCGGTATGATGTCAAACGCATGATGTCAAATGCCCGTTGGCACGTGGTAGCGTTGAGAATCGGAGTCGCCGTTCGGAGTTCCCACCAGCTCTTTCAAGGTTGGGTCGAAGAGAAGCAGTTGCGTCAATGATGGCATCTGGTTTGCATGCATGTTTAGGTCGAAATTGGCTGGATTGGAGTTATGGACGCGTAAGAGAACTAAACTCGACACGAAAAAAATAGGCACCTGAATCTGCACCAATGCAGCCTCTCTAAGGCGTTACCCGTGATAGACGAGTGTACCTCTCCACAAATCATCCTCTCATGCTATGAGCTTCAAAGCCGATATGACGTCTCGGGGCGGTGACAAATGGTGATCGTAGCTGTTGCGAAACACATTTTTGTATCTGCTGCGAAGCGAAACCGCTTTGAACAATGAGCATTTCGACTTTGACACCAAGAAGGGGCTTTCATCTCACAGCTGTACCCAAAGATGTAAACGTACTCAGGAGATGTTGACATTCTATCACTTTACCAGTCCTGCTTCACAAGTCCGACATCACACGACAATTCTCAAAGAGGTAATGGGAAGCTAGACTGCTATCAATAGATGAACTCCGCGGCATACGCCATTAGCTCCCTAGAAACACTCTAGTAGTAACTTCGTCGCACTATCATGTTACATTATAATACACAGTACAATACAGTAGGATCGATACATCACAAACGTCGTGTTTCAGCCTCGTAGTTTGCCTTACCAAGGGTTAGTGAAGGTTGTTGAGACGCGTGTCCACACCAGTTGCAAGTTAAGCTTTTCGCTTAGTCGTGAGACGGTCCGCTCTTGGAGGCCCGATATATGGCGGTTTTCCGGTGGTAGAATAGGCAAGGACAGTGGAGTTGGATCAGGCCACGTGAACGCACGTAGGATAATGACTAGCTTATTTGTGCATGGACATCTGCTTGTAGGCTGCTCAAGGATTACTAACAAACTAATGACCTTTTTCGAACGGGATCCGCCATGTATCTTGCCCATTCTCTTCTACTCTTCTTGATTAGGTTCCATCTACCAGTCGTTGTCACACTTAGCAACAAAGAACAGATCAAAGATCTATTGCTCTTCGTCGATCGACCGCGTTCCCCATACCACGGACCATCTTGCTTTTGTTGTAACTTTTCGGTTTTATCCAATCATCCACCTTCTCCCAGTCGAGTTCGAAGCCGCCTTCATCGTGTGTGGGCGAGCACTCGCGCTCTTTGTCGTGACATATATACAGACGTTGAAAATCCTTGAAGGGGTTCAAGCAGCACTCATCTCTAAAGACTGCATCCTTTCGGAAAAATTGACGCGACAGGGATACTTTGTGTGCTCGGTACTTAGAAGTTCTCACTGACCCAGTCCTAGATCTCTTGTGGCGCGCTAACGTCGCCCCAACGTAGGCGGGCTTTGCGGCCCGCCGTCTGTTTTGGATCGTGTAGCTTAGAACGACCATAGTTGAACTCAAGATCCTCTTCTTTTGGTTGCCCTTCCTTCTTTGAGACCCTAGACGGTGATGCTGTTCCCCTTGCTTACGCCTGTTCTGCGTTGTTTCGGGGAAATCTTGCTTTCAGGATTTGTGTTTTCCGACCGGCAGGTTGCAATGTAGACTCAGTGTGTTGTTCTACCAGTGTATCGTTTTGAGGCCGGTTCTCCTTATCCTGACCAGCATCGCGTTCCGCATCAGCGCCAGTCCTTGCTTCGCTTCGCTTTTGTGGCATGGTCGTGCACTGGAAATCAATGAGACAACGGTCGAAAAACAAACATTCCAACAAGACCTTGCCCAGAAGCCGTACCGATGTTCGAGATGAGGCGTGACACGCCGTGGTGCGGATTGGTGTTTCGGATTACGTCACGTGTCAACCTGGGTACCCTTCACACGAGTGATCAGCGCAGTTCGGAGCGACTGCTTCGTCGAATCGAGGATGCCGACCAATTCCCGCCCAAAGCGCGCCGCTAACCAGTATTGTCCTCAATCCATGCCATGGAGGTCCAGAAAGCCTCTCACTCTGCCTCGTATATACTAGCAACCGGCGCACCTTCAACGTTTCACATGTTGTTCGGTTAATGAACCCCTGAGTACACCGAGAAGCACTAGATACAACGAACATGTGTGCAACATAAACTCACATGCATCTAGGATGTTTCCAACCGAGGGGGGCTGGTCCAACTTCCATTGGCAATCTCGTATATATTTCTCAAGCTCATGCAGAGTGAGCTTATATGCGCCTCTATGAGACCATCATCGTGCTTCGCCACTGATGTGCGTGTGTGTTGTCGCGATATGGTCGACTAGCTCTAGCATAGGAGGCATACCGTTTCTCCTTTTGGTGTTTCCGCCCAGAGGACTGGGACAAGGGTTTCTGTTGGTGCAGTGACGTGCAGATTGCTTGCAGGTTCTTGACTAGGCAGCAGAATCATGCCTCACAAGGCAGAACAACGAGGAGTACACGACTAGCATGCAACCTGGGCACCGGCACTGGTCCTGGTGTTCGATCAGTCGAACTGGAACCACTTCGGCATATCATATCGTCGACCGGTTCGATCCATCACAAATGCCCGAACGCTGCAGCGTTGTTTAAGTACAAGGCGTGCCGGAGTTATGGAAGGGAAAATAGTGCCTAAGTCATAGGCGGGGTTTTCGGATCCTGGCAAAATCTGCTAAGTCCCGACCCGCGCACCCAACCAAATCTTTCCACACCCAACCAAACTTCATCTTGGAGGGTCCTAAAGGCTTCTAGTTCATAGCAGAGAGCTGTTACAAAATATTCACGTTATTAACGTAAAATTTCGTCGAGTGTTCATCGAAAGCAGCAACAGCCCGGCTAGCTCAATCGGTAGAGCGTGAGACTCTTAGTTATCACGTCCTAACAGACACGATTGTATCAAATCTCAAGGTTGTGGGTTCGACCCCCACGTCGGGCTTTCTTTTTGCTATGGTTTCGTCCATCACAGTCCCAAGAACGAGGTGTTGGTGGTGCGGCGGTGAATGTCATTTTGGTTCCCACACGCTACCTAGGTGATTCATCCACAACCACCACCATCACAACATCAGTAAACATCTGGATATTATCTCTCTCGTCTCTCTACTGTATAATGAAGCATTTTTTTAAATGAACTTGCAGTCTCAAGAGGAAAAGTTTCCGTGTAGTGCATTTCGTGTTAATTACGCATAACGCTCATCTCATAGGATAAACGCAAACCCAAGCAGCGATCAGCCAAATTCTTCGGGAATCAGTCAATTTGTTAGCAATATAAGTATATCTCGTCAGACGTAAAGCTGTTTGTTGTTTGTAACGTATTACGGCTGCGGGTGCTTCTAACGGAAGCTTTCAATCCTTACAACCAAACTGTCAAGACGCAGCCTAGCACCACTTCGCTATGCAACCAAATAGGTACGTATAATCAGTGAACTACTGATCATAGTGCAGGATAGTATATATCGTCAGTCAGGCCTGATATAAACGTGCAAAAAAAAGTAAAAAGTAACAGAAAAGCTAGGAATTAAAGAGTTAAACCTAGGATGTTGTTGTTAGGCTTGTTACTATTAGATGATAGGGATGCAAGAGATAGTGGAGTAATAGTATATTGTCTGGTAAGGATAGATGAATCGTTGTTCTGTAGACTACGATCTCGTCTCTCTACTTATACTCGCACTAGCTAGGGTCACATAACAAGAAGGAGCACCGTGTCCTAACAGTTATTAAATAGTTCTATAAACAACAATATGCGAACATTAGAAGGTTTAACGCTCATTATGTGACCTATTTCTGCTTACCTAAAAAGGGCGCCCCCTCTACAGCTAGTAGGAGGAGGTTTTATTAGGCTAACTTACAGTTGCGCTTTGTTGGATTTTTAGTCACTGTTCAGGCTGAAATGCTTCCGAAGGAAGCAATAATCGTACTTGGTTCACAGCTGGGACCTAGGGTATGAAAGGAGTCACGATACCACCGTGATTTTGGGCTACATTGGAATTTGTGGCCTTTAGATGTTGTTCCCCAATTATGAGCGAATATTTAACAACTTGTAAAAAATTGCAACGCAACCAGACCACGTTCAACTGACAAGAAACCCTGGATTTGGAGTATGGAAACACTCCAGAGTATGTCAAAGAGGAATCAGATTATTGGGGCCATTTTATTCTCTGGTTAGAACCTATTCATACATCGCACATGTCTAGGTGGTGTGATCTCTTCGACCAGACGTAGCTTGCTTTTCAACAACCCCCACAACAACGGCAGCGGTATTCGACTTGGTCATGGGCGTCTTGAGCCTGACATTGACTACGAAAAACGACCGCCGAATATAACCACCAGAGAGTCTGTGGAAAGTGCAGATATGGTGGATGATTTCAACCCTCGATTGGACAACGGTGTATTCATGATGGACATTAGAGCTGGGCTAGGGGCTGGTGGAGTTCTAGCTACTGTATGTTTTGACACAAAGCTGGTTTGAGTTACTCCGAGGATAGTCTACTGCCGGCTATAGGAGTTGCTCTTAGCCTACACTCAATATATCTCCTCCCTGTCACACTTCCATCATCAACCAAGATGGTGTTGAATCAAAGTGCTCATTCATCTATTCGTTACATAATCATAATACCTATTCATGGCAGCAAAACGCTCAAACATACAAATGTCAACAAGGCTTCTTAGCTAGAGTAGACAACCGTAATAGAGCAAGCTCATACAAATGGCTAAGCAGTATCAATATACCTCCCCAAATATCCGAGGCGCATCACATGCGTTCAATGGAACATGGTGGGGGGCAAGAGACTGGACAGTAAGAATGTTACATCCGTGCAGTGGGTATCTCAACGCCAACCATGCAATGCGATCGTCGAGCCATAAGAATAGTGTTGAAGAGAAAGGGGAGGAATTACTCCCATCGTTATCTCGCTGGGTATGCGGGATACGGTCCGTGTTGGTGGTGATGGGGCGGAGCAGGCATTGATGGCTGGTACATAGCGCGCTTGTCTTGTGGAGGGTAAGCTTCGAACATGACGCGTCGTTGAGGTGCTTCAGCTCTGAGTGAACTCGGTTGTGGCTGGCCGCTTGTTGGGAAGCGCTGAGAGTTGTTGGGGCTACTCATGAAGAGCAACGTATCAACAGCGTCCTTCTCGGCTTGTTGGCTTGGCATGCGAAGAATACCTGCTCGAGGAGTTGCTGGTGATCGTGGGCCTGCACCAACGTCGCTATAGTGTTTTCTTTGGCTAGCCCCAAGGAGCGGAGGGGGTATATGTGAGACGCTGGAACGACTTCTCCGCCTACTCTGGAAAGTCGGAGCTGGTGCAAGGCCATAGCCAGGCTGTGCCCCAGTGATAGAGATGAGGTTTGCAGCAGCATTCATTGCAGGGCGGGTGCCTGGTCGCCAGTAGGCTGAAAGGCGTTAGTACTGTCAAACCAAGCATTCGGGGATAACTTACAAGCTGGGGTTCCTGCAAGTGACCGAGTTGGATCGGAAGCAGGGGACATGATCATTTGGTCTGAGATATCAGAAACGCCGCTCGGTCTTCTTTGGCGGTCGGTAGTACCAGGTGAATCAAACGCTAAATGATCACTCCTCCCAGGAGCAGAGTTGGGCGATCCACGTTGTGACTGGCTCTCTTCCAGCTCCTCGAGTGACTGCTTCTCCCAGCCGTTTTGGACCTTGACCATGGCGTAGGAAAGACGTGTCTTAAGCTGTGCGGATAACTGCGTTCGCGTCAACAACCTGCAATCTTGGTCTGGGGCTACAAGACGCACCTCTCCAATGCGAGTGACTGAATGGGTGTCCATGCTCTTGTTCCTCTTATGTGCATATGTGCGCACCGATGGTGTTTCGGGCGCTAGCCCAGCACTCTTTAGAGATCCATCTACAGTTCTCTTGGAGCCCTGATTTGTTGGAGACTCTAGTGGCATGAAACTAGCTGCTGTGCCACCAGTTTGCAGCGCGTTGGCGGCTGCTGTATCGATGTGCGGTGCAGCTCGCACGTCCCCACCAGTGCTTTGGCTCGACGACTTGGGCATTGGTGCCTCTGTAGCGTTATTTTGGCTTGCTACATTGGTCGAAGAAGGGGTGGTAAGGTCGGTTTCCGTAGCGGTTAAGGTGGACAGGTTACTCGAGGAGGAGGGTAGTGCCGGTGCCGAGAAGGTGCTAGACACAGCAGATTGAACCGACTCTTGCGAGTCGTGGGGCTCTGTGTTGTTTGCAGTAGCAACGGTTGCTGTATGGATGGCATTCGCGTGTTCTGCTGGTGCAATGGCTGTGTGAGTACCAAGGCAATAACTCGGCTTGGAGAAACGCGACTGACTTACGCATCATCGTTTCGCGGGCGTGGCGGCGGGGTAGTAGGCAACTAGTGGCTCGCGCTGTCTATCCAATCTGGAGACAATCTTACAATGTCTAATCGGAAGTGTCGATGGAAGTGAAGATGTCAGAGTAGCAAATGTCCCAATGGCGGCACTCAGTGGGAGAGCGATGGTCGGAGACGTGTCGTAGGAGCACCGTGTTCGTGCGCAGCACGCGAGATAGCGGGAAGACGCGCGAACGGGCGGGAACAGTTCCTTGTTCGGCACCCAAAAAGCAGTTCGGAAAGGGCGCGGAAAAGATGCCAGGAGATGTCAGGGGTGCTGTGAGGCTTCAAGGCGCGTCCTAGTGAGGTGTAAGAGCGCAAAGCCAGGCGCATGCTCGAATGCAAGAGCCTGAAGCCGCTTGCGAGCCGCGCAGTCACATGGTGCCAGCCGACGCGTAGCATTAGCGGGTGGCAATCTACTCCCAACGAACGAACGATTCCGACTTTGGCGGTAAAAGCGCGTCCATTCAATATGCAGGCGAACGGCTGGTCTGAGCAGAGTTTTCTGCGACGATACGCGCATGGCTTGCTGCAATGCAATGTCAGCCATGACAGCATGCATCAAACACGAACATTCTACGTTATGCTCTCGTCCATGGTGAGATCCGTGGTACACTGATGCATTGACTCAAACGCAAACCATCTTCGCCCAATGCCACCATCGAACCCGGACAACTCGATACGGATGTCGCGCTAATACATCGTTTGTGTGATATCTCGTCCCGGACTGCCCAGCGATTGAACCCTTGGAAGGATGGATCTTGTGGTGTTGAGGTTGGAAGTGCAGAAAACATCACGTATTCCGTCGACGATGTGACGAATGTTGGAAAAAGCACTTGTACCACTCTAGGTGCTATTGGTCACATACAAAGCCGCTGATCGGCTGTTTCATATTTTTGTTCGATCAAGTAAAATATACAACAGCGAGGTATATGAATACACGTTTCGATTACATTTACTACATTCAAATCTTTCATGTCCTGTCTTTACATGGCCTTCTCCGCACTCGAGTAATCCCACTTGGGCAGCTTCATGGTGCCATGCTCATTCAAATGCTTGTGCATGTCGAAGCTGTTCCACAACAGATGCGGCTCGTGGCCCCAGCCCTTTCTCAGGCACTCAAACTCTGCCTTGTTGAAGTAGTCCTCCAAAATCGGCACGTAGTCGGGGTGTGCACACTTCTTGATGATGACGCGGGCACGCTCCTTGGGTGAGAGACCACGGACGTCTGCGAGACCTTGCTCGGTGACGATGACGTCGAGGTCGTGCTCTGTCTGGTCGATATGGGTGCACATGGGCACGATGCACGATACACCAGTTGGGTCCGTCTTGGTAGGACGGGTCGAGGGTGTGTGCATGATGGAGTACTTGGAAGAGCGCAGGAAGTCGGCGGATCCACCAAGACCGTTGAGCATGCGGCTACCCATGACACACGTCGAGTTGGCGTGCGCGTAGATGTCGACTTCGACAGGAGTGTTCATACCAATGACACCGAGACGTCGAATGATCTCAGGAGAATTGGAGACCTGCTGAGAGCGGAGCAGTAGCTTGGGTGCATATCGGTCCCAGTTCTCATAGAAGCGGTGAAAGCCATCGGGCGAGAATCGGATCGAAGTGGCAGTCGCAAAGTCTAGATTGCCAGAGTCGAAGAGGTCCAGGAAGGAGTCTTGGAGAACCTCCGTCCACACCTTGAGGTTCTTGAAGTTTGCACCACCGGACTGTGCGTGTTAGTAACAAGCATCAAGCAATCGATTTAGTATAACACGTACGGCGAGTCCACCAACAACAGCGTTGGCAATGTTTCCAATACCAGACTGGATGGGCAAGAGGTTCTCTGGCAGACGGCCATGTTTGACCTCGTGCTTCAAGAACTCAATCAAGTTCGCAGCAATAGCTCTTGAGGTTTCATCTTCAGCGGCATTGGGCTGGGTCTGATCGGGGTAGTCGCTCTCTACAATCGCCACGACCTTCTCCGGATCGACAGGAATGTGCGGTGTACCGATGCGATCTTCTGGAGACATGATGAGGTAAGGCTTTCGGCGCGGTGGAAGATCAGTCATAGTGATGTCATGCAGACCTTCAAAAGAGGGAGCTGCGGTGTTGACCTCGATGATGATCTTGTCAGCCATCTGGATCAGTTCGGGTGATGCGCCAACACTGGCTCCTGGAATGATACCACCGTCCTCGGTGATGGCCGACGCTTCCACTATGGTAACATCGAGTTTGTTGTGGGGCTTGTTCAGTGTGTAAAAACTAGGCCAAATTAACATTGTTCCTTGCTCGTGGAGTTCGACATGGTTGTACATACCCGTACATCAAGTCGACAGGAAACATGCTAAGATGTTTGTCGAAGAAGTTGATGTTGCCGTTGTTGATACCCTTGGCAATTTCCTTGCCGACTTGATGCGGCGACCGGCGCTCGATCATGTTGAGCCGTGCCCATCGGTTTTCAGTCTCTGCGCCTGAAGATGCACCAACAAACAGGTTGTACTTGAGCTGACCCTGGAGGTTGTTCTTTTCGACATGGTCGGCCAAAGCCGTGGGGATCTTCCTGCCATGGCATTAGTTTAAGAACTTGACGAACGTAATAGACAAGATCCATTCGAATCAAGGTATGTGTGACAAGTGCCATAGCCAAGGCTCTTGACTACTCGTCTCGACTTGATCCATGCGCAGCTCGAATTGTGGAGTCGGGGATATTTCGGCTTTCGTCACTTGCCAAACTTCCGTTCCACCTCGGGATCCCAGATCGAACTACCCAACAGGCCCGATATCGTTTGCCATAGTCAGGGCTACGCTGAGTACCCGAAGAGCCTCATAGCTTGGCTTTCAACGTAGTGCGAAGGCAGAGAAGATGCTTACTTTGGGTATCCCACACCAGTGAAGCCACTCCAGCCAATGTATGCTCCATTGGGGAAATGGTGAAGCAAATCCTCAGCCTTTGCAATCTTCTTGAGATAACTCGGCCTCCTGACCCGACTCTTCAATGCTGCAGAGACCGACATCTTTGCTTCTGAGTGTTTTTCTTTTCCAATGTGATGATCGTGATCCCGATTACTAGCTTATCGATAAAGCTTTGGAGCTGTCCGAGGAGCGTTGAGCTCAGCGCGAGCGTGGTAGAAGGACAATGGAGTGGAGAGGAGCCGCGATGGGCAAAATATGTGAATTAAGGGTTCTGGGGAGAATTGGAGTATTTAAAGCATGGAGAGGCCAAGACTAGACCTGTTTCGAGCGGCGTCGGCGTGGAGTGTTGCTGTGGGCTGATGCTCATGGTGACCCACACAAGCATGACGTCTGCCGTAAAACCCCGGTCGGGGGAGGGGATGCGCATGCAAGAACGCGGAATGATTGGAGGACTAGTTTTAGGATTATTGGTTTTCGGTATCGTTCTAAATGATGTGTAGGAAACGTACGATACCGATCATCCCGATCCTGAAAGAGGGTTGCGTTTTTGAGCGGTCCCTTGGAGACCTATCGATACATACAATTCAAACGTATTCATACAATTTTACTTTGATGATTCCGTGCAGGAATAAAATGTAAGTACCTTCATATTAATTTATGATGTTTCCAGGTTTATGAGGAGATACAAGCTCCTTTGAAAAAACAACCTGAGCGTGCTTCATCAATCGGCACCTGAACAAGATGGGAAGCTCAACGGATGACTTCATTCTAGCAAATATCACCCGCTCATTTCATAGGTTACTATGGCGTAGTGACACTGCCGTCCGGACGTGCGAAGGCCCATCACAGCACTTCTTATTTAGCAGAGAATTTGTTACGAAGCTCACATTCTAATCCGGGTGAAATGTATAATGTCATAGTCGCATATAAATACAAACCAACCACCGGCCCAGTGTAGTGTCGCCAATACTAGCCCTGTGACATGCTATTCTACAGCTCAATTATCTCTTGGATCTCGTCCACGACACTGCTCCACACTGTCTTCTCTGAGGAGAAGTAAGTCCTGAAGACATCCTTCAATACCTTGTCTCCTAGATTCATGTGTCCGCCCTTGGTCGTCTTGAAGTGTAGACCACCCTTCTTATCGAGCTTCTTAAGACCAATCCAATCCTCCTTGTAGATATCGCGATCCCTAAGGTCCGTGACCTCATTGCTGGTGGTATTTGTGTACGCGAACCAACCCGACTCCTTCGGTATGACAGTGGTGTCGTCTTCGAACACGTACATAACAAAGTTGTCTAACGCAGCGAGGTTCTTCGCGTAGGTGACGTTCTTCAGCACCCTCTCGTTGTTGATATCGGCGAGGAAGTTGGAAGCTTCGAGATACTCTTCTGTGGGTTCGCCAGTTGTCTCGTTGGTGGCTTTGAAGTACTGCGCTGGAACGAGGTGGCCCTGTACCCACGCGCCCCAGGTATTAGCTTTGAGCAGACTAATATAGCCCTTGCACAGCCAGTCTCCGTCTTTGCAGATCTGATACTTGGCGATACCGTTGTGTTGACTGCCAAATGTAACCAAATTCTTAACGTTTATACGGTCTCCGCAGCGCTCTATCAGTCCACGAAGGAACTGCCCACCCTGAGAAAAGCCGAGTGCGTTTAAAGCTGGCGCTTTGCTCAAAACTTCGTGTTCCGCGATGTCGTCACAGACTTGCGCAATCTGCTCCGTCACATTGCCTAAGAATGTCGCTGTTCGATCGCTACCAGCATCTTCATCGAGCCGAATGTAGTACACATATGTGCCAGGGTTCGTCTCGTTTGCGAGGTCGCCGACGCTGTGCAGGCCATCTGCGGCATAGTTGTCGCCTAAGCCATGCCAGATGAGCAGTGGTAGAGGCTTGGAATCGGTTCGTGTGAGTGGCGACGCGATCGTCTGCGTCGCCAGTAAGAGTGTCGAAAGTGGAAGTAAATGAAGCATTTTGGAGACCGTAGAATTGAGATGGGAGGTGTAGGGTTGGAAGGCGCAACTTGAATGTATGAGACGCGAAAGTGATCTACGCCGCATTGCATGACGTTAGCATCAACCCGAGGCAGGTACAGCCGAGCATGGTCATAGCTTTCCATCGCTTTCACATCCAGAGAAAACATACAGTAAGGCCAGGTCACTATTATCATACTGTATATGAAGAAAAGAGCGCATACATATTGCTAAGAGCCTGGATTGGTGGATGCCAACCAGTGGTATACTACCATATCATCAGAATATTTTTTGAACACCGGAACGCCAACACCACATTGCGCCGTGCCATGCAATGATGTCTTTAACCAATAGCTCAACCAGCGATCAACGGTGTCTGCACCGACTGGAGCGCGTCCTGCTTCATCGCCTTGCGTTTCTCCTTGCTGATTGAGCTCTTCTTCTCTGTCTTCTTGGCCTTTTTAGCTTCTCTCCTGGCCTGTTTCGCAGCAAGCTCTTCGTCGTCCAGCATCTCCTCCTCCCACTCATCCCACTTCCTCTTGCGCTCTGCGGACTTGCCCTTGGGTGTGCCCTCGGTGATGGCACCGTGGTATGGTGCGTCACGGACTTGCTCAGGCTCAGCCCACAGCTCGTCAGCGAGCCAGATGGGCAGAGCCTTTGTCGCGGGACCCTTGACGTGCAGACTGCGGATGTTGCGCCAGCCCTGCCCAACGTGCTTATTGACAACTTCGGACACGACAGCCGCAGCGTTCTCAACAATCTGTTCAGATGTCATGGAAAGGTTGCCGATCTTGATAGAAGTATTGGCAGATGGGCTCATGCTGAGGTAGGTCGAGTTGAGAGCAGACTCGATCTCCTTTGCTACGCCTTGTGGTGTTCCAACTACGTTTTGTGGCTCTTTTGCGTCCTTCTTTGCGCTCTTGTCGATGTAGGCGCCTGCAGTAAGACGAATTGGAATTGGGCGCTTTGACTTGCTCTTGTAGAAGACCTTGCCTAGGCACTCTGCGACAATCTTGATTACGCGATCGTCGACCATGAAAACGTCGTACTCGGCGAGAAGTGCGCGCTTCTGCTCAAATGCCTTGTATCGCTTCTTCAGCTTGTCCACACCAAGCACACGTTGCACCTTTCCACGAAGGGCTTCTGGGAAAGCGTCAGATGCGACAAGGTCTTTGTATGCCCTTTGCGGGTCTTTGGTGAAGATGCATATCCGGACATCGTTCGCAATGATAGGGTGAGGTAGTTTGCTGGATAACATTAGCGGTGTGTCGCAAGCGCCATCATGTGCGAACCTACATGGCCACAGGCTTCAAGCTCTTGGTGTTGCCAATCTGCTTTTTTGTCGCCAGACTGAGAAAGATTGGCTCGTCAACCTCCTCCGCCTCGTCCTCATCTGCTGCCAAGCTCTTCTTTGGTGCCTCCTGCTGCTTTTCCTCGACGTGTTTCTTCATATGCGCAACAAGCGCCTTCGCCGCGCGCTCGACTTGCGACGGATCCAGCTGGTAGGGGGTGCCATTCGTGGTTTTGGTAGTGAGAGGCGCCTCGGTCGCCTTCTCGGCCTTCTTGGTTAGAGTCTTCGATTTAGCCATTGTTGCGGTGATGTGTTTGCGATGTTTCTCGTTGCTGGAAATTCTGGGCTAGACCCTTGTCCGAACTTTCGAACTTTTTGCCGGCTTTGAGGTTTCTCCGATGCTCCGAGGCAAATGCGGGGCTCGCTAATCCACATGCGGCAGGCAGTTGCGTCCAATCATCGCGTCGCAGTATCTTCAAGCACACGACAGGCTATTCATCCTTGCAATGTCACCAGCCGACCAATATCAATTTCACCACTTGTTCCCGTGCAGTCAGCCGTTTCATCAGCAGCGCGTCAATGGTACTCGACGTGGTACATACGCTGTCATTGCCCGTGCCAGCGATGAAGAACTGGTTGCAAGACACATTCGCCTCTCCATAATCAGACTGAATAATGAGGCATCACGAACACGACAGCAGTCATTGAACACGTACAGGACTGCCTACACGAGATTAACTGGTTCGTGTTATCGATTGATCGAAGCCATCCGAACACGGTTGAGCCGAAACGCCGTCACCGTGCGCTCGCCTGGCCATCTTCTCACACGACGCGTCTATACCGCTGTTCGCGTCCGTCGGCCCTACAGCTCCACTTTGGTTACGGACGTGTTTGCTCTCGCGTTAGTTGCGTCGATTGCTGCACAAAGTTTTTCTTTTCACTTGCGTGACGTTTGCCTCCATCTGGACATGGGCGTAGGACTGTGGGGCCATTCCATCTTCGTGCATGAGCACGCAGTACCTCAAGATCTTGGTACGCGTTCATAGCATGCGTAACGATACATTTTGTTCTATATATTTCAATTTGATACATGCGGCAACTATAGTGCGAGAGACGTGTGTGCCGCAAGTGTAGCACTAAATGTGAATGACTTTGTCTTAGCGCGTCAACATTACCAATGATGGTGCGTTAATGTGGAATCAGCTGCAGTGTAGAGGGGCTGGCAGAGCGGAGAAAATCAAGTTCGAAAGGCAGCCGAGGAGACAATGTATGTCATAGGCGTAATAATTATGCTCGTGCACAGAGGCTGGTGAACGCTTGTGGCAGAAGAAGATGAACCTTGGGACATGTATGATAAAATGAGTGCTGCAAAAGTACAGAAAGATACGCAATCGGATTAGCTGAGACATGGAGAGTGCTTCGCATTTGAAAGGAGGTTACAAGAGACATATTGCAAGGGAGGAAGGCGTGGTGAATTCGGGTGCTGGTTCTTAAGACGGTCCTAGCTTCAGCACGCTAACCAACCCACACCCGCGTCGCGACGTCTTCCACGATCGCGTTCGTGACAGACCCGTAGTTTCGCAATTGACTTGATGGCCTCCTCCTCCTCCTCCTCCTAACCTACGTCTTTCTTTTTCCATACTGCCTCGTGTCTGTCTTCGCGTTTCCAACATTCCTTCAGCAGCCGCCGGCTCGCCCGTCTCTCTTCGAGACACATCCATCTTACCCCATAGACTTCGACACGCCAGCAGCCTCGCGTCCTAGGAGCTCCGCACACAAGATGGACTTTTCACCAAGCAAGACGTTGTCCCAATCCCTCATCGAGTCGACAGAGACGCAGTCGGGCCATGTTCGGAAGCCCACGCCAACTCTTCTTCCGGCCTTCGGCGAAGACGGGCCATTCTCTTCATCGCCATTTCCACGCCCAACATCGTCGAAACGCAAGTTCGAAGAGGACTCGCCCAGCTTCCCCAAGCAGCTGAAGTACTACCCCACCCCGCAGCCCACGTCGTCGACCAACATTATTTCCTCGTCGCCCCGCCATGCCCGACCGGGCTTCGAACGCACCTTTTCTGCTCTGTCGGAGAGGACCCCACTCGGTGCTGTGCCCACCCTTGATCTCCCCGCAGATGGCGAGATCGTGAGGATGGGCCGAAGCTCAAATACTTCCGACTACCAGCTCTCTACCAACCGTCTAATCTCACGCGTCCACGTCCAAGCGGCCTACCACGCGCCAAGCCCACCGTATCCGCATGGATACATCGAAGTTGAATGTCTGGGATGGAACGGAGCGAAGATTCACTGCAAAGGACGCATCTTCGAGCTGAGCAAGGGAGACACGTACATGTCAGAGAATCCCGAGACGGCCATCATGTTGGATGTACAGGATACTCGCGTCATGATTGCCTGGCCATCTATCCCTGTATCGAAGTTCTCTTGGGAATCTGAGGAAGAAGGCATGCCTACTCCGACTCGTAACCGTACCCAAGAAAACTTCCATTCCAGCCCTCCTGTCGTGCCACGGTCGCCAGTCTCTCAGAGCCCGATCCGCCCTCCCGTCTTCGCCGGCCTTGGCACAAACGCGCAGTCCGGTCCCGTTCAAGTATTCGAGGATGCCGACGCTAGTGCAGACAGCCCTAGCGTTGACACCCCAGACTCTGCAGACCAGACCTTTATCCGGCCCTCTCTCCCAAGCTCCAGAACCAGCCATGAAGTTCGTCCTGTTGTCGACACCAAAGAGAGTGTCAACTTCACTGCCGACGACTTCTCTGACAACGATGAAGAAAACGATCCTGTTGTACACTCATTCGGGCCCTTCGGTCAGAACCTGCTCAACGGTATGGCCTCGTTCAACACAGCTACGCCAACACAGTCCAACCCTCCCCGTATGCGCGGACCTTTACTGTCACCATCCCCCAAACGTCCCGTTACTGAGCCTATCCGATTCAAAGAGTCGCCGATAAAGAACCATGTCATTAACCAATTGGCATTCTCTCGCATCCATTCCCAGCCGCTCTCCGCCATCCACAGCAACCTTCCCGCTGAATTGAAGGCTTGCGTGACAAAGAGTACAGATGGCAAGGACGATGAGGGTAACGGCACATCCACACACCTCCCCCAGCTCTCTAGACAAGAACTGAAGAGGATTCTGGACGACACTCCCTGTGTCGGTGAGATTCCCCGTGCCGGTAAGGATGCTGCTGGCCAACCACTTGAGAACGAGTTCTACTATGTTCCAGAGATGGACTCCAACCAGATGAGGCGCGAGACCATCACCGCTGGCACACGCAGCACTGGACTACGGTCTGTTAGGAAGACACACAAGGTACGTGATACGTATGTCCGCCTACACAATCTCCCGCTAATGATTCACAGCAATATTACTGGAAGAAGCCTCGCGTTTAAGCAACTCTAATTTCACCCAATTTGCGCGCCCCCCATCAGACGGTTGATCGCTTTTCCATTATCATCACATCCTCCTTTCATGCCACTGTAGCAACGACCTCGCCGCAGCGTTGTGCACCATCAGTATAGGTCGACTACCAAAGCCTACGTCGATCGCGCATAAAATGCCCTAACCCTTTTTGAATCCTATCATGTTTTTGTATGCATAGCGAGGCGTTACGATACCATTTTCACGCTCATAGTTGTATCTCGGAGTTTCGAATTTTACTCTTCTCTTGTTTACACCCACTACTGTCCTCCGTCCTGGAGTACATGACTTCTTCATCAAGACGATATGTCTGTACCCTTCCCCGCTGGAGACGAAACATCTTTTGGATAGACACCTCCAACCTCTTGTATTCTTGGTGGCGTTTCTGGTTTACGGCGGATGCGGATACAGAAACTGCTGTGTTGACGGACAGAACTTCAGCGACAAGCTATTGCGGCCATCACGATTACGATTTCAGAGCGCTTTCGCTTAGGCGTCGGACGATGAGGCGCATTTGAATTCCCGAAGAGAACCATGGTCAGTGGTGGATGTTTCGATCCCGGTTACACGAGTGTTTAGTATGCGAGCAGGACACAATCTGTGTGTACGTGTATGTCCAATGTTCTTTGCGATAAAATTCATCAAAAGTATAAAAGCTATTGCGTATTAGTATGAAGATCCCCATGCAATTGTCACGTCCACGATTCCCGTCAGGGCTTCTTTTGGGCTTTTTACACCTGAAATCGATCCAAGACAACAACAGTCTAATCCACAGGCGCATTGCATTGTGCCCAATTTACTGACCTTCGTGGGATGTGATCGGTGACGTCATACATAGTACGTTCATGACGCGATCTCACGTGATCTAACCTCACAAGGTCTCCATGGCTGACATGTGTAACACGACAAGAACAGACCATAGCAAGGGAGCAAAGAATCGAAGCTGGTGGTGTTTGAATTTGAATCGATTCACTCTACATGCCTGGTTCCCTTCATAAAGTCTCAAATTCGAGACAAGACAAGCACGCCATTGATGCCATGTGCCGTGGAAGAAGTAGTAGTGACCTAGCCCTCATATCCATCGCATGCAATCGTTGCAATTCGTATCCACCGACCCCGTTGCTCTCTTCGCCAGACGCCGATAGAAGCGAGTTGTTTACTTCAACTTCTTCTTGGGGCGGAGCTGGTTGGTGTGACCGCACTTCTTCTTGCGCTGTGGTGTTGTTAGTCAAAGTCCAATACCCTGTCCATCCTTCTCGTTCATGGAACAACGTTGTGGTGATGACGTACGCAGTTGACAGCCCTCGGTGGCAGGCGTGCGTAGCACTTGCGGCAGATCATCTTGTCGCAGTTGTACTTGGAGGCAAGGGCCTTGAGCGAGGGCTCGATGATACCACCACGGAGACGGAGAACCAAGTGGAGGGTTGACTCCTTCTGGATGTTGTAGTCGGACAGAGTGCGGCCATCCTCGAGTTGCTTTCCGGCGAAGATCAGGCGCTGTTGGTCCGGGGGAATGCCCTCCTTGTCCTGGATCTTGGACTTGACGTTGTCTGCCCATAGTGTCAGCCTATATCCTCCTTGTTCGGTATCGCTGTGCAAGCGCTGGCGATGCGGTGCGGTGCGGTGCGTTGCCGTCGTGTGGCGCTGGGGTTTTCGTACCGATGGTGTCACTGCTCTCGACTGCGAAGAAGTCAGTGCATGCTCTAATACATTCTGTGCGTACGCGATATACCTTCGAGCGTGATGGTCTTGCCCGTCAGGGTCTTCACGAAGATCTGCATCTTTGGCGGTGTTGCGAGTGTTCCGTGATCTCAGGATCGAAGTCGAGGGCGAAAGAGCAAGACGATTTCCACACTGTGTGGGCGTCCGTGCGAATGAGCTAAGCCCGTTAGCGTTAGCGATGTCCCGATGCCCCTCGCGTGTGACGCCCTCCCCAACCACTTCGAACTGACACCTATTAGAGTAACATCTGCAATAGTCATTCCGAAAGGTAAACTTAAATGATGTTCTGGCACTCAAAATCTGGGTGTCATAGAAGAACAAGCTTATATTACATGCGCACGGCGTGGCTACCTCGTCAAGCCTGCCTCTTCTGTGCCTTTTTCCACTGTTCAACCCTTGCCTCTGTAAAAACCACTGCTAAAGTGAGCATATTAACGGATAACCCTGCGATCTTTGCAGCTCCTTCGTATAGCATCTTCGCGGCGTCGGGTAGATCCTGTTCCGTCTTCCATATTGGATACGCCTGGCCTGCCCTAAGTACCTCAGCGTCCTCCTCAGCCACAACGGGCACTGTCTTGATAGCACCATGAGTTGCCTTTACAGTATCTAGTTTCTGCCCTAGTGGAAGGCCATGAGACATTTCCTGCGGAGGATGCTGTGTCTGAGTGTCGATGGGAAACATGTCGTACAGCGCATTTCGGAAATCGTCAACATCCCTTGTGCGCTGTATCTCGGCATTGTCCAGAAATGTGTCGGCGTAGAAATCTAGATACTGATCCATATCTTGAGGGTTCATTTGAAACACGTCCTTCTCTTGCAGCTTTGTCAAATCCTCAGTCGTGAAGTGTCCGTTGCCTCCGCGCCCAGCTTCCTCAGCGGCCTTCATCTGCTCGCACCACGCTTGCCAGTCCATGACGGCCGCTGTTGGTTCGGACGATGACTTTGGAAAGCGCTTCTCGTTATCGAGCGGATAGAGTATCTTGATGCATATCATGAGGCAACTTACTAGTTGCGCCTCGGCAAGATGCCGTATACCCAGACGTTTCTTACCGTCATAGTGAGGAGCGAAGTCATAGCCCAGCAACTCGCCCAATCGTTTGGTTGCATCATACAGCTCAAGTGGCAATGCGAGCTCCTTCAGGTATCGGAACAGCAGTAGTGGCACGTTTAGAACTGGCCAGACGAGACCATGGTCTCTATTGTAGCTTATTTGCAGGTCTGTGAGCGTTTTGTAGAATCGTGTATGAGTAAGCGGCGCGCTTGGATCGAGAACAGCGCGGTAGGCAGGTGGCAGACGATCTCTCATGGCGAGTGGCAGCAACTTGATTGCCCTGCGATATGCCATTTTGCCATCTGCCACCCATGCATAGATATCGCCTGGCGTGAAGGGCAGTCTTAGTGTCGTGATGCCAAGGTAACACAAAACTAGACAATCGTTAAGATTGGGTGCTGCGGACAGCTTCCGGTTCCTCTTTTCCTTTGTAACTCGGAGGTGACCTTTCTCATTGTCCGTGGCATCATCCTCGCTCTCCATGGTGCTGAAGACTTGCTGTTGAGATTGGAATTCTGACGACTCTTCGTCATGACTCGCAATTCTGTCTCCCAGTTGAGCAATACGCAGTGACCAGAGATCGCGCGTGACCGCTTCAAGTTCGGTTGGTAATCCTCGGTCCTTTGTCAGATACCAAAGTTGGTGTCGCAAGATAAGTTGGAGGCACTTCAAATACAAGTCAAAAGCTCGAGGGCCCTTGTAAATTTTGCCAGTCGATTTGTCGTCTTCTTCCGTCTCTTTCCTCTTACGCGTGACTGTTCGGGCAGCTCCTACGTAGTCATCATCGTCTTCTCCGCGGACTAGACCAGCCTGTTGGTGGCCATTCTGGCAATACAAGTACCCGTCTTCGCCCTCCTCATAGCGTCTAGACCGGCAATTTTCGACGCCACAGACAGGGCCTTTAGTCGACATGAAGTGGATCTGAACAGAATCGACTTGTCAACCGCGCACAGAGTCAGTTAGGATAGTAAGCGAAAATAGACAGGCTGTAGTATCAGGTCATGTGTCGTTGTGCACCAAGTTGTTCATGTTGCGATGATTTTACCAAACGCTACGCAAGCAGAAGTTGGCCGGCCACTAGCGCGGATCCGGGAACCAGTCACACGAATTTTGTACCAATGAGAAAGTCGACAATTGCCGTAAAGTCATCACCTTTTATTCATTGCCAGAAGTGTAAGGGATATATCTAGGAAGGGAAGTGAATCGTAATACGTTTCCCACACATGGCAATGCAAAGAACCCAAAACCGTCCGAAGAATCTCGTGCATTGGTCGCCTAGTGCAATTATCAATTGCACGGGAGAATGCTACGCTTGCCGCGGAGCTACAACTTTGCACGAGATATGCAAAGAGTGTCGTAGCGCCCGCTCGTAAGCTGTTTGCAATTCGCGCCTCGCTTCCTGCTAAACAGTCTACATATTGGACGATCCGCTTATTTAGGAGCCTCCTTGGCGTCGATGCAGGCCTCCTCACCCATAGCAGTAAGGATAATGACGTCTGATAGAAAGTCAGTAAGATGCGTAGTAGGCTTTGTCGAATTTAACTTACTAGTATCCTTGCCTTCCTGGTTGAACATCTTGTCGATCTTGTCACCAACTTCACCGTCGGGGACCTTGACATCTTCCTTGGTGGAGCCATCGTCGGACATGAGAGAGAGGAAACCGTCGTCGGTAACATCAAGCTGAGTCTCGTGTTAGCCAAGACCTGACATTGGGTCATTTGGTGCCACTTACGAGCTGGTACTCGCGACGAGTGACGTTGGGAACGTCCATGTTGTGGGTGGAGGGGCAGAGTTCTTCCAACTTCTTGGTGGTGAAGATGTCGATGGCGACCAGATGGACCTTGGCGTGACCGTGCTTTCCGGTCTTGGAGGTGGTCATCTCGACGATCTTGCAAGGGCGGTTCTTGATGCAGACGAAACCGTTCTTCCTCAAGGCAGAGCACTGCATGGGGTAGGTAAGAGACGCACCCGCATCGGCGCTGTCGAAGGTGTGCTCATGCTAGACACACCAGAGTCAGTACAGGGCGCAACAAAGAGGCGCGAATGTGGAAGTCGCCTGGTCGCAGCTGGCGACAGTGCTCCGAAGGGTGGGGTAAATAGCACATGCGGGGCTGGTATCCGAGGAAACGTACCTGCGCGTCGTTGTCGGCCATGGTGATGAATGAGAGTTGGATGCGACGGTGAGGAAGAGTTCGAGTTCGGGCTGCTGGTCGAGGAGCGGTGGGGTGGGCAGAGTCCTTATATGGGAGATGGAGAGAGAAGTCTTTTGCGTGGGCAAAATTGGGCAGGCGCGGAGGGGAAGGTGGCGCTAGCGGGTCCCTGTCTAGTTCTCGGATTAAACAATCGCCGGCATCCTAATCGTGAATGCGCCGTGTCCCAGCTTCCACCTCGAAGCCAACTATTGGCACTTGATCCTTGGTGAACTGATTGCGACTTAATAGACATCATGTGGGGTCTAGATAGGCTCTCGTCGTACTCGACAGCCCCCGGCATGCCGCCTCCGCGACGCGATTCCCACTCACCAGCTCCTCGAAGGGGCTACCCAGCTCCGGCGCAACCTGTCAGACCAGGGCTTAATCCACGATCTTCCTCACTGACGCCCCTTATATCGCCCAATGCCTCGACTGCAAGCCTGCCTCTATCCGCACGAATACCGAATGGCGGGCCACGTAGACGACAGACAGGCGGCGTTCCTCCAAACGTGCCAGATCCTATACACGTGCTCGAGTCGATTATGGGAGGACGACCACGCAACACGCCTGCGACAAACGCTGAAGAGGTAGCACCTATGTCTGGGAAGCCGGAAGAGGTAGAGGAGCACATCGATTTTGGGGAACTGAGCTTGCAGGACTTCGTGGCGGTGAAGACCGCAGAGCGACAGCAACCCACTTCTGTACATACATATAGCGCGCAGTCAGTCGAAGAATGTACGTGTTCATGTTCGGAGTCTCAAGTCTTTGCTCATTGTGTCTGCAGATGACAAAGACAAAGATAAGTTTGAGGACCTACACAAATCTATTTTGGCGTGCGATGAGGTGCTCAAGTCGGTGGAAGCAAACCTGACAAACTTCCAATCCGATTTGGAGGCTGTCTCGGCAGAGATAGAATCTCTCCAGAACCGGTCCATTGCTCTGAACACGAAGCTGGAGAACCGTAAGGTGGTGGAGAAGCTTCTGGGGCCGGCGGTGGAAGACATCAGCATATCGCCAGCTGTCGTACGCAAGATTGCCGAAGGCCCGGTTGACGAAGGCTTCGTGCGCGCTCTCGCAGAGGTTGAAAAGCGGTCCAAGACAGTGAACGACAAAGCCAAGGAGCACCCGGACTTGATGGCCATAAAGGACGTCAAACCCTTGCTAGACGATCTTACACACCGCGCAGTTGAACGAATACGAGACTACATAGTTGCTCAGATCAAGGCCATCCGCTCACCTTCTATCAATGCGCAGATCATTCAGCAGCAAGCATTCCTTAAATACAAAGACCTGTATTCTTTCCTGGCAAAACATCAGGCAGAACTTGCACAACAGATAGCGCAGGCATACATATATACCATGCGCTGGTACTATCTCAATCATTTCAGCCGCTACCGGACAGCGCTCGAAAAGATCAAGGTGCACGCTATGGATAGGTACGATGTTCTAGGCGAAGATCCCAGTGCTAGAAGGACGGGAACTCTGCTCGGTCAGTCTCGAAATGCACCAGTCGCCTATGACGCTTTCTCCCTCGGACGACGCCGCGATGCTCTGAAGAGCTCCTCCGTCAATGCCTTGCCAGCGAATGTCGCCGAAGACGAGAAATCGCCCCACTACCTAGAAGTGCCTTTCCGCAGCTTCAATCTCGCACTCATCGACAACGCATGTTTCGAGTATACCTTTATCTCTACATACTTTGCTCCATCGCAAAACTTCCATGCCATCTCGCGGACCTTCAATTCAATCTTCGAGCCCACGCTAGCAGTCGGCCAAACGGTTACGAAATCTCTCGTGGAAGCAACGACGGACACTCTGGGTATACTCCTCTGTGTACGACTTAATCAGCATTTCGCTTTCGAACTCCAACGTAGAAAGGTCCCGACTGTGGAAGGCTACATCAACGCAACCAATATGTTGCTATGGCCGCGGTTCCAACAGGTTCTGGACATGCACTGCACGTCGCTCCAGAAAGTTACAGCATCTCTGCCCGGTCGACCCTCGGCTGGTGCTGCATTACTTGGCTCCAGCTCCTCGACCGCTACCTCTACAGCGCCGACACCTCTCACGCAAAGATTTGCAAACTTGCTTCAAGGCATATTGGCTCTTTCTTCGGAAGCAGGCGATGACGAGCCTGTTAGTGTATCTGTGGGCAGATTGAGGAGTGAGTACGAAGCCTATCTCACGAAGCTGAGCAAGGGTACTAGTGATGCACGGAAGAGGGAACGATTCTTGTGTAACAACTACAGCTTGGTGTGTACGATTTTGGCAGATGTTGAAGGAAAGCTTGGGGAGGAAATGAGGGCACACTTTGAGAAGCTGAGAGATTCTTTCGATAAGTGATACTACGAAGAGAGAAGCATTTAGGAACTTGTACTGCAGGCCAGTAAAGGTTCTCGGCAACGTCTTTCAATTCATGTGACTCTTCTATCCGTCAAGCACATGTGCCACAGTCTGTTCTATCTGTTGTCAAGTTCATATATTTGCGATGGTTTATGCCTTCCTGTAGTATTCTAGCTAATGCGATACGAGTGTGGTCACTTATTTCATTATTATCTAGGCCTGTCCTCAAAGCATGCTATAACACTCGCCAGATTATGACCGAGCAGGTAAAAGTATCAGATCACTCTTCCTCTAACCCATCAGCGGCGCCCAGTCCTTTTTCGCCTGCTCGCTGAAGAAAGCCTTGACGTAAGTTCCCTTACCAAGAGCGAAACCCTTGCTCCTCAACAACATGTACATGGCGTTAAGGTGGAAGTAGCCTATTTGAGTCAGTATCCATTTCACATGCAGCTAATTCAACGATAATGCTTACTGTTTGGGATAGCGAAGCTGCTGTAGAAGTCGGCCAAGCTAGTCATCTTCAATGGCTTGCCCGCAACACTGATTTCGAGGCTCTTCTCGGCACTCTCGCTGAATGCCTTCTCATCAACAGCGTCAAAGACAGCAACGAGCTGCTTGAAGAAGTTGATGACGTCGTCGATAGACGAGAAGGAAGAGGGGTCCATGTTAGGAGGCGAGGCCGAGCTAAGCTTATAAGTGTTGATTCCCTCAAGCGGGAATTTGGCGACGAGGATGGGTTGCATGCGGAGGGGAAGCATGTCTCCAATTTGAGCGTTCAGTACGTCGGCGCCAGAGGGCAACGAGCTGTTCTTTGACTGCTCATCTTTGGCTGTTAAAAGGAAGTCAACGGCGCTTTGGGCGATGCCGCGAAGTTGAGGGATGGTGGTCTGGTAGAAGGAGTAGGTAGACATTTTGGCGAGTGTGTAAAGGCTAAGTGAGGGGTGTGTAAACGTAGGAGGGCTTGTAAAGGTTGGAGGGGTATATAAAGATTGAAGTACGCTTGGGAATTTGTAGAGGTGGATACAGGAAAAAGGAAAAAGGGCGATCGCCCGAATGATCTAGATATATCTGTGGACTCTATCCTGCACCCCTCGGTCCTCGCATTACACGTCGGCCTATTGTTTACCCCTCGATTCTCGCATTGCATGTCGGCCCATTATTCGCTGTTAAATCCGATCCGTTGATCTTGTCTCAGACCCTCAGACCGCATATTGCCGCGGTACGGCCGAGTGGGCTCAGAACTTTAGCCTACCTAGGTACTACAGCGGTGTAGACTGGTAATCGAGTTCTACTTGATTTCTCTGACAGTGGATCACTATCAATTCCAAGACCGAGTGAACGACATCTGCATTGAGTGCAGACCATTCTTGAAGCCTGATAGACTTGCCCCATACAAGTGTAACGTACTTGCATATAACTTGAGGTGGTGAGACCGGAGAACGGGCCTTTCCGCACTAGCACTGCAAGACATTCCCCACCTTGCTCACGCACGGACCGTAGAAATTCTACATTCGCCACCATGGACCTCGGGCGCGTGTGCGTAGACAAGACGGACTACTTTACACCCAACGCCGTAATTGCTTACACATCTCTGGTGAATGAATATTCCAGTTTTCAATTGAACATTCAATACGCTGAGCACCGAGCATGGCTAAGCGAAAGCGCAGCGCAAACGCGCAAGCACAGACTGTGAAGAAGCAGTCCACAACGGGCATTCCAAGTCCACCACAAGATGCGAATCCACTCGAACCAGCAAGCGTGCACTCAGTAATCTCGTCTGAGGAGATCGAGGTCGCTATAGAGACACTGCAGACGCTATCCGCACATCCACTACTGATTAAGTCAAAGGCATGCAAAGATCTTAGGACTGCCGTATACGACTTCCGTCAAGCATGTACGACCGGTCTGAACTCAGCTGGTATGCTTATATCTTGAGCTTCAACACCAAGTGCTAAACATGAGAGTAGATGGCAGTAACCTTACTGCGCGCATATCAGGTGCGCTCACAGACGCAAAGTACACAGAAGCCCTCATCTTGTTGGCAGAGATGAAAATTAGGAAAGACACTCCAACACTAGGTGCTCTTTGTCGCTGGGTGCGCACTCTGGACGTGGTTTCCGGGCTCTCGATTCATGTCCAGGTCCCTAGTCACGAAGTGGTTGGTAAGAATGCGCAAAACGACGAGCTGATTGGGGTATTGGATTCAATATTAAGAGTCACGGGTCCGACGGACACAACGGCCCACGGCACAGACATCGCATCGGGTATCTCACTACAAGATACCTGGGATTTACGAGGCACCAGCAAGCCTACTCGTCAAATACGGCGAAGCGTCGAGGATAAGAGCATCTTCACTTCATGCTCTCCAGATCTCAAAGACCGCTTTCGCATCATTGAGACCACACCTGGACTCCAGCGCAAACCACCGAATCTTCATCCCGCAATCTTGTACGCTTCCCAAGATGACGCTGTGCTGCTCGGCGAGGGACCCAAGACAGAGTGCTTCAAGCACCCAATTGTGCCTAACCTGCGTCTGATCAAGGATGTGCTTTCTCCAGAGGAATGCTCCTCTATCATTGCAGCTGGAGAGACTATAGAGTTCATTCCAGATGCGCCGATGCGACCTCAAGGTGAAGACACGAGTGTGCTAGCACACAACTTCTACTGGATCGTCGACCAAGCGTTCCACGACAAGCTCTGGGACAGAGTGAAGGGCTTCGTGCCGGAAAGCGTGGCTGGCAAGAAAGTGCGAGGTATCAACCGACGCTTCAGAGTGTACAGATATGTGCCTGGTGCGGAATACCGTATGCATATCGGTGCGTGACCCTATGAAACCCAGCCTGAATATAGTCGCTAACTCCAATAGACGGCGCATGGCCACCTTCAGGTATCGATCCTGTCACTGACGCCTACAAATATGATGCGTCGCCAGCCAATGCTCGCCAGTCATCCCTCTACACCTTCCTCATCTACTTGAACGACGAGTTCAAGGGTGGCGAAACCACTTTCTTCATTCCAAGTGTGAAGGAAGGTGTCATCAACGCCTATCCGGTCAAGCCTATCATGGGTAGTGTGGCTGTATTTCCACACGGCGAAGCTCAAGGCGCAATCCTTCACGAGGGCACTGGGGTCGTCGAGGGTGCAAAGTATGTGATCAGGACGGATGTTGAGTATGATGTCGACAGTACAGTCTAAGGGATCGTGTAACATCTTCCATGACAAAAGTGACAATTGTATGATATTAGAGTATATTGAAATCATCATGTAGATTGCAAGACGCGATGACGATGAGAATGTTGGTTGAGCCAATGCGGCAGACAAAAGTCCATATCGTCATTCCCAGTCATCCAGAACGTGCTATATAGTCATGCTAAGCCCCGAGTCCAGACCCAAATACCCACATGAATAATGATATCCCAGATCATGTGTATAAAACTTCGTGCAAAGAAACCCTAGATACCATCAAACGCCCCCTAGAAAAAGAAGGAACACTAATAAGCTTGCGCGACACCACTGACCGTCCTTTGCTTCATCCCGCTCCACCCGCCACCACGTCCCTCTTCAGCAATCTTCCCACTGACATCTCTTCTCCGTCCTGGCATACCCAAGTCTGAGTCGTCAAACTCATACGGGTTGATGTAATCAACACCAGACCGACTGATCACACGCGGTGACTGGCCCTTGACAGGTGTGTAGTTCGCCTCACCAGTGCGCTTGATGCTCGTGTAACTCTTCTTATGTAGGGTAAACGGCGAGTTGACCAAGTTGTGTTGGGGAACGGGCGGAGGAGCATTCACGGCGTATTGCTTTGTTGCACTGGGGAAGTGGTTGGGATTGCGCACGGAAGATCCCTTTGTGGGAGAGGCGGAGGGAGAGTTTGAAGGCGAGTTTGCGCTTCGCACGCCCTCGGTTGCGGCTTTGAGGTTGCCGTAGTAGCGCGATTTGGGTGTACCGGAGCGGGAGTGTGAGCGGTCGAACGTCTTTTCTGTGGAGATCGATGTTGTTGTTAGAGTACGTTGAAGACCAGATGGTGGAGGCGTGTTCTTCTGGTTGTTGTTTGTGAAGGCGTCGGTAGGCGGGGGAGAAGGCAGGGGAGATGGTGGGTTCTGGCTGAGTGGGTTCATGCGCAGAGGTTCGGGCATCATGGGTTCTTCGGCTTCGTCATCCACGTCAGAGACGTCCTCATAGCGTGAAACAGTGTTGTAGCCCTTGTTTCCATTCATCGAGAACATTGATTGCTTGGGTGCTGGGGCCAGGTGGTTTTCGTCGTATTCATCTTCCTGCTCAGGATGCACGAACCAGTTATCATTCTTGAGGCTTTGTTGGGAGTTTCGCTGAAGAGAAAGATCGCCGGACGCTTCCTGTTTCAAAGAACGAGCAGTAGCAGGAGGGGTATGGAAATCTTGCTTTGAGGAGTTGGTGATGTACGCGTCGGTTCGAGAGTGTCGCTTGATGTTCGCTTGCTCAGAAAGCATGGACTTGCGTTGAGCTAGTGTCTGATTGTCTTCGTCCTGGTGACATAGGTCATCACGGTGGTTGAGCTCTTTGCGAGACTGGTGTGCGGATGGAGGCTGAGAGTACATGGAGAAGCGCTCCTTGGATTGGCGAGCCGAAGCAGGCGTATGGGGTGAGTATGTGGTTTCCGAATCTGTTCGTGTGTGCATGAAAGCAACTTGACTCTTGTTTGGACTTGGGATGTCACTGTAGATATAGGAAGGAGTTTTCGATGAGCGATCTCCAGCAATGGTACTTTGGTCACTGAACCTCTTCTCCTGATCCGACGTAAGAGGTATGATAGCTGATATCGAAGAGTTCTTGTACTTGTGCTTGGTCTTCCTGCGCGAGGTCAAGTTGTCTTCGAGAGGGTTCATGTCCGGCGGCAGCTTGGATATATTTCGGAAAAGGATAGCCAGATACATGTCAATAACTGCTGAGATCAGATGGAGACCACCGGTAGCAATGGCGGTGATCCATGTCGTCATCAGTACTATGTTCGTTTCTCCATCCGTGGGGAACATAGTGCGCCAACGCCCAACTGTTCCAGCTTCTTTATCAGAGTTACGGCGAGCCATCAGAACGGTAAAGACGTAGAACGGGATGAAGCCAGCGTCTGTGACAAGGGCGAAGAAGTGATAGCTGGCGGAGCTACCGGCTGGTCGTGTTTTTGGATTACGGATTAGATGGTATATGGCGTATAGAGAAACGACGAGATCCACACCAGGCTGTCTATGTTAGCGACATGTTTGTACGTTCATCGCAATGAGCCTACCGGTATCCTCAGTATGTAGCCTTCTGTATCCTGAGCACCCCGAATGAAGATGCCGCAAAGCAAGACACCCACCGCGCCAAGCAGAGTCAGTATCCGAAGACTGAACTGGGTCCATCGCGCGATATCGATGAAGACCTTGGTCTTGGGGCTCATTGGCTTCGCGTTTGTGTTACCGTACGGAAGTATGAGGTAACTGTCTGGATGCTTGTTGAAGTCGATCAGAGGGCCCTCCTGCTTCTTCTTGGGCGGTGGGGGCGGCATGCGACTGGCCATGGTAATGGCCTTTGGGTTGAAAGTCGACCGAGTGGGGTCGGTGTCAATCATGGAATCCCTTTGGGATGCATACATGTAGGGCTGCCAGCGGCCCGCCATAGTTGCGATGGAGAGCGAGAAGTAAAGAAGGAAGTTCTACTGCACACGACCGTCTGAACAGAAGGTGAGAGATATCTTCTCGCTTATAGCAACGGAATGCAAATGCTGGTTGATGGATGACATGGGCCCACGCGGGGACCTGGGGAGATATGTATGTAAATACAAGGTTGTCATGACAACAATCAATATTGACCAATGCAAATCCAGAGCGCCTCATGACGTGAGAGTGCACGGATGGGACGGGCATATACATTGACTAGTGATAGCCACGAGCGGCTGAAACTTGAATTAGCCAGGAACATGTGGGGGCCCGAGGAGTTACAGCAGGGAATTGTGGTTAGTTTTGCTTTATTCGCCCAGCTTGGGCGCATGAACGGCACGTTGGGCGGATATGAAGGCCGACAATTGTCGCAATTGCATCTGGATAGAACAAAAGGGCTTAGTGCGAAAGGAATGTCTTCTGAGTATGGGCTTGACAAAGATACAGTAGTCGTGAGTGTTCATGCTGTAGTACGAGTCAAGGCTTCAAGTCGGTAGTAAACCTTAGTCATCTCGAGATTCCTCGCGCGGCGATTGCCGCTACCAACTGCAAGGACCTTCACAACATGCAACTCGCCCGGCGCATACAAAAGACGCCGCATGTCTGCGCTAGCTGCACTCAACGTATAGCAAGCGCGTTGGCTCCGATAGGCCGTGACCATGGTACTAGGCATGTAAGAGGCATCAGCACCATCCGACATGGACCATCAGGCGCGTTTTCGTCCTACATCGCATCTTCTGCACAACAACCACTCCGCAATGCCTTCAGCACAGCCGCGACTGCTCGAGGGCGCCTCCGCGTCGCTATCATTGGCTCTGGACCGGCTGGTTTCTATACCGCGTACCGACTCATGAACAAGAACCAAGATGCCGTCATTGACATGTACGAGCAACTTCCCGTACCTTACGGGCTTGTCCGCTTCGGCGTCGCGCCAGACCATCCAGAGGTCAAGAACTGCCAGGACACATTTGAAGAGGTAGCGCAGTCACCGCGATTCAACTATGTTGGCAATGTCAGAGTCGGATACGATATCGAGCTAGCCAAGATGAAGCCCCACTACGATGCGATACTGTTCTCATATGGCGCAAGTGAAGACAGACAGCTAGGGATACCGGGAGAAGATCTGCCAGGCGTATACTCGGCCAGATCCTTTGTGGGATGGTACAATGCCCTGCCACAGTTTCGAAGCCTGAAGCCAGACCTCCAAGCTGGCGAGCAGGCAGTCGTCATAGGGCAGGGAAATGTGGCGCTCGATGTTGCGCGTATACTGCTGAGTCCTGTTGATAGCTTACGGCATACCGACATATCAGAGCAGGCTATACAAACGCTTTCGGAAAGCAAGGTGCGGTCTGTGAGGGTCGTTGGCCGACGGGGGCCAATACAGGTACGTCTTGTTGTGCTCATGAGCTAGTACATCGCTTACCAGAATCCAGGCTGCTTTCACTGTCAAGGAAGCTCGAGAATTGATGAACATCCCTTCCGTCGCCTTCGAACCTATCGACCGCTCCCTCTATCCACCAGAGATCAAGAAACTACCCCGCGTACAAAAACGAATAGCTGAAGTCCTACTCAAGGGCAGCAAGGCCACCAAAGAGGAAGCTCCACGGTCATGGACACTTGACTTTATGCAAGCGCCGAAGTCTATGCACGCAGACGCTGGTCATCTCTCGTCAATCGCCTTTACGAAGCAACAGTTTATCCCCGACGCCGATCCCTTTGACCAACGGGCCCGCGTCACACCTACAAATGAAGAAAAATCGATGGAAGCCTCGCTAGCATTCCGGTCCGTAGGGTACAAATCGACAGGTCTGCCGGGGCTTTCTGAGATCGGCGTACCATTCGACGACAAGCTCGGCATAATTCCCAATGACATGCACGGTCGGGTCATTACACCATCGGTGGGGCCTGGCAACTTGACAGCTGGTCATGTCCATGGGCTATATTGCGCAGGCTGGGTGAAGCGCGGTCCAACGGGCGTCATCGCAAGTACTATGCAAGACGCCTTCTCGTCTGCAGACATTATCGCGCAAGATTGGGAGACTGGTGTACCGTTTTTGAACGATACTAGCGGCGACAACAGAGGCACAGGTCTCGGCTGGGATGGCATCAAGGATAATGTGACGAGTGTAAGATCACTGAGCTGGTCGGATTGGAAGAAGATCGACGAGGCTGAAAGAGCCAGAGGCAAGAGTAAAGGCAAGGAGAGGGAGAAGTTCCAGAGCGTGGAGGAGATGCTCAAAGTCTTGGATGTATAAACATCATGTTATGACAAACTACTATTCTAAAACATTGACTATATGTCAACCTGTCATGTGCTTCTCTTACGCTCATCACGCTGGTGAAGAAGGCAGTCTTCGCAGTCGTGGCTGTTGTGCATAATCGGATGCCTGTAGTCATATCTCAAATGGCTGATGACACAATCTATGATCATCTGCATCACTCTCAGGCCCGAGACCGTCTTACGTACGACTTTGTGTATTTCGATAGGGTTCAATCGTGTCTATCTATCGTACATCAAGATTTATACGTGATTCACATAGCTTCTCGAATACCGACATGGTGTTTATCGGTTCCCAAAGCCCATGAAGCTGTCCCTTACAGGCACGTTGCCATCTATCGGCCTGCTGTATCTACTACTAACTGACGTCTGAGTCTTCGACGTCATATACATTCTCGACGCTTCCGGCATTGGCGGAGGCCACAAATCCTGTACTGTAACACCTGTCATTCTCGGTCCGTTATCTGCTGCAATCGGAGGACGAGGAGATCGCAAGGGATCGAATACACCGGAAGACGGGCGGCGCTCGCCATAAGTCGCTGACATATTGTAGAAGTCGTCATTGTTCATGCTCTGGACTGGATAAGTGTAGCCTCCAGTTTTGGGGTTGTAGATGCCGCGCTCCTGGTAGTTGAGTCGCTCTTCCGGCGAAAGGAAAGGGTCTTCCCGTGTGTCCGCCTCCGTTATGCTACCTTCTTTTCTGAAATTGAACGGTGTGCTGATGCCAGTATCTTCGGAGCCCTTGAGCTCATCGGTCTTTCGTTGTGAAAGCTTCGATTTGATGGAGCTAAAGTTGAGAGCGGGTGGTGGATCTTTCCTATCAAAACCAAATGTGACCATCGTGTCGCTCCGTCCATGGCTGCCAAAAGCAGTGGTTGTTGTTGTTGGCTTGATACCTGCCGCCTCTTTCTTGGCGATGTGCTGTTCTAACCATGCTCTGATGCCGACTAATGCTGTAGCACTGATTTGCACCATCAACACAAAGCTCACAAGACCAGCAACGCTCGTTGAGGTGAGAACTGCGTCGACAACGCAAAGTGATATGGCGCGGAGCGTCGAAAAGCCTTGCAAAAAGGTAAGCTGGCCAAGGCCTAATAGGAGCTGAGTGCTGATACCGCTGATGAGATAGATGCGTTGTGGTGTCTTGGCAAGCGCTATGGGACCTTTTATACCGGCGAATGTAGAAGGATCTGGGTGTGGAAGCTCGGTGCGAAGACGAACAATAGTGAAGCCCACTGCTGGAAAAATGAAAATGAGACAAATAAGGCCTATGATCTGAAGATATGAATTAGTTTGGAAATTTCCAGTAGATGTCCGCATAGAGAGCTTACGCTATGTGCATCTCGGAAATGACTAGCGTTTCCCATACCAGCAATACCAAGAATGATACCGACGATGCCTAGAATGCCGAAAGTAATCAAGAAGCCCATACGCCATTTTCTGTTCTTGGCTTCGTCGACTGGATAGCCGGTGAGAACGGAGAAGCGCCACACTACGCCCAGAACAAGGTATAGTGGAAGAAAGGTAAGAAAAGCAAGACCGGCAAACAGAACTGTGCGCATAGAGTTAGCGACAAAATTCGTCATACTATGCGATGACTGCAGCATGACTTACCATGTAGCCCAGTGATGACTGCGAATGGGACGAGCGCTAAGCCGTTGATCTTGAGACTCTGGCTCTCGATGACAATCTCGAACATGTTTCCCTCTGACGAAAGGGAGATAGGTCCTCGAGGCAATGCTTGCAGCACCGTTGGGTCGAGAGGTGGACTAGCTTGAGCCATTGCCATACTCATCATACTAGCATTCGCTTTGGCCGCCGTCATAGCACCCAAAGCTGCTGATGCGATGCCGCCAATTCCCGAGCATGTGAAGGTTTCGATCACTTTCTGAGCGCCCATCTGTGCTGTACCTGCGTCTATAGCGATAGGGAATTGATTAGCTCTTGCTTCAGCTTGACGGGCGGAAAGTGGGTTGTGTGTCACTGCAATATATTAGCGTTTGAAACAAGGTGTTCGACAGCAATCCCTTACCTACACTAAGATCCTCATGTACGTCTTGGATACTCCTTCTGCGTGATGGAGGCGCATCAGTGGACTTTGGCATGCCTTGCGTGAGATTTCTGGCAATCTCGGCAATCAGTATCGTCGCCTTGCCCGTAAGACCTCGCGCAAAGCCAACAGCCGATCCGTTCACGCTATCATTGAACTGCGTCGGAGCCAGAACCGGGACATCGTCGTATGCAGTATTCGGAATGTTGCCACTGATCAAGTTCTTGACTCCTCCGACAGAATACATGGCGCTCACAACTCCTTCAATGGTACCCCTGGCGAAGCCTTCCGCCGCCTTCGCGCCATCTATGCTCTTGAACGTCTGAGGCGGATTGCTCGTTATGAACTGTTTGGCCTGCTGGATGGCCGAACTGTTTGTAAGGAGGTTAGAGAAGAGGTTCTGCGTGAAGCCTTCCGCGGTCAATGCTGTCTGTTCGTCATCTCCGGTCATGTTACCGTCGATTATCGGCTTGGAGCCTGCAGCCTTGAAGTTCAATCCGATGGCGACCCCCATGCCTATACCTGCACCAGCTCCCGCTGCTATAGGCCGAAGCATGGCTTGAAGCTCGGTCTGATTGGGGAAGACCGTGATAGTCCCAATGTTGAGGTTTGAGAAGTTGCTGTCTTGAAGGAACGACTGACTAAGACCTTTTGCGAAAGCCTGCACAGTTCCTGGAAAGTCCGCCGTCTCTGTGGTGGCGTTCGCTGATTGTCGCTTCTGCTTTCCAGACGCTGGCGACTTCGACGCTGTCAACCCGAGACCATTCTTTGCACCCTCTCCTATACCTAGCCCAGCTGCTACCGCAATCTCAGGAAGCTTTTGCATCAGCATTGAAAAACCGGAACTGTTTCCAAAACTCCTAACCATAGCTTGAAGATCAACGTTGGATATAATCGGCATCGCAACTCCAAGACCGAAATTACCAGCTACGCCTTCAACACTCGAGTCTGTCGAAGGTGCAAATCGTTGCTGTGTCAGTCCGAAGCCTACTGCAGTCGCGTTACCGATGCCGGATGCTAGCGCAAAAGCCGCAGGACCAAGAGAGATGTTGTTGCTACCGAAAGAAGGTGTGATTTGTCTCGATAGGCCACTGCCGATCTGTTGGGCGGCGAGGTTCACACCAGTTACTGAAGCATTGTAAGCAGCCGCGATACTCGTAGCTATCGCGTTCGCTTCTTCCATATCAGTCAGGTTGAGAGCAGTCGTTGTACCCATGCTGCGGATGATTAGTACTATTCGCTGAGCTGGGCGGATATATACGTACCCTAGGCCGATACCCAGAAACAAAGCAGGTGTCCCAAGTGAGCCCACCATCAAGTCTCCCAGGCTGCCCAGTACACCAGTCAGCCCACCCGTCATATTCAACCCGCCTATGCTAACAGCACCACCCGTCAGATCTCGGAAGGCTCCGCTTAGGTCATCTTTCATATGCCGTCTCTTCAGCTCTGACTGCTGCTTATTGCGAATGTTGTTGACTCCATCCGTGAGGTTGGATCCGAAGCTTTTCAGACTTTCTAAACGAAGTCGTGCACCAAGATCACTGGAAGAGTGTGCGATGGCTTCTGTGAGGGACAGTAGTGCACTACGTAAGCGTACGTCTTGATTGAGCGCATCGATAGTCTGAGGAGTGAAGATCGCTGTGAGGCTGTCTGGATATCGCTCACTAACGATCGTTGTCTGCGTGCCGAACCAGAAGGCAGCCGATGAGTAAAGCAAAAAGAGTGTTGCCAAGCATGTTAACAGGTGCCAGACCGGCCTTTCAGAAGCAAAAGCAAACATTATTACAAGTAAGTAGTGGGGTATCTCAACGACATGTACAAAAGGAACCAAAGCGCGAAGGTGTCAATGGCGGTGGCCTGCCACAACACTCATTTAGGAAAACAGAAGAAGGCCACCGGCCAAGAGCCATAGCGATACTATATGTCGAGCATAACTGACATGGTGATGCTGTCCAGGGTGGCGTTTTCGAAACATCCTAAACGTGGAACTAGAAACGCTAGAAACACGCCAGCTCCATGTCGCGCCCGCAACATGTCAAGAACGCGTACTCTGCGTCGGAACTCCATCCTCTGCATTGCGACCTTCCGCGAGTATTGCGCTGCGGTGGATAGGAATATGGTCTTGGTGAAGAAAGTTCAGACTAGATAAGATGATATTCTTCTACATTGGTGTCAGCTTTGAGTCCTCATAATCGAACAGCCCAACCATAGCCAATATCAACTTTCCACGATCCACAGGATGCTGAAGGAACAGTAAAACAGCTTTGTAGAAGAGTCTCACCCGTCTCCCGGGTTGTCCTAGTAGATATGATCATCCCGCGACGAACCCGACCGGTAATGCGACGATCTTGAAACATGACCTCGGGCGACACCAGCCAGTAATGATGACTAACGTCGAAGCTGTGACACCAACCGCACATGGTTGATCAAAGTGCGAATGCGAACAGTGCCTGAAAGCTGGAGAATGGTAGCCGTCGGGAACTGGAAACCCATGCACCCGTAAATTGAGGGCCAGGATACCTTCAGGAACTCCAACATGATTGTGCGCCCATTGGTTAATAGGTGTAAAGCATCTCTAGATATCAAATTTGAATTCATGCCACGCGTGGCAACTCCACATGCTCTATGGCAGGGGCATGTACACCTGGTTTGAAGCCGCAGATGCTGGACAATTCTCTGTAACGCACGCTGAGTGACGCTTGCGCGAAGACCAATGCCTATCGGGTGCGAGACCGAGTGCGATTCTATAAACCTAGTCAAGCTGAGGCAATTGCCATGATTGTGTTCGAACAAATACTGATGAAAAGAGGATTGTGGAGAAGTGGACTGAATTGGTGGAGATCGAAGGGGCGGACGCGTCGAGCAGCAGCTGACTAAGCGCACGCACTCTCATCCTAGCCAAGCGTTGCTCATCCTGTGGTATTCCGTTTCTTGTCCACAACACGTTACAAGGGAAAGATCTTATTTCTAGCAATGCAACACTTGTTAGTATCAGCAGAAGCTCCGCCTAGGAACATGAAGCTGAGATTCTACTTAGGTATTTGAGATGGTGGCGAAGGGCTTGACTCGGAAAAGGCGTAGATGAACTGGAGCTGGATGATTCTATCCCCTTTGTGCTATATCTTCTTGTTACTATGGCGAAACGATTTCCTTGGTGAACACAAATAGTTTCCTGCCACCCAGCTAGACCATTAATCTATACCGCATGATAAAGCGCAGCCATAGCTTTACCCGATCCAAAGCCATAAGTGATCTCATGATCAGCAGAACGAACATATCCAGGTCCGTCATCATTGATATAGTCAACAAGAAAGACGTTTTGTGTTTTTCCTAATCGCTCAGCTGAAGTAGTCGCCAGACCAAGATCGAAAGCACACTTTTCTGTGAGAACAGTAGGCTCCGCACGTTACAAAAAGATTTGACCTTCGTCCTTGCTCTTTCGTTCTTGAGCAGCAGCTTCACAGTGTACAAGATTGACTTGACGTGAGATGGCCCAGATACGCGTAGCGTTGTGCTTGGTATGTAAGGATTCGGCTTTAGCCTCAGCTCCCGTCATAGCGATGTTGACTTTTGTCGCCGGACTGATCGGTGCTGGAGGCGGTAGATGTAACAATATCCTTGGAACACCTTTCAATCTCGCTGACTTTGCACCTGCTGGTAGGCCAGTGGCCATTCCTACATGATTGATGACGTCTAATGCCGAGGAACAGGACGACGGCCAGGAGAGATGATGGAATTACCAATAATTTCGAAGGGGCTGATTTCAGAGAGATCATTACTGAATTTCGAAGGGCGCTGGTTTTCTTCGTCTTGTATCGTCGATATTGGGATGGGAGAAGCAGATTTCTGGCGCGAGAAAGTGAATCGTCTGACTGGGTGGACGAAGATAAGCACCAAAATGACGATCAGTAGCACTGCGACTAAGCAGCCTGAGACGATGGTTCCGACCTGGTAGTGCGTTAATGCCATGAGTACGGAATGATGTTGGAAAGAGCTGTCTCGACCAGTCTAGCTGTCGTGAATGTATTGATGGTCTAGAGGACGGAGTAAGGAATGAAGACAAGTTTGTAGTCGAGAGACATGAACAACAACAGTGTGTAGAGAGCCGAGAGAAGTGGACACACAAAGTTCGATGAGTAACCAGATTGCAAAATCCTCCTCTTGATCTACATATTGTAGACTGCTCTTATACCATGCGGATGGGTCTGCATGAACTCCCTTAAATTCATCTCTTCGAAGGTACTGTCTTGATATACATGTGACATCGTATTCCTGCCAGCAATACCAGGCGGATGTGAGCCCAAAGAATTTCTAGTAGCATTATGAGCTCTCATTGGGCTCAGCGCACTCATTTCGGAACTGTGCATGGTGGGAGGGGCAGTCCTAACTTGCACCAACGGCACAGGTGGTGCCCCACTGTAGATTGGTAGATCTGGTAAAGTGGCTCTGCCTGCAGACCTCATGAAATTGGTTGCGCGTGGCAAATCAGTATCTATGGTGAGTACTGGTCTTCGAGCTCGCTGTAGACTTTGTTCGATATCTCGTTGTTGATGCTTCTCATCTTCTTGCCGCCGGTGTCGACAACGAACAAAGTGTATGACACCAATAAAGATGGCCAAGATGGGCGTAGCGGTAAGTACAGAAGTGATGATGATAAATGATTGTTCGGAGATATTTCGAGGTTGTAAGCCATTGGATATTGGAGGCGGCGTTCCAGTGTCTACACCAAATAAGTTGGTCTCGTTTACAGGTGACTCGGGGCTTGATGCTGACATTGTGCTGAATTGAAAGAAATTCAGACGTACAAGGACGATGGGAGCCTAGAAGACAAATTGGTATAGTGTTTGCAGACGAGACTATAGTCGACTATCATCTGAGTTGGTCGAGTACTTACCTTTGTCAACAAAGCATATAAAAAGACAAAGCCGTCGGTATGCAACACTTAGCTCAGCCTCCACAGACCATTTTGCTCACAAAGGCGATGTGCAACGAGTATGAAACCAAGAGCCCATAACGAAACGAGCTTTGTTCACACTGCATATTAGTAAATAATCATGACTTTCATGAAAATGCACTTGGATGACAATACAGAGGTAAAGATTACGAGGTTTTATGTACCTGGGAGGGACTGCGGGCTTCCACCACACGCACAAAGCTTCGAGATGGCACTGGAAGAAAGTTTCGCGTGATGGTAGATTAGTGACCGGAAGAACTTGCCTCTTGGAACGAATAACCAGGATAGACTTCAAAAGAATTCTTAGTGGCATCGTGGTGGTCTGAGGATTGGTGTGATGCATATAGCGGTGGCGAGCGCGTGATGGTGTGCCGACGACGTCATGGAGTTCGTCCAGATTAACAAGACCTCTGCCGCCCAATCCTGCGACCTCCATTGCGTTTTCTATCTTTCCTTTTGATCGATCGGTTCAGTATAATGTCTGCTAACGCCTCGGAAACCGCGGTGGAGAAATACCGCTACGAAATCCTCTTCGGTGCCTGGCTGGCCGTCACAGGAGCGACGTTTCTTCGCATCAAGCGCCAACCCTACTCGACCCGTCTGAAGATCGAACAGTACGAGAGCATCTTCAAAGGAACATCTTTGGGTGCTGTTCTCATTGGCATCGGGATTACGCCTGCGCGAACCACGGCTAGGCGATTCAGTGGTAATTGAGTGCAAGACGCTCGCTGTTGATGCTACCTAGGTACTGGGTGGAGCGATCGCGTCCTGGTTGAGTTTGGCGTTTCCCCGCAACTTTCACATGCGAATGCCCGTCATTGCTCACACAACACCACGAACCGATATCATGTTGCTTCGGCTGGGTTCAACCAGCGTTGAGCTCAACATGTGGAATCCCGTCTACGCTATCACGCCCTTCATACTGCTGTCCTTCTCGATCCCGCTCGCCATCTTCGCCGTCGTCACCACATCAATTGCCATATCGCTCCTCTCCTTTCGCGCGTTAGCCGTATATTGCCGCCTCGCCATAGCAATCGTTGGTGCATGGCTCTCTCCCTCGCCGACGAAGCCCATGCCGCTTCGTCGTTCGCCTTATATGCCTTCATCCGCCCGACCGTCTCCGACCCGACAGCGCCATCGTCGGACCAGCACGGCGAGTACGGCATCCTCGCAAGACACAGGTATACATTCGGCGCACACGTCGCGTCTTTTAAAACACAAGAACAACTCCCTCACGGCGCTCATCGGCACAAGCGAGTTGACGCGCGACTTCGAAGGCGTAGGAGGGTGGAGAGTGCCTGGGGATGATGACGAAGAAGCATTATGGATGGGCATCAACTCAAGGCTTCAATTGCCTGCGGAAACGCCTACTAGGAGACATGCCCGAAGTCTAACAGGTGGCGCAATCCCAGCCCAGAGGTGGAGCGCCGGGTCAGAAGCGTTTCGAATGAGTCCCGTGCAGAGTAGGGCAAGGACACCAGTGCGCTTTGCTATCGACGATGAGTCCGGCTATTTCCCTATGCAGCCAACTTCGAACAATCGACGTTCTAGCGTCGGCTCCGATTCTGCAAAACAACACAAAAGAAGGAAGAGTGGTAGTGGTGGTAGCATGTCAAGCGCTGCCTCAGGCGGTCTGACGACTGCAGCCAAAGAGGCCGGGAAGTGAACATGCCTTCGCCTCGACTTGAGCTAGAGCTAGAGCTCGACACTGCAGTTCACTCAGGTCGCAAACGATCTTACCTTGAGCACGAGTTACACTATACAATATCTCCCCATAATAGTGCCACAGGATATCACCCGGGTCACACTACACATGCTCCATCGAACCATCTCTATCGCTCAACTGACCACCAACTCTTCCTTCCGCAATTGAGAAAACATAACCTACGCCCTCCATGGTTGAGCAGCAAGAGCTGGTCGACACCGTCGCGCACCATTTTGATTGGCCACGCCTGGGTGTCATTACAGTCGGCACTGTAGCCGCCATTGCTTTGTTTATCTGGGGTACTTTAGCTTTGACAAAGGACAAGTGTCGACTGACCCAGGGGACGGCCATGCCACGAACCTACCCACTGCCAATGTGTACATCGTCGGAGTTCTCGACAAAGCGCGTCTTTGTCCTCATTTTTACAGCCTAGCGGGATCTTACTGTACCCCGTCCCTTCCGAGATGCTGTCGTCGGCCTACGGAGCAGAACATCCTGCGCTCCACAGGCTTTCTTCTATCGCTTTCCCTTCACGAGCTCATACTCGTATATCACTCGAGCACGCTCATGTTGGCGGCAACGACAATTACGACGTGGCTCTGTTCAGCATCAAGCATCCACTCGTGACCATCGAAACCACCAAGCTCATTGACGTCAACACACAAACGAGAGCCTTTGCAATTCCGTTGAGACGCTTCCACGATATGACGAGCCACCATCGTACAAATCGGATAGTGGCTTCCAGCATGCAGCCTAGTATTTGTTTACTCAACCTTCGTAGTGTGCGATGGATTCTCATCTCGGATTCAACGCGCCACCATGCTTAGTCTCCGACTTTTCCGGTCGTATTAACGCGAGTGGGAGAGATTGGCCGGGTTTAATGCTGCTGAAATGGGCACTGTGGAGGAAATACTTGCTATGCAGTTGTCTGCACAGGTTGTAGCACTTTTAATCGATATCTATTCATTACATCGTCCAACAAGAATAGCACGCTTTACGCCCCACATACAAATGCTACGGATTGTGGAGTGCAATACTGACAACATTCCTAACGGGTAGATTGAAGTCGCACAACATTCGGTTGAGACCCGGTGGGTGCAACTCCCGGACCCCACTACAATCAGCCTGAGATTAACTCTATACTCAACAACATCCAATTGTGGATCAACTGCTAGCAACAGCAGACAGTAGTGGGAAGGAAATGTATAGACATGACTCGGTTCTTCTGTTACGTCTTCTCAGCTTTACCCAAACTTCATATTTTGCTATCGCTATGATTTCTTTCACGATCACAGAAATGTGGGTGACACTTGCTCTCTTTCTGTCTCTCCTCAGTCATGTCTCTGGACAACCCCCTTTCAACATCCCACCCATGCTACGCTTTCAATGTTCGCAACTTGTCGTTGAGCGCCTGGACCCTCTCGTGAATCCTAACAGCATCCCATCCCCACATCTCCATCAGATCGTTGGCGGAAACTCTTTTACCGCTTTCATGCCGCCATCCACGCATGACCTCGTCAACGCCTCTACATGTACCAGCTGCACCTTTTCCGAAGACTTCTCAAACTACTGGACAGCAGTCCTATATTTCCGCGCACGCAATGGCACATACAAAAGAGTCCCGCAGTTCGTTAGTGAGGGGCTCAAGGGCGAGGGAGGCATCACCGTATACTATACGCCGGACACAAAGAATCAAACAGACGTTACAGCCTTCCGGCCCGGGTTCCGCATGCTGGTCGGCGATGCAACAGCAACATCTCTCTCCTCTGCGCGCAAAGTATGCTATCGATGCATGCCAGCAACTGGCGATCACAATCACCTTAACTGCGCAGCTCCAGATGCTCAGACGCTTCCTACAGGGTTCTGCCCTGGTGGTATACGCTCTGTCATCACCTTTCCAACTTGTTGGGATGGCATAAACCTGGATTCTCCAGATCACCAGAGCCATGTGGCTTATGCGAACGGCTCGCTGGAAACTGATGTTGGCCCTACGGGGAAGTGCCCAGAAAGCCATCCTGTCACTATACCACAAGTCATGTATGAGGTTATGTGGGACACAAGGATCTTCAATGATGAGGAGTTGTGGCCTGAGGATGGAACACAGCCGTTTGTGCTTAGTACTGGAGATCAGTGAGTCAACTTTTACTTCTAGTGCGTCACGTCTAACCACGTGGTCAACAGGCACGGCTTTTCGCAGCATGGTGACTATGTGTTTGGCTGGAAGGACGACTCGCTCCAACACGCTATGAATGCGCGCTGCACCGGTGATGCTTGTTCAGTGCTGGCGATGCAGACTACAGAGGAGGCGATGAGATGTACTATACCACGGACTGTTGATGAGAACATTGATGGATGTAAGTTCATGTACTGTACTGCTGCGCAATTTTCGATTAGCTGACAATTCGGCGTAGGGTTGACCGAACTTCCGGGAGGCCTCATGGGGATGTGATAAGAGGCACAGTACAGAGTCCTAGGATGTCGCGATCGAATCTAATTATTACATAGTTCCTGGTGATAGAAGAAGCGTAGCTCAAGCGACCGCCGTGTATGTATCTTCTGCAATCTCCAACGCTCGTACTAGCCATTGTACCAATGCACCACGGATTCTGCCGCCAGTGATCAACGCTATGCTTGCGTGTATTTTCTTAGCCTTGCTGCGCGTGACAAGGATAAGATTGTGATAGTCGAACAGTACCATGGAGTAGCATCCTCGCTGCTGCCCAAGCAACAGCATGCTTTAAGTAGTGGCTTCGCCGTGCGCACAACACCCTCGTCATTCGTGAACGTGAGGTCTCTGTTTCTCAGTCCCCAATCGCCGGGTACAATAGTGTCGGCGGAAGCAAATTGAAGAATGCCGATGAACTCTTTGGAACGATCCACAGGCCTTCGTACGTACCAAACGAGGGCGTCGGGAACGAGGCTAAAACTATGTTTGAGTTGATCGCCGCTGTGCTCTTTGCCGATTAAGATTAAAAGATCGATTAGTGGTTCTTGAGAAGATGTGCGGACACTGGTGGCTGTGGCAATATCGTGACCATCGACTATAGGAAGGGGGTGGTTGTCGACCGTGACGACCTGTCCATCTTGTGTAGTGTACATCATGAACTCAGATCCACCGAATTTGACCTTGATGTGGAACAGAGGCTCGAGGTCGATATGATCATCGTTTAGGAATCTTTGCGGAGGAATACTCACCCCCAAGGCCTCCACACCCGAGTCTTCTAACGTGTATCCCGTAAGTGGTTTCAACATCTTGACTTTAGCTTTCCTGATCGCGTCGCCCAACCAGATGATGAGCTTGGAGCGAACTTCATCCTGCCAACCGACCGCTACGAGAGTACCCTTCCTGAGTTCCGGGTAGAACGTGAACAAAACGATATCTTCACCGTCGTAGAAACCAACGTGACAACATGCGTGTTTTTCTTGGATAACATGGCCTATGCATAACAGCTTTTCACCACGCTCCCCAAAAAGTCCCGCGCAACTATCATGATTGTTCTTGCCTTCCTTGCCCAGTATCTCAAGTCTCCCGTCAGGCGGCGTTAAGATAAGTAAAGCGATAGGTTCGAGCACGTCGTCTGCCTTGGTGGATCAGACCATTGTGTGGGAGTTTTCGTCAAGGTTGGCCAAGAAGCGAATGCGTTCGCCGTAATGCTCTTTGAGTATGTTGTTGGGCACAGCTATGAGCTTCTCCATGGTGGATATGAGACCGGGAGGACTGATGGTCTCTTCATCTGATTCCGAGTGGGCCTTGGTACTGGTATCGTCAGACTTGACTGGATTCCTGTCGCGATTCTTCGGCACACTAATATCGGTGGGCAATTCCAATGGCGCAACTGGGCTATCCTCAGCTCCTGCGGAAACATTCGCGATCTTCCCTGTTGAAGTATCTTCCATATGTGTTTCCGGTTCGGTGTCTGCGGATGTGTGCAATCCGGATAAATCTTTCTTCGTATCTGGTTGTGTATCTAGTGCAACTTCCATAGCGCGCGCCATTTCCGTAAGGTAGCATCGGGTGGGTTCGGGTTGGGTTGAAGACATGATGCAGACGGTGATGATGATGAGAAGTTAGAGATGGCGAGCGAAGGTGAGGCTGTAGAATTTGATTCCACAAGTGCAACGATTGCTATAAATCGACTGATCACTAAAGCAATTCTTGCGTGTTGGAAGTTTTTTGTCAAGCCACTCAATTGCAACTTTACGTCGGGTTGGGTTGTATTCGATACAGCGTATTGGGGGGTGAACATCATTAAACATAACAACTAAGTAAGTATGGCCTGCGTGGGCCATAACGGGAACGTGTGAGGGCGGCTGCTGGCACGGACGGAGGTTTGGGGAAAGTTGTTAGCACCGTATTCTGATGATTTAAGGCAGTCAGGCTCCTCACCACTGCATACTGCCTACCTATCTTCGGGATGAGTGCGCTTGCCATGAAGATCTATCAGTAATGACGCCCACCTACCAACCCCGAGCATTCGCAATGGCGCGTCTCCCAGTTTCGACCAGATCGAAATCAATGTTTAGCCACCGCTTTCCTGACTCTTCCGGCCTCGGTAGCGACATGCCATCTTCCATTGTTCTCTTTTCCAGCTTTGGGAAGCAGAGCCATAGTACTAAAAGTACTGCGAGAACGGCCAGAATGATGGGCTGTAAGACACCAAGACCCTTTGCTTGAGCTAGCGAACCAATAGCAAAAGGTAGTGCAGCACCTCCGCCGACACCAATTGCGGCGGCAAAGCCTATCGCAGAGACGTGGAGATACGCCGGGAGGGCCTTGGTAGTTGCGACGATAACAGCTGGGAACAGTGGACCAAGGAAAAAGCCTTGTAGTGCGACGAAGATGGCTGATACGTGGAAAGATGGGACAAGCCAAAATATGAGTTGGCATAGAATGGCGATGAAGATGTACACCTGGCATTCTATTAGTTCGTGCATTCGTCTTTCTGATCGTGACCATACCAGGACAGCCAATTTCACGCCAAGCTTTGGTGTAAAGAAACTCAAGACAAGACGACCGGCAGCAATGCCAGTCCAGAATCCAGTCGCGACAATCCCGGACTCGAACTCGCCACCGGCTCGCTCTCGGCGCATGAAGGTTACGATCCAACCCCCAAGCGCACCCCCAGCTCCCACGTAACTGAAAAGGAAGATAGAGGCAACCCAGGTGACACGGCTCTTGAGCGCTTGCTTGAGACGGCCTTCACCCCCTGCGTTCGTACGGGGGTTCTGTTCGCGATAAACCTGGCCTGACCTTGACCGAAAGGCCCAAAGAGATGTTGCAAGCTCAATGGCTGCACCACCAAGCTAGTGAAGGTAAGCAATCGTTCATGATTGGCCGGAGTCACTGACCATGATGTAGTAGAACTGGTACCACTGCCATCCGCGCTTCGCAATTAGACTTGTAGCAGCGAGCGGGCTAAGTAAAGCACCAAGTCCATAGAAACCATGCAAGAATCCTAGGACCTCGTTCGCATTGGCCATGCTCCCTGCCCAGGCATTCCAGGCAGCGTCCTCGACGCCGTTACCAAAACCCGAGAAGATGAATAGGACCACCAGGACGGGGTATGGTGGATGCAGAGCTATGCCCACGTAGGCCACAAGGTGGCAGACGGGTCCGATAAAAGCAATTCCGCGCTGACCAAGATGGACGTGCAGCCAGTTGTTGAGGAGGGCGGCACCAATATAGCCACCCATAGGAGAGAGAAATACGAGCGAAACTACGACATAGGTAAGATCGTAGTACTCTTCAAGATAGGGAATAATGGCCTGCATAAGGTTAGCATCATGACTAAATTGGCAAGATGGTACTGCTTACACCATAGGCGGCATCATTTGCGCCCATGATAATAAAGGCGAATAGAATGGAAAGTGTGCGGTATACATTGGCCATCGGATGGTTCCATCGTTCAACTACCGAAACTGTCGTTGATGGTTGAGGGAGAAATTCAATCGGATCGATGCCGCTACTTCCTTCGTTACCCAACACACGTTCTCGGTCCCGTACCGCAGCTGTTGCTATAGATTCCAGTTCCACGTTTTCCTGCGAAATAACAGCTGAAGGTGGGTTAAAGGTACTCGCTGATATTTGTGTTGTAGTGTCGGTCGGCGACATGATCAAAGAGCCCGAGTAACGAAGCCGACAGCACGGCGGGGGAGGCTTGTGGATCAAGCAGATTAAGAGCAAAGTTATGGAAAGTGCGTTCTTTGTGCATGTATTATTTATCTCTCTTGTTCCAAGACTACGATGTTTGGCGCATCCATGTCGAAAGCGGAGATGCTTGCGAGGGCTTGCCTGAGAACGCGATCCCACCACAATGTTGGAAATCCGCTAATCTCACGAAAGAATGTATGAGACAAGCTCAGATTTGCTCCATGATTGGTAAAGTCTTATTCTTTCCACTTACACGTGCCTGTACCATCTATTCCTACGCATCGTTTCTGGTTACATTTCTTTACCCTGGGAAAGGATAGACAGCAGGGCTCTTATACCCGTTCGTTCCGACGGCCCTTATGCCGAAGATAACGTTGTCCTTGCTAAGTGGAAGAACGACTGACCCGACCTTGCCAACATCGAGCATACGAGTCCACAAACTCGCTGTAGTGGACCGCCATACTACTTCGTAGCCTGCGACGTCTGTGCTGTTGGAAACAATCCACTTGATACGCGAGTCGTTATCCAAAATTGTTGCATCGATGGTAACGTTGCGTGGCATAGCAGGAGCTTGAGAGAGGGACCAGAGGGTCGCGAGATTGACTTTGCCGACACGTGCTGTGAAATCAAAGTCGACAAATTCGATCAAGTCGCCATATACGGTGCCGTTCTCGGTACGCAAGTCTTGATGCTGATGAGCGAAGTTCTCGTTAGGTTCTGTGTACCGGATCGCTGGGTAACCCGCCTGGAGAAATCCAGTGTGGTCACCTCCGCGCAGGAAGCGATCTAAACGGTAGATGACGGCTACGTTCATGCCGGTGGCGTTATTGGCAGCAACTTCGGCGGAAAAGCGTGCGAGCTCTCGTGCCGGGCTGTCGTTCTCACCCCCAATTTGGAGGCGTCGTGCTGCAGTGACATTGTTCTCGGCAGAAAGAGGAGGAACGCCCTGAGCGAAAGCACGAATAGTATATGGGTCCTTCTGACCACGATCACCGGTTGAAGAACCAACGATATCACAGTTTAGCATACCTTCGACATTCGTGCTGGAGTTCTTGAGGGTTTGAGCGAGATAGGTTGAGCCATATAAGCCCTGTTCTTCGCCGGACACAGCACCGAGAATGATTGTTGATTTCGGCTGGTGCTTAGCAAGAACACGTGCAATCTCCATCGCAACTTTTTCGAAAGTCAGCTAGCGCTCTCTGTAATACACATAGAACGAACGTACTGGCAACTCCACTAGCGTCATCGTTGGCTCCAGGAGAATCAGCTTCGTAATTGAGGACGTCCGTAACGCGGCTGTCCATGTGCCCGGTCATGACATATACTCTTTCTGGATCCTCGCTCCCCTTGGCAGTTGCTAGTACATTGGAGATGTAGACCGGGAAAGGGATTCTGCTAGCTATTCCCTGCAGATAGCTTTGCACCTCGACCGTCATTGTACCGTTGCTCTCTGCGGCGTATTTTCGCATCTCAGAGGCTATCCAGTCTCTTGCTGCATCTATCCCGCGCGTCGAGCTGTTGAATGTAGCGAGTGTGTGGCGGGTTCCAAACGAGACTAATTTGGTGATCGTGGCTTCGATATTTGCTGCGCTGATCTCGCTGACAATGGCTCGCATCTCATCGTCTGGCGCTTGCGGAATTAGCTCCACGCCGACATTTGATGGAGGCCATGCGGCGTTAGCACAGTCGGTGTATGACTCTGCATTGGCTGCCACTGGTAATGGAAGATCGCGACCAAAAAGAACCTCGTGCGCGCAGGCTGTTGACAGCAGCGCACTACCGAATAATGTTGATCGAAGGTACATTGTGGAGACGACGAACAGGTAAGTGTTTTGTGCAATTGTGTACTCGCGGATTAGTGGTCTTATAGTGATTATCTAGATGGCCCGTCGCCTAACGTGCAAGACGGCACGTTATGGCATGGATCCGCATATCGGAAGCAACACCCAACGAACTTCCCATGCTAGTTAGCACACCGGGTCTATGATAAACGCTCCCCATCATATTTTGCGATCTCTTCTCGAGATGCACCTGTTCCGCGGCTCGGCAAGCGTAAATCCCCAGCCTTGCTACATGCCGACAGGGTAGATGCTTACCAGAATAGGCAGGTGGAGTAGAGAAGACGACGTCAACCACGGGACACTGGAAGCTTGAAAACCCCATAGAGAAGCCGATAAGGAGATGAGCGCAGAGTAATGACTAAAGAAAAGGAAAAAGATATTGCCACTAGACAGAGATTGCGAATGTGCCCTGGACGGACATATAGGCACAACAGCCTGCATAGTTAAGTGATGCTGGCATCACAAGAATGCGTCGCAACAGAGGCTTAAGGGCGCCCTAATCTTTGACTTTTGTAGACTTGCGTTTCTGTACCAGTAGTCGCGATGTCGTTGAGGAATCCAGACTGAGGGGTATGGTAGTCCAGGTGCCCCGCGAATTGCTCCGGATGTCGTACATTTGTCGAAAAATGTAAGGACTGGCGGCTTCATACGGTGTTTGGAGGTCAGTCTGAGGTTCATATGTGTCGTAACGGAGTACCCAGATGTCGCACCTTGGAAAGTGAAGGGGTCTCTACTGATGCCGCTAGCGCCGACAGACTAGAGGCTTGGCAATTCACTGCGGGCCCAGCAGTTGAACTTCGCGATGATGCAATGTGTCAAGTCACGAAAGTCTGCCTACAAGGCTGCAACATAACACCGGCTGCTACATACATCGCACTACGTATCAAGCCAATTTGCAGTGCACACAGCTCTCCAAGAATACCCTGCAACTTTTAAATTACACAATGGTTTGCTCCTCCGTTCACATTTGCGCAACACAAACTCACATCGCAAACAGAACGCGCTCTTCAATTCCGCCTTACGGCAATCGACGTCGATACGAAGAGATCTGGACCAGTTTGCCGACTCGGCCGCACCATCACCGCATCTCCAAGCCCAACTGAACGCGTCATTAACTTCATTCGCGCGCACCATCGACGACTACGGCAAGCTTGCGAAGCAAGAGCCTGTACAAACCAAGGCAGAAAAGGCGCATGAGCGGTTGAAGAACTTCCGAGCTGAGCTGGAAGAGTACAGGGCAAACTTCAAGCGGATAAAGAGCGCAAATGAGAATATCGTACGTTTGGATCCGGCGTCCTTGGACCACTAGTCTGCCCCGTAGGCTTCATTGCTGACTAGTAATAGCAAAGTACAGAGGCGCGCACAGAATTGCTAGGCCGCCGTCCGCACAACACAGCTACGCCCGAGAATCCCTACGCACAGCCTAATCTCTCTGCTCAACATTCAGCTTTCGCACCTTCCCAACCCTACAATCCCAACGCCCCCTACCGCCCGAATCCATACTCTGCTGGTGCACCACAAGGCGGTGATTATGATCGCGAGGGTCATGTGCTGAGGGAAAACACCTTCTTCAACAAGACATCTGAGCAGCTAGATGAGTTCTTAGACAGAGGAAGAGCGGTGCTGGGCGATCTGGGACAGCAGAGGGACATGCTCAAGGGCACACAGAGGCGGTTGTACACCGTTGCAAACACCTTGGGTATTAGTGGCGATACAATACGCATGGTCGAGAGGAGAGCGAAGCAGGATAAGTGGATTTTCTGGGGTGGAGTAGTAGTTTTCTTCTTGTTCTGCTGGCTGGTCATCCACTACTTGAGGTGATGGCATAGTTACAGCGAGTAGTACTGGGCTTGACATATTCCTAGAGGCTTAAGGGGCATTGTTCGGATTAGCGAGGCGTATGGAGCATAGTGAACATCACAAGTAGCTGTAATTCTTTGCGCAACAACTGGATACAACAACGCAGCTGTAAGTTCGTAAAGAGACTCATGCCACTTTGAGTCTAGCTAACTGCTCCAGCTGCAAACAAATGTACCCTAGCATGACTTGGTCATGGTAGCAGAACCACCCACATGCACGCAGCTCGCGCACAATGACGACGATATGCAGTCATAATTCTATCGAAGCTTCAGATTCAGAACAGATAGTCGAGCTTTCGATCAATGTTGTCAATCTTCATGTTCATCTCTTCCTGCTGATACTGCAGTCTTCCGACCTCGTCGAAGTATTCGTTCGGCCGAGCCCATGGGTATGCGATTTGAAGGTGGCGATGACGACGATGGTACAGACGAGGACAACCGACACGCAGAGATCGATCCTGCAAAGAGGCAGCTGGGCCTTCAAGCATCAGCGGTACTCTTTCTCGTTGATTGTTGAGGAACGGGTAGTGTTGCGCTTCCATCATCGATCGCATCATCATTTCAGCGCGTGGGTCGTACCACGCAGGCTGCAGCCTCAGCCTGTATACTCTGTTGGCAACTCCGGAGAAGCAATGTAACAGCTCCATGAGGGTACGGCTGGCCACTAAGTCCTGTAATACAACGACGCCTATGCACCATTCCTTAAACAAGTCAGGTTCTTCACTATGAACGATGTCGTAAACATAACGCCGAAGGAAACCCACTATGGATCCCGATAGGGCTTGCGATTGAGTGAGGCGCGCCAAGAGGCAAAATACCAGAAAGCCCTGCCTGGTGCGACGAAGATCCGTGTTTGCACATTCCAAGTCCTTGCTGAGACAATCTTCCATACTTCGATACAAGCGTGTTCCAACTGGAAAGGCGGCAAAAGGAGTTGGCGCCAGGCGTGTCAGGAGTTCGTCAAGGCCCTTTACGATCGTGTCGGATGTGATGTTATACGACAACTGGCTACCGAAAACGTCTGCCATCAGCGAGATCATGTACCGGGCGTCAAATCTTCGGGAATGAGCTAGACTGTGGTGGATCCCTGGAAGCCATTTCTGCAACTCACCCAGGCTGGGTTTGAGCACTATATCACGATCGAGACGTATTATGGCGATGTTCTCCATAAATCGACCTCATGCGTTTTGGGATCTGGCGCTGACAACTAAAGAGGGAAACGTGGTGCTACAGCAACGTCGAAAGATTTTCCAACAATCCGCTGGCATCTTTATACATCAACGATCGGTGCGCGCTAAGATCGATCCTTTTGTCACTGCGATCGATTCCTAGCCAGACGAGTGCGTTGAAGCGTCACAGACGTTTGCTTCGATAGCGTGCGTGACCGCCCCATAATATCGTAGCCAACCACTGCCGACGCCCTGGCCCGGCTTGGCCCAGCATCACTGCAATATGACAGTGCGGATCGTCTTACACCATTAGTATACAAGTATGCAAGAGTGGGTTCTATGTGCAATACGCAGGGTGTAATTCTCAATGGACATTGATGGTACGCGATCCATTTCGCCTTTAAGAGTCTGGGCTTACAGGCCACTACAAGGATGGCAGAGTATGCCCAGTCAGCCAATTAAGGCTTCCGCCTATCAAAGCACAAGCTATGAAAGTTGTATAGGAGTCACTACAGGACTCTGAAGCAGGCCGTCAATGCAACAACTCGCTAAAGCACTCAAATGTACCCGAAAACATAAAAAGCCTAGAGGCTAATCGCCAAAAGACACCCCAATAATCAATTCCATTCTCGCATTACTTGTTGGACCGACCGGGCTCTCCCAAATCTTTAGAATTGGATCGTCAACGCCGGCAGTCGGATGTTCGCGGTTTTGTCAAGCGGCTAATCACCCAGACAGCCCACTCCAGATTGGCAGATTAATGCGTCCTTTGGTCAGGACCCAAGAAGCGTTTCTTTTGTTCAGTAATAATAGCCAGCAAGTAGAAGATCCAGCTTCCCGTCGACATTGCCCAACTTCATGCTCATTTCGCTTTGTTGGTATTGGAGGTTGTTGAGTTCCTCGAAGTAGTCGTCTCTCGGATATCCGACGGGGGAAATTATTGGCGATGGCCAAGCCGAATTAGAATACGTGGGGATAGCGAGACGCATGTCTGGGTTATGGCGACGTCGGATCGCAGGTAATGATCGAGATCTGTGACCTGACCATGGCAATGCTAATGCGCGAGGAGATCGGCCGCGATGTAAGCCGACATATGGAATCATTGCGAGGGCTCCGGGGTCAATTCTTGCAGGCCCTTCCATCAGCTCCCGGATTTTTTCGAAGGCTTTGTGCCAATCTCCTTCATATCTCGGCGACTCCTTTTGCGATATCAAATGGGCGTTTGTAAGCCAGAATTGAGATAGCACCTCGGCCAGTGGAAAGGATTCGTGGTCGAATGCTAGATACGCCAGGATAATGAACGTGTGTCGTAAGTTTCGGAGGCCTTTGGCTTCCCAAGCGGTCCGGACACCTGTCGCTAAGTGATTCCGCAGAACTCTAGCAACACACATTTGCGTCTGATCTCCGACGATGCTTGAATAATTCCCAAGTTGTGCGAGCAACTCTAATAGCGTTTGTTTAACATCGTGTTTCTTGATACCATAACGTTCATGGACATGATTGTTGAGTTCGTCCACTAAGTCATTCCCGTCAATCCAGTGCCTATGCGACAGATGGGGAAACCAAGTGTGAAGTGTTTTCGTATCCATATTGACAAGGTCGTGTCCAAAATAGATCTTCATTCTTCGAACCGCTGGGTTTTGAGTATGGTGGGTCGATAGGCAATGTATGCACGAGTGTTGTCTGATCGTTGCTTTGGCAAGAGGATTGGTTTCGCAGGAAGACTGTTTTTGACATGTAAGTCAGGCACTATATACGCATGAAGTGCCGGTGAAAGCGCCATGGCTTGACGCGCTCAGTGACCCGCCTCAAAGGCTTTGTTGGTACCCTGCGCCGCCTAGATGTGTCACAAGACCATGAGGATGTTTGCTCGCGATGACGATGAGAGAAACCCCAAAAGCACGCCGATCCAACCAATTTCCGACTTACTGTAGTATCGAAGACACGTCAGCTAATGGTTCCGGAGATGGGTTCAAACTGTTGAGAACCTATCAAGCATACGGTGTCCGCCTTACTAGCAACATTCGCCCAGCGGTGTGCCTTGTGCTACGACCTGATGTGACGTTGTTGTATACATCTGCAACGGACCGACAGGCAGCGAGTCAGCTTCGTCGATCTCATTCTCTTGGGGCTCATCGAAGCGTACACCTGTAGAGAAGACGCCATTCCCGTTGATGCATTAGATCAGATTGGCTAGGATTAGTGCGCGATCTCAACGAGAGTTTAGTCTGCGTATGAATGTTGAAGGATACACTGTACATCCCAGCAGACTCGCTTTCAACAACTCCAACTATGACCCTACGCACAAACAAGTTACACGATTGCTACACTGGCGCTCTGAGTCCAAGGCGGTTTTCAAGGCTTAGTGTAATAACGATCAGCATGAGTCGAGCTTTAGGTGAAGGGGCTCCTGTGTCAGAGCAAACTATGATACGATAACGGGCAGATACTTTTACGGTCAGGGGTTGTCCAACGTGGTCTAAAGAATGGCTAGCTAACGGTAGCTGTACCCGTCTCGCCAACATAAGGCTATCACCACTACCAAACCGAATCAGGAAAGCCGAATGGTATACTGGTGAAAATCGGATCTTCCGGCACTGTGATCGTGGCACGAAGTACATCATCTGACTCAGAAGATGTTGAGCCTGCATGATGTCAAAAAGACCATGAGTATCACATGCTAGCCTGCCGTGCCTTCTCCTCTGATACGGTCACAACGACCTTTTTCGTCGTTTCGAGTTCGAAGCTACATCATGACTCTATTTCATCTGACTACACCCAAATACGCACACTACGACCACAGCTTTACACATACGAGTATCAAAACAAATACAATCACTCAACGTACCCCAATACGCACGTTTAAGTAGCCAGGCTGTCCAAAATGGAGGAACAAGCGTCGAGATATCATGAAGGAAGTAACGACGATCTCGTCAGGTACCATCCTGAGCATGGTGTAAAATCACGTGTCACTGACTGCGCCTATTATCAAGGCCAAATGACTGCGGGTGGCACGCTCTTTCGTCCGATCGGCGACTCAAACTGCAACCAGCTTGAAACAGGACATGGCCATACAAAACTGAAGACTATACTACTGCCAGCAACTGTGTTGATGTCGCAATCAAGTGATAGGTACCTCATGCATACCAACAACATGGCTAGGACTGAAGCATCGATTCTATATAATCATGCGCGATCGGGCGCTCACTACTGGGTCAAGAAAACCCTAACCCATAGCGCAGTTATCTCAAAACACTGTCAGCATACACAGGCTGGGGCGATCACACGACTCCGGACGTGACCGTCAGAGCCGACGACAATAAGCAAGGCACAGCGCACAAGAACTAGAGAGGTAATCAAAAGAGTCATGTACCAATTCATCTATAAATCCAATCATGGGAATCATACAGCAAACACCATGACGCCAAACCAGAGGTGCCCTAAAAACACAACCAGAGGCTACCAGTCCAAGCCCCCAGCGCCTCTTTCTCCACCAGTAAGTATTTGTGCCGCTTTTGCCTTTTCTCCCAACCCATTCTCAAGATGGGAAACCTGCATACCCTTCCTGCCCTTCAACTGCATCCTCTGTAGCTTCTTATCCAGCGCAACAAACGGGTCCTCCGTTTCACTCTTCTTAATCTTGAATTTACTCGTACCGAGCACACTGTCCAACTCCTCCACACTAGGCAACTTGACATACAGCCACCCGTCACCGCGCTCCTCGATAGGAAAGACGGCGATGTTGACGCTCTCGTCATTCGCACATTTGCCTGCGTTGTCTCCAGAGAGTTCGTAGTTGCGCTTGTGGTACGGGCAGCTGACCCATAATTTGTTGTTGGCGAGATCGTCGCCGATGAGACCATCGGAGAGGACGAAAGCACGCTTGTGTGGGCACATTTGCTGGGTGCAGTAGTATTTACCACGAACCTTGAAGACGGCGAGCTGGGTGTCGCCGCGCTTGATGGCCTTGCTGTCACCTGTGTCGGCGTCTTTGAACTCTTCAGCTTTGACGAGGGGCTGCCAGGATAATTCTGTCCATTTTGTGCCGCGGAAGTCTTCCGTGATAGAGTCTTTAGGCCAGTAAGAGGGGCGTTCTTGACCACGCTCTTGGGTGGGTTCGATAGTGTCGACGATAGTTTCGGATGTGTTTGCAAATTGGGAGAACCAGGACCGCTTCTTGGGGTCCTTAAGTACTTCGGTCCATTCGCAGAAGAAAGTGCCGACAAGGTCCTCCATTTGCTTCTCTAAATCTGCGCAGATGCCTAGCTTGTCTTCGAGGATGACCTCTTGAAGGTACTTGATGCCACCGGGCAGGTTCTCCATCCAGCGCGCTGTCCGTTGGAGCTTGTCGGCTGTGCGGATGTAGAAAGAGAGGTAACGGTCGAGAATGGGGACCACGTCGTCTGGTGGCACGTCCTTTGCGAGGAGTTCCGAGTGTCGAGGTTTCGCACCACCGTTACCGCCTACGAAGATGTTGAAGCCTTTCTCAGTAGCGATGAGACCAAAGTCTTTGTTCTGTGCCTCAGCGCACTCGCGTACGCAGCCAGATACTCCACCCTTGATCTTGTGGGGTCCACGGATGGACTTGTAGCGCTCTTCTAGACGCACAGCCATGCCTACACTGTCGCCGATACCGAATCGACACCATGTAGTTCCGACACACGACTTGACTGTCCTTAGTGACTTGGCGTATGCGTGACCAGACTCCATTCCACCGTCGATGAGCTCTTGCCAAATATCGGGAAGATCTTGTTTCCGCGCACCGAACATGTCGATACGCTGACCACCCGTGATCTTGGTGTAGAGGTTGTACTTCTTCGCGACGGTACCGATGACAATGAGCTTCTCTGGGGTAATCTCACCACCAGAAACCCTTGGAACGACCGAAAATGTACCGTTGCGTTGAATGTTGGCCAAAAATCTGTCGTTGGTATCCTGTAGACCCCTGTTGTTGACCTCCAGCAGATGCTTGTTGTACAGCGAAGCGACGATGTTTCCAATAGTTGGTTTGCAGGCCTCGCAACCCAAGGAGTTCGGATCTTTCCCAGCTTCCTTCATGACAGCGGCAAAGTCCTTCAAGCCCTTCACATAGATGATGTTGAAGAGATCGGCGCGCGAATATTCGAAGTGTGGGCAGATATGGTTCTTGACTTCGTTACCCATGGAAGCCATGGTCTTGTTGAAGATGGTTTGCACGAGCGGCATACAACCTCCGCATCCGGTACCGGCTTTGGTGCAGGACTTGACGTCGCCAATGCTCTTGCATGTTCCATCTTTGGTAGCGTTGACAACGTCGTCTTTGGTGACGTTGTGACATGAGCAGATTTGGGTGTCGCCGGATAGATCTGAACCATCATCGTCGCCCTTTTGCGCACCAACAATGAGCTCGCTTGGCGCCATCTCCAGCTGCTTTTGGTTCTTCACCATCGGCACGAGCTTTATGTAGTCTTTCGTATCCCCAATCATCATGCCACCCAACAAGTACTTTCCATCCATAGTGAACAGATACTTCTTGTACACCTGCTGGAACGGGTCCTTGTAAGTGAGAGCCTTGACCGGTGGTGGTGCCGGTCCATCCGTCAAGTTCTTGACACGGTCTCTCGGCGTCGCTCCGTTGGCTTCCTTCTTCTCAGCTCGTTGTCGTCCAGGCATGTTCTTTGGTCCATCGCGGTCTGCGAAGAAATCACCAAAACTTGCGACTTCAACACCCAGCAACTTGAGCTTGGTGCTAAGATCGGGGGCTTTGAACTTTCGGGGAGCATGCGCTTTCGCTTGAGTGAGGTTGAAGGCAAGGACGTCTGCCATCTCGACACCAGGAGCGATAAGACCAAATGTTTGGTTCTCCCAACTGGCGCATTCGCCTACGGCGTAGATATCAGGCTGTGAGGTTACTAGATCGGGTCCGACCACGATACCACCTCCTCTATCGGCGCATTTGATACCTGCTTTTCGGGCGAGCTCGTCTCGTGATTTGATGCCGATCTGCTAGAGTCAGTCTCCACCACTGGTCCACGGTCCAGGAGTACTTACTGCAAAGCATATGCAGGAGCACTCCATCTCCTCACCATCCTCAAATACAACTCCCTTGACGAAGTTATCTTCCGTGGTCAAGATCTTGCCCACTCTCTTGCTAAGCATAACATCCAGGCCCAACGCCCGCACTTGCTCAACAACCATGCCACCTGCATCGCCATCTAGTTGTCTCGACAAAACCCATCGATTTCGCTCAATGAGCTTCACTTTTGCGAAATCTTCAAGATCCATCATCGCATGTGCGGCTTCTAGGCCTAGCAGACCACCCCCGACTACAGCGCCTGTTGTACCTTTCCTTGTTGAGGAAAAGTCGATGAGTCTTTGCAGGTCTTCTATTGTGCGGTATACGAATACGCCATTTGCGTCGTGGCCAGGTGTGTGTCGTGGAAGAAGGGCGTCGGATCCTGTTGCCAAGACTAAGATGTCGTAGGGTACTGTTTCGCCGGATGAAGTCTTGACGTTTTTTTCAGCAGAGTTGATCTCGGTAACGAGGGTGTTGAGATGATAGTTCAATGAGCCTTCGGGCATTGACGCATACTACGCTCGAATTAGCTGTGAACACAATTCCTTGAGTATGGCCAAACGCACCCATTCCTTAGGGTTGAGATATAAGTTCTCAACTTTCCGGTGTTGGAAAAAGCTCGTCAGGCCGACGCGGTTGTATGCAAGATGTGGCTCCTCGCCAATGACTATAATGTCGTACTCTCTCCGCTTCACGTCGTACTTCATAAGTTTCTCGCTAGAACCAGGTTAGCGTCTTCTTCTTCTTCAGTTCAAAACACCGCTGACTTACATGAATGCAATGCCCACCATACCCAACCCAGCAACCACAATCCTCTTCCGTGGATGTTGGTCGTTGATTTCGCCCTTCTTCTCTAGGTCAGCTACCTTCTCAGGCAGCTTGTTGGCTTCCGCATCATTCCACTCTGCGTTTGATATGTTCCCGTCTTTCGATCCCCATGTTGCTGTGATGTGACGGTCGCCTGGTGGTGAATGTGATTCGCCAGATGAGGGCTCGATGCCTTGTGTGATGATCGGCTCTGTCTCGGCCATGGTGTGTGGTTTGAGGTTATTAAAGCCTTGGGTATCTAATGCTACAGTGAAGAGTTACGTATAAAGCAAGTAGTCGTTCTGGTACACTCAGTCAAGAGGGCACACGATGACACCGCTGTCTGAAAGTGTAAAGCGTGACGATTACTCTACGATGAGAGAGTGTGAGACTTGAGAGGGGTGGGTTGCAAGAAGACAAGAAACAGTCCCAACGAGTAAGATCAATGCTTTGATTCAAAGACCTCAACACCCGTAAGTTACAACTCCGTGGCGCGACATCTCCCGCAAGCTCACCCAACACGCTCCATTCCTCCCGCGCCAACCATGACGCCGCACTTCTCATAGATAGCCCAACTGGCAATCGAACCACTCATTTCCCAATCACGCGTGCCCCGCGGTGTTTACGGAAATGCATCGTAACGTAGCGGGGTTCTATCATCCCCCATGCCGCCGCACAGGGCCTGCAGAGCGCGTCCTAGCTCCCGTTCGGCGGCAGGCTGCCAGGAGATGTATGAGACGACAAGGGTACAAAAGCGCGTCCAGTCAAACAATTGACATTTTTCATTATCGTACAGAAACACTGCAGGGAACGTGTTCTCCGTGGAGATTAAGACAGTTCGTGTGATGTGGGCTCTTTGTGGAGACGCATCGAGTGGCTGGATGTTCCTTATCGCAAGCTAGCCGGCTTGGCGACAGGGACCCTGGCCCGCTTCGTTATCAGGGTTATCTTGGGACGGAGATGCATTTTGGTGTTGTTGGGTTTCCGGAAGATGTCATTACACAGGTGGTGCTTGACTTGGACGATGGGGTGGAGGGTAGGACCGAGATGATCGAGTGAGGGGCGATCTCATGGTGCGCTTATCCTGTGGTGATGGCCTACCTAGGGAAGAGAGATGGCACAGAGACCACCTGGGCATGCTTATACAGTTGTACGGCTGTGAATCTATTGTGGTTTGAATGATCAGAGTGAACAACGTTGTATATGATTCATGGGGAGATAGTCCTATATACACTGAAAAAGAAATCGGAAATATGTGTATCCTGATGCGCTCCCGAGAACTCCATACTCCCTCTAACGATAAATGGCGAACTTCTGAACTGCCTTTGGAAATCCGATGCCTTAAAAGAACATTAACTCCTCATCACTCCAACCCTGCTCGTTCAGCGCCTTGTGTGCGGCTTTTTCCAAAGCCTCTGGCCCGCAAATAAGCACCAGGCTCTCACCCTCATCCCTAACACAATGCTCCTTGAGCAGCGGCGCACCAATTCGTCCCCTCAAGCCTTCCCAATCCTCTGGCCCTTGCGTCAACGTATACAGCAACTTGCACCTCTCTGTATTGCCCCTAGCAAACGCGTCTAGATCCTCCCTGCATAGGATGTCCTCCACTAGGCGGTTGCCGTTGAGCACAGTGCAATACGTAGTATCCTCTTTGTCCTGCATAACAGCACGCAAGACCTGGAAGATAGGCGTGATGCCGCTTCCACCACAGATCATGAAAAAGCGCTTTACCTTCCTCTCCTTGCCATTAACAGCGCAGAGGCCACGACCAAGGTATTCGAACTTGCCGATTGGGCCTTTGAAATCGACCCAGTGACCCGTAGGAATAGAGTCGAGTGCTTTTGTCATCTTGCCACCAGCACGGTCAGGGGTGTCGGCGTAGACTTTGATGAGCACGTCGCAGAATCCTTTTTGTGACGTTTGGCTGATAGGCGTGTAGGAGCGGATTATGGCTTCACGGGTGACGGGGTCGCGGAGGCGGATCATGAGATGTTGGCCGGTTGGGAGACCGAGGGCTTGGTCTTCGTGGTCAAGCTTGAAGCGGAAGATGCGTGTGTCCCAGGAGACCTTCTTCTTGGAATGTAGGAGGGCTTTGCGCCATGTGCGGGAGTCAAGGAAGATGGGCCGCGGTTCGTTGGATTCTGGGACGTGTTCGCCTTCTGCGAGTACTTTGCGGGATGCATCGTCGAGCGTGCCGATGTGGTAGTCTGGCATCATGGCTTTTGCCGTTTCGCTATCTGCTTTCTGTTAGTTGATGTTCTCACACGTCATGTCACTGCAAGACTTACGGATCGCCATGAACTCGTCCGTGGCGTCTAGGCCTGCGGCGCTCACGATGCTCTGTGCACCACCAGGGTGACCTTCAAGGAAAGCAGTACCGTCATAAACTTCGCCGTTAACGACGAACCATGGGTTCTCGACCTTGTCATGCTTCCGTAATTCATCGATATCAATGACCTTGTCGACGCCATCCTTTGTCATCTTGATCTCTTTTGCCTCCTCAATAGCGGCATGCTCCGGCTCTTCACCACCAATCTTCTCGCCCCAGTAGCCATTAGTGAGATTTCCGCCAGTCTTCTTGACGCGCTCCATCCAGCCACCAGGCATCAGCGCGGGCTGTGTCGGATGCTCGAAGCGAAGCGTATCATCTTCTTTGTGTATGACGATCCGAAACCAAGGGTTGTTCATCATACCCAGCACACTCCAGTACATATCTCTTGGTTGAACGCACATCGCTTCGTCCATCACCCGCACCACAATGTCATCCGCCTCTTTCAGCTCGGCGGTGGCAATCTCTATGTTCCAGAAACACCAGCAAAAGCTCGTCTCGCGCCAGTCCATGTCCAGTCTTGCGCCGTATAGCTGTTGATTTTCGAAACCCCGGTACTTGTCTTCTGCGTAGTTGATCTTTGCAAGTCGCCATGTTTTTCCTTTATCGAGAGAGACTTCGCAGCGTGTCACACGTCGTCCGCCGCCACTGTAGGCATAGCCACGAACGTTGTATGATCCAGGACTCGAAGAAAGGGCCAGTTTCTCTTCGTGTGCGGGGCATGCAATGGCCGAGTTGGGTGACAGATCATAGATGGCGTAGCGATCATCCATCCACCATTTTGAATTCTTTGCTGCTTCATCTGGGTCGACCGTGGTTCTGTAAGACGTCAGTCTCGCGATATCCCTGAGGTTGAAGGCTACCTACGGTAGTACCCGGTTGTCGTAGATGTGATACCAGTTGTCGCTAGGCTCAGCCGTGATAATCAGCTTTTTCAGCCACTTCACGCTTCGACCTCCGATCTGTCCCGGTATCACAGCTCTCAACGGTTTGCCGTGATCAGGTCTCAGCATCTCACCGTTCATCTTATGCGCCAACATAATTCCGCGGTTTGGATCCATGACCCAGTTGAGCTTCACAGAGGTACCATAGTATCCATTAGGCTGTGCATAATGTTAGTTGTTGTACTTTGACCAACAACATGTGACTTACAAGTTTGTCAGCACCTTCCATGCACACGTATTTTGCTTTCCGTAGTGGCTTCGCTCTCTCAATGATATCTTTCATGACGACACCAGTGAAAAGCGCCGTTGATAAGCCGGCGGGGCCCCACGAAAAGCCCTTGCTCTTCCTAACGACATTCTGCTCTTTCCGCCTGTTACCAGCACAGACCAAAGTGACAGGGTACGTGACGTTCTCGTATTCTTCCAGCAACTGCCGCAAAGTGATTTTGAGGGGGTTTGCTACTAGACTGTAGGATATTTAGTTTCAAAGCGTCGTTCTGTCGTCAGGCCATAACACACCCTTCAACTGAGAATTCCCAGTCCAGACACTCTGCATCCTGCACTTCAGGGACTGCACCATGGTTCCGCACGTAGAATAGCTCCGGGCTGGTCAAGAAACCCTCGTTGAACAGGTCTGTTAATGGTGCCTCGGTGTTGAAGGGATGAACACCCGTTAGCCGGATTAGTCTCGAATCTCGTGGTACATGCGCATCTGGCGTAGGCTTGTCGACATCCAGAACTTGCGGCGGGGTATTCGCTGGTGGTGGGAGTGGAAAGTCTGGTTCTGATGTCGAAGTGGTAGACTTGGAGTCGTCTCCATTTACGGTCTCTGGTGGCGAGGGCGGTAATTGTATCGAATCTGAGGCGGCATGTGGTTGAGGCTGATGTTGGTGGGCGGGAGGTATGGGTACTCCTGCCATGTTCTGGGTTGCTACGCTCATGATGCAAGAGATGTGGTACCGAAACTTGGGATAGATTCAGCGGATGGTTATAGTGCTTGCCCTAAGTGTGACGACTATTCCAACCGAAAAGTTATGAGATGTTCATCAATTTCTGCTGATGTAGCGAAAGAGATGTTGGTAAAGCAATGTACAGATGAGAACGATTCTGAGGTACTAAGCCAGACTGAATCGGACAAAAGGCAGAGGCCGCAATGGAGGAAATCTGGAATTGCTGATACTAAGTCAAACCCGGCATGTTCTAAGAACGTAGTGGCACCCTTCAATCAGCTAGTGGGACAAGTCAACGTTGTAGTCAACGTCAGCCGCTGAATGATAATACCGCGGAAACTCAACTTCGATCTGTGGGGAAGTCCTCAAATTCTGCATTCTGTCATCATCCTAGCTTACATCGAACGCCAGGCTCTGATCATCTCGAATTACCATACACTCTGGCATGCGACCTTATCTTTGACGTACGAATTAGGAATAGCGTGCGATATGTGTGGCAAGGGCGTAAGCGGGCCTTGATGCCGCTAAGAATTGTTCCTGGCCGGACCGAGTAGGCTGGACTTGGTGTGGGGGCTCCGTTTTGCTATGTGGATCCGGCATCTGTCCAGCGGAGATACCACCATCTGATCAAACTGTCGTGCCTTAGGGAGATGCTCGTCCTGCGCAGTTTTTGGCAGTTTTTGACAGACGGTAGTCGCCAACATCGCGCAAGTTCGTGAAACGTCATAGTGCTTACTGAGCAAAACTGCGTGTAACAATACTCTCGTATAGACTCTATGCCTGCGATTGTTGCGAACAACTGGTTGGAGACGACGATGGGATCGTCGTTCTTCGTCTGCAACACCAAAAGCCTCGGAGAAGCCTCGGCTGACCTTGTATCGCATGCGAAACAAAGGGGTTGAAAAGCAGTATTTCCGGAGAGATGGTGGATGGTCTACTGAATTCTGATGCTTGAGGCTGAATATCTCCGCGGTCCCAAGGAAGCTGCACGCTTGCCGAAACTAGCCACCCGGCATAGTGTGAGCCTCTAGACTATTCCCGCAACAACTCCATTGAGTTTGGGAAAACGTCCATTCGCCGGATACCTGAAAAAGTCGAGGCGATTACCCAACAAGTTTCTCTTTGAGTGTTTGACCCTGTTCCAAAGGGCCGACTTGTACTTGCCCTCGGAGTTTTTGCTGTATCGTTTCTGCGCGAGCCCTCATGCGCTGTTCAGTCTTTTCCTTTACACTGGCTTTGACATATCGACCCTTCACTCCGTGTTTAAGACGTGTGATCATATCACCTGCCTTGCCCTTGCTAAGATCCTCTGGTTTCAATTGATCCTCCTGCGGGCGAAATTTGTTGATAAAATCAACTTGCGCTTGCGATGCGCGACCCCTACGCCATGGTTGGTTCTTTGAGATGTAGAAGTGTTGGAAAGCATCAGCCGCGTACGTATCAGCCGCGTGAACAACGTGATCAAAAGACTCTCCTTCGGCGACGACACGCGGTGTGCCGTAGGGACTTTTGATGATCTTGTCCGCCGGTAACTTCCAGTAGTACTTCGCTTTAAAATGACCTTCGATATTCCCGGATGGCTCTATAACTAAGTAGTTGCCAGTGTTACCGGTGAGAACGTACTTTCCGTCACCAACACCAACCCATGCATTCTGGCTAATGTTGCGTATGTATTGATCGGCGGAAGTGTCCGCTATCAGATCGTGTACAGAGTCATACTCAGTGAAAGAGATGGTCCCAGGTAACTTCTTTGCGACAGTTCTCTTCTTGAGCTCAGAAGCCTCCTGTTCACGTTGCTTCTCGGATTGTCTTTCTTCTTTGAGCTTCGTCATGGTCTTGGTGTCTGCTTGGTCAATGATTTCATCTGGATCAAGGCCGAACAATGTAGGCGTTGAGACTACTCCGGTGCTCAGTGCCGCAACCATGTCGATGATGTGACAATTCCGCTTTCCATCATGTAAACGCATGCCACGTCCGATCATCTGGACAAGAAGATTGCGAGACTTGGTGGGGCGAGCTAGCAACACGCAATCGATATTAGGGATATCTGTTCCTTCTGTAAATACACCACAATTTAGCAGGACCGGAAACTCGCCGTTCCTGAAAGCGTCGATACGTGCACTGCGGATCTTGGTTGGTGTGTCGCCAGTGACGAATTGAGCATTAATCCCGAATGTCCGGAACCTAGCGGTGAGGTCGGTGACATGGCTAAGGTCAACGCAGAAGATGAGAGTCGAGTGCCGGTCTCTTGCCTTGGCCAGCCATGTCTTTACAACAATTTCGTTCGTTTCTTCGGTATTGATGACTGTAGAGAGGGCGCCGGTCTGAAAATCGCCACTGATGCCAGTGCCTACTTTGTTCAAGTCGGCCTTGATTTCGACAGTTGTAAAAACGACATCAGAAAGCCAATTCTCGTCAATCATATCCACGTAATCACGGTGATAGACAATGTGATCGATAACAGCCCCAAGCTTCTTTCCGTCGAAGCGCGAGAAGGTGGCCGACACACCGACAAGGGCGGGAGCCTTTGTACTAGTCCAGTCAGCCGGATGTCGCAGTCCAAAGTGCTCCAAGACATCGAGGTATGTCTGGCTGACAATATGATGTGCCTCATCCACCAATACAAGCTTGTACCGCGAGGGGTCAAACTTGTCCAGTCGTTGACCCGATGTAATGCTTTGTATGGAGGCGACGGTTATGTCGGCGGCACCAAAGGCTTGGTTGCTGCCCATTTCGATGTCTACATGTTTGTCGGGGTATGCAAGACTGCAGTGGCGGGCGGCTTGTTCAACGAGTTCGCGGCGGTGGGCGAGAATGAGCGTCTGTGAAGCCTCGCCAGTAGCGGGTATGCGATCGATGAGGTGGGTGAAAATGACTGTCTTGCCCGAGCCGGTTGCCAGAGAGACACCGAGACGTTTGTGGCCAGCATTGAGATACGAAAGCACAGCTTGTATGCAGTCTTCTTGGTACTCGCGTAGTTGAATCTTCGACGGTGAGGGAGGCGGAGGTGGTGGTGGCAAGCTAGGAACTACGTTCTTGGAGCTTTTTGATCTTCTTGAAGCATGTCTTGCTGTTGCGCGAACAGGCCCATAGCCCATTCGTCTGCAGTGTCTCAGCGCATGTTGGGCGAAACGGAACATCAAGACGCGTTCCAGGGTTGGGTGGGAGCGAAGATGTCGCGAAGTCACGACGCATGACGCAGGTCCAAGGCTGTGCCATGTTGTACGCCGAGGCCGAGCCCCACCCAAATGTTTCCCGCGTTCTTCACCCAAAGTTATCCTCTTCACCTTTCACCATGGCCGCTATACGCGCAAGACTATACGACCCCACTCAGCATATCTTCTACGGAGATACTGAGTGTGCGCCTGTCCTATCGCATCCGCCATGAGTTCCGCATCCGGCTACAAGCATTCCGAACCGTCGGAAGACTCCAGCGACGAAAGCTCGCGACCACCTTCACAATCAACCTCACGACCAACTTCTCGCCGCCAGTCGCCTACATCCCAGACACCGCGCAAGCGACGTCGCCTAGAGTCCATCGATCCTGCCCGTGTACGCAAATATTACCTGGAAGGAAAGTACAACGACGGCTACCGCGTGCTCTTTAACGAGGACGTGAGTCGAGCTGCTGCGCGCTTCGAGACAGATGTCGAAAGCTTCCAGTACTACAACAGGCAGATTGGGTCATCAAATTGGTCAGTAAGAGAGCAGGCCATCTTCTTCGCCGCTCTGGAGCGATTAGGAAGGGACAACATCCCCGGCATAGCAGGAGCCATCGGCACCAAGAGCATACCGGAGACGCAGGAGCTACTGCTACTGCTTCACGATGCTGCCACTAAGCAGGGCGATGTCAAGGTGACACTTCGCGACGTCCCTGCTGCCATCGACGTGGGCGACGAATGCAACGAGCAGCTGGATGTTGCAGGTGAAGCCCTGGCCTGGTTTCAGGAGGTCTTCGAGGCCAGCCAGGAACGAGACAAGTTCGGCGACTACTGGCTGATCACGCCTGCTGTGGCTGACAGGATCGAGAGCGCACTCGATACTAGACGTCTACGAGCGACAACATCGCCGCTTGCAAGCGAGCCAGAGCCAGAGCCTTCTCAAAGAGGTGGCAGAGTAATCGTAGGGTATATGGAACTCACCCAGAATAAAAAGAGACGTACTGACATATGCCAGGGCATGTACTTCATGTAAGAAGTTTAAGCAAAAGTGCGATCGAGCAACGCCGTGTGCCAACTGCGTGCGACGGAATACGGGCGAATGCACATATCCAGAGCAGTCTATAAGATCCGAAACGGGCGACCAACCGGACAAGAAATCGATCAAACCTAAGCGCAAGGCTGATATTCTCGAAGACATACCTGAAGCCGGTCTACTACAGCCACAGGTTATGCTCACCCTCTCCAAGACACTCTTTATGAACCGCTCGCCAACAATACCATCGCCCTGGCCACATTGGTCCGAATACACCTCGGAGTTTGCTCGAGAACCAAGCATCTATCGTAGCGCCTTCAGCGATCTCCATACCCTGGTTGTCTCCGTCACCAAGCGCCTCGTACAGACGGCTATCATACAAGCGACTTCACGACTTCGAGCACAAAGGCAACGAATGAAAGGTGGTATCCCTCTAATAAAGAGGAGAGATGTCCTGACTGCTATCGATGTTGTGGGTATGCCACGGAATAGTCAAGAGAGATGGCGAGGAGTAGCCAGACGATGTGCGTTGAGAGTATACGAAGGTAAATGGTCCCGTTACTGGCGTAATAAAACCAGACGAGAGGTGCCGTGGGATGAGGTTGAGCGAATAATGGCCTCAGTCGAGCCGTCGGTAGAGCCACCGACGACAGACGCAGAGACATCCGGCAACGATACTGTTGGATTTAGTGCAAGAGCCAAGCGGAGCGGAACGCCACTTCCCATGGATCAGCTTGCGCTGTCAGATTCCGACGACGACTCACTTCTCGAAAATAGCGCGCCTCCTTCCCGAAGCGCCTCCCAATCCAGAGATAATGTAGACCAACTTGCAAACCCGCACCCTACCACGGAGCCTGAGAAACTTGAGCCTCGCAAATTGACTTTAGGGGGGTTTGATCGAGAGACAAGTCGAAGGGAAGAGCAAGACCTCTGGGACATGCTTGGTCTTGAGCCGCTCGTTAAAACTGAAGAAACGAATATCGGTGGAAATAGCGACGAAGATGACCCCGACGAAGGCGAGAAGATCAGAACGCTTCCCCATGGTTGGCGCTCCTGGACAAGTTGTCGTGCCGAATGGGAAGAATTTGACACACCTCCACCTGAATTTGCCTTTCTTGCAAACCAGAAGCCTCTCGACGTGCCACCTATCTTACAAGGAGACACTTCAGACACCGCAGAGTCTAGCTCCGACGATGACACTGATGCGTCAACGGAAAGGCCGAAGCATCGGAGCAAGCCGTCAATACAGCAAACGATTGAGTTGCAAACTCGCGGCACCCACGCTTATGCTGCTTTGCAAGGACGAAGCTCAGAGCCCGTTAGGTCCACGAGCCAAACAGACTCTCCAAACGATGATACTAGCGATGGCAACGTGGGAGACCATAAGCTGCCTCGAACGCCTATCGAATTTACGAGGAAAGAACCATCTACCTCAGGATCGAGCCGCGATTCAAATGACAGCAGTTACTTCAAATCGAAAAGGCTGACCCAGTCTAATGGACCTAATAGTAAACCAGTTTCCATCGCATCATCGAGCGATGAAAGCAGCGACGTGGAAATGGAGCAGCCTGTACAGTCCGTTGAGACCCGGAATGATCCGTTGCATGTGGTGCTCTCATACGACGAGCCGAAAGAAATGGACTGGGAATCATTCATCGACTAGTGCATAGCATAATTGGCGTGGCCAAATTCTAAGTTCGATCGTAGATTCAATTGTATCTTCTTCACAAGATAGCGGCATCCGTTGTGTGGTCTGGAGTTGTTGAGGCATTGTCTGCAGTGTCGAGCTCTATGACGTGACATTTTACGTACTCGAGAGCAAACGCCCACTCGGACCAGTCCATCGAATTACTTGATTTCGATTCCAACAGCGTCAAACCTCCTCATCCACTTAGATGACAGCATGTCAAGACCTTTTTTGAATTCTAGTGAAACAGCAGTAACTTGTGATGGGCTGATAGTTGACAAACACCCTAGTGACGAGCTCAGAGTGGGTAGCTGAGTGAGTTGTATGTCGTATCCACGAATGGATCAAACTCGAGGTCACACCAATGCTAAGCGCTATGACTACCAAAAGAACAGGACTAGCCACTTCACTGGGAATGTAGTGCTGAGTGCACCAACAACACAGGCAACAGTTCAGGTATTGACGCATTTCATTCGCTTTTTCACACCCTCTTATTATATACAAAAACCCTTCCATGACTTCTCTATTCTCCCAACACACCTGCAGTAAAGTTTCAATACCTTACTTGAATCGACTTCCAGCATCCAACATTCGACGTCCAACCTCACCCCCACCTCACCGCACCTCTCATCTCCAAGATGCACTTCTCCACACCCCTCCTCTCCATCCTAGCCACCCTTGCTACTCTCACCATTGCTCACGATCACCACGACAAACCGAAAAAGGAGCCGAGCAAGGAGCCGAGCTGTGGCGCCCCCTTCTGTGCGCGGGGTGAAGCTATGGCTCATGCAAAGGCTTCGATTCTTGCTGAACATGAGGCAAAGGTCGTGGCTATCATCATTCCTACTGCTACCTCCTCTGTCGCTGGTGCCAAAGCAAGTAGTCTGAATTGACTGCTGAGATAGGTGACCGGTATATCATCATTCTTGTAGGATGACCAAATACTTGGCTGACTGGAGATAGATTGCTGGGTTCGTCGCAGTGACGGCTCTCCAGGTGCGACAACCTATAGTCGGGAATGTCGTGTCATATGCCGGTATTCCTTATTGGTCATATCTTTGTGGGCGGAGCCGAGGAGAGGCGACTCGCTATGTTCGGTATGAGTTGATGGAGGTATGCTATGAGCAGCTTCATGAGTGGCGGGTATGACGGCTCTCTACAGTTGGGACACGGTACGTGTATCAAGCCACAAGTAGCTGTGTAACAAATCGATAAGTTCATCGACTCACGTGAGCAATATCTAGGTATGACTATGTGATGATTCATAAGCCGTGAAAACATCATGTCAGCGCGTTCCTGAACATCGGCTGGCTTGATTCGTACATGGCAGTAACGAATACAACATCGAATTGATGGGCAAGAGGGACAGGGGTTGGTGTGTCTCCACAGAACACAGCGTTCGCGCCGTCCACTAGAGGGATGTCTAGGGTTTCCTCACCGACGATTTAACCCCAGCCAATACTTAGCAGTGATATAGTTCGTAGGCAAAGAGCAAGCCGGATAAGCTCGCTATTGCTGACTTCAGAATACCGTATGGCTTCCTTGAACGTTAAAAGTGACAACTCGTCAGTGACGCTTTCGAGCGTTAGCTCCTGCATGGCGGGTCGACACTGATCAATAAAGTCGCGGAGATCTTTGCTGAGACCTGCCGTGTCAAAAGCTGCCCAAAGAGGTAACGCTAACTTTCGACTCTCGCCGTTGATTTGCCATTCCTCATGTATGAGATTGATCCCGATTCGCGGAACGAATTCGTGGATGGAGATAGTCCAGGTCGGCCCCAGGAACTCTCCGAATGGGTTTTATAGCCCACATTTAGTAGGCCGCCCGTGCCAGAAGACCACGGTGTCGAAGCAGGGCTGTACGACACCAAGCCTGTGTGATAGGGAGATGCCTGGGCCACGTTTTGCCCGCCAGGTTGAAAGGCACTCTCTACAAACGGTTCCGAGACAGAATTCGTCAACCCACCCAAGCTGGGTATATGTGTCCACTGCACGTTTTCCAAGGTATCCAGTGCTATTGTGCTATTTGCTAGTTGTGACCATTGCTGTAGGTTGAAATTGTCGAAATTGTAAGCCTGTTCAGGATTTGGATTTGGTGGTAGCGTGGGGAATGTCTATTTCGAATAAGCATCAAAGAAATCCAACTAATTGTTTTATACGCACCGTGTCCCATGCATATCCTGCGTAGCCAAATGCACTGCCAGAAATTGGGTGCCATGAGGGTAAGGGTGGCTGCTCCGGCGTCTGAAGTTGCGCGATCGAGCTGCCTTGTTGGATAGGAGGATGGGAAGCTCGGTTTTCTCCATGTTTGGGGTAGATGAAAGGATCTGGTCGATTCCACAACGATGGATCGTTCGCCGTGGTAGATCCCAAGAAGAGTTCAGCTGATGCATCAGGCGCCGATGAACCAAAGTTTGCCAGTAGATGCGGCGAATAGGTTTCGTGGCTGCGGCAAGCTTCTACCACTCCACATTCCTCCCGTATTCTCGCCCTTTCTTCGCGAATTACCCGAACGATACAATCACTAGCTATCGATCCGAATATCAGGAAGGAATTCTAGACCCGAAGAGAGTCGTCCTGGTAGCTCTCGACGACCCCAAAGACAATAAACCCGATTCCGTGTATGATGCGCTCAAAAAGATATACCCTCAGAAGCCAACGGGTACTGATGATGACGACGGCAAGGTCATTGTTGGAATCGTGAGCATGTCCTTGGAATTCGACCCCAAGCCTCATGGGCAATTCCAGCCTGAAGGTAGGCTTATGCTCTACAACAAAAGGTATCGCAATCTAACACAAGTTAATTTAGGTGAAGATCCACCGGAACCACATGCTGACCCTGAAGGCCGCAAAAGAGATGCATTTCCCGATGCTCTGAAGCTCGTTGACAAGGCTTTGAAAGATCCCGAGGAGAAGCACGTTCTCCATTCTTTGGAGTGTTAGCAACAGACTAACATGTTGATAGATGGCTCAAGGATCACATGAAGATCTTGTCGCTCGGTGTGCATCCTGGATATTGGAAGAATGACCGTGAACACGATTTGGTGAAATGGTGCCTAGCTCTGGCTGATATGGACAAAGTGCCAACATGTGTGAGTGCCTCACCCATGGGCTCGAAACTGTGCAAGAGCCTTGGTTATGTCGAGAAGGAGCTGGTTCTCACTGAAGGTTATGAACACCATCCAGAGCCCATAGATATTTTTTTTCCAGCAGCTTACTGTTCCTGACACTGGTGTGAAGGCAGAGCTGTAAGCGGACGAAGCGTGACCATGGTTTGAGCTTGTCAGGAAGGGAACAAAAAACGTATTGTCGTAATAGCACGCTCTAATTTCATCGGGGTTGTGTCGTTAAGCCGTGAAGTTTGAGTGGTGCATCTCCAGCTGCTTGATGAGAGTTACCGTGCTTGTAACTGCACCATAATGCATGGAAACGCAAAGTTTATCACACCTAAAAATACTCAGCTGCTCTCATCCGTTATACCGTTTAACATGTAGATGCACACGTGTGTCTTTGTGTAAAACTCGCTATAGGCTTGTTCGCAGCCGCTTCGCCAAACTGCGAAGGTGGGAACGGGGTGCGCCGTCGTTTGTTTGTTCTTTCCATTTGCCAAAAATTTTATTTGGTGATGTATTCTAGCTAAGCTTCGCTGATAGTGAGGCTTCTCACGATGACTCGAAAGCCCATGGTATTCGCAGTCCTTGTTGTTCGGTGGACGCTCGTTCCATTGGTCGAAAGCCGGTGTAGCTCTCGAATATTGCGCTCAGCCGGTAACATCTTCAATTCATGCGAGGAACCGGGAATGAGATTGAGCCTACCGGGTAGCTGCATAAGACGGCAGATCAAGATGCAGGAACGAACAGAATCCCAGACAGACAACCACTGCAACGGATACCCAACACACCAATCGCTTCAACGATATCAAACCCATCGAGATACTTCTTCAAGATGCCTTCAGCAACCAATGGCCAGTCAGGCAGCCAGTCTTCTTTTCCACGTGATATTGATATGTGCTGGCTAGTAGCAGAAGACCAGAAGGGTGCCAATGGGACGCGAACAGCAGTCGAAGCTTCGTTGCAGACGAACGTCGTGAATAGCCAGACATCATCTAAGTAGGTATTCGGTTAGCCAAAACAAAAGGAAGAGAAAGAAACTCACAACAGGAACAACTCTAACACGTAACAGTGCGCAGACTTTTCAAGCAAGGCTCAATGCCCTGCCAGCCGGTACGATGATGGAGCGCTACCTTACCGACATGAGCAGCTCGATCCCAGGAAGATTCAACAACAAATGAATTTGTCGAAGAGATTGAGTCGTTGAGGGTGATCGACCTTAATGTGAGAACATGGATAGTCTATGATGCGCTAGAACTCCAAATTATCTTCCTTTATCGCGTTATTAGTGTTTAAGTCTTGGCTAGGATCAATAGACTTGTACTACTTCCCACAATCTTGAAAGTGATCGCATACACCAAGACCGCTTTTATAGACTACATGATAAGCATGCGAATGACGCCATGTGAGAGATAAAAAAGAAGATAAAGGAGGGCAGACAGAAATATGTTTCGCTCTGCGCAAAATCTAAGCCCTACAAGATTCCAACTAAACGAAGAGAATCAGATTCTGTGTGCCCACCGTCCTTAACAGAACTTCGGTGCAGCAGATTAAAATCGGTGACAAGATAATGCTAAAACTTCAGGTTGTAAACGAAGTGGTAGATGATGTCGTTAGAAACAGAAGGGTTAAAAGAAATACGATGGAGTAACGTACTCCGCAAGCAATTATGTACCTAGGTTTCACCAAGACCCTTACACTCAAAGAAGAGATTCCAAAGTCTGATTTAATGGCAAGTCTGCTGATCTCTAGATGAGATCCCTTAGATTGCGATGAGTTGGACTGGTGGGTGGCTTGATCGTGAAAACAACGCCCACTTCGTTTGATTTCAACAACGAAACCAGAGGTGCTCCTCGTCACGAGTCGAAATATTCAGCACTACTAGTGACAACAGGAGTATAGCGAAGTGACGCTATTCATCACGTTCCATTCCGGATGTGTTCCACTTTAGTATCAATCCTATGCATACAACTCCACTCATCCAAGTAGAGTTCCTGCACCAGATTGACACTACCAAACCACTTCTCGCCCAAACCAGCGCCTGGTAGATCTGGGTTGAGCTTGAGAGCTTTGGCGTTACCAGTCGCTGCCCCATATTGTTCAAAATGCTTCAACGAGTCAATGGCCCACACCATCTGCTCGTCGTCGCGATAATGCTCCTTCAGTCTCGCGCGCCTTATGTCTTTCCTTATCTCAGCTTCGGCGGTCGACCAGGGCGATGGATAGTCGGAGGGCATGAGCTTCTCGCCCTTCTTCAGACGCGCGTTGTTGGCTTGGATCTTTTTGGCCGTCTTGATGTGCCACTCGTCTTTCAAGACGCGGAGCCGTTCTTGTTCACGGAAGAAGAGCTGTAGCATCTTCTTCCAGTCGAACCTGATCTCGCGGGCTGCGACGTCGATGGTGAGGTCTGGTAACTCGGTATCGTTCACCAAGCCACCGATGCTGACTGTGTAGTTGGGCATTTCAGCCTTCCAGTTCTGCACATTCTCTTCCCATCGGCGCGTCACCTTATGGTAATGCTCGCGTTCTTTCTTTCCTTGTCCTTTATCCGAGCTTATATCCGGTCGCTCATCTTTGAACCAGGCTGTAACCTTATCTTTGCCTTTGCCCCGTTGCGCGAGTCTTGTGGACACCTCAGGCCTCTTGCTCTTCCCGCCTAGGTTGTATTTCTCAAGTTGAAAGTCTATGCGCATATCCTTCAGAAAGTGTTCGCCGAATGCATGCTCGACGCACGCGCGAAGAGTCGGAGAGACGCGTCGGACGACGTTCCAAAGGTGTGCGAGATCGGTATGATAGCGGAAGACGTTGATCCACACCTCAGCGGGTAGCGAGGGACAAAAGGTTTCGCGAGCGGCGATACGGCGTGGAGCTTTCGAAGCCATTCGGTCTCTGTCGCCCGGGACGTTTGAACTACATGGTGCTTCAAATTCTGGTAATCTTGTGCAAGCCGCGTTGAACCCCAAGTTCGCGAGTCATGCCAATGACGTAAGCACGGGTTGCATGACGGGAGGTGTTTGTTGTCGACTTGTCCATACGACTCCATATATATATATTTACTGTGGTGTAGTAGGATAACACGTGATCGGAGGGACAGTATATATACTAAAAACCTTTCAAGAGAGAAAGGCAGCTTCTTTCTTCAATTCCACTCTAGCGATTGCTCTCGAACTACTTCTTTCTGCTCCTCTATCCGATTGCGGGTCGAACACCTGCCTCCTAACTTTGCTCGATACCTTATCGTACTACATTACATATATATATATACAAAGCAGCTTGTTTCTTCTCGAGGTGCATTTAACTACAATCTAGTTAAAATAGCCGAATAGCTGCAGCATGATGGCAAGCGCTCTCTGCCTGTTGCTCGTATACGTGTTCCTGCTTACCAGCTGCCTATTTGACACAATGCGTATAAACGTGACGCATTCCTTCATTGCGTTCCTCTATCTAAGCCCATCAAGCTCTTTGGTCTTGTACACCATGTGCATATTCTTTGTCTCTTTCCTCTCGGTCGAAGGCTCGAGTGGCACTGCAATCGCATAGTCGGAAACCACAAATTATACTGGATAGCACAATGGTCCCACCGAGTGCAGTACCATGAGGATTCTTTGGAGCTGCCTAACAGCTATTTTCGCATGTACTTGAACTATTTTTCACTTGAATATGCCTCTCATTAATGATGGTACATAGATATATAAACCCAATAATCCTCCAGAAGATATTTCAAACTGAAGGATAATAGAGTCCGCACTGAACGGACATTTTGGACGAGATTCACTTGCAAGCATCTTAACACAGGTATTTTAGATTAGAAGAAACTAGTATGTAGAGAATTTCATTCTGTCTGGGATATACTATAACTAGACCAAGGCTTTTCCTCCATAAGCGCCGATGAACGAACGTCCAATCTGTGTTCGTGTCTCCCAATGTCCCTCAGTTTCCTATCCCAAGCAGCATAGAAGAAAAAAGGCAACCACCCAAGCCTAAATCATTACACGAAATCAAAACGACTACAGCAACGAAATGGGCTCAGCCCTTCCTGAGGAATGAAAAGGAAAAAAAGAGTTGGGTAAGACAAATACATGAAGCGTAGAATAGGTAAAATACACGAAGCAACAGGCGAAATGAAAGCGCGAAGAAGACAACAATAAGAACAACAATAACGAAATAGTAGACTGGTATCGCGCGACAAGCAAGAATTTATCGGTCGGCATGACAGGGACGTAAGAAAAGGCGTTACGACGTGAACGACCATCCTGACCGTTGTGATTCTCCCCTTGAAAAACAATCCAAACGCCAGCGGGTATAGACAATATCAATGTTGAGTAGTAACAGGTTTCTAGATTGCCGAGGCACGCAGCGCGGCCTCTGGTGGTGTAGGAGGCAATGGCATATTGGGTGGAGGCGCTGGGAGACCCATGCTCGGAGGCGGTGGGGGAAGGGGCATATTGGGTGGAGGAGTAGGCGAACTTATGTTGCGGGGTGGCGTAGGTAGGGGCATGTTTGGTGGTGGTGCGGGTGGTGGCAATCCCATAGATGCGATACTACGCCTGGGTGTGATGGTCTTTTGCTGCGCGAACGCCTGCTGTCTCAACGCCTCGATACTGGGTGTTGGCCTATGCGCAGCAGCATCTGACAAAGGAGCAGGTGCATTAGACATTCTCCGACCGGGAACAAATGATGGTGTAGATGCAATGGCACGAATTGGGCGGGATGACAAGAAAGGCGCGGGATCGGCAGAGCGGATCTGGACTGAAGCAGGACGGCGCAAAGCTTGTGATGCTTGAGCGGAATGTAGACCATGAGGGTTGGTAGTGGGCTGCATGTTTGAAGCTGCCGAAGGTGGCCTTACAGGAGCAGTCACTGACCGATTCATGTGGGCGCCCGCAGGTAAAGGCGACGGTGTAGGCGATGGTGTGAGAGAAGACTGCCGCCTCGAAACGATTGTAGATGAGTCGCCGTGTTGTGCTTGAGGGCGTACTGGGAACGGCCGTAGGAAGGGCTTCGGCGAAGCAGACGTTCGACGCCGAGTTTTGTCACCACTGGTAGAAGCATACATGGGTGCTGGTCCCATTATTGACTGACGTTGAGCGGGAGGCGGGGGTACTGGAGCAGGGTTTTTGGGCGGAGGTGAGACTACGTCCCGTCGCGGTGGAGCGTTGTAGATGTGCGCATTGAATCGTACCGGGCTATCTTCTCGAGTGGGCAGAAGATCATTGCCATCAGCCTGATCAGGATTTTCGATTTTCGATTGAGGAGGCGATGAACGCGCATCATCGATAGTCTGCACGATGGCTGGCAAAGTGTCCGCGCTGCTTAGAGCTTCTTCTTCTTTCAATGGTATTACTGGGCCTGCAACAAAAGGCTTGCCTAGTTCTGGCACGGTGGGAGAGGTTGGGCTGTATAGGGAGTGTCGTTTGCTCGTAGGGGGCGTCGTCGCCGTTTGGCTCAAGTCTTCATTAGTGATTGGCAAAGGCTGCATTGACCTGCGGCGAGACGACATGGTGTTGTTCGGATTCATGTGAAATGACCGTAGAGACATAGCACTCCGGAGAGGCTCACTCTCGCCGGTCGCGATAAACTCCTCCTTGAGAGGCGAATGTGGTGCAGGGGACGACTCTCGCGAAGTGTTACGAGTGCCTGCACCAGACGCTGACGTAGCTGTTGACATGAACGAGTATCGCGACCGTCCACGAAGCTGGTCCAGTTGTACTTGATGCTGAGAGACGGGCGTCGAAGCGACAGATGACATTTCTACTGAGAGGCGGCTGTTATTGTTAAACCGAGTAGACTGTCCACTAGAAGAGTCGATACTGTTCTTCGTCTGGTCGTTCTGATTAACTTCCCACTCAGAGGCTACGATTTTTGGCGACGTCGAATGCTGTGGTTCAACTGGAACGACTCGGCTGACAATGTGAGGGTCCCGGTTGACTCGATACCGATGACTGGTAGTCTCTGATGAGTTCTTTCCACCAGAGTCATCAGTAGAAGAGGACGCTCGAGCGTAATCATCCTTTGCCTTCATGCCGCCAAGGTTATCGATCTCCTTACGCACAATGGTCATCCATTCATCCATTTCTTCCGCACTCTCAAGAACCAGGAGGAAGCTTGTGGCTGACTTGCGCATGGTGGCGTTTTGTGTTCGCAAACGTGCGAGAAGAGAGTTCTTTGGCCCTGACTCAAATGTTCCGTCGTCGCTGGCGTGGCTGGAGATCTGTAGCACCCAGTGCTTGCCAGGTATAAGGTCACAGGCAAATGCCGCTGATTCTTTTCCCAGCTTGAGCACTTTCTCGGGCAAACGATCGAATGCGCCATCACCAGCATATTGGAGCACAAACCCTGCTGTGACCAAGATGTAAATCTTGTTGACAAGTTCTGGGGTCTGTGGGTTTAAAACAGAGTTGGACATGAGGCGCTTGTGTGTCTTTTCGAGCTTCTTTGTTTCTGTGCCGTTCTCTGCGATTGTGGACAAGTCGCGCTGAGTGTCCATCTTCTCGCGTAGCGACTCGGCTTGCTGTCTTTGACTTTGTGACCTCATCAGAATCTCTGGAGCGAACACGCATGCCTGTACAGTGGCGTGCTTCAGAGATTGTGGGAAAGCCTGGAACAGTGGAGGTGGATCCCAGTTTCCAAACTCGTGATGTTGTACAGGGGGTCGCATAGACATGGGTCGGAACATCTGGCTTGAGCGTGCGCGAATTGTCTGTTGAACGGGAGGAGAGGGGTTCTGTCTCAGAGAAGACTTCGGTATGGAAATGGGCGGAGTAGGTTTGGGCGGAGTCTGTGGGCGCATTGGTACTGCAAGGCCAACCTCGGTGTGTCCACGAGCTCTCTCTACTTTGGGTCGACTGAAGAGATTGAATAGCGACATCTTAGATGCTACGCGTTCCAGCTTCTTTGTAGGTACTACTGACGGTGTCTGGGATGCTACGGACGGTGACCGTGCAACCGATTCCTGTAGGTTCGCGGTGGATCGAGTGAAGCGCCATCGAGACGTCGTCGACGAGTTGTGAGTTTTGTTTCGCATGTTGCCGACGGGATTGGACGAGGCAGCATAGATCTGGCCAGAGAGATCGGACATGATGGGCGACCTTGGCTTTTGAAGCTGGCGGAGTACGGTCGACTTCAGAGCAACGTTGAGTTAGGCGGATGGGTAATCCAGGTCGTGCAAATTGGTCGCACGGGCTGTCCAACCTGTTCCTAAAGACCCCGACAGGGTAGGCTTGCATTCAGCGTAAGCAAGATCTCGGACCGATGTCAAAGTATGTAAATCGTAGAAAGTAGCTTTTGGTTGGAGTAGTGGTGTATCGAGTATCGTGAGATCAGTGCGTCAGTAGAGAATGTGGAGACTGCCAGGTGAGCGGTAGAAGGAGCGTGATATAGGTGGCAGGACTATAATACAAGGAGAGGGGGAGATCAAACGAGAGGACAGGACATAGGCCCCTAGAGAAGCAGAACGAGCTGCAGATATGACGGAACAGAGGAAAGCAGACGAGACTGAAACGACTTGTCAACGTTGAGTTGAGTCGTGGAGAGGAAAAGTGGCAAGCGTTAGTTGCCGCAGATGAGTGCTCCCTAATCATGGTAGCGTACAGGGGGAGCCGTTCCCAGGTTCCGTCGTGTGTGATGCGAGCGCGCAGGGGCTGCATAAAGGCCCCTTTACGGTCATTTTCAAAAGAAAGTTGGGATAGATGCGATGGCGCCGCACACTAGCGCTCGCCTGGACGATGTTGGCGTGTTTGACCTGGCTAGCCGGTGAAGGGTCGGCACAACGTCTTTTGACAGTGCTCGCGAGCTACATAATAGACTCGACGCCAGCAGCATCGACGAAGTGTTGCCCGGACGCAGCGGAAGAGAGTGGCCTCCATCATCAGGCCCCGACGACGATGTAGATTAACGAGGTACCGCCACGATGTTTCGGCAGCGACCTTTTGCAGTCCTGCCCAACGCGGTAGCTAATTCTGCCTGGCCCAACGTGGAAATTTGATTTGCACGGCGTCGTGACTGGAGTCGAGGCCTGCACGATCTACGACACGTCGGTAGGCGTGCGGAAGCTGATCGCCGACAGTCAATACTCGGAGATATTGGATGGGGTTTTCGCATTCCTTATTGCGGAACCCATGGCACGTTCACCTCAAACATGACCCTGAGAACTTGTGGTGATGGCGCGAAAAAGCAGACAGTCGCACTGCTGCAGATGCACCCAGGGTGTGATTTGCGTAGAGAGACACAACTCTTGTTGTTTTGCATGTTGGTAATATCGTCTCAGGTGTGACGCAGGCGGCAAGGTGCATACGCCTATCGATTATGGAGTGATTCTGCCCATCAGCTGCGCAAGGATAACATGCATAGTGTGGATAGTGCGAAGCTTATTGCGGCGCGATATTGCACGAGGCTGGTGCGAAGAAACAAAAACGCGAAATGAGGCTGACGCTGGGGAAGGATTGGGGCGTAGACGTGTTTGGTTCCTGCAGTAGCGCAGGCCAAATTAAGTCAGCCCTGGAGCTGTTGTGGTGCTGTCATGCCTAGCCCCGCTCACCCCACCAACCCTCATCATAGCTCATCGCCAGATCAGTCTGCGCAAGGTCACGCGCCTTTCGTTGCTTCTACCTACATCGCACGCCGCATCTTTAGTGACGGCACATCACACCACCTAGAACAGATGGCGCCAGATTTGAATACCCTGCCTGCTTCTCCTCATGCATCGCCCTCACCCCGCAACCAGTCACCGACAAACTCACGCACCATGGCTACTTCACCCCACTCTCTAGCTGCCACTGCCGCCATGAATGCAGGTATTCACAATGAAGAGACGCGCCGATCCTCTTCTGGTAGTATGCGCAGGGACGTTGAGCGCGCACGTCGCCGATCAAGCATTCGAATGAACCTCAACTTGAACGACCCGGCTATCCCAGCACCTGGAGAGATGCAGCAGAGTCCATCTTCCCGTAGCAGGGGTCCATGGCCGCATAGTCCGCACCATGAGCGTGCTCCTAGCCTGGGCGAGCTACATCAAGAGCTAGAATACGAGCAGGAAGGACAGGTGGTGAGTTTCCGACCATGGACGCAGTGATTGCCGAGAGCGCGGATCGATTCGCTTCTGCTCACTGCTTCGTTGTCTAGAAGCCATCTTTTATACTAATATGTATAGAACCGACTACTCAACATGATCCGTTCCCAGCAGGCCCAGATCAACACGCTCCAGGCAAACCAGCAACAACCCTCTGCTTCCGCCGTCGACGACAGCACACCAACCTCGGAGCGCTCCATGTCCATACCTCCGCCGCTCTCACAATCTACGCACATCTCACCACCTATCACTTCACCCTTGCCGATTGCTGCACAACCACGGTCTCGCTCGCCCTTTGGTTTCGGTACCATCAGTCGCCAATCATCCTTTGCCGACCGCTCACGCCACAGTAGCCATGCCGGCTCCCCTGCTCTGCGTCCTGTACCAGGCCAGGCAGGATCATATGATCCCCACGATATGCTTCCCAGCCCAGCAGCGACTTCAAGAGATGAAAGTGCCTTCTACCAGGCCGAGACCCAGAATCTGACCCGGGAAAACCAGATGCTGAAGCTAAGGATAAGAGAACTTGGTACGTACTTAGCAAGACATCACACTCGAGTCCGGCTACTAATTTGACAACTCCAGAGCGCCAACTAGCAGACCAAAATCTCACCAGCCAAGTCACCCATTCGCCCACCGTCCACTCCGGCCTCGCTCCTGCTTCGACTCGCGAAAGCACGGACCAGGGTAGCGATGGCGGTCAGCCGCCTGTGTCGACAGAGTAGGACTTTTCACTAGACTGTGCTTCGCGGGCGTTTGGTTCAGGTGCCTCCTCTCATGATGTTGATGAAGCGTATTGGCGCAGGAAAAAATGATATGCTGCATGACAAAACGGCGTTTAGGGTATTTCCAAGAGAGAACCGGCGAGCACGAGCTCCTTCTTAGCTATTCGTCGGGTACAGCTACAATTGTGGTTTACATCCTGCTATTTCACGTTTTTCCTATCAAAGTACGTGAACTCTTGACGTTCCATACTTTTTTTTTTTCCGAGTCGCTCCACGGACTAGCAGGAAGAGTACGCATAGGGTCATCATCAATCTCTGCGCCAGGAAGATCCATGTATCGTTCCCGAATCGTTCTTGAAATCTGTTCTATATTCCCCACCGCTCGGCGTAAGCGATGCGCCAATATCGAAATCGCGGTGTAGACTCCCGAGGTTTGTAAGACACGAGTCGGCCTGTTTGATGTACATTAAGTGTCACTTCCAACCAGCAACATGACAAACAACAACCCCACTCGGAGAAATTACTAGTACCCCGCATCGCTTGCGTGTCAACATTCTCAATCTTAGTCCGCGGAAGCGGAATAGTTGTATCATATACAGGCGTACCAAAGAGTTGATTAGTTATATCATCAAGAGAACATGTTTCTGTTAGGCATGCAAGTTTTCGATTTGAACATGAAAATAATGTCAAGCGTTCGAATGGAAGTAGCAAAATGGTAGGTACGCTAAAACATGTACAGTAACCCTGGTATCCGCCAGAACGCTCCGTACCCTATAACCAGTCCCCGATGCCATGAACACTCGCATAATGTCAGACTCCTTAGTCCAGTACTTGCACAGATGTTGATGGATGTGACCCGTCTCATAAACGCCAATGCTCCGTCCAGCTAACCCATGCAAAGTATCAAACTACCTTCAGTCCACTTCGGAGCACGTATCCTACTCGTCCTCCACCTCTTCGACTGTCGCACGTGGTGCTCGTTGCGTGACGGCACCTTCTGGCGCGGCGTCTGAGCCTGTGGGCTGTGGTACGGACTTGACAGGCGCAGAAGCAGGAGCAGCAGCGGGCGCTGGTGCGGCTTGAGCGGGTGCAGCTTGAGCAGGTGCAGCGTCGATAGCACCCTTCTTGGGCTTTCCACCAGCGGCCTTTGCTGCTAATTTGGCGGCCTTCTTCTCCTTCTTTGCAGCCTTCTTTGCCTTGACGTCCTCGGGGGTCTGAAACTGTCAGCTTTTGGTTCACAGGAGTTCGAAAGACAAAATATACCTCTTGCCATGCCCATACTGGTCGGAACGAGTCAAAGAAACCAACATCCTCGAACAAGTTTGGGTAAAGCCATAGTCCAGGAGGCACCGCGAAGATAGTGATGACGAAGATGATGAGTCGAACAATCGCCATGGCGAAGAACAAGCCAATGAGGCCAAGCATGCCCATACTCAGGTACCATACACCCTGTCGTAGGAAAAGCGGCCAGAGAGGGAACAGCACAATCGCAATGACGAGAAGCAGGGCGCCAGCAGCGTACAGCTTCTGCTTCCATTGTGATCCTTCGTATAGCCAGATGTAATAGTTGTCGTCATTTGCGTCCTGGTGCTGCTCAATCTTGACCGTCCACAAGCCCTTGACGCGCTTGGGCTTTGCGTGGTTGTGACCCTCGTGCGCGTTGTCGTCGACCTTTGTGACACGGAGCGCAAGGAGGGAGAGGGGTAGGAGCTTGAAGCAGTTCTCGGCGGAGGCACGGTCATTGACTTCGGGGAGGAGAGGATTCTTAGCACGGGCTTTTTGGTATGCGGGGGACTGCAGAGCACGAATTGCTCGCTTGACTGTGAAGTGTTAGCAATAGATGTATTATCATGGCTTATGTGTCTACCTCTGAACATGTCCTTCCTCTTCTCATCGTGTACAACTGTCCTAGGCTTCAGGTCTTGCGACTTCAACCAATTGGCGACAGCGATCGCTTCTGGTTTCGGTGGGCCGGGCTGGATGGGCTGCTGCTGCTGCTGCTGCTGAGCACGTTGTTGCGCCTGCATCTGCGCCTGCTGCTGGGCCATTGCTTGCTGTCGCAGTCTTTGGACGTATTCTTGAACTGATATTCCGTGTTTCTGTGCCTCGGCTTGAAGTTGCATCTGTATCTGTTGTATCTGCTCGGGTGTGGGCCTTTCACCATTGGGTCCTACAGGAATGGGAATAGAAAAAGAGCCTGGAGGTGGCCCGCCTTGAGGGGGACCTTGCTCTGGTGGGGGACCTTGTTCGGCCATGGTGAGAGTGAAAGTCGTGACCGTCGGTGGTGCGAGGCGTAGCGGTGACTGCGCGAAAATCTGTTTGGGGTGGAAAGCGTTCGAAGAGATATGTGTTCTGTGATTGACAAGAGGGACATTCGTAATAATGCCAGATTACATCAAACCGCGACTGCTTTCGGTTAGACAACAATCCCAGCCACGGCGAATGGTAGGGCCGGAGGCTTGGCAGCCGTCCATGCAACAAAATCTCTGCGAGCTGCACACCTTTTACCTTCCACACCACCGCACACAGCAACTTTTACTACATTCTTCTGCGCGCGTTTACGACCACACGCATCGGTTTGCACTCTATTCTTGTGCAATCTCGGCTATCATCGCCGGCGCGTCGGCATATTGGGCGGATGCTGGATACGCAGTATATGTCGAGAACTGCGCCCCAGACTCATCCCAAACTAACCGTAGCTACTCTCGAGTACCTGCATCTGCATTACGCCTCAGGTTATTACTCGTCTGAGGCGTAAGTCTGCGCGTTGCGACAGGGCGTCGAAGTTCGCCTAGGACGGCGCCGTCTTGTGTCGTTTGGGCGCATGCAGTGCTTCAACGTACAGTTCCAGCAAGCAAACTTTGATATCAATATCAAGCCAGCTTGATAGGTCGCTGCCAGGGATATCCTTGGCGGCGACACTATGCTCGTGATGTTCACTTCACCAACACTCTGGCCCTTACTTCCCTTACTGTATAGGCCTATTTTGGTGTGAAGAAGAGGAAACGACCCATTACTCACCGCGTTGTCTTGCCTTTTGGTTTGGCTCCAGTGGTCCTTTTTCGAGGTCAACATATATATGCATGCAGATACTTCTCATGATAAGCATACGCTGTCAAGTATACGGCTTGCGCCTCCGCCCTATGCCGGTATCTTGGTACACTATGCGGATCGACATGCGCCTGGCACATGAAACGCGGCATCAGTGATGACCTCGTCCAACAATGATTCGACATGTGAAGGCCGACATAAGCATGCGTGTGGCGTCTTTGTCAGACACGACGGACAGCCGTATGTGGCAGTAGTCTTGCCTAAACTCAAAGGGCGGTTGGGGCGCCTCATCTACTATGCTCTCGGCTCGACGAAGTGACAAAGAAAGGGCACGGCGAGCTGTTGGGTCATTGATGCATGGTGGTGGATATTGCGGCACCTGCATTGATGGACGCGCTGGTCGATTAGAGGGCTGATTGGCGTTGGAGATCGCCGTGAACGTTGGATAGACTAGGGCCCTTGCAAGCCGCCGTCTCTCGCGGCTTGATAGCTCTGCAGCCCGCCCAAGTGGAGTTGTGGACGCGCAGTGCGGAGAGCATCAGGACCGACTTTTCTTTTCAACGAGTCGGTGTAGGAGAGATCAGTATATTCTTCGCCATCTAGACGTCTCGCTGCAGATGCCCATCGTAGAGCCCAGCGTCAAGCTCGATCATCGATCATCACCGGAAACCCCCAGACGCCTGTCGTGCTGCGGCAGGGATCGCTCCAAGCCACCACTCGAACGACTGAGTGCATACGGAAGTGGATAGGCCTGCCGCTGCTTGGTCTCCGCCGCACCACACCTCGTCATCTCTCGAGCCCGCCTATCCGCCGACAGTGTGAAAAAGCAGGCATCGCCGCTTGTGCTGAGCGCTGACATTCTCGCCCTCCGACTCGGGCGCTGGAGAGCTGCAGACACGCAGCCAGGCAGAGACGACGCAACGGACCGCCGTTGCGCCCCAAGTCGCAGCCCGTACCACGCTTATCCTGTGTTCGAAACTCGCTGCTGTGCGCCATCCGCGCAGACGACTCCCATTCCGCGACACGACACCCAAACCGCGTCCTACTACCCACGATTGCGCAAGGCAGCCGCCAGTGAGCGCGCAGTCAGACAGGCGGCTCTGGTGCATGCGAGTGGGTACATTCCACACAGACACGCCCAGGGACCCGCCCTTACATAGACACCGGACACCGCTCTCCTCGTATATCCTCATCCATCACACGCTGACTGACGCCTGAGGCCACCGCCACAATACTCACCTATCCAACCCCGCGAAACCCCCGTCACTACCGACGCCGTACACAGACACTCATTTGCTGCTCCGCGTAGCCTCTGCACGAGCGGACAGCATCTGCGACTACCCCATCCCCAACTACTGCCGGGGTCTCTGCTGGTGACGTGCCAGTACGGGGACGCCCGGTGCTGAGGAATCTTAGTCACGCCCCAAAAGACATGTCAGTCGTAGCAGACGGGCGACGATTTCGCGAAGGCATCGGCACTAGTCGCTCCTGGTGAGGCTGTGTCGTAGACCAACCCTACCCTACCGTCTCTGAACATCACCCCTACGATTAGTGTGATACACCGGCGACACCCCAGAGTCCCTCTAGCGGCTCCCCTACCATGACTATGGTTCGGCAATATCCCCCGCAACCGCCGCCGCAGCTTCCCTCGACCGTGGCCTACAACAACATCGCACCTGCCCCGTCACACGCCTCGTTCCTCAGCAATGACGCCAACATCGACGGGCATAGTATCGGCCAGTACGCGAGACCGCAGCAGTACGCCCATCCGCTATCGAGACATAACTCCTACGGATCGCAGCCCTCCGAATCTGGCCGCACACCCAAACCTGCAGAGCACATGCTTCGCCGTAAGACGCCCAACGGAATCTTGGCAGCTGCGTATGACGGCACATCTGTTGAGAAGAACGGAGAGCCACATGCAACCAAACACATCCTCCTTCCTGTAACAGCTGAATCAAAGTTACCATACGGTGTCAAGCAGGATCTTCCTCTTCGCGCCCCAGGTGTCAACAGTGGCCTAGGACACAATCCACAGGACACGTTGGAATGGAGTCCCAGTCGCTACTTCGAGACCGGGACAGGGCTTCCGAGCCAGCATCTACCACAGATTGACTCCATGCTTAATCAAATTCCTCCATTGCAACCACTTCTACCCTATCAGATGTATGGCCATCCCTTCTGCGGACCAATGGGCCCACCATTCCAGACGCCGTTAAATCCAACTGTTTCCAACGACCAAGGGCCTTTTGGACCGTATTGGCATGACGGCACCTATATCCCATATCGGCCTGCTGCTATGCGGGATCCTCGCTTCCTACATCATCCCAGCCATAATTGGAGTAACCCACACAGTAACGCCTTCAACAGCCACCCCTACAATGCCATGTCCAACTATACTCACTATCAGCAAAATCCTGTTCACCTAGATTATGGTCAAGGCGCCTACAACCATGCAAGAAGGCCCTCAGTAGACTTTCCATCCTACGGGCAGCCTCAAAATCATGTCGCGTTAGACTACCAGAATCAGTCACTTCCTCCGCCGCTTACACAACGTCCCCAGGACTTTCTGAACTCTGGCCAGACAACACCAGTGGCGGAGTATGCACCCGTCATACCGAATGACGAGTATGGGCTACAGTCACCTAATGGGCAGAACCGAGAGAAGGTGTTTGCTTGGGCCCACGCGGTATATGTCGATCTTCTCAGATACCTTCAGTCAACACGCAAATCAAACTCCCAAAACGCCCATGGTCGCACACACCACAGACCACACATTTATCCAAAGCCACCACGGCAACCTGGACTTAGTCTTTCGAGTCCTTCTGCTAGTGGCATGCCATCTCTGGAACGGCGTGTCTCATATCCTGTTCCCACCCTATATGCCTCTCAGTCCAGAGCAGAGTTCCCATCCAGGAGACCCGCGATGCCGCATTCGCGTTCGTTGTCCGCCTGGTCAATAGGCGGTTCAGATGTGAATAGTCAATCTTGGCAAGGCATGTCGCCACAACACCCCATGTTACCCTCAGTATCAGGCATGGAGCCACCACGTACCCTGCGGCGAATATCCGGCTCGGTCTCCAGTGCTCACCAGAACCTCCGCCAGGGCCTGCCTCCGAGCATGACGGCTGCCTCAGCACTCGAAGCAATCACCAAGCATTGCGAAGAGAGCAAGTGGAGTTGGATAGATGGCATTCTTCTAGGTGGATGTCTAGCATATGCGCTAGGTGACTACCAAAAGGCTCAAGACTGGTACAAGCATATCCTTACGTTGGATAAAGAGTGAGTACACCACTTCCTGAGCCCGAAGCACACTAACATGAATTAGTCATGTGGAAGCAATATCTAATCTTGCAGCTACTATGCTTGCTCTCCAACAGAAGCGTGAAGCAGAAGAATACTGGAGACGCGCAGTCAAACTTCGACCCAGCTATTTCGAGGCCGTTGAACATCTGATTGGCTTACTTTGCAGTGATCACAAAGGGCGTGAAGCTGTTCAGGTTATTGAAGAAGTCGAACGCCAATTGAGATTCGCCAAGAGGGCCGATGCTTTGAAGAGCCTCGAAGCCGAAAGCGAACGTGCGGCCTCTGAATTGAGCGAGTCAAGCGTGTCGGAAGCATCGGATCGACCCGTCTTTGAGTTTGAGGGGGAAGATGAGGCTGTCTTCAAGGATTTGGATGAGCTTCCTGGCTCGGATCAACCAGGCTTCGGTTCAAGCGGATACGCTGTTGCTGGTTGCGACAACGGTCGCGTTCTAGCTTTGGTGCATGCCAAGGGCAATATGTTGTACGCTCTTGGTGACAATGCTGGTGCTGCCAGAGCTTTTGAGAATGCGGTTCTCATCGGAGCTGGATCCCACCCTAACGGTATTGATGGCCTCATTAGACGCATTCTTGCTGTTGTTGGGTATGATGTGTCGGAACGCTCTCCAGGCGGTCGTCGTATGTCTCCATCATCTGATCCGATCTTGTTACCGCCGGATGCGGCTACCAGGACAGCTCAGCTTTGCTTCCAACCGCACGGCCAACTCCCTGGCCTTAAACACGTTCCCAGCGAAGGACTCTCCAGGAAAGCTGCCATATCGACTACAAGCAACTCTTTGCTGTCATTAGCGAAGATTTTCCAGGACGGTATGGCAACTAATTCACCCAAAACTACCGTGTACCAAAGCAACTATGGTGTGCGAGAGATTCTAGCCCTCTACTATCTGTCGCTCTCATTGCAACCCAGTCCGTCGACAGCGAACAACGTAGGCATACTCCTCGCTAGCGTACAGCAGTCCGCGCCTTCCAAGGCCAGTCCAATGTCTCATGCTTTCGCACATCCTCAAATTCCTGGATTAGTCCCCGGCAGTGGAGTAGCTCTTGCGCTTGCGTACTACTATTACGGACTTCAATTGGACCAGTCCCATGCACATCTCTACACAAATCTCGGAAGCCTTTTGAAAGATATTGGACAACTGGACTACGCAATAAACATGTATGAACATGCTGTCAAGTGTGATTCGAACTTTGACATTGCTCTTGCCAACCTCGCCAACGCTGTCAAAGACAAAGGTCGAATCGCCGATGCCATCCATTACTACAAGAAAGCCGTGAAATCTAGTCCAGACTTTGCCGAAGCTGTCTGTGGGCTTGCTAACGCTCTCAATTCTGTCTGCAACTGGGCTGGTAGAGGTGGTATTGCCGAAGACGGTGGATCAAGAGATCGTTGGCATGTCAACGATAGCAGCATGCTTCTAGATGCTAGGATTCCTGGTGCGTCAAGTTCAGGTTGGATTCACAAGGTTGTGAAACTGGTTGAGAAGCAACTTGCCGATGGTGAGGATTGGGGGCGAGGCATGATGAATGAACAGTTCATTCAGGATGTTATCCGTCCCTTGTCTCTGACAGGAAGCGCACAAGATGTGAAAGAGCAGGAGACCAGCATGGTGTCAGTATTGCACAAGTGGAAGGGTCAAAAGTGGGAGGGCGCTCGCATCGTGCGACTTGTTGAGCGTGCTATACGATGGATGACCTGGCAATGGTACCAGGATCGCTACATCACTGGGACACAGCGACCACCAGCATCCTATAAGAGGCCCCAACTGCCGGCGGCCTTGACAGTACCCGCAGCACCTACTGTGCTCCCCTTCCACACATTCACATGCCCCATGTCAGCTAAACAGATTCGTCTCATCTCGCAACGCAACGGCCTCCGCATCTCTACTTCGACGCTAAGGCTTCCTTGGCTACCACCGACTGTCTATCAGCCTCCTGCGCCGCCACAACCGTATTTAAAGGTCGGTTACGTATCGTCGGATTTCAACAATCATCCATTAGCCCACCTAATGCAGTCGGTTTTTGGCCTCCACAACCCAGGCAGAGTGAAGGCATACTGTTACGCTACCACAGCGAGTGACGGATCGGAGCATCGTAAGCAGATTGAGAGAGAATCGCCTGTTTTCTATGATGCCAGCAGCTGGTCAGCGGAACGACTCGTCCACCAGATAACTCACGATGGCATCCACGTCCTTGTTAACTTGAATGGTTACACTAGAGGCGCGCGGAACGAAGTTTTTGCTGCCCGTCCTGCGCCTATTCAGATGGCTTTTATGGGTTTCGCAGGCACTCTAGGCGCTGAGTGGTGTGACTATCTGCTTGCTGACGACACCGCTGTACCTCCGGACACGCTCCGACAATGGCGCCGTAACATTGACCTCCAAGACGCCCTCGTCGACGACAATAGCGGTGGTACGGACGAAGATTGGATATACGGAGAGAACATTGTCTTCTGCCGAGATACCTTCTTTTGTTGTGATCACCGGCAAAGTGCCCCGGACTCGCAAGGACGCCAGCCTAACTGGGAAGAAGAGCAACAACGAAGGTGGGCCATGCGTAAAGAGATCTTTCCGAACCTCTCGGACAATGCAATCATTCTTGCAAACTTTAATCAGCTGTACAAGGTAAGTTCAATGCTGTCACGTCTAAGAAGTTGATCGTGTGCTAACACCACAATTAGATCGAGCCTACTACGTTCCGTACCTGGTTACGCATTCTCGAAAAGATACCCAATGCAGTCCTCTGGCTCTTGCGGTTCCCCGACCTTGGCGAGACGAATCTTAAACAAACTGCTCTTCTCTGGGCAGGTGCAGAGGTCGCAAGTCGCATCATGTTCACCGACGTCGCACAGAAACATCAACATATCTCTAGGGCCCGTGTTTGCGATCTCTTCCTCGACACACCAGAGTGTAATGCACACACAACTGCTGCCGACGTTCTCTGGTCGGGAACACCACTGCTTACGTTGCCACGCTACAAGTACAAGATGTGCTCTCGCATGGCAGCTTCGATTCTCAAGGGTGCGCTACCGAAGACGCCGGCTGGTGCGCAAGCCGCAAAAGAACTCATCGCTAGCAACGACGATGAATACGAAGCCATGGCTGTTCGCCTTGCACGCAACTGTACCTACAATGGTCACCGAGCCCAAGGCCGTTTGAGTGAGCTTCGCCGCATGCTTTACGAATCACGCTGGACAAGTCCGCTTTTCGACACCCGACGATGGGTCAGGGACCTAGAAGACGCTTATGAGATAGCATGGAAGAAGTGGGAGAAGGGCGAGGGTGGCGACATCTGGTTGAAACTCGAACAACCTTCGCGCGCTTAGCGATTTACATTTATCTTTCTATTAGAGCGACGGCATAGCCTCTTGTACGAGACGAGCATTACACACACATTCAGGTTAGACCCTGTGAGCATGTTTCGAAAGGCTTCTGGATTTAGCGAGCACGTACGTTCGTTGTTGTTACTGTTCTTTGTTCCTATACCCCATATCGATTTGGACTGGATATTCATGGATATTATGGATATATAACGGGGTTTGTGTGGCACCATTCACCGTTCGCGTACGGAGTAGATAGCTTCAATCGCATTCTCGATAGCATTTTCTTCGGCGTTGGCTGGCTGGCATGGCATGGCATTGTGGTAGAACCAAATATTATCCATCTGCCGTTCATCTTACAATGAAACTATCCTCTATACATCGCCTCGTGCAACGCGGTCATATCACGATTCTTACGCCTTGTTTTGTAATCTTGCTATGTCGACAAAGTACTTCTTGTTATTTTGTGACGATACTCATTTCCCTTTATTAACTCTCCTCTCCATATGTCTCCGTCGTGTGATCTACTAGCATTATAGGTCCTTTCAAGTAGTCCGCCGTTGGCAAACTAGCGGAGGAAATACTAGCCTAAAGAAGGTATCATCGAGGTTGTTTGCGCAGCTTTGCGCAGCTTAAAATTTTTCTACTGCGGTCGGTGTGCTGACATTTTATGTCAAGGCTGAGCGTGGACCAGAGCAGTATCTAGGGCATGCACGTAGAATGCGCATCATGCGTGGAATGAAACTGTAGTGGCCTTGATCGATCGGAATGCGCATTCACAGTTATAAAGGTATGTTCTATGGAACTGATGTAAGTTACAGAGAAGCTATGGATGACCGGTCTATACAACCAGGTGGTTTAGTCGCTCAAGGGTAGGTTCCACTACCTGCTGATGTGATGACGTCCACGGCACACGGGTGGGTAGGTAATTCCCCACCACCACTAGATTCAGCAGGTGGGGCATTCTGCCCTACGCGCACTTGCTTCCACCCCCATTCTACAAGGATTTTGAACACGTCTGTCGTTTACTTTGCTGATTGCATGTACAGGCATGTCATGACCGACAAGTCCCCGGAGTGGCTAGTTTGTGGAGAAACATGAGATGATAGAGGCATTATTGATATTCCTAGATTATCCAAGCGTCGTACTCTACATCAACGCTAAACTGCTTGCGCGATCCTATCTCTAACCATGATTCTATGGCATATAATACAACGATCCCGTAGTCTCGAGAGTCTAACCATTAAGCCTTGGGGCTTTGCCATGGGCTAATGGTTCGACCCATAGTGCTGGTTGTTCTTCTTACGGATGCTAATGGCAATCGTCAGATATGGACTACGCCTGGGCCTTCATGGAAGGGAGTACTTACGGAAGCTGACCCGTCCAAGAGCCGACATAGCGGATGTCGTGAGGGGAGTTAGGGAGATTGAGCTGTGTCTGGTGTACCACAACCATGTTCGGGCCTCCGCTGGAGGCGATATGAGAAGAGTCTCCGTTTGTAGCGACAGTACCATTGTTGGACCTGCCCGGCATACGTGTGTCGTCTTGAAGCCAGCGCTGCATGGAATAGTTTCCAGTTGCAACATTCTGTCGACTCGTTAGCCATCACAAGTGTCATGGTTGGCGATATTACAGTAAGTGAGCCTACCTGCTGACCGTCCGATGATCGAAGGGTTGCTATGTTGCTCTCACTCAACATGTTTCCAGGCGAAGCAGTGACACCCCCAGTGCTACCTTGAACAGATATCACGCTATGGCCATTGCCCAACGGAGTGGGTGAGCCACGGGGGGAAGAAGCGTGGACCTTCATAGAAGACATGTCGGGAAATAGTAGACAAAAGCTAGGTACGAGTGATTGCTATCTAAGTTTGATAGTTGAAGATTCCTGACTGATAGACCTTCACTGGAGCAGCAAAGGAAGATATATGATTTCTGTGGCATTAGCACTGCCGACCGATGTACTGTGTACATGGCTGTATCTTTCTTGCTTCACTTTTGGGTCGCATTTGTTCTCTCCTCGTGGGACCCTTCTTTGGGCTTCTCAACCCGAAGTTTTCTCTTTTAGTTCTCTCTTTTGCTACATGCGCGGATATGTCGTTCTTTAAACTCCATGTTGTTTCCTCCTCGTGATGATTCCAACGTTGGTCAACTATTACACGTGGCTCGCAATTTCCTTGCACTGCCTCAATTCACTTAAGCGCTAATCAGGTAGAGTGGCACTTCTCTCTTTTCTCATCGGATGTATCCCGGCCGATCTGGCCGCCTACAGAAGCTCCACCGAGTTCTCTCAACCTCATCTCATCGAAAATTGAGCTAGTCTCGAGAAAATTGGCTGGGGTCTGAAGTGATGCAGCTTCATTTGCACTACAAAGAGAACTATGGATACAAGCCTGCACATCTCATTAAAGCGCCTTGTCAGGATGTCCATCCATGCGGCACTAGTTCCTGGTGTCTTTTTAACTGATCAGACCTGGCAAATCCAGTTTTGTTCGTACATCCCGGCAAAGTACACTTGTATGACTTCGAGTGCTTTTGCAGATGGGCCCTTTGCCATGTTAGTAACTGATACATCAATGCGAAACTGATGGACATACTTACTTGAAGGATGAATTTCGCGTGAACACTATCAAAGTGTCATCTTTCCAACCACCTTTTCTACAGCTACTTCCGAGCGGACATACATGCTCTCCTGTCCCCCGGGTTCCTATTACTTGTAGCAACCCATCTATCTTGTCATAGATCAAGGCTGATGATGTATCGACCTCGGAGTCATAGTCGCATGATTCACTCCGACTAGATTCCATTGTCTCGAACTATGATACAAGAAGTGTGGTCCGGAAAGTGTGACGTGTCTTTCTTGGCTTGAACTTATACCCATGCAAAGCGGCAGAGATATCTTGTCCAGCGGGCGGATCTTTAAGCCTCAGGTCAGCAGCTAGCATAGCCCGCGGCCATTCCGAGTTCGTTTGCAGGACACGAACAACCAGACAGGAACAAGAAACAAAATTATAGATACGTACAAGAGCTTGAGCCGATACAAGACCAGTGTGTTAGGCCCTTTGAGGCTTTTGCTGATTGACAAGTGCTGTGACGAATTGTCCAGATCGCGCCCTATCTTATATCAGAGTCCTTCGTTGTACTGATCGAAGGGTTTATCTTCGATTTATCATCGGCTGAATTTTATTTCGATATATTCCGAGATATCAGACGTGGCAAGGGTGACATTCTGGTAGACTACGTTGGACTTCCATTCCTCCCTAGATCAAAGCGCTGTGATTGGTAGGTCAAGTTTCACAGGAGAAAAGAGAAAAGAGGCTGCGACGGATGACACGCATCACACCGTTATGTCAAAGCTTCCTAAACACAACTAAGTCCCCTTCATATGATATGCACCTCTCCAAATCTAGCGTCTAGCCGCGAACGCGACACGTTACGCTGGGATCGGGGAATGCCGAGATATCCATGTTGAGGCTCTGCACGATTTCGCTAGCTTTATTTTCTCCTTTCTCCTTTCTCTTTTCTCTTTTCTCATTTCTCCTTACCCCGCAATCCTTCCTCTCTTCTCACTGTGCCACACGAATGCAGGCTGTGCAAACATTGGGTATTCCAACAAATGCTACCTAGGCAATCACAAAATCTCGGTGCCACCGTTCAATGCTTCGTTCGCGTAGTTTAATCTGACAATCCTTGAAGGGCACGCAATTCTGAGCCGACGATAAGACCGCACGGCTGTGTTCAAATTTGAACTAACTAAGTCCCTGGTTACGAGGTAGGCTTATGAGAATCTGGCACAGCTCGTTATCAACGTCTCATCCGTCGACATCTATGTAGATCTGAACGACACTAAATAGTCGTCTGGAATAATGTTAGTAGTTGTGACTAGAGTTGTGACTAGAGTTACTTACGGAATGAATTCGGGGACGCGGGTGAGGTCCACATGCACTCGACATGAAAACCAGCTGCATCGAACTGAGCTTTCATTGCCACCGGAGTGTATTTGAACACCTCGAAGCAGTCCAAGAACTCACCTGCCTCGAAGTGCAGATTGAGCTCCTCGCAAACTACCGCTTTGCGCGCCATAATCTGGAAGCGATGCATCAAAGGCTCTTTCTGGAGAACGCCCCCAACGATCCAGTCGTCTTCGTAATACCACCTGCATCCCAATACAGTGTTCGAGTACTCTAGACCGTTCCTCAAGAACCTCTCAAACAGATTATTGGACTGGTGATATGCGTTCCAGAGGTGCGCCTCATCTTGCCTTCCATCGAGGCCAAGCAGCATCCGGTCGTCGGGGCGCATAAATTCGCGCCATGAAGAGAGGCGTGCGACAGCATCGTGGAACTTGTCGTTGCCAAAGAATGAACCTAAGGAAAGAATGCAGAGTGGACCGTATATGGAGCGTGACCATTCCATCGCATCGACGAACGTACCCCAAAGACCAAAGTACTTGACATATGTGTAGCGGTCGGCTAGAAAGGACATGGCCCTTTTGAGAGCCTCTTCTGAGAGATCGACGGCGAAGTATTGGACTGGAGTTTTCGCAGCCTCGAACGCGTCTAATAACGGCAGTACCTTTCGAACGTCGCTGTGCGTATTGATCAGTATCGTACTAGCAATCACAAGTCGTATGTGAGCTACTCACCCAGCACCGATATCTAGTATCGAAGAACCTGGCTTGATTTTGCCAGCAATACTCGCCCCATACTCGCGCAGAAGCTCGATCTCTTCGGCTGTTTGAGTATAGTCCGAAGACTCTATGATTTCGCTCCATATCTTTAAGCCCACATCGTTGAAAAGGAAAGCTGTAGGAAAGAGACGTTGCTCATTCGGGCTAGCAAGAAGCATTGCCTGCATGAACAGGTTCTTCATCGTTGCCGGAAGTCTTCCATTATGGATTTGCAGAACTGTCCCAATAGCTGGACGGCTGATGCCGCAAGGGGCTGGTAACTTGGCACTCGGCGTCTTGTTGCGGCTCACACATGCTGTTCTGGTAGTTCCAGCTGCTTTAGAGCTCTGGTCAGGAAAATGGGTTGCACCGTTCATAATGCCCTTGTTGGAGAGAGGACGAGTAAGTTTTGCAGGCTCACCTTCGCAGCCACATACTGCAAGCTCATCAAATACTAGTGGAATTCTGCTTTGAGGCTCAACCACCGTATCTACACACGTCTCTAGTTCACGGCGGGTTATATGAAAGGATAACGTCGTGCGACATGATTGATTGGGAAGTGTTGACCGGAAACATGCGTACTCCTGAATTATTACGGTGTGCAGCCTGTTAAAGAAGCTGCAGCTATGTACTTCACTATTTCCGGCGATTCAAGGTCCCGTGGGGATCATAGCATCCCACCTGTGGCGCACAGGCAAAGATACACCTGCAAGCCTTCAACTAAACCAAGCTGATCACACCTGTCTGTTCCACCAATTGCGTGACCATCTTCTCCCACCAGCCTACCTGTTGACCAATCGGTTTATCCTCCACAAAGCCGTCATCTAATGAATGGCTGTCCATCCAGCCCCACATGTATTGTACGGCATGCCATACTGGTGGTACGCTCTGTAAAAAAACGCATCAGTCAGCGAACTGGAGATAAAAGTCTTCATTCCATCGGTTTTGACATACCGACCGGCAGTTGCCTTGTGCTACAACAGTTGTGAACCATTCGTGTGCGATCTTACGCTCACTCTCTTCTGTCGATATCAATGCCATAATGACGACTGGGAAGAACGGGGCTTGTGACGTAAATAGAGGGCCTGTATATGGCATCCGTTTGATACAGCCCAAAAGGGCGTTCAGACGCTCTTTAACGATCGGGTGATTTCTTGGACGTCTGGTGCAACATTAGCTTTAATCTTTGCTAGGATGTGACTTCTAGAGGGCTGACCGGTAAAATCTGCAGTGCAAGTATATTTGCGCAGCTACCCTCCACGTTTCGCCCGTAAGCTCAGTGACTCTGATCTCGCTTTCGACCTTTCCATCTTTGTCAAGATCACAAGCGTTCAATAGTGCAGTGCACGATGGAAACCCGATAGATAGGTCTGACCATTGCTGCAGTTTCTCGAGCCGTGCTTGGACCTTCGCAGCCCCATGGGGGATGATTCGTGAGTCGGGTGTCTGAAATGTGGTTAGCGTACATGGCCATGCCGTTAGTTCTTGAGCGTTTACTTTGTCCATACGAGCACACAGATGCGTTATCTGCGCGAACATGTGCAGAAGCTTCGGTGATAGCCCAGTTCCGCCGTATATTTTTCTCGCATGCATCTCAGTACCTCCAAGGAGCCAGGCGTAAAGCCTGTCGGTGTCCTCGAACTTCAATGGTGCTACTGGTTGAGCCAGGATTCCGACGAAGGCCACCCAATTGGCATTGGCAGTTCTAGCAGAGCTACATTGCACGTTCTCATTCTTCCAATATCGGTGGCCAGGATCGGAGTTGTCGAGGATCTTCTTAGCGATTTCGGCACCACTTTGCCATCTTGCTTTGTGAGCCTTCGATCTTCGGAGCTCCCAATTTACCAACTGTGGCAGTTAGTCGCTGTGTAAACTTGCAGTTTTCGCGCACTACTTACATCGTCAATGGTGAGCAAGACTAGCGAGCAGACAAGACTATCGTCATGTCCCGAAGCTTGCTGATGAGGGTCGCGAAGAGCGTCTGTCAAGAGCTTCACCGCTCTTGTGTAGTGACGATTTGCTCTCTCAAGCAAAACTTCGCTTGGTATGTAGTCCAAAACGTAGGATGCTGCTAGAGACAACAAAGCGTGTTTGACACATTCATTGTCAGCGGCCATGGCGGCGTAATCGTTGAGCCAGAAGTTGGTCTTGGGTAGGAGAGTCCGACCTCCACAGAATGCCACTGTGTCTGCTTGTGGATTAGTTGTGGCCACCTCGAAATCGCTGTTTGCTCCTTACAGAAAGTAAGCAACTTGCTGTCCATCTTATCGAGTTTCAACCCTTTTCCAAACCCAAGTGGAAGCTTTGGCACCGAATCGGGCGGAGCTAACAGAGGAGATCGATGATGTTTTCCTAGTGTCGGCTGTTGAAACCGACGAGAAGCAGGTCCTGTATCATTATCAAAGTCGGCTGCTTGCAAACGAAACTTTATATAACCGTTGACGCCCTCCGGATCCTGGGAGTACGAACTTTTGCGAAGAGTTGGATGCCGTTTTACGATACCATCAAGATACGGATTTTCGAAGTTCAATGTTGGGTGTTGGTCCGCTGCTCGTGGAAGGCGTAGGGATTCTTCCGGAAATACGTCTAGAAGCCACCGCCTAGATTCGTCAGGCGAAATGCCATTTCCATCTTGAGTATCTTCACCATCCTCAAATAGCCAACTCTCCAGTTCCGACTTGTTGGGAGCTGTCATAGAGTCAACTTTTGTTAGCATGCGCCTGAGTTATATGACGCGAGTAAATGGATACTGAGAAGGACGCACTAGCACTTGTAAAATCCAAAATTGCTTCAGGTTGCGGTCTTGGATCAGGAGTTTCAGCCGCGAAGAATGATCTGTCCTCCCAAAAATCGTCCTGGGGTTCAAAATCGAGACAATGCGCCGTCTGATTACCCCTCCTAGACGATGCATCTTCATGGTAGTGCAGGCGACGACGTTTGGTTTGCTCCATCGTGTGAAGCCTTGGTCGCACTTGCGCGTTGTCGCAGCGCTAGAAAGGTGAATAGTTCAGGTACGGAGGAGCTTGCAGAGCTACCACATACGTGTCGTCCCTTAAAACCCTAATCGTCTGTTGGCGAGAACTTTTGTTTGCTGCCACAAGGCTGTGCGATCGTGGGTGGAAGGTATACGTGACTAAGTATATTTATCGTTAGTGTACGGGTTGTGAGCGGGCTCCGCGGGCGGACTAAGCAGTGGTAGTTGCCCCACTTCCTTCACCCCAGCCGTGCCCTATCGATGGATTACATTGTACCACCACTTCGACCGGTGAGCGCGCATCTACAAGCATCTGGCTTGCAGATAGGTCCGAAGAATCTCGCGTGGGGGATGGAATGAGGCTCAAGATTGGGGCGAGAGCAAATCGCTCCTTGCCTCCGCGCTTGCCTGTTGTCTCTTTGCCTGTCTCTTTCCTCATTTCGCCTCACTTCCGTATCGTTTTGTCACTCGGTGCCTACAAACCAGAACTCTAAGGTTTCGGGATTAGCGGATAGTTCCGCCCTCAATTCTTGGTGTTCTCGTCTCCCCACTGTGGCGCATCACAAGGATGGCAGCCTTCTACACGTCACCTAGTAGATTCGCTGGGCAAGATGTACCCAACGAATACCTGCATGACATCTTAGAAGAGCAGATGCGCAAGGTGATCGTGTGCGAACCTGGCTGGCCAGATTCCGGTTGTCTCCTGGCAGACATGGGAATGTTCTTCGTTCGGTCAGTCAGTGTGCTTTCCAAGGTTGCGGATAGCACAGTGAATGGAAACCACATCGACAATTACACAAGAAGAAGACTGGATGACATGGAGCGAATCAATGACTTTTGCGAGCTGGGTTCACTAGACTATTTGAACGAGAAACATGAGTCTCTCAAGTAAGTCTATGGGAAACAAGCATCTATTCGTGTCACCTAATCACTTTTTAGATCACTTGCTTGCCGTTTGCAGCAGTTTGCCAGCGAGCTCGACGACCTTTGGGACTTGAGCAAAAACCCCCCCTTCTCTTCGAACCCAGTACCCCCTAGTCCACCCACGCGCTCGAAACTCCCAATGCATACCAAAGACCGTGCGAGATCCGCCTCTAGCATACCTCAACAGAACCAGACATGGGCATACGGAGGCTATGTAGATGCGGGTCCAGATGCGCCTCGCATAGTAGAATTCGACGAGGATGAGCCACCTGACGATCTGCCGGAGTCATCGACTCAAGCTGGTGGACGTTCTGTTAGAGACAACTATACTAGGAGCGATGAAGCACGATCGGAATACGACATCCAGGAAAGAATATCTGAGCTCCTTAGCACACTCGAGAAAAGCCGTGGAACTGGCCAGCACATATGTCCTTATCAGTATACATGCGAGAAGGGCGGGGTAGAGAATGGAAGGCTGAAAACTTTTGGGAGAAACTCGGACTTCAGGTTCGTACAGTAGCTGGAGTGTCCATAGCGCCGCTAACGATTCAACGCTGAGTAGGACCCATTTGCATAAGCACGAAAAAAAATGGAAGTGTGATCATCCTGGGTGTACCAGAGAATTCTCCCGCAAGGACGGTCTTAATCGACACAGAGAGTCAGCGCAACATAAGAGACGGTGAGACAGACAACGTTGGTAAGGCGATGGACTGAAGGCTATGAAGGAAATCAAAGGTAAACTTGTACCGGTCGCAACAGTCAGCGTACGTATATAGTAGTGAAAGTCGGCAAATGCTCACGCGACGATTGATTCCGCTTTACGACCCATTGAGATAATGCATAAACATGCGCACATGATTTCGTGGCAACGAACCATTGGTAGCAAGACTATCTTATTGGGAGCAGATGGATGAGGAAATTTAGGCGTGATACGCAGTTTTGTACGATCTATAAGTTCTAAAAGCCGTAGGAGACGCAAACAAGCGTCGCATGCCAGCGAGTTAAATCCGGGTGAGCTACTGGCGAGACTGCCGAGAACAGAGAGAAGAGGAAAGAGGAAAGAGAGAAGGGGCAAGATGCAAGGATATGCAGTTCGCTTCCTGCAGTAGTTTCAACGCTAATGGAGTGTCTCGTTTTGATTGGTTGTGGTTGTCCAATGTAGCTCAACCCGGAAACAGTTGTGCGTTACCGTGCATATCGTACCACAGCATTACAATCATATAGGAACGTTGGACCAACGTGTGAAAGATGTAAAAGCTCAGGCAGCTAGCAAACACATTCCTTCAATCCCACCCATCTGCATCGTTCAAAATGAACGGGCTTGCTGACGGAATTTACGTTGAGCGACCCGGACCTCATCTTGTTATCGACTTCATCCCAAAGCCTCTCATGGAACCAGATCGACGGAACAATTCCTACCTCATCGTAGGTGCAGGGTGTTTCGGAGCTTCTACCGCACTGCACTTGAAACAACTACTTCCCCTTTCAAATGTTATTTTGGTGGACCGGACACCCTTTCCCAACCCTGCAGCAGCAGCCCATGATCTAAATAAGGTTGTGCGGACTGATTATGACGAAAGATTCTACATGGAATTGGCACTTGAGGCTATGAACATGTGGAAAACCGATGCTCTCTTCAGCAAGCACTATCACGAGACAGGAATTGTATGGGCCGGCGAGGAGAAGATGAGCAATAAGATCATGAGAAATTATCAAAGCCTAGGGGTGAACCCAGGAGCAGTGATTCTTGATCCGGAAGATGCAAAGACACGCTGGAAGGGGATCTTGAGAGATACAGATTGGAAAGGCCTCAAGCAAGCTCTTTACAATCCAAACGCCGGATGGAGTGACGCTGAGCCAGCGCTGAGAGATGTCATTCAGAAATCTGTCGATATCGGAGTGCAATACATTTCGGATGGCGTTCGCAAAGTTCTCCTCCACGATGATGGGGTTTGCGTAGGAGTCCAAACTACGTCTGGAGAAATCATAATGTCTGACCATGTGGTTCTTTGCACTGGTGCACACACGGCACAGATTCTCGCAGACAGTGCACCTAACAAGCCTGAGATACACGTAGGGAACCGGATGACGGCAGCGGCGGCGATCATGACGCTATATAAGATGCCAGAAGAGGAGCTTTCTAAATACGAATCAGCGCCGGTCGTAATCAACACACTCAAACATGTTCAAGGTACGAATGCGTAGTCCGATTGAACGTTGGGCAACCCTAGACTAATATCCCTGCACAGGTGAAAGTATACCCCCAGGCCAAAGGGGACTTTGCAAATGCACTCACGAAGAGAGCTTCACACATTATGTCGATCAAAGCGAGTCTAAGCAGCGGCTTTCTGTACCTCCAGAACGAAGCAGCCAAAGTGTTTGGGGTCATGATGTACCGAGTGGCTTGAAAAAGGAAGCCGATGTTGTCGCCCAACAAATATATGGACCGTGGGTCAAAGGGCTCAGTCCGGTTCATTACCGCATGTGCTGGTAGGTGTGGTCACGAGTTGGATCTTCTGAGGCTAATATCCATAGGGATGCCGTTACACCAACCCAAGATTGGGTGATATCCCCACATCCCAAGGCTAGGAACCTGTATATCGCAGCTGGTGGTTCATTCCACGCTTGGAAGTTCATGCCAAACATTGGCATATATGTTGTTAAGATGCTGCTGGGTAGCTTGGATGATGAGAAGAAAGAACGATGGGCTTGGGACCGGAAGAGCAGTAGCAGTGGAGGAGCATGCGATATGTACATTCCTGGCCGTGATCTCAAAGACATTGAGGGTTACAAAGATCTTAAGCCAGTGAACGAGAGCTCGGCCTTGGATGGTCATTGGTTGAACGGTACTAATGGCGGTTAATGGTCTACAATACTTGAAGGTGCGGAACACATCTCGGTCGTCAGGCTTTGAAATGACATGGTTTTCATCTCTCCATCCGCGACGCAAGCAACTCCTTGCGCCCGTTGTCTAGGTAAGAGAGAAGCGAGGTGCAGGGTGCGAGAAATGCTTCTTCCGTGAGCGACGTTATGTCGATAAATTCTGGAACCGATCATAAAGTTCGGAACTGATGCTCCACGATTGTGAACACTCGCTAGGGCTTCGTTGATGGAGTGGGTACCGAGGAGGTAAATGCTTGAATGGAGGCGGATCTCCATTGGAGCTCCGTAACTCAGAAGATAATCTTGAGAGACATGAGACGCACAAAATTTATCTATGCGAGGTGCACATCAATATTATGCAAGGAGCGTATATATTCCGCTGTGTGTTCTGTCAGGCAGACGATGTGTCGGACGTAAGTTCAGGAGCTGCACCTAGGAACCTGGCGGGCAGGTTCGATCGCTACACTAGCAATGCTTAGCGCGATCGCACCTCCACTAATCCTCCCCTTTACACTCTACCAAACGCCTTGTAGCCAACGACATCAGTTGTTATTGAATCTCTTAGTTGCCAAATATTCTCTTGACGCACATTCGACGTGCTATGGCTCCGCGCAAAAAGACTGCGACAGCAGCCAAACCCAGCAAAGCTGCGAAACCTAGCAAAGCAATCATCACAGCTCCATCGACTTCTCTGGCTGCAGTGTTACCGCCATCACGCGCGCACGATGCGTCATATCACTATCCGCTGCTCCTCGGCGACCAGTCCGGGTGCGACGCATTGTTGAGTTGGTTCCATGACGTCGCGGAGACGCGTAGTATGCCGTGGAGGAAGGAGTGGATTGATCCGAAAGCGTATGAAGACAAAGAAGAACTTGGACGCGTATTATCGAAGAGGGCGTATGAGGTTTGGGTGTCTGAAGTTAGTGAGTACTCCTTCTGAGTGTGTGGGTCTTTTGCAAAATGTTGCAGCACCGATAACGCGGGAACGTGAGCGCGGTGTCACGTGCTCATGGGGAAGTCGCTGATGGCTCCTTCCTATCACTTTCACCAACGTTTAGCCGGCTTCACGTTCAATAAAACCCCGACTAACATAACCGCAGTGCTCCAGCAGACTCGTGTTTCGACAGTAATACCCTACTTCAATAATTGGATCGCAAAATGGCCTACGGTTCAGGATCTTGCCGAAGCGGACCATGACGATGTCCTTTCCGTATGGAAAGGCCTGGGTTACTATTCACGTGCGACACGCCTTCACGAAGGTGCAAAAGCCATGATCGCCAAATCTGCCGGTGCTCCCTGTGCTCTTCCCAGTGGTGCCACAGAACTACAAGAATTTCCCGGCATCGGAAGATACACTGCAGGCGCGGTATCAAGTATCGTATTTGGAGAGGCAGAGCCTGTCCTCGATGGTAACGTTATGCGTGTGCTCAGTCGACAGCTGGGCTTGTACATGGATGTCAAGGACAAGAAAGCTACGGACGTTCTGTGGGATATGGCGGATCAACTAATTAAACACGCCTCAAACTCCCCGGAAACGCGCACAAGTGCCGTACCAGGGCTGTGGAATCAAGCGCTTATGGAGCTGGGTTCCACTATCTGTACGCCGCGACCCAGGTGTGACGAGTGTCCAATTCAGGCGACATGCAGGGCCTATAGCGAAGCTAAGGTGTTATCTGACAAGCATCAGTCACCGGCTGTAGTGCCTGACATCGAGGACGCGTGTTCTCTCTGCGCATCCCTAGATACCGAAGACCTGGTTGCAGTTTCCGAAGACGCAACAAACAATGATCCGCCGCGAGCAACTAAGAAGAGAAAAGCAGCTGTAAAACAAACCAACACCATCTCGCAATACTTCGCTGTTGGCACACCCAAATCAGGCATAGATACGGAGGACGATGGTGAAGATCTTGGCAGCCCACCTGTTGAGGATTCAAAGAAGCGGAAGCTGCCGGCGGCTACTGGGGAATCCAAATCAATATCGACGTACTGCTCACTCTTCCCCAAAAAGGTGGCGAAGAAGAAGGCCGCCGAAGAGGATTGTGTGGTATGCGTGATAGAGTTGCGCTCGGAGGACGGTAACAGTAAATGGCTGATAGAGCAAAGGCCGGCCAAAGGTAAGTTCTGCACCACAATGCTAAAACAGTGCTGACGATTGTATGAAGGTCTCCTCGCATCACTGTGGTACGTAATAAACGCATTCTATAACCGAGGCACTGCTCGCTGGCTTCCCAGGTCCCTCCCAACGCGCATTGTCGTGCAGCTTCGTATTATGAGGCATGATAGGCCCATTACTCGGCTTTTCTTATTTAGTGCAGGGGCGTACGCTGATTGTGGCACAGGCAATTCCCGCAGAGCCCGCTGGCTGCATCACAAAAGACGCCTCAACAGCGCAAAGCATCGGCGCAGCAGTACATCTCCGGTCTCGAAGCCGGCGCAACTGATATGAGCAAAGCGCGTTGTGTCGCGAGTTTCCCGCCATTGGTCCATGTCTTCACCCATCTGAAGCTTACTATGCATGTCTATCAGTATAGGATCGACGCCGATAACGCCAGAGATATCGAGCTTATATGCAAGGGCCCGCCCACCCGCAAATGGGTAGACAGCGAATCCATGGACGATGAGACGTTATCGACGGGTATGCGCAAGTGCTGGGACCTTGTTTCAAAAAGTCTACACTGATGTGGTGAGGACATGCGATCGATGGGAGTTGCGGACGGGTCCCACATGCGAAGTACCCCACGTCTCGTTATCTTTTGCCAAGCGATACACATGGCTTGCTTCCACCTTCCGCCTTCTTGGCTATGTCCACACCACCTAGTGTCCTGGGGAAGTGGAACGATAAGGAACGTTAGACGTCTTCCACTATGCCAGTCACAGACATTCCTTCCTTCCCATGGCTGCGGTCCCGCTAGAGGAGTGCTGATTGGATGCATGCGACACGTTGCATATCATGATACCCTAGGAAAGACATGGTGCGGTCGTGCAACCGAGATATGGGTAGAAAACTAAGGCCTGGATATAAACGTGGTAATTCCCCGATGGTTCGGTTCTGTAATTGCTCCAGGTACACGGATTTTGGTGTATCGATTAGTAGACCGCAAACAACATCCAGTCAATATGGCGGACATACCAGCTCCAACTCCTATCACCGAGTGGCCGGACTATGCCGTTGACCCCAATGGTGGAAATGTCATGACCACCGATCTCAATGCACTCTACGACAAGGGCGATCTATGCTGGGTGCTGGTCAGCACAGTACTATGTTGGTATATTATGTTTCATGTCTATCTCCCGGGACATACTGATCGCTCGTAGGCAAATCACGCCCGCGATCGGTTTCTTATACGCAGGAATGCACCGCCGAAAAGCAGCTCTCACTATGATCTTCCAATCCCTCTTTTGCGCATGCGCTGTTGGCATCCAGTTCTGGGTTTATGGTTACTCTCTCTATCAGTCACACACCACCGGGCCGTTTCTGGGAGATTTGTCAAAAGCAGGTTTACACAACACTCTTGCCTCGCCTTCGCTCGCGAATCCCGATATCCCGGATATTCTCTACGCTGCCTTTGGTTTCACATTCGTCACCTGCACCGCAATGATTCTGGCGGGAGCGATGCTCGAGCGAGGCCGTTTAGGGCCTTCAATGCTCTTCTTGCTCTGCTGGACCACATTTGTATACTACGTGTTGGCATATGCGGAATGGAATCCTAGTGGTTGGCTTTACAAACTCGGTGTTCTCGACTTCGCGGGTTCCGGTCCTGTGCATATTGCGTCTGGTTTTTCTGCCCTAGCATGGGCTGTCATGCTGGGTCCGCGTATCGATCCACACAAGGAGTCGCACCATCCCAAGATCCCGCACTTCAAACCTCACAGTCCTTTCCTTGTTGGGCTTGGCACGATATTAATCTGGTTTGGATGGTTTGCATTCAATGGTGAGTAGAGGCCCGTACATCGGGATTTCAGAGGGGCAAACTGACAGTTTGTAGGTGCCTCAGGTGCTAACATCACTATACGCTCCGTCTACATCATCTGCAACACCAATCTCGCAGCCTGTGGTGGTGGCATGGCATGGGTCTTACTGGAATACATGTTCACCCGCAAGTTCTCTATCATCGGCTTTTGCTCAGGCATCATCTCCGGCCTCGTCGGTATTACACCAGCTTGCGGGTTTGTACCAGTTCAAACATCGGCGCTGATCGGTGCTCTCACCGCTTGTGCCTCCTTCTTCACAGTCCGATACAAGTACCTCCTCCGCATCGACGAAGGTCTCGACATCTTCGCTATACACGGCGTCGGCGGTTACGTCGGCGACATCATGACTGGCTTCTTTGCAGCACCCTACGTTCCTGCCATGGACGGCGTAAGCAACTTCTACGAAGGTGGCTGGTGGGCCAGAAATTGGAAACAGATGGGGTACCAGCTGGCTGCTGCGACTACATGTGCGGCATGGTCCTTTGTGATCTCGGTCATCTTACTGTTCATCATCAACAAGATTCCCGGTTGCCATATCCGCGCGGCTGAGGACGACGAACTGAAGGGACTGGACTACAGGTATTTCAGTGATGCGGACGAAGACATGATGATTTTGACTGGATATGGGCCTAGGACTCCTGGTTTAGCGGCGTCGGGCATTGTGAGCGGATCTGATAGTCATCAGGATGTGCCTGTCGTGACGGAGAAGCGGGAATGAAGGGAGCGCGCCTGGACATGCTGCTCGTGACTGCTCAGGCGGTTCGGCAGAATGCCCTAGGTTCTCCTCATCTGCACCATTAGCCGTTCGTCCTTCCTTGTTCGGAAATGACACTGCGAAGTCATACTCCTTTATTGGCATATTATCCAGGTCTTGTCGTTAGCGTTCTGCTTTGTACCTGGGTGGCCTCATTAGTACCTCGGCGGGACGCAGGTCCACGATAAATCCAACGCGCTTTCCCCTCGCGTGCCGCTGCGTCCTTGACTCCACCAAAATTACGTCTCCAGCTCCATTCACTTTTCATAAAGCAGGAGACTCAATACGCGCCCATGATGATGCCGATTGTCGCAATTGCCGGCAGCGTCCTCGCTGCAACGGCTACTGCCGCACTCGATCCACTTATTACTCCACGCGCTGAACTCGCACCCCGGCAGACGCCATCCGGGAACGATCCAGCGCTGGTTGGTTGGGTTGACGCGACGAATGAACAGTGTAAGCTGCACCTTCCAAAATCACATGCAACTCTCCGCTCCCTCATCACGCAAAATCATCATCACTAACCTCGTTGTTGTAACGTAGGGTCCGACCTCCGCTCTTGCGATTACCCGGCCACCTACTCTACCTCTGGCTCCTTCGCCCAATGCTGCGCATCCGGCAGCTCAGACTGCATCTTCTGGTCATCATGTAGCGCGGCAACGCTCTTCGCAGCACAAACTAGTTTGTTCTGCGATCAAGGGTATTGCAATACGGCGGTTGTGGTGCCGACTGTCGGTGCGAGTGAGGGGGTGAGTTATTTGGGTTGTTGGGCGACGAGTTTAGTCCAGGAGGCTTTTACGCTGGTTAGAGATATTGGGAACGGTATGTATAGTCCAGTCTAGCTTGAAATGTGAAGAAGATGTGCTAATGTAATGGTAGCTGATGTTGCATCGCGTTCTTCGGACGTGTCTGGCGATGGTAGTACTGCGAGTGGCTCTCCTGCTTCTACTGCAGCCTCTGAGTCTGCTTCTGAGACATCAAGTAGTGCGACCGAAGCTTCTGGCAGTGCCACTCCGACGACGGGCGCTGCTGCTATTGAGACAGTCGGTCCGTTGGCTGGTGTAGTCGGCTTGCTCACGATGCTGTTTGGTATAATTTGAAGCGACCCAAAGGTACGGAACTGTAATTAACAAACAACATGATCACGATTTGTAGATTTATACCACGGTAATAACAGTCCATTAGCTGGTTTCTACATGTCACATTGAGTAAAGAGAGTATTAGTGCCTAGTGACATGAAAAATCACAGAAAAAGCGATTTGATATTCGTTAAGGTCTTTTATGCTCATCAGGAAGGCGTAGATCCTGCAAACACCAGAACACAACTCTAAGAGGCAGCTTGGTTGCTTTCGTCTCCAATACTACCTCGACATGACCATGTTCAATAGTAGGGAGCTAAAAAGAGTGCACGAGAGTCCTAAACCCTCTTGGCAACAAATGAGACTTCTTTCCCCCACCGTGTTCCATCAGTCTGCCTATCTATGCCATGCTTGAAAAGGTCAGTCAGCTTTATTTTGGCACTGATCTGCTAGAAGCTCACCATGGCGCGTATCCAGATCCATCAAGCAGAGTATGACGCAATCGCGTTAGCACTAGCATCATTGAAGTTGTAGCACCTTCCTATAGCAAAATCGTGTGTCGTGGAGTCCACGTAACCCTGCCCAATAGTCGAAGTAAGGTCACCGCAGCCGTCAGGTGCGAAGAAATACGCTTTTTGGCGACCATCTCCCCAGGTCGTGATCTTGAAGGACTTGAATCCTTCGGGCCAGGTCGCACAGGTGTTGTCCCAGATATTGACGCCTTTCTGGACGGAATTGCCGCAGTTGGTGCCGGAAAAGGTATCGATGACGAAGGCAGATCCACTGGCTGTCAGGCTGGCCATGATGGCGATGGTGGAGGTAATCGAGAGATGCATATTGGAAAAGGGGAAAGTTCTTGAGATTGGAATCGTAGTTCTGGGGATGGAAGGTGAGGCTGTGTGTTTGTAGTAATGTTTTGAGTTGATGAGTAAAGAGACATGGAGAGTGAAAAGAGAGATTTATATACTCAAGCTGCTGGAGCCAACTTTCAAACTCGCGGAAATCACTGGCTCTTTCGCTGTTTTTGCTATTTTCGTGGCGGTCACGGCCGGTGAGGTAGTATTGGCTATGGATCGATGATGTGAGGTCCTCTAGATCTCGCCGGTGCTTTCTTCAGCTCATGATATTATGTTCGATCACCATGAGATGCCTTGCGAGCCAAGACACGACCAATCGCTCTTTCCAAGTCGCCGCATGCACCGCAGGTTGTGGAGAACTTAGCTCCTTCAGCCAGCCTTTTGTACTTCTCAATGGCCATTCCATCCCTACGGTGCGACAATAAGCACCGACATGGTGGATCATCTGCAAGGCTATTTGTCTGTTACGTTCGCTGACAGGTAATCACAGGAATGCATATGCTGAAACTGAGGTTGAACAACTGCAACAGGAGGATTGAACCGTATCTCAAGGAACTTGGGGGTGAGCAAGTGCGCGTACAAAGCAGCGTCACGCAGCTGAGCTGTTGGCGGGGTTGTAAGGCTAGTATCTACTCATTGCAGCTATGCGGATGCATCGTCTAGACACGATAGTAGCCAATCGTGAATATCTTCGTCGTATTTGTTGCTTTGATGGATGTTTCCCTTAGGCAGACGGCACGCGCATGCACTGAGAGCATCCCAGGTTTCGCAGAACCACGTGACGTCGAGCAGACACCACCTGGGCACGATTATTGACAACCGTGACACCGCCACACCAACGACAAATCGGCCATGCAGATCACTTTGCACCACGCAATATCACATATCGCCATCCCTGCCATATATCGTCATCGTTCGGCAGAGCATGTGATCGCTGGAAATACCGGGCGCTAGACAAGTAGCGAGTCTCCTCCATCACGAAGTTCTGGAAAATCTCGATCCACAATGGAGGCTCAAGCGTCCCAAAATATCTCTGCCTTCTCCACCTCTGCCACAGATGCTGCAGCTCAAAGTAGTCGTGGCCAACATTGGAGGCCGTGTTTCCAGGCCGGTCCGATGCCGAGCAAAAACGAACGTAATCCTCGATGTTCCCAACTCACCGTCTAAAAATAGCAATTTGAAGGACACAGTCTTCTGCCTACGTCTCAAGGATATAGAACAGTACACAGTCTAAAGTCTGCAGACATCGGTACTTGTCGTCGATCAAACGACCTGGGGCTAACCTACCCAATTTAGCGGTTCAGTAACAGGATGGTGGCGTAAGAACGATTTTTGCTTCAGGAACATAATGGCGCGCGACTGGGGAGAGGCCAGGGTCTTAGATTATCGTAGTGTCGCCTGAACCCTCGGAAACTACGCACTACGCGCAATGATCTGACCACCATAAAAAGCTAATATGACATAGTCTCTCAACATCGGGCTACGCAAATTTTCATATCCGCGACCAAAACAACCCCGTGAAAAGGGGCATCATAGACGTGCGATCTTCGGAAATCAATTGCTACACACACTAGATGATGTCTGCAGCACGCATGGTATCAACGGCCGGGTAGTCTTATCCTATCCTTCTCACCTGATACGAGATAATGCCGGTGGTTGTAATGCCAGCTATGCCGCACGAGTCATAGCGACAAAGATGTATTGCCTCTCTCATGCTAGCGGTACGCTGCTAACCTAGAACGAACACAAGATCTGTGGATATACAATAGTCACAATTGCTAGAGCCATAGACTATTCGAACAAATCGTCAAACGTGCATGCGCTTGCAAGCATGCGCTTTTGCAAGATCGCGATACTTCGCCCACAGACATATTCAACAGTACCGGATGGAGTTCCTGGATACGGGTGGCTCCACTGGCAGTTGGACATATCTTGTTGCGTCTTCTTGCTGATCGGAGCCTTCCAGCTACTCTTTTCATTACGTCTTGCTATTTGTGTAGTACTTGTCCGTTCGCTCGGCCATCACCATACGCTCCACTCGCTCCACTCACAACATCAAGGGATATAGTTTATGCCATACTATCTTTTCTAATACCGAATACCCTGACGATCCTCGTTATTAGCTCTCTCGATCTCTAATACCATCGGTCCATCAACCTTTCCGAGTACCAACGAACAATCAACACCTTCTTCACGAATTTCAATATGCCTTCTACGACCGTCATGAAGCAGGGTCTCGCCACTGCTGTCCTTGCTGCACTTCCATTGGCAGCTCGTGCTCAAGGTACTACACCTCCTAAGCTCACCGCTGCCTGTAATGATGTAGCAATCTTCATGGCTCGCGGCAATGACGCCCCTTACCACGATGGCCGTACCTCGCCCTTCATCGATGCCACCTGCGGAAAATTCCAGGCCCAGGGCAACTCATGTGACTACATGGATGTTGTCTTCGATGCTACGCTAGGCGTCGAATTCTGTCCTACGATCCAGGAAGGTGCCGTCAACGGTATCAGGCAAATCACTGAGTACAACGCTCAATGCCCGGATACTTTGATTGTGATCAACGGCTACTCACAAGGTGCCATGGTTTCCGGGGCTCTTCTGAGTGGCGGAGGCGACGACGCATGCAACGTCGACTCCCAAACGCTCGGTCTTGACTCTACCTCGCAGGCTGGCCAAGCTGTCAAGGCAGCCCTTCTTTGGGGCGATGTCAAGCACACTGCGAACCAGGTTTACAACGTTCTTGATGGAGCGGATAAGCAAGCTTGGCCCCGTACCGGCGCTAATCTTGAGCGCCTGAACCGCTACTCTTCTGTCTTGAGGTCGTACTGCGGTGCCGGCGACCCTGTCTGCGCTAACGGAGATGACGTTGCCCAGCATCTGAACTACTTTGAGCTTTATACCGAAGAGGCGTCGAGCTGGGTTGTGAGCAAGCTGTCACTTCTCCTGGCTAAGGCCTCATCATCTGCTGTGCCCTCCAGCTCGGCTATCCCTACCCCCTCTTCCACAACCACCCTCAAGGACTCCACAACTGTCGTTACATCGACTGAAACAAGCACGATGGAGGTACCGATTACCGTTACCAAGGATGCCGAAACTACCACCTTCAAGCCATCCACTATGATCTCATCATACGTCCCCATCGTCACTGCCACGGCTTCAAACGTAACTTCTTCAACGATCTCCGAGGCCGCTACTGCTTACCCTGTCGCCATCCCTCACAAGCACTACAACGCAACCGTCCCATACAGCAACTCTACCATCCCTGTGTCGAGCACTCTCATGACCGCCGACAAGCCTCACGAGACTACTTACCTGCCGGTTGAGGAGTCGCACGCTCCCGCTACCACCGAGGCACCAGAGCACTCAACTGTTGCTGCTGCTTGCCCACCAGCCACCGTATACGAGACCGTTACTGACATTGTATACAAGTACGTATAAAGCGGTTAGTGTAGGAAGGTCGGATTGGGATGGGAAGTTTTGGAAGTCATGTTGGATTGAATGTATATATATACCCTTCGTAAATGAAAAGCTTTTATATCTCACGGCGAATTTGTTTTGTATCTTGTGATAAAGTTTGTTTTATATTGATTATCCCTTATATTCTTGTATTATATCCTTAAATGCCCAATGCCTTTGCGATCGCCTCTCCAACCGCTGTTGCACTCGCAGGGTTCTGTCCAGTGATCAATCGACCAGAAACGGCAATCTTTTCGCCCCAGGGCTCCGCTGCCTTGACAAACTTGCCTCCACTCGCCTTCTGTAGGGCATCCTCAGGCAAGAACGGTACAACCTTGCTCAAGCCTACTTGCTCCTCCTCAGCGTTTGTGAATGCGGTGACCTCCTTGCCAGCAACAAGCAGACTTCCATCGCTCAGCTTAGCGTCATAGAACACAGCGGGTGCATGGCATACAGCCGATACGATCTTGTCCGCTTCCCAAAACTCCCTGATAAGTTGTTGTGACGTCGCATCGTCGACGAGATCGAACATGGGTCCGTGACCACCAACGTAGAAGATGGCGTCAAAGTCCTTCGCCTTGCCCTTGAAGTCGCTCAGCTTCTGGGTTGTCTTCCAGACCTGCTCGTCGTTCTTGTGGAAGTTGACGGATACATCGTCTTTCGCGGCTTCGACGGACGCAGGGTCGAGGGGTGCCTCACCGCCCTTGGGAGATGCAACGGTGATGTTGGCTTTGTTGCGTAGGACGTGGTAGGGGTGGGCAAGCTCGGGCAGGTACCAGCCGGTAGGCTTGCCTGTGTCGCCGAGCTTGTTGTGTGAGGTGAGAACGAAGAGAATGCTTGGCTTGGACATTGTGAAGATATGGTTTGTTTGATATGGGTGAGTTAATGTGTGAGATGGATGTACTTAATGATTATAAAAAAAGTTCGATGGCTTTCCACTTGAGTACCCTGCTATGTGACGACATGCGGGGTAGCTACGAGATAAAAGGCCCGATTATGCAGGGCAACTTCCTCTAGCGTCAGGGACGTCATCTTGGAAAACTTGCGTCTTCCGTTCGCCTAGTACACAAGCAGTACTTTGAGGAGTTGAAAGATGGGATCAGCCAGACACTAGCAGCTTTTGTGCGATGCATTGATCTCTGCTATCCACTTAAATCTCGGAGCAGCCTGCGTTTCGAGCAGAATTTGGACGACGATGATGACGTTTTCGCAGATCCAGCCGCTTCTGTACGTTCAGCAATTTTTTCTCGGAAGCATGTGCTAAGTGACCTTTTACCTTTGCCGAGCAGCATGAGATCTTACCGCGACTCCAACATGACGACAGCTACGCGTCGTAGGTTCTCGTCCGATAATGTGAGGCCGCAAGCCTTCCTCGAGATCAGACACCAGAACTGAAACAGAACTTCTTTGTTCTACCCTTAAGTATCGGTACGTCTCCAAAAACGACCTTGCCAGCCCACTAGCCCCTTGATAATCATCTATACTGGATCCGCTCATCTCAGCTTCACTCTCTGCTGGCCAAAAGTACGTGTCCGCTCTATATATGACGTAGTCGAAATACTCCAGATCATGCTCGCTGGGATCTTCGGGAATGTCCTCAGCTATGGGGGTGTAATCAATGGCCATATCTATAAGCTCTTTCGGCAACCTCAGTCCCACAACTGGATGCACTTTCCTTTTCGTTTCGGCATAAGCTCGGCGGCATTCGAAGAGATTATAGGCTGTTACGACATAGCTTTCACACAATGGTTCTTGTCAAATCCACTGTATTCATAACGTTCATTATCAAGGTCGACCTTAGGATGAACAGGACAGCCGTGGCGAGACTCTATCCATTCTCAAATCTCTTTATATGTCTGAGCGGTATCGAAAAACGGTATCGATTTGCAGTAGGCTTGAATAGAACGTCTGCGTGCTCCTCCAGACCAGCCATGAAACATATCTCCCAGAAAGATGTCGAGGTGGTTATTAGCTCGTGGGTCCAGGTACGTTTCTTTGCCGTACAGCAACTCCAATTTCATGGTCATGCAACACGCGATCGCTATATTCCAGCAGTGACCATTCTCGGCCACAGTGTACATAATTTGAAGCACCGGTGGCAGATACTCCCGAATGAAATAACTCTCCTTTCGCGCTGCCGGGCCTCGATTGTACCAATTGTCCCATGTGCCGTCCATGGCACACGTTTACCGTAGAAAGTCTAGAGCGGTACTGAATGCATCGTCAACTATGAGATACCATATCTCCAGGCCATTAAATCAACGTAGATCGACGAGAGTCCCAAACCCTTGTTCGGGCGAGTCTTCATCCGCGCAGGAGTGCGACGCAAACGTCAAAATAAGTTTGGACGAACCTGCCGAGAAGATGTCGTACAAGGTCCAACTGCGAAATCGCTGTCTTCTGTTGATAGGCTTGCCGACTGGAGAATCAAAGGTAAACCGATAGTTGTTTGGGTTTCCCATCGTTGCCCACGGCTTATGCCGGTGATGAGTGAACGGTAAAACCGCGTCGACGCGACTTTGGACGCGCAGTTGCGCTTGGCGCACGTGGCAACCCCATCGCGGCCCTCCCGATTACGATGTCATAGTCACGACCAACACATATAATTGAAACAACTTATAGAGGTGCCATGACCACATGTTCTAACTCCCGAACAATTTTTGATTGTACATCTTCGAACGAACCAAGAAGCAGATATGGGGCCTCAGACGGTCTCACGTTCTACCGACAGTTGCCGTATCACATCCCGCTGCCTCGAGTACGCATGTACTCATGCGGTATCTTGACCGACGTCGGATAACTGCGACGACCACATCGCTCCATACGACTCCACGCAATGCGCTTCAAGTTCGGCGGTCCTACCCACTTGGACCGCACCCGTGCGGGTGAGCTTCTGGTTGGGCAACTGTTCAGCTGGGTCGCGCAAATAGCCCGATTTGACCTCGCCTTGCATCTAGATTGCGGGGCACAGAGGAAGACCCACGTCTTGTACGGCTTATACGTACTCGCCTGGAAGCCACATATATCATATCCAGACGTGTATAAAACATGGAGGTCGTAAGCAGGATTCAAGATCTCAAGAGTACTATTAGTCGTCATGGCATCTTCCGAAAATAAAACAGTCATTGTAACCGGTTGCAGCAGCGGTATTGGTCTGGCAACAACTCTTCTCTTTCTCTCACAGAATGCACAAGTCTTCGGTGTCGATATATCACCTTTCAACCATGAGCTTGATACCACCCAAAAAGAGTCCTTCGCTTTCCACGAAGCAGATCTTTGCAAGCCCGGCGCAGCCGAAGAGGCGATTTCTGCTTGCATCGCAAGATATGGCCCGAATATCGACGTGCTAGCCAATGTTGCGGGTGTCATGGATGCTTTTGGCAGCGCTGATACGGTCAAAGACTCGGAATGGGAGCGCGTCCTTACCATCAATCTCACGGTTCCGGTCCGGATGATGGCAGCTGTATTGCCTAGCATGAAAGACCAAAAGAGCGGTGCCATCGTGAACGTTGGTAGCTATGCAAGTCTCTCGGGTGCGGTGGCTGGCATTGCATACACAGCCAGTAAACATGGGCTTGTCGGTGCGACCAAGAACGTCGCTTGGCGCTTTCGAAAAGATGGTATTAGATGCAACGCTGTACTTCCAGGTGGTTCGTATTGCTTCTAGACCATGATCCGAGAGACTATTGTTCTGACGAAGTTTCAGCCGTTCCCACTAACATCCGCTCGTCGATGGTGCAAGAGAACGTTGACCAGGCTGCAATGGAAGTATACAAGTACGTAGTCACGACATCGGACATCATACTTTTACTGACAGGCTCGCAGTCCCGTGCAGGCCTTGTGCCAAGGCCTGAAGAGAGATGATCTGCCATACGGATCTGTAGGCCCTGACGATATTGCTCAGGGTATTGCATTCCTCGCGTCCGATGCTGCAAAGACGATCAGCGGTGTTATGATGCCGATAGACAACGCTTGGTCAACGATATAGGTCGTAGTTATGGACTCGGTACTGTGAAAGCTGCCAACCGATATTGGGGTGGGATCGGGAGAGCACAGGTCTGAATCGACGTAGGGAGGATGTACTTTCCAGGGGCTCGAAGCGTATAGCAGAAGACTGTAGTTCAATTACCCAACAAACAATGCGGGGTGGACAACACAAGCTACTCCAAAGCAAAAAAAAAAATTCCACTTCAATTCGTGATATTTGTGAGCCTCTGCTTGCCATGGTCATTCTTCCTCGGCAACAACGTCGAGCGTTGCCTTCCCTGAAGCGCTACCGTTCCTCCGTGCAGCGACCCTACCAATTTGCGACAATCCCTTCGAAACCGGAGTTTATATGTCTATATCCTCCGTTTCTCATTTCATACCCGAGCGGCATTGCCACCAAGCGTTGACATCACCCTATCTACAGTGTCTCAATGTTACACAGTGGTCGCTGCGTAGAGGACTCGTCCGCTGGTGAGCCTGAGCGGGTCTTTCACATGACATTTAGTGGCTTGGCGACCTTATCTGACCCGCTCACGTGAAGGTACCGACGTTGGCTTCCATTGCTTCCCGGGTCTCCCTGCCTGGCATTCTACATAGCGGCCAAAATGGACATGTCCAGACGTTGCACACATGCATACGCGCGATAAACTCGCATACTCTCAGTTTTCCCGTGTAGCACAAATTGTAGGCCATGCTACAGAACCTCACGCTTCATCCGCAACGTGACGGCTCTTTACTACCCGGAGATGATACCGTAGTCGTGCTTACGATCGGACGAAGAAACACCAGATACTTTAAAACTAAAGCCAGCGCAGCGCGACTATATCGAATCGCTGTCAGAACATGGTGGTCCTCCGGCACACAGCCAATGAGAGGTCGACTGTCCTTTGATATCGCGGTGTGGCTACAGAATATGTTCTTCCCATGTACGACAGTGTTGCGTCGAATCATCCCACGAACATTAGACGCGCCGATACTTCTTTTCATATGTACCTTGTTTGACGGATGCGCAGCAATTCCATCACACTTGAACATTTATAGTGGCATTAAAAAATGTAAAGACTTGGTTGCAGCAACAATCACACTTAGAGTTGGCCAGGAGGCCCATGCTCAGCTATCAATTCAAGGCCTGCGGAGAGTCATATCATCACATATCATTCATCAAGGCTTTGACAGTGACTTGTACGACGCTGAATCGGCCAACGCATTGGTTCAATAACATCTCGGTATTGATTGAATATTAATAGGTTACTATCCTAAACTCCTTCTATGGTCGCCCATCAAATGCTTCAGTCTCCACATCTTTGGATCGTCGCGAAGGCTAGCTCCCGGGAGTACAAGTTCTGTGAGGATTGGCTGCGAGTATTCTGGATTGGTCTCGTCTGTTGAATCGGTATCATTGTCCGGCTCTTCTATAGCAACGTAACGTCCGACAGCATTCCGAATATCGGCACTCAGTCGTTTCTTCATGACGGCAAGCATGATACTAGCGATGTAGGCACTCTTGGACTGTTCGTACAGACCGTTGAAACATAAAATGAGTGTAGAGAGAAGTGAATCGCTTGTTTCGCTCCGTTCGCTGGCTGGGTTTTGCTCGAGTTGTTGTAGGGGTTCTAGGGTGAGGTTGGCAAGGTGAGCCAAGAAGATCGTGAGCGTGGAGTCGTAGCATTCGAAGCTATGGCGGAGATAGTATATGCGTAAGATGCTTTCTAATTGAACGCTCGCTTGTGTAACAATGTGCCGTGCTGTGTTGTGTTGGCTCTGCGTCAATGACTGTGTACCATCATCTTCAGAGGATATCTGAGATCTGAACAGAGTTATTAAAACAGCGTAGTACTCGCAACTGTAGTGTTTCAGCTTATATAGTATGTAACTGTGACATGGCTACTCACTGCAGTAACATATGGGAAGGGTATACAATCCAGCGAGGCTGGAGTTGAGAAGGCAATTCCCTATACCAGGTTTCCAATTTCGCTTGGATATGCAAAGCTGCAATCCATGGCATTTTCTTCAACTCTTTGGATCTACTAAAACACATCATACCAATCTCATTTTGGATGAGTCGCAACTCGCTCAGAGCTTTCATGCCGTGGCCGAAATCATTCGAATAAGGATACTCGTCCGGTGGAAAACGCAGCACTATATTACCATACCACTCTGACTCGTCACCGGCGTCCGGAAGCGGACCTGCCGGGATATCCAGAAGACACGGCGGGTTGAAGTAGTAGTAACTCTGTAATCTGAAAACGTTAATTATGAACTACTGTGTGTTGAATACACTTACGATAGCCATGAAGATAATCCCCACGCCGTGAAAGATTTGGCGTGCTCGAGTCTGCTGCCATCCGACCGGATTGCAAAAAGACTCATCTTATGTGCCATGCTGAGAGCTTCGAGTGTATAAGAGAACCCAGGTCTATCGTGACCAAAGTCATTCATTGTAGCATTGATGAGACAGCCAGCTTGAATTGTGGTAAGTTTTGGCTCACCATCCTCCAATTCCCACAGTCGTTTGGCTTCGGCCAAGAATCGATATGGCAGACTGTCTGGATTCCAGAACTTGATACGATTGGCAAATAGTCGGTAGCTAGCCTGTGACGTGTTAATAAAACCCATTCACGACAACAAAGTATACTTACTCACACAAGCTTTGGCCAAAAGAGCATTGACGAGTAGGGGGGAGCAAAACTCGGTTCTTCTCGTCAACATGTCCTCCAGAAAATAGTCCTTGAAGAAGAAGAACTGCCTTGGATACTGATGGATAAAGTAGCTATCAAGGACATTCTGTAGCAATCGATCGTTAGAACTGACACTAGTCCAATTCGAAGGTTGTGCATCCTCGAGTAAACTGTCAAACATCCTGGCCGTAAGCAAGGGCCTTGCGTAATTGCTCTTTTGCAGAGTCAGGCGAGCTTGCGAAGTATTTGTGTCGTACTCGGCCGCTTCGATTGCCTCATATACAAGCGACTGGAAATAAGTGCTCTCTCGAAGGCCTGTCGGTATCTTGTCCATGAACGGGAAGTGAAAGCGCGACAACACTTGCGTAACATTAGAATGCTCCATGACCAAGCTTCCCTCTTGAATATGCTTTACCACAGCTTCTGCATTTGCTCCTGCTCGGATGCGGCGAAATACATCGGCTGCATCTTTCTCGGGCAGATTTTGTACCATATCGAACAATTCCTCTTGGGCAGTACGTTTCTCTTTGAGCTGCTGATATCTACGCTTGAACTGACGCGACTCCGTCTCGCCATGACGACACTCGGTATCTCGCGCTACGCATGCAGTGCACTTAGGCTTTAATCCGTCGCACTGTTGCTATGTCAGCTACAGTCGGAGGAGCCGCAGGATGTATGTACTTGCTTTTGACTTACGAACTCGACAAGCCTCACAAGCGCTGACCCGTGTAGGCTTTTGTCTTTCCACTGGTTCTCTGCGGGTTCCGCCAGCAGGAGCAGGTAGGAGTGAACGCAGTGGTGGTGGAGTTCGAGCAGATCCTTGTTCCATTCCTTCCAGAGCAGTGACGTCAGTTGCGTTGTTTCAGCAGGTTCAACTGCTAGACTCCGGCCTGTTGGAACTTCTGCATAACTATGTGATGAACACTTATATGAAGGTGCAGCGACAAGAAGTGTGGATCTTTGGTATGTAACTGGTATGAGGAAGGCTCGAAGAGGAATTTCGCATCGAGGTTTCGTGGCACTACTTCGGCGCTATTGTGGCGAGGCCAATCAGCTGCCGCATCGAGATCTTCAATCGCTAGCAGCGCGTCCACGTGTTGGCGCGTCAACTGGTTAGCGTGTGTGGCCATCACCATCACTCAAGAGATCGAACATTTCGCCATCTCACTAAGCATCATCAGTAATGCAATTTTGGTGAGCAACGCCACTCTCTATTCACACTCTCTCAGCTCAGCACTGCTTGATCCCATCCGATCGATCACACGAACCGGCTGCGCACACTGTCTCTAAAACCAGTCGAATCTGCAGCCTTCGTCACCAGCGTCACCAATATCTAGATCACGGGTATGAGGGACGGATCGTTTTTAGCGACCGTTTTCTTAATCAAGGTTTTTCATTGCAATGCCGAAATCCGAATCCTGCCGAATCGTACCTCTGGTTCACATCGGATCTCACACCAGACTGTTCGGGGGTAGGTTCGCAATGCCGAATCGGCATGGACAGGTCCTTTCTCGGCAAGGACTCGTTAAGGCAAGTACATCCGCTCCGTGCTGCCATTACTACTTGCCGCGCCGAACTATTATCCAACGAATTTGAACGACATCACCGAAACATGGTGTGATCTTACCAAGGTTATATGGAAAATGTGTTCATATAAGCACATGTACGTCACATTGCACGCCTCCGATGAGTTGAGCGCTTTTCTTGGTTGGCCTCTCTCTAGGCTCTGAAGTGATGGTGGAGCGACAACAGAAACTGCAGGCTTGATAGCTCACCGGTATTGTACCTCCGTGGGGAATCAGACCTGGAGTTGCAACAATATCAAGAGCAGATCTTGGAGTAACCTATTGAACGAGCAACGCTAATGGATGCTGGCCATATCTTTCCACTACATATTACAGTTAGTCGTCGTTACTCTTCTTAAGCTTATCCTTCTGTGTCTCGGGCGTTCAATGCTCAAGAGCCTTAGTCTCACAACATAATCTACACGTCTTTGGGCGCACTTGCACTAGCAATATCCGCGCCCTGCTGATGAACCACGCTCCATTCATGAAAGAGCTTCGACAAGGACTTTGTACCGAGAAGACTATTCTTAGATGTATTCTGCTTGTCTTGCGATCCTAAGACAGCCCTAGTCACCGCTGCAGCCCTCACGTCGTTGGCCTATACAAATCGTCTCTCCGGAGGTCTGCTTTACTTGAGTTGGCTTTTGCTCTTCATACTAAGAGCAACAATGCGTGACATCTTAGTGGCTGTCATCTTGCAGAGGCTGCGATACCCGGTGGAAACCTCTATCACATTCGTATGTCAAACTCGCAGTGCTCCTTGACGCCGTGTTCAAATAGACGTTAGTGTGTTTAGCCTCGAAATCGCAACAAGTTTGCGCTTTTATGAACAGAAATCTACCTTGTAGGTTGATTCCATACTGATTTAGCCTGTAAGATGAATGGAGCACACGTCATGGCGTAATAAAATGCTGTAGGAATTGCTACAGGCAGTGGCTGGCTAGCCCCGCTCCACCCCGCGTACTGCCAAAGTGCTATTTGTGTCGCGACCTTAACCGTCCTACGCAACGGTGCGAACGCTGGTTTTGCGAAACGTACTAGACGAGTTTATGACAATGGTTCCCGATCTAGAAAAACTTGTATTGCAAAATGACGCATCGGCAGTGCAACAAAGCGCTCGACTAGTCCATGGGCATGCCACATCACCACTACGCCACCCACAAGACTATTCCGATATCGACCCTGTCTGCTCCCTTCTTCCTTACCGCCCAATTTGCCGAATCGTTACATGAATCACGCAACGATTTCGATACCAATACTTCACATGGAATATACATAGGCGATTATGTCTACACTCGCTTGGGAAGGTAGGTGGGCTGAAAACCTTACATTCTTCCTCTTCTTCGAGGAGTAACACCAGTATTGCACCTTTAATTGACATACGACTCTTCTGCGCTTTTGTGCATCCTAGATGAAACTACGGAGAAAGTGCATTGCGCATGTGAGGGAAGAGATGGAGAGATATGGGTGGGCAACTCAGATGGTGGCCGCAGGGTCCCGCTGGGCATCTTCGGTTTCACCACGCGCCACGTACGCGCCATACCTTCCAACGTCGTTTTGCGCAACCACCAGCATTCGAGACGGATACATTCACGGCCTAAGCTCCTATGCCAATCAGATCCTGTCACAATGTTAAGATGATTAGGCTTTAAGCCCGCGCCTTGTCTCTTGTCTTGCGGGTAAGATGTCACGATCCGGCCTTACAGAGTTACCGGTTCCATACAGCAACACCGAGTGGTGAAGCCGCCTTACGCTTATCATACTGCCTCTCACGTCGCTGACCTATGGTCGCATTAACACGACTTGATTCGCGCCTGCGCTTCGACCCCCAGCTTCTTGGACGCCGCACATCTTGGTTACTGACACGCTGAAATGATGGGTGGCCTAATATGTCCACATCGAAGGAAATTCATCGATGGGTTCAAGATTCCTTCATAACGTTGCGTACTGTCAGATTCGCGCATTACGCTCTACCTCGTGATCGTCCGCGTCTCAATATTGGCTTATCTCAACATGCGCGGGGATTTGTTATCGTCAGCGTGTCTGTTCCTCGCAACAGCATTACCAGTGCACGCCGCTTTCTCCGAATTCTTCTTTGCGGGTAACAATGGAACAGGTGCGCTGAAGACATGCCCCGAATCCGGATTTGAATGTGCTCCGCCATCCGTCTGTTCGTTTGACGATCGAACTCAGAAGTACTATTGCTGCATACCAGGAAACACAGATGCCGTGTGCTGGGGGCCCAATTCAGGCTGTGATGGAGGAGACAGTACTACACCCTCGGGTAGCCAACAAGCCTGTTCGTCAGGAGTCAATACCTTTTGCTGTCTGAAGTCCAGGTAAGAATGTGTCTCGACGGCCCAGTAGTCATCGTTGGGTGTGTAGCTGACAGGGCCTAGTGAGACCTGCACGGAAACAGCAGATCAAATCAACATTTGCTGGAGCCAACTTGATAACCCGCTTGCTTCTCTCAACGCGACCGCCGTCAATGAAACAGCGCAATCTCTCGAGTCGAATCGTCCCTCTGCTGCTACGTACGCAGTCAGCTTATCTGCCTTACAAACACTCACATCAACCACCGCTGCTGCATCATCAACAACCCCGAGCGCATCAGGGCAACAGCCCATCGCTACTACCACGCCGTCTGTAGTGCCACAAACAACGGTCGAACTATCCGAAGCGGCTACCAATAAAAGCAAAGCGTCGGGTCTCTCAGGTGGTGCGATAGGCGGCGTGGTCGGTGGAGTAGTCGGTGGAGTAGTCGGTGGGTTAGCTCTACTCGGCCTGGTTGGATTCTTCTTCTGGCGTAGAAAGAAGAATGGCAAACACAATCCGTATGCGCCGGCCAAAACATACAACACTTCTACACACCCGGTGGGTCATCCAAGCGAGATGGACTCGAACCAGATCTACACGCATTTGCCAGCAACTGAAAAATACGGACACGCAATTGGTCCTGCATCGGAAGTGCCTGGGGATCGGGCCCCAGCAGAGCTACCAGACACTTCGACGCACAACAGGTAGTGGGAGCGAGTTGATGATAATTTGACGGTTGCATGCGAAGAGACAGTGCAGAATGTATTTTAATCATGTCTTGAATCTTCGACCTTATGTGATTACAAATGAGATTCCATCATCAGCCATTCTGTATAATCCTCGCTAATCGTGCACGCGTAATCACTTTGTTCTCAGTTATGCTTTCGCTAAAGGTGGCAAACGCGGTATGGTATACGTCTAGAAACGTGGCAACTACTCAGCATGCTCTGAGGTCATCTAACTTCAAATACAAAGACTTTTGGGTAGCCCTCGCAAACGCAATAGTTCGACAACCGGCCGGGACAGCCGACATCATCTGCCAACTATTCCTCAACTACGGAACAACGATCCTCTCCATCTCACGCCTCATCAAACATCCTGTAGATCTCGTCAAACTCCTTCATGAACCCCACCCCATCCTCCAACCTGGGCCAGTTTCTCCCTTCTGCCACGTCCCCCATTCCCCCTTCCACCCACTCTGCATACCTCTCATATACCTCCGCCACGCTCCTCGCTCGAAGACCCAGCTCTTTTTGCCACTCTGGCCAATCCCAACCCAGGTCTTCTACCTCATCAGTCGCGTGGTCGTGGTGCTCGATGGTAACCTGACCATTAAACGAGTCACCGGACATGAGATAAGGGCCAGGCGCAGTGACACGCAATTCACCCGTTTCACCAGCAATATGCCATGAAAGCCCAGGCTCGCCTTTGAACGGCTGACCAAGGCGAAATGAAGCCGTAAGCTTAGCCCCGGGCACTGTAACACCTTTGTTGGTAGCAAGCGTACCATGCACAGTAATCAGGTCTGGTACATCACTCTTCACAGTCCTGCCGGCTCTTCCATTAACTCCCAAGACCTTCAGTTCCGGCCGCTGGATTTGCATCTTCGCATGTGATTCTTCCCATTCCCCAAGCACCTCATGCACGTAATCGATCATATGGCCATAATGGATGTTAATTGGATGCCCCCCTACCTTCCTATCTGCAAAGTACGTAAGAGACTCCGGAAGAGCGTCGCGCTGCATCAAGCTGCCAAATGCGCGGACCTGGCTGCTGAATACCTTCCCTATGGTGTTTGTGGCTAGGAGATATTTAATTCGTAAGGTTATTGGGGCGACGCGCCCTTGCAGGCCGATGATACTGTTGCGGGGATCTGAGGTGAGTTTTGCGAGGTTCAGCGAAGTATCGAGACCTTGCGTCAATGGCCATTCGATGTATGCTGCTTTTCCTGCTCTTAGGCTTGGTTCGACAACGGAAGCATGTATGTCGACCCGAGTGCATACAACGAGTAGGTCGATGTCAGGGTCTGCGGCGAGAGTGGCTGGATCCTCGTATGCTTTTACATCGCTGGAGAGATTGAATGTCTTTTTTGCTGCTTCTGCGGCTTGCGTGGAAGAGTTGAGAAGAGCAACGAGCTGGTAATGCTTTTTGCCAAAGGAGGAGAGGAGGTATGGTAAATGAGCGTCCGCGGCCCATGTCACTTTTGCTGAGGATGAGAGACCAACGATGGCTACGCGGATTGGCGACATTTTGGGTGATACTGAATGGGGACTATCTCAGACTGTCACCGACTTACCGCAACATGCTATATGTTTTCTGTATTCTTGATTTCTAATTCAGAACCAAGCAGGAATTACGCCATGTTCTCCTCTACTTCGATTTTTATGCCGCAACATCCAACGTGCTATGGATGCCTTATGATGCCTTACCAATGCAACGAGCCAATTGTGACGAAACTCTTCTTCGCAATAACACGAGCTGACAAAACTGGGAACTAGACATATATTGCTCGCCATAAAGCCTACATCCTGCAAGCGACAGATGATGTTGTCCCACCAATGGTTAACCAATAGTTTGAGGTGGAGCTGACAAACGAAGTGATGATAAAGCGAAGACTAATACGGTAAAGATCGTTGCTAGATGCCATTGGCTGGAAAAGCATGACAACAGCAGGGTCTACAACTTGAAAATGATATTTCAGAAAAAAGAGAAAATGATGAGGGAAAAGGTAAACCTCAAACTGACAGCTTCTTAGTCATCCCTAATACCTTCCGGTGGCTCTTCTGCCAACGCCTCTCCAGTCGTCTTCCCCCCGATGTTCATGGCGGAGCGGAAGAGCGGAGTCTAAACCCGATATAGCCTTCACACACATACTCAATCTGACGACTCGTCTTTACTTCGCATACCAAGGCTGAATCCCTTGAGTGTCTGCAATCACATTTCTGATACACGGACGGCATGAACATGCTTCCCGGGGTTGCGAGCGTTAAGGAGGGGGAAAGTGACAGGGACAGCGGAACAGTCGGCACGGGTACGGGTAAGACGGCAACGACAACCTTGGCAATATCTTCGGAGCGCACTTGGCATGTTTCGGATTGGGCAATGAACGTCAGGAGAAGTGAACGTCAGAGGTTGGGGAATTGAGTCTCAGGTTGATCGGCGTTCGTCAGGGTTCATGCTCGTTACCACCAGAGAGAAAGGAAGAGGAGTGTCCTCCGAGTGAGCACTCATGGATGATGTAGGGATAGATCTGACTAGGAGACTGGTGTGCGGACGAATGCGTGGAATTCAACGTTGGTCTATATTGTGCATATTTAAACGAGTGACTAAAGCAAAATAGATGATAGACAGTGAACCATGTGTGTATGATACAAGCCTGGAGATGAGCGATTCATCCAACGTCCTAGTCCAATGCCTGCGCTTCCATTCTGCGTACGGCCTTTGCTTGACTTGAGCGCGTACTGATCTCTCCAACTTCCTCTTGGAAAGCCGTCCACCAGACATATGGCTGAGCAATACTCTGGCGGGCAACCGGTCGAAACCCTCAATTCCGCACCATTCTACTGGCGCAAGTTGGCCTTCTCATGAGCATAGTCCTCTGCGAATCGAATGGCCTGCAGCTTCTGCGCGTAATCTGCAGCCTCAACCTGGGAGTTTGACCTAAACGTAGCGTCGCTATCTCTAGCCTGGTTGTTCCACCTGTACAGCTCTGGGCCGGGGCCCATAGACACTGGACGAGAGAAGCGGTTGTGCTGGTAGACTGAGTTGCGCTTGGCGTCCACCCTTGTGTTGTTGGGGAGTGGTTCGTGGATAGATAGTACGCGAATCTCTGCAGGCTCAGCTTCCTCGATCGGGGGGATCTTCTTGTAGCGATAGAAAGCATCGAGGGCAGGAATGGACAAGCCATGAACCACGATTGAGAAAATGACAAGGAAGTAGACGACGGGAATCATCGCGGCGACTAGGTTCTCTTCCTCCTCGGTGGAAGCTTCACCGGGCTTGGGGAATAGATGACGAGTGTGCTCGACGTAGAAGACAGCTCCGATACCTGAGACACGTTAGCTTCCTGCATTTCATGGACATGAAGTTTTACTTACCGATGGGCCCGAAGTACCCCATGAACAACGCTTCCTTCCAATCCTTAACACATGCAGGCATGACCTTGTACACCATGAAGATCGCAGGAATTCTGCGGAATGCAAGTATGAGGAAGCCGAGGATCATGAGCCTTCCAACGCTGATACCGGTGACTTCCGGCAGCTGAAATTCAGCCCAAGGGATGATGGTTCCAATATACATAAAGCCGCCGAAGTTGAGGATGACGTCGAAGCAGCTGTTAACTTCGTCGTGGCGCTTCTCCGTTTCCTCCAGGTAGATGCCGTTCCAGTTCATTGCGTTACCAGCAACGAAGCAAGCGAGGAGATCGTCTGTACCAAGCGCACCGCAAATACCAATGAGGAAGAGACCGACTGCCATGGGCCAGAGCAGAAGACTCTCGGAGTCGATCCACTTCTTGCGGAGGGAGAACTTGATAGCGAACATGCTGCCAACGCCAACCAGCGCACCGATCGCAACAGACATGAGGATGATGTACAACCAACCTTCGACAATCCATTGCTCCATAGCCATAGGGACACCACCTCCTAGACGGCCAACCCCTTCCTCGCTACGTTTGGAAAGCAAACCAACTGCGCGATGGGCGATCTCCTTCACGCCCTCTACACCTGGCTTCAACTTGACACCTTCGAGATCAGCATGACGAATAAGGTATGTGGCCAGGAGTAGGAACGGGAACCCAAATCCATCGTTGGCTCCAGCTTCGGATGAGATGATCTCTCGTAACGCGCGGGGGACGAATTTGTCTGCAAAGGGACCTTTGGCTACAGCCTGTGATAAGATGGGATCAGTGCAGGTAACGCAGGATCCAATTACCAGCGCAGCCAAGAATGAAAGCTTCGGAATGGTGACCAGGATGCATAAGCTTGTGCAGATCCACATAATTGTCATGACGGGAAGTAGGAGGATAGTCATCTCTTTCCAACGACCTTGCTGGTACTTGGCAGGAAGCTGGAATCCGGCAATGACCAGCTGCACACCAATCACGATGCGGCACATGCCCTTCAATATGTTCAGCAACGTTCGCGATCAAGCTTTGTATAATTTGTGCTCACCAGTGTGATCGCCTCCCGCTGACCCTCAGCGGCAGAACCCCATTTCTCGGCATCCAGGAACCTAGCAGCTATCGGACCCAGGATTATACCGACTATAACAGCAGGCACTGAAGAGAATCAGTAAGGATTTCTCGAACCGTCGAGAACTGTTGACTTACATGCTTCACCCAGGTACCAGACTTGCTTAATCTTGACTGAAAGAAAGCCATAGCAAATGATGAAAGTGCCCAGAATTGCAACGACAACGTTGAGCTCGCTAACATCGAGGGTAGGCATTGTGAAAATATCGGATACCCGGAAGTACGGAAAAGACGGAAGAGAAGATCTAATAGGGATGCATGCGCCGAAGGAACGAGTAAGAAGATTGGACAAAAGGGATGAGGAATGAAGAACGAAGACGACCAGCGAGTGCAAGAAACTGTAAATAGCAGGCCAGCCGTATTTACGAGTCGATTAAAACCAGTATAAGCAAGTACAAAAGATATGGAGAATGAGAGATTTCCGGGACTGGTTCGGCGAGAATGGCGAGCGCAGTGATGGTTGGGAATGCCAGTCTCGATTTCCAAGTTCTTGGGTGCCACGCCTTGTTACTTCATATCTTTACACGCGTCACGGACATAATGCACTTCGTTGACTTGAAACAGCAGCCGCCAGGACGTTCTTGGCTTAGCAGCCACTCCCGCCATTAGGAGGCTTACAACCGAAGCCAAGCGGTGAATTAACTATCGCGGATGGAGCCAAGGTCAGCTGTAGCGCTAGCTTCGAACACGACGTGTGGGACTTTCCGCCTTAAGGCTCGCTTCAACCCTGTATGTTACACCTATGGATGTGGAGGAAACAATGAAGGTTGAGACATGGGAACTGTGTTGTGACAGGCTGACCTTGTATGCCGTGATAGGCGTAAATGAGGAACACTAAACAGCACAGATTCTTTTGTCCGGCTCTGTGGATTGCGACTCGGTAAGCGTCTCAACACGACAGCGTCGACATGTCTTGTCGAGTCTGACGGAGATTGGTGGCCCTGGAGAGTTTACTTGCCAAGTCCGCCAAGTCCGCTGCGCCAAATACAGAACAAGCCCTGCTTGGCGATGAAGCGACATCCAGTAGTGATGATGTGCATTGCCTCAAGCCAGTTGAAGAGCCCCCTTGCAGATCTTCGTCCTGAAGCTGTGGCATTTTGATCGACACAAGGCTTGGAGACGCGTCCGCTCGAGCATAAGCAGTAATCGTCACCTATCGCGGCTGTGGGAGATTGTGAGCGTCACCTGGCATTTTAATTTTATCCATATCGCGCGATAGGCCCAGCTGGAAGAAGTACCCGGAATTGTTGGCAGTAGTCGGCGGCATTTGTATCTCTCGGTTGCCGCGGTACACATTGTGCGAGTGATGATCGCTCGACGCAGATGGTGACTCCGTGTACACAAAGACACAGCCAAGTGCGTTAACACCTTCGAGTAATATGTAATACCATGACTGTTTGGTGTGGTCTTATGGTGTTAGATTGTGGGTCGTACTGCGAAGCATCTGTTGCCGTATTGCCGAGTTATTCCAATAGCGTAGCGATAGCATCCAGCCACTCTCGAGACAGCTGTCTGAAGCTGTCGGCGGAATGCATCCCACCCAGTTGCTGACGATACTCGCTGGGAATCGTCTCAACGTGGAGCAACGACATTGTTCGACGTCTGAAGAAACTTCATTATTCAGTGCTGTCAGTGAGCTCCTTTCGAATTGCACCGACCTTACCGGAGCCGATATGGTACCTGGAAACAGGTCGATAGCACACACTGGTTGGCACCTGATTGAGTACGTACGTCCCGCAGCTGCTCGGTTGCGCGGCTGCATGGGCCGCGTATGTCTGGCAGCTAGGTATTTCAAACAGGTCCTTCAGCAATATTGTGACCTTCCCACGTCTTCCTATGACTGAATGTTGTCTTTGTCGTCAGGAGCGCGTGGATGCTAATACGTGGAGTGTGGTGTGCGCAGCTATCGAATGGTAGTAACCGTAAGCTATGACGGCATCTCGCCTAAGTGGGCCCGCCCGCATCCAGCTCTGCACCAGTCATTTTTCCTTCATCTGTCCAAAGGCTCATCTCAGCCTCCCTCTTTGCTGCCTTAGCTGAACTCTATCGCACCAGTTCGTTTTCCATTATCGGTAATGAGGCTGTGCGGCATATTATGTTGTTCTTGTGTGTTGATGAGCACTAGTCCGTAGTAGGAGATAAAGAGGTGCATATGAACCTCACATAAGGCGTCCCAGGCAACGAGCGGGGCTGGGCAAGGCATACGGCCGACATGTTTAACACGATGCCAACTTGACAGATGTACTTATACTGTGCGTACCAGCGTCAGTTCTGAGGGGCCTAAATTCACACATTCTGTCTATTACCAATACTTCATCAACTCCAGCCCAACACATTATGTCTACGAGGACTGAAGCCTCCGCCAACATGTCCATAGCATCGGAAACAGCGTTGGAAGAACCTAATAAGCCCATGATGCCTCCTTCATCTCATTGCCTCACCCTTCAAGTGGACTTTGCCTGGTCAAAATTTCGCAACACAATAGCTTCTAAAGGCCCTGATGGACAGCTGACGCCACTTTACATCCAACATTTCCGCCCCACAAAGCCACAATTGCGCTTCGAGCGTGCAAACGATCACAACACCATCGCCAAAGGTACCATTCACAGTTTCTCGATCAGTGGAGACTGTATAATTCACGGCCAGGAACTCATCTTGAAGCCGTTGAAGCGATGGAAAACTGAGTACAACTACCTCTCGCACGCGCTCGATGGCACACCTGTTTCTTGGATAGCCAACAGCAGTCTGAAAGTCTGGGACTACGTGTGCGTAAACTCTATTACCCAAGAACCTATCGCAAAGTTCAGTGTCAATTTGTGGGCGCTGAAACAAGTCGGAAACTTCTACTTTGAGAAGAGGGAAAATGGGGTTCCAGAGAGCTTGAGAGACGAAGTTGTAATCACGGGACTTACTTTGCTATATGTCATGACGATGAGGATGAACAATCCGGTGCATCTGCTAGGTGCAGCATTCGCGAAGCCAGGGAAGGCCGAGGGGGATGGGGCTCAGGCGACGGTATTACAGGATGTTAGGGAGACGAATGGTAAATTAAAGAGTACATGAGGGGAATTTGATGGTGGCGCATCGCATGCAGTTGATACTGCGAAGCCGAGTGTGGGACGAGTTCAGTTTAAGTTATACCCAATAGATATTTTTGAGCGTCTTACCAATTTGCCAGACAGCGACAGGTGACTTCTGAATGATTGACGGTGTGTTGTTATTGACATAATGATGATGCTGCATACATATCGCAAGGGGCATACACTCAGGATCGATGGTGGTCTGGTACGTTGTCGTTGGCACTACTCTCATAGTTGCCACTTAAGCTGTCGCGCTCTCCGGGCCGCCTATATATTGACGCCTCCCTAGGTAGACGAGGTATATCGTGGTGTCATGCTGACAATCCAGCAGTACGACGTTGTAGTTGAACACAACTCTTCAACAAGAGGATGACTTCTTCATGTTACTTCTGATTGGGTGGGCGGATCTTTCCAACTTTGCAGCGCAGCCCACGCCACGATCAAGGGTCGCACTATAATCTCACCCCATCCGTACCTCGCTCCATATGCATCGATTCCAGTCTCGTTAGCACACACATGAAGCACAGGACGCATACTTATACATCAGACAAGCCTGTATTAGTGATGACACGACCGCGTCATTGCCCAAACAGAAAGGCGGATGTGAGAAGCCAGACACTTCGAAGGTCGATGGTCTTTCGCGCCATCAATTTCAGCATATGGCAACCCTTGAGGCGATTACATATAAATTCCTCACTCGATGCTCCAACTCTCGAACGATTGTTGCAGATCCCTTGCGACGCCAGGTCGGATGAAGATCCATTCTCTGTTAGTGAGTACCACCACGCTTCTTCTCTAACGCGATGTGTTGCTAACCCGCCGGTCGCACAACAGCCATTTCACAGGAAGACTTCTTAACGCTACTTCAAACACATCCGCTACGAAACGCGAAAGCATGTGCTGGCTATCTGAAAGACAGAATACGTGCGGCTCTGCACCGATCACAAATTTACCCTCAGGATGAACGCTTGGAGGAATACCAGCATTTCTTCAAGACCGTCTTCTTCCCACGATTATTGGTCGTAATTGAACGCATAGCTGCCGCCAAAGACGGTGCGCTCCCAGTACTCGATCTTTGCGTATATGTCAAGCTTGACAGTTTGCACGGATACTTTCCATTCCTCTGTAACGAGGACCATCAACACGCAAATCGTCGGATCGATATCATCTTGGAAAGCACTCTAAAATCATTACAAAAATATCGCATAGTTAAGAGCAAACGTGACGTTGATGCACAAGCACGACAGCCAGATGCGGCTTACCTTTGTCAGTCCATTCGTCGCTTCTATACCCATTACGACTTTTGCGACCACGAGTTTACGTCCGATCCATACCCTCGAATAAAGCGAGGATGTGTACGTGTGAACACTGCAGTGGCCCTCGATCTTCTACAGAGGCATGCCTTCACTGAGACTAAGCTCAGCGTGTACTGAGTTGTGGGTAAGAAACTTCCAAGGGAGCTGGCTGATATGGTCTTGAGATATGTGCTGCATAGTCAAGGTCTACCAGAAGAGCCTGGAATCTTTGATCGATCTGGGAAAGCAGTTATTGAATGCGGAGAAGCATCTATAGGAATCTCACGAACTGGGATCCTCTCATGCGGACATTGACGTAGCCGTCACCTAGTTGACATGGCAAGCTGTAACCACTCCCCGTCCGATCAAGAATCGAAGAATCGTGCGCAGGATATGATGGAGATGTGGGCTGTGCCGGCGCCGTCAAAAGTAGTATTGAACGTGGCTAGGCTCGAATTACCTGGTCATGTCAGGCATGAGTTGCAGAGTCCAGATGTGGTGGTGTTGTGTGAGAGCAAGCGAGAGTTTCCGATCTTGAAGATAGATACGTGACTAGAGGAGACTAAGAAGTTTGAAGGCAATTGGATTTGAGGGCGAGTTGTTCAAAGGTCTCGCGACTAGGATGATACTGAAGGGATTGATCACTTTGGCGTTCATTGGCCATTATTCACCATCGTTTCGTTAGAAGAACATAAGAGCATTGTCATAGATGGAAAAGCATCAATAGTAATCGACGCGCATCAATTCGAGGCAAAGACAGAGACAACATGAGAAGGAGCGCTGATGTCATACCCCGTGTTCACGCGTTAAGCGACCACGCGTTATAAACGATCTCCTGCAAAACCAACTGCAAAACTAACTGCAAATTTTGGCCATCATAATTCTCGTCGCATCGCCATTCAGATGGTTCATCGACAAGAGGTGGAATAAAGATGAGAAACTCTCGCGATCCACATCGGTAGCCGCGCTTCATCATGACATCAAGAACGAGACTAGTGTGGGTACCTGCATGTGATGATGGCATATGGCCTATGCTACCACCAGCTACAAAACACCCCCTCATCTCATACCCCACCTGCATTCTCATATATTCATCTTCCAACTGAAACAATCTACAACTTAAAAATTTCGTAACTTAAAAGCTTCAAGCTTCTTAGTGCTTTCCAAACCAACCTACAATACTTATCAAGATGCCTCGCATGGTCGCACCCCCTCCCTCTGGAGAGTTCCAGATCGTTCTCAGCAGGCCATTCTCCGGTGAGTTCTTCGAGTCTGCTATGTAGAGTCTCTCACTGACGTGATATATAGGCGCACCGACGCACATGATCGAGGTCATCGGCGAGCCCAACCGCTCAGCCAGCATCCGCATGTCCAACTACAACGGCGGCGCCAAGTCATCAGAGAAGAAGGGCGATGTACCACAGTACGTCTCTCATAACCTATCCCACTCCAGGCTTCCGTTGCTAACACCCCTGGCAGAGACGACGTCAAGGAGCTCATGTCTCTCATCTCCACACTCCGCGGCTTCCCTTCGCACCCAAGTAAGGACATCTACGGCCTAGACACCAAGGTTGACTTCAACACAATGGAGATTCAGTGGAGCAACCAGGACGACGATGCCGCCATGGATGGTGGAGATCTTGCAGGAGAGCAGAAGGATGACTTCAAGAGGATCGCGGATAGCATTGAGGCGTTGGCGAGGCAGTTTGCCAAGCAGGACTCTGCTGTATAAACGACAAATGCAGAGTCTTAAGTGATGCCTGTACACAGATGTGATGTCATGACCAACAAATGAATGAAATAAATTTACCTTCGTCGCGCTGTTCGTCTTCATGCAACTTGTGAATCTTCCCATGGACGGTTCCCTGGGCTTGACAGTAAAAGGTTCGTTGGATCATGCTTAGAAGCCTAATTCCCTGATAATAAAACTAACGCTATGAGAGTGCTGTTCGAGAGCAAAATTGATGAACATCGAATCATATCCACATCTAATCATGTATCCATTCCCATATAAACACTTCTAGATCTTGTACACGATACCTCCAGAGTACATGATCTTATTTCTCTCGCTAAGCGCTTCAAGTGCTTTCTCAGCTTCGTCTTCCTCAAAGGCTTCGCGTCCACTACCGCCACCGAGTCGTGCGTTTACAGCAGCGACGAGCGGCTCCACATCTGCAGCATCGTTCGCAAACAGTGGACCATCGATGAGCTGACCAAGCGCTGTTTGGAACACCTGCAAACGTGCCGGCGTAATGCCCTGCGATTCCTGCGATTCGGTTTGTGTCGCGGGTAGTTGGGACTCGGGGTGTGAAGAGGCGGCGCTGACTTGTGATGATGCGCCAGCGCGGGAAGATTGTGTACGGTTTGCTGTGCGTTGGGTCTTCGGGGTAACATTGTAGAGATCCTCGTTCTCATCGTCTTCTCCGCCGTCTTCTTCGGCTGTAGGGGTGCGTATGGTGCCTGTACGTGTGCTGCGAGTTGATGGTGCGCCGGTGCGGCGAGATTGTGTGGCTTCCTGCTCGTCACCGTCTTCGTCATCATCACCAGATGACTCTCCGTCTGTGGACATGGCGTCTGGGTCACGGACTGTCCGTCTTCGCTTGCGGCGGTCGTCCTCAACAACTTCTTTGAATAACGCGAAACGGAGAATTTGCTCCGCGATTTCTGCATCCTTCTGCTCTACACGCTTTGATAGACGAGCTTTCGCGTGTGCGGTGGAGAGACGGATGAGTGTTTCGAGAGTACGCGCGGTGATGGGGGAAGTACGACGGGTACCAGCATCTAGCTCGTCGTTCCGCAGTGCAGAATAAGTTGCTACAATGTGATCTGCGGCGCCCTTGGTGAGGATAGGCTTCTCGCGTTTAGCGTATTGGATGTACTTCTTGATAAAGGGTATGCTGAGAACCTCAGTCCTTCTGTTTGCGCCACGTCCGACTGTGATTGTGACACCGGAGTGCAACATGGGATTGAACTTCTCGTAAACTTCCGTTGGCCGGTTGGCATCAGCGTCAGTATCTAGGCCAACACCCAAGAGCTGAGCGCCTTCCTCGCGGACTGGCGCGCCCTCCTCAGTGCCAGGCTGGCGGTATCGGTGCATGCGGAGGACGTGCTCGGAAATCTGCCTGTCGCGGGCATCCTCGATGTCGTCTGTGACAACGAAAAGCAAATCGAAACGCGATAGAAGAGAGTCTGGAAGAGCAATGTTGCGATGTGGGTCTTTGTGGATATCGTACTGACCGAAGATGGGGTTGGCAGCTGCGATGACACTGCAACGAGCGTTGAGCGAGGTGTGGATACCAGCTTTGGCGATGGTGACGGTTTGTTGTTCCATGACCTCGTGAATAGCCACACGGTCCACATCAGACATCTTGTCAAACTCATCAATACAGACAACGCCACGATCAGCAAGAACCATAGCACCAGCCTCAAGACGACGCTCGCCTGTCTCCTTGTCTGACGTGACAGCCGCAGTCAGACCAACGCCAGATGAACCACGACCTGTTGTTGCGATCGCAAGTGGAGCGGTGTTCAGCACGAAACGCAAAAGCTGCGATTTGGCAGTCGAGGGATCACCGACCATGAGGATGTTAATGTCTCCTCTGAGATGGGTGCCGTTCTCGAGGTTCTTCTCCTGACCTCCGAGGAGAAGCAGCAGAATCGCCTTCTTGATATAGTCGTGTCCGTAGATAGACGGGGCGAGCGACTGAGACAACAGCTCGAAGACGCGCCTGTTCTTTGAGATCTTGTTGATGTTGCGGATGTCGGTGTCGGTAATTGAAACCTGGGCGATACCACCGCCGGATTTGGAAGAGAGGAGAATAACGTTGTTGGCTAGGATCAATGTACGGAAGGTCGAGCTGCCGGCGCCAGCATTGCGGTTACCGAGTGAGCGGTAGATTCCTACGAGCTGAATGCGGTCGCCGGGCTTGACGCGATCGACCAGATCGTCGTCCAAGATGACATCGACGGAGCGCGGTAGCTGTCCAGCAGGGGCACGCTCAGGCATCTCCTGAATAGAGATGGTCTGGTGGTCGCGGTAGATACAGTAGCCGTACTCTGTGACGAGTGGGTTCCCTTCACCGTCGTCCGTCGGGTAGACGCTGGTGCTCGCAGCACCCGTAGTCATGGTCTGGTCCCTGTACTCGCGCGAATGGAACTTTTGCTTGTTCTCGTTGTAGTGCACGCTCTTGACGACCTTGGGTCGCACGAGCGAGGTCTTGGTGACGATTCCTTCAAGCGACACCATGTGGTTCAGCTGGTTTGAGCCCAACGTACGCGGGTTACATGAGTACTCGCCGAAGCTGCCAATGTATGCGCAATAGTATACCACATCGTCACTTGTCTCGGACTTTGGTCGGTCGGTGAAGGTGCGTACGACGTCTTTGAGCGCCCGGTCGAAGGCTTCTGTGAATTCGAAGGGAGAGTTGAGGAGGCCATCGGCAAGCTCCCGGTTGTGTGAGCGGATCTCGTCTATGCTGACCTATACACAATAAGTATGCGCATCATCCTCTGGCCTATTCCACCTACTGTGAGTCTCCGCAACCCTCGATTGAGCATCACCAGTATGTCTGGTCGGTAGCTGAAGCGGTCAGTAGGCGCTCTATCAAGCAGGTGATTTCAGCATACCTTCGCCTAGAGACATCGTCTGCATGATGGTTAGTGTTAATACTGTCTTGAAGGTCCGCCTCAAATACCTGGGTCGAGAAACTCTTGCGCAAGTCGCACGCGTCTGCGCACCTCCTCGTCCCTGATCACCTCGGCCATGCTGTATTATGTAACCTCTGGATTAGAAACAGATTAATCACTGCAAAAAGTAACTCGATACAGCGTAAGCGAGGGTATTCGAAGCGGGTATCAGAACGGGTGTATTGTTTGTGCTGTTGCCGTGGTAAACGCTTCGAGGGGCACCAGTTTCGCGACATCAATTCGCGTTGACGCTAGTCTCTTTCCGTCACGCGTCCCGCCCATTAACCATCCTCTTTCGGCCTGACAGCAATCAGCCATATCTAGAGCTGTGGTGCTTCTGACTCTCGTTTGTTCTGTTTGTACTTCATCCACGTCTGTATCTATTCGTCTGTTTGAACTAAGCACATTCCGCTATCTTTTGCAAACAGCCCTGCCAATCTCCCCACGATGAGAAGATACGATGGTAATAACAGCTTCACAGCTTCGCCTTTGCAGACTCTCATAAACACTTCTCACGGCCCATATTAGCCCTTACCTTGTACCTCTATCTTGACGCATCGCAAATACAGCATGTGGAGCGCTTGCAGAAGGGTCTTAGCCGGAAATGTCCATCTCCATGTCGGTCGACGTCACCTAAACATGTTTCCGACCGAGCTACTATCGCCTGTCTGACATACTTTGTCAATATGGTATGTGGCAGATCTAGAGCGACTCGCCAATCCGTAGTCACTGCCGGATCACGTCCGCTTAACACCGTGAGCTCCCTTCAACGGACCCTGACGTAATGACAATGGCCGAGCTTGACGTCGTTGATCTCCAAGTATATGAGCAGCAGCTAGAACGTTTAAAAGAAGTCCATCGCAGCGTTTACACCTCATTTTTCATCCCTCCCCGCATCTCATCCTAGTAATACCAAAATGGCACCCCGTGTTTTCCTTATTACCGGATGCTCTACTGGCTTTGGCGAAGAATTCGTCAAGGTTGTTTTGCAGAAAGGCGACTACGTCGTCGCAACTGCACGCAACTCTTCCAAGATATCCTTCGATGGTGCCAATGATTCCAACAGTCTGCTCGTGGATCTTGATGTAACGAAGAGAGAATCTATCGACAAGGCCTTTGATGCGGCTATCAAAAAATTCGGGAAAGTTGATGTGGTTTGCAACAATGCCGGGTACGGTCTCAACGGACCTTTCGAGACGTTGTCGGAAAACCAGATCAGACAGCAAATGGAGATCAACTTCTTCGGTCTAATCGATGTGACAAGGAAGGCCATGGAGACTATGCGCGACTTGAAGACCGGAGGTGTAATTCAGCAGGTAACCTCTATTGGCGGTCAGATTGGTAAGTCAGATGTCTCCTCGGTACTTGTAATAGCAGCTGATGGATGCTAGGTGTCCCTAACTTCTCTATCTACTGCGCCAGCAAATGGGCAGTCGAAGGATTCACAGAGGCCATCTCCAAGGAAGTGAAGCCTGAATGGGGGATCAAGTTCACTTGCATTGAACCCGGTGGCTTCCGCACCGACTGGTCAGGTCGCAGTATGGACTTTGGCGAGATATTGAACCCGGCATACGCAGACGTCGATCCAAAGAAGCAGGCTCAAGGGCGCCATGGCTCACAAGCAGGAGGTACATCATGGTGGATTCGCTGTATATATCGAACGGATGCTGACTGATTTCTCACAGATCCCGCTAAGGGCGCCAAGGTCTTCTACGACTTAGCAGTCATGGATGATCCGCCTATGCGATGCGTAGTTGGCACCGACGCGTATAGCCTCATCAACAAGAAGCTGGATACATACAACGACAGCGTCAAGAAATTTGAGAAATGGAGTAACAGCACCGACGTCGAAGGCTACAAAGCACCCAACTAGCTGTTTGCAAGCAACAGCCAGGATGGAAGAAAAAAAACCGAAAAAGCAGGTAGATGAACGTGTAGTTCTTGCGCGGAGCCTTTACACGACCTACAACCAATAATGAGATCCATCACAATCAACTTCAGCGTGCTTGCAGGTTCCCGTGCTGGCCTTCAGTTTCTTTTACCGACACTACAGCAACAACCGCCAGACTTCCATTGTCGCTAACGTACTGATAAGTACAGCTTTGTACCAGTGGGGGGCATGGTGTTAGGCATCGACTGTTGAATGCAGAGTGGCAGACAGCGGCTACAATATGGCCTACTGTCACACAGCTGCGATGTTGTGGCTGTTGCCACGTTGCGCCCGATCAGAAGGTTCTACTCAGTTCCGGTATGTGTCGACGCGACCACATAGCAAACTAACGAAGATCAGCGGTGTCATCATTGAGTACTTGGAACCTCCATGTGGCGCCGCCAGCATCGCGGAGTAGATGAAACATTGGCGTTCGTTTGGCTGCAACAATGGCCATTGGATCTGGTCGCGTAACGTTCCACTCAAGCCCCGGTACCATAAAGAGTAACGACTCGAGAATAGTTCGAATACCGTGTACCCAATACCGAAGATCCAGACAAAATTCGATCACTGACATCACTAGTACTACTCGAACGGCACATTCGCCAACGGTGCTGCAGAGTCGTTGTAGCGTCGGCACTTCACGCATCCGACTATGTATACAACCTACGAATATCGCGTTCTTAGAGCTAATAGGTCTGCTTTATTCTAACGGGCGTAAGCTCGGCGATGTCACACGACTCTCTTCATGAGCTGGATCTCGGACGGGGTACTGTTATCAGCCTAGCTTCTACTTGCTGCCACTCCACTCACCGCTGTATATACGAGGCTGAGATTCGGGCGCTTGAGTAGAGCATCTGACTCTCTCTTAACCCTTGGGGTTACGTCGCATGATGGAGTTATGAGCTTTCCACAGAATAAAAGGCGGACATAGGGGCTTATACGAGAGTACTCCTGGCCAATCCCCGCACACCTTGTACAAATCTTACTGCTACCCTAGTCACGAGAACTCCAATTCTTACAGTGAATCCTACCGCTGGTCATAGGCCTTGGTGTTGGTCGTGTATTGTGGATGCAAACGAATGCTGCCGTCGACTCCAAGTGACAGTTCGCGACTCCTGACGTATTTCATCTTCTACTTGTATAAGTTTTTCGATCGATTCTGTACCTTTCCCATACACTCATCTAATCTCATGCTCCTTGCTACTACTCACTCTCTAATCATGAAGGGCTTTGGCACCACCATGCAAGACTCGGGCCCAGCAAGGCTCACCACTGCATTACTTACTGCGCTACTCATCACCAGCGCTACTTTTCTCCCATTTCTAGCTCAGAACACTGCCGCAAACCCAGTTCCGGCGCCACGACCGCTGCCTCACGCAGAACCAAATCCAGACCCGCAAGCTGGTGGCCCAGCCGAAGATGGTTTGTTTCCAGATCCGGAACCATGTAGTGGTAATTGCTCATGGATCCACGATCCTAGTATTCTGTATGAAGATGAAAAATACTGGCGTTTCTCGACCAGTGGCAACATCGCCATTGCAACTGCGCCTTCACTGGGAGGCCCTTGGCGCTATCAGGGCGCTTTGTTGCACAACGGTACCAGTATAATGGTTCATCCAGATCAAGATATCTGGGTATGTCTACCCCTTGATAATACTTGACATCGATCTATCAAGCGCCTTCCTGACAGACACGGATAGGCACCTTCGGTGATGAAGCGGGGCGATACCTACTACTGCCACTACTCCGTATCCAGGATCGGCCTTCAGAACTCGTCCATTGGTGTGGCGGCCTCGCTTTCCCTCGAGCCAGGCACTTGGCAAGACCATGGCGATATTGGCCTTCCCCTATCCCATAAGTACAATCTTATCGACCCCTTTGTCTACCAAGAAACGCCCAAGGATCCAATTTACTTCACATTCGGCTCTTTCTGGGACGACATCTTCCAAGTCGAGCTTTTCCCGCACGACGACCTTCTGGCCTTTGGCAGGTGGGCCGATGGGAACAACCGTATCAACAACTTGGTGCACAACAGCTCTATCCCGGCTACTGTTGCTGAAGGCGCTATCATGCATAAAGAAAAGGACTTCTATTATATGTTCTACAGTGTTGGATGGTGCTGCAACAAGCCATCGAATAAAGACGGTCTCGCCGAAGAAGGTCAAGTATACCACGTCGTCGTCTGCCGCTCGGAAGCCCCAACCGGACCTTTCTACGATCAGGAGGGCAAGAGCTGTCTCGAAGAAAACGGTGGTACAACGATCCTCGCCAGTCACGGGGATATTTATGCGCCTGGTGGGCAAGGTGTAATGGTACACCCTGACAATGGGAGGACGGTGATGTATTATCACTATGGTGAGTGGAAGATGGAATGTGATACATCTAGCCCGAGCTGACATCGATGCAGTTCGCCCGAGTGTGGGCTATGAGACCGATCAGTTTTTCTTTGGATACAATTACCTCGACTGGCAAGACGGCTGGCCGGTTGTGGTTGTTGCTTGATTGACCAGTGTGTCTCAACAACTTTCGCCATCTATCCTCGTTTACTGCATGCAATACACCGGCTGACATGTATCTTAATACTGCTTATTGCAAGCTTGCGTTCTTATATCTGCACTTTGGTTTCGTTCCTTGGGATGACACTCCCATAGTTCACGCGTTGCGAACTGACGACTAAGATTGTCCTGAAAGCAACGTCTGTCAGGCTTTGTTATGGATTTGTGTCGGTGGAACATCAAGTTACGACTATAGCTCTAGTCATGACTCTTTATCATTGATTTGTATTATACTCGGGTTCATGACTTGTGGGCAGCATCTAGTGGATCTTTGTTGTAGTTATGAAACATACGTCTTGTTTAGTAGCCCCATAACCAACCCTGAGGTGTCGTCAGAAGTGATGTCTCTGCGTATGCCTGCAGAAACCACAGTACCATAACAAATGATCGAAAAGCTGCACATACAGTCGCTCCAAACTTAGCACACGAGTATATCGACCGGACCACACAAGCAGCAGCTTTTAATCACATCTTGTCAAAGCTTGCAGTCCAAAACAAACTTTTCATCCAGATACGCGCCGCATTTTCGGCCTTTTCGCCAATAACGCTGCACGTATGCGCTTAGTCTCGGAAGGTGGCTGGTGGCAGGAAGCAACCGGGAGGAAATCATAATCTCAATGGTTGTGAAGCGAATTATGAACTTGACTTTAGTATTTGCTTATTATATCATGAGCTTCTTGCAAAGCCCCTCATATGTCTGACTGCACGTGTCGGGTTGGTCTCGGAATCTCACGATCCGAAGATTGTAGCCTCAGCCGCGATGGATGGTTGATCAAGGTGCATGATGGCTATTTCTGAACAAGGCTAGGCACCGGTGACGTCACCAATCGGTCCCTCCGGCTGAAATCACACCATGCCTATTTACCTGCCAAGTACTCCACAGTGAATACAGGTTATTCCATTCCTGCGGGTCAGTACAAGACCAGTGCACGCGACTGATCGCCTCTCCGTCGTCTACGCCTCACTCCTCAGCCTCTTCATCTCCAGCCTCATCACCACCATTGTTACCCCGCGCGATTGCTGATCGCCGCGCACGGTCGTCAACATGCCCTCTCAAGAGAAGGGCCTTAAGAAGCTCTTTCACCCCTTCAACCATCGCGCCTCTGAGAAGATTGAGGAGATTGAGCAAAAGCTTGAACACACCAAATTGCGAGGCGCGCATATCAAGGCCGTGCATGTGAAGCATAAAATTGGCAAGTTTACCAACCTCTTCAACGCCAACCATCGCCATGACGAGGAGCATGAGCAGCAAACGGATGCGAAGAGGAGCAAGATTGCAGAGAGTCACAGGTTCCAGAGTTTTGCGCCAGAGCGAGATGGTAATTTGGTGAAGTGGTACGTAGATGGAAGGGACTACTTCTGGGCCGTTGCCGAGGCATTGGAGCAAGCCAAAGAGACCATCTACATTGCAGATTGGTGGCTCAGCCCTGAGCTCTTCCTGAAGCGACCGCCTTACTATAATCAGCAATTTCGGTTGGATCAAGTGCTCAAGCGACGTGCCGCGGCCGGTGTGAAGATCTATATTTCTGTGTACAAAGAGGTAAGGCCACCAACCAGCGGTAAATCTTCAACAGCTCATATATGGATAGGTTTCTGCCGCTCTCACATGCAATAGCCAACATACCAAGAAGGCACTCATGGGCCTGTTCAAAGAGGGCGAGCCTGGATACGGGAATATCAAAGTGATGAGACATCCCGATCACAACGTCTTCGAAAACGCCTCAGACATGACATTCTACTGGGCCCATCACGAGAAGTTCATCGTCATCGACTATGCTATGGCCTTCATTGGTGGACTTGACTTGTGCTATGGTCGATGGGACGAGAAACAGCATCCGCTTTCCGATGCGCACCCATCGGGTGTTCAGAATCAGATCTTCCCTGGGCAGGACTACAACAACAACCGTATCATGGATTTTGAGAGTGTTCAAGACTGGAAATCCAACAAGCTGAATAAGCTCGAGTACGGTCGCATGCCATGGCACGATGTCGCTATGGGCGTCATTGGTCCGGCCGTGTACGACATCGCTGAACATTTCGTCCTGCGATGGAACTTTGTAAAGCGTGAAAAGTACAAGCGTGACGAGCGATATGACTGGCTTACTATGGAGGGCCGAGAGGGCGCCGACGAAGATCTGGTCGGAGTGCAGAGGCCCAAATTCCCAGTTGGTGAATATGTGCACCATCCCATAACACAGCTAAACAGCAAGAACCTCGACAACCGTGGCACCGTACATGCACAATTAGTCAGGAGTAGCGGAGACTGGTCTATGGGAATCGACCCTCATGAGCAGAGTATCCAAAATGCATACTGCGAGCTCATCCGCAACGCGCAACACTATGTATACATCGAGAATCAGTTTTTCATCACAGCAACAGGCAAGAACGATCAAAATCCTGTTCACAACCAAATTGGGGCTGCGATGGTCGATGCTGTTGTGTCAGCAGCCAAGGAGCAACGCAACTTCAAGTTGATCATTGTCATCCCGGCTATCCCCGGATTCGCGGGAGATTTGCGAGATCAGGCTGCTGCTGGAACACGCGCCATCATGGACTATCAATTCAAGAGCATTTGCAGAGGAGACGAGAGTATCTTCGGAAAGGTTAAAGCGGCTGGTGTCGACCCCGAAAAGTACATTTTCTTCTTCAATCTCCGCTCGTACGACCGTATCAATGTCACTCCCACACTTAAAGAGCGCGAGAAGAAGTCTGGTATGACGTACATGGATCTTGAGGCAGCTGAGATCGACGAGCTAGAGGCATCACCGGAAGAAGGTGGAGAGGAGGCACGGCGCAAAGCTGCCGAGATGAGGAAGGCGTACATGGATGAGGAGGAAGACGTAGGCAAAGGTGATCAGGGCGGTGTCATCGACCCAGACTCGATTGCCGACGACGCCATGCTTACGGAAAAGAAGCCTAGTGAAGAAAAGTGGGAAGGTGAAGAGGAAGAGGAGAAAGAGCACTTCTTCCAAGAAGAGCTCTATATCCACGCCAAGATCTGCATCATTGACGACAGGACCGTTATCTGCGGTTCCTCCAACATCAACGATCGTTCCCAGTTAGGCTTCCACGACTCTGAACTCTCCATCGTCTTGCAGGACACAGCCGAGATTGATACGGAAATGGACGGCAAGCCCTACAAAGCCGCACGTCTCGCCCACGAACTCCGCAGCAGCCTGTGGCGCGAACATCTCGGCCTCCTCCCGCCTCAACCCCTCAACGCGGCCGACGACCCCAACGCGCAACCACCTGGCGAAGACTCGCCTAACGACCCCATGCCCGGCCCCGAAGCTGACTTCGTCTCTGACCCCCTGTCGTCCAAACTCTGGGACGAATGGACGGAGCGCGCGACTACCAACACCGAGGTCTTTAGGTCTCTGTTCCACGCCGATCCCGACGACAATATCCTCACGTTTGAAGATTATGATAAATTCACGCCGAACCCTTCAGGCGACAAAGAACACAAGCAGGGTCATTTATACGATATGGTCAGGCCTGTTAAGGAGATCAGAGCAGAGTTAGATCGCGTGAAGGGGCATCTAGTGTGGATGCAGCTGAAGTTCCTGGAGAACGCTGATATGGCTGAACGGGGACTGCAGGTAAACTCTTTTACGGAGAGTGTGTATACATGAGGCGGGGTTGGCGGTTGCATGGAAGGGGATGGTACCGGTTATCGGAGGTGGTTGTTTGTTGGCGCTGAGGCGATTGGACTATTCGCATTGGTGTATCGGTTTGGTTGTTGCTTCTTCCTCCATGATTCCCTGCTACGTTTTATTGACGTCGTTACGACCTGAATGTATCTTTTTTATTCTTGTTCTTACAGAGTATTGTCAACGTCGCATGATGGCGAGTGTCGCGCTCCAGAGTGGTATTATCGACATGCTCTACCATTTTTACTGCCTCTGACATGCCACGTGACAATACTGAAGAAGGCAACTACACGATTAGAAATACAGGAGTAATGGAAAGTATGCAGTTTGGTACTCAGACTATCGTCGAGGTTGTCACGCCGGTTCGTAAGAGGACAAATTGTGCGTTAAGTAGGTAAAGACCACCAACCGCCAGTATATCATGTTGAACTCGCACAAAGAAATCTTGCGTATTCCTCAATTCTTTTGTTTTTCGCAAGATTGTATCGCCAGCAACATGTTGTAAATCACAGTTCATCTTGGACATCATCACCTCCTCTTTATTCTGCTTCCTTCTCTTGTTCCTCTCCTTCGTCATCCTCCCAAGCTAACTCATCCTCGAAATCCCTATCTTCCTCATCTGTTACAAACAGTGCACTCTCAATCTCTTCCGTCAAGAAGAGTCCGAATGAGTCCTCCGAACGTGCAACAGACGCACGACCCTCAGTCTGTGCGTGGTGCTGCTGTTGTCCTGACACCGGAGAATTATCAAGCTCAAGCGGAAAGTCGAAAGATTCCACCGAACTCGCAACAGATGCTCTTCCCTCTTGCTCTAGTAATTCTTGCATTTCCTGCTCGTGATGTTCTTGCTCTCTGTCTTGTTGCTGGTGTAGCTGCGGCCTCACTACCGGTAGATCGTCAAAATCTAGCGAAAAGTCGAATTTATCACCGGTTGATGGAGGCGGTACGGGTTGCTGATCAGCTCTTTGCAGACGTCGTCGAGTGGTGGGTTGACGTGTTGTTGATTCGTCATCGAACTCCAGAGGAAAGTCGAACTTATCCAGCACTGGTGGCCTTGACCGTACATTCTGCTCACCGGCCCTTGGATGGCCTCGTCTGATGACTGGTGGACGATCTATGGATCTGTCGTCTGGCTGCGGCCCGTTAGCTAATTTGCGGTTACCAATAGCAGCAGGATCAGATGGACGTCTCAGTGCGGGAGTTGATGTCGTCGGTGTGGCGATCTCTCTAGTGACAAATGCAGACAACTGCGGTCTGAAACCTGGAAACGAAGCCCTAAAGCGCTGGGGATGTGACTGTGGTCTAGGTAGGCCAGGGGCCAGAGGGATGAAGATATAAGGACCAGAGAAATAAGTAGTCGTCCCATAGCGAGTGCTAGATAGCGGTGTACAGAGCGAGTAGGCCGTCGTCGAGTCGGTGTTTCGTCGCTGTGTGGCTGGGCGACGGACGGCAGAAGGAGGCTGCAGAGGAGCTGTTGGTGGTACGGGAGTGGGCGCAGGACCAGAAACGTCCGGTACTGGATGTACTGTCTGGTATCCTGGTACGAGTATGCCTTGCTCGTCCACCATTGGTAGTGGCGGCTGTATCCATGGAGACTCGGGCGACGGGACGACTGGGGGTGTCGTTGACTCCCTGAGCCTGTACCCATCTCTGGAGTCACTCCTCGATCGAAGCCTTACCATAAAATGTGCGTACAAGACCAACTCCCCGCCACTCTCATACTCTCCATTATCCCAATCATCCTCTTTCAGCACCTCCTCGCCTTCACAAGGCGCATTCCGTCGAAAATGGATATGTACGCTGAAGCGTTCTGGATTGATGTTGAAGTCACTGAAGCAGCGGGAAACGAGGTTGTCGTAGGCGCCTAGCTCCGAGGAAGGACGGCGGAGGTAGCGTATATTGTCGGCGTAGTTGCGAAGGTCTATCATGGTAGGAACGGAGACGTACATGTTCAATTGAACTGGATAATATATACTTGGTTCTTTGGGAAGTGTGGTAGGTATATGTGAAGCTAATGATAGAGGGAAGGACATGGCAGAGAATTAGAACTGCCTTATAGTCGGATAGGAACTGTGTTTGTGACTATCGCGTATGCAAGGACCACACTAACGAAAACAGATCGAGGGGTAGATAACATCAATTAGTGAAAGGAGAAAGGCGTGACTTGAGCATGTGGGGTAGATACCATGAAAAACAAACTTTTTGACGTGCCGACGCTGATGTACTCGCAAGCTACTTGCATTCAACGTGAAACACCGTCTTCAGCGACATCCGTAGAGCCCAAGACGAAACCCGCCTCCTCCTTGGTGTCTGTTATCCCATAAGCTCCCATCGTTCTTTCTCCCCGTCGTCTTCCATATGACTACTTGATTCAAAATCATGCATCACCGTCCGCTTCCCAATCTCTTCCATCTTAATCTTGATTTTCACTCGGACAACCTCAGCAATCTTCCAAGGTGGCAATCCCAGAAGCGACCTCGAGAAATCCACGTCCTTTAACGGAAATTGTACTTCGCCATACGTTCCCGCATGCTTAGCGAGTTGTGCAGGAGCGTACGCGATGACGACGTTGTTCGTGTTCAGCATTGTGCGGACCTCAGGGCGTATATGTGGTATGCGGCAGCAATGCGCTTTTGCGCGGCCGATGGCGATACCCTCACTGCGCAGACGCCGATGCTGCGAGTCGTTTGTGGTAATGATTGGTAGATCGGGAGCTAGCGGTTCAGGGGTGTTCAATAAGGTCAGACTTATGGTGGAAAGACGGGAACGAGGTGAGGTGTCCCTCTAATGAGAGGCATTTCGCTCTTCGATCATGGCTTTGATGGCCTGCGATCTATTCTCACCAATTGAATACTTTTTCCAACTCGGGTGTGGATTCAACATCTGCCATGACGATCTGGGCGTCACCCTTGGTCAGATTGCGTTTGAAATATTTGCCAGGGATGTATGCTATTAGAGCACCGGCTTTGCTAATCATGGCACGAACAACAGGACATATACTGGGGTCGACACAGCATTTTCGGAGGGCGCATCCGATGACGACGCCGGTTTCAAGGAGCCGTGTACTGTTTGAATCTTCAACAGTGATTACCTCAAGGATAGCAACTGGTAGCGTGTGTACGCCCTTTAAGGTACAGCTCTGTTTGACAATCAGTTCAACGATAAGAGCCTGTTGTGGAAGCTCTTCGGGAAGGGGGAGATACGGATTTCGGTGCACTTTTTCAAAGTTGTCATCAACGCCCCTTGAGAACTTTCTCTGTGCTGCGCCAGTCAAGCTTAGCATCATCTGAAAGTTGGTATTCAAGACAACGTACCCAGTAGTTGCAAGCTCGACGTGCAGCTACACGATAGCTAGTCTCTCGACCGTTGAATTCGCGTACGAGTATCATTGGAAAGGAATTCATTCTGTCGTGACAAGTGCGGAGATGCTAGAAGGGTTCTGATAAACATCTGACGGTCCAAGCCTTCATGTAGATGTGTGTGGTGCGGCGGCAACATTGCGCTGAGACAGAGGGCACATGGCAGCGGGGCACTTGTCGACATGTGATATAAATGTGGTGTCGTTTATCGCAGAAGAGTCTGTCAATGGGTATCTCAAGAAATGTGCAAACGCTTCACGAAGATGTGCTCCAGCCCAGCATGAGGTGTGACTAGACACCAATCATGTCGTCATTCCCGTTGACCTTTTGGCCGTTCTGTTTCCCTCTTCCCTTTGTCTTCTTATTGTTGCTATCAACAGCAGCGGTACTAATAGCTCTCTTCCTGCGCCCCGCTTGGGCACTCGCCGTAGGTGACAGTGTCTCTTCCCTAGAAGCTTTGGCCATGTCCTCGGGAAGGAACTTTCCGCTGCCAGCAGCCTCTCTGACCAAAGATGTATAGAGCTCTTGAACAGCAAGCTCACTTGCACTTGCGTCTTGTGATGTACCGCCTTCGTCGGAAAAGGATGTATCTGCAAGGGGGTCGGGTGCGACGAGTTTGAGGCGTTCAGTGCCCAGGTGGAAGCTGTTGCATGATATTCGGGATATGTGGACTTTGGGGTGCGAAATATCGAGAGTGAGGTGTTGTTTAAGGTAGGCGGATAAAGCAGCTGTGAAGGGCTTGTTGTAGGTATCTTTAAGCAGCCTGCCTCGGTCGACAAAACCGGATATGTCGGCACCTGCAATAGTGATCTCTATGTGTTTGAGGAGCGTTGTGGTGTTGGTGAATGCCAACTGAATATGCAGCTGTCTTATGATGTTTTGTATGGATTGAGTCGAATGCCTCGCTGTGAGGTGCTTGAAGTATGTCTCGAGACCCGAAGTGATGACTGGCGGAGGCAGCCTCAAGGGTGCAACATGGGCATCGAAGGCCGATCGGAGGTAGTTCAAGAAGATGTCACGTACTGGAGCGGGCATCTTCACAAGCAACAATGGTAGGGATGTGAAACCCTTCGGAGAAGAGGTGACGCCCGGGTCTCGTAGCAGGAGCGCATTGTATGTCTGCTTCTCGTACTCGAGGCTCACTTCTAGTCCACGGGCGCGGTTTGGAGTGAGTTGGGAGATGGAGGATAATTGTGACGCCTCGGGGTCCATGGACTGGCGATGTCGGTCAATCCAGGCATCCTCATCTCCGATCAGCTCCCAGTTGCACTCCTCCAGCGGCCCCAATTTCGCGGTATCCTCAGCGCCGGGAAAGTCGACCTGTACGCCTCGCACATTGTCGCCCTTGAGTTGTTCTTTTAGTCTCTTGGCATGGATTCGAAGTGAGGCTTCTAGCAGGAGGGGCGTGTCGTGGCAGTGGAGCGGGGATAGGCGGTACAGGTTGTACGTCCTGTTGTAGAGTGGGTAGGGGGGAATTTGGGCCATGATGTGTCAGCTACCTCATCGTCGAGGTTTTGACGCGTGCGAGTCGATGGAATTAGTCGCGCATGCTTGGATGGGCGTTGGAATGGGATGGCGCCCTCTAGACGCGTCGGCGGTGACTGCGACGTGTCCGTGGGCCATGACGCAGCGTGTTGTTGGATGATTTGCCTGTGGTCCGTGCCTTCCGCAACACTTTCTTTAGTGACCCCGCTAAAGCAGGGCTTGTCGAGAAGGTTCTCTTTTCTTCTACGTATTGCCAGCAAGTCATCATAGCAGCGGCTTATTGAAATTTGCGACCCGTGCCTGCCTATCTTTTACACGACTTCACCAAAAATCCACTTTCGCCGCACACACTCCCTTTACTACCAAACACTACCCCAAAACTACCCAACACACATACCCCGCCATCAGAGATAAACATGTCTGTAGTAGGTGTTGATTTGGGAACGCTCAACAGCGTCATTGCTGTTGCGCGGAATCGAGGTGTCGATGTGGTGAGTAGTAGCCTAGTCGCATATCATACACGAAGATACTGACTGTGTGTAGATTGCAAATGAAGTTTCCAACCGCGCGACACCGTAAGCAAACCCCCATCACGCACACACAAAGCAGCAGTCAACTGACAATTTCGCAGATCGCTAGTAGGCTTCGGCCCCAAGAGCAGATACGTTGGCGAGACTGCCAAGAACCAGGAAATCTCCAACCTCAAGAACACCGTCTCCTCCTTCGTCCGCCTCGCCGGCCGCAACCTCACAGATCCCGATGTTCAGGTCGAGCAAAACTTCATATCCGCGCCGCTCATCGATATGGGCGGCCAGGTCGGCGCTGAGGTGCAATACCTGGGTAAGAAGGAGCAGTTCACTGCCACTCAGATCACAGCCATGTTCCTCACCAAGATGCGCGCCACAGCATCTGCCGAACTAAAACTTCCCGTCAACGATGTCGTCCTCAGCTGCCCTGTCTGGTACACAGACGCTCAGCGCCGCGCCATCCTCGACGCCTCCGAGATCGCTGGCCTCAAGTGCCTCCGCCTCATCAACGACAACACCGCAGTCGCCCTCGGCTGGGGAATCACAAAGCTCGACCTCCCAGCGCCCGAGGAGAAGCCACGGAGAGTCGTCTTCGTCAACATCGGTCACAGCAACTACACCGCTACCGTCGTTGAGTTCAAGAAGGGCGAGCTGGCTGTCAAGTCGAGCGCCTGGGACCGACACTACGGTGGACGTTATATCGACCAGGCCCTTGTCGAGCACTTCGCCAAGGAGTTCAAGGAGAAGTACAAGATCGACGTTATGGAGAACGGCAAGGCCCGCCTTCGTTTGGCTGCCGGTGTTGAGAAGCTCAAGAAGGTCCTATCCGCAAACAACCAGGCGCCCATCAACGTCGAGTCCATCATGAACGACGTCGATGTACGCGGTATGCTCAAGCGCGAGGAGCTTGAGGAGCTGATCAAGCCCCTCATCGACCGTGCTACCGCCCCTATCGAGCAGGCCCTGGCTGAGGCTAAGCTCACCACTGCCGACATCGACGCCATCGAAATGGTTGGTGGCTGCACACGTGTGCCCGTCCTCAAGGCCAAGATTCAAGACTACTTCGGCAAGCCCCTCTCCTTCACTCTCAACCAGGACGAGGCTGTCGCTCGTGGATGCGCTTTCTGCTGCGCTATCCTCTCACCAGTATTCCGTGTCCGTGACTTCTCCGTCCACGACATGGTCAACTACCCCGTTGAGTTCACCTGGGAGAAGTCCGAGGATATTCCTGATGAGGACACCAACCTGACCGTCTTCAACAAGGGTAACGTCATGCCATCAACTAAGATTCTGACTTTCTACCGCAAACACCCATTCGACCTCGAGGCTAGGTACGCCAAGCCCGAGCAACTGCCAGGCAAGATGAACCCCTGGATCGGCCGATTCTCCGTCAAGGGTGTCAAGGAGGACCCCAAGGGCGACTTTATGATTTGCAAGCTGAAGGCACGCCTCAACGTGCACGGTGTGCTCAACGTCGAGTCTGGATACTACGTCGAGGAAACTGAGGTCGAGGAGCCAATTCCCGAGTCTCCATCAGCAGAGAAGAAAGAGGGTGATGTACGTTCTTCCGAATTTCCTACTGATCTTAGTAACGGTCGGCAAAGCCCGCCTGAGCCGGCCGCGAAACGACGAAAGCCTAGCGCTGATCCTGTACTTGGGCGTCCCGCTTTTGCCCACGTGACAAATGAGCTAACAGATAATGCGCAGGCAATGGACGTTGACAAGGACGCCGCCAAGGAGCCACCGAAGATGCGCAAGGTCAAGAAGCAGCAGCGCAAGGGTGACTTACCACTATCGGCAGGCACTGCTTCGCTCGACGAGGAGAGCAAGCAGACCTTGGCCGAGAAGGAGAACTCCATGATCATGGAGGACAAGCTCGTCCAAGACACCGAGAACGAGAAGAACAACCTTGAGAGCTTCATTTACGAGCTCAAGGACAAGATTCTTGACGTCTACGCCGAATTCGCCAGCGACGACGAGAAGGCAAGGCTCAACGCTAAGCTCGAGACCATTGAGGTAAGTCTAACCAGCAGCACGCTGTAGGAATGGCGCTAACATCCATACAGGAGTGGTTATATGACGAGGGTGACGACGCGTCAAAGGCACAGTATGTTTCCAAGAAGGAGGACATCCGCTCCATCGCCGGCCCTATCATCCAGCGCTACAACGACAAGATCGAGAGCGAGCGACAAGCGGTCATGGAGAAACAACAGAAGGAGCATGCAGCTAAGCAAGCTGAGCTCGAGCGCGCAAAGCGGGAAGCCGAGTCTAAGAAGCAAGCTGAGGCGCCGCCGGCGGAAGAGCCAAAAGACGCGGAGATGACAGACGCTGAGGCACAAAAGCCTGACGGCGTTGAGGAGGCTTCTTAAGCGAGGCATCTACGAAGGAGTAACGGCAAGTGAAAAGCATTTGGTCGGCGTGGTATACAGGGCTACGTTTGGCGCGAGGGAAAGTTTCTTGTTCGACTTTTCTTCCTTTTTTCTGTGATGATCATGGTAATGCGATGCTTATGATAGACTAGTCCATAGACGAACGAACACGATATCCTGTTTTGGAACTATGTTCCATCACTTCCATCTTCTATCCAAAGTACCCCACCAAAGTTTCAGAGGCAAAGATTCATCAAGCTCGAGCGTGAAGACCAGAAGAAGACTTGTACCATTCGGGTTCAGGCGCTCCGCTTCCTATATGATCCACCAATCAGAATTCAACTGTACCGAGCAGGCGAATGAGGAGGCGCGCCCTGTGTACGGGTCGACTGCGCCTTCTTTAAGCTTAGCGAGGTTAGGGCTGATCGTCTCATGTTCGAACTCACTTGTAACGTCCCTGCTGTCTCCTTTTCAAGAAAATGCATCTGAAGCCGCTGAATATCTTTGCGAAATTCACTTAGACGGCACCTCTGTGTTCGTACCCTAGCTGGGGACTGCTCTCGCTATGCACTCGGAAACTGGCCTATCAAATCAACTTAGTACCGCCAAAGCTGCGTGCCAACATAAGAGCACTGCTGTACGGAGAAAATCAAGAACAGGGTGTGGAACCTGCAAGTGAGTAGTTTGTTTTGTTCAAGGGTGTAATAGTCGTCCGATTGGCGGTTTCTTATCCAGCGGTCTGGACTAGCTGCGGTCCTGTGCCTATGATCGCTTACCAACGTTGACTAGAGCCCGAAGAGTCAAGTGCGACGAGGGCAAGCCAGTATGCTCTCGTTGTCGATCTACTGGTCGAATATGCGAGGGCTACGGCTTGTGGGGAGGCGGAGGAAACACCTACGTCGAAAGATATGGCGGAGTATCTACGAACAAAACCCCACTAGTCTCGATCCAGAAGCCTCCAACAAGAGTTCTACCCGTCGAAGAACTCCGACATCTACAGCTATACAGGATGAGAATTGTTCATACAACTTCCGGCTGGTTCGCCTCAAAGTTTTGGAACTCGACTGTGCTGCCGGCAGCCTCGTCTGAACCAGCTGTTCTCCATGCTGTTGTGGCGTTGAGCGCCGCCCACAGATGCAGTTTCAATTCATCACAAGCTCCAGATACCCGAGAAAAATTCATGCTCCAGCAGTATACCAAGGCCATGCGATCACTACAGCCGCTGTTGCAACGTGGAGACAGAGATTCTATCACAATTATATTGGTCACCTGCCAGCTATTTACTTTGCTGGAGTACCTCCGCGGAAAGTATCAGGTTGCTGAAACACATTTGCGAAATGGTCTGAAGCTTCTGAAAAACATGGCTACCGAGAAGGACCGCTCCCACCATGGCGTTCTGGTAATCAGACCGGATTCACACAGGAATACTGTAGATCAAAGTATTGTACGCAGCTTCGCGACCCTACACATGCAGAGCAACCTGTTCGGTCCCAGTTTACAAGATGTCTATCTATTCCTGCAGCCGATGGGAAACACGATGCCATATACTGCTTTTACAAGTGTCGAAGAAGCAAAAGATTCTCTGGATGTGCTGTTGCATCGTATAGTCCTGATCACTCAGCGATATCGAAAGCTAGGACCTGGGACTGAATATGACGTTGTTGCAGTAACATCAGCACAAGATGAGATCATGAACCATCTCGAGACTTGGTACAAAACTTACCTGCGTACGATTTCCAGGATCGAAAAGATAATCTTAGCTGCCGGAAAAGAACCCGATGCGCCGTTAGCATTTGGTGCGAAGAAACCACCGACAAAGCTTCCGACGGCTCGCGAGCCATCGGTTTTCAAATCATTACTTATGCATCACGCTATGGCGAGCATCATGTGCTGCTGTTTGCGTTCCAATTCTGAGCAGCAATACGAAGCGTATACGCACGCCTTCTTAACGATACTTATGCACGCCGTACACATCTTCGAAGAGTATTCATTAGCACGATCCATACCGAATAACGTCAATCTTCACAATTCTATTGGTGAATTCGGCTTCATAGCGCCATTGTATTATACGGCTATCAAGTGTCGACACCATCGCATCCGCCTTCATGCTATTCGACTGCTGCGTGTGGTTCCGCTGAAAGAGGGAACATGGGATTCTTTCACTGCGGCGAACATCGCGGAGACAGTTACGAAGCTTGAAGCGAAGGGTGCTTATAATGAAGAAAGCTTTGATGACGGCTTTTCTCTAAACGAAGTACCGGTCTTGGAAGATGCTTGCGGGTGGTCTCTTTTACCAGAGCATAGCATGTTCCACACTGTGGAAATAACGACACGAGAGGACCTCGCAAACGAAGTCGTTGTCACATGTAGGAGATGGCGTAGGGACGGCACTCCAGAGAATATCACCTTCCATGCCACCAACGAACCCGCGCCCATTCCAGACAACAAAAGACCATCCCATCCATATCCATAATCACAACCATCAGAACCCATACATCCAGAAAGAGCTTATATGTCCTACCCCTCCATCTCCGTCTCCGTCCAAACCCACAACTTCTGCCCTAGCTCCCTATCCTTGGACAACTCACTTCCGTTTCCCAAAACACCTACGGGTTCATAATACCGCCCACTCATCACGCCTTCCGCAGTCGCAGCCCAAATCCCATTCTTGATCCCTTCCTCCACTGAGCCACACCTCTTCGGCGCCACCTCCCTCGCCAGATATTTGATCTGCTCGTCGTCGCCCTCGGCACCTTTGTTGAAGAGCTCAGTCAATACTTCACCTGGGTGGATGGCTATACAGAGGATCTATGGGTAGCGCAGCGCGTATTGGCGCGTGTAGAGAATGTTGGCTAGTTTAGATTGCGTGTATTTCTCCACAGATGAGATTTCAGGTTGAGAGGATCTCAGAGTGGAGAAGGCGATTCCGCCGGTGGGGAGGGTGGCGGTATGGGCGTGACCTTTTAAGCTGAGGGATATGACACGCGGTGGAGAGCTGGCATTTTTCTCTGCCGTGGCAAGGAGAATAGAGTGAGCAATTTAAGGAGGAGGGCGTGACCGAATTGGATTTCGTGGCCTTGGAGGGTTGTGCCGGGGTGGCCACCCATCTATCATGTGGACTGTCAGTGATGCACACATTGATCTCGGTTTTCCTTTCAGGTCTGGAAAACATAATGATGGGTTGAAAACAAGTGAAAAGGGACAGAAGACGTACAATCCCAGCGTTCAATATTGAAACATCTAACCTTCCGCCACCTTTCCTTATCACCTCCTTCGCCGCTCTGGATATCGATTCAAAGTTCGCTAGGTCGCATTCAACAAACCTTATGTCAAATTTTGGTGTCGTTTCTTCTAGTTCAGCGACTGCAGCGTGTCCGCCTACCACGTTACGAGCGGCGATACAAATCTGTGCTGGATTATACTCGGCCAGTTCGAAGGCAGTAGCTACCGATCCCACTGTTTGCTCCGGTGACGAGAACAACCTTGGATATCAGAGAGGGTGTGGTAGACATATTAGTTCAATGATGAGATGAGCTGGGAGTTGGAAAATTATGTGATTAGACGTTGGAAGGGGGATGGTGAGAACGTGTACCATATGATGGAGTATTTTATATATCCCAACTCCATCCATTCTCCTGTTTCCGGATTATGCTCGTAGTTCTAGCTCAGACTTTCAGCGTGGCACAATTGGACAAGCTTTCCTCATTTCCTTGGTCAGGTGCCTAAGAGGAAGGGGGCGCGTATGCAAGGCTGCGGAGGAGCGAGGACGCCGAGACTCCGATGTACGATATCTTCCGAGGAGTAAAGAAAGTATGGGTAGAGTAATGAAGGCCTTATCTTAAAGTGTTGAAGCTTTATGGAACACAACTCATGCCGTTCAAAGGCTTCTCGAGGTCGTCTGTCGAAAAAGATGGACTCTACCCTTGTTCCGATCGTATCCTACTCCAACCCTTCTCCCTTCAAAACTTCAAGCATCCCAGCTATCAACCCACTTTACACAGTCTGCCATCTTGCGTGACAATCCCCTCTCTCTTCCCACCATCCACATCTCTGATCTCCCACTCATCGCTACCCACGCCGCCGATAGCCCAAAAAACACCTTCAGGATCATACTTCCTCTTGACCCTGGCCAACTCCTCATAATTACTTCCAAAGAACGCTTCCTTCCACTCCCAATCCTGTGCATCCCCCTCATTGATATAACTTCCACTCCCTACAGTAATATCTCTCCAAGTCTGCATGTACCCCTGCAACCTCTCATGCCTCTCTGTAAGTGCCTCGTGCGACAAGATAGGGGCTCTCCCATCCCAGTGTGCGTTTGATTCGTAGGCTTGGGCGTGTAAGACTGTGGTTCTGAAAGCAGGGTTTACGGAGTTGTTAGGGTTGCCGGAGATTGAGAGTATAGGTGCGTAGTTCATTCCATGGAAGGTGAGGGAGCCGTTTTCCACAACGTGACGGATGGCGAGGTGTGAGATTTCCAGAGTGGAGTGGCTGGAGAAGGTGGTGCGGGGGAAGAATCGGGACGCTATCAGTGTATGGCCTGTTGTTTCGCCGAGTACCCTCTTGGAAAGAGAAGATGCTTCATCTTTGTTTCCTTCTTCATACGAGAAAGGTGGTGTGAGAGACCGCTTCACTGTCGGCATGCGTTGCTCAATGCCCAGATCGTTGAGGTTTTGAAGTAGCGGGCGTATGAAACGTTGGTATTCGGCTATAGTCTTGTTTGGTACAGAGATACTGACGGTGAAGGTAAGGCCAGCAGTGCTACTGTTTGGGTAAATGAAGCTATAACCCAGACCACCTGCATCGCAAATGGCAACTGAGAATTCCCAGTAGGCTCGCATACCAGCCCAGAAGGTTTCTGTGGAGATTGGAGACGCACTTGATCCGCGGTCTGGTGTAGTGGAGAAACGGATACTGCTCGAGGCTATGGGCGTAGCTGGAAACGCCTTAACGACGACGGACGTTATGATGCCGAAGGTTCCTGGTTCTTAGTCAGTGACTGCATTGTTCTTTCCAATGGGGAGTAGTACCTCCGCCACCTCCACGGAAAGCCCAGAAAAGATCTTCATTCTCTCCTTCATGAGCTTCTACTACCCTGCCGTCGGCTGTGACAGCAGTGATGGCAAGCACTTGATCTGCAGCCAGTCCATAGTAGCTCGTATAAGCGCTATGTCCACCACCTTGGAGAAAACCACCTGCGATACCTACGGTCCCTCCACCTGCAACGATCATGACCATATTTTTCTGCCGCATCAGTGCCGACCCTTCATAAGCCTGTGCACCAGCGGCATAGGCAACCGCTGCTCCTGTGTAAGAACCAGTAGGTGATGTGTAGTCCGGATCATACGTCATGTCTTTGAGGTTGTGTGTCCACACACTAAGAGCGTAACCCCCAATAGATTTTCCATTGAAATCATGGCCCGAGTTCTTGATCACGAGGCGGATGTTGTTGGCCCGGGCAAAATTAACTGCGAGCTGAATTTGTCTTACTGTAGTGGCTCTAACAACATACTCTGGCCAACCGCCTTGAGTACAGTTTGAGATTGGCTGTGAGGTTGGCGTGCACGTATTCCCAGATGCCCATTGTGACATGATACTCGCTGGGTCATCGGAACTGTCGTAGTCAGTACACCAAACATGAAAGCCTCGTTTCGGTACCGGTAGGCTCACTGTAGGTTCATGCCTGCCCAGCTACTCTTCAACTGTTCGCACTTGGCTGCACTGTAACCCTCGCCAGCATAGCAGACGCTGGCGAGTGGCTTAGGCTTCAACAACGTACCACCCAGAGTTGCATTGAAGGAATCCCAAGCATCCTCACTAGGCCACTCAGGGTCTCCTGGGATGATCTTACAGCTATCAGGTGCCGCTATTGCTGATACACTACCAGAGCGCAGTGCGTCGTTGCGCGCCACTTCCTCGTCAGTGAGCTGTTCGCGCTCCCAGTCAAAGTTGAGAGCAGCAGTTGTCGCTGTTAGCAAAAGGCATAAAAGAGCCACATAGAGCATCTTGAACATGTTGTAAGTGTAAGTGTAGTGAGGTGAGATGTCCAAAGATACTGAGGAAGGCGCGAGGTGGCTCAACATAGGAAAGTGCGTACACCATAGTCATACATAGATAACACCCGTTCACCCCCCACACACCCTCCAAACACCTCGTTTGTGGGGCTGTATGTGGTGGTCGTAGGTGTGGTAAGACTGAGGTGCGGTTTTCATCTACTGTCCTGCATATACGTGCCGGCTATATAGCCCGCCCGCCGTCCCGGTTCTCAGAAAGAACCCTACGTGGGAATCGCGGTCTAGGATTACCGTTAGCCTGGGTATGCAACACGGACAACAGATGGCGGAGGAGAGAAAGACAAGTTAAAAAGTTGGGAGATATCTTTTCATACAAGGAGTTATCATGCAATACGACAATTGGACAAATGATCATGGGGGATAGAAGAAGTGCGCCATCCGCTATACATAAGATCGTCTGTCCCCGAGATCCAATCTCATCTAGCCTAATAGTAAAGTTACACATTCATCCCAAATGCACCGAAAATAGAATCAGATTACAGCAGAAGCTCCAGAGGGTTCTCGACAGCCTTCTTCAGCTCGCGCATGAACTCGCCACCAACGGCACCGTCGACGACCTTGTGGTCAAAGCTGCCGGTGATGACAATCTGGTCGTCCCACTCAACGCTTGCTGTGCCATCCTCTGCCTCGCCTGGTACGGCAACCTTCCTTGTTGTGCCGATTGCGACGATGCAAGCTTGTGGGGGGTTGATAACGGCAGTGAATCGCTCAACAGCGGGGTTCATGCCCATGTTAGAGATGGTGATGGTTCCACCCTGGTACTCTTCGGGCTTGAGCTTGCCGTCGCGTGCACGCTTGCCAAGGTCCTTGATCTGGGAGGAGATGGACTGGAGACCAAGTCCGTTGACGTTCTTGACGATGGGGGTCATGAGACCAACGGGGGTGGAAACAGCGACGGAGACATCGACAACGTTGTGCTGGCGGATGATGACCTTGCCGTTCTCCTCGCGCCATGACGAGTTGGCAGCAGGAACCTTGCGAGCGGCAACAGCAAGAGCCTTGACGAGCAAGTCATTGACTGAGAGCTTGTACTTGCCGTCAGCTGAGGCGTTGAGAGCTTCGCGGAGCTTGAGAAGCTTGGAGACGGAGATGTTGGAAGCAACGAAGTAGTGAGGGTTCTGCTGCATGCTCTCAGTGAGACGGCTGGCAATGACCTTGCGCATGCTGGTGGCCTCGGTGTCCTCGTAAGCAGCGGCGGAGGCGCCAGCAGCGGGGGCAGCACCTGCAGCAGGCTTGTACTTCTCAATGTCCTCCTTGGTGACCATGCCGCCCTTTCCAGTGCCCTTGATGGAACCGATGGGGACGCCCTTCTCGAGCGCGAGCTTCTTCGCGGCGGGGGAGACGCTGGGCTGGCGCTGGAGAGCGGTCTCTAGGCGGTCACCGGTGGACTCAGACTCGATGGCAGTGGGCGCGGACTCCTCCTTGGCGGGGGGAGCGGTCTTGGAGCCAGTGTTCGGGGGCTCGCTGGCCTCAGCAGCGTTGCCCTCCTTGGAGGGAGTGTCGGCCTTCTTGTCACCGCCGGCGTCCTCGATGGAGAAACCCTCGAATGCGGAGACGTCCTCGCCCTCCTCGACCATGACGGCAATGGGCTGTGAAAGTTAGCATCGCATTCTCGTGATTGTCAAAGCCTGAACTTACGCTTCCAACAGCGACGTCCTTCTCGCCAGCGTCGCGGAGGATCTTGGCGATGGTGCCCTCTTCCTGGAACTCAAAGTCCATCTGTGCCTTGTCCGTCTCGATTTCGACGAGCACATCACCGGGCGCTATTGAGTCGCCGACCTTCTTCTGCCATGCGCCAATGTTTCCGGAGGTCATGGTTGGGGAGAGGGCGGGCATGCTGATAACGCTGTGCGAGGGGTAGGCTGCGAACAAGGTGCGTTAGCAACGCGATCACCACCGGAGTTTTTAGTCGCGCAGAAGACGGTGAGAGTGCTCACATTTCGAGGCATAGTATCGTGCAAGCGCGGCCAGGGCTGGTGTGCGTCTGTTTACATGCCTGTCAGCTGTGCTCTTCGGAGCGTGTCTGGACGAACCCAGACGGCAATCAAGACGACTTACGCAGAGCATCTCGAGGTAGGGAGGGCGCCGCGCAGGGCAATTGACCCCCTCGAGCTCAACTGGCTTCCAGCCCTGGAGAGCAGAGTTGTGGTGGCAGGCATTGTGTCGGGATGCCGGTGCGCTGAGATTTACTCGAAACGACTGAAATAGGCGTGGGTGGAGAAGAAGAGACTCGTCGGGCGGGAGCGACAAGCTACAGCTGTATGCTCAGGCGCTGGTCGGGGCTGGAGGAGATGGAAGGCAGTTCAACGAAAAGTTTAGTGCTGTTGGTTGGAGACCCGGCGACTAGCGTTCTCTCCCGATGAGGGTCTATGCTGTATGCGACATTTCCCGGAAGGCCCTGTGAAGTGTGGCACGGCGCGTGTGGCTTGACACTGGTGTGGCGCCCACTAGTCTCCCGCGCTACCAGTAGACTGGTCCCTGGTAGGGTACGTAACTAGTAGGGAAAGACACAAAGTGTCATCTCACATAGCAACCGTGGAACTCTCGTTGGACCATACGTGGTTTCTCTAATTCGCTTCCCTTCCTTGCACTCATCTGCGCCGGTACCAGTCATCACTGCCTCACACGCCCCCTTCCGCGTCCCTCCTTCCGCCATGGTTGCTGAGGAAAGGGCACTACTACAAATATCCCGGACGTGAATAACTATGGCCGACACTGACCCCCCGCCAGCGCCGAAAGAGGAAGTTGAGAAGCCTGATAATATGGAGGAAGAGAAAGAAACACACCCATACAACACGGGAGACGAAGAGGACAGCGACTCAGATGCCGAGTCGGACCAGGCATCAGAATCAGAACATGGAGAGGATACGTCTTCCCCAGCGCCGGAAGCTCCACGGGAAGAGGCGGATACCTCGACATCGACACCTGCACCTGCACCTGCACTCGAAGCGCCAGCACTCAACGTACCCGATGGAGGAGATGCGCCGCGATCATCCGAGCAGATCTTCGACCATCGCCTGCCTATCGAGAACCGGCCGCGAACAGACTCGCAATCCACTGCAGCCACGACCGCTACACGACCATCTACAAGAAGCTCTTTAGTTTTCGTAGTCACTGCGCTTGAGACAATCGCAGCTTCAAAAGATGCTAGGAAGAACAAGAAGCTTGGAGACAGCACCAACGCGGCGCTGTCGGCTATCAAGAATGAGGGTGATCCGGCGCGCATCAATCCCGAGGTTCTCTTTGAACCACTCCAACTTGCCTCGGAGGCCCCCAACGTCCCCGTATCCATTACAGCGCTCGATTGCATCGGAAAGCTCATCAGCTACTCCTACTTCTCCGTGCCGGCCGAACCGCGAGCCGATAACAGCGAGGTGCCTCCTCTGATCGAACGAGCCATAGACACAATTTGCGATTGTTTCCAAGGCGAGGCTACCGCGCCAGAAGTGCAACTGCAAATCGTCAAGTCGCTGCTGGCAGCTATCTTGAACGACAAGATTGTTGTGCATGGAGCGGGACTGTTGAAGGCTGTGCGACTCACGTACAACATTTTCCTCCTTTCCAAGTCGAGCGCGAACCAGCAAGTAGCACAGGGTGCATTGACCCAAATGGTAGGAACAGTGTTTGAGAGGGTCAAGACGAGGCTTGTTGTTAAGGAGGCTCGGTTGAACTTGTCGCGGACGTCCTTGAATGAAAAGGACCAATCGGAGGAGAGTGTACAGCAAGATGAGGGCAGTACAGAAGATATCAGTGGCTCCGAGGCCAATGGTCAAGACAGAGAGGACGAGCACGACGCTGAAACCGCCGAACCCAGCGACAAGGCCGTCGACCGACACACGGGTCCCAAGATCACACTGCAAAGCTTCGAAAACAACATGAGCTTCAACGACGACCGAATACACGATAACGCACCAACACTGGTAACTCGCATCAAAGGCAAACCTGGGTCGCGACATGTGTCTGGACAAGAGAGCTCGCCTCATGTCAACACCGAAGAGGAGGAAGAGGATGAGATATTTGTCAAAGATGCGTACCTCGTATTCAGAGCCATGTGTCGTCTGAGCACTAAGGGTCTGACCGTGGATCATGCCCACGATGTCCGATCGCAAGGCATGCGTTCGAAGCTTCTCTCTCTGCATATGATCCACACCATACTCTTCAATAACATTGCTGTATTCGTGTCGCCGTATGCCACCATACGCAGTGGCAGCGATGAACCAACAAGCTTCATACAGGCGGTCAAACAGTACCTCTGCTTGAGCTTGAGTCGGAACGGCGCAAGTTCAGTGAAGCAGGTCTTCGAAGTTGCCTGCGAGATTTTCTGGCAGATGCTCAAATATCTGCGCATTTCACTCAAGAAGGAAGTCGAGGTGTTTCTAAAGGAGATATACCTTGCAACTTTAGACAAGCGAAGTGCTCCTGCATTTCAGAAGCAATACATTTTGACAATATTCGGAAGGCTGGCTGCAGACCCCCGAGCCCTGGTAGAGATCTATCTCAACTATGATTGCGACCGCACTGCACTTGACAACATGTTTCAGCGCGTCGTTGAACACTTGTCCAAGATATCTAGCAACCCCGTCACCATCACAGCCGTGCAGCAGCAAGCGTATCAGGACCAGCGAGAGAAGCAAGCAAGACAGATGGACTGGCAGAGTCGCGGCACATTACCGCCATCGCTCACAACCGTCTCAATGAATTCATCGCACGAGACAGAGCATGGCTACCCCCAAGAGTACGCCATGAAGCAAGAGTCTCTCGAGGCCCTGGTCGAGATACTCCGATCTCTCGTCAACTGGGCTCAACAAGCCCTGCCTGAGAACACCAAGCAAAACAACCCTGACATGCGACCATCGCTCGACGACCTCCGTGTATCAACAGACACAAGATTTGCCGCAGAATCTCCAATGGTGGGAGCAGACTCCGGAACTGTTACGCCGCTGGCCGAGGATGACTACAGCCAACTTGAAAAGGCAAAACAGAGGAAAACAGCACTCACAAATGCATTGAGACAGTTCAACTACAAGCCGAAGCGTGGACTAAAGACGTTGATTGCCGAAGGTTTCATTCCCTCAAACAAGCCTGAGGATATAGCTCGCTTCTTCCTCGACAATGACCAGATCGACAAGACGGCACTGGGAGAGTTCCTTGGTGAGGGTGATCCCGAAAATATTGCCATCATGCATGCTTTTGTCGATTTGATGGACTTCACCAAGACCCGCTTTACGGACGCCCTGCGGCGCTTTCTCCAAAGCTTTCGGCTACCCGGTGAAGCCCAGAAGATTGATCGCTTCATGCTCAAGTTTGCTGAACGATATATTACCGGTAACCCCAACGCATATGCTAATGCCGATACTGCATACGTTCTGTCATACTCAGTCATCATGCTGAATGTCGATCAACATAGTAAGAAGATGAAGGGCCCTCGCATGACGCCAGCAGACTTCATCAAGAACAACCGTGGCATCAACGATTCTGCTGATCTGCCGGATGAGTATCTACAAGGTATATTCGATGAGATATCGCAAAACGAGATCGTATTAAATACCGAGCAAGAAGCTGCTGCGGACAAGGGGTTATTGAACCAACAACCTACTGGAGGGTTGTCTAGTATTGGGCAAGTCCTAACGGGTGGTGCTCGCGACCTACAGCGGGAAGCGATCGTACAAGCTTCCGAAGCAATGGCTAACAAGACCGAGCAACTTTACAAGCAGCTCCTTCGAGCCCAACGGAGAACAGCCGCAGCCCTCCCAGTCTCAAAATTCATACCCGCGTCATCCTCCAAGCATGTCGGACCCATGTTCGAAGTCAGCTGGATGCCAATACTGACTGCTCTCTCTGGCCAAGCTCAAGACCACAACATCGAAATCGTTCGTCTGTGCATCGAAGGCATCAAGCTAGCAATCCGGATATCGTGCTTATTCGATCTCGATAGCTCACGACAGGCCTTTGTAGCTTTCCTCGCGCGCTTCACCAACCTCTACAACGTGAGCGAGATGAAGGCTAGGAACATGGAAGCGTTGAAAGCCTTGATCGAGATTGCCCAGACGGAGGGTAACCTTCTACGGGAATCTTGGCGTGAGGTCCTCACATGTGTTTCGCAATTGGACCGTTTCCAACTCATTTCTTCTGGTATCGACGAACGTGCCGTGCCAGACGTGCTCAAGTCGAGTTCAGGCACCGCACAGTCGCGTAAGAACCTCAACGTTCCGGCCAACCGTCAAAGACCAAAATCACAAGCGAGCACCATGAGCTTCCATTCTGAAGTAGCCGAGGAAAGTCGATCCACCGACATCGTCCGAGGAGTAGACCGCATCTTCACCAATAGTGCAAACCTATCTGGTGAAGCTATTGTGGACTTTGTCAAGGCTCTTGTTCAAGTCAGCTGGCAAGAGATCCAGTCTTCTGGGCAGAGCGAGTCACCGCGCACTTACAGTCTGCAGAAGCTTGTGGAGATCAGTGGCTACAACATGACGCGTGTCCGTTTCGAATGGACCAACATCTGGCAGGTGCTTGGCGCTCACTTCAACGAGGTTGGATGCCATACCAATACTAATGTCGTCTACTTTGCTCTCAACTCACTACGGCAACTTTCTATGAAGTTTATGGAAATCGAGGAACTGCCGGGTTTCAAGTTTCAAAAGGACTTCCTCAAACCCTTCGAGCACATCATTAACAACACAAACGTCGTCTCGGTCAAGGACATGGTACTACGCTGTTTGATTCAGATGATACAGGCACGAGGCGAAAACATTCGATCTGGCTGGAAAACTATGTTCGGTGTTTTCACTGTGGCCGCCAGGGAACCCTATGGTATGTTGTTTCCCAAGTCAGTCTGTACGGCCACTAACACACAGCAGAGGGCATTGTAAACCTCGCGTTTGAAAACGTCACTCAAGTATATAATACCCGCTTTGGTGTAGTGATCTCACAGGGCGCGTTCGCAGATCTCATTGTCTGTCTAACTGAATTCTCGAAGAACTTCAAGTTCCAGAAGAAATCACTACAAGCAATAGAACTGCTCAAGTCATCTGTACCAAAGATGCTTCGGACGCCCGAGTGTTCTCTTTCCGCCCGCGCTGGATATTTGAAAGACTCAGAAAAGGGCTCTTCAATACCCAAGCAACCCAGTCGACAAACCCAAGAGGAGCAGTTCTGGTTCCCAGTTCTATTCGCATTCCACGATGTCCTGATGACCGGTGAGGATCTGGAGGTCCGGTCAAGAGCGTTGCAATACCTGTTTGATACTCTGATTAGCTATGGTGGCGACTTTCCGCGGGATTTCTGGGACATGCTTTGGCGACAGCTTCTGTACCCCATCTTCATGGTCCTGAAGTCAAAGTCCGAGATGACCAAGGTCTTGAATCACGAGGAGCTTTCAGTATGGCTTTCGACTACTATGATTCAAGCTCTCCGCAACATGATCAAACTCTTCACCCACTTCTTTGATTCGCTAGAGTACATGCTCGACCGATTCCTGGATCTCCTCGCCCTTTGCATATGCCAGGAGAACGACACCCTAGCGCGTATTGGCAGCAACTGTTTACAGCAGTTGATCCTGCAGAATGTGCAGAAGTTTCAGGCTGATCACTGGAGCCAAATCGTCAAGGCATTTGTGGACCTCTTCCAAAGGACCGAAGCAACAGCACTATTCTCTGCTGCAACTAGCGGCTCATCTACACAAACCACTTCGACGAACGGTACTGGTAATACATCAGACCTGACAACGCCAACAGGAGAAGGACCGCCCGGCGAACTCTCGCTTCAAACACCTGCTGAAGAACCGAAAATGGACAACGCCCTCGGGATCAACGGCCTTTCAGGCACAAGGCGACCATCACTGGTGACTTCAGACTCTGCGAGCATCAGTGGCGGCGTTGAACAACGTATGCCATCGCCGCTCCCTAAGCGCCAGACTCAGGAGTTGGAAGATTACCGTCCCGACGACCAGAACCTCCAGCAACCACCCGTTGTTGTAACTGCCGCCCGCCGTCGCTTTTTCAATCAGATCATCACGAAATGTGTTCTACAACTTCTTATGATCGAGACGGTACAAGAGCTCTTCACCAATGAAGCGGTATACGAGAAGATTCCATCCGGCGAACTCCTCCGCCTTATGGCCGTTCTCAAGAAGTCGTACCACTTTGCTAAGCGCTTCAATGCGAACCGCGACCTGCGATCACGTTTGTTCAGGGAAGGCTTCATGAAGCAACCGCCAAACTTGCTGAAGCAGGAGAGTGGATCTGCGTCTGTGTACGTCAGCATCCTGTTTAGAATGTACCACGATACATCCAATGACCGCGCCGCCTCGCGCGCCGATACTGAAGCCGCTCTGATTCCACTCTGCGAAGACATCATTGCTTCATATGTCGACCTCGACGAGGAGACCCAACAGCGCAACATAGTTACTTGGCGCCCTGTCGTTGTTACCGTATTGGACGGATACACCGGCTTGCCCAATGCCGATTTTGAGAAGAACGTCGACATCTTTGCGCCGCTTGTTGTTGGGCTTCTAGGTACGGAAATGGCGCCCGATGTACAAAGAAGTGTACAAGCGCTTGTCGGGCGCATCTTCGAGACCAAGCTGGGTATGGAGAAGCAGCCGCTCATGCCGGCTATTAGTCGGAGTCCACGGGGCAGCTTCGTGGGCAGCCCGATCCAGAGGAGGGCCAGCAAAAGTGGACGGTAGAGTGACTCCTCACCCTACACTCCTGTAGTTTCTTTCCGAGGTTCGTTAACTCGACACCTGCTATTCATGTTCTGTTCTCTAGGTCTGACTCCGCAGTTTATATTCACTTGTCTGCTCAGCACCTTCCTGTTCTTCTTTTGGATCTAAAGCATTGTCGTTGAGGTCGGGCTTTCTTCAGAGGGCGTTCGTAGGCGCGAATTTTGGTTGTGTTGTACAGTAGCACGACATCAAAATCTGCATCATCTTATCAACTCTTTCTAGATTTGTCTATTAGAGCGAGAGAATTGAAGCAAACAGCTTACTTTGTAATTCGTTTTTTGTCCCATAGTTCTGGTGATCATTGTCCATGTTTATGGGATCAACACGATCGACAGAGCCGCTTCATGCAGGTACGACCGGGGAAAGCTTAAACCCGAGAATACTCAACGTCATGGAACCTAATTGCCGTTGCTGGTAGCATGTACCGCACAACATCCACGTAAGGTGCGTGTAAGGTATGACGTCTGTTGATGGCTGACATCACGATGCAGAAGCGGGAGAAAGCAGTAATGCTTCTTATATGTGCAGCATGTCTCATAACCACTTAAGTGAACAACAGCCAACAATAGAAGGTAATATATAAAGCACGGCATACAAGATGCGATCTTCACTTCTCTCAGCCATTGCCTTGGCAGCAAACGCAGCTGCGCAAATCACCTTCCAAAACAGCAGCGGCACGATTTTGCGAACTGACTCTGGATCCTACGGCCCCGAGATAGAAGAATACCACTACTACTACTCGCAATGGCCCATAGGACTCGCCATCTCCTCCACCGGCCGTTTCTTTGCCACCTACACACGCGGCAGCTACGCATACACACTGGGCGAAGTCGTCAACGAAACAGCAGAAATACCATACCCATCCGCTGGGCTCAACCTCCCCGTTTCCCAGTTAAACACGAGCTGGAATGGCATCCCCTTCGGTAGTGGAAACAGTACTGGGTTAATCAGCGTACAAGCACTATACATCACCCCGGAAAACTCCAGAAGACCCGAAACACTCTGGGTAGTAGACACAGGTCGACCCACCATTATGGACTCAACCGGCGCACCATCAATGCCATATGCACAACCCGGCGGCCCCAAGATCCTTGGTATCAATCTAGCAAACGATAGCGTATACGCGACCTACACTTTCCCTCCCATTGTCCACTTCCCAGATTCCTACATGAACGATATCCGCTTCGACCTGCGTCCCAATACTACGGCATCTGGATCTGGCGTTGCATACATCGTCGACAGCAGCGACGAAGGACGTCCCGGTTTCATCATCTTGGACCTAGGCACGGGCGAGAGCTGGAGAAGACTCACACAACATCCATCTACATTGCGTGTAGACCGTGACGTACCTTCATACCAAGGCAACCCATTCTACCAACGCACAATCGGCCAGCCTATCCAAACGCTACGGGAAGGACTCGATGGAATACAAATTAGTCCCGATGGCTCAACGATTTACTACAGTCCCTTGACATCGGATTATTTGTATTCCATCCCTACTGCGAATCTCCTTACACCTTCCTCGGACCCTCTCGCCGAGATCATGGCGGCGAACAACGTAACTAATCTCGGTCAGCGCGGCGGAAACGCAAATGGCTTCGAAGGCGATAACAACGGGTTGATATACCAGTGCATGCCTGAGCATAATGCGATTTATGTTTACGACCCAGAGACGCTGCGCACGGAGCCTTTTGTGAGGGATCCACGCATTATTTGGCCAGATGGAGCGAGTGTAGGCGAGGATGGGTATTTGTATATGAATATTAATCAGTTGCCGTATCAGCCGAACTGGAACGAGGGCGTTGATGGGAGAGTGTTTCCGGGGGCGGTGTTGAGGGTTAAGCTGCCGAATGGGGGAAGAAAGATTACGACTTTGGGCTGAGGGGGTTCGGATGGACAGGCTTAAAAAAGGAGATTGATATGATGTTAGACGACTGGCACAGAGCATGCTATCAGGTTGTGAAGTATTCAAAAGCATCAAACAAGTACATCATTTCAATGATAATATTTCCATTTGTTCATCTTACCGAACTCATGCGTCGTGAGCTACATGTCTGCGCAGTGAAGACTGTATGTAGGCATACCATATACAGCTGGATACGTTCATCCATGAGATAGAGAAAGAAACTTTTGTCCCAAACCCGGTAGAGGTATCAAAGCGATGACCGTAGAAATGTAGTAATCCTTCAACGCCGCCAAATGCAATAACATTCCGTAAAGTAGATGATTGAGATCCTTTCAGATTAACAGATCGACTCCATAAAGTGACATGGGTGTCGTAAATGCACAAGAGATGAGAGAAGAAATCATCTCTACTCATCCTGCTTGATCTCAAGCTTGCTCTTCTTGGGGCTGCCCTGGGGCTCGCCGTCGTCGGCCTTGCGCTTGTTGGAGGTGTCCTTGACAATGGGAACGCCGTGAGCGTCGCGCTCAATCTCCTTCTTGTCCTCCTTGTGGCTAGCGCGGTCGTCCTTGCCGTCCTTGAAGCGGTCGCGACGCTTGTTCCAGTCATCGGCGTCGACGGAGCCGTTTGAGTCGCGGCGTCTGCGGGGAGAACGGGAACGGTTGCGGTCACGGCGGTTGTCGCGACGGTCGTTGCCACCACGTCCACCGCGTCCACCGCGGCCCTGACCACGACCTCCACGACCTCCTCCACGGCCGCTGCGGCTGAAATCTCCGTTAGCCTCGCGCTGTGCCTTGCGCTGCTGATACTTCTCCTCCTCGGTCAACTCCCAGTCGGGCTTGATGCCCTTCTCCTGGCACTTCATGACAATGTACTCCTTCTTGCCCATGGTGACGAGGTCGTTGCCGTTGAACTTGGGCGCGGGGTCAAGTTCAAGGAACTGCTTCTGAGAGTCCTCGGAGTCGAATTCGACAAAGACGCTGCCCTTCCAGGCGCCGTCGTTCTCGCGACGCTTGCGGATCATGACTGCGCCGTAGGGACGGAAGAACTTCTCGAGTGCGATCTGGCCGGCCTGGTCTTCGCTGCCGAAGCCCTTGACGTAGGCGCTTCGCTCCATGTTGTTGGATGAGTTGTTCTTCAGGCGGTAGAAGAGCTCCTCCGTGGTAGGGGGGTTCTTGTCGTCGCCGTCCTTGGTGGGAACGGAAAGCGGCTCCTTGCGCTTGACAGCCTCGCTGCCAGCCTTGCTGTACTCGCCATCGTCGACGACATCGAGGTCGTTGCTGTCGCGAAGTGCTTTTACGACAGCGGAGTATGGCTTGAAGTGGCGCATGCGCTTGAAGGTGCAGATGTGGTTGATGGAAACAGGTGTGTTCTTGGGGCCTTCGAGCACCTTGAACATGTGCTCGTCGGTCGCCAAGTTCTGTGCAGAGAAGTAAAATTCAACCTTGGGACTGTTAGTAATGCGGATCATGGGTTGCAAACTGGGAGTCATACTTGGGCGCGGATCTCGTTGGGGTCGTCGGACTCGGGAAGATCATCAAACTCTTGGTTGTTCTGCCTGCGCAAAGATTAACCCTGGAGGACACAAAGTCGAACAATTGAGCGCACCTCTTGTTACGGTTGTCGCGGAAGTTGCCTCGGCCACCGCGACCTCCTCGACCTCCGCGACCACCCTCGCGGCGGTCGTTGCGACCGGATCGGTCTTCGCGGTCGTTGCGACGGCCGTTCTTGTCCTCGGACTTGCCATTGATTTCCCACTTCTCCTCGCCGTTCTCGGCCTTGGAGGCCTTCTCCTCTGGCTTGGAGTCGGTAGTCTCAGTCTTTGAGTCAGACTTGACGTCGACTGCGTTCTCAGTCTTGGAGACTTCAGCGGGGTTGGCGGCTGCCGCAGCAGTAGTCTGTTGGTCTGCCATGATTAATATGTGTGCAGCTTGAGTCGCGTATGTGAGTAGAAGCTGCTAAAGGCGGTTTCAAGGTTGCGACAAAGAGGTTGGTGGTTGTTGAAGAGAAAAAGGTTCCAGGTGAGAGATAGCTATGGTTCCTAGTGGGGAATTTTCGATGCAGGCGGGCACGGGCCTCTATCCAGATTTACGTTCGCCGCGTGGGCCGCTATTGTAACAATATCACCAATTCTTGATCCGCCCTCACCATGCCGAGGAAGAAGCCGAGGTTCCATTCGCTGAAGAAGCTGGTATGCTTGCTATTGTTCGAATCGGGTGTGCATGGGTGGTAGACTGACACTCTGCAGAATGTCCGCCAGAACTGGTCGCGGTGGTCATTATACGCTCTATCACAACTCAAGGCTCCAAACGTCACCACTCGAACATACTTCCAGCAGAAATGGACTGCCAAGGCATCTACAAGAGCATACCATGGCGAGCACATACGGGAGAAGAAGTGGAAACACATGTTCAAGCGGAACCTGCCAGCAGTAGTGGCCATGGACCATAGATATCTTGCTCGACACGATGGTTCAGAACAGGCAGCTGGGCGAGGAATGGGTGCAGATTCACCGGAAAAGGCTCGCACACCGCCGATGACACCATACATGCAGATGGCGTATTACCCATTGGAGAGGAGACTGGACACGGCCATCTTCCGGGCGCTATTCGCAAGTAGTGTCCGACAGGCGAGGCAATTCGTTGTCCACGGCTTGGTGAAGGTCAATGGCAAGAAGGTATATCAACTCTCGTATCCTGCAAGTAATCGCACCTGACTCGAATGCAGATGGTCTACCCCGGCTACGCACTCAACCCAGGCGACATGTTCCAAGTCGACCCCTCGTCCGTCATGTTCGCGACCGGCGCCCCAAAAGAACGCTCATCAACCGCACGTCGCATCGCCAAAGAGAAGGCAGCCGCCCGCGCTGAAGCCCGCGAGCAAAACGGCGGACAGACGCCCAAGCAACCGAAAGATGACGACTTCGCTGTCACCCAGTCCACGCGCGAAGAACCCACACCCACCGAGCTAAAGAAGCAGCTACAAGACTTGATGGAGCAAGTCGACGGCGTCCTAGCCGAAGACGTCAAAGCAAAGGACAAGCAAAAGTTCCGCGCCTTCCGTCAAAGTGTTAAGAAAGCGATAAGTTTATGGCGCACCGCAAACCCAGAGACAATCTCCACACTCGACACGCAATTCGACTTCCTCAAGAACCAGATCGCCGAGCGCTCTGCTGCCCTCGAATCCTCCTCTGCCAAAGACGCGTCTGCCGCTGAACCCCTCATCTCAGAAGAAGACCAAGCACGTCTTCGTTCCGCCTTTGAGAAACTCAGACTAGAGACCGAGCACACATCGGCATGGAACAGGCGCGATGCTCAGGCGCCTTATGCGACGCCCTGGCGGCCTAGGGACTACATGAGTGCGTTTGCGTTTATACCACGGTATTTGGAGGTTAACCAGAACATCTGCGCTGCTGTCTATCTGCGGCATCCAGTCGCCAGACAAGGTTTGGCTGAGGTACCGACGCCGTTCCATATCGAGACGGGTCAGTTGGCCTTTAACTGGTACCTGCGGAACCGGTAAAAGGATGTCATGTGTTTGTACGTTATGTAGATAGACCGCTCATGGCGGAACTGAATTGCAGTTGTATAACATATTTCACATTTCATGCATCGCAAACTTCGACAAGCATGATTAGTGTTCATTGTTTGAATTGGTTGATATTACAGACTTTGCTGATAATGCAAGTCACATGCTTACAACTAATGGCCATGCGAGACGCTTCCTGTGCCTGTGTACGTTCTCCGCCTAAGCCAATAGGCTTGATATTATACATGAGGACGTGAAAATTATTAGTGGGTGGTATCCTCTAGCCACCTGTTGATCAAGACAGTAGTCCTGTATCAACATTGCTTCCAGAGAAGCTGGTAATATCACCAAAGCCATGCTGACTGTGAGCTGCTCCTTACGCCGAACCGACGAAACGCCTAAATCGTGTGCAAAAATACCAAGCAAGAAGTCTGTTTACAAATCAAAGAATGTTTGAGAGTGAAAACACGAAGAGCCACGTGCTGCATCGGTTTGCGCCGTGAGTATGAACGTGCGGGCAAGTGCAACCTCCTACGAGCGTGGACTGAGGAAGTGTGTATCTATGCGAAGGGTCGGAACCTTCACATGATGGGTACCGGGTATGAAGAGCCAAAGACGGTTTGGTATGCCATTTGCAGGCAGTAAGACTCGTAGCCTCAGTCAGCATCCGACTCTTCGTCCAGTGTTAATATGCTGACAGGGTATCTGAGCGTTTCCGCGCTCGGCCTGGGGCTTACGTCGACAACACTACTGTCGGGTGTCCAATGCGAGCTTTGTTCGGATGTGGTAGACGCAGTCGTGTATTGCCTAAAGCCGTTGGCTACAACGTCGGACGCCTCGAGGTCCGATTCGTAACTCGGAGGCTCTGTGGGCGTGCCTGAGCGATAACTTGGTAAGCTGTCTGTTCGGGAAAGCGGCCTTGAAGGGATCTCAGGTAGTGAGGTAGGTGGGTAGGTCGATGCTGTAGAGAGGGGCGAGTATGGTGCTTGCGGCCGTTGACGTTGACAATCGCAAGGTGTATGGTTGATGGCCCTGCCCTCTTCGGCGTCTCTTACAAGATCGTTCACCACGTCATGTGCAGCTCTCAGCTGCCTGATCTCTTCCTGCATCGCATCTTCGAGCACTCCCTCCTGTTCTGAGATCAGCGCCCGTTTTTCCTCGTAATCTGCGATGCGTTGGTTGTCTCGTCGTGCCCAATTGCCGCGCCACCAGCTGCGCCATGCGTGTTGTCGAGCTGCCCGGCGATAGGCACGGGCATTGAGGCGTTCTTCACGAGCGGCGGCGCGCTCGGTCCTTGTTCTCAGGCTGCTGCACTTGTGCCGGATTACGGCCACAAGGCAGCCACAGCAGAGAACACCCAAAGTGATCTCGAGGGCGAGAGAATAGGGAGACGTCTTGGTTGGCCGAGGTGGAAGTTCATTCTATGCAACGTCAGTATTAGATACTTACTATTCATCTTCGATAGGAGAGATCAAGGAGGTCACATACTGCTTTCGCCTCGTATACGTGAGGCGTTGGCGATCCAACCTTGAGGTGGTCTCCAGACATCTGTGCTACCTGTGCAGCATGACCATGTGCCTGCGCGAACACTTCCTCAGGACTACCCATGTCTTTCGATGAGTGGCTGGGCTTGAAGTGGAAGGACACAATCTTCCAAGCGCCGTGAGCTTTGTGGGCAATAGTCTTGATGATGCACGAGATCCCGTCACATTCACCCAACTCGTGCGACAACTCCTGCGCTTCTTGCCTAAGGCGCGAGTGGATCTGCTTCTTTTTTTCGGCAATGAGAGATTGGATGGCCTCAAGTTCAATCTCAAGAACCTTCAACTCGCGGATCTCGTCTTCGAGTGATGGAACTTTTCCCTCCCCTTTTGAGGTTTGGTTGGTGGTGAATAGGGCGAGACGCAGAGACTGAGGCGGTTCACGCCAGGATTCAGCTACCTCCTTGTTACTCGCAGAGGGGTTGGGGACCGACTCAAGCCTGAGCAAGGAAGGAGGTGATGTTTGTTGTTTGAAGGAGATGGTAAAACCGGAAGGTCTGTCGATGGGCTTGCCGTCGATGGCCTTGATGTTGACTGTGACTACCTGTGCAGCTTCCGTTTCCTCAGTGGCGTGAAGACAAGCCGTCTCCCATTCGAGATCCAAATCGCGCTGCAGAAACCATTCATTCTGTGTGAGATCGGTGACGCCTTGGTAGGAACCGGAACCAGATGCGAAGTCGCCGTTCCACTCTTGGGGAAGATAAACTCCGTTTAGGGTAATGTTGGAAGAACCGCAAGCTTGATCCTGGGCATGACTTGTGAAGCTCAAGATCTAAGGAACGTGAGCGGGTGGGATGGTATTTAGGTGCCTGAGGGTGGGCCTTACCAAAGACTCGTCATCTTGGCCCGTGTGATCGTGGCCAAGACAGCCAGTGCAGGGGACACTGAAGGTAGCTTGCGCGTAGTTCTGTTGAAGGTCTAGCAAAGTTCAGCAGCTGCCTAGGGATGGCAAATGTGGAATGGTATAAGAAGAATGCGCACCTAGCTGCAAGAGGTTTCCGTTTGGGCGAGCAACCTGACGCTCGTGTTGAGGTATGACGGCGGCGAGTACAGGTGCCACCCACGCGCAAGCTGACAACACTTTGGACTTGAAAGAACGCATATTGGAAGCAAAGAAGAACACGGTTTAAACCGAGCAAAAATGCGAACAGCGCACAACAACGCCGGCCCGCAAAGAGAGCGAAGTTTGGCGGGTTATGGGACAGATGTTCCCAAAGGTTCGAGGATCAGGCACCAGTCGAAGGGCGTTTTGGTGTATAAGGGCGCGGCGCTGCTAGTGGCTGCTGTCAGCGTGAGCGTGGCTTAGACGTCTGCTCACGATTCAGCTGCCAGCACTATGCATAATGCAGCGTGGTGAAACACTGGGATACGGCATGTTTGAGCGAGAATGCGAAAGTGTGTACTGTGTATGCGATTGTGGTTGCGATAATATCCATGATTACCCACAACCCGGCGAGGCTCATCTAACATGATGGTTGCTGCGGTTCTCGTCCTTGCTTCCGAGTACCTGATGAAATGCACACGCGTGATATCTGCTTTCAACACGACCTGGCCCAGTGAGCAGATACTCTGAGCATCGCGTACTGCAACCATCAAAAGCAGCTGAACACGTATGAGTTACGAACATGGCATATGTCACATGCATCAGTTCAGTGTTGGCAGTGCTCATACAAGCGCAGCAGAAGAATATCACACATGGGCAGGCCCAGTTCGCTCTGAGATAAAGCGCTTAGCAGTGTGTCTGCTCTATTAGCTGTATGCTGGGTGAATCCATGTGGATGGATGGAGGTGCTTGGTTGCACTTCGTAGGGCTGGCTGCCAAGATTCTGTGGTCCAAGCTTTCGCGGCCTGCGATGCAGTGAGGGAGATCATGTTCACTAACCCAACTACGTATCCCGCCCTTGTTTCCACTCACCACGAGGGATCTCTCCAACAGCGTCGCGACACTTACACTGTACCTGAACTACCGGGACATAGCACCGGATCTATCCGCAGAAACCCACAGCGCGACAATATGGTACGTCACCTCATTCACCAACAGCTCTCGCACCTTTCGACTGACTTCGGACGTAGCTTCCACTGGGCCTTTTGACGGCCGCGACTGGCCACCCCATGCTGGTGGAATTGAAGAGTGGCGAAACTCTGAACGGCCTGCTTGTCAACTGCGACACATGGATGAATCTCACATTAAAAGAGGTTGTGCAAACGAGTGCGGACGGTGACAAGTTCATGAGATTACCAGAGATCTACGTTCGCGGAAGCACAGTCAGTGTGCAATGTTCTTTACTTGGTGGGCTCTACTGACAAGTACCTAGATAAAGTACCTTCGAGTGCCGGACGAGATCGTCGACGTCGTAAAGGAACAGCAAGCCAAAGATCAAGCGAATCGCGGTGGCCGAGGAGGTGGCATGCATGGGCGAGGAGACCATCGGGGCGACCGTGGTGGAGGTAGAGGCATGAGGGGCCGAGGACGCGGTCGCGGAAGAGGAGGGGGCGGCGGAGGTGCTTGAAGCTGGACTTATACCCCACTGCAGCGGCAGCCAGCGCACGCGATACTTGTACAGATAGCGGCGGGTTGATATCCGACCGTCGACTACAAAGCAAGAATACAGAGGAGCGAAAGGGCACCACTGTGGACCGTCGAGTTGAGCAGACTGCTTTTGATGCTGCAATGGAACAGGACCTGTCCCGGGTGTCGACTTCAGCGAGAGCAGCATCGTCTTCCCCATCCGGCCGTACCTTTATACTCAATACTCGTCACTCCTCTGCTCAGCAAGCATAGAAGAAGGTCCGCTACTCTGAGCACAACCTGAAGCTAGCGACCTGACACAAATAGGTGTTAGCATATTAGCCAAAAGGAAACCTTGTAGCGACAGGTACATAATCGTTGGTTTCATCTCCATGCTTCTTAGCCGTAGTGACACAAGTACCCGAATAGCTTGGTGGCCCGGCGAAGTTGTACGTTAATGCGGGGCACTCCTTGCTTCCCGAGCTTGCGAGACGGCGTAGTTGTCTGCTCCGGCGACTCTCCGTCCGCGCCTTTCCATAAGACTTGCGCCGCAGCCAACACACATCCGACGCCTCAAACTTCATTCATTAGCTTTTTGTTCTTATCTGGTAGTCTCTCTCTACCTGTACAAGAAGTTTCTTGTTTGCCTACACCCACATCCCTTACCTACTCTAGGTCCGGACATCTCTCTTGCAGATACATTGACGTTCACCCTCGAATCCCCTACCCTAATCACCGCAATGACAAGCTTCACCATCTCTGATAGCCAACTCGATGAGTTGAAAGGCCAGGCAGCTGTCATCACTGGTAGAACACCATGTTCATATATCCTATACAACCCACTCACGCACAGCAGGAGCATCTTCAGGCATAGGGCTTGCAACTCTCCGAAGAATCATCAAGCATGGCGGCAAGGTCTTTGCTAGCGACGTCAACCCGCTTCCTGAGCCCGAAGCATCATCCGTCCCTTTCTTGAAGGCTGATGTCACCTCATGGAAAGAGCAACTCGACGTTTTCAAAGCGGCAGAACAGAAGTACGGAAAGATCGACCACATCTTCGCGAATGCCGGAATCGGAAAAACAATGAGCTTGTTAGACGATGGTGTCGATGAAAATGGCGATTTGCTTCCGCCTACGCTGAACACAATTAACATCAACTTGATCGGTGTGTTATACACAGTGAAGTTAGCCATACACTATCTCAAGAAGAATCCGAATGGTGGCAGTATTGTCATGACAGCATCGGGATCAAGCTTCGCGAAACTCCCTGCTGAAGATTACAGTATGTCTCACTAAACCACACAAAGGCTCAATGCTAACAAACATCAAGCCACAGCCAAGCATGGCGTTCTTGGACTTCTACGGGCTCTGGAACCCCAGCTCTACCCCAAGCTTCCAATCCGCATCAACGCCGTCGCCCCGTCCTGGACCGACACAGCGATTGTGCCGCGCGCGATTGTCGCTGCACTAGGCGAAGACAGCGTACAGTCGCCAGATGTCGTTGCTCGCTCTGTTGCTGTGTTGATGGCAGATAAGGAGCGTCATGGGGAGCTGGTATACAGCAATGTAGGCAAGTTTGTAGAAATGGAAAATGGGAAGACGGGTTACCATGCTCTTACACAGCAGATGCTGGAGGGCGCTAATGATGAAGAAAAGAAGGACTTGTTGGCTGCTGAGCAGAGAGTAAAGAGTGTGATGAAAAAGATGTCAGAGAAGGAGAGACAGCACCATACAAACGGCGCTTCGGTGGCTGTTGAGTAGGTATCGGGGCTATGGTAATGTGTTGGGAATGATAGCTAGCTATATGTGAATTTTGAAACGGCGCTTTTGATCTCCCTAGCTGTTTGTTCGCATGCGCGTGGATCGATACATACCTGGATACCATGCCATTCTCGTGGTCTGTACGATAAACCACATGCAGGTGCGCATTAGCGTGTGACACGGCTGCCAACTACTGAACCCAGACTACCTTGGAGAAGTCTTCGCTACCGGATTCCGTGAGACGTATTGGTCAAACAATCGCTTCGAGGTTACAGTTGATCTAGACAAAGTCACCCAAGTTAATGCTCTGGATGTCTTTCTGTCTACTGGGGCGATCCCGCACACGATTGGATCCTTGCACGACAAGTACGTTTGCACTCCCTGAACAGAGATAAGGATCAGAGCTGACTTGTGGCAGGAGAATGTCCACAACTCGAAGCATAGTATGGAAAGTATCTATTTCGGTAGAGGAGAAACTGCAGTACATCATTATATTCCCCGGTCAGCTCTTGACGAGCTAGGATGCTTTCGTGAGCTACTTCTTCATCGTTGCAAGTTCTGATGTGTTTTGCACTGGTTCGACAAAGCAGGAGAACATGTGTATGATGACAACGGCCAGCCTAAACAAAAAGCTTAGGGAAGGGCAGCAGTGTATTGTGTATTGCGAAAAGATGGCGTTATTTTGGTACCTCTAATGCGCTGGCGGTGGCGTCAACTCTGGTACCGGAACGCATGAATGTAGAAGACAGGGATCTCTATCAAACGGCATCGACTTCAGAAGCCGCTGTCTGTATGGTAGTTGTAAGATTAACAATGTACAAAGCACATATATCGGATTTCGAACATCTGTTTATACAGCACACCATTCTATTGTGCCGTTTCACTGCATTAGAAGATGAATGCTTCGTCACTTCGAGGCTCCGCGAGTCTTTGTAGATCGAGAGTAAGGCGAAGGTGAACAGCATCTGTCCCTATCGACAGCATGGTAAGAGCCAAATGTACTAACTAAATGGATGAACGCTTTTCCCTGACAAGCATCTCCAGGCTTGGCGAAGACCATGTTCTTTACTGACTCGCTTCACATATTCGCAAACATCACACGCCCCCTTGCTTTCCCATCGATATCGGATAGGTAGACGACCATCAGCCTATCAATGACTTCACATATCATAGTTTCCGATCCCTCCGAGTACCAAGCGTAGTGGCGTCGCGGGGTAGACAGGATAAAGTCTTCGCCTGATGATGCAACCAAGTTCCAGCACTACACCATATCTCAAGCTGAACACGATCAGATACCGAACCTGACACCCGGCGGCATATGGAGGAATCGCAACGGCTGTTCGCCTCCAGATTGATGCAGTCGCCGATCATCGTGGAGTCCGGGGTAGGTCCGCCTCCACGCCGAGTGGATACTTTTGCGGCCGTGCGTCTGACGCCTCTCCGTTTCAAGAGCTAGTCACGACAGCCATCATACTTGGCGCACACGCGCCCCATCGAACTGTGCGCTGACGAGGACACTGGCCAGGCCCAGGTGCGGTCCGGTGTGAAAGGGAAACCGCCGAGGAGTGTGGAGTAATGTAGGTATAAAGCAAGGGTGCGGCGTTACGACTTGCCATTGTTGTGAAGGCCGCTCTTCCTCTTTGTTCACATTGTCCCTTCGCCATGGCCCAAGCCCAGGCGGATTATTCCGCCAAAAAGTACACGCCGAGCCAACATGAAGACCTCAAGCATGAGGGCGCGCACCAGATTGCAGGACACGGTCATGCTGCTACGGACATGCGAGTTCACCCTCACTCTTATCGGCGCGTCTCTCATCTAACAATTGAACAGCTACGGGCATGCCCTAATGGAGTTCGATAAGAAAGCCGAGTCACGTCTCAGGCTGAAGATTGACCTGTACATCATCCCGACCGTGGCCCTCCTCTACCTCTTCTGCTTCATCGATCGTGCCAACATTGGAAATGCTCGTCTAGCCGGCCTCGAAAAGGATCTTGGACTCACGGGCTACGACTACAACACAGTTCTCTCTGTCTTCTACATCAGCTACATCATTTTCGAGATTCCTTCGAATATCTGCTGTAAATGGATGGGACCGGGATGGTTCATTCCTATCATCTCCCTATGCTTTGGTATTGCATCGATTGGCACGGCCTTTGTTCATGACATTAGCGCAATTTGTGGAGTACGATTTCTCCTGGGTATCTTCGAAGCTGGTATGCTGCCAGGCATCGCATACTACATGTCTCGGTGGTATAGACGCTCTGAACTTGCGTTCAGACTGTCTTTGTACATTGTCATGGCTCCCCTAGCAGGTGCCTTTGGAGGTTTATTGGCTTCGGCGATTCTCACACTCGATTCTTTTGGCTCCCTCACACGTTGGAGGATGATATTTGCCATCGAGGGCATAGTTACCTGCTGCTTGGCACTAATCTCCTTCGTTACGCTCACGGATCGCCCGGAAACTGCGCGCTGGTTGACTCAGGCAGAGAAGGATTTGGCTATTGCTCGTGTCAAGTCTGAACGTGTTGGCCAGAACGAGGTACTGGATAAGCTGGACAAGAAGAAAACGCTCCGCGGTATCTTCAACCCCGTGGTACTGACAACCTCGTTCATTTTCCTACTCGACAACATTACGGTGCAGGGTCTTGCTTTCTTCGCACCCACAATTGTCAGAACGATATACCCACAAGATTCAGTCGTCTCGCAACAGCTCCACACCGTTCCGCCATATGTCGTCGGCGCCTTCTTCACGGTTCTCTTGCCCTTCCTGAGCTGGAGATATGACAGGCGCACGATCTTCTTCATCCTAGGAGCACCGCTCATGATGATAGGATACATCATGTTCTTAGCCAGTACCGAAGCAATGGTTCGATATGGGGCTACCTTCTTGATTGCATCGGGAGCATTCTCGTTTGGTGCCCTTTGTAACGCGCAGGGCTCGGCCAACGTTGTATCCGACACCGCGCGCGCATCCGCTATCGGTAAGTACTCTAGATGGCGAATTATATATAGTGCAAAGTCTGACCGAATACTTAGGTACTGTTGTGATGTTCGGAAACGTAGGCGGTTTAATCTCGACCTGGAGTTTCCTACCAACAGACGCTCCAAACTACCCTATCGGTAACGGGCTCAATCTGGCGACTAGCAGTACGATTCTGATCTCGAGTATCCTTCTCTTGCTCTGGATGAACAGGAGTAACAAGCAGCGCGAGAGCATCGATGTTGATCAGGAATTGGCTGGCAAGTCAGAAGGAGAAATTGAGGATCTCGATTGGAGACATCCGTCGTTCCGATGGAGGCCGTGAACGAAGACATGTAGCCGGATCTATTGTCGGCAGACAGGGAAATTATTATATATCAAGTATGCATGAAAGATCGATAATGCAATTTGATGTACTTTGAGTGAGTGTCAAATGTGTATGGTACGTGGAGACCGAGTTATGTCCGTGATGCGCATTCCCCGCATCGATGAATTAGCAAGTCGACCGCCCCGAACGCGACCTCGGTCCAGAGCTCTTTCGTCATGCAACCGAGCACGACAGCCAGGATGAGTTATTCGGGCGACCACTCCTTCCGTGTAGGCTGCATACTTCTAATCAGAAATCCTCCTTAGCCCGCTCGTATCATACTAAAGCTTCACGCATTACCTATACTGCACCTGAATCGACCTCAGCAACCATGCCCTCAGCCATTGTGATTAGACAAATCGAAGGCAAGCCAGGACAAGTCTACTACCCTCTCGAGAAGATAACCGTTCCCGAGCCGAAGCCAAAAGACAATGATGTAGGTGGACTTGATACATACCTTCAATCGCGCATGGCCTAACGATCAACCCCAGGCCGTCATAACCCTCACAGCAGCTGCGCTAAACCACCGCGACCTATTCATCCGCCAACACCTCTATCCCGGTACCACCTTCGGCGTCCCCCTTCTTGCAGATGGCGTCGGCGTCGTCAGCTCGACCGGCACGTCTTCCACCGCGAAATCATGGCTCAACAAGCGCGTGCTCCTAAACCCCGGCACGGGCTGGAAGGATAGCCTCGATGGCCCAGAACATCCCAAAGGATACTCGATAATGGGTGGCACCAAGAGCAACCCTGTGGGTACGCTGCAAGACGTATGTGTGCTAGACGCGGGTGAATTGGAAGAATGTCCCGAGCACCTCAACGACGAGGAGGCTGCCGCGCTTCCTCTAACCGGCCTCACAGCCTGGCGCGCGTTCTGGGTCAAGAGCGGAAACGCAGTTGCGGGGCGGAATATCTTGGTTACAGGCATAGGAGGCGGTGTCGCGCTCATGGTTCTGCTGTTTGCCGTGGCACAGGGCTGCAATGTGTATGTAACAAGTGGGAACCAGGAAAAGATTGACAAGGCGGTCAAGCTGGGTGCCAAGGGTGGTGTGATTTACAAGGAGAAAGACTGGGACAAGAAACTGCAGGCTATTTTGCCAAAGGACAGACAATATCTCGATGCTATCGTCGATGGTGCAGGAGGTGATGTCGTCAAAGTGGGCAGTAAAATACTCAAGGTTTGTTTACCCCTCCTTCGCCCTCCCTATTCCTAGCAGCATCTAACATAACGATAGGCTGGAGGAGTCATCTCCATCTACGGCATGACCGTATCTCCCAAGATGGACTTCCTCATGTCCGCTGTGCTGCGCAATATTGAAGTGCGCGGCTCCACTATGGGCTCGAGGAAGGAATTCGCCGATATGGTCCGGTTTGTTAAGGAGAAGAAGATGAAGCCTGTTGTAAGCCGCAGTGTGCAGGGCCTGGATATTGAAAAGATCGAAACGCTCTTTGAGGATATGAAGAATGCCAGTCAGTTTGGCAAGTTGGTTGTCACGCTGGGGCAGGGCAAGGAGAGTAAGCTGTGAAAAAGAGTAAGGCTCTAGATATGAGAGTATATATAGCGTCTACAGTGATGTTTTTGACGCACTCTTTCCGTTGATGTGCTGTTTGCCTATTTTGTATGGTGATGTGACTGAGAAGCAGTTGGGTACGCTCAACCTTTGAGACGCTCATCCAACGGAGTACTTCAGCGCATCTCTGTCCCTTTACCGTACTAGAGACACAACGAAACTTCGTTAATGGTTACATCGACTAGACGAGACATCAGTAGGAAGATCTAAACGCTCCACCAGTGCAGACATCGCTCGTCCGTATTGCTTTGTCCGAAAATTCGAGCGTTACAGGCCGTGCCTGTAGCCGAAGGGCTTTCTCTAGCAACAAGCATACGACTTTTTACTTGGATCATCCGGACTTTTCTTGGGGCAAGACACACCAAAGACACCGGCTTCCGCCTGTGGTAAGTTGAGGTTGGCGGAGTGAGCGGAGTGAGCGGAATGACGAAGAGCAAGGAGGGTCGGAGATGTATTCACTCCGGAACGGGATGCACATAAACATATGTAGATACAACTAGGCCTATGTTGATGCAGTTTAACCTTGCAGATGTTTGTATTCCCATTATATTATATCATCATTGTCTTCTTGTCTTTCTGTATAAAGCGAACGATTTCGACAAGACAACAAGGAAAATCACAACCATGTCCACACGCGATAAGAACGAGCCCTACATCTCCAACAACAGTCTAAAACAGGATGGATATTCCAAGAATGGTGAAGCAACAGCTACATGCTTTTGCGGAGCTGTACAGTTAGCTTTCGTAAGTAGATTTTCCAAGCCCTATTGCAATAGAAAGAGAAGAACCAGAAGTTTTATCAAACCGTCGGCACACTTCTTACACCTCGAAAACCTAACGAATACGGCAGCCGACAACCGCTCCGGGCCTCATAGACACCTTCGTCTGCCACTGCACCGATTGCCGGAAGATCACAGCGTCAGCATTCACATCAGCATTCATCGTCGGGTCGTCCGCTCTCAAGCACGTTCGCGGCGAGGACAAACTCAAAAAGTTCTCGCAGTCTCAGACTATCACATCTGGCAAGGCGATGACGAATTGCTTCTGTGATACTTGCGGAACGCTCATGTATAGGCTTACTGAATTGTATCCAGATTTTAGGCTGTTGAGATTGGGTAAGCATTGTCCTCGAGCGGGTGGTTTGGGATGTATGCTGATCCTAATAGGTACCGTGGATGACCTAAATCTGATGGAAGGGGCGCTGAAACCTAGAAGGGAAATTTATGTTAAGGATAGGGTGAGCTGGTTCCATGGGGTGGAAGGGGCGAGGGAGAGTCAGATCTCTGAGTGAATGTCGCATGTAAGAGGTGAATATAAGAAAACATATGCATTGATGTACGCATGCAGAAAGCTCATCGTGATTAGAGTTTTGCATGTGAACACGATCGGATTCTTATGGGGATTCCGAACCGGTCTATCGAAATGAGGGTCAGGAGCAGAGCTTGCCCAATGCAGTGTGAAGTAGCGGCTTTGTGCTCAACAATCACGAAATGTGGCCAACGTCTCCTAGCCGATGATGCTTACCAAATCCCCGAAACCCCCATGATCCGTACAACCCATCCCTGCATAGCACCAGGAACGAAAGAAACGCCGCCAACCCTGCCGATCGCAAGAAAAGCGTAACAGTGTCCCAACGAACGCACGCGACGCGCGCCATAATTGTTTTTCCTAGCTGAGAGACCAAAACAAGTCCAGCAACGAACCCTTTTTCATCATCGTACAGAACCAGGGGGTTCTTCGTTCACGAACATGTGGAGTTGTTGAAGTGTAAGCATGCGGAGTCGGATATAACGCCGTTTGCTGTAATAACATCGATGACGAAATGACATATACCTAGCTTACAGAGCAACACAACAACAACAACCAGCCAGATAGGCAGCCAACCATCCAGTTGAACGAGGAGATAATCGACTTGCATATCTGACCGATCAACAAAATCAGCACCATATCGAACATTTCTAATCACTCACCTTACAAATCCTCCTGCAACAGAAATCAAGAGGGGAAGGAAGGGACGGTTAAAGGAGGGAAGGGGAGGACAGCAACCATGAAGTTCATCAAGCAAATAGCCCAGCGCTTAAACCCGGATTTACACATCCCTGGGACCGATAGCCCGCCGTCGTCACCAGCACCACTACGGAAAGCAAAGAGTTCATCGTCACTTCTAGTAACAGAAAAGCGGAAGGGCATATCGACGCCGCCTTCCAATTCATCTCTAAGAAAAAAAGCGAGTTCCATGTTTCTGGCCCGAGGACCAAACGTACAAGATTTCGCTACTTGGGGAGATTCGCCAACAACATCAGTTGCTACTACCTCGGCAACAACAACAGCAACAACAACACCAGTATTAGGGCACGCACGATATTCCTCAGGCCCGGCACTAAGCTCAGCTGCGACATCTACGAGAACACGAGGTTATTCCACACAGACATCTACGCGAACTTCAACAATCACCGGGACGCCAGATCCTAGGTGTTCGTCGCCGACATTGCCGGCAATAGCACCGACACTACCTATAGCAACCGCCATGTCGTCCGTTCGTACCTCCGATAAATTGCAGCCTTACTTTCCTCTCGCAGGCCAAGCCAAGGACGGCTACTCCAATGCCGAGGAAGCCACAGCGACGTGTTATTGCGGCGCTGTTCAACTTGCTTTCCCGGTCGAGGGTCCTGGTTTGATATCTACATTCGTGTGTAACTGCACAGATTGTCGGAAAATCACTGCGAGTATGTTTGCTTCGAACTTCACTATCAAGGATAGGTACGTTGCTTTCTCTTTTTTTTCCTTTCCCCTTCTCTTCTGTTCCATATCAATGATGCTATCGAATCCTAAAAATATAGAAAAAGGAAACAATCAATCTAACATGCTACAGCCACCTTCGTCACCTGCGCGGGCAAGAAAATCTCTCCGTCTACAGTCAAGTCGCGACAATAGCTTCAGGCCATTCCATGGCAAACTATTTTTGCAAAACATGCGGTACGCTCATGTACCGTGTCGGCGCCGCCTTTCCTGGCTGTTCCATTTTACGCTTGGGTACGGTGGATGATTTCAATCTGGTAGAGACCAAGTTGAAACCACAGCGTGAGCTGTTTGTTAAGGATCGTGTGAGTTGGTTTAGTGGTGTGCAGGGAGATGAGGTGAAGAGGATGCAGGCTATGTTGTGAGGGGGCGTCTGGAAAGGTGGATGGTGAGGGAATGAGGATGCGAATGATGGGGGAGAGTATATTGTAGGGAGGGAACTGGGTCCATAATGGTGTAATATTAACATGGGATGGAGAGTAAAAGTATGTTGAGTATCATCACGGTGATGTGAGACTATAAAACGATGCGTTAGACGAGTAGATCTCGGTATATTCCTCGGTGTATTGATATATTGCATTCACGAGAAGAGACTATCTCGAGGATGCCAAGGAGTCCTTTTGAACAATGTCTATAAACTGTCGTTCCAAGACATCCCACTTTTGTTCACCTAAAGTTATAACGCCACGCTGATGCATAGTAGTGATAGGAAGAAGAAAGACGTTACAGAAGCTATTTGAAGCATGTCACCTACCTAGGGTGTCACTCACAGCCACTCATCCACATCATCCGCTACATCCATATCAGCATCCACTCCACCAGTCTGATGGCCCTCGTCTTCTTCGACCTTGATCTCTTGCTCTCCGATGGTAGCGGAAGAGCCATCATCATCGTCATAGTTCGCTGCGGATGCGTCAGTTGTGGTTGTGACAGACCTGAGACCACCAAAGGCGTCGTTAGGAACCCATGCGAGATCTAGTTTTCCGATATTGGGAATGTTAAGAGATTGATCGAGAAAGTCCTCAGCCTGATATCGTTCTTTGAAGGTTAAGATAAGAGCATCGTCTTGCTCAGGGTGACGCTCGATGCTGCACTCAGGGATGTTCTGGAGACATTATTAGCAGGCGAAAACATATGTGTGAGCAAGCTCCACTTACAAGAAGGTGCTGCCTCAAAGATTCATCCCTTGGTGTGTCAGGCTTGATGCCCGTGACAGCCAGGCGCCTGGGCCTATTATCCAGTTTTTTATTCGCAGCCCGACCAACAAAACCACCTGCACGACCACGATACCCTCCCCGGTAAGGGGTATAGCCTCTACCTCGAGGTGGGAAGGGAACGTAACCCCGGCCTCGATAAGCTCCATGAAACGCGCCATGGCCGCGATCACTAGGCGAGGGCTCATCTGGACCATGCTGATCGAAAAGTTCTGCAGCCTCGGCTTGAAGCGTCGCAAGAGTTTGCGAAAACTCGTCCGACGGGTCACCTGATAGTTCTGCAAGTTGACGCTTTATCTCTGCTATCTCTCTGTTCTTTTCCTCCAGCTGTCGCTCAATCTCTGCGGCCCTCGCATCTGCTTCCTGAGCCTTACGGCGGCGCTCTTCAAACGTTTTCTGAGCTTCCGCTTGCCTAATCGCAATCGCCTCCAGGTCAAGCTTTTCTTCTTCTTTGCGCTTTGGACCCTCCATGTCAACATCCTCATCCTTTTCATGGGACAACCTTTCCCCTGTGTCCAGCCCGTACCAGTAGACCTTAACGAACCGGTTCTCGAAGACCGCCTTGGGGCTATGAAAAGCTTGGTTAGCAGCCTGGCGGTTGGCAAACTTGATGACCGCCAAACGCCTCTTAGGATGTAGCTCCAGATTGGATATATCACCAAACTCTGAGAAGTAACCTCGTATACTGTCGTCGTTGAAGTGTTGTTGTGGAATCTGTTCAACGACCAGCGTGGTATTCGATCGGTCATGCGAGTAGCCTGGCAAGGAGAACGACGATCGTGGTCTACGACCCTTGGGAGGGCGACGCTGGCCACCGGAGGCTGCTTGTTTGCCAAATGTTTTTTGTGGCTGGACAGCGAGGAATGACTGCTCTGGATCATACTCGGGTATCTCGTCTGGCGAAACAGTCACCGCGGCATCGCTATGCTCGTATGGACAAAGGTTGCCCAGTGCGCAGAAGCCCCTTTCGTAATAATCAGCACACTTTGTCTTAGGTCGCCCTTGAATCGAATCGTCATCTTGCCCGGTGGGAAAAGGAAGCTGAGGCATGCCTGGCAGGTTCGCTCCAAAAGCTGCTGCCATCGCAAAGAAAGCCATGGGGTCTGAGGGATCAAATGGTAGAGGCCCTGGGGGTGGTGCCGGAAGGTCCGTGAAGTTTGGCATGCCAGCAAAGCCACCGAAGGTATTCTGTGACCGTACATCTCCAGCTCCAGCATTCCTACCGCCTCTACGGGCGGTCTGCTTCGATGGCCTATTGTTCCCACCAGCGCTGCGATTATAGTGTGCATCCTGGCCTTCTCGCGACTGGCTATCACCCCTTTCCAGCACCTTGCGCTTCCTTGACTGATTCGAACCATCTTGATATATGCCCTGCGCGGTCGGTCGGTCGGGTAGGTGGTGTGATGCCGTTGAGTTCCTGGTCGCGGCAGGACCTCTCGGGGCCTCAGATGACACATTCGACGGATGCGGTTCGTATTCGAAGTTCGTACTGCCTACTATCGACTGTATGGGCGCTGACTGTGAGGTTTGAGCTTGAGCCGACAAAGGTGGTATCGCGTCATAGTGTTTTGGCTCTGGGAGGTAGCTCTTGGCTTTGAGTCCTGCAATGATGTCTTTTGCAAAGGGTTCAGTGCCTTTCACTTGTTAGTGACCAAGTACAACATCGCCTTCAAGTGCGCTTACTTTCTCTGCCAAGGAAGTCCTCCAACGACTCGATCAAAGTACGTTGAACGTTTGTTTCCGTATCGTCAACTGTCACGAGCGCGGCTACATAGTCAGCAAGAACTCCAGCTTCAGCATCGGAGCTGCAATTCTTGTCAGTACCTTGCGACAGTACAACAGCTTTGGTGAGAGCCATGGCTACCTCCTACTTACATTTTCTCGAGCTTCGGTAGCAACCAGCTCTTGAAATCAGCGTGATTTTTCTCTTCGAGTAACATTGTAAATTTTGCGGACAACTTCCGCTCTCACCCGCGTCGCGTGACTCTATCAATATCGATTCGATTCGCAGGTTTAGTACTGCGTTGTTGGCGTTGTTGGCGTTGTTGGCGTTTCTGGTGGGTCCTGAACGGAACCAAGCGTACGTCTTTCGCGTTGCTCCTAGCGCGACGACAATGTCATAGCTCTCTTACTCGTGTGCACATGACATCTATGCCCCACTACATTCACCCCTCGACAGCATTACCTTTACCCTCACATTTCATGCATGCAATACATACAAGCGAACGTATAATGCACGTCCATTGCGATCGCCATGCAAAGTTACTCAACAGCTTGTGCCTGCACGTTAGCACCATCATCATCTTCATGGTAGTAGGCAGACATATTGTGCGATATAGCTTGATTTTCTCTAACTATACTACACTGAGAACAGGTAAGGAAAAGGGTCATCATCCGTATCTTTCGTGCAAAGCCCCAAAAACCTGACTAATATCAAGGGCGAAACCGCCCGGACCGACATTTACTAGTTCTGGTTGCTCCAAGTGAGAGCCGTTTGCGTCATACATTGACCAGCGGCCACGAGCTTGCCCATGACTGTCGGATGACCCAGAATTGCGAGGAAAGGAAATCTAACGCTTTTGCTAGCATTCCCTTATAGCTTGTCGTAGTACTGCGAAATCTGTTAGCATCTGCTGGTTCGTCGTCATGTTTGAATAAACTTACGTTGGAGACATCGGGCACCTCAGTCTTGATACCCTTGCGCTTACGCATGTCGAACACGATCTTACCGACCATGGTGGTGGCGTCAAGTGGCGAGCCACCCTGGAGATGTTGCCAATGGTCGAAGACTTGTTGTGGGAAGGCCTGTCCACCGGTGGCGGCACGGAGATCGGCGGTGAAACCGAAGGACTCGTTGACGGGAAGGTAAGCCTTGACGTTGAAGAGAGGAGTACCAACACGCTGGTTCTCCTCGAAGACGTGACCTCTCCTTCGGGTAAGGACACCGTAGATACCACCCATAGCCTGCTCGGGAACCTGGATCTCGACGAGGTAGACGGGCTCGAGCAGAGTGGGCTCGGCAAGGAGAGTGGCAGCGTAGAGGACACGGCGCGCGGTGGGGATGATCTGACCACCACCACGGTGAATGGCATCAGCGTGGAGAGTGACATCCATGATGTTGAAGCGGATAGAGCGCATGGGCTCCTCAGCAATGGGACCTTCCTTGGTGGCCCACTGGAAACCAGAGACGACGGAGTCCTTGATTTCACTCAAGTACTGGACAGCCTTGGTCTGGTCAACGAGCAAGTTGGCACCAGTGGTGTCGGGACCGAAGCACCAAATCTTACGGGCGTCGGTAACGTCCCAGCCGTGCTCGTCAGCAAGGATACGGGCACGCTGCTTGATATCGTCACGAGGAGCGATCTTGCCCGACTCAATGGCCAGAGAGACAGCCTCGTCCAAAGGTTGAGCAGTGAGGTAGAGACGGTTGTGCTTGTTGGGCGACTTGGACAGCGCGGTGATGCTGGAAGTGGCGTTGACAGTCTCACGGTACTGGACGACGGGGTCGGAGATACGGAGAGGAACACCGGCGTGGTCCTCCTCGAGATCCTTCAAGCAAATCTCCAAGTGCAACTCACCGGCACCAGCGACAACGTGCTCACCGGATGGCGAGATGTAGGTCAAGACGCAAGGGTCGGACTTGGAAAGACGCTTAAGACCTTCGACAAGCTTGGGAAGATCCTGGGCGTTCTTGACCTCGACGGAACGCTGCACGACGGGGGAAACGGAGAACTTCATAACCTTGAGGTTGTGGGCAGTCTCGTTGGTAGTGAGGGTACCAGACTTGAGCAAGAACTGGTCAACACCGACAAGACCGAGAATGTTACCGGCAGGGACGTTGTCAATGGGCTCGACGAAACGACCCATCATGAGAATGGTACGCTGGATGGCCTTGATGAACAGGTCCTCCTTCTTTCCGGGCTGGTAGTTGGGGCCCTGAATGCGGACCTTGAGACCAGAACGGACGGTACCGGAGAAGACACGACCGAAAGCGTAGAAACGACCCTTGTCGGAAGTGGGCACCATCTTGGAGACGTACAGCATGAGGGGACCGTTGTGGTCACAGTCCCGGATACCGATGGCGTTGACATCGTCGTGGGGACCCTCGTAGAGAGTCTCCATACGGTATCGCTGGGCAGTGACGGGAGAAGGAAGGTGGAGAATCATCATCTCAAGGAGAGCGTCAGCGGCGGGAAGGAACTTCCTCATGACGACCTTGAGGAGCTGCTTGCCCTCGAGATCCTTCTCATCGGAGGTGAGCTTGATCTCGAGCTTCTCGAGGAGAGTGGGGATCTCGTCGGTCTTGAAGTTCATGACGGCCTGGAAGATGCGGAAGATGGGGTCCAAGATGAACTGGTTGAAAGCACGCTCAAGGGTCTTACCCTCGTGAGTGCCAACCTTGGTCCACTTCTTGGTCTTGGGGTTGAAGAAGCTGTCACCCTGCGTTTTGTTAGCAACTGCTGCAGATTAGTTTGATCGGTGCACTTACCCAGAGGCGCTCCATCATCTTGTTCTTGTCGACACCGAACTTCTTGGCGTAACGGGTGGCGAACTGGCGGATGGTGAAAGCCCAGCCGTGGAGACCGGAACCGAAGGCGATGGTACCCTTCTCGGGGTAGACCTGGACATCACCAAGGGCCTTGTCGTAGTATGTGGCAATGACGACGTTGACGGACTCGATGACACGGGAGAAGTTCTGGTACAGATCCTCCTTGCTGAGCTGGAGCTCGAGAAGAGCACGGTCGACCTTGTTGATGATGACAACAGGCTTGATACGCTCACCAAGAGCCTGACGCAGGACAGTCTCGGTCTGGACGCAGACACCCTCGATGGTGTCGACGACAACGAGCGCACCATCGGTGACACGGAGAGCAGCAGTGACCTCAGATGAGAAGTCAACGTGACCGGGCGAGTCGATCAAGTTGATCAAGAAGTCGTTCTTGGTGGTGGGAACGGGGATGTCCTTGAGGTCCTCCTCGTCCTTGAGGGTGGCGTACAGGGAGATGGCAGTCGACTTGATAGTGACACCACGCTCCTGCTCGTCAGCTCGGGTGTCGGTGAAACGAGCCTCACCAGCCTTGGCAGCCGAGATAATACCGGCACGCTGGACGAGCGAGTCGGTAAGGGTGGACTTTCCGTGGTCGACTGTGGTGGGGTATGTCAGCCATCTTTCCTGCTAGGTACTGCGGGGTTTCCACGAGAGCGCTTACCGTGGGCAATGACGGACATGTTCCTAATGTTCTTAGGGTCGTCCATGAGACCACGGATCTAGCCGCGCAGTCAGTATTCATCCTTCGATTCCGGCCAATATCGACGTGTGGTGCGGGGTGATGTGCGCGCGAAACGTACCTCCTCGACGGTGAAGCTGTCGTTGCGTTAGCCATTGTTCAATTGTTCCCACAGACAAGAGACAAAAATGCCCCAGTCTGAGAGGAAGCAGGCAGGGTTGGCGACAACTTACTTGACCATCTTTGCGGTGTTGGTACTGTTCTTCTTTTACGAAAATTCAGTGGTGGGGAGATGTCGAATACCCCGCTTTGAGCGCGCGGATTCGGTGTATAGGTCGCGGGTTGAGCTGATGTCTCTGGCGATGCAGTCGACCAGAGTCAGACAGACGGGAAATTGATATAGGCCGTAGAGGCGGGCGTGCGTCTGGTTGAGAAGAGTTCTGCGAGGGGGAGCGAAGGTTTTTAGTAGAGCTAGTGGTGGGGTCAGTCGCGCTTTCCTCGCTAAAGCACGGCCCACTGGTGGCGCGAAGTAGCCTTGAATGCCCAAAGTGGTCATGCTGCGCCGCCCTTTTCTCCTGCACTCCGCACAACATCCAATTCTAATTTCTGCTATTATCCCAGATTTAAAGGAGATGACTCCACTGATCTGTTCTGGTACTGCCAGTTGTTTGTCTGGGGATGGTGATGCAACGGCCCAATACATGTCATTGGGTAGCGCTGCGACACATGTGGATCATGATCGGGGGAAATATCGTCACTGGTAATTTCGACTACTAGATTTGGCCTTGCAGCGGAAGAATGCATGGCTGCATGTGCCTCAGTTAAGCATTTGTGGCAAGTCTACGCCTTGAAAAAGCACAAATACTTACACATTCATTATGCACCGCTGCGATGACTACTAATGTGTCTATCCATTCGACGCAAATGACCTGCGTCTGGATTGTGAGAGCGGTACCAACGTCTCTTTTGAAAGCTGATGACCATGACAACCTAATCGAGCATTTTGGGATAGTCTCCGCCCTCAATGAATGAGAACAGCTTGACTCTTACTTTCCGACCCAAACGATTGGGTCAAGATCAGACGCCTTGCTAGTTAGCGCTTTGAAATCCAGTCTGAAGGCGACTGTGTGGTGTGATGTTAGGCTTACCCCCGGTACCCCCGCAGCCTCTCCAGAACCACCGCCTATCCACGTCTCAGCTCCTCAGTGCACTTGACATGACAGATTTGATAATATACATGTAACATGATGAGAGCTGCATGTCCAGGTGTCATGTTTGAAACGAGGTTTGGAATGTGGTCATTGTTTCATTCCAGAGACTGAATTACTACGTTGACTTGTCTTTGAACATGGTTTTCGTAAGTCGAACATGAATCACCTCACTTTTTGCCTCCCCCTCCCCCAGGGAGACCGAGTAGAGCAATCAGGCCATGAATTCCATTCCTCAGAACCACCTCTGTCTCTACCTCTCCCTGTACCATTGCTATGGTCGTTGCCGGTATTCGCCCATTGGTGCCCGCCATTCGCAGAGAGTGCCTTGTTCTTGCTGGCTGGTTGCTTCCTCTTAACATCTGCTGTGAATATTACCTCGTTGCGCAGTTGAGACCTGGTAGGTGGGTATAGCTCATGTGCCGGCACGACAAGCGTCATGCGTTCCGGATGGACAAAAGCTGTCGATGACCGTGGCTCTTCTTGCTTTCTAGGGTTGTTGCCTGAAGGAATACCCTGCGACGGGGCTTTATCCCGGAAGGAGAATGTACAGTATAGGTCATCTAATTCATGACTGTAGCCAGGTCCAACATGGTAATCTCCCCTGCCACGTCCTCGGTCAGCAAAGCTCCAACCCCCGTCTGGAAGCGTGGATTGGCCAGGATAATCGAATTCTGCTCATGATTCGCTTCGCCAAGGGAGGACATGGACAACCTTCGTGGTAGAAGCTTGGGGCTCGGTTCTCTGTGTTGGGCGGCTCTACCATCACGTACGTTGCCCCGTTTCTTTCGATCCTGTGCACGAGGTCGTTTCCGTGAGCCTCTACCACGTCCTCCATCTTTTGATATCTTATCATTGAAGGAGGCAACGACACCATCATTGGCTGTCTTCTGCACATTGCCTCTGTTCAAGACATCATCGAAGTTTGGGGTACTTCTCGATGGGTGAAAACTGTCGTCCACCTTTGAGACGGGCTCACTACTTGACGCCACTTCTGAACGCTTCCGGAAATGATCCCAATATCTCCCTCTGTTCCCAGTATCCGTGTTGTTTTCCTCGTCACCCCCCACCATAATTGGACCGCCGCGCCAGTGATTAGCAACGCTGATAGAGTCCTATCAATAATATTTAGCTTCGTCCTTATCCTGCCTCATAGAATAGCGCAAAGATAGAACAGCAAAATCAAAATGCAAATTCCATGTTTGTACTCAACGCACTCTTCCAACTCTTGCTCTATCCCTTTCCCTCTCATCTGCCCTTGGGTCGCTCGGTACCGGTACCTCTACCTCGTACTCCTCTTCCTCAACCTTGTGGAACTTCTCAACCTCGGCGCGTTCATCGTGTGCGCGCGCTGCGTCCAGCATAAATCTCACCGTGCCATTCTGACCACGAATGCCGATTGCAGATTTTGGCGCTTGATCCACGCCAGGCGAACGTGCGACGGGAGTAGCTGGTGTGAGTGGACTTGTAGGGTCGATGCCGTTGCGAGACTTGGCGCCATTTGTGGTGCTTGCCGCGTCGGCGACCAACTCAGACTTGTACTGAGAATAACGTGGGATTTTCGCTGCTGAAGCCTCTTGGTTGAGCCCAATGCGAATATTGATAAAGTGCTCAAGCGTATAGGAAGGTCCAACCGAGGTCGCGCTGCGGTGATGGGTGTACAGGTCGAGTAAATCAAGGAGCGTCTCCATAACCTCTGCCCGGCTGGTAGCCCATTTGCTGTATCTAACGGGTCCCGTATCTACGAACTTTGTTGTGTCTTTCCCATGCAGTCGTGCGGCAAGCTCCAAGCACGCGATAGCTAGGGTTGGCGTAGACTGTTTCAATGGTGCAAATGTCCTGTATGAATCTATGCTCAGATTCCAGAGTGTTTTGGCCTCGTCTTTCGAGTCAAATCGCAGAGCTCTGGCAAGCTTGACCATGACTTTCTGGGGGTATCGGTTGCGAAAGTCGAAGCCGGCGCTTTCGAGCATGAGCCGTTCGAGGCCAATGATGAGTTTGGAGTGGTTCTCGAAGCGCTATTGGAGGTTAACCTTGATCCTGTAATAACCATTCCTATCGTCAAAGGTGCCTACCGGATCGTCGCTACTTAGGCTCTCGCCCGGCCCAACTTTGAGGTTCCAGTGGGCGCATAAGATTTCCCTACTCTTTTTCAATGTATCCTCAATCTTGCAGGCCGTGAAGAGTGCTGCAGCTGCCGCATCTGCCCAGTTGTACTCATTATCCGCGTGCAACAACCTGAACTTGTGGTAGTAGATCACAGCTGTGTTGAAGGTGCGGATAGGCAATTGCAGCGCACGCCGGACTTGATCTATCCAGGCGACGCCTTGCAGACGTACGGCATCTTCCTTGGCATCGCTCATATGTATCTCCGCGAGACATTTCTGCATGCGCGACTGTAGGATATAGGGCTTTGCGATTTCGATGTATGACGGGTGCGGCCCAACGCGCTCAGGGTCGCGTCCCGAGGGAGAGGCGGCGGGCGCCATAGCGTGCGCTTGTGTCCGGATGCTGTGCTGTGCTGGAGGTAAATACGTTCTTGTGGCCGAGTGCATGCGGGTGTTCGTTGAATGCAGCCTAGACGTGCAGAATTGGAAAAGTATTCACTTCCGCGGTGAAGGCTCGCTCGACGGTCCCGGGTAACGAAATGCGCTTCGAAAGAAGAGTTAAGGACTGTACAAAGCGCGAGTTGCTACGGGCAGGCTGGCGGTGGAAGGATGAAGACTATCGGCATGTGGAGTGGACCAAAAGTCTGTGGTCATAGCTCTAGTTCCTGGCCGCAAGCTTGGTGCCCAGGTAAGCATGCGCCGAACTTGTCATGTATGATTTCATAATAATGCACAATAGACCGCGATTGCTGATATACGTTCTTCATGCCATTATCTGAGTCCTATATGAACCGTTCCCTCCCCAGCCTATCCTCTCGTCCCAGTATTAATTCATCCCAGCTTACACTGTACTCATGAAGCCAACGGGCCACTTCTCAAGAAGCGCCAAGGGCCGTAATCATTATAGTCTAAAGATGCAAGACCAGAGTACAAACGTAACTCTGCCTTGGACGAACCAAATTTTGAATACCGAAATCACGGCTGCAAATGCAAGAAAAGATCGCTCAAAGTGCGCGTCACGTGGAATGCAACGTGAATTATTTATGCCGTAGTACGGTCTTTGAATGTGAGGAGGCAGTCATCCTGTGATGTGTTAGCAACAACTCCTTGTATCATGTCAGACGTTCTGACTTACCATAGGGAAAATAGTGGCGAACACTTTGATCGCCTCGCTCTGGTCGGTAACCTTGTGGTCCCAGTCAAGAAGCATACTCGCCTTGCCAATCATCAACATGAGGTTGGCTTGTGCGTATGTCTGACCCAGGCAGTAGTGGGGACCAGTGCCGAATACAAGCCAGTTCTTGGTCTGTTGATCGGCGTTACCGGTGATCCATCGCTCAGGCTCAAACGAGTCGGGGTTGGGGTATGCCTCAGCATCGTGTAGCGCCATGTAGGTGGTAGGAATGACCATGGAACCCTTAGGGACGGTGTATTCAGGCGTTACAGGGAAGTCCTTCTTAGCAAGGTAAGGAACCATGATGACTGGGGGACGGTAGCGGAGTGTCTCCTTAACCACAGCGCGGGTCCATTGCAACTTCTCAATGGCGTCGAGCGAAAGAGTGGCGTGAACGTCGCCATTTCTGGCCTTGATGTTCTCCTCGCGGATTTTGTCGAGGTACTCGGGTCGGTCGGCCATGATCTGGAAGAGCCATGTGGCGGCAGAAGAGGTAGCGTCCTGAGAAGCGAAGAGGAAAGTGAAGATAGTCATAGAGATCTCGATGTCGCTGAACCAGCGGATGACAGTCGCGGGCTTCTCGGCGTCATCAACCTTCTCGCCAGCTTCAATCCTCTTGCGGTACTTTTCGGATTGGATCATGTTGTCTACCCAGAAGTCGAGAATGCACTCTTTCTTGCCACCGGCGGCCATGCGGACTTTGCTCTTTGCGGCGCACTTGGAGAACTCGTCCAGAACCATGTCGGCGCACTTCTTTCCGTACCACGTCTTGGTGAAGGGGATAATGATGGGGAAGTTGACAAGTTCGAGGGCAGCGGTGATCAGATAGTAGTCGTCGGCAATCTTCTTGACAGCCTCGTCCGAGCAGTAGTGGCCAACGAAGGTACGGCAACTCAGGGCAGTAATCATGAGGCGGAACTCCTGCATCCAGGGAACGTGCTTGCCCTTGTTCTCCACCTGCGAAAGCTCGACGAAACGCTTGAAGTATTTGTTATAGATCTCTTCTTGGCCCGGTAGGTACTGTTCGAGCGCTTGGCGAGTAAACAAGCTGTTGAGACCTTTGCGGTAGTCGACGTGGGCACGACCGTCAAGGAAGACCCAGTTCTCGGGGCGGAGGAGTTTGTAGGCGACATCGACAACACAGGGTTTGACAAAGTTAGGCGAGTTGAAGATCTTACGAGCCATGTCGCGGGTGGAGGCAATCACAACAAATCTGAAGAGCGGTTAGTATGGGTAGAGACTGAGAGCGGATGCATGGGTTGTGTACTTGTGGAAGACGGAAACGCAGCTCAGAGGACCTGAGGACCATTTCTCATGGTACTTGTTGAAGTCGGGATTGACAGACTCCAGGAATGGGCCGATGAAGGGTATTTTCCATGATGGACCAACGATTGAACCCTTGTTCCAGATGTACTTGACTGCGAGAGGGTCAGCAATGTCCGGCGCAAACGTGGTTGATGTAGTGCATACACTGGTCGTACGCCACAGCCGTTATGATAAGCGTCAAGGCAAGCTTCCACACGTTGAAGCCGGTGAAGACGGAGGAAAGGAGGCCGTTGGTGTCGAATTGCTGGATGACATGCGCAACTTTTGCATCCGCCGTGGGCGAGACGAAACTCGCGTTGACCGCCATATCGAAGAATTATGATCGCGCCGCGCCGTGTAATGTACAGAAGAAAGCGCGAGGATCGCGGAGGGGAGGACGTAGGGAAAGCCACGGAGAGTCAATCGAAGCCGTATTAAATTCCCATGCGAGGACAAGGCCGAAAGAGGGTCTCTGATTGTTTAATTGCAGAGCTTGGCGCAAGCGGTGGCCACTGCAAAAGGAGCCATGTCAATCACATCAACTTTCGGAATCTAGTGCGTTATAGGTCTGGCGTTGCACGGCGGTTCGGATTTAGCAAGTCCGGGCGCGCGACGACTGGTCTCGCATGGATGATGCTGTCGTATACTGGACGGCATTGTTGGTCGGCCGATACGGTCATACGAGCGATGCGTGTCGACGGCACATGCAGAAATGTTGTCGGAGACTAAGCCTAAGTTGTCGTTGTGTTAGAAATCCACTCACGTCTCAGATCTCGAGATCTAGGGACCGGTGCCTGCCCAGCTTTTCAGGCACACGGCCAATCGGCGCCTTCGCCCGCACCGTCAGCACCGTGTGCGGAACTCCAGTTCGTAGATCGCATGTCAGCCACGCCACATGGACAGGCTCATATACACAAGATCAAGGTTGCCCAAGGCTACGACCGAGGAAGTTGGTGCAGTGTGTTTGCTAGATGATAACAAGGCCATACTCAGCCTGACTAGGCATAGTGACATTCTATCACCAAAGAAAGTACCAACGCAATGAACAACACGACAATACCAGCCCCCTTGTGCACTTTTCTCTTTATTTATCAGGAGTTAAACTGGTCTGGCAGACCTAGGCCAATACCTCCCCTCTCTAACAGGGTGCTTCGCCCAAGTAGCTAAAACTGAATCCATACCCCATCGCTCGCGAAGCATTGCGTCCGCCTCGTCAGCGGGATAACACCAGAGCATGTCGTCTCCAACCATTCCCGGAGCTCCAAGGTAGAACTCCTGGTCCCAGTGATATTGACCCTGATGAACACTTTTTTCCTGCAATACAGTTAGTTCGCGGTTGGAGATTGAGCCTTAACATCAGTGGTAGATGTCGCAGGCGAAGTCAGAGCAACGGGTCGAACTTACGTGCTCCCATTGCTCTTTTGTCAACCCAAATACCCTTGTGATATTCCGCGGGAAAGCCGAAATATTCTCGTCGTGGTGTATAATCTTGACGGAGACGTCGTCACAATCGTGCATCATCATGTAGACTAGGTTTCTCATGCATTGCAGGAAATTGACATAGTTGCATTGAGCATCCCACCCCTCCCCCTGGAAATCTGGGAATTCAGTCAGGATGACAAACTCAATGTCGATTCCATGCTTGTGGCGACGCTGCAAGAACCCCTCGAGACCTTTCAGGTTGATCTGAGTAAAGCGTAGGAAGCGCTGTTCGTATGCATATCTTTCGTGTATTATATGGTCTTTTGGCATGTCTGAATGGAACTGCTCGAGCTTGACGCGAATCTGTAGATTTCGGACATGATCTCCGGGGTACACTGGTGGTTGTAGTTGAAGGTCCTTTGGTACATCTTTAGGGGTACCATCTTCCCAACATCCCACCATGTTGTATCCAGAGTCGCACCCTAAGAAGTATGATATTCCCTGCTCAACGCTACATACGGAAAAGGTGTTTTGCGTGTAGTACATCTTCTGTATCTCGAATGCGATTTTTGGACCAACGTATCTGGGGTCCAGGAAATGACTGTATGGAAGTACCATATCACTCGGCGGCTTATGGGTGTGCACTTCTTTGACTCGGCCGTCAGGGAGTATGGTATTATCATCTTCGTGATCGAGTTTGACCTGATCGGCTGGAGTTGAGCAATACATCTCCATAACACGTTCAGTGAGGTCTGAAGCTATTCGTGTATCATCCTCGGACCGTTGCATTCTACGTTGAGGCCTACATTGAGGATCGTGGAAAGGCCGATCGTATTTGCGGAAATGATAGTACGGGCCCACAGGGATAGGACGATCAGGTTCGACGCAAAGGAATTCGTACACCAATTCACGTAGCTCTATGGGAAGTTTCTGGTGCATCATAGTTGCAAGTTGCAGGCAGTCCTTCCTTGCATAGTAGAGTAGATGTTTCCGGTAGATGAGATCGGCGGAGCGCACTTCCTTTGTGGCTTCTTGGAGCTCACGCTCCAGCCTTGCAACTCTGCTACAATTTTAGCTACTCATGTATATATGCAAGCTATTGCATGTGTTCTTCAATTGTGGTTGGTCACAACCGAACTTATGTGCGCAATGTCACAAAGGTGGGTGTGCTTGGCGAACTCACCTCTCATGCTGGGATTGCGACTGCGCCGTCATGCGACGCAAAGGCGCTTGTAGCTGTCCGAGCTCATTCAGATTATCCATTCTGTACAAAATAGCAATGGTTTTTGAAGCCAGGTGAGCTCGGAAGCTCAAAAGTTGTGGATAGTGGAGAGTGCAACCCCACATTCTAGCGCACCCTGCCCATTGGCCAGTCCAAAACGCGTCGCGTAGTCACGCCTTTCGTGTTCATCCATCTCACCTTCGGCATGGGTTGACATGGCCACTATCAAGGCCATTGAGGGCCGCTCTGTGCATCAGATCCAGTCGGGTCAGGTCATTATTGGTCTGGAATCGGTATGCAAAGAGCTTGTCGAAAATAGCATCGATGCAGGCGCCACATCAATTGGTATGTCTCCGCCCACGATCTCTGCTTGATGTGAGATGACTGATGTTGAATACAGAGGTGCGCTTCAAGAACCACGGCCTAGATTCCATAGAAGTCCAGGACAATGGTTCTGGTATTGCGCACGACGACTACGAAACCATCGCCCTCAAGCACTATACGTCCAAACTAGCTAGCTACGACGACCTCTCGTCGCTACAGACATTCGGCTTCCGCGGTGAGGCGTTGTCGTCGCTATGCGCTCTCTCCAACTTTCACATCATCACCGCTCGGCCTTCCGACGGCCCGAAAGGTACCAAACTGGAGTTCGAGCAGTCAGGCAAGCTGAAGGGGACATCGGTGGTAGCGGCTAAGCAAGGTACGATGGTGGTGGTGGAGACACTATTCCGTAATCTGCCTGTACGGCGGAAAGAGCTCGAGAAGAACGTCAAGAGAGAATACAATAAAGTGCTGCAGTTGCTGAACGCATACGCTTGTATAAGCGTTGGCGTCAAGTTCTCCGTGAGCAATCAGATACCGAAAGGGTGAGTACGGACACTGACGCCCACCACTCCTCTATTATACTAACATAGTTCAAGGAAGAAGACGGTAGCTTTCTCCACGAACGCGAATGCGAGCACACGCGACAACATTTCCAATGTCTACGGCGCAAAGACGGTTGCCGCCCTGATCCCTCTCAGCCTCGAATTCGTCATGAACCCTTCAAGTCGGCCGGTTGCCACACAAAGCGCAAGGAACCGGAGCACGCAAGAGGATTCGGGCTCACGGACAGTCAAGATAGTTGGCCATATCTCCCGCCCAGTTGTGGGCGAGGGTCGCCAAACACCAGACAGACAAATGTTCTTCGTGAACTCGCGGCCTTGTAATCTTCCACAGGTCTCCAAGGCAATCAATGAGGTCTACAAGTCCTACAACATTACACAGTCACCCTTTATCTTCGCAGATATTCAGTTGGACACCAACGCCTACGATGTCAATGTGAGTCCAGACAAGCGGACCATCATGCTCCATGACCAGACTGCGCTACTAGAAAATCTTAAAGAAGCTCTTCTAGAGCTATTCGAGAGCCATGCTCAGAGTGTTCCTCAAGCTCAACTCTTAGGCAAAAAAACGCCCATGTCCGCCTACAAGCCACCAACAATACAGTCTCGTGAAAGCACTACATTAGCGGTAGAAGAGGACCAAAGCGAGTCGGAAGATGTCGTTCATTCTCGCCGTGAGACTCCAAAGAGACCTGAATTGAAATCTGTCCCAGACACGCCTGGGACGGACGATCATCCAGGTTTTGTGAAAGCGAGTCTCATCGAGCGATTCGCTGGTCGGGACTCAGAAGACCGAGCAGTTCGTCCAGTCGTTAGACCCAGAAGAACCAGCACCCCCGAGAACAGCAAGGTGACTGGAAATCGCGTGTCCCACCCTCACATGCCTCGACGTAGCGCTACGCCTGGAAATGAAGACCCGGTCGATCCACCACTTGCAAGGCCGCAGTCACCGTTGTTCGAACCGGAAGAGTTGGCTGGGGTCCCTGTCAGGCTTTCTCAGCCTTCCAAGATCGTTCAAGATTTCAACGCCCGCATAGAATCTCAGAGTCCTCGCCGACCAGAACCAGTCAGCTTGTCCAAGCCTTCAGAACCTGCTAGTGATGGAGAGGAAGAACAGCAGCCAATCCCGGCCATCAGACAAACGCCGCAAAAGTCGTGGTCGCAGAGCACTATTCAAAACGCGTTTGACCGCATGCGTCCCATGCGAACCCCACTCCAACAAGCCACGATAACTGTGGGCGACACCACGACGGTTTCCACGATCGGCACCGGAAATCAATCAGCAGCTTCCAGACGGGCCAGGATACACACGCCAAAATTTTCTTTGTCTGGCAAGCCATTAAATCAAACACCCAAAAGGAGGTTGTTCAAAAAGGGTCTAAGTGGCTTTGCGGCACCGGGTACCCAGGCAGAAAGTAGTGATGAGGATGATGAGCAGGAGGAGGCGGAAGAAGATGAAGATGAAGTCGCTCAGGACAGTAATATGTCTGATGCACCCGTACGTTATCCATTTCCAAACGAGCGCTTGCCATCTCGAGGATTTGAAGAGCCACGAACCGATGATATGGAAGTCTCTTCCAACACCCCGCCACGGCGCTCAAGAATCGCTCTGGAAGAGCATCAAGTAGCGGAATCAGCGTCAGTCGCTGAAGCAGAGCCTCAAGCGGAGGTGGAAAACACAGACGACGAGTATATTGAGGACTCTGAGAAGAAGGAAAGAGAAGAAGCAAAGATTGCGCAGCTCATCGCTGAAGCCGAAGAAGCTGCTGCCCGACCCACCGAATTGAACTTGAAGCGGGCCAACAAACTGTTCAAGATCACCCAGAAAAAGTACTGGACCATCAATCTTGAGCGCGTTATCGAGACAGACGTCGACGCCATTGCTCGGCATCTACAGAATATCCAGGCGTCTATCGATGCATCGACGGCAAAGACCGATGCGGCGGCTGCGCTTCCCACCAGTACCCAGCTGAACCAAGACGATCCCGAAGAACGGCTGAGTCTTACAGTAACGAAGGCTGACTTCAATGAGATGCGCATTATTGGTCAGTTTAATCTAGGCTTCATCATCGCCGTGCGACCACCCACACCCACATCGCCCATGTCAGACCTGTTTATCATCGATCAGCATGCGAGCGACGAAAAGTACAACTTCGAGCGTCTTTCTGCGACAACAACGCTGGTGCCACAAAAACTCGTACATCCACATCCTCTCGAACTCACTGCTGTTGAGAAGGAGATCATTCGCGAAAACAAGCACTCGCTTACCGCCAACGGCTTTGTCGTTGATCTGGAAACTGTAGATGACAAAGAAGCGGATCATCGTGCACAGCTGGTCTCACTGCCCATGTCGAAGGAGGTCACTTTCACCCCAACAGATCTGGAGGAGCTCTTGGCACTCATTCTAGAGAACCCACCTTCCTCCTCCACTTCCACATCGCGGCACATACCACGCCCTTCTAAGGTTAGGAAGTTACTTGCGAGCCGCGCTTGCAGGAGTTCAGTAATGATCGGTAAGACTCTTCAGCCGCCACGGATGAGGGAGATTGTTCGACACATGGGCAGTATGGACAAGCCCTGGTCTTGTCCACATGGTCGACCTACTATGCGCCATCTCTTTGGTCTGGAGAAGTGGCAAGGCTGGACCGAAGGAGACGGGGTGTCAGGAGTTGATGTACAAGGCGAGAAAACCGATTGGAATGCCTACTTGAAGAACAACAAGAAATGAAGCGAACAAGAGGCATCTCGATGTTGCACCGTAGAGCCAGAGTACTCGAGTATTATGATTGTAACCCGCTTGGGGTTTGGCGTTCTGGTATCGTGGAAATGGATGGTCACAACCGGCGTATATTATTCAGTCATTCCTAGAAAGTCGATCCAATTATTAAAGTACTTATACAGCAGGCCACACATTTTCTGTTATAGCAACAAGAATCACATCCGCTAGGGAGATGCTTAGAAGTACAATCAGCTATGGCAGACTAGCAAGGAAACAGAACGCCCAGGCGTATGCCTCTATAGATTGAGCTGTTGGCACTCTCGTTTGGTCAGTAGTCTTCCACGTCTTGGATTGACTGGATGATGGAAAGAAGAAGCAGTACTCTGGAGTGGCAGTACACTGGAAACGCGATTACGTTTATGTGAATTAGATTGGAAGGTTTCATGCCGCCGGGTTCGTCTAAACACTGTCACATGCGAGAAATTGGCGATGATGCTCATGATGCGTTTGTGCGTTTGCCAGCACAGGCTCTCGCCAGCGATGTAGCTTGCTGCACCGCGGGTGTCTTCAAACAACTCGTAGTCCATTGAGAGCTCTACCCCCCTATTTCCCGTGCGTCAACCATCAGTTTAGTCATTCGCCTACTAGGCATCCAAAGCCATGACATCCGAAAGTACTACCTATTCAGTCTCAGCCGGAGACTTCTCCTGGGAAAATGCCAAAGTGCTTTGGGTCATAGTCATTATCATCGCCAGCCTTATTCCCCTCCGCATCATCTACAAAATCATCGGGAAGATACTTAGGCGACAGTATGAGAGGGACCAAGAACACGGACTCGTTGAGCTAGTTCAAGCCACATCGAGAGCGGAGCTGGAAAACAATAGGGCAGAGATACAAAGGCCATCACGAGTGTTGACAAGAAGAAGTAGCGAGATATCGGCGTTACCGCGGTATGGTTCGGATCAAGGGGAGTTGTGCGATGAATATGTTGAGGTTGCGAAGAGAGGGAAATACAGTTATGTGGTAGCTGATCACTGGCCTGAGGGAGGGAAGGATTGAAGATACAAGTGCTATTATGTGAATAGATGATGTGGTGAAAGGTTAGGAAATCCAGAGACGGTGACGTGCTGGCTTTGGCCTTGGTGGTATAATAAAATGGAGACTCAGTAACAACACGACCGTTTGTCATGAGCTTTCTCGTCCTCTCAGTCTTACCGCAGCACCTGAGACACCGTACCTATAATCCGACGCCATAATACCGTCTTGTCAAGCTCAATCAGTACTACATTCGCGCTTATGATGAACCAGTTCTACGAGATCTTCATGCTGTTTGGCCTTTGCCTCACGGTTCCGCTTATGTTCCATCTAATCTTCATAAGTGTCAAAAGCCCCATGCCAGTCCGTAGTTGAGGACGTCTATTCTGCGAAGACGAACTTCTACATCGTGCCAGAGAGCACGCAAAGATCAGGGTGACTTTTAGCAAGCTGATTAGAAAGCTACGAATTCTGATCATGGGTACCAAAAAGGATGTATGTGTCAGAAAACGGTGGTTACGGCTGGCGATACAGCTGTTGCTATTTACTTGAGCATTTGGATGTAATGGCTGTTCGTGACTGTCTTCCTCTTCTTCTTTCGTAGGTCTGTGATTGTGCTTGCGCAGTAATGATGAACGACCCAACTTCCGTGAAGGTGCAGATACGTACGTTCTCATTCATCATAACTCATGCCACCTACCATCGAATTCACTTCCGGCCTCCCACATGCCACAATGTCGTCTACTTACCCTCGCCGCATCACCATTCTTTTCTCTCCATATTCAGCACCACACTCCAAAACCGAACCCACACTATTGATACTACGTTCCAGCAGCAAAACACCCACTCGGTAATGCCGAGCGACCCGGTTCCCATCTTCTGGCGCTGGGTACTCTTCAAAGAGTGGCTTCGACGCATGAAGATTGGAGCGCGCAACTACCACGCTGGGCCTAAGAAAACAGATCCCCAATCTGGCTTGTACTACGACTATAGAAGAACGAAACTAAGACCGACGCAGAATGCGGAGAGTGCGCATCCTGGAGTGCAGTATTATGCGTAGGAGAAGAGAAAGTGGTAGTGGTGATGTAAGACGTGGGGAGAAATGGATACAGCGAACACTAGGCGATAATAATGAGAAGTATAAAGTTCGGGAGGACGAAACAAGAGCGATGATGATTCCGCAAGCCATCGCGAATTGCTACAGGATCTGGGCCAGAGATCTCCCCACATGACTCATGGGATGACTTGGATGAACCTCCTTTTCTATTACCTCGTTCTGCGTTGGCAGTTCCGCTGTCAACATCATCGTAGCAGCGCGTAACTAGTACGTGTACTCACAAGAAGTATAATTCTCATTCAATATCATAACCCTGCAGCATATCTGACTCCAGACTCTTCACACGTCCGAAATGGAGATCGAAAGCATAGCAGTAATCTGTCTAATCATCCTCGTCGTCCTCATCGTCCAAATCATAGTCACCCTTCGGCTATTCTTATACCTTCACATAGAGCATGAGAATGACAAGAAGCATGGCCTGCGAACAGTGGTTACTGAGTCTCGGTTCGACTCAGTCCAGGAGGATGGTCGGCCACCATCTCGTCAAGAACCAGAAGTTCCGCCGGTGCCGGGACCTGTATATGCTACAAGCTCTAGATATAGTGTCCAAACAGATACCAGTGACTCATCGCTTGCTTCCAAACACCACGCTCAACCTCGAGCTCCGCATCCATGGGACGGTACAAGTCCTGCAGACTGGAGGAAGGTTCTTAAAGACCTCCACAGTGGCTCCGGGTCTGACTTTGGGAACCTGTCTTGTAATACGATCGGGCGCGTGGATAAGCAAAATATATTGACCGAAGTATGGGCGAGGAAACCACAAGACTGCAAGTCGTACGCTGGAGAACGAGCAGATACCGAGTTGGCAGTATGTTGAGGGGTCTGAGGTTTCTTCTCCGGAATCCACGAAGAGCAATCTGCTTTGTGCACGTGCATGGGAAGAGCAAGCGGAATCTAGTACATATAGTTGCCGGTAATCTTATTGTTTTAGCTTTTCGCAAGCCGAAGTGAGTAATTGAAGCAACTCACATCCACCCATCTTACTGCCAGACATGGCAGGCACAAACCACAACCCCAGCCACCGGCCACCCCGTATACCCTCATACTTGGCCTTGGTCGCTATCGGAATCGTTATTGGTGTCTATATTTCATTGCTTTCCTGGGCCATTTACAGGTGCAATTTGACACACCCACGAGAAGAGACATGGCATCGTCAGAGATCATATCGGAGGATATCAGGACCGCGTTACGCCGATGAGGAAAGCGATCCTCCTGACAATGGTTCTGTGTCATTCCGACATTCATTGCAGGGCCCGGAGATTGTGGCGACGACACTTGGGGGGTCCCCGAGCACTGAAATGAGAGGAATCCAGGTGTCTAGAATCAGATGGTAAAACCGTTTGTTGTGTGTTGGTGGTGAGCTGGAGGTGGAAGAACAGCAAGCGACTGCGTTGGCATCGTGCGCTATGGAAGTGTATCTCTGGCGTCTAACTGGGTGTTGGACGGAAAACGAAGTGGTTGTTTATGGTGTGCAATAATAGACAGCGCTTGGGGAGTGCGCATTAGAGTACCTGTTGGGCCATCGAATAGGTAGTAAATGTCAACCTTCTGAGCCGTTCCATTCCTCTATCGCGAACAAGTGAACTTGTAACCTTCTCGCACTCCTTCCGCTCGAGCAGACTTTTCCGATATGCATGGACCGACCATGAAGGTCAAGGCTGAGCCTAGCGTAGCTGTCGGACTATACATGGTCATGGTCACCGTCACCTTCGGCGTTGCCGGAATACGCACATTTCCATTGAAGTCTTCGATCAGACAAGGAACGTTCAGTTGGAAGAATTGGCAAATTCTAGAAGAGCTGAAGAGAAGGTTGAGAAATGAGATATATGGCTTTCCATAGGTCGACGAAAACCCCACCGTGTCAGATACAGAATGGTTTGGATGGACGGCAGCGTACTGAGGTATCGCGCAGTTGATTATCGTGTATTTGCAATTATTAGACTATGAACGGGTCAGTCTTTGATATCAAGCCAGACGCCTATCTACACATCCTCAGGTCCCATATCAAAGAATATGAACTCAGCGGGTTTCTCGCCCACGCTCTCGATCTCGATCTTGTTTGGCCCTTCGACTCCATCGATGTACGCGCCGTCGCCTTCTCCCAATATCGTCTCTCCAATCTTAATCTGCGCTCCGCCCTGTTTAGGTTGCGACCGTCCGCCCATAACAACATGTGCGAAAAGCTTCCTCGGGCCCTCAGCAACGACTTCGTGTACGACCTTCTTGCCCGGCGACAAAATAGACGCATCCATGCTAAGATCAGCTTGGAGCCCAATGGCACCCTTGCTCTGTTCCAAACGATCCGTGTATTCCATTATCCGGACCAGCTTGTCTGTCTTCTCCTCATCGGTAAACTTCTTCGTCTCGTAGTGCGGCTTCAGACCCCTCTTGTTCGGTTTAGCCCAGATTTGGAGGAAATGGACTTCTGAGTCGCGATTGCGGTTGTATTCTGAGTGGCGAATGCCAGTCCCGGCGGAGGTGAACTGGACTTCGCCACGCTTGAGGTTCTCGAGATTGCCCATGCTGTCTTTGTGTTCAAGGACGCCGTTGACAATGTAGCTAAAGATGAGGAACTCGGCGTGACTGTGGGTTCCTGATGTGTTTGTTAGTAATGGATATCGGTATAAGCAGGAACGAAGATGCCGTGTACGTACCAAACCCAGTGCCTGCCTTCACCCTGTCCTCGTTGATGACCCTTAGCGGACCGAAGCTCTCATGTCTGGGATCGTAGTACGATGCGAACGAAAAGGTGTGGTAGGTATACAGCCAATCGTGATCAGCATGTCCACGTTGTGACCAAGGACGCTTGGTGACGTTCATCGAAGTTGCGGTCGACATTGCGCGGACGGTAGGTTTCGTAACGATAGGAAAAAAGATACTGCGAAAAGTGCTTGAGAAAGCCAGGATGACCGCGAAAAGTCCAACGACTATGGTAAGTGTTTTTGTGGTAGTTGAGTAGGATGTATCTGTGGTAGTAGAGCGATGTTCAACGGTTGTGTCTGACATCACGAAAGGAGACTTTCTGGCATCGAATGTGCCTGGAGCTTTTTATAGCTGTTAGTGAGTGGACGGTTAGTTCGTGCATCATGCGCATCATCTCGAAGCTCCATTTGCTTCGCGCATAGCATTTGCAATGAGTGACTAAGGCGTTGTAATGCTGCTAGTAGAAGAGTTGTGGGGAAGAGAAGACGCTTAGCTGATTATTGATGGATGACGGAATTGCCCCAATTCTTTCTCAGCTAGACCTTATTGGACGCTTGCCGACGGCGCTGCGGAACAAGTTCCATCACAGCACTTGCGACGACTCGTGCATTGTTTATTTGGAGCCCTTTTTTTTGGTTCACGTGCAGATACGGGAAAGAGCTAGGATTGTAGATTCCAAGTCTGTTGGTCGTTGGGTAGGGCAAAAGCGAGCACAGACATAATCGCAGATTACCATCTACTATCATGGCATTGCAGAACTTTGATCCAGATGCATTTTTCGAGGATTGGTCAGAGGAAAAGTACTCTCCAACTTGCAGCGGAAAAGTTCTGGCACAATGCATAGGGGAATCATTTGGTATTCCACCCACCGACAAGTACGTCTATCGGGCGCAGGCAGAGACTACCTTGCACACCACGCAAAGAGCCATCGAAGCGAAGAGAAACCATGGGCTGCATGGATGGTATCACGATGATGAGGGAAAGCCTGTATGTACCATACTTTCCTGTTGAATGTCCAACCAGTTCTCGTTGATACCATCTCCACCACAATGACCGAACGATCACCGTGTTTAACACTCATGAACCTACAACCAGCCCATTTTCTAACTCCCCTAGACTGATCCACCGCACCCCTCCCTGGAAGAGATCCAAGCCTATACCTCCCTCTTCTCGCCACAAAACAACCTCCCCACCGCCCTAAACAATTTCGCCAAATCAGCAAAAGCCGACACCCTCCGCAAAAGCATAGGGAACCACCTAAACGACCGACTCCTCAACAAATCAACCAACTTAATCCCTTCCAAAAGAGATCCTAAGAAACCAGCTCGACAGCACAAGAACCCTTATCTGGATCTCTGGAAGTACTCGTGCGAGGAATTGGAATGGGCCGGACCTTTACCATCGACGACGTATACCAAGATATCCCATCATATCTTACCAATTTTCTACCACCACTTTGGTTGCGTGGTACCCTCGTATGCCGCTCTACATGTACTAGCCAAACTCGCTCAGCCGGCGAAACCGGCGAAAGAAGATGTGCTCCCCATCCTGGATATAGGTAGTGGAAACGGATACTGGACATACATGTTGCGCAACTTCCCCAACGCCCACATTGGTACCTCGAAGCCGCTCGATGTACGTGCCATCGATAACCAGATCAGCGAGTACCGTGTCTCCTGGATCAAGGACACTATCATCATGGACGGCAAAGAGTATTTGAAGAGACATGATGGCGGGGAAGGGTGTGTGCTGTTACTAGTTTATCCGCAGGCGACGGGTGGCTTCACAGGTCCGCTACTCAAGGCTTTTCAGGGGGACAGGATAGTAGTTGCGGGAACACAGAATGGGAATGGGTTTACTGGGTTTCAGGATGTGGTTGTGGATGAGTGGGTGGAGAAAAATCTCAAGGCATTTGAGTTGACTCTTAGGATGCCGTTGCCGAGTTTTGCGGGCAAGGACGAGGCCCTTTTTGTGTTTGAGAGAAAGAAGTAGGGAGTGACCTGGGATGAAGACGTCACGGCTGGAGAAGCCAGAAGTTGTATCATACAGCATATCATGGCTGCTCATGTTCATCATTCATATCGTAGGTCATGCCAATAGCTGCCTCTACTTGATGTTCTCCTCGTCTACCACTTGGCCTCCTTCTTTGCCAAAAACGTGTTCAAGATAGCCAGGAGCTTCTCCAATGCGGCGAGCCACTTCTCCAGCTCAGCCTGCACCTGGCTGTCGTCCTCGCCCAACTTGCTGTAGAAGTCCTTGCGGTAGGGGGTAGCGCTCATGGCAGCGCTGAAGACAGGCTTGACCATAAAGGAGTGGTGGGGCTTGAGTGTGTTGCCGTAGGCGTCGCGGAAGGAGTCGGCGAGCTCCTTGGAAGGGTTGGAGATGTTATGACGGAGACCCTGAGCAGTGAAGTCGAGGCCACTATGACGCGAGTGTTAGTGGCATGATCTTGGAGAGTGCCTAGAATGGCTTACCGGGTCAGCCACAGGAGGCCCTCGGTGGCAGTGTGCTTCTTCTCCTTGAGCTCGTTCAAGCAAAGCTCCTGGAGCGTCTCTGACTGGGCTGGTGCTGCGAGCTGCCTGTCGCGGATTTTCTGCCCTATGTTAGCACAACTGTCCTTGTAGCATAACTTGGAGCTTCCATGTTCTGCACGCACCTTGATGTTGCCGCTCATGTCACCCTTGACGGGCTTGAAAGCCACAGAGCCCAAGACATCGAACAGGGTGGTGGTGCTTTCAGCAGCCTCTAGGAACTCAGTCGTCGAGATAGCATTGTCCTTGGACTCATCGACGGGGACGTCTGCGAAGCTCTTCTTGATGGTTTGGAAGTAGGTTCCGCCGGGAGGGTATGCAGCTGCCATTGTGGAATATGTAGAGTGCGTAGTAGTGTAGAAAAAGCAATTGAAGTTTGGATGTGAAAGAGGCGGAAGATGTTTGTATTAGGAAAAGGTGGTCTCGGCCCAAGCGGTGAGCTCTGGTGCGTTCAACACGCGTGGCTTTGGTGGGGCATGCGGCTACAGTAAGCTAGCGCGGGGAAGGCGCGACGCACAGGGTCTCGAGGAGGGGAACATGAAGGCGGCTAGCTCAGGCCATGCACATGGCATTTTAAGCTTGCCCTTGGTAGCGACGTCGGAATGTAGAATTATATCCGGACATACTATGTCCTGTGCGGGGAATGAATGTCCTGTAGTTATCATCTGTCTATGGTATAAGAGACCATTGAGCTTGTTACAACTGTTGTTTTGCTCCAGAGGGCATCATACTCTGAAATCTCCCCACCACGACAACCATTAATCGGACCCACGACAACGTTAATCGGACCTTCTTATCCTTACCCTGACTATCCCCCGAATCCTACAAGCAACCACAACCACTAAGATGCCATCACATATCCACTCAGTAACGAACGTACACCGCATCGCCTGCATCCCAGGTGACGGAATCGGAGTCGACATAACAGAAGCGGCTATACAAGTCCTCAACGTCCTCGCCAAGACTATCGGCGGCTTTGAATTCGACTTTAAAATCTTCGACTGGAGCAGTAAGAACTATCTTGAGCGAGGATGGTACATGCCACCTGATGGTCTAGAGCAACTAAAGGCCTATGATGCCATATACTTCGGCGCAGTGGGTTGGCCCAACGTTCCCGACCACATATCCCTCTGGTCACTCATCTTGCCAATTCGGAAATCCCTAAATCAGTATGTCAACGTGCGGCCTACACGCATCCTCCCTGGAACCACATCTCCATTGTCCAACTGCAAACCCGAAGACCTTGACTGGATGATCATCCGCGAGAACAGCGAGGGCGAGTACTCAGGTCAAGGCGGTACGTCTCATGAAGACAGTCCGCACACAATCGCCACCGAAGTGAGCATCTTCACGCGCGTCGGCATCGAGCGAGTAATGCGATATGCGTTTGAGACAGCACGGTCGCGACCACGCAAGAAGTTGACCATGGTGACCAAGAGCAATGCCCAGAGACACGGCATGGTTCTCTGGGACAAAGTCTTCTACGAAGTGGCAAAGGAGTACGAAGATGTTGAAATTGACAAGATGCTCGTGGATGCGATGACTGTGCGCATGACGCTGCATCCTTCTACTCTCGATACTATTGTCGCTACCAACTTACATGCAGATATCTTGTCTGACCTTGCCGCTGCGCTGAGTGGATCGATTGGTATTGCGCCATCGTCTAATCTCGACCCTACGAGGAAGAATCCGAGCATGTTTGAACCCATCCATGGCTCTGCCCCGGATATTGCGGGCAAGGGTATTGCGAACCCGGTAGGCGCATTTTGGAGTGCCGCTGAGATGGTGCGGTGGGTTGGTGAGGAGAAGGCAGCGGATGGACTTATGAAGGCGATTGAGAATGTGACTGCGAGGGGAGTCAAGACGAAGGATCTTGGTGGGAGTGAGAACACCAAGGGCGTTACAGAGGCGGTGTGTGCGGAGATTGAGACGCTCTTCAAGAGTGGCTGAGTGGTATCAAAAGGAAAGATCGGGCGAAGCGAAGACACATGTACATACCTATAACCAATACAGTTCATAACACACGCGTGTCATTGCTCTCCGAATCTCACATGCACAGGGTATCTCATCCTCACTCCAGAAACACCGCAGGAACCTCGCTTCGTCCCTCTACAACCCGACTCCTCATCGTCTTCTCCTTCTTGTTCCTCTCATCCCCCACCTCCCTCAACCCCCACCAATCCCTCCAAACCCGCACCGCCTTCCCCTGTATCAAGCCCTTGCTAATCGGCCCAAAGTCATTGCTGTCCAAACTTTTCCTCCAATTATCCCCTTCAATCCACACATGTCCATACGGCACAACCACCTTCCCCACCTCCCCACCATCTCTCGTCGCAATGCTCTCTTCATCATGATCCACCAGCCCATCCGGCAAACCTCTCAACCTCCATTTATGAAATTCGGGGTCAAGCGCGTACCCTCTCGTAGGATAAACAGTATCGCCTTCAACAGCAACAACGCGTTTGATCCCCATTTCCCTAGGTTTGTGCGGTTTCCAAAACGTCACCACGTCGCCGCGTTTTATACCCCATGGCTCTTCTTCTCCTGCTTTCGCGGCTGTCTTCCTACTGCTCGTGGCATGATATGCTCGTACGATGACGTAGTCCTCCTGACCTGTCTCGTGCGCATCAGGACTGAGGGTAGGTGCCATGGAGGAGCCGCGGACGTGCTGCAGTTCAATGAATTGGTCGCGGATGAAGAGCATGGCGCAGATTGCTACGATGCCGTTTGTACCCCATTTTATGTAGCGCCGACCTGTGCCGGCATGGCTGTTTTCATGCCATTGAGGTGGTGGTGGTGGTGGGGAAGGAGTGACGCTGCTCGATGGTGATACTGGGGTGGGTTTGGATCGCAGCGGAGCTCGTGGGGCAGGATTTGCCGGTCTGGTCGGTAAGGAGGGTTTCACATGCTGTTTGAGCGCAGCGGGAGGTTTCGTAGGAAGGCGAATGGGAGGTTTAGGTGGCATTGGGGAGACTGGCGTTGCGACGGGGTCATGTTGAAGGCAACGCGAAGTTGCTCGGCAATACTTGCTCGTGTTACGCCGGCGGACGCACATGCAACAACGCCACCATGCATATGCAGGTCTATAATTTCTTCGTCAATGAAATATCTATTACGATTTCAGTCAATTAACAGTATGTATTGCGGACCAAAGAGAGATCTCCGCCTGGCAGTACGTCACAAAAGCTCTGGCACGAGTGAATATCCTGATGATAACGTGCAAAGTTCAAGAGGTATCGGCGTATATCTAGCTAGATGGCAGCTATAGTACAAGGACTAGTACATATCCACAGTATGCAATCGCTACCATTCGGTCGTTTCAATGCTCGTCAAATCCATAACCTAATCTACTTCAGGGCCTTGATAACGGCGTCGGCGTACTCGAAGGTCTTGGCCTTGCCGCCAAGGTCACCAGTGATGGTCTGTAGAATGATTAGCATAGATACTTGTTTCAAGATGGTGAATATGGCTTACCTTGCCCTCAGCAAGGACCTTGAAGATGGCCTGCTCGATGTTGCTGGCCTCTTGGGTGAGGCCCATGTGTCGCAGCATCATGATGGAGCTGAGAAGAAGCGCGGTGGGGTTGGCGAGCTGCTTGCCAGCAATGTCGGGCGCGGAACCGTGGACAGCCTCGAAGATGGAGCAGTTGTCACCGATGTTGCCGGAAGGAGTAAGACCGAGACCACCAATGAGACCGGCGCACATGTCGGAGAGAATGTCTCCATACAAGTTGGGCATGACAAGAACCTTGTCGTTGTAGGGGACAGGGTCGGTAACCATCTTCAAGCAGGTGTTGTCCAGTAACTCGGCGTCGAACTCGATGTCGGGGAACTCCTTGGAAATCTCGCGGGCAGTGCTGAGGAAGAGACCGTCGGACATCTTCATGATGGTGGCCTTGTGCACAGCGCGGACCTTCTTCCTGCCAATGTCGCGGGCGTGCTGGAAAGCATATCGCAGAACGCGCTCAGAGGCCTCGCGGGTGATGAGCTTGATGCTCTGTACAACGCCATCGACCACAATGTGCTCAATACCAGAGTATTCTCCCTCGGTGTTCTCACGGATCAGGACAGTGTCGACGTCGTCGTAGGGTGTCTTGTAACCGGCGATGGATCTGCAGGGACGGACATTGGCGAAGAGGTTGAAGGTACGGCGGAGAGTAAGGTTGAGAGAGACGTGGCCCTTGCCGATGGGGGTCGCAAGCGGGCCCTTAAGGGCGACCAAGTTCTTCTTGACGCTGGCAATGGACTCGTCAGGGATGACCGTCTTGCCGTCCTCGTTCAGGCGCGGGGTGACGTCGACCGACTCCCACTTGATTGGGACATTGGCGGCCGAGTAGATGTCCTTGACCGACTGCGCAATCTCGGGACCGATACCATCACCCTCGATGAGAGTGACAGAGTACTTGCCGTCGCTGCCCTTGGTTCCGTGGAACTTGGCCACCTCGGAGGCGTATGTTCGGGCGGAGACCTATGCAGAGGTCAATATTGTTCTATACCGTCTCCTGGAACCTGTACGCCTCGAGGTTTGTAGGCGCACAAATACCATGTCCCACTGGAAGCTCACCTGGGAGAGCGCGGGCGCCCATCTTGCGCGGTTAGCCTGGCGCAGGCATTGCCGCGCTGGGGCGGCGAAGGAGCGAGCAGCCAACATGTTGAGGGTATCGAAGTGTTGCTACAACCCAATTGGAGCTACACTTTTGTTGTAGAAGTCGTCAAGGTGGGTTGGTCGGCGGCGGGAGGGTTGCGCAAAGCTCGGATACAGAAAAAGAAAGCTCCACCGGCCGCGGGATGTCTTCGTGCGCCAAACCGGTACCTTCCGCCTCCGTCATGGCATCCCGCCCGCCCTTCACCCTATATTCACTCTCGCACCCTCGGTTAACACCAGAGCATCGACTAGGCATATCTCTGAGAAGCCTGACCATCAACACTCGCCTAGAATAAAGTCATATCACGCTGAACCTTATATCCAACGTCACTCGGCGCAACAGCATGTCTTAAGCCGAATGCTTTATCACATGCCAAGGCAATAGACTTTGGATTGCACAGCGAAACAACTGCAAATGTCAAATTTCCTGTCATCGAGGCTCAATTGTTCCTTCTCGTCCGCTTTCTGCAGCTTCCAACCATCACACGCGCTCGTTGTCTTCTCCCTTTTTTGCGGCCGAATAGCGCATTCTTGGCTTTCGTCAGCCGCACGTCTGAGTTAGCAACACGATCTCGGCATGCCTGACTTTTACTTTAAGAATTCATGACCCTAGCCCACTTATGGGTACAACAAAAACGATCAGCCTACGTGACATTATATTGAGTTGAAAGAGCAGTGCTTACAAACAAGAGTTACTTTGAAAGCTCTCACGAGGAGCAGGATACAACACAGTTACGTAACCGACCTCTTTCGCTTTGTCCTGACGGTAGCACAACGCGTTTTTATCCCCGTATCCTGCTCCGAATTGTCTCATCATTTGTCTCCTAGCCTGCCTACGAATCAGTCGAATCCGATGAGGCACGCTTCCTACTACGCAGATCCAGCGCAAACAAGACAAGTGGGTAAAGGAGAAGAGTGGCAGCGGCCACGGCTCCAAAGACTAAAAAGCCAAGAAAGACGCGGAACTCAGCGCTAGAAGTGTTCAGTGCTTTAGAAGGCATGGGGAAGACAGAGGTGGTATTTGTTGGAGCCATGGTTTGAGTGGTGTTAGTATCTGCAACTGTTGGGTTGCTGGACTGTGGGAGAGCGTACGCGAGCGCTGCGTTAAGTATAACAATGGAGAAAAATGCCTTGACTTCCATGATTGTAAGTGTTTTGTGTTCACGTGAGTGGAAGACTTCTTTTGGGCTGGCCTGTGTTTAGGGATAAGGAGCTTCTTACCCGTATCTGCGTGCTTGTAGTACGGTACGTCGATACTGATAGCAGGCGAAGAGAAGACTCATAAGGAGAAGATTTGAGTAACCTAGTGCCTTCGAACCCGACGTTGTGAACCTACTGGTCTTGCGGTCAGCCACTGTAGCCGTACGATGACGAGCCTTCGTATACAGCGTGACCTGACCTGCAACTTATGATGAATTTCTGTCCAATTCCTTTGCAAGGCCCTATTACCAGCTGGTAATAAATAGAACGAAGTGATACAACAGTAAGATCAACGACTGGAAACCCATTTCGATCCATGACACTGGCAGAATCAGCGACCAAAAACTCAAGACCGTCGAAAACATCCTTATCAACATACTATGTTACAAGATGGAATGGCTGGGTTTGTCTGGCCTGGTGCTGACCTAGGCACCGCTCCCATGGCCTCTGCTTCATCGGTTCTGAAATTGTCCGCTGCAGCCCCTACAGCAACTTCTACGGTATCAGACGGAGGCGTGTTTTTCTCTTCCGACGTCTCCGCGTCCGTTACACTTACCTCAACCGCACTAGATCCTGGTGCCTTTTACTCATCGCATATTCCTGTATCGACTTCCACCGCCACAGACGAAGGCGCATTCTTTTCTTCGGACGTTTTGACATCTGCTACTGATCCTGCCGTAATAGCCTCGACTGCACTAGATCCCAGAGTCTTTTACTCGTCTGACGTTGCTACGTCGATTACTACGGCATCAGATGGCGGAGCGTTCTTTTCTTCCGTCGTTTCCACGTCCGCTATTGGCTCGCACACTAGTACTCATTGCCTCCCAACTGCAGTCCACGACAATCCTTTAAACCCAAATGTGGCACCGCCAATTGATGCTGTGCCGTCATGCGTCGACTATGGTACACTCCCAACCACAGTACCTAATGCTGCCGGGCTCGCTGTCGATCGTGGACCACCTTTCGAAATATCCGATCTTACAGCTTTAGCAACAAACATGCCTACGGGTTTATCATCGACCTTTACAAAGCGGGACATCCCTAGAATCTCGACCAACCCAGGTCCAATTGTTGGCGCTGTGGTAACCGCTCTTGGTGTAATTCTTCTGTTATATTTATCGATCAAGTATTGTGTACGCACGAGTTCCGGGACCAAAGACTTGGAAAGGGGAAATTATCCGTATCATAAAGAAGTCACCCGTGGTCGCCGTTGCTACCGCGATGGATCGCCTGCGGCCACCCGTCCGGAGGACATTCCAATCTCGGAAGGGTATGGTATAGATCCCATTGATCTTGCTCGAGCTCAGAATTGGCAAGAAGGAGTCAGCGAAAAAGGTGTGTTTGTTACTCGAGATCGCGTGGATCGAGCCGTCGGTGCTGATGACCTTCAGTCAATTCTTACTTCCGGAGGCGGCAACGGTAGGACATATACTTCTCCGCATTATCCTGACCCCATCCTAACGCGCAAACTGGTACCTAGACCTCGTCCTGTAACCCAGTTGCCGCTGCTCGCGTACAGTGCGCAGTGTACGGATGGTGGGCAGGTCTCACCAGTCTCCCCACTGAATGTGAACGATGTACAAAACGATCATAACCGTACACGAGATTACAGCAACGTCTCACCTCTTAACTCGCTCACCATGCATCGTGGACCTTCTGGGTCGTTGTGAGTATTGGCCCAAAAATGTGGTGTGGTTGTTGAAGATGAAACACGAGCAATTGTCAGAGACGCGTCTCCAACTAGTGGAGTTTGAAGTTTCGCACAGCTATCCTGCAATTTTGCTTTTAATTCTAATACTCGTTACTTCAAACAATGTGATTAGTTCTTCCCATCAATGTTGGTTTCTTTATATTGCTTTTCCTTGATTTCTTTGTTCTCAACACGGCTTAACTATCGTGAACACCCTTCAACATCCCACTCATCCACATTCATTCTACAAACCACCTACACTCGTTTAAACGCAATTTTTTGTATCGCAAACAAACATATAACATTCGTTCCATATATTGCACAAGATGCCATCACTGAAGTTCCAGCACCGCGCCGAACCCATCAACGCCGAAGATCGCAAGATCGGTCCAATTCCTTTGCCATGGTTCATCCCCATATGCGTTTTTGCGCCTTTCTTACTCACCTTCATAGCATGGGTGTTATATCTGCAAACCGTAAAGCGATACCAAAATAAGAAGCTTTTGCAAGCGCAACAAGAACAGCAGCGCATAACTGCTAAAGAGGTGGAGACACAGATGCAACAGTTCATTGGGTCCAGTGCGAGTACTGCGAACCGTCATGCAGCAGCGAGAGGATACAGATGATCGAGCTGCGATGTATGGGTTCGGAAGAGATTCTGCATTAGGATGATGAAAACGGGTATGGAGTGAGAGAGGGAGTCATGTGTCAGTACTTCGATACGCGCAAATTAGCAGTGAGTAATACACACTGGTAATAGATCTCGTACGCTGTTAACTTACAAGATGATTCCAGAGACTTTGGAGCTACTATTGTGAATGCATAATATCTCACAAGTCTTCACATCACATTGTAGCCTAGTCTACAAAAGGCTATTGGAGTCTCTTCACCACTTTCCAGCACCAGCTGTATTCGATTATTCTAATACAGCCTTGAAGCCGGACTTCCAACTCACCCTTCACTTCAACAAACCAACACAACAACATGCCACCATTCTACCCTTACACTCCCAGCGCGATCGCGCCGACACCTACCTGCAGTAGCACACATTCTCTTCCTTCCTTCACTCTGCTTACGCTTATCGCAACGCCAGCAGCTATTTCCACTCCAATGGCCTACACGACTTTGGCGACCTCATCCACCATTGAGGACATTATACATCAAATCTCCGCGGCAGACATCCCTGCTCAACCCATGTCAACGCTCGACTTCACTATCAAAACTGCTAGCTCTGGATCCGATAGGGGTGGTTTATCGACTGCCGCTACCATTGGTATTATTGCTGGTGTGATTATCCTTCTTTTCGTTCTAGGTATTTTTGTGGTGAAGAGGTGGAAGTATTGAACGAGAAGGATGGTATGTTTGGTGTTGAGAAGTATTGGGAAAGACACGTGACGTTAGTTTGAGTAGGCATTTTCTGATTGCTTAGTGATGTGTAAAGTCTATGTATTTAGATCCTCGATAAATGTGGAGATGATTTCATGATTACATCTTTTTGGCTCTAGGTATGCCTTTCTTGATTCGTTGCTGCTGATGGGTGACTTTAATCGCGATGTACTCTCGCGAATTCAAAAAGAATCTCCCTTGATAATCTAATTTCTCCGCCGTAGTCTCCTGGTTGTATCTTCAGATGCACTCCAGCCTTCCATGCCAATGTCGAAATCGTCAAGCTCCGCGGCTAAGTCTTGTCGTGGCCTCTTCAATTTCTTGGTCGTTCGATAATCGATGCTATTAGAGCTAGACAAGAAGCTGTCGCTTCGTCGCTTTATGTTGCGAGTAGGTGGGCTTATTGGTCGCTTTCTTTGGCTGGTCCTCTCATTAGGTGACGAGGAACTCGCTGATCGCGCTAAGGACAGTGAGACAAGTGTCTTGAGTGTAAGATTTGAAACATGGGAACTTACTACCATCCTCGTCCTCTGAGTCTATGACAATCCGTTGTTGTCCTCGTGAGACCCCCAATGTGTCCTTGCTCCTACTCATTGTTTTACGTCCAACGTGATCTCCACTCATTATACCACTTTGCTTTCCCAATGCTCTCCTTTATACGATTGTCAGCAATTATGGCCACGATTCCTTACGTATCTACTCACTGTGCCGCCTGGTCCACCATTTTGTACTCCATTGCCGGGCTTATTTCCTCATCAGTCAACAACTCCATAATCGCGGGGGTGCGAAGTTCTCCAGCTTTGCGGTTGATGAGATCGAGTTGAGCTACTGCAGCCCGGAACGCGGCGTTTGATGGGCGAGTTCTTTTCTTTGGAAGTCGTCTTGGTTTCGTGTAGGAAACTCTAGGACACTCGACTGTCATGACCAGAATCTGAATTGAGAAAGATGGTCGATGTGGTGCGGTAATGCTGTTGGATAGTACTGACAGAATGGAATAGGGAGAAATCGTGCATACAACCGATCTCACTGGGAAAGCGAGGCGACCAAGCAGCTGATATTAAGGTGAGAGAGAACGATAATGGCGAGAATCGTTTGCGCGTGGACTGTTTCCAGTCTTTGTTTCTTACCTATAGGATTCGGGGGTCTCAGCGGTTGTTTGTCAGCTGAGAGAAACGGCGAGAAAGTGCCGAAACAAGCATGTTGAGTTGAGACGTTAGAGACACGTAGATAGTGACTGATAGATATGCAATACCTTATACTCTTGTTTAATGTTAGGATACGGAAATGGGTAGGTACAAAGAAAACAGTATCGCAACGTGAAAGTCAAAACTTAGCTCTTCCCCTTATACTCTAATTTCCCGATATCGACTGCCCCTTCACATGGTATACAAACCAATCTTGCTACCGTTTATGTCTTTCTAGCTTTTCTTATATTTCTCAACAACCTCGCGTTATATGCAAAACGCGGCTGCATGTCTATATCCAGGTCTAGTTGATCATCGCCATCCAACATCTCAGCATCGCTGTCTACGCGTCTGTTGCGCACATGAGTGCCAGTAGATTGATCGGAATCATTGGAGACATTGAAATCGGCATCGTAGTGGATGACGTTGCCAAGAACGACAAAGTCGCGGTCGCTGCTAGTTTCCCTTGTATGTGTAAGGTTGAGAAGCACCGACTTTGTTCGTTTGGCACATATGTTTGAGCGGTGTTTTGTGTCTGACTTCGTACTTTTAGTTGATTTAGCAGCATTATGTAGGTTTTTAGACTTTGCAGCATTGCTGCCTGACTTTGACTTTGCCTTCGGCCTCGGCTTCGGCTTCAATGGGCGAATTGTAGTGGTAGCGTCTAATTCAGGTTGGGGCTCATCGTCGTCCCATTCGAAAGCTGGGTCATTTGGATCTATCTTCACCATGATGTCATCCCCATCTGCATCTAAGCCAGGCCGATACTGTGCTGCTGGCGCCTCGCTCATTTTAATAGCTTGTTTCCTTGCTCGCGATAGGTTACCTTCACTATCAACGATGAGGTGATAGAGATCTATGATAGCAAGCGCAGGTGCTACGGCCATCAGTTGCGCGACTTTGCTTCTCAGGCCGAAGTCATCAATATCCATGAGGCTCATGTTCAGGTCTCCAGCCTTGCACTTTCCTGTGTGTTTGTCTACCAATTGGATCCGTGAGGGAGCTGATGTGTCGGACTTGGTACGTGTGGAGAGTCGAGAGATCCTCGCATCTGCCATCGTGTTAGGTCGGTCATGCGAACTAGCATTCGAAGCCCTACCAATTATTGTCAGAGATGTTATGATATGTAACAAGTCGCCACAAATCCAGTGTAAATGCCTGAACTTTGCTTTCTCTTTTCTCTATCCTCTGCAGTGGGAGGAATGACGTTTTGATGGCATCTGCGCCGCATGGCAGGCTTGTGAACCGCTGTTGCTTCTTCCTGGCCAAGCGAAGACGTGTCTTGATACATCAAGTCACTGTCAAAATTCTGTTCATGTGTCTCTTCTGGGAGCGTAACGCTTTTGTGGTGCTTCGTGGAGCTGATAACTGCAGGCGATGAGCGTCGCAGAACGAAGCGTGAGAGTGCGTATGACTTCTCGAGTGGCTCGTTTACGCCTCTATTCCACGCATCTTCGTGTCTTGAGGCTCTGCGAGGATTATATCGAAAGCCTCGTAGGTTTGCGTCAACGAGTGAGATCTGACTTCGACGAGGGTCAGCGCTACGTGCGTCAGCGTTGACCTGAGGCGTATTATGGGAGCCTTCTTTTCTAACATACCGCTGAGTAGTGCTTGGTGGCGCATCATCGTCGCTGTCGAGCGTGATCGGCATATGTTGCGAGGCGCCTACTCGATTACCAGGATTGTCTTTGGAAACAGCCTTAGGTACGTTGCGAACCGATATCCGCGATTTTAGCCTCGCTCGACCGCGCTTTTCCATCCCGGTTTCCAGTCCCATATTGGTCTTCCTGATATCATGCTGGAACCCCATGTTATCCTCCTGCTGATGGGCAGACCCCAGCCTTCTTTGTCGATTGTCTTGATGATGCTCGGCGACAGAACCAAGTGTGAGAAGAGATTCGTACGTATTGAGAAAATTGAGCTTCGATAGCTCCAATAATGATGCTGTGCGGAATTGCGGCGGCCCGCATCGCACTCGAGAACCCTTATTTCCGGCAAGGAAGTTTTATACCGCCTGCTTAGGACTGTTGGTGTCTCTATGCCCACCGCTTATGGCGAAGGATGAAAGAAGTTGTAAGTACTTCGAGATCAATCAACTGTTTTTTTATCAAGCGCTTTAGATTTACGTGCATCCTTCTGTTACAGTATTTATGTCCTTCTCCAGACTGCTCTCGTCCTTGTAGATACGAAAATTACAGCAGCGTGGATGCTTGCGCACCGGTGAAGCCAATTATTGTGCAAGAATGTAGGCCTACGCTATGCAGCACTGCGCTTAACCTCTAGCAACCTCATATATAGATAGAGTGACTTATCTAGGCTTCTAAATGTTACCAGAAGAGTGTGAAGTTGTGATCAGCTTTGTGGCGATTGTGGCGCGCAAATTCATGCATAATTGCCACCCTGGTCAGTACTTCAGATCGAAGCAACTTCCTAATCTGGATAGTGTAACGCTGACCCTGCACTCTTCTTACGACTAGCGTGTGGTTTATCGTGGGACAATCGCCTGTCTGTGTGGCTGTGCAGACTTATGGCTGTGCAGATACCAGAGATAACATCTCGTCCGGGAACTGTCCAGACAACTTGCTTACGTAAAGTACGGTATGACTTCACATGTCCGTGTTCCTCGTACGGCCGCAGCACTCGCACGTTCATGCCGCCGCAACCCTCGCCCGCAGCTCTCATACTCTCGCAGCCCTCGCACGCCCCGCCAGCGTAATATGTAGAACGATCAGTCCCAAGAGGATACATTTATCAGTCCCAATGTCTGCACCAAGAGAGAGTTAACAAGCCTTTGCGAAGTTGAAGATGTTGTGACTGGCGCAATCGTTCGATCAACTTGTACCTACACCGATAAGCAGGACGTAGCGTGGTTCTATCAACTACCTGGGATAAGAAAGTATGATTTGGCCATTGTAAGTCCCATTCAACTACTGAAGTGGGTACCAGACGAAAATCTTTATCCACTCATGCCCGCAACCACGGTCGTTATGTCCGGCAGCCTCGACTGTTGTGCATTGACGACAAAGAAGAAATGAAACTTTTGCCCCATATACTCCTCAAGGAAGTGGGAGTCTTACAGTATCTCACTCAACACTACTACTTAAATCTGACCAAATTTCACAGTTGTGTTGTCAATCGCGGTTGAGTTACTAGAATTACCCTTGACAAGTACGAAGTCATCTTGCGGAATCACTCGCCTGCAAATTCTTCGTTATCCTTGGCTGCCTTACCTTCATGCCATCCAGCTCCTTGCTGATCTTGACATGACATCCCAGCCTGCTCGTTTCAGTCAGCCCAAACGCCAGATCCAGCATGTCGTTCTCCTCGTCGTCCGGCTTCGCCATCTTGTCGTAGTACTCCTCGCCCTCGACGATGACGTGGCACATCGAACAAGAGCAGGAGCCGCCGCACGCGCCTTCCATTTCAAGGTCGTTGGCTTGCGCAATGCCTAGGAGGTTGTCGCCGTCGGTTACTGTAAAGGTGTGAGACTGGGCTTCTCTGTCCATGAAGGTTATTGTGCATCTGTGATTGTGTCAGCGAGTAGTGACTATAGGTGGTGAAAGGGTTAATAAAGAGTACGTTACCACTTGATAAAAGAAGGCTCAACTAACCCCAACATAGCCCATGGCCCGATGCTTAAGGAATACGAGCTTTCCAAGCTTTCCGACAACCCCTTAGGCAACCCGCGAGGTCGGAATCTAATTGGCAGAGTCGGCCAGCGGCATGGCTAGCGCGTGGTTCTATGGAGCTCAAAAGAAAACCACAAGCCTCACAATCCACATTGTGTATCTTCGCGCACACAAACCACAACAAGCCATTCTTTTGTGTTACCGTCTCTCGTTAACAACGTTTCATCATGTTTGCACGCATTGGCATGCTGTCACTCGCTCTATCATGCATCACCAACGGTCTCGACTTGGACGTCAACAGTCAAGGTACCCTACACCTTACTCATGTGCACAAATTTCAGTTTAAATTCTTTTAGACTCCATCAAGTCGACTGCGAAAAAGCTGGCGAGCGGCATCGTGTCCGCCTACAAAGCCAATCTCAGCGATATTGGCATCCCAGGCATCTTCGTTGATTACCGTGAGCCAGATTTAAGCTATTCCGAGACATACGACTTCACATCCGGTGTAGAGTTCTGGAAAGCCGGCGCCGTGTTCGGCGGACTGGTCGAGTACTCGTACCTAACCGGCGACACTCAGTACGATGCGCTTGTCTCTGAAGGCATGCAGTGGCAATCTGGCGAAGGCAGGAATTTCATGCCTGTGAACCAGTCCGAAGTGCTGTTCAGCACGGCCCATAGCGCCTGGGGCCTCGCAGCCATGACTGCTGCTGAAATGGGATTCTCCAAGCCTAAGAATGGCGACTGGATCGACTATGCGAAAAATGTGTTTGATATTCAAGCCAGTCGTTTTGAGGAAGAGGACAGAGATGGAACTTGTGGTGGGGGTCTGCCCCTGTGGAGAGACCCGTTCACTATTAAAGACATGGGCTCCAACGGCAATCTTTTCCTCCTCGCAGCTCGCCTAGCAAGATTCACCGGCAACCAGACTTACGCAGCGTGGGCTGATAAGACATTTTCATGGGCAAAGGATGTTCGTCTCATTGTTGATGTAGACGAAAAAAAGTCTTTTCCAACGGATTACCGTGTCTACACCAGCTTACAACTTGGTTGCGTTGCCGAGAATTGGAGTCACCAGTCTAGTGACCACGGCGCTGTTACTGAGGGTGCCGCCATTATGTATAACATAGTAAGTTCTTTTCTTTTCTACTCGATACGCTGTGCTTGAGCTAAAAAACTGCTTCAGACAGGCGCGCAAAATTGGACTGAAGCAATGGTAAGCTTAGTACGGGGATCCTCCGCCGTGCAAATAGACAATATTCTCGTGGAAGACAAATGCGTGAACGCCTGCAGACCGATTTCACGCTTCCAGAAAGGCATCGCAGCACGTTCTTTTGCTCGCGCCGTACTCTTCGCGCCCTGTGCTACCCAAACTCTCAGAACAATGCTCGAGGCTTCCGCCAAGGGAGCTGCTAGTGCCTGTGAGGGAACTGACGACATACGGTGCGAATTCACTTGGCTTGATGGGGGTGCTGAATGGAATAGTCTTAGTGCTACTGCTAGCGACGGCAACTTGGCTGAGCTATTCAATAGTTTGGAAGCGGTACAAGGCTTGTTGTATCCGTTGGCCAAGGGTTTGAGGAATGTCAATGGAACGATTACGGGAGGACATTGCAGTGGTGATCCGACTCAGAACAAAGATGTGTCTAGCACATCGGATGCTGGTACCCCAGAGAAGACTGGGACAGCGAGTACCGTCGCAGCTAGTATTACAGCTGCTCTTGCTGTTGCTTTCGCAGCAGCACTTAGCTTCTAATATCTTACGAAGATATACTATTACAGAGGAGGAATGTTGATGCTCAGGCAGCGCAACACAACGCGACCGAATAACTCAATATAATAATCTCAATGCATGTGTATCTCCTAAACATCTCTTATTCACTGTATGCAGCTGTAGTAGTTGATAAGACTCTCTCTCATGCGATGGCCTTCATACTTGAACGGACGACGAACGTATGGTCGAAGCTCTCTCCCACTGGGTATATTGTTGTGGCCCTCATGTCAGTCACGAAGATATAGTATATTATAGTTATTAAGCTATGCTGTAAATGTTTAACGTATTCTACTATTACCCTAGTTAACGTATGTCACGGGAGGCTTCGCATTCAGCTCTGCAGACCTATTAAGGCTGCGCCAAGCCTCTCTTATTGTTTGCGTTAGCGTCAACACACATGCTTTTAAGCTGCGCTGAGCTGGCGAGGAAATCTGCAGGTATTATTGCCACTTTTCATTAATAATTAGCGCTGCAATACAAGAGCTATTTCTCACTATCTTTTGCAGTGTACAGCAAGTACTATTGCCTAAAATTGCCCCTTACAAGGGAGCAGGACCGTAGTGTAAGAACATAGCCTCTCCCTATCTGCTACTTACTTCGGGGTTTATAGCTAGAGAGTGAAAGGCTACTCCTTACTACGAAGGCGTAAACTACTAGACCTTTGGAGGCCTAAACTACTAGATCTTCTACGGCCTAGCGCCTTTGTCTTGCTCCTCTCTTTTGGCTATATAACCACGCGCACACTTTGCATATTCTAGGCTCTGTATCTGCTATCCTCTACTTTAAATACAAGCTTCTACTCAACTATTTCGCTCTTCTGCGCGTGAAGTCTGCCTTACACGTAGCGCAGTGGAGACAATGTAAAGAGGATAGGAAGGCTGTAAGCCCTATCCTAGCGGCGACTTATCCTTAATTTGGTGCGCTCCTATTACAGCGAGCGCTTTTAGATGAATACTAGATGCTAAATAACTGTTAATAGTTGTTAGGGGGCTATAGTAGTGGGGATGCGGCGACAGAGTCGCGATTCCTAAAACGGGTAACCGAGGACGAACCTTAGTTAATCAACCTTAACACGGGACTGCGAGTTTTGACGGATGGCGAGGGTGAACTAATTTTCAGTGTCCTATGGTCGTATATGACATATTGGCAAAACTATATGTATATGAGCGTATTGGTAGTAAGCTGACTTTGTTCAAATCTGTATCGGCGCGTTCGTAGACGATGGAACCGAAGGCTTATGTACAGGTCCGCGTTGTCTTGAAAGTCTGACGAGGCTTTATTAGCGGCATATCGCGACGATCGAGAGTTGAAGGGTATGCTGCCGTTGCCGTTTTGACGTCGTTGAAGCAAGTGCCAGCTACCAAGCCAGGGGACGATAACCTAGCTATATGTTATATGACAGTATAAGTGAGACAAGCACTGCCTGAATGGCAATCAGTAGCTCCTCGGCCTCTATTGCCAGGAGTGTTCATGCTCCGCATAGTCGTCCGCATCGTTGTATACTCCCTGTTGTGTTTGTGAAGGTAGTAGGTAATAGCGCGCCAACGAGAACAATGCCACCAGTTTATCACGCGTTCTAGGCGCATGGTGGTAGCACAGACGTACAATTTGCATGTTGAATGAAGAGGCAGCGTGAGGGAGAACGCCGAACTCGTGGCTACCCTCGCGTGACAGGCGGGATGACGATGACCTCACGTGCTCGTTTAGCGCCTCATTTACGCGTTTCGATCCGCATTCCCCGCAACACATAATACTTATCACATACCCAAAATGCTAGTCAAGTTGAATAGGGTCAATTTCGGACGTTACGCACGAAAGAGCCGCCACCATGGTTAAGCATTCGGATGAAGACTTACCGTCTTCCGACAGTCCCTGTCTCGTCCTCCGGCACCCTACCGCAGAGGAGTGCACGGCAACTTCGACGAATACTTCCGCAACATGGAAGGACTCGCTCACACCCGCGCTATTCTTGGAAGAGTCGCGCTTCCTCACCACCGTACCTTTGGCCTGCAATAGAGGTATGACAATGTGGATCTTAGTTCACCGAGATCAAGCTCCAGGCGAACGTCGGATTCTGTGCTCTTGCGAGAGCTTCTACAAGCGCTCGCTCACTAGCGATACCAGCGGTGCGGTCAGTGAGAATATGGTGCACGGTATAGCCAGTGTCTTTTGCCCTAGCGTGTATCGAGGCCGAGGGTATGCAGCACGCATGATGCGTGAGTTGGCGAAAACGTTACAGACATGGCAGACTGAGGAACAACAGTGTGTAGGGAACACTTTGTACTCTGACATTGGTAAACAATTTTACACGAAGCTGGGTTGGCTGCCAAGCACCAGGAATTCGCAGATTGAGCTTCAACCCAATACTATTGCGTGGCCTTCGCTGGTTGTACCAATCATGGAAAACGAATTAGGAGATTTGTGCAAGCGGGACGAAGAAATGGTTCGACTTCGCATGTCCGTATCCACACGAGAAGTGAAGACTCGCTTTACTATTCTCCCAGACCTGGATCATATGCTCTGGCACATATCCAAAGAGACGTTCGCCACCGAATACCTCTTCGACAAGGTACCTGATGTGAAAGGCGCCATAGCCGGCCCACCAGGCAGCCAGATCTGGGCACTTTGGACGCACCGGTACTACTGTCACCCCAATGCAGAGTCATTACAAAACGTGCTTTACATACTTCGGCTTGTTGTAGAGATCGACGAGACCTCAACAAGGTTGTCTACAAATGCAGCAAAACGGCCTGGTCATGACGCTTGGAACCAACAAATGGAATACCTACGAGCGGTTTTGCAAGCAGCGCAGGTCGAAGCTGAGAATTGGAAACTAGATGTCGTTAAGCTTTGGGATCCGACGCCCTTAGTTCTGGATATGCTAGCTCAGATTGGCATGGAGTATGAGGTTCAGGAACGGGAGAATGATAGTATCGCCAGCCTGCTTTGGTACGATACAAATGGTGGTATTAATAGCGAGGCGCCCTTGTGGCTGAATAACGAGCACTATGCGTGGCAATAGGAGCTAAGAGAGGTGAAGTTCTAACGGAGAATCTTCTCACGCCCGCCTAACAGCCTGCGTTAATGCGACCCTTAGTTATCCTTTTCGACACAAAGTCCCCTGGTCCTCTCTGTGTTCCTTTTAGGCCAACATGAAGGTCATGGCAAAGATTTCGCCTTCCTGCTTAGTCGGGAAGCTTCCGAAGAGGTTGCTTCCTTTTCGGCTCAGCAACACTATGGATTTCCAGCGCCTAAATGGTCGTTTTATATGGTGGATATAAGATGGGCGGCCCCCAATGTACCAATGTACCAATGGACTCATGCTGCACTCGAAATCCTTCAGTACATTGCGGGTAGAGGCCACACAGGATCTAGTCTGTAGCCAACAATCATCAGACACAATCGGCTGCAAAATCCTTCCATATCCGCCATTCAGAATACGGTTGACTTGTGGAGTGCCTCAACTCTTGCGTTGTGAGAAGTGGCGTTCGTTATCTGCAAAGGTGCATCAGGCTGAGGGGAACCGACCCAACTCTGCATGAGAGCAATGCCAGTCTTCAGCTGATTAAATTCGGAGCACAAGGAGCAGTTTTAGAGCCAGCCTTCTAAGCCTCTCCTGCTTTCTCTCAGCGCTTCCTCGGCCTCCCATCGGATTTGAAGATCGTTTACTCTATCTTGCAGTGTTAGCCTCTGTCCTCGCCTCAACATGAGACCCCAGGCTACGAGCTCGACGCGTCAACTAGACCAGCCGCAAACTTGCTTCAATCGCCAAGATGACAAAGGTTTTTAGAGCTTCTGTAAAGCATGGCACTGATATTCACTCCACTTGTGTCTCTGTGTAGCCTTCCTTGGATTCATGCTCACCCTAGTGGATTGGCATGCTTTCAGAATGGGAAACCAGGCCTACTTCAACCAGCGCGAGTCTGGATTGTACCAGGCGGAAGTGGCTGGCTTTGTTTCCGCAGCATTAGTAGCTCTGCAGCTCGTAGTTGAGGTTGGCTCCTCACTTATCATCTGGCGCCTTGTCTTCTTCCTTCTGGGCAAGACCGCAATCAGACTTGTGGAGCTTTGTCGCATGGTAGACATGAGGCTCCCGATAATACCTGGCTTGATTCCACTCAGAATCTGTCCTGGTCGTTATTCGCAGTTATCGTTGTCGTGCTCGTGTGGCTGTCGTCCATCGCGGCACCTCTTGCCAATTCGACCTTGCAGTGGATTCCTTCAACCAAGCTTGCGCAATCTCAGACACGAAGCTACGATCTCCCAGAAATCAAGACCGCAGGAGTATGAGACAGATTCCTCTATGCAGAAGACCCTGTCGCGATTGCACTACGAGCGGCTACTATGGGCGTCAAGGACTCGGACTACGCTTTCATCGCCACGGAAGCTACTCAACGGCGATACATGTATCTGGCCGCTCATCTGCCTTCAGCTAGTCTTGCTACTGCACAATTGCCGTACTTCGAGATCTTGGATATCGAGTGGTTAGATGTACAATTTGTTTCGGATGCGGGAAAGCCTAACGACCTCAGAAATGCCAGCATGCAGGCAAATCTAGCATACGGTAGGAATAGGGGCACCTTGGGCTTCTGGATGACCGAAAAGTGGGAGTCTTCGAGAGCGATAGGGCTCTACGCGCACCTCGTCACGGTTTATGATGACAAGAGAAACGTCTCAATTCTCGTCGGTCGCTTGACCCCACATGGTCACTTCAAAGCAGATGATGACTGGGGAACCAACACTACCTAGTGTCTACCTAAAACACGTAAATTCGGGCAATTGCCCTTGGGCGTGAGTCAGTTTAGTCAGAAATGGAACTACGATGGCGAATGGGCCGCGACAGATTGCTTTTTAGTTGCAGAGGTTACAATGAGAATCGGAATAATCGACAAACAAGCTTGCAATATCACACTGGCTGATGCTTCCGAAGACCTGCACATTGCATCACCGTCGAACGAAGCGCATCAGTTGGGGCCAGTCTTGATGCCTGATTGGGCTATACTCCCCACCTTGGATATGATGACAGACGTATTACAACATCTGGTCTCGCTGGGCGTTGGTCTACAGTACCAAGCAGATAATGTGGACGGTTATCTTGCAGGAATGTTGACAGTGGCATACCACGCGACACGTAGCGCCTTGGTAGTTTAAGTCGCGGACTCTAATACGACGATTACAGCAATACCATCGGAGCCAATAGTGCGCGTGATAGTCAACCGGGGTCGTTTGTATGCATGGTTGGCTTTGAACGCAACCTTGACGGTGGCAGCTTTGCTCCTGTGGACAGTGCAATCCACCACAGCCAAAACATCGAAAATCGTTCGAGATCCGACGCTCGTGGCCCTTGCAACGACCATGGACGCCGTTTGTCATTATAACGGGGACGGGCTTTGTAATGCGGTTGCTCTAGGAGGTAGCGATAGGAAGACGGGAAGAGTGGTCTGGGATCATGACCGTGACGAATCGTGTCGGAAGTTGCGGTTTGCGCCCCAAGGTGATCTGTTTGAGAACACGCAGACTTCTATACCATTGCTCTCCCTACGCCACTACAACAAACCTCTAGATGATTGAAGAATGAGCCTGGAAACGTTCGTAGTTCTAGCTCGTATTCGTAGAGAATTGGATAACGCTTTTACACCCTTGTGATAACTCAGTCTTCATCCCACCCATCGCCTGATTTATTACCATCCAGGTAGTGAATTACATTTTCTTCTGCTTCCGTGACATCCAAAGGATCACCACCATCTCTGAAAAAGTACACTTGCTCTGCAACCTGATAAGCTTTGCACCTGACACGCATGTGCAACACCTGACCCTTATGGTTGAGGGCAATTAGCAATACCCATCCATCTTCACATGCCTCGCGGTCTGCGACCACGATAAGTGACTTTTGACGCCATTTTAAATCATCATCGTCCTCTGTCGTCTCACGACCTCCATTTCTGGATTCCATCGCGTCGGGGCACTGGATGAGAGCGTTTAAGATGAAAGATGGTATATTATCCATCAGCTCCACCTCATCATCTGCATCCCGTGCCGCCACCCCATAAGCAGCATCATCATCGTCGTCAAATACGTTCGGGCCAAACATATTGCCATCAAATTCGTAATTAACCCGCGGAGGGCACAAAGCTTTCCGCCACAGCCGAAGGTACGCTTCGTCGGCACTGGCATGTGTGACGGTCCCTTCAACCGAAGTATGGTTAGGGGATGCTTCATTGCCGTACCATGTTCGAATCCAGATAGCACCAGTAACACCCCATCTCTCTGGGTCCGTTTCCTTACGCTTCGCAAAGGCCGACAGGTTTGAAGAGATATGACGGGGTGAAGAAATATCGTCTTCCCCACATCGCTTGAAGTAGGGCTGATTGAGTTGCTCGTCAGTGGCCCGACTTGTGGAGTACCCTCGCAGTTGGATGAGATCCTACAGAGCGGCCACGTTGGCCGAGGCTAATCCATGCTTTGACAAGATCCCGTTCTTGTTTGTCTTGGTGCTGGGTCGGTTCTGGGCCCCATTTTTCCTGTTGCTCCACATCAGGCCTAATCCAAGGAGCTTCAGCTGTGCTGGCTGGATTGAGTAGAATGCAACCAGGCGTACCACGAGGAAAGGATCGAAAGGCTCATAGCCGAATGTATCGTCTAAGATTTGCGAACTGGCCATAGCGGGCGATTTGGTGTGAGCCGAGGCGGAAGGTGCAAGGTTGCGTATCGTTTCTGATGGTAGCCGTGCAGGTATGCAAACGTAAAACAACAAGCAGTCTGAGTGCGTCCGCGGAACGGGGTCGCGAAGTCACGGTTGCTGGCCCTGGCGCATACAGTCGGTCTCCTATTGGCCTGGATACTGATCCTTGCAAGCCGACCTCAGCATGGGTATTGAAACTATCTCGAAAGGTAGCCCTTTGAATCTGTGACGAAGTTCCCAGTAGAGGGTCGCGGCAACATGTACAGCGCAAGCTTTCGCCTAGCAGAAATTCCTTCTGACGGCCGCTTGGACGACGAGTCTCCACAGCATAGCATTGCTTTTCTCCACATCTGCTTGAGTTGGATGTTTCGTGAGGAGCCGGACTGGACTATCGCTGCAAATCGTGTATGGTCTCTAATTGCGGGTGGCATGATGTGGCTGGCTTTGTTGGCTTGATATAGATGGAGGATAAGCGAATAAGGAAGAGGGTTGTCCAGAGATTTTCTGAACAAACGTGAGAAAAGAGACAACTGGTATTCAGAGAATGTGCCGTGCACAGGTAGAAGGTTTTTGGTTCATGTGGAAAAGGGAAGCCAATGAGTCAATTTGTATAAGTCGTCTTTCTATTGTTTGTTGATCATGTACACAAGCGCCAAATTGCAGGCCCATGTTAGTAGGAACTTTGCCGTCGCCGGAAACAACGGTTCTGAGGTAAGGAGAGCCACCCTTGTCTAACGAGCCTACTTCGGTAAGGGAAGCTATGGTAAAAAGGCAACTCCGCAGATGCTTAGTGCGGCGGTGTCTCGATAGGCGAAGCAGGCTTCCGCGCTACCATCACGGTGTAATAGATCGGCTTCTAGAGGGGTAGAGATTGGGTATGAGTAGACGGTTGATGCTTATGTAGCTATTCGCCGTAGCGATGCAGGTCCTGGAGTGACCACGATGATCTAGGTCTAGGCAAGGCGGAAGCTAGTCCGGACGCGCCATCGACGTCACGGCAAGCCACCCAGCCATCCTTGATGTCTCCACTCGAGCACGTCTCCACGGTACACCTCACCCAGACACCTCACAGTTCTCACCGCATCGCGACACGTACTATACCCCAACAAAAGCCGTTGCGCATACATGAGCGCCATCACCGCGCTGCATGTGGCAGACTTTGCGATCATACAATCGTGATTTCGCCATTCCGGGTTCTAAACGGTCACGGATGGCTTCTGGGAGCATTGGCGACGTGCCTGCCGCGACTTTTGCTGAGTACGTAGACGATCCTTTCTTCGACCACGGTGATGAGGTGGGTACATCGCAGACATCTTCGGAAGAGGAGGACGACTTCATGAAGAATGCGCCGTCTGCCGATGCACCGCAATTGGAGCTGGCGCAAAAGCCCCAAGCACCTTCGCGATGTATCGCATTGCGCCCGGCTCTGACCCACCGTCTCTACTCCCATCGCCTACATGTACGGGCAAAAGCTAAGCTGCAACGCGATAGACTGCTCTCCGGCCCTATGATCGACATCTACGTAGGCGAGTCCAAGCGCCACTGGTCGCTGCACCGCAACCTACTGTGCCACCACTCCGAGGCCCTCGAGAACGAGCTGCTTGGTGACGCAGACGGCCACAATAGAAAAGACCAGCTCCATCTCCCCGACTACAGCCCTGCCGGCTTCGAGCTGCTGGTGAAATGGCTGTATCAAGGCAGCCTCGATGATGTCTCCGACATGGCCGACGCCAACCAAAAGTACGAGTATGCTGTGAGCTGTCACAGACTGTACCTGCTCTGCGATCGCTTCGAGATGGCCCAGTTGAAGAATGTCGCAATGGACCAGTACAGAAAAGGCCTGAATGAAGCCGAGTTGGTACCTGACGCTGACGAGATTGACGACATCTATCGCAAAAGCCCGACAGGGTCGCCGTTCCGCACACTCATGACGCGTATCGCAGCCCGCCAGATCATGGATCCCGGCAGTGAGCGCGATGTCGAGACTTATCGCGAATGCTTTGAGAACAACCCCGATTTCGCCATTGACTTGGTCAAGGCAATCAGATCAGGTACTGGTGGCATGCTATTTGACGACCCTACAGATGAGGGTAACGAGTGTGATTACCATGACCACGAAGCTGGGCCCAACTGCCACACAAAGGGCAAGGGGAAGGGGAAGCAAGGTGTGTGACTCCGACCTCTACCCAGCCCATTCTCAATACCACGTCAGCCATTTCATTGCTGTCACGACACGCGTAATAACATCCATTAACCAGCAAAGAAGAAGGCCGGCCCGTCATCCGTCAAATCCGTCCCCTACATAAGCTCCGACCAGCAGAACCGCCCTCTCCGCCCTCCTCCCCCGAAGACGCCTCGCCCGCCTCATCCCCTGCAGGCTCGCCCACAAGAAGGACGCGCCGGTCCTCTCCGCCGTCGCCTGACAAGTCCGGCGAGTTCGACAGTGGTCACCTCGACGGAAATGGCGGTTGCCAGTCAACCGCCCAACCTCGACGCAATTCGCGAGAGGGAGAAGGACAGAGAGAGGTTGCGCAAAGTGACGCCACCGGAGAGAAGACGTCTAGAGCGAGCTCAAAGCAGCGGAACGGAGATACAGATGTCACGCCCAGTCCTAGAAGAGCGCCGCCGAAGCTCAGACGACGCGTCTCCCCCGCACCAGAGTAGCCAGGTGGGAGATGAAACATTTGGTGAGCTGGAAGGAGGACCAGTGCAACCACCACAACGGGCACCGTCGCGTCGAGGTATTTGGGAATGGGCCAAAGTAGGAACAGGCAGACTTAACATTATCGGACGCATACCGCATCCTGAATGGAAGGGTCCAATAGTGTCGCACGAAGTCGTTGCGAATGGCAATTCGCGGATAAGCACCATTCCCGAGACGCATGACGATTTCAGCATCCCTTCCACGACCGCTACCGAGACGAATCATTTACAAGAATACAACCAAGCAATGGCGGCTAAGATTGAAGGTTTTGGGTTTTCCCACGCTCACATCACAACGTCGCCATCCTTCTCACAGACAAAGCGCTCTTCGGATGACCTCGTCGCTGCGTCATCTACGGCTAGTACGCCAGCCAACCTGAATCTTGTCGCCGAGGGGTGGGCGAATGGAGAGCGCATTACACCGCAACCCTCCAAGGACAGTCCACCGTTGACGCCGGATACCCCAACCCCGAATCAACGCAGGAAGGATTCAACAATAGAGGAAGAAAGCACACCGACGAAAGATACATCGGATAGCGTGAAGGTAGAGATAACCGATCGACCCCAGAACGGCGTCAAGGCTACCCCTACTCCTGACCGCATCCCAAAGTACCGGATAGCGCTTACTTCGAATTTCCTTTCACCAGCTCGCAGTACCACGAGTTCCACTTCTTGATTCCTTGAACATGATCACGATCAAACACGATACCCTATACATATATATAATCCGGCGTTTTAAGCGGCGAGTCAATTAGAATCAATTTTCCACAAACCTCAACGTCGACATTCACTGACTTTAACAACTGAACAGCATCTAAGTTCTTTGACGTACGACCGCAGGATCTGATTGGGCCTTTGCTGTCCGCTCAATCTTCGTAGAGTCCTATTCGTGCTGTTTATGGTGGCCTAACGAAGTGCGCTGGTTTTTAGCACAGGATACGAGCAACTATGCTACGCGTCTGCTCCTGAGACCTCAGGAGATCCGTGCCCTAATCAGTTCGAAAGACGCCACTTGGTGAGGGCGAAAGCCGGCGATCGACAGATTGTTCTCGTACACTAAGGGCTTCCCGTCGAGTGAGAGCTACATAATCTTAACACAATGTAAATTCTTTCACATACGACCATAGGACACTGAAAATTAGGCTTCCCGTCCGCTCAGCCATATACAAGCAGTGTACCGGCGGATTAGTAGTTAGGTGGGTGACCACTAGCGAATCCCCGCTGTTGTATGTTTTTTGCGCATATCTTTTGCCGGACCTTCAATCTATGATTCGCCGGTACTGAAACTAACGTCTGCATACATTTACTATTTCCTGCTTCTGGTAGGTTGTCTGGGACATAACCACCATTTTTGTACCAATTCGAAACATGCCGATACCATCGAGTAAACAGAAAGCGCATAATATTGCTCATCTGCGGTCACCCGCTTAGCAGGAAGCTGATCGTCCTAATCTAACGCGCTGGCTTTTCCTCGCCTACTTGCTTTCACTAATTCTTAAACCACATCAGCTTCTAAAAACACGTTCAAATGTCTGTATCAAATGATCTTCCAACTATGGATAGTCTCTGCTCTTCGAAGACGCCAGTCTTCAGCTCTATGGACATGCTCAAAGTCCGCTGGAGACCTTTTGGAAGCATGCAGTCGACAATTGAGGTTGCAGAAGACCTGGATGCAAGTACAAATTCGTGTGTACCTCCATATCAACTGACTACTGGCATCAACCGATCTTTTCATCAAATTTCGACATCCCCAGCTACAGATCCCCCGGTCTCGTCAATCACTGTGCAGATCACGGATTTGGAAGATTGGGCATGGCGTTGGACAGAGAACCACGAGGATTGTGATGATGAACACCAAGAGTGGGTTGGAGAAGATGGTAATGAGGACGATGAAGAAGAGGAGTCTCTGCGGAAACTTGTGCGCTGCTGTGACCAGAATCGTCCTCAGGCCCCGCCGCCCCTTCTAGTTTGTCCTACTTCGCAAACTTACATTATAGTGCATGATTATATCGGTCAAGTTCATGCTTGGATTGAGAGCCTGCAGTTTGATATCATAGCAGTCGCGAAAGAGAATGATGGCACTCGCCCCTCAACTCCGCGCTACACACTTTACTTCGTCTGGATACACCCCATATCAGAGACGATGGTCAGCGTAGTGCGAACCATCATTGAAAAAGTGTTGCAGACCATGCACAGCTGCGTAGAGATGGCAAGATGATCGGTCGTAATCACACGTACGAGGAAACTACTCCCCTTATCGGAAGGGGCAACCAAACTCAATTGAGATGACACAAATTATACTACATCCTTGCCGATTTCCTCCAGACTATTGTTTCGGTACTTACGGCATTCTAATTCGTAGTCGGGCGCGTGATAGACATGCTTGTTCTGAGAACCTTAGTTTTGTGCATTAGAATGACAATGAAGGCGTGCAAGTTGGGCCTTCTTCAACCACTAGTTCCTAGCGCGTGATGACGGGTGTGGAGTCGCATCACTGAGAACCTCATTGTCTGTTCTCTCCTTCGCTTGTGTACTTTCAGATGGCAATATCAAGCCGTCAGCACCCAAAATTTTCGATGTTGTCAAAAACAACCTACTTCCAATCTTCCATCAACTCCGCCCCTTGGCCCCTCGGCGCAACCTCCGTAATCGCGTGTAGAAAGTCTGCAAATATCAACCTTGTAAGCTATAGTTGTAACTCTTCATATTGAAATTTAATGATAAATCTACGGGTGCGAAGTCTGCCTATGTGTTGAGGGACGACCGAGTGACACCTAGGCAGGCGACCCTCTGCAGCACCAACAGGGTAGGTAACATGGGGCTCAGTCTTCATCGTAACTGCGCCAGTGTAACAGGGAGACACAGCTGACTCTAGAGCATCAGAGACACGAAGACAGTACACGGCAAGAAGTGAGCTGTTCACAACTTTTGAAACATTGGAGGCCATACTGTGCTACGTAGGCGCGTTTGCATTGCTGGGACGTCTTCTCAAATATGGGGTCACCGTCATAGTCCACTCAACCATGAGCTTCCCATCATGCGAAAAGTGGCTTTTTTTACACTCATACAAGTCTTGTCCTCCTCACTGTCGTCTCAACACTGAAGGTAAAACCTCACCCGTGAAAAGTGATCTTGATAGATATTGAAAGCCAGTAACATCCCCTGTATCACAGTCTCAAAGACATGTTGAATGGCTGGTCTCTCCAGGCAAAGAGATCTGGACCGCGCGATTTACCAACGGCGGTGATGTTGGGTAGCCCGGAGAACCGAAGTGATGGAAAAGTCCAGAGGGCGACGAACCGCACCATTGGGGCACTAGACGCAGATGCTGAGATTTTAGAAGACAACCCTAGTTTCAGTGGCGCAAGGAGTGCGGTGGAGCTGGCATGGCGTGCGTTGGACCTGGACGAACTAATAGAGTTTCAAAGGTATCCCCTGCTTGAGAAAAGTCGGTAGTGGCTGTACGGTTCAAAACGACAGTACCCTCAGCATCTCCTCGTTGCCGGATCATGATTATAATCAAAAGCCTTCAGGAGGGCTACCAAATGCCAAGCCGCACCCCCAACAGCACAAAGATGAAAAATCTGATGTGAGCAACCCCAAATATCAAAGAATCCGGGGCGAAACCTCTCCGGGAAGCGAATCTTTGGTGAGATGTTAGTAACGGCACTCTGAGCAGCGTCTTCTTCTTTCTGCATACTCACCGCATAGATGAAAGCACCGGTGATATAGCACAATCCTTCGCATATCATCAACCACCACCCCATCTGTTTATCGGCCTGTTCGATACCAAATGTCTGCGCAGCATGCGTCATAGGAACCGCACCCGACCAACCAATGGCACAGAACAACGTCGCTCTAGCCCATCGCCACTTGGGCGTACGAAATCGCGGTATCGAACAGAGCGTAGCAGCACCCGTGACGATAGTGGTGATCCCAACAGAATACAACATCCAATACTGCCTCTCGCAGTAAAAACCATAATACGTTCCCGAGTACACCGTCCCAACGATCAAGATGAAAATCCCATAAAGATCGAGTTGAAGCCAGGTATGGTAAACGGCACTCGAGTGGTTGCCAAACATGTGAAACGTAGCGCTGATTCCGAAGCAAACAACCGCACTGCCCACAAAAACGCCGAATGCGAGAAGGTCGTGGATGTCAGCGGTCGTGTACCGTCTGCTGACGCTGTTGTAGGCATAGGTGCCGTAGGAGAGGATCAGCACTGCGCCGATGAGGTGCGTGTAGATGTTGCCGGTTTGGTTGTGTAGGTAAGAGAGGCTTTTCAGGCATTCTCGATAGGATCCAGTCGTACTCCGGTAATGGTTGGTTAGATACTCGTTGTCGCGTTGCCAAGCCTGGACTTCTTGGAAAGTATAGAGGAGTCGTTTTGGTGCGGGCTTGGCCTCCTCCCCTTTGGTCGTAGTAAGGGGGGCTGTGTAAATGGACATATTCCTACTCTTTCAGTTCGTGGAGAGGGGATTGGGAGTGTTCTGGCTCAATTAAGCCAACAATAGGAAAGGAAAGGGGTAGATGATAGAGAGAGGACTTTGGATGAGGGCAATGCGCATGCTTGTACTTTTCCGGCTCTCGTACAACTAGTGTTTGGAGCATGGGCCGCCGAACGAAGGAGACGAATGTTATGCTGTCAGGTAATCCAGATATTGTCATGTGAAGGTGTGAAGAGCGACAAACATTGTACTTGAAGGAGGACGGACATCTTGGTATTACGGCTATACGGCTGCAAGGGGTTCGGCTGAAATGCTATGACGGACTATCTATGAGCGATAATTCCAAAGACGGAGGGAACCTGGAACTGGGAAACGGGAACTAAGCGGCAGAGGCGCGTTGCGAGTTAGACCAGGGGGGGCGATGGCGCTAATTGGTGGAGCCACGCGTCATCTCAGCACCGCCACAAGATAAGCAACGTATCCCAGTTGCAGGTAGCAACGTCGAACAAAAAAACAATAATCCATAACAATGCATCGTGTAAGAATCAGATCGTTTAATATTCTGCCGTTTCCGTTTAGAAAAATACATACAATTTCCATCGTAAAGGAGGGGTATATGGCCAAAGAATCGTATCGCGTCGCTTAGTGTCGTATCGTATCTCGTATCTCGTAGTATTCCGTAATATGTAACCGAAGAAGTGGAACGAGAGAGAAAGGCGTTCTCAATCGGAGTGCCAATCACTCGCATTGCTCTCTCCAAACTCGCTCCTATAGCGCCTACACCCCGAAAGTCAACACACCAAAACAATACAGACAAAACAGCGACAACAGGATTGATCGCGAGGCGAAAAGCAAAAACAAACTTACTCATCCCTTCCCCCATTTTCGCTGCTCTCTCCCTGCATGCCCAATTTTCCCACATCCAATTTGGTCAACCCGCTCTCACCAAGCGTATCACCACCCCAGCCCTCCTTCTTGCCCTCAACTAACATCTTCAGCATATCTTTCAACTCCCCGACTTCCTTCCTCAACTGTCTGACCTCTAAGACGGCAGTATCAAATTCGACGTTGGGACGTGAAGCCTGGACCTTCTTGTCCCAGCCATCGGCTTCAAAGTCACAGCCATCAAGGACCTGTTCCCACTCCATGGTAGTGTCTTCGTCGTCTTCGCCGCGGCGACGATTTTCTTTGACAACCCAGGCTTCTTGTTGTTCGAGCATAGCGGTGATGAGGAGGAGGGGAGAGTAGATTACTGCCATGACCTGTTTTGGCGTCAGCTTGACTGTGGACTGAAAGTAGCGTGGGAAGAGATGGGTGTTGGGGTGTTGTAATCAGTACTAGGTGATAATTGTCTCATAGCCGAAGCTCTGAAGTAGCAAATACATAGAAAATCATCATATAAACAGTAGAGTTGTGAGGCTTGTCTGGGGGGCAAAGGTACGTACCATGTCGTTGAGTTTGTCGTAGCGCTTTTCATCCATCCACCACTCAAATGGGAGGATAAGGCAAAACATCTCGATAAGGTTGAAGGGAGCGATGAAGACGTTCTCATCTGGAGCGCGAACGAATTGCATCGTTTTCTGTGAGAAGAGAGCCATGTACTCGTCGATGGCGTTCTGTGTGATGTCTTCGTAGGCGGAGTTGTACAGGGCGATGAGGACGTTTAGTAGGATAACCATGACGACGAATGTAAAGATGTAGTAGAGAATGATACCAAAGGGAGGCTGTTGTTTGTTAGCTCACATTCAATTGCGTACATGAGATACGACGTACCGAGAAGTTATCGAAGCCCTCGAATTCAGGAGACTGCATAACGGCGTTCAGCATGGCTTGGAAGACAAAGACAGTATCGTTTGCCAGCTGGTCGTCCGCGATGTCGAGACCGATGAAAGCTTGGAAAAATCCTATCATGACAACAAGCAGTAGCATGAAAAAGATGAGCGACTCGCGCATCATGACCTTGAGCACGACGAGCATGGCACCAAAGAAGCGGAAGGTGTCGAGGTACAGCAGCAGACGCATCCAGAACATGGGGGCGGTGAAAGCTAGGAAGTCGTAGCTCATCTTGTTCAAGTACTCGCGTCTTGTGTCCTTTTCGTCACTAACCGGATGTCCGAGAGCTATCATGCGCAAGACGAAGCTGACCGTGAGAAGTGCATACAAGGTACTGTTGAACATGTTCCAGAAGGATATGTAGAATCGTCCAACCTTCCAGAACTTGTTCGCCTCGTCGCAGATGAAACCTAGAGTGAAGAGGTACAGCAGACCTTCAACGACATCCAAGTCACCAGAGGGGTTAATGGTGTTGATAGCACCAGTGTAGAGAGCCAGGAAGATGACTGACACAGCGATCTGCACCCAGTTCTGGTATTTTGGAACTCGCATCCGATCGGGATCAAGATGTGCCCAGTAGCTGGTGTTGGTCTTGTTCTCGTACGTGACGAAGCGACTAGGGTCCTCATCATCCTGCACGACCCATCCGCGCCATAGGTAGTTGATGCACTTCTGGTATCCGGACGATCCGATAACAGTCACAGCGTGGAGATCGACGGCCTTTTCAATGGCGTTAGCAGGTGTGGTTGCCTCTCCATCAATTAGTGTTGAGTAGCGCTTGAGTAGCACCTCCTCGAACAGGTATGCGATATCCTCTTCGGCCTCGATCAGGCGCTTGGCCATGATCTCTGCCGCCACGGCGCGGACTTCGTGTAGGTCGGCATCCCACAGCTCTGCGGTAGCTTGTTTCTTAAACCACTTCTTCACTTGCAACAGGCAGAAGACTACGCAGGCATTGTGCTCGGGAGCTCCAGCTTGCTTCGCAGTCTCTAGCACTGCGTCGGTGATGATGCTGCTATGCGCCCTGGTGATCTGGTCCTCTTCGAGCTCACAGGGTACGACTTGTTCGATCTGGTGCTTCAATCGCAGAGCAACTATGGTAACATCCTTGGGGTCGATAGGTGGAGGAGGGAGGTGTTCGCGACGCGATGTGGGCAAAACTGGCAGGTGTTAGCGCTGAACGTGGAAGAAACAATATGAAAGACATACGCGCGCTCATCTCATCCTGCACTCTGTGTCTCCTATCCTGACCATCTCCATTGAACAGCTCGTTCCACCGCACCATTGTTGCGGCGCAGCTCAGTAGGAGCTATATCTCGTAGAAGGTCTATCAAGCTTCACGAGAAGTGTGTCGAGCTCTGGCAAAGTACCCAGCAACAAAGTACCGAGGTAGCGTCGAGCTTGGAAGTAAAACTGCTGCGACACAACAACACAACACAACTCGCCGAGGAGTTGAGCAGAAAAGAAGCTGCGGTGTCAGAGAGACAACAAAGCAGCAGGATCCACGACAAGACAGGGTTGTTCGTGCTAGTGTTGGCTAAAAGCTGGATTGGTGGACCGCCGAGCGTTGTCAAGTCCTGTCCAGCGTCATTGCGTCCCACCAACGCGAAACGGCCCAAGCTCCCCGTCTGCTGCCAAATCAATACCAAGCAGTCGTAGCGGGTACCACAATGAAATATGGGACATTAGTACATGTTCATTCTTGATTTGCTGCTAGAGCCGCTTGAAGCCGCTTTTGTAACCCTCCCCTCTGTGCTCAAACGCAGATATGCATGCGGCTGAAGACAAGGTGCTGTACATGTCGAGATGCCTGGCGTGCATGCTCGTGAACCACCGAATCGACGCCTCAAACGCCCGTGCCCACTTTTTGCAGATACCTCTTGGTCTTCATTATCATGGTCGCTCGTGTGCAAGTCATCCTCCAGCCGCTTAGTCGGCCTCAGCAACACCACCCTCGTCACTCGTGCTCTCGTCCTCGTCACCGCTGACTTCCTGGTTCTCACGCTCACGCTTCTCCATGAGTGCAGCCAACTCGGCATCGTCGTTCTCGGTGACAGCCTTGGGTGCCATCTTGACCTGGCAGTCGCCTCCGGCCTTTGAAATGTTCTCCTTGATGTCGACGATTGCTTGTTCGAGGCATGCGATACCGGCGTTCTTGTCGAGACATTGAGAGGTAAGGACTGCAGAAGTCAGCAAGAGAATGAAAATGCATGTTCAGTGGTCACATACCGTAAAGAGGTGGGGACACAAGCTTGACTTTGACCTGGTTCTCGGGGGTGTTCTTCGCCTCGGCGCATCGCAGAGCAGTCTTGACAGCGTCGATACCCTCGTATCCGAAGCAGGTGACTACAAATGTCAGTATGAGTATCTAAATTGTCTTCATTCCTCGGACATACCCTCAATGTCCGATCGGACCTTGGTAGGCTGAGGTGTCAACCTCTTGCCAATGTAGCTCTGTAGCTCCTCCTTGACAACGTCGTTGGGGAATGTAACGTCGTTCCAGACCTCTGGGTTGGTAATGCTAAGCTTGAAAGCATCGATCGAATGTCCGTACTTCTTGTTCAGCGGCCAGCCGATAGTCTGGTAAATCTCCTCGATAGGTGTCTGAGTCTTCTCGGCGACGTGGCGCATGATGCTGTGTACCATCTTTGACTTGTTGTATCGCTCCTCGCACTTGACAATGTCCTCAGGCGACACTCGGCGCTTTGACAAATCGATGTAACCCTTGTCCTTGTCTACACGGAGTACGACGACGACCTCGTTGCGGCCAACTCGAATGAGCTTCTGGATGGATCGAATACGTCTTCGCGAAAGTTCGGAAAGCAAGATCATGCCGTCGATGTTGTCTGTATTCCCTTAGCCTCGCTCGCGATACCTTCAATATGCCCTGAACCCACCGTATTCTAGCAGCTTGACGTATGCGCCCATCTCTGCAATCTGCTTCACGTTGACCATGACGAAGCTCTCCACCTCCGGGTACTTCTCCTCGTAGAATCGGCAATTTGTGAGAGACATCTTGAATGTGTGCTCTTCGTCTTCTCCTTTGTGGTGTAGGGTAACGTCGTTCGACTGTCGCCGAGTGGGGTCGCTTCTAGTATTGTTCCTCGCTTGTGGACAGGGATTCTCAGAGTTTTCGTGTAGTCGTCGATGCGGGCGACTCTCGGAATGGGTCGAGTGGTGTGTATTTCGGTGTGCTGAGCGGAGACGGAGTGGAAGCGTCCAAGTAGTTGGTTCGCAGTGACTCAAAGATTTGCCCACTCACTGTGTGAGATCGCCCGCCGCCGTGGGGCAACAAAAGCCATTCCGCTTCCGGTAACGCGCAACCCCCGTCCCATCTTTCCGCAACCTCACCACATTCACTCGTCAACAATCCTGGCCATTTGCTTATCAGATTTGTTGCGTTATGTTTTTTGCATCAAGAAGTGTCAGCACGTAGCTCTGTATCTTATGACCTCAGTTGTCTTTCGTCTATTCAACACACAACTCATATTGATCTATTTCTGTTCTAGATCAGGGAGGCAACTGGTCATGGGCGTTCACACGGCAGAAACAAGAGCATTGGGATCGTGAAGTTCATTACCGAGCATCATACGTTACTCGTCATCTAATATACAATGTAGGGGTCCAAAGGCGGAGCTTGTAGACCAACCCCAGGTCATATACCTGAAATGATGACCGTCCACCATCAACTTGTAAATTCCCGGTCTGAAAACTCCGAACCTATTTCTGGGCAACCCTTAAATCGAGATGTTTAGGCTCCGAAGAGAGCCATCAAGACACCGCCAAAGAGGACGGCAGCGCCCACTTGAGTAGCATCCGCCGCATCGGTGAAGGGAGGAAGGAAAGGGGCCGTGTAGGAGGCGCTGGCACTAGCACCACCGGTTCCGGTAGCGCTAGCAGGCTTGGTGCCGTTCACATGGAAAGTGTGCGAATGGCTCATAGAAGGCATGAACACGCTTCCAGTGGTCGCGGTTCCAGTGAAGTTGGTAGTAGCGCTAGCTGACGGCACAGGGACAATTCTGGTCTTGCTCAAGGTGGCTGTGGCGGTAGGCTGTGAAGAAAATTAGCTGACTGCTTGTAAATTCTTTCGTCTCACTGGGTGGGAGCTTACAGGAAGGAGGCCTGAATGTCCATGGCAACCAGTGACAGTCAAAACTTCGCCGTTGCGGGTGACAATGTCAATGCTAGTGGCACAGATCTCTGTCGGCCATACCTTTGAGTTGTTAGACGACGAGGTCGAAGGCATGTGGCAGCCGGTAGCGATAATGGCTTTGCTGGAAGTGACATAGGTACAGGGCTCAGTTCCAAATACCTTTGAGACGGTAGACGACCGCGTGGAAGTCTGGATGGTCACGTCGACGGATTCGGAGGAAGACACAGTGTTGGTACCGCTAACACCAGGAGGAGGAGCAGTAACCGTCACGGTGCTAGGAGGTACGACCTCTGTAACAGTCAAAGTGTTGCAGTGTGTGCTAGACGAAGCCGCGGGCGGGGCGACATAGGTCACCGAAGTGACGAGCTGGATGGACGTAACAACCGACGCAACATCCGAAGAGTACGCGGTACCTACGAAGGCGACGTTGACGAGGGCGGTGGCCGCGAGAAGGCTCTTGAAGATAGCCATTGGAATTGTGGTTACTTGTTGTGAGTGAGTGTGGTTGAGAAGATCAAAGGTATTGATTAAGTTGTTTCGCAGTTGAAGGGGAGACAGCGAGTTCTTTGAAACGAGTGTAGAAGAGACAATGGGTTAATAGAAGGTGAGGGCGGGGTTTTGCGATATTTATCAATGGGAGCCGTCGTTTGTTTCTGCAGAGAGTGGGTCGAGCGTGTTTTGATAACGCCAAGGCTGCAGCGTGGGTGAGCCTATTAGGCAAGAGCAACGCGTGGCATCAATTTGGGGGTGAATGTGAGGGCGTTCGCGCGACAGTCTACAGAGTAGCGCTAGCGGAATTAGTCTGCTACCCGGGGTGGTAACGTGAACGCTCGTGGGCGAGATCCTCAGTCTGAACCTGTGCATATAAAACCTCCCGCTCTTATCCGAAACTGAGATTCACAGAACACATTCCTTCGAAAACTATTGTGGTCCTTTCAGCAAGAGGATGTGAATATAGTATAAATACTCTTACAAGCTAATAACAACAAGTATGTAATATTATATATGCTCAAAACGTAGGCCGCCGTGTACAGTCCCAAATGCCAATAACTGAGTACACTAACCTAGAGTGATGCGCCAAAGTACAATGCAAACCTTCGCCACCGTGCCTAAACCATCCTCATACTATGTACCTATATTACTCCCATTAACATTACCGTTCGACATCCCCTTGTCACCACTCTCTTCAAGTCTGAAGTCCGAATTATCACCTTGGATCCTCTCGATCTCATTCTGTATGGCTAATACCCAATGATCTCGCTCGGCACGCGACCGAGCCCTAAAGACCACACTACGGCCTTTGCTGCCAAGCTTAGCCACTCTTTTCAACTTTGTCCGCTTGCCTTCTTTGCGAGTCTGTTCGCCACCACCTGCACCCTCTTCAGCGCGGAACCAGCTCTTTGCTTTTCCATGCCAGATAACGAACGTAGTCATGACATCCTCGTCGGTAGACGTCCAGCCGTCTTCTAGATAGATGCGTGGAAGGGCATGATGACCTGGTTTGTTCGCATCGAAGGTCTGATTCTGGTAGAGGAGGTCGTTCTCTGTTAGGAGACCAGAGTAAATATAACAGTCCTTGAGATCGAGATTTGCTATGCGCTCGTGGTGAATGTGCGCCAATTGTTTGCCGACCCTGCTTCGCAAGACATCGCGGAATATCAGTAGAGTACCGGCGGTGAGTAGAACGCTGCATCGTGTGAAGGGCGCATGTATACGCGGCTTCCGATACAGCATTCCGCTCATATGGATGCTGCGACAACAAGCAATGCCACACATGTTGTAGAGCTGTGGTGAGGCGAATGATTGAGTCACCTCCCATTTTCTGGCAAACTGCCCAACGTGTGCTTCTGTCTCTTCGTCAATCTTAAGGGCGCTGAGGTTGCGACTACGTGTGGCTTTGTAGAGTGCAATGTCAGATGCAGTACGGTGTTTCCAGTACTTGGCGAGAGCGCGTAGATGTTGTATCCACTCTTTTCGACGAGCTTTGTCTGCGGCCTAAATATCTGATCAGTCGAGAAAGCAGGTCGTATGTTTAAGAATCGCATACCTGTAGGCGAATGATGAGGCCATTCTTCATGACCAGTTCGAGAGTGCGATCAATGTCAAGGTCGTTCGTAGCTCCGTCGTTGCGCATAGAGTCATCAACCTCTTCGTCAAAGTCCACATCTGAGCCCTCCTCCAGGTCCTGATCAGCGGGGCTAGCACCCAGTTGGGCTTTGCGGACTTTTACAACGTCTGCCAGGTCGATGTAGCCGTCGCAGTTGAGCAGATTTTGCTCTTTGCGAGCAGCTTCATCTGCTGCATCTTCGTCGTGCAGCCGCCTAGCCTCTGTGGTGCCTGAGTGCCCCTCCATCAACCATTCAATCTGACCATCCTGCGTGGCATACGGATTGACAGCCCAGCTCTCTGGTACTGTGTCCTTGATTGCTTGCGCTGTCGGTACGTTCGCATTCTCCGACGCAGGTAGTCTCGGAGGTGGAGGCGGAGTGACCTTTGTTGGCCGTGAGAAGACAAGATACTGATCGTGGCTAGCGAAATAGAGCTGCTTATGGTACATGAGTCCTAGTCGTTGTGCCCGTCCGCGCTGTCCGGTGAGTCTGATAAGGAAGCCTTCGACAGGAACCGGTTCAATCAACGTCTTGTGCTTTTTTCTTGTCACTGCAGTCGTAGGATAGTGCGTCTTTGGCCTCAGTTCCAGTTCGTGCGACTTCAGCATCGCTATAGTGCCGTACATCTTGCGCTCGTTCGCTCCATGTATCCATTCAAGGCGGTCGTAACGCTTCCAGGCGAGACCTATGCGCTGATCTCTTATCCACGACTCCAGCACGTCCGCCCACTCTGGTGTATCTTGTAGTTGATCTAAGCAACGTCTAATCAGTTCTTGTGCCACTGCCTGCTCTTCTTGCATAGTTCTCAGTAGAGCCTCCTCCGTATTCTCTGCAGTTTGCACTTTGTTTTGCGACGCCTCCAGCTTCTCGAATGGGTTGGCTATCCGTATACTCAAGCTCATGTCTGGTATATTGATTTGGAGTTCGGAAGCGCGCTGCCAGCCGAGAACGTTTCGGAGGAAGGTATACCACTCTACCGCGTTGGACGCGGTCCGAGCTTGCATGATGAAGATCAAGGTCTCGCGTGAACCTGGTGAGGACACGACCATTGACTTGTCTAACGATGAGTAGAGATTGACTTTGCAGGTCTTCCTACCCAGCGGAACTTCGTATGCAGCCTTCTTGCCTGCTCCCGCGTGCTCGATCTCCGGGATGACCTGTCAATGAAATTAGTAACTCGACGCGAAAAGAATCAAGTAGAGGAACGCACCCGAGTCTGATAGAACTGTAGCACAAACTCAGCATCATTGACGTGACTGTGGCGGCAGACGATCATATACTCGCGCCACTTTTCTTTGACACGGGACACGACCCTTTGGTTTACGTTTTCGTCGAAATCCTCTGGAACCTCTGCGGCGGCATCGACTCGCACAAGCATGCGCTCCATCTTGACAACAAGTCCATCTTTGATCTTCTGTCGTCTCACCTTGGTGCCTGCTCGCTGCACGGTCATCTGCGCTTTCTTCGCTTTGAGATGGAGTGTGGCGCGTCTCGAGTCTTCTGGAATATCAAACTTTACGAGATTCCGTAGGTTTGACTTCTTGCGTGTCAAATCTCCTGTGGCAGGGTCTGTTTCTTGGAGCTGTCCTGAAGAAGAAGACATCATTCCCGATCTCCTCCTCACTTTCGCCATTATACCTTTCGCGGGCGGTTTCGAATCGACATCAGCGGAAGCCGGTGCCTTGTTCATGTCAGCGTTACGCAGCAATGACGATGTGGAGTTTGCATCCACAGAAGCTGCTCCGATGGTTGATGTAGGATTCCCAAGGCTCTCTACATTGGACAGTGGGCGTTTGCCCAGTGACTTTGATCCTGTCTCCTCTTGGCCTGAAGGAACATGTAAGCCACTTGCCTGTGCTTGTTGTTGCTGTTGCTCCTGCAGCGGTCTTTCGTCTGATTCGCCCTCATTTCCATCTCCGTCTGTAGGTATAGAGGATGCGGTGATGAATGTTTTGGAGCTGGATCGGCGGAATGTGCGTCCGTGAGGTTCAGCGTCCTCGTCTTCTGGCTCTGAGGGCGCGTCTACAAACTCATCGTACTCGGCATCTTCCATGACATCGCTCTTTTGGTCTGAAGCACGTGGGACTTGTAAGGTAGGTGGGGTCGCCGCCGTGGCATCTGTTGCGCCATTGGCCCCGCTGGCTTCCAAATCCTGCGCGCCATCTTCCTCCTCTGCTTCGAGTTCTTCGGGCTGGGGGAAACTATGTTGGAAGAGGGCAGAGGAACTGGGGCCTTCGAGGCCACTCAGCCGTCGTTGGCGCGCCTCGCGTGGATCCGAAGAGAAGGTCGCAGTGCGCGTCGAGTAGTTGATTCGGAGGTGGTGCTTATACCAGTCGCGCCGGTGTTTGCTCAGCCATGCTGTCTACTTGTATGTGAGCCATGGCCTGAGAGGGAATTTGGGGAAGCATACCGGGATAGGACCGATGAAGTAGCGCCTCGAGGTGAGGTGCAGATGTTCAGCTGTCGCATGTTCCTACTATTCTTAGCTTGTCGACGTGCGTAGTCTGTAGCCATGCATACCAGTTTCTGGGCCGTATACGAGTCGGGGGACAGATTAGTAACTTCAGGCTGGTGCCATGAGCGGCGCTGCTGGTCGGGCATTGAACCTCTCCTATCTCGTTTTGGCCGCGGAGGTGCGCTCGTTCAAGTCACGGTAGAGTGCTAGATAAACACATAAAATACTAAACAACATACATTAACAAGCTAGTGAGAGGCGCAACTACTTCGCACAAGGAGAGGCAGCCACGAGGGCGTGGCGGGCGTGCGACTAGAGAAGCAGGGTCGGGCGGCCGTGCCGTCCGAATTGAGGTTGACGCATTCGAGGCTATCGTCATCGTTGAGGCGCCCGAACTACCCCTGTGCCAATCATTCGTTGATTTGCGGATCTTCTGACTTGCTACACTGACGACAACACTCACAAACGTGCAATGCTCGGCAGCGTTTCCGGTGGTTTCGAAATAGCTGGCGGGGCGCAAGAAGAGGAGGCTGCTTCCAACGTGTCTGCCGCCTCTTAGCGTGTTCCCCACGATAACATGCCAATCGAGGACTCTGATAAAAAAACAACTCTCATCCTCCATACTAGGATCGGTCCAGCTTAACAGACAACCTTTACAATATCATAGCTACAGCATCACCAAGTGTTCTTCCTCGACGACCGGGTGTTCCCAGCCTTGCCTGTCTCTGCCAGGTTCTCAGAAGGTTCCATAACACGGTTTGGTTCCGATTCATCCAAGCGAACCACAAACTCGCCAAAACGTGCAGTTTCAGATCTCAACTTGCCATTTACGGCAATTTTCTCACAAAACTGTTGAATTCGGTCTCGGGTGATCTACTTCGTGGCGTCCCGTACTACGAGGGTCTTCCTGGTCTGCACGATCTTGACAAGTCGGTTGCACAGACGAAACGTGTATTTCACGTAAGGAAAAAGGATGTCACACTTCGCTACTTTTGGTGACGCGGTGGAATCGCAACCTAAGCCAGTACTCCAAAAACCTCAAAGTCGTTGGAATAAATAGCCTCCCACAACTCAAGACTCTCCGTTTGTGGTAGGAGCTGTGAGTAGTGTCATGAATTACTATGCAACGCTTCAGACTGTTCTCCCGTTCACTTCTGGTATCGATTGTGTCCACAACGCCCCGATCCACTTCTCGACCAACATGCCTGGAGTCGCATCATTTGCCCAAAGCTTCCACACTATTGCCCCCTTTGGTGATATGATGCACCACGGCCATCTTCCCTCCCACCACGCTGATCCGCCAACCTTGTCGAGTCATACTCCCTCCGTTCGTATGCCGGATGAGGCGCATACGCAGAGGAAGGTGCAGGCGCGCCCCAAACCCGATTAGAATACGTAAGCTCAGGCGGCACGAATGGCTGTCTACCAATACTCTGAGTGGAAGATGCTGCTGCGCTTGGCCCAGTCGGTGTGCGGTAAACAAATGGACCTCCATTCACTGGCGGTGCGGTTGGAGTTTTCTTCGGTGCTGGAGCAAGAGTACGCAGTGCTTCCATCGTTAAGGCTCGTCTTCGCATGCGATAGGGTCCTTCTATCTGCTCTTCTGGTTTGACGACTGGTTCGGGCTCCTTAGCTATCTCTGGTACTTCTTGCTCTCCTTCGGGATCCGCGTTTTCAGCTAGTCTTGCAGCCCACTTAGCCTCCAACATCCTTCTTCCTTCTGCAGCTTCCGCCTCAGCTTTCCGGGCATCAGCTTTCTCAATACCTAGCTTGAGCGCTTCGCCCACAACACCATGTAGTGCGAGAAAAGGGAACACGAGAACATGCCGGAGTGGTAGCTGGACGTCAAGTTTGACCTCATGGTCATCTAGATTCATGTGCAGTTGTGATCTCTTCTGGTCCGTGACCTCGATCTTCGTCGACGCTGTCTTCGCTGGCTCGTAGAACACCTTCCGCTCCTCGAATCTCCCCCACGTCTTCCATTCTTCGAGTGCATTGCAGTCTAGGTCTATCGAGCTGTCAGCAAAAACGGTAATCTAGAGTTGAACATTTAACGCGTTGCCGCCTACGTTGGTAGGGGAATGTTAAACAATATCTTAGACCTGCCTATGTAGACAGCAGAATGTTCAACGCTATCGCGAGGTTCCTCTACCTAAACTAACGTATACAATAGAGATAGAACGTACTATCTGAAAGTCAGCTAATTGTCTCAAATAATATCCGTGGCGTGAGTTTTACCTTTGGGGACCGAACCGCTTTAGAGGTATACGAAGCGCGCGAATTAGAGCTTGGCTGTGTAAGACGTTCAAGTCGAGTTGGGGCGTGAAAGAGTCACGGAAATTGAGATACCAGCTCAGGCACTCTGTGAGGCCGCGAGCGTCAAGACCAGATGGCAGATGATGTAGGCCGCGTAATAGATCGCCAAATGTCGGTAATGTGTAACCGCTGCGCCTCTCTGCGATGTACCTGCCCGGTTCGAGCTGATCGGTATATAAATTCCCATCATGCTTTCCCTTGGTGGTGTCGGTCTTAAAGCCTACTATGACGTTCTTGACTGAGTCGCGTTGCACTTGGTTCATCACTACGCCTGACATGTTGGTCGTAGGCGGACCACGGAAAAACGCCTGAATCGTGATTAGCTATGGTCCGTCTTAACATCATCGGAAGACGCCAACTTACCTGCATGCCCATGATGTCTTGCCCACGGTAGTCGTTGTTTGCCAATCGAAGCATTACGCCCCTCCATCGAACGTGATGAGGATAGTAAGCGTTGAATTCTTTAGCAGATAGAGGTACCCCTGGAGGAAGCAAGGCATCCACTGGAACCGCATCATTATACCATGTGTAGTTGACTCCAAGGTCCTTGGCCGTGGAACCAGACTTTTGCAAACCCCCGCGAACTGCCCGCATATTGAAGTCCTTTGTCTCATCGACCCATGTTCTCTGAAAAAGAGGGTATGTGTGTACAGATTCGATGGAGTCCAGCGTATGTGGAGCGTGAGGCGACGTTGCAGTGCGAGCTGTGGCCGGGGTATCGGAGGTGGAAGGCATTTTCAACTTCACGGGCGTGTTCGGTAGCTGTGTACGCTCGGTCGAGCCTGGTATAGCCATGTGCGGAAGCGCGTTCTCGATGGTGAGTCTGCCTGGAAAGCGTAGTCTGACCGTCAAGCTGTAAGTCTCGTAGGCTGGCTGTTCGTCTTCTGTCTTGAAATTGCCTATCTGATAGAGTTGCGACACCGACTGCCATACGTTCCTCTGCGCCTTCTTCGCCTTTTTCTTGAGTGGCTCGACACTTACGATAGTCTTCGGAGATCCCAGTAAACGCTTCCCTTTGATGCTATCTTGGGTATCCGATACAGAGACACATCTGCTGAGCGCTTTGTCGTTGCTGTCGCTCTGCCTACTACCACTCCGGCCCCTGCTCTTCCGTGTATCTGCAACTTGGTAATCGTAGTCCATGTCATCCCATGCTGACCGACCTTTCTGCGCACCCTCGAGATCATCATGTTTGAAGACGCCGGTCGCGTAACGCCAGTCGCGTTTCTTCGGAATCCAGGCCGAGTGCTTCTGAGGTCGAGAATGGCGGGCGAGAATGTCCTCTTCCTTCATGGTGTGTACAGATTAGTAGCTCACAAAGTGGGTCGCGGAAGTTGAGACTCGTGTGTGGTTGATGTCGTCCGAAAGAGTAGTTTCGGGGAATTGTATCGCGAACAGTGCATGACGCACTAGATTCGTTCCTAGGGTAGTTTGCATAAGTGAAGGTGAGAAAGGCACGTGACTGTCGTGCAGTGGCCGCATCCACACTAATGCGTTCATCGCACTGAAGTGAAAGGAAGACATCGCAACGCACGGTGACACTCAGTGAAATCCTAATAAGACGGCATATACGCACTCGATGGGGCTCCATGACGGTGCGCGTTCGACTGTAGACTTCGCGTTTGCGATACCAATTTCAACGCAAGCTCCTCCAAATTTCGATCGCACTCTAATTCGGTCTCATTGCAATGAGGGGAACAGTAAGAACTGGTGTTGGAATAACGAGGATAGAAATCTCAAGTTCACGACTCGTGGACAAAGAATGAAGGGTCTATCACCTGTAGACTTCGAGACGTGAACAGAAAACTGAATATGAGAGGATATAATGAGGTGGCCAGGCACTGTGGGAGGAACCGTCGGCGACGAACATCTCTACTGATCAAAAGCATAATGTGAGTACCCTGATCTATAAGGCTGCTGGACATAGCAGGCTCCTGTGATCAACCAGATTCAGAACTCACACTTGCTGATGCCTTCAGGTCTGGCCGTGTACATCTCTTCCATTCGAGCTTCAACATGGACTGTGCCATGCAGATTCACGTCGGTCAAATGTATCGCTGAGTGCCGGTACCTCGTCATAAGTAAGGCGGGTGCGAGGGTAGATATGATGCACGATGAAGGTTGATGTTGGAGGATGAAGCGGACCCGCGAAAGGACGCGATTGTCCAAGCGGCTTCCGCATCGCCAACCAATCACGACGCGTCTACGTCATACACGCCTGCCTCCTGCAATATCCGAGGTCCATCTTCAGCACCTTATCATCGCGTCCACCAGCGCATTTCCTTTAACACACTATCCAAGCCCTACCATCAAAAGTCATCATGAGTACGAAATCCATTCCAACGCTAACCCTCGACGGAGCCCGTATCGCTCTCGCCGCTGCCGAGCAACGATCAAAAGAAATCAATGTACCAATGAACATCGCCATCATGGACAATGCATGCCATCTGCTCGCCTTCGCCCGGATGGAAGGAGCAAAGCTTACGTCTATCAACATCGCCATCGATAAAGCCTTCACAGCTGCAGGTCATAGAGCGCCTACCTCGGTATACAAAGACAACGTGTACCCTGGTGGGCCTGCATATGGCATTAATCACAGCAACGGAGGCAGATTTATGACAATTGCGGGTGGTGTGCCAATTGTGAAGGATGGGGTCGTTGTTGGGGCTGTTGGGTGTAGTACGGGACTGCCGAGTCAGGATGAGGATGTTGCGAAGAAGGGAGTTGAGGCTGTGGAAAAGAGCTTTGGACTCAAGGCAAAGTTGTAAGAGTTTTGGAGTAGGATAAAAGAGAAAGACAATGCCGACCCCGATGGGCTGTCACGTCAATGCAAGCGCCAGTGATATACTGTGTCTAATCACGACCCTTCTTCAATCTTAGTTTCAACCCTGTATTGCGGCAAGCTACAATTGCTAGTTCCCACCTCCACTCATGCTGTGACACACATGGACTACCAGGATAACTTGGTCACCACCGAAAAACCAAAAGATGTTGATCTTGCAACATCATCCTCTTGCATTCCACTCCTCTAAGATGGTTTCTGGCACTGTGAATAGTATTCGTCAACCTTGAAGCAAACCAATCCCTGGTTGCAGGTTGTCGAACCCTGCCATGTTTGCCCGCCGCACTGATCATACAGTTGTACCGGGCCTGTAGCCACTGGAGTTGCAGGTCTAGTTGAAGATGTGGATCGAGTGCGAGTGCGGGTAGATGGGCGTCCCGGCTGAACAGCTGGGATAGACGATGGTCTAGCCGTAGTCTGAGGTTGCGAGCTTGAGGGTTTCTGAGATGGAACTAAAGGTTGGCATTGCGAGTACCCTGAAAGCTGTCAGTTGTAGTCACGAGATGACGTGGATATTTGACGTGGTAAATAAAGAGAAACAAGGTAACTTACATTCATCTATTCTTACGCACACAGAATCCTTGCACCTCGTAGGGCCAGTCCAGCCGTTTCCTCCGCATCGATCATACGGTAGACCAATTGTCGGCGCGGCACTAGGCGACGTTGTAGTCGTTGGTGTTGTCCGTGTGCTAGCTGGATCTGCAAGGCAATAGTACGAGTTCTCATCGACGTAGGTACAGACAGTACCTCCCACGCATCGAGTAGGACCTTTATAAGTCTTTCCGCCACATTGGCCTCCAGGTTGTACGGTGCCTGAAGATATCGGAGCAGAGGTTGTAGGTGTCGGCGATGGAGTATTCTGCCCCGGAATTGGATCATCGACACGGCGGCAGCCAGACGTAGAAGACAAAGCCTCAGGGCAGGTCACCTTCTCCCAATTAACGGACGGGTTGTCAGCTGCCCGGAACCAGTCGAAGCGCCAATAACAACCGGCTTGTAGAGCATCCGGAAGGGCATCGCAGTCATCGCGATGCGCTACGCCACCAAAGTCTTGACCCCAGACGTCCTGGCCACCGTATTGCTTTGTACATCCTTGGATGGAACCTTCGCCGCCACCGGGAATAGCAATGTTGAACTGGTCTTCCCCTAGATCGGATCCCGTGTTCGTAACTTGAACGACCATTTTCTTCCCATTGACCGGGCCGGAAGTGAATGTCAGGCTAGGAGTTGTCAGTCACTGCTCCGGCATGAGAACCAAAGAACGTACGAGTAGCAAGAGCAACACCACGCGGACTCGTTCGAAGCCGCAAGGTTTACCGCGGCGAAGCCATATGCCAAGTCGTTACTCACAGCGAAAGGGCTGAGATCCGAGCAGGCATACGAGCCACCACCGCTTTCACAGCCATCACGCCTGTTATAATTATCGAGAAGGTTGTCGCTCGCATCGCACGTCAAAACGGGCTTGTTGACAAGAGCCTTCCCGGGCCAGGAGCAGGAGTTCTTGCAGCAAGACCATTGACGAGTGGTAGAGCCTGTGCCTTTGACGGCACTTCCGGCGCCGTATACACTTCCGAAGAAGGCAAAAATGGGGGCAGAGAACAAAAGGATATGCATTGTGGCTTTTTTGATGAGGTAATGCGAAAGAAGAAGCCTGAGGCGAGACTATGAAGATAGGCTCATGGATGTCGGAGTAAGAAGCTTATATACATATCCAACTGGTCATGGCCATCATCTGGAGTCCTTCTGAGTTCCACCGGGTGTGGCATCTACCAAACATCGGCTTCCCATATCTGCACGATCTTGCATGAAACTTATCAGGTCTTTGATATGGCCAGGTACTTGATTGCACACACGAGAAGCATGTTGGTCTTCATCTACCAACTATGCTTCATGTGGTACCTGTTGAGAAGTGCTGTTACGCTGCTATTCATCGAAGCTGTAGGCATGGCTCAACAGAACGGATAGCGATATGTCCTGATGATGTTGGAAGAACACCTGCACTTGGTGTCGGGGTTACTAGAGCTGTTTCGCTCAGTAGGACTGTCTCTGCACACATTCGGAAGAGGTCTGGCATGCGTTTACCCCTCGACCTATTCTCACTGACGCGAATCGATGCTGCTGGTGATTATCCTGGCCCGATTTGTACGAACAAGATTGATTGCACTCGTTTCTGGACCGCATCTTCGCGGGCAGTCTTCCATAGATAGCAGCTCTTCACCTGATACCCATAGAGCCGGTAAGCCACGAGCCAAACTTCGACTCCGATCTTAATTAGACCCCGTCTGCTATTCGTCCCAAATATTGTACCAGATCCAGCTCCAAGGGACTTGTTGAGATCGTCTGCTTCTTCAACCGCAGAAGCTGGCTTCGCGGACATTACCTTGTTGAGATGTCTGTGACGTTGCGGTTCTGCGCAGATGTGGGCTTATAGTGCCTCGAAAGTACACCAATATGGCGTATCCCATTCAGAGAGTTGATAGACCGAGAATCATTCTGACGTTTGAAGCCACAATCAACCACGTCTGTGAGACGAAAGATTCTTCAGGGCGCGATCGTAAATGATGAGATGCCCACGTGCATCTATCTGCCTGTGACCGATCGCTTGGCATTCCCTCTGATCTCCTCTGGCAAGTCCCGGGCTCTCTTGACGCCGGTAAGGCAAGCCTGAGCGTTGTCATGTGCGCTTTAAGCGAACCCACATACTCGGCATTGCACTTAGGACACCTGGCAAGAGGTAATCTCGAAAGCGTCAGCAGCGGGACGGAGCAGATATTCAGGTCCGATCCGTGAAGCGACCACGAAATTGCTGAAGGTCAGAGAGAGAGAGAAAAGAGGCATCGTAACTTGGCTCAAGGTTACTCGTTAGGTGTTGACAGGCAAGTGTCTTGTAAGAACCGGAGTTGAAGCCACTTAGCTGGGGTATCGCCGCATTCTTGCCGGCGCTAGGGTAGAAGCGTGCCGCAGGGAGGCCCAACCTCGAAACCCCTTGATGTCGCTCCTTACAGGATGCGTTTCCACAGCTTTCATGACTCCAGACATGGAAATCTGTCCCATCAGCAAGTAAAATAATGGCGATATCGGCATCGATTGAGCGGCTGATGTGCACACATTATATTGACCCGCGCTTCGAATTCTCCGACTTGAGGCATTCGTGGCAAGTTGTGGGGAACGTCGATCATCTACGACACTTGCACGTTAGCTCACATCCTGAAAGAATTTCTTGCCTTGCGCCTCAGGTATCAACGGCCAATCACGTCCGCTCGCACTCGCTTCGATTGGCCAGCTGCCGGCGAACATTCCGCTTTATTGATCTCCGAGACATGTGGTTAGTTGAGCAAAATGCGGTCGGACCGTCTCGTAAGGGTTATCATACAGCAGCTATGCTTCAGGGTCCGGTCATAACTTTGGTGCCAGCCGCGTCATGTTGCAGGCTGACTGTTCATCTGTCTTTTCCCGTTGCGAACGTTGACTGACAGCTCGGCACAACCACCTGGATTACTGTACATTGCACACCCTGGACCCAACTATTTCTTAGCCATTGAAAGTCGCGACAAATCTCGCCGCGAGATCGAAACAGCATGTCCGGTCTATGTTGTCTTTGGGCAACTATCCCGGAGGGACGTGAAGAGTGGTACGAGAACGAATATCTACCATCAATTAACTCGCCAAATGCGAAGCATGGCCTGCATACCGAGGTCACAGCGAGCGGTATGGAGGACGAGCCAGTGGGGAAGTTGGATTCGCCGTGGCCTTATATGACTGTGTGGGAGGTAAATTCCATCGACCAGTCCAACAAGGACATGTATGATTTATCATACCATCCACCCAGCAGCGAGTTGATTGGCTCGCTCAAGGATCTGCGTTTCGACATCCGATCATATCGAGAGATCAAGAGTTGGCAACAAGACGATTGGTCAGGTGACGGTGGTGGTAAGATCACGGGACAGGATGAAGCCGGCGATGACGGACTAATGTCGCTAGACATCGAATACGTCGCAAGCGTAGCGGCAATGGAATGGACCGTGGCTGCGGATAAAGAAGAAGAGGTCATAAAGTACTACAAGGATGTCGTCGGTCCTACAATATCTAGTTCACCGGACGTACTGCGGTTTCGCCTCTTTCGGATCGACCATGCGGCGACCATGCAGGGTGCAAAGTTCGAGACCAAAGAGAAGGACGAGCTACACACTTACTTTACTCTTGTTGAGCTAGAGTCCGAGCAGTGGCCATGGGATGTGGTTGTCGATCTTGCGGAGGACGAAAGGTGGAAGAATTACTTCGAGGGGCAGCAAGTCGTGGTACGTCAACTATCAGCACTCATGATGTTTGGGATGACTAACGAGGAGATAGAAATGGCAGCTCAGTCATTACTTGTCGAAGAGAGTATACGGGTTGGATAAGAAAGACTCTACGCCGAGGTAAAACACGATAGCGCTACGTCTTTGAGATGCTATAGGCATATACCCAGTTGACGTCCTGAGAGAGCCAGAGCATCCTCAAGCCGAGCGAACTCTCAGCCTAACGCAATAGAACTTATGAACACATTGTCCGCCAACATCATCGTATCAAGACAGTATTTTCAGCGAAGCTAACCTATGCGCATTCGCATCTGCGTCTGACACCACAGACGCACGATATACAGCTTATCTGCATCGCTCGCCTGCTGATACTCAGTCTCGCCTAAACTCCGTACCAGGTCCAGTGGGTCGTCCTTCTTCACTGAACCAATGTTGCGGATCGATTTGTAAACGCCAACCGATGAGTACCCGATAAGTCCGCATGCGCCTACATCCAGTCAGCTTGACCGTCGTCAAATGTATCAAAAATCCACTAACCAGCAGCGGGTTTAAAGGCTGCATTCGCAATTCCAGTTGCACAACCAGCGGCGAAACCCAGGACACCGTTCTTTTCGGCGCCATCGATGGGCTTTATCATGAGGTCTCTTATGCCATCACCAAGTCCGTAACCGAAGCTTTTCATGCTGACCACGAGCCCACTTCTCAACCCAGTCACGTTCTCATATTGTCGTACCTCTTCGCCATACGCTTTGGGAAGATTATGGAAGCCTCGTGTGATGCCATGCATAATCACTGCAGGGCTTTTCAGACTCGTGGTAACGATGCGTCCAAAGCCTTTGGCGGTGCCGAGAGCTACTTGGCGTGCCACATAAGCTGAATCTTTAGTGTTTTTGGGATTTGATGACTCCGCATCCCCGTCTCGCTTCTCTTTCCGTCTGTTCTCGTGTTGCATCAACATCGGAGTGGTTTGTTTACCCATTTCGATAGGACCTGCTACAAGACCGAGCATCATACCGCTTACAACATCGTAGGTGGTCAGAAACACAGCGGATACGGGGTCTGTGGGGTCACGCTTCATGTCTGCGTATTGAGAGATACTGCAGTGGATGTTAGCCTCTGTAAACCTCTACTGTGTAGAGCATTTACTTACAGCTGCAAGTCTTTTGCTTGGACAAGTCCTTCCTTAGTAAGCACCACCGCTGCAAGTGGTGAAAGGGTCATGCTTTTCCGCTTCACTAGCCATACTGCGGGTCTGTCGTTGAGGATGCTGCACGCTCGTACGCTAGCAAGGCTGGCAGTTGCGACGGGTTCAGTGAGATAGTGAGTTAGAACTGGGGCGTTTGTTGATCGCGTTTCCGATGGGTTTCCTTGGTCGCTAACATCCTGTTGTATATGATACTCGTATTCTCCGCGAAGACTCCGTTCCTCGCTATGGCGATCCGGCACCTGTAGCTGTAGCTGTTGGTCTGGACGCACATCATATGCTGGTGACCAGTCTTCGACTTGTGTTTTCTCATCCCGTGTCGCTTGCGCGTCTACTGAGACTTCTCCGCTCGTTGCTAGTTGGGTGTATTCTGGGAGGTCCATTGTGTAGAGGTCGGCATTCTCCGCAGTGGGTTCAACGTGCACTAAAGATGAGGCGCCGCCGTCTAGATTGCGGTGTTTAGTGTCTCAATCGGAGCGTTCAGTTTGTATAATACTTACTGGCAACACTTCTGGTCTCGTCTTCCACGGTCGTATTCAATGCAGTCATCTTGTAAAATGCTTATCACGAAAGGCCAAATCACAAAGCGGACAGCGTCAGTTGAGACAAACTATCTGGATCTATGAAGTCTAGAAAGTTCAAGAGATGCATTTCTATAAGGCCCTACTTCGCGGCCACGCATTCGGTAATGTTGTGTTTCCGAATCTCGAAACGCTAAGCCCGATGTGGTAGACCTTGAGAAAGGCGCAGCGGGCGGCCTAATATGCCACCAAATCTGCTTGGGCGGCCCTATTGTCGAGGACGCGAACGCGCTGGCGAGGCTGGAATTCTGAGGTTACTCGTCCTCATTGTGGCGCGAACAATGCGGGTTCGCAAGCTCTGCTGGATTGGGCAATCTGAAGAAATCACACAGTCGCAGTTGCATAGCTTCGCGTGTATGTATCTATGCACGAACCGTTATGCGTTGTGGTAAGCTAACACGGTGATCTAGCGATGCATAGGGCAACAAGAGAAGCACTAAGATTACAACTCAATACACGTCTTGGTGAACTAAGAAGACAAATGATCAATCGGACCCTCCACCCCCTTCTCCCCCATAGCTTTCACGATACGTGCGCCCATTAGGATCGGGCCATGTATGAGTAGTGGTGTCCATTCGTGGTCGTTTTGGTCGCTTGGTTGACTAACCTCTCCATCGTTCACGCCAGGTCGAGCCGACGGGTCGATAATAGATGCTGATCGATCCATACACGCAGAGCTTCGACTGGTGCGTATGCTATGGGCAGCGCTATGCGTCCCATAGTTGTGCGGTTCATGCGCTGAATGATCGATAAGTGGTGTTGTCGTGCTGGTAGAAGGCGGCCGATCATTTGCGACATCCGATAGTATCAGCGAATCGTCGGTGGATGGCTTTACGCTCGGTGTGTCGCTTTGCGGCGCGGGTGTGACGACGGGAGCTGCTGGTGTTTCTGAGCTTCGACGAGTCGATGATGTGGATCCTACTACAAAGGCATCATCATTTGTATCGCTGTCTGCGACAAGACCATCTGCAGCAGAATCACTTGTCGGGGCCTTGCTCTTTTTAACGAGTTGGTCTCTTGCCGAACGCATAGCACCATGACATATCTGCCTGTAAGTCTTGAGCTCCACACTCAAGAGGAACGTGATTGGCAATACAGAGCATAGTAACCAAAATGGCCACATGCGTATGTTGACGTGCCCAGCGGCGCGGAATTTGAAGAGACCGCACATGCTCTCCGCGAACTCATCGACGGTGTTCTTGTAAGTATCTTGATCGTGGTCTTCCCCACTTGCTAGACTCCAGGCGTCAAATTGAGCTCTTGCCAAAGATGTCTTGAACATGTGTTCCGCTTCGAGCTCCCAGTGATTGTTGGCCAAAGCCTGTGATCTAGCCTCTCCAACACGCTGCTGTGCTAGGAGACTGCTCCCGAGTCGCAACTTGATCGAGTCGTATGTGTTGGACTTTTTGAGCGCATTCACCATGAACCAATACGCTGGATCCTTAGCGATATGGGAAACCGGGTCTGGTATCTTCGCATACTCATGCCAGCAGTACGTGTTAGTCGGATCACAGAAGCGGGTCTCGTCTATGCATGCGAATGAGCGCGATTTTGGACTTCCGTTCTTAAAGTACTCCACGGTACCACCTGGAAATATATACTTATCGCCAGCTGGGAAAATAGGATCGACGCTCTTTTGAGTGTAAACGATATGTAGAGCTGTGACGAACACGATCGTGAGTGTTTTAGTTCTCTTTAAGGTATCCAGTCCAGGTGCTTTGAGTTTCGCAATTGGCTGATAGAAGTCGCACCTAGGATTGCCTAGGGACGTGGCCCATGTGCTGTAGGAACACACCGATTAGTAAAGAGCGATATGACCATGACTTCTAGGGGCTTACTTCAAGCGATACACTGGTGCCAGCCACTCGAAAGGATGACCTACCACCCGCATGGTGTAGTCCGTTATCATCTTGGGCGTACTAGCACACTCGTCGTCGACGTTGTAAAGCCCGCCGTATTGATATAGGAACCCATGGTCAGTTGGACTATTGGAGAAGTGCTGGACGTAAGGCGGCTGGTCACTCAGTGGAGCACACGTTGTTGTTCGTCGGAAAGTGTAGGTCGGGTTGGCGTTGATGCCAAGTAAACTCGAGTCCAGGTAATCCGTATCGAAGGTGATTGCCGAACCGGGTAATGCGCCGGTGTGACAAATCTCACTCTCATAGAACGGACATGACGACTTACTGATAGTGTACTTCAAAGTCGAGTTGTAGAAGAAGTCGCAGGTCATAGCCTTGCCTTTCTTATCATTGCCCCAATCGTAGCATTCTTGAGCGTAGATGGCTGCTCTGTTTTCTCTCTTTACCATCAGGCTATCAACACGAGAGGCTTGCTCCTCACCCCACTTTTCGTTGTCATACTCATAGAGACCGCACGTCTCTGATGCTAGTAGGCCCACGCGATTTGTCATCATCTTGTCCGTGAGAATGGAACTTGCGATGATCTGAGAGAAGAAAGCAAAACACAAAGTACTAAGGACGAAGAAATAGAAAAATTGGTGTCGAATCTCGAGTATCGACTCTTTTTGGCGGAATGTGACGTACACGCTTCGTAGTATTTGCCTTCCGGTCTTCGCGTCGTTCATGATGCTCGTAGATGTCGTTGGTTGTATCTCTTCATCCTGGGATGGGTTCGAATTTTTTCTTCTTGAAGAAAACCATCCTGCAAAGCCGATGAAGCTGCTGACGAGTATTCGAAATACATAAGGTGTGCTAAGCGTGAGGCAGATGGCTACAACAACTTTGAGCCATTGGGCTTGGTTGTCACTTTGCAACCACTGGAGATCTATACAGCCAGTTAGACTAGTTGAGAATGTAAAGCTTTAGTTATAATGTACGATGGTGGTTGCTCTCATCTGTCCAACGTCCGGTTCGTGGCTCAGTGAGAAGCGACATCGGTTCAGATTGCACAACAACATACAAGTATGGCTAACGTATGTGTGTGAAGATGTGTAATTTGGGAGCGTAAAGAGGCTGGAAAGAGACCGGAAACGGGGCGACAAGTAATCGCATCGTTTGGGCTCGTCTTCAGACGATCTTCTTGCCTTTACAAGCTTGAGATAAGTTGATCCTAGAGTTCTAGGGAACCAGGCTGGTGTTGCTTGCTCGCCAGATAGTCAGCGCCACGAGTCTTCACCGGATTCGTTCAGAGGCTAGGCTCCTATCAACATGCGCCTCCACGTGATACAACGAGCGACCATTTGGAATCGAATAAAGTTATCCGTGTTTGATACTTCAGACTGTTGTATCGTTCCAATTCGCAGCAGCTTCTTCCAAGCACCAGCTCTCACAGCTCGTGCCACTATATCAGCCAGCAACGCGTTGCAAATGTGCTTCGTCGAAGTTTGCGACTGGATACCGATCATTCGCGTTCTCATCTCGGCAGGCTGTGACGTGGCCAGGCTGAGTGGCTGATATTGGCTAACCAATTAGCGACCGGAGCCTCCCCACCGAAGGACCTGTCAGCGGCAGGTGAGCCTCATTCGCGACGGGTAGTTTAGGCAGGGTGCGCCCCGCCTATGTTTTGCATCAACTTGAAAGAAGTCGGTTGTGGAGGCTCCTCACGGACCAACTCCCAGGATGTGGTTTTTTGACGCGCAGCGACAGATGAACTATCAGTTTGACGCACAAAATCACCGGTACATATATGCTGACGGCCTGATCGTACCGCAGCCTGGGTTAGCCGCCTTGTCATACTCCCTGGCATAACGCTGATGTGATCGTAGTTATTCAAAACCACCAGTTATCCCACCCGCACATCGAGGATATGATCAACCGATATATCCAAGTCGTGCACCTCCGCCTCCACCCCCAAATAACTACCCAGACTTGCAAAGTAGCCAGCCTGTGAACCAAGGACATTTCTTCCAAAGTGGTCAACCGCCAGGGAACTTCAGTCCACCTCCTCCACCACCACCTTCACCTCCACCGCCGGACTATCATCTAGATAGGTCGAGTTATATGCCCGCGCTTTCGCGCCCACCCGATTCAGGATATTTGTCAATAAACCCTCGCTATGTGCAGGCACTACCCAGCTTATCATATGGTCAACTTGCATACCCGCAGCATCCGCCACCACCACCTCATACCTAGTAAGTCTTCGCCCTTCGATCTTGCGTGCTTCGATTGTATCTGACTTTTTTTCAGCTCTGCGACAGGAGCATACAGCAATGGCGGATCAGGTGATGACCAAAACGACAGAAATAGGCATGGTAGAAATCATTTCGAGGACAACAATCCTCCAGCAAAGGGTGATCAGCCAAACGGTCGCGACCGTATAGATGACGGCGACGAAACTCAGGCAATGCCGAGGTACTACAAGGTCCGGGATGGCGGCTAAGTATCACTGTGGTTGACGTCCCGTTCAAGCTCCTTTCTCCTACCTTTTCTATGACTGTAACGCGCTTTTCGTATCTCTCTTGTTCATATCGGCCCTGGAGGTCATCGCTTGCACGATCACACTGTCCATATGCTAGGAGTTCTTGGGTGTTTTACTATGTTAACACTTGTTCGCGATTTAGCGTGTGGATTTGAGGATTTCGTAAGCTGGTGGCATGTTGAGGGCTCGTCAGCGACAGGTCTGATTGTTCTGTTTAGGTGAATTGGAGACGCGAAAGCGAAGGTGAGAGCAAGGGCAGAGAACCGGGGATTGGCGGATCACGCTAGGCGGGCCCTGAATTGGCCCACTTTATCGCGTCCGAACTGAGTTTTGGATAGCGCAGTAGCATATTGAACTCATCATCGAGCAAGCACACACGAAGTAATGCAAGAAGATCATTTTCATTTCATGGACCGTTTCTGGATTTTGCACCCATCTATCAATCAAAAAAGGGATACCAAACGCACTGTCTGTTAGCGTTTAACAAAGCCTTTAAGAAAGCCCCATCCCACGCGCCTTTCCCACACGGTGACCTAACTCCGTTACCATGAATGAAACGCCCGAATGATACATCGAAAAAGACGACGATGATGTTGATGAAAGCCCGACCGGTGAAATGGAACCCGTTACTCATTATTTAATATGTCCCCCGTAGGTGATAAACCTTGGATCGTAAACTACATACCGACCGCTTATGCCAGGTAACCGAGCTCATCAGCCTCTAGACGCTCCAGGTACTCCTTCTCGAGCAGGATGTCTATGCACTTCTTGATATCGGGGACGCGGGGCATGAACCGGTTCTTGATCTGCTGGATGGTCTCGGAGACGAGCTGCTGGTGCTTCATCTTCTTGCGTGACTTCATGATACGCACAATAGCCGACTGTTGAAATATTAGCATGATGTTGTGAAAGGGTAGTGGGAGCGACGGGTACATACCTGGATGAGTAGCTTGCGGTCCTCCTCAATCGTCTTGTGCGTATCTTCCGCTTCGGCCTTCTGCTCAGACTTGATACCAATGTTCAAGTTCATCTTCACTTTCTTGGTCTTGAAGCCAGTGTTGAGCTTATAGGAGGTACCAGATTCCGCCTTGGCACCCTCAGGTTGGGCGAGGAGGACCTTGGCCTTGATGAAGACACCCAAGCTAGGATCAAGGGTCTCCTTGTTCAGCTTAGTGGACTCAGCAATGTCATCATAAGAGACAGTGTCGCTGTCGTTAAACAACAACATGATTGCCATTTGATAAGTCGAGACCTGGAAGGTTGGTGAAGTCTTCAGGTTCGCGACCTTGCAGTAGTTGGCCTTGACCTCACCCTTGCACAATTGCCATAACCAGGTAAGCTTACGACCTTGGTGCTTGTGGTTGTAAAAGCGAGCGAAGCGGTCGTAAGTCTGAACGATGAGTTGCGGTGGCGTGAACGGTGTAGTAGGTGGGTTCAGAGGCCAGAAACCAGTACCAAGGATGTGGTATGAGGCGTCGACACTAGTCTTCAGATCTGAATCGTCCAAGTTGTTTGATTGCCACTCCTTGAAGGCAGTGTTCAAGTCCTTGGAGATCTGCATGTCCTGGAACATGCGCTGGAGCTTGTTGGTGTATTCGAAACCACAGGCCTCCTTCAGCTTCGAAATCATGCTCGTCTCGGCGTCATCGGATGCGGAAGTGGTCTGGACTAGACGCTTGGCCAACATACGCGAGTAGAACTTCTGGAACACATCCTTGTCTTCAATGTACTTGAAGACAGTCATAATCTGTGTCAGGAGCTTCTCCATGTCGTCCTCTTCGCTCATCTTGGCGTTGGAGCGCTTCAGCAAAGTATCGGTGTACTTGGCAAGAAGCTCAGGGGATTTGTTGGAGCCCGACTTGCAGATCTTGTTCCTATTGACGAACTCTCGGCAGGCGTTGTCCAACGAGCGAACGAACTCAGACTCTCCGTTGAAAGCTTTGTTGACGAGCGCCTGGTACTGCGTGTGGACCTCAAGGAGGGCTTCAACGTACACCTTTGGCTCCAGGTTGTCTCCATCTTGCGCAATCTTGTCAACTGCGGCCAGACCCGCCTTACGGACGTGGTTCTCGAACCGAAGACGCAAGGGATCCAGACCCTCTGGAATGCGGGCGAGCAGCTTATACATGCGGCCCAGGTCCTCCTCCTTGTCGTGGTCAAGAAGGATCTGAAATTCTTCGCGAAGAGCTTGCGAGTGGCTGGTGATAAGCGACTGTTCGCACGTCCGCATCAGAGGTGACATGATCTCGCTAAGCAGGTACAGTGGGACGCGCTCCTTCTCCTCTTCCAGACGGATCTCTGCCTTCTTCATGTATTCAACCACGCTGTTCTCCGCCAAAAATTGCTTAGACTCGTTGTCGTAGTATTGCGCGGTGGCCTCTAGGAAGGGCTTTTCAAAGTACTCCTTGTAGACATCCAATGTCGACTTGGAGCTGTCGGCCTCGTCCAAACCTAGCGATACGAAGGAGTCGACGACCGACTTGATCTGTGACTGTTCTATAGTCTCGCCGTTTCGCTGCTTCTCGACCAGCTTGAGCACCGAGCGCATGACGCTCTCCTGGCTGCCCGTAAACATGTCCTCCTTCCAGCGCACCAGGTGAAGTGTGTAGATGTCATAGATGTGCTTCTTTCCTTCATCCATCTCACGCTTGACCCAATGGCGGTTCAGATACCGGAACAGATGGTTGTTGTACTGGCCGGCTGTTGTGTAACGATTCCACTCCTTGATGTAGAAGTGGAGAAGCGCTTCGTCAACATGTTGCCGTGAAGCCGCCTGCACTTCGGAAAGGTGCGCCTTGAGGTATTCGATTAGGTGCTGGTAGAGGTCTTCTCCGAGAAGATGGGCACCCCCGCGGTTGTTGGAGGCGTGAAACGACGAGCCCGCGACGGCCTTTTGGGCTGTACAGAAGTTGTGGATGGCAGTGTAGAGACCCATGTACGTCTTCATGTCGACACCTTCTCGCAGGTTCGTCATGATCTTGTCGACACCGGCTTCGAGGTACTTCCATCTGTGAGCTATTAGCTTTCGTTCAAGCTCTATGACAACATATGTAGTGGGCCTGCTTTGTTGAAACTCATCCTATGATTATAGCCCTCATCCGCGCTCACCATGGCAATGCAGACTCGCTGGCGTCCGACATGCCAGCCTTTGGCGACGTCACCGGAGCATACCTAGGTCTCCACAAACTGCAACGCGGGACAAAACGATGCGCAGAGAGAAACGGAAAGGTACTTACGTAGCGTTCACATCGTCCTTAGCCGGGACGGGTGGCATACCAGAAGCCATCGTGGGTTGTATCGTCGCGTGCTCTGGGGCACTTTTCGGAGGCGACTTCTTGCGCGTGAGGAACTTTATTGTCGGAACCGCTGTGTCGCAGACAAGCGGGTTGTTTAGCACCTGCTATGGGCGCTGCTGTAGGTGGTGTGGTTGGCGGAAGGACTTCTACTAATGTAGAAGATAGTTGTGGTGAAGGGCGCGGTGAAGTGGAGGGGAGTTGACTATGGAGCGGGCGGGGAGGCTTATGAGGTACCGAGCGGTCGGTTTCCACAGAATTTGGTAAATGCGCCTCCGAGTTACGCGAAGCACAATGAGGAGGGAGAAGAGTGAAGTGAAGGTGCCGGGGCAGAAAGGCAGCGACGTATTGATATGGAGTTACGTCGAGTTGGTTCATACTGTTCAGGCAGCACCGAGCTTAGGTCTTGGCATCTACAAGGGTCTCGTTCACGCTGCCTTGCACTAGCCGCTACTCATCGCGAAGTCACCGGAATTCTTTGTCAGCTCGGATTGAATTTTTTAATCTTTGTTCGCCGAATTGTCCCTCTTCCACGTATGGATTCAATGTCGTTGACGGTGGCGTAGAGACGGACTCACACCTACGTGTTCTATGCATCTCGCCCTAGTGCAGTACAGCTCACAACTATCTTGCTACCATCGCGACCCAATAGGGGCCTGATGATATCATTTCCAATCGACCCAAATGAACACTGAAATACTAACATGTAATGCCTAACAGAAACCCTCTGTTCAATCATTTATGCAGATGGATGAAAACCCTCATGACTGGTGGCGAATGCTGATGATAATCGGTATGCCTTCTCAGACGACAGAGCTCAGGCTCAAATCATACCGGCACATAGGCAGATGCTTGACATGAAGACCGTCTCTACCGCAGCACGATAGGGAACGTTGATTATAACAACATACTCATTTCGGCTTTCAGACCGATGACGTCTTTGCAGGATCATCGTATACGAAACGAAATCAGTCATACATCTTTTCACACTTACTTTATCAACATCAGAGTTAGCATGTCCATTCAACATTACACAGCGAGTGTAAATTCATCAACACCATAGCACAATGCCATCTCTAAACTTGACACCTCTCTCGTCCCTCCGCCTAAGCACCCACTACATCCCCACCCACGCCCACATCCCTAACACAACACCACACAATCACCCCCTCTTCATCTACCACTCAGCATTCGCCTCGTCAACCCCGGCTTCAACACTAGAAGCCCATCTTCCCACCAACAACGTCTCACCACAATGGCGCTACACAATGTACACTACAACACACTACCACAGCACCACGCACGAAGTCCTCTGCGTATTCGCCGGCCGCGCAAAACTGTTATTCGGCGGGGAATCTAATCCGGGGAAAGTCGAGACAGAAGTCAAAGCCGGAGACGCTATTGTTGTGCCTGCGGGGGTGGGACACAGGCTGATTCAGGATCTCGAGGGTGGGTTTGAAATGGTGGGTAGTTATCCGAAAGGATGTAGTTGGGATATGTGTTATGGGAAAAAGGGTGAGGAGAAGAAGGCGGAGGCGGTAGGCAAGGTGGAGTGGTTGGAGAAGGATCCTTTGTATGGGGTTCATGGGCCGGTGACTTGGAATAAGGAGAAACTTGAAAAGTTCTGTCGGGGGGATAAAAGTGAACTGTAATGGTGTTGGAGGCGTTTCAACCCTACTGTTACCGCTATTCGACATTTTATCATCGCAATACGATGTCTTCAATCCTTACGTTATCCAACTGTACACCAGCTTCATCAACATACATTTCCACCTCGTCGATAAGCTTTTGTCGCGCTTCTTCCGTTTTTCTGTCAAGACCACCCATATAAAACAACCCTATAGCACGCTGATACTTCTTCATGGCAATGTGGTAAACGATTGCCGATTTAGCGAAGATATTTCGACTGCCATATCATCAGAGTCCGGACAAGAGAGTTTGACCATATCTTGTACTTATTTCATAACGCATCCAATCATACAGATGCGGAGACTCTTCTAGGTGGTATAGTACAAACATAGCCTCCCAACGCCCATGCTGTGTTTAAGATTGAACCATGATATCGTACATCATCAGCACATGAAATGGAATCATGACTTCTTCGCCTTGTCCTTGGCCTCCTCAGCGACATCTTCGGCCTTCTCATGTATCTTCTCTAGAATATCTTCTGGCAGTGCGTCCTTTGCCCTCATACCGTTGCCCCCAGCCGCTTTTTCTTGCTCTAGCTTCTCTTGCTCTAGCTCTTCTTTGGACTTGATAGCCTGCTCGACCTGCCAGACGGCGCGCTCAATTTCGACCTCCATATCAGGTAGATTGAATTGCTCGGCAATGAGCTTTCCGTTCCAGCGTTGCAGGACCATGACGTCTTTGGTCTCGTTGTCGGTCTGCTGGTGCACTACGTTTGCGACTTGTTGTGCTTGTTGAGGAGTCGGGTTGGGAGCGGCGCGGGAGAGTGCGCGGGTAGGATACATGAGTCCGGCGGTGTAGACTTGATCGAGTGCGGCCGATGGAGTAGGTGTGGGGAGGTTGTACTTGAGCAGAAATTCGAGGTGCCTGGAGCCGCCGAGGGCTTTCCAGTGACTCCATGCCCGGTAGAGTACGTAGAAGAAGGGCAGGTTGGGGATGACGGGTACAAGCATAAAGGGCGCAGTGAAGGGCATGATGATGACGCTCCACATGAGTTTGCTCCGGTGCATGTTCTGCCTCTCCTTGGCCAGCTTCTCCAGCAGCCCAGACACTCTCTCTTGGGGCAGGTACTTTCCAGGGAACAAGACCTCGTATTTAGCCTTTCCGTCGACAATGTCCTGCCTCCGCTTCGCCGTGAGGGCGGGTATCGTCTTGAGCCCCCATTCTTCGTAGGGAATGCGCTTCAGGGCCTGGTTGCCGTAGAAGGTCACCTTCTTCTTCCAGTCCCAAATGGCTTTTTCATCTTTTTCCCAGGCGACCCAAGTCTCGTTTGCCTTTAAGGTGAGCTTGTCATAGTAGGAGCGGTCTTTGGGGGCTTTCTCGTGCAGCTTTTCGCAGTAGATGAGGGAGCGACGGGTAGATATGGGCAGCAGGAAAAGACGCATCGTGGGGTCGGCGGGGAAGGATGGTTGGAATCGTCTTGGTAGCGGTTAGGTAAGCGCGCGATGGCGCAGGGTATTTAACTGCCTCTCACGACGAGTGTGTGCAACATGACGCGGTTGAGTCGCGTGGCACACCAAGGCAGTGCTGAATTGTCTAGCCGTGGCTGTGTCGTCTAGAATTGACGAAGAAGCTACTGCGGACCCATGACCTCACAGGCAGCTAAGAGATGCTTGCCAGCGCGCAATCCCTGTTTCCCTGATCGACGAACAAGCAATCTCCCCAAATACGCCAGCACCTGCCCACGGACCCCAACGCTCCACTACCCCCAGGCGTACCACCAAACTCTACCATCTACTATTACTGATTCCAGTCGCTCGCTTTGTCCTTGTTTATCCCGCACTGTTGCCTCCCAACACTTAGTCTAGGCCGGACATGGTGTCGTCGCGCGTCGTCTACTTTGCTCCCACGTAATCCTCCCCCGGTGTTGATTCACTGCCAAGCCCTCGCAGCTTGCTCAGCCAGGCGCGACACCCAGACTGGTGCTTGGTGTTCTGCTCAAGGGACCCGCTGGTGCGACGAGGAAGCCCCTCACATCTCCCGACAAGAATGACCAGCAAGCCCATGGTCGATCCCAATGGCAGTAGCAGCAATGCCACGACAGCTGGCACCCACCTCCGCCCCGACGCGGCTGCCCAGGGAAGCAGCCACACATCGCAGTCCTCGACGTTGAACTCTTCCACCGGCCACCGCCTACTCCCCTCACCCATTCCGCCGCCTACCGCCTCTTCCTTCAACTCCCAGCGGCGCCCCCAGTCCAGAGTCAGTGCCGTGTCAGACAACTCCAAGGACAGTCAAGACGGCGCACCTGTCCGCAAGAGCCACTCGCAGTCGATATCCAGCACGCCTCGCACGCTGGCGTCCTCTAATCGGAGCACAAGCGTGAGCGCGGAGAACAGGGAGAGGCAGCGTGCCGTCCGCTCACTCCCGCCCTGGGTCCAGTCGGCTGACGAAGAGGACAATGTCGACGCTGCAAGCTTCCTCCTACCGCGAACACCCACCACCGTCCGTCACGCCAACCACAACTTCTGCCCCACGCCCAAGTCCAACGTCCCGGGTCGCAAGTTTGACCATGCCCGTGAGGGCGCTCCCGTAACCCTCTCGACACCCGTCAGTGACAGCGCCCCCAAGTGGAAGCAATTCACCCAGGCGTCCAACCTCGACCGACCTATATCCTCGCGCGGCCAGATTGTAGACGATGACTGGCTCAGGGAGAACATGCCCGATCTCGAGCAGAAGTGGGAGCCCATCGACAAGGACCACGGCGACGACCATATCAAGGGCTTCTGGCTCTTCACCTCGGAGAAGAGGAAGCGCAGGCTGATGCGCTTCCACAACACCGTTATGAACCACCCCATGGTCCCCGCCCTCTCCCGCTCCATGATCCTCGTCTTCTCCATCCTCGCCCTCTCCCTCGCAAGCTCCATCTACCGCCACTCCGACAACAACGGCTGCAACAACAACTCGTCCACCTGGATGGCTATCCTCGTCGATATTGTGGCCATCCTATACACCATATACATCACCTACGACGAATACACATCAAAGCCCCTGGGTCTACGATCACACAACGCCAAAATGTCGCTCATCTTTCTGGATCTAGCCTTTATCGTCTTCGAGTCAGCAAACCTTAGTTTGGCTTTCCAGGCCCTAACAGATGACAAATGGGCATGCGTTACATCGGACAGGACAAACGCTTGTCCATACAGACAGAGCATCTGTGACAGGCAGAAGGGCTTGACAGCTACTCTTCTGATTGCGTTGCTTGCATGGATTGCCACTTTTGCCATCAGTACTTTGAGGTAAGTTTACACAATACCGTTATACCTTTATCCGTTACTAACACCCACAGGTTGATCCACCGTGTAGCGAGGTAGTGCCTCATACACCTCCATACATTCTCCTACATTCCCTCGGCCCTTTACCATGCCATCCATACCCTCACACTACATTCCAACCATCCAGTTTGACTGATCCGCATTTGCATTAGTACCAAGGAGCACGACGACCTCTTGCATATGTCGACCTTGTCCCCCCAGCGGCGATACCCCATACGTTCGCACTCTCTCCGTTTTCCTAGTCGACTCCGTTCTCGTACTCCCTCTATTAGGTCTTTTTACTCTTGAAAGCTAGCATAGCTGTGGCGTTTGGGTTTCCTTATCCTGCATTTCCCTCATCGGCGAATTTTTCTCTTACTCTAGGATTTCTTCATTGGCCAGATTGAGTGGGTGTATATAGGGTGTTTTGGGTTACCGGACGGCCTAGAGACGTAGCATAGTACAGGGAGAGATCATTATAAACCCTTAAATCAATGAAACAGGTCAAACACTCGCTCACGCGGAAACCATGTATTGTGATCAGATTTCTTCGATTTTCATTACCATCGAAGATTGTGTACTCATCCACTTTATGCTATAATCTTGTCTTTCTTGCCTTTGCCCTGAACTTTCCCTCTTTCCTACCATCTACCTTGTACAACAACACAAACACAAATAATATATATAGATGTAGATAGCTTAGACGCCTATACTAGTATAAGATGTCTTTTCGATTCTTATCATATACTGTTGGAGAATGCAACGTAGTAGAAGAGCTTTTAGCACTTGTCTAGTTTCTTTCTTGTATAAGGTGCATCTAAGATAGATCGCTCTAAGCATCACCCAAACCTGATGAATTAACAACCCTCCAGCCGCCATAGTAGGCGGTCTATGAGTAACAACGCACAAGAATCCCACATCTTATTCCCGCAGTTAATCTTCTAAATGCATCCCCGAGTTCTAGAACCCCTCACATGGAACTAAACCCGCCATCTACCGGTAGACCTATGCCGGTAACCCACGCCGCATCCTCACTCGCCAGGAAAACTGCCGCCCTAGCAATATCTTGCGGCGTACCCAAACCACCAAATGGATGTCGCTCTTCTACAGCCTTCTTCTGTTCTACTGCCTCGGGTGTGAATAGCCTGGAAATGAAGGATGTAGCCGTGTACCCGGGACAGAGAGCGTTGACGTGGACGCGGTATGGCGCACAATCTTGAGCGGCGGCTTTTGTTAGACCGAGGACAGCGTGTTTAGAAGTGACGTAACCGGCTGTTGGCATAGTTAGTTTTCTATTCCATTCCTGGGGTCGGCGTAACCCACTCCTACCCCTCCACATAAAACGCAAAAACAAAGAAATAAGGAAAACAGATCAACTTACAGACATACATCCCACCCTCAGTCCATAAACACTACTCAGATTAATGATCCACCCTCTGTCACCCCCAGCCCCTGGTTCCTGCCCCACCATCTGCTTACTCGCATACTTGGTCCCCAAAAACACACCCTTAATGTTCACGTCCATTGTCTTCTCAAAAGCAGCTTCCTCGTACTCCCAAACCGGTCTATTCCCATGTTCACCTGCTTCCATAGCAATACCTGCGTTATTCACCATGATGTCGATTCTCCCGTACTCTTTCACTGCCGCCTGGATCAGGGCTTGGACCTCTGTGGAAGAGGACGTGTCGCATTTGACGAAGAGAGCTTTGACGCCAAGATTTTGAGCGGCTTGGACAGTGGTTAGAGGGGAGGTGTCTGTGGCGTATTCTTGACGGGCGGTTTCGTGGAGGTCGGAACAGATTAGAGAGGCGCCTTCTGAGGCGAAAGCTAGGGCTGTTGCACGGCCTATACCCGAGGAGGACCCAGTTATTACGGCAATCTTGTTATGCAGACGGCCGGGCATTCTCGTTGAAGCGGTGGGATAGTTATGAAGAGCTGGTTGAAGTTGATAATCGACGATTGTTGTTAGTTTCTGGGGTGAGTGAGGTACCAGAGTGTTCTCTATCAAGTAGAAAAGGCTCGACGCAGATAGTGAGAGAAAGACCAGTAAATAGAGCAGAAGCAAAGAGAACTCGAGTAGCGGTACATATACTTATCTTACCCAATTGAATGCTCAGCAAATGGCCTTACTTAGTGAGGGGCAAGCTTATGCGGAGAAGATACATCCTCGGCCCTTAGTTAGGACCTCCCAAACAGATTATGAGAAACGATCATTGACTCGTTACTTGCAATGAAAGGGCGTAGATTTCAGGCACCCGATTCTGCATTGTTTGTATCCCGGTAAAGTTGTACTCGAATGTAATTCGCGCACAAGTTCCGTACGTCAGAGTAAGGGGGAACGGGGCGTTGACTATCGAGCTTACATACTTCGGAAGGTATAGGTCGTTCGTCTATTCTGTCGCCTGGTGGGGCCAGAGAGGTAGCCCTTTGTAACACGCGTGTAGGCATGCTTATGTGTCCGCAAGAAGCAAATGGTAGGGTGGTACTTCTGGCCAAGAGCTGGTAGAAGCCCAAGGTCCTGAGCTAGGATGAGCAGGCTATGACTCGAGACTCGTCAGGGGTCTAGGTTGCAGGCTGTAAGACATTGCCCGGTGCTAGCAGTGATTGTGGCGATGTGATGCCGCCTGAAGTTGGGATGCAATGGATAGTGGGGTCGTGGGGTAATCGGAAAGCGCGGTGCCCGACAGGGTTCAGCCGAACAGCCTCACAAGTACGTCATAATGTAGATTTGCTTCGAACAACAAAACATTCCGTGGCATAACCGCAGTTCAAGATTTCCAACTTCCCAAAACAAATGCAATGGCCGCAGACAAGAGCAAAGATGAGCCGTTCCCATGGCACCTCGGAGTATACGACGCACACTGCCACCCCACAGACACCATGTCTAGCATTGAAACCATCCAAAACATGAAAGCACGAATCCTCACCGTGATGGCAACCAGAGCCGAAGACCAAGACCTTGTCTTGTCTACAGCCAACAAGCACAGCATCAGATCTTCAGACCCATCCCAATGGACCAAGGAAGAATGTATCGTCCCCTGCTTCGGCTGGCACCCATGGTTCTCCTATCAAATGTACATATCGTCAGACTCAGACTCCCAACAAGATAGAAACAGCGAACAGCTAGAGGACCAAGGCCACCTCACCGGCCAAGAAAAAATATCCCATTACCAATCCGTCCTCCAACCCTTCCGCTCCGACCCCAGCGAAGAAGACCTCCAAATCTACTCTTCATTACCAGATCCAACACCCTTCTCTACCTTCTTGAAGCTCACAAGACAACATCTGCAACAATACCCTTACGCGCTGATTGGCGAAATTGGTCTCGACCGCTCCTTCAGAATCCCTGAGTCCTGGACTGGCAATTCAGATCTATGGTCGAAACGTGACAGCAACCTGACTCCCGGTGGCCGCGAAGGCAGACGTCTAACACCATTTCGATGTAGTCCCGCGCACCAGAAGAAGATCTTCAAGCTGCAATTAGACCTTGCAGCCGAGATGGGAAGGGCGGTCAGCGTACACGGTGTACAAGCCCATGGGCTGGTTCTCGAGGTGCTGAGTGAGACGTGGAAGGGCTGTGAGAAAGAAGTTCTGAGCAAACGAGAGAGGAAGAAGAGAGGTCAAGACCATCCTGCAGCTGAAGCCGCGTTATCCGCTGATGAGACGCGGAATAATGGAAGCGGGGACAAGGACGATGCACTGAAACCCTACCCACCACGTATATGCCTTCACTCCTACTCCGGTTCTCCATCCAACTTCGCGCAATACCTTCATCCTAGTATCCCCTGCAAAATTTTCGCGTCGTTTAGCACGGCGATTAACCTCTCTGATGCGCTTGATGAGCAAGACACACCGCAGGCTTTTCAGGATATCATCAAGACTGTTCCAGATGACATGTTGCTGGTAGAGAGCGATCTGCATACTGCGGGTGAGGAGATGGACAGGAGATTGGAAGATATCATTCGTAGAATTTGTAGGATCAAGGGCTGGGGGCTGGAGGAGGGCGTTAGTAGACTCGGCAGGAATTGGAGGGCTTTTGCTCTAGGGGACGAATGACAGGATTTGGTGTAATATAAGAAAAACAGACAACATCTAAACATGTTCAAGTATTGAGCAAATATCATCATATTGTGCCATCGAGACTAGCTATCTTGTAGAATGTAGCAGTCATGTTTACATCATCTCAAGCCGTATCCTCTCAAACCAGTCCGTATCAACCAGCAGATTGCAGATCACTCCTTCTCAAACCAGTGAGTCATCAAGACAGACCATCAAACCCGACCATCTCAAACCAGTCCACCTATACAAGTATAGCCTGAGTACCAGACATCTCCATGGCGCCAATGACGTCCTCCATGAAGCCAGCTTGGGGGCCGGCACCATCCTCCTCAATGTATTCGCCGTACTCATCGGTGTACATGGTAATGCGCTTATGAACGGTGTCGTACTGCCAGTCGCCGTAGAAGACCTCGTTGACAGGAAGATCAGGCTGATAGTAGGACAGCTTCTTCAAGAATTTGGGTCCGTCCCAGCCAGGGATGTGTTCGCCAGCGTGGAGCTTGCGCGTCGCGATGGTCCTGAGGTTCGGAAGCTTGGAGAGCAAGATGACTAATCAAAAATCAGTTTTTTTTGTGCTCATGAGATATCCAGCAGGACATCGCAAGATGTTGGCTAACTTGAAACTTACTGAGCATAGTACGGTAGCCGCCAGTGTGGCAGAAGGGCTTGTTAATGTAATCCCACTCTGCGTGCTTGTCGTTGACATAATCGAGGATGCGCATGTTGGAGAGCTGGATGGCCTCGAGAGCCTCGGGGTTCTCAGAGTACTTGCTCAAGTCGACCTCCACGATCGAGTGGTCCGATATTAGGTGGATCCACGATATGTCGTAACTCAATTCCGGGGTCTTGGGTGCTTCTCCCACCAAAGTAATGGTCCGCACAGTTCCAGCATACGTGCTGTCAAGGAAAAGACCAACCAAGAATGAAGCAACGCTTGAGAAAGTAGGAAAGATAGTGACGTTTTCTGTCATCATGGTCTTCTTACCGTACTCGAACATGACCGCCTTGTTGAAACGCACATTGACGAGGCGCATGTTGTTGAGGTCGCCGACGTTTAGTCCACTACCGATCTCGCCAACGAGCTCGGTGGGCATAAACGGAAGGCACTATTGTCGGATTAAACTTACCAACCTCGGGTCCAGAAGGGAACAGGCAGAAAAAGAAAATTAAAGAAAATTGATGTACTTACGTTGGTAGCGGCGAGAGGCTTATCCTTTTGGGATATGGATAGCTTGCTAGGAGTTAGATTGCACGGGTTGGGACCAATGCCTATACATGTTAGCACGAATTGAAGGTAGTTAGGGTGGGACAGGTCTTACTGTCGAGGGTATATCCACGGTTCTTGAGGTTTTGCGTGACCTGTCCAACTAATTCTAAAGGTGTCAGTATGATCTATAGATCAATGAAAAGTGAACTGAACTTACCCTCGAGCTTGGCAGCGTTGGTTGCCGCATTGGCGTCTTCGACATCTTTGTCGTCTGGCTGGCTCAGGGTGAACCTCTTCTCAGCGTCAACCTCAGTGACAGCTGGTTCGCTCGCGGCAATCTCTTTGCGCTTGGGCGTGGGGACAACGATCTTGCCGCCATCGCCAAACAGAGATTTTGGGGAGTCGGACATGATGTGGGGGTTGATCTCAAGATAGTCGGAGTGTCAAGAAAAGCGGTAGCTGTCAAAGCAAAGTGTGATCAAAGGAGAGGATTGAAGGAAAGGTGGGAGACGATGTTGAAGTGGACGCGAGGACAAGTCTCGTTATAAGAAAACTTGCCAGCTTGAGCTTGGGCCCGAGACGCTTCGCTGGAGTGGTTCAGGCAGCCTTGTTGACGCAGGTGAACGTGAGCGATGTTTTTCAAAACAAGAGGCGCGTGATGAGGAGCGGAGTGGGGCGGCGTAGTGCACAGTTGAGATGACGGATTCGGTTTCACCGTGAGTGAAGGGGCGAATAAGCCGGGGAGTAAGCGATGAACATCAGAGTCGTACCAGAATGCATCGGCAGCTGTTCGATGTTAAACATGTTGTCGGCCTTGCCCAGAAGCCGGCAGTATAGACAGGAAGTGGGAGAAATCCGAGACGACGAGCAGTACAAGCTCTTGTGCAAGTTGCAACACAGCTGTGGCAGGACCAGGTTGCGTCGAGAATACCAGTTGCACTCGCGAAGCTGTATCCGATCTTGACAGTGATCAGTCGCACCCGTGAGATGAAGCAGCTGCCGAAGCCGGAGCAGGGACAAACACATACACCACAGATTCTCAACGAAAATCGCCTGGAGACCAAGCAGGATGATATACAATGATAGCGCTTATCTTGATGAATACGAGATATCATTGCAGACCGGTCATACTGTAATAGCTGATATGTCAATATTTAGTACCCTTACCCATGGTTTTACTTCCGTGTTCGACAAGATCTCTGGCAGCTTCAGTAAGACTAGTGTTAGATCATCCGCGAAAGACTTTATAGCATGGTTACAGTGAGAGAAGACACGAGATAGACAACGGCTTCTACCGCAAATTTGACCAGCTAGGGTAAGGAAAGAATGTTCAGAAAGTGGGAAGAAGGAAGAAGAATGGTGACAACCAGACGTCTGAAGAGATGCAAAACGGCCAAGGCGCTAGTGACAAATTCACCTTCTCTCTCAACATTGAGCAGGGTCGATAGACACACAACTATTGCACCCACTTAGCAAAATTCGAATACCTTAAGAGGGGCTCAGTGATCAAAATGAAAACGGTTGTTGCTGGGGAAAAGCTTTACATCAAGCTCACCACTACGTGAGGATTTTTGGGACACTCTATATTTACTTTGAACAAATGCTATGGATTGTTGCAACAACTAACCCTCCCTGCTGAATGCGATTTCCCTAATGATCGGAGAATTTCACTATAGATGTCCCTCGTTCAATCCTTCCCAACAGCCTCCTTGTCTTTCTCTGCGTCGAAGAACAGGCTGCGTCTCTTGACGTCTTGCGGTGGTGGACTTGCCGGGGTATCACCAATTGTAGCATCCTTTTCTCTCTTGAAGTCCTCTGCTCTCTTGATATCGCCTGGTGGAGGCGAGGATACCGGTGTCTTTGTTCCCCATCCTTTCCTCTTCTCGCTTGCCCAGGTGCCCCAGCTGGAGAAGTACGCACCGGCACTTGCTTTCGCGTTTGAGAGATCAGGGGCTTGAGGTGCTTTCCCTGTTCAGATATTAGCATTAGCCTCTTCACAAAAGCGGCGTATCTGGCTTACACTTCTTCCCATCGTCGACCGGCCTTCCCTCCTTCTCGGCTTGTAGTCGAGCTTCTTCGGCTCTCTTCCTCTGTGCCTCACGCATGGCTTCCATCTCTGCCCACAAGCGGTTGTACGCAGAGCTAACCTTTTGTTGGCCTACTGCAATCTGTTTACCCAAGACTTCCCTGGACTTCTCCAGTCGTTCGTCAAGATGCATTTCTGCTACCTGCCTAATCGCCACGCGAGCATCAGCACACACACGCCGAGAGATATGGCTTGGAGAGTTGGGTTGGAAAGCAGACTAAGGGAGAGGTTTAGTCGGGCTGGTGGGGCTGCTAAAAGAAGGAGGGAACGTACTGTGCCAGTCGGCGTTGAACGTCTTCCATTGACAGGCCACCAGAGCAAGGGTGTTTGGGATCGACAATGTCGAAGAGGTGTGAGTCTGTAAACTTGTTCCAGATGCGAAAGTTCTCAGTTTGCATCCAGGCTTGTACCCATTCATTTGAGAACTCGCTCGCCGGGTCTCCTTCCACTTCTGTGATCAAGTTCTCTTTGTGTGCGTTCTTCTCCATATATATCTTGTATTTCACGGAGCTGAGCATAGCGAGAAGGTACTCTTCGAATTGCATACGGATGAACTCTTCACTGCCGGCATATCCATGGTCCTTGGGTCGTGCTGGGTCATTTTCATCCCAGGTATCGTTGATCGTCTGTGTCAAGAAGTCCATCCATCTCCGGTCTGGTGTGGACAAAACTGATGCTTGTCGAAGCGCGGCTGAGGTAATGTTTACGGTATGGTCATCAAGGTTGATAAGAATATCGCTATATCGATCTCTTTGCTGAAGTAGCAGCGAGTTTGTGGAGCCGACGATGTAGGACTTCGTGTCTTGATCTGCGAGTATATCGAGTTGCTGAAGCGGTGTGTATGGCCCGAACAGGGAGCCTGTACCGAATAGCTGTAGTGGAAGACCCATGTACGCCAGTACTAATTCTTGTCAGTATATCCGATGATAGTTGTGAGAGCAAAGACTGACGGGAAGCGCGCTCCGATGTCTTTAATGAAGTAGGCATGACACATTTCTCTTCACACGAATTGAACTTGGGATCGGCAGCATCTTGTAGGTGGCGTATGAGGCCGGGTATCAGTGAAATAAGAGCAAATTGCATCATGCATAGTCGTTCGCAATGGGAGCCGAAGAAGAGGACCTATGATTGTCAGACATTCTGCATAACGACGACTAGATATGCCAAATCTAATAGAGTAAGACGTACCTTTGGCTGAAGTAATGCGCACTTAAAAAGAACCAAAGTCTGCCACTTGAACTCGTGTATGAATTCGCGGAGGGATATACCAAAATAGTGGTCTTGCTGCCCCTCCTGATTCCTGAGCAGTTGTGGAAGACTTTCCGTGAAACGCTCTAATATCTCAATATCCGTAAAGTCTCTATGCATGTGTCAGCTCTACGTTGAGCTCCATGTCTATTACAAAGACCCAACATACCTCTGATTGAACCACAGCTGCGTGACGACACCCAGCTGCGCTTTGATAGCCCCAAAATGCTGCGGACTATCGCTAATCACAACAACAGCTTTCTGCACCGTACTCCTGGTAACCTCAGCCGGCCGATCGATAAGCTTGCTCGCATCGAGTTGTCGCGTACACGATATACCGAAGAGCGATGTCGCGGGTTGGGTCGAGGTTTGCGCGCGGCGGAGGGTGAAGTAGGAGTAGTCTTCAGCAGAGGCATGGGCGCCGTCGCTCAAGGCCATGAAGGGCAGCAGCGACCAGTCGTTGTCCGCTGCTGGGTCGGTTCCTTCTTCTGCTCCCAGCCATGTTTCCACTTCCGGGCCCCTGTATTTGACCATTAGCCATTGATTTATACTGCATAGCCAATCTACTGATTGTGAGTCGCTCAGAGTCCCCAACCTGTCTCTTTCTATGCTCGCATCTCTAATTGTAAGGAGAAGCTTACCGCGCATGGTGGAAGTCGACGACGCAGACAAGTGGATTAAGAGTCGCCATTATCATGCGATCTGGATGCTATCGCATAGCACTTAAGGGGTATAGAAATAAAGGTTGTAGGGCCATAGGGATCAGGCTCGCGTCCTTGAATCGGTGCGGACGCGCTCAGAGCGGTGACGAAACAGCGGTCCCTCAATCAGCCCTACGGCGCTAGCCCAAAGCCTCGGCGATCTCCACCCGTTCCCAAGTTAGCGATCACGCCCGAGATCCTACGGACACCAGGGTAGATCTGAGGAAGGCTCTCCCTTAGTCTCGTTTTCGAGCACTAGACATCATGGATACCCAGTCTTTGCTTTGAGTGCCCATGATATTTTACTGCTACCAACGAACTGCGCTATTGATCGAAGGACACATCAACAGTCACAATGTCTCAAGTTTTGAAAGGAGAAGAATAACGTATGTTTGATAATATGGTTTCACATTCCTACCTAGGTGGACCAAAGCCTTCACTTCCGTCATGAACATTCCTTTCGTGTACCAGCAATGGTCATCCAAATGACAATAACAAACTCATGCCCCATCTACCACGCACCTTCATGTCACATAGGTCCATTACAAGAGACCTTGGGAATCATTGGGAACAGCCAACTCCGCCTGCGCCAGGCAGATGATACGTCGAGCCTCAGCAACTGCATAATTCGTTGTCTTAGAGACTGCAAATGATTATAGCTCGAGATTGGGAGACATTATGTGTAGTTAGCTGCCGTTGTTCTCTTGCTCCTGTGCTGCCGCATCAACATTGTGGTAGTCCAGGATCTCAGAGTACCTGTGGTGTGTTAGTTGTGTCTACAGACATCCTTTCACCAGACATACATCATGATTTTCCAGGTGTCAACGGGCAGGTCTGCGTCGTTGAACGACCAATCGAACTTCTCCTCCGCGATCGGCTCGTCAGTGGGGTCGTGGTATGGGGCGAGGTATGGGTGAGCGAGAGCCTGCTCCGCTCGTACACGCTTCTTGGGGTCAAAGACCAGCATGTTCTCTAGAAGATCGACGGCTAGGTAATGTTAGCCCACACTCTCGCGACTGACTGAATCCATAGACTTACCTTGTGGCTCAGCGTTCTTGAACTTGTTGGACAAGGGTTGTCGTTCCCGCTTGGGAAGTGACTGGACGAAGCGCAGGGTCTGAGGAAATTAGCGAAAGTATTCTGAGATATTTGTGGGCTTGCTTACGTTCTCGCTGCAGATGGTCTGGATAACATCATCTGGAGGGGTACCCAGAAGCTCCGTAATGATGGAGAACTGGTTCACGTGGTCCTTTCCAGGGAAGAGCGGCTTGCCCTCAAGCATCTCGGCGAAAATGCATCCTGCACTCCAGATATCAACCTCGACATCGTACTTTTGCCATGTAAGCATGATCTCGGGGGCTCTGTAGTATCGGGTAGAGACGTAACCCGTCATCTGGGGGTCCTGTATACGGGCGAGACCGAAGTCGCAAATCTTAAGATCGCAGTTCTCGTTGACAAGGATATTGCTGGGCTTCAAATCGCGGTGCACGACACCAGCGGAGTGGACGTATTTCAGACCACGCTTTTGAAGTCAGCACATTTTCTTGGGAATCTGGAGTTTTTGCCACACACCAAAATCTGGTAGAGGAAGTACTGGATGAACTGCTTCTCCAGCGGTCTGGAGGTAAGCAAGCGGTGAAGATCGGTTCCGAGGAGCTCAGTGACGAAGTAGCTGGGCGAGTTAGTAAGTGCTTGGGTTTGCGGTGATGTGGCTGCCTACATGTCTTCGAGGGGAGAGATGAAGATGTCGCTCAGGCTGATAATCTGGTTTGCGTTAGAGTTTTCGCTGAGGAGCGGCATCTGCATTGCCTACATTCTCATGTCGAAGATGCTTCAGGAGCTTCAACTCTCGGTATGTCCGCTTTGACAGAACCGGGGTGCTGAAGGGCTTCATAATCTTCTTGATAGCCACGGCCTGGCTAGTAAGCTGGTCCTTGGCTGAACTGTGGCCGAGTCAACATTCGATTCTTGTCCGGCGTTATGGAAGTCGTACCAGACGAGACCAAAGGCGCCCATGCCCACGGGCTGCAAGTCGGTGTACCTTGTCGATGTCAGTCATGCCAGAAGACGCAATGTGGGGTATGTCCGCACCTGCTGGTAATCTCGAAAGTGGTGCCGAAAATCTGGGCGCGTACGAATTCCGCCATGATGATTGTCGGTGGTTGTGATGGTGCGACAGGCGCGAGGAGCGGTCTCAGGCGAAAATTGGGGGGGTTGTGGTGGTGGAAGAGGGCGAGTAGGACGTCGTGGGGTAGTCGCGAATACGTCGGGGCTCTCTAGTAGCACGTTGACGCTGCTAGATCAGGGCAGGTTTAATTGGGCTCGGTGGCTAGGTCCGGCAATGAAGGACTTGCGCAACAACAGCTCCGAGGAATCCTTCTTGTAGTCTTCAGAGTTTGCACCAGGGATGTCGCGAGCGTCGACGGCTGGATACGCTGGGGTTCTTGGGTTGCCGCTTTGATTGTTCAATGTTGACAGTAAGCGGGTCGGCGAGAAGATAATCGAGGCACCGACGGGATGACCTCAGACTATGTGCAACACAAGGATGAGGCTCTTGGGGCGTGGCGAGGATGCAGATCAGTGCGAGAAAGGAAGAGGTGAAGGTAAGAAGACAATCGAGGGGCAGCCACCAAATGCGATAGAGGGACGCATGCACATGGCCCGGGCACGGAAGTGTCGCTCACACAGGTTTCGGCTTGTTCGAGTGACGTCACGATGGATTTTCGAGTTTTCCATTACAGCCCGTGCATTACCTCCAGCGCACGCATTTGCCGTGCTTTTACTGGCGCTGCAGAAGACTGTCATGCACAGCAATGTATCCTGTCCTGTCAACGTACCCCACCACGACCTCGAAGCGCTTTCCGCATTCACTCGCGACCCTCCCCTCCCCTCACGTGCTGTGGGCCCGTGCATACCAATCCCTCACCCCGAATGGTGACATTGCAGCTATCTTGCAGCCACACTTACTCTTTTGACCACCAACATGCCTGGGCAGCTTGACTTGCCTTGAATGTACGACCTGGGCTAAGCTTTCCTTGTCTTGATAACTTGGGTCTGCTGACGGCACAAATACACCTGCAATATCGACGTATGAAGAAGGTAAACCTGGAAGATATACGTATGCCGATATCAATAGCCCCGAAGTAACGCAGTATGTTATAAGTCAGGTCTGTACCCTGATAAGCTGATACCTTATTTCCTTGTTCTCTTATCAATGGATGCAAACATTTCTTCGTCTTCAAGCTCAGCAGTGAAAATATCAACGACTCGTGAACGGTACCTGACTTCAAGGGCCGATTACCAGCCCTCGTGGCATCCCTGGTATACTGTTGCGTAATGATTCGTTTGCGGCTCGCTCCGAAAGCGTGTCAATGGTATGCTGCGGCTATCACGGAACATGGTAGCGCTCTGAAACATGCAAGCGATTGCTGACCTGTGGCCCTGTCAACTCGCTCTGTTGTAACGCACCCGAGCGGATATTCTGAAAATGCACGACATGAACTAGAGCATGTTCGTAGTCGCCAAAGGTGGAGACATGGGCCCGACAGATCTATTTGGTCAGCATTCAGCTAGCCTCGTTTGCAGCTAGCCATTATTGATGGAGAGGCAGGGCAGTCTGACAAGAGGCTCGCATTCAACTTCAGTTAGGGGACCGAGAGGCAGTTGATGAGAGTGCCAGGCTTAAATTAGAAACCCTTTACACTGGGGGAGAACAGCCCACGGACATGTCTAGCTTGAAAACGCCGTTGCACGTCAGTCCCACGCAGTCGAATGGTGTTGGCGCTGGCTGGGCGACGAGGTAAACTCTATCGTGGAGGCGTTCCAGATTGAGACTTGGGGGCTGAGTAGTTCGGAGCGGTTGGGCGATTGGGTGATAGTGCGACTGAGGCATCGTGAAGCCAACACAGCAGAGGTGTATTACTGCAGACTACAGGTACTGTATATAGAAGTTTGGAGGCACAGCTGCAGCGCGTAGTGCAGGGGCCGGTGTATCAAGGGGCCGTGGTGGACACAGTATTGGATTGCCGCGGGTCGTAAGCCGAGCTCATCTTGAAGCAGAAGGCCCATCTGCCAATGATAGATGCCTCTCGGATATGGCAGCCACGAGCCATGGCACCACGGCGTAGTACATGGCCTCGAGCGTCGTTAGGGCACCAACACCTCCCATTGCATTGCATCGCATCTCCACTGTCAGTATCCGCCAGCACTTTGCCCATCTACGCTCGCTTCAGCGCGCCCTGTTCCGCAGCTTGGCTCGTGCCATTTACCCTGATCGCTGCTCTAGCATCCACGATTGAATGAGGCTTAGCAGCATCGCGCCTGCCATCGTTGTCTTCATCACCCCTTCGTAATTCACGCCTTGCGCTGCGAGCAAATCAGCCAACGCATCTGCCTGCCGCATCTAATCGTCATCACGAGATCCGCCTGCAAACTAAACTACCAGAGACCACGTCGGCGGCGGGCGACATTGTTGATTGCACCTTCTCCAGATCCCGCGCCTTCCTCATCAACTTACTGGGGAAGGCACCTCCGCACGAGCCACAGGCAGCCCTGGAGTCTCCGATCTAGCTCACCAAGACGACCCTACCGTCCATACAACACCACCACCACCGTCGCATACGAAACCCCCGTCCGCCCTTGCGCTCCAGCCCGACCCCGCTCCCATTGCTGCTGCGATCCACGCTGGCGACCTCGCTGCCGCGCCCGCCCACGTTGCGAGGCCCCCCTTTGACGGGAGCTGCGTGTCGGATTAAGCCGACGGAAGCGTCACCAAAGCTCCAGCAACGCGCCAACCGTCACGCCGCCATCCGGACCAGACGCTCTCTCGCATCGCCGCTCATACTCGACGACGACGTTTCTGCGACGCGCTGAGCCTAGTGCTCCATCATTATCCCGCGCCCGACTCCCCCCCAACGCCCGCGGCCGCGAGCCGCACCACACGCCGGCATTATGGGCATCTGCATGAGCACCAATAATGACGATGTCGAGCAGAAGAAGCGCAGCCAGGCCATTGACCGTAAGCTCGAGGAGGACTCGCGACGGTTACGGCGGGAATGCAAGATCCTGCTGTTGGGTGAGTAGCTTCAGCCCTGCGGCCTCTACATTTGCTAACACTCCCTACAGGCTCCGGAGAGAGCGGAAAATCAACCATAGTCAAGCAGATGAAGATCATACATCAGAACGGCTACACGCAGGATGAGCTCGCCATGTACCGCCTGACCATATACAAAAACGTCATCGACTGCGCAAAAGCCCTCATTGGCGCCATGCGACAATTCGACGTTTCCCCCGAGAAACCAGGCAATGCCGAGCTCTGCGACTACCTGCTCGAGTATACAGTCGACCCCGATCCCGAGAAGCCCCTCGATGTACGGGTAGGCCAAGCCATCACATCCATGTGGAGTGACCCATGTGTCGGCAAGGTCCTGGAGCACTCGAGCGAGTTCTACCTGATGGACTCCGCGCCATAGTATGTTTGCGCATCCCTCTCCGTCACCACCACTGACTCCCTCAGCTTTTTCGACGAGGTAGAAAGAATATCCGACCCCAACTATGTACCTATCGAATCCGACGTTCTACGAGCGCGTACCAAGACCACCGGTATATACGAAACAAGATTCACCATGGGCCAGCTCAGCATACAGTACTTGTGCCCCTTCAAACCACGTTTCGGTGTTTAGGCTAACATGAAACAGTATGTTCGACGTAGGGGGCCAACGGAGCGAGCGCAAGAAATGGATACACTGTTTCGAAAATGTCACATCAATCATCTTCTGCGTGGCATTGAGCGAATACGACCAAGTCTTGTTAGAAGAAAGCTCACAAGTAAGTAATAAGGCCGACTATTTTGTCCATAACTGACTCGCGCCTCCAGAACCGAATGATGGAGAGCTTAGTGCTCTTCGACTCGGTAGTCAATAGCCGGTGGTTCATGAGAACGAGTATCATCCTGTTCCTCAACAAGGTCGATCTGTTCAAGGCCAAACTGGCGCGATCACCACTCGGCAATTACTTTCCAGATTACTCCGGCGGCAATGATGTCAACCGCGCGGCGAAGTATCTGTTGTGGAGGTTCAACCAAGTCAACCGGGCACATCTGAACCTATACCCTCAGTAAGAGGCTTCCTCATCAAGCCAACCCACGCATGCTGACCTCGCTAGTCTCACACAAGCTACCGATACATCCAACATCCGACTTGTCTTCGCCGCCGTCAAGGAAACAATACTACAAAATGCGCTAAAAGACTCCGGCATACTATGATCGTCCACACAACACCCACCCCGATATGTGACGGCCAGGCATACGACCTATGAGTGCTTCGGCATGCTCAGCTTCCTTTCCGCCATACCCATACACTTACATAATACACGAGCCCTTTACGATCATTACTCCCGATCGTGCCACTCATGATGCACATCCTCGGTCACGAAACGGGAACTTTGGGAGATATCATTGCCTCTAGCTATCCATACAAAGAGCGCAGCATTGGTGTTTTTGGCGTTTAAAGATTCCCTGGGACTTGCTCCTTTCCTTCTTATCTTGGATAATGGGAATGTTTTCATCACAACATTTTTTCCTCTCTCTCCTCGGAGCCAGTAGGACTTTTCGATCGATTGCTGAACTTTGGTTGCTCTTTGTTCCCCCCAAATCTTGCTTCTCTCTTTGTCTGATTTATGTTCCATGGACTGCTGGGAGAGCCAGAGAGGAAAAAGTTGAGTGCACATCCATTCCAATTCCCTTTCTACGTAGGCCGGGGTTTCGCCCGCTAAAGAGAGGACTTGTATGCTATATGGTCTCTCATTTACGATATGTCTTTTTATTTGTGTTTTATTCAATTTCCATTTCCCCCGACACGGTCAAACAATGAGGAGGAACTCTAGTTTATCGATTACCAAACTACCACGACCTTTTGCGACGGTTATTCATGGCGTCGAAGCGTTCGCGCAGATATAATGTACGCCGCCACTCTTCGAATACCAATATATCATATTGAGTTGCATATACTACTTTTGCCTTTTGCACGTAGCAAGTTTTGACTACCAAGGTCAAGAACAGCTTGAGCAAATTTTGGACGTAGACTTCCCACGGCAACTCTGCTCCATCCATCCCATTCCACCACATTGCCCCCCTTCCATTTAAGCCAAG